ATTTTCTAGGAATAAAGGGAATAATTGAAAAAATTATTTTAGATTATAATATCTATAATAAAATTAAAAGGGTTAGATCCAAATTATATAGGTTTCTATAATTAATTAACATTCTAGATAAGTTATAAAATATTATTATATAAGATTTCATTATTAAATTATCCAAATTATAATATTTAATAATCAAAAAAAATATAATAATATATAAATTATTATTAATAAATTTAAAAAATATAGATTTTTTATATTATTTAAAGAAACCTATATAATTAAAGATCTAATTTTTAATAAATATAAACTATTAAAGAGAATTATTTTACATAAAAATAAATTCTTTATTTTGAAATTTTAGATTAATCTAATAAAAAAATTAAAAATTAAGTAAAAATTTTTTATAACGGTTTATTTTTAAATTGATGGATAAATAAAATAATTAAATTAAATATTAAAATAATATTTATAAAATTATGTTAATTATAAACAAAATAATTAAATAGAATTTTTATCATTTATTATATCTTTATATAATATTTTAATAAGTGATACTACCGGGATGTTACCATAAAAAACATTATATAAATAATTAATAAATAAAGTTACCTTAGAATTAAAAATAATATTATTTAAAATAAAAATATTTACTATTAGAACCCTAATATTATAAACTAAGTTTAAATAATGTTTTAAATTTTTATAAAAATAAATAATAATATATTATAATAAGAAAAAAATTAAAGGATTAATTTTATAGAAAAGAAATAAAATTTATTTTTTATAAGATAAATAATATTTAACATTAAAGACATTATAAATTTAGATTAAAAAACCAAATAAGAAGTTAGATTTTAAAAAATTAAGATCCTTTTTAATTAAAAAAGTTTTTTTAAGAATAAATTATTATTTATAATTATTAATAAATATAAAATCAAAAACTAATATATTTTATATTATTATATTTAAATTAGTATTTAAAATATTAAATTTAAAAAAAAACCTAAAAGAATATAATATTAAAACCATTAAGGATTTTAAGGTTATTAATAATTAAATTAAATATTTTATTAAATAATTTAATTATTTAAAAAAATAATATTCAAAAATTATAAAAATATTTTATAAATAAGAAAATCTAAAAATTAATTAAAGATTTTTATCATTAAAATCTAAATCAATTATTCATAAAATATCAAAATTTAAATCTTCAAAAAAAATTATAAAAAGGATTATCTATAAAAATAATATTAATTTATACTTTAATAATATATTATTACTCTCTTACCAATCTCTATTCTTTTATTAAATAATTTTTTTCCTCAATATTATTTAACTCCATACCCTACTATAATAATTAAAAATTATAATATTTAAAAAGATTTTTTTATTAATATAATTATTATAACTTATTTATTTTTATTAAAATTTTTAAATAAAACTCCTCCTAAACATAAATTAAATTATCCTTAACATTCCTTAATTATAAAAATATATTTAAGAAAATTTATTTTAATAATATCATATTATCTATATTAATAATAAATATAATAATTATAATATATATTACCAAATATAAAAAAACAATTATCTTCTTTATAATCAACATAATTATTATATAATAGAATAAGAAACCTATATATTTCCATATAATTAACATAAATTTCATATTTATTATATTAATTTAGATAAGAATATACAATTAATTTTTTTTAAAAAAAAGAAAACTTATTTTAAAAAGAAAAGAATAATATTATAAACTAAGAATCCTATATCCATTTTTAAAAGATAAATAAGGCTTAAAATAATTAATAATGATATAATTTTAGATATTTAAATATATTAATTAATAATATATCTAATATATTTAATATATCTGATAAAAAAAATAAAAAAAAGGATATCTATATGAATTATCAGAATCTTTTATATATTTCATTATTTTTTTATAACTTTTTAATTATTAATTTAAGACTATTCTTACAAATATAATAAAAAGATTTTAAACCTTTTTGACAAATAAAACTTACCTGATTACTTAACCTATTATTAATACTATTATCCTTAAATTAAAATACCTAGATTAATTAATTTAACAACAACTATACCTCTTTAAGACATAAATTTGTCACATTTCCCTTAATATTAATTTCTTTTTAAATTATTTAATCTCTATAAAAATAATTATAATCCTTACCTATTAATTAAAAATCTTTTTCTTTTATTTATCTTCCTCTATTCTAACCTTAATCTTTTTTAAAATTTATAAATATATTTTAAAAGATATTATCTTATTAATAAATTAAAATATTTCTTCTTTAGATAATAAATCCTTATTTTAAAAATTTTTCTTATTTAATTCCTTTTTATTTTTTAAATTAAGATTTATTAATTCATTTTATATTTAATTATAATATCCTTTAAATAATAAATTTTAAAAGATGTAAAGATTTTTTATTTTATTTTTAAAGATCAATAAAATAAGAGAAAATTTAATTAATAATAATAATAATAAAATATTTTATAAATAATTTATATCATTTTTTAATTTAATATTAATATTAATTAAAATATGATTAAAATATGATAAACTTATGTTTTAAAAAGGTATAATCATTATTAAATTAATTAATTTAAAGTATCTTAATTTAAAAATAATAATATTAATAATAGATTAAATAATTAAATAAATTCTATTTATTAAAAAAACTTAAAATCCTTTTATTATATTTAAAAAAAATAATTAGATATATAAGGAATGTTTATAATTATATAATAATTCTTTTTTCCTTTTTTTAAAATTTATTATTATTATAATCTAATTAATTTAATTAATCTTATCAAATCAATTAGATCAATAAGATCATATAAATCACACATATTATAATTCTTTTATGATTTAGCCATGATTAGTTTAGAGAATATCCACTTCAATCCTGATAGATTTCCTTGGTTTATGATAAATAATTATAATATTAAACTTTATTTAAATCCTTTTTAATTTTTTTATCATTATTAATTATATTAAGGTTTTAAATCTTAATTAATTCCTTCTTTTCCTAATTCTTTATTACTTTAAAATCTTTTTTTTATTATATTTTTTATATAATTTATTATTATAAAAAATTATTTTAATAAATATTTATTATTCTTTTCTTAATAAATTTTTTTATAAAAAAATAAATAAAACTTTATATATATAAATTAATAAATTTATTAACCTATATTTTTTTTAAAAAAAAATCATTATTATTTTTTTCTTAATTAAAACTTTTTATCTTTTTTTTAATCCTTATTATTTTCATTATTATTATTATTTAATAATCTAAAAAATATTAAAGATTAAAAAAAATTAATTATTAAAAGATTCTTTTAAACACTTTTTTTTTTTAATTTTTTTTAATTCTAATTCTTTTTTAATTTTTTTAATTTATTTATAAATAATAATAATCTTTATTTACCAATCAAAAAAAAACCTTTTTTTTCTCCTTAATTATCTTCTTTTATCTTAACCTTAATAATCTCTTTTCAACTCTTTAATTTTAGAATTTGTAAATATATTTTAAAAGATATCATTTTATTAATAAATTAAAATATTTTCTTTATAAATAATAAACCTTAAATAATATAAATAAATATAAATATTTCAAATAATAATAAATTAAGCTATTATAAATTATCTAAAACTTCATTTTAAAATTCCTCTTTATTTAACTTTTCTTTATTTTCTAAATTAAGGTTTATTAATTTATTCTATATTTAATTATAACATCTTTTAAATAATAATTTTTAAAAATTATAAAAAATTTCTGTTTTATTTTTAAAAATTAATAAACTAAGAAAAGATTTAATTAATAATAATAATGGAATATTTTATAAATGATTTATATCATTTCTTAATTTAATATTAATATTAATTAAAAAATTATTAAAATATAATAAACTTATATCTCAAAAAGATATAATTATTATTATATTAATTAATCCAGAATATCTTAATTTAAAGATAATAATATTAATAATAAATCAGATAATTAAATAAATTTTATTTATTAAAAAAGCTTAAAATCTTTTTATTATACTTAAAAGAATAATTTTAAATTAATAATTAAAAAAATTATAAAAAAATAACTAAATATATAAGAAATATTTATAATTATATAATTAATCTTTTTTCTTTTTTTTAATATTTAAAATTATCATAATTTAGTTTAATTTAATTTATTTATTCTTTATAAATAAATTTATTAAATTTAAATAGATCATATATATCTTATAATTTAGTTATGATTTAATTAATCTAATTAATTTTTAATTATATAATTAGATCCATTAAATTTATAAATTATATATATATATTATGATTCTTTTATTACCAATCTATTATATCCCATTTCTTCCAGGCTCCTAAGATGATTGTCCTTTACTGGTTTATAACATGTTTATATAAATTATTAAGAATTTCTTATATATTTAATTATTTTTTTTAAAATTATTTAATTCATTATTAATATTATTACTTTTAAATTAAGATATTTTAAATTAATTAATTTAATAATGATTATACTTCCTTCGAAGTATAAGTTCGTTACATATAAAAATATTTAATTTGTAACATATATAAATATCCTTTTTTTTTAAGATTATTATAATATATTAAATTTTAATTATGATAATCCTATGCCTTAAAAAGGTATAATTGTTATTAAATTAATTAATCCGGGGTATCTTAATTTAAAAGTAATAATATTAATAATAAATTAAATAATTAAATATATTTTATTTATTAAAAAAGCTTAAAATCTTTTTATTATATTTAAAAAAATAACTTTAAATTAATAATTAAAGAGCTTCCTTAAAAAAGTGATTAAATATATAAGAAGTATTTATAATTATACAATTATTCTTTTTTTTCAACATTTAAAATTATCGTAATTTAATTAATTTACTATTAAAAACCTCATTTAAAAATGGGTTTAAAAAAACAACATAATAACCTAAGAAATCTCAGGCAATATCCTTTCATAAATTCAAGGCAAAAATGAAGGCCATATAATATCCCTCATAAACTCGGGCAAAAAAATGTAAACATTTAAAATTTTAAACTGCTTCCTTTAATACACTTACGTCAATTAAACTTGTAAGACTTTCTCGTGGAAGTGGTTGTCGTCTCCCGTTTGACGCTACAAACTTGTCTTCGTCTACCAGAACATCTAACATATCTGATGGAACCTGTACATGCCACCTATGAACAGGCCACACCGCTTCCAACAAGGTGCTATTCGTCTTAACGGCCTCTGCCGCCCGGGCAACTACTTTCTTGGGGTCACTCTGGAAAACATCTTCCGCTTGTTTCAAGGCCTTCAAAAACTGGACTATCTCTTCCCTTTTCTCAGGGTCTTCGAGCTTCTCGGATGTCGTAGCAAGGTTATAGATTTCTCGATACACTGTTTGATTGTTTCCAAACATAATTGCATCGGATCCTAGGGCTTCGGCTCCTAGTTGGACCGACGGCTCCCACATCCCAATGGCGTCAATAGTTCCATTCTTCAGCATCGCGGGAAATGTGTTGGCAGCGCACGGCTCCTGCAGACATGCAAGGCCATTTACAATCGTATAGTCCGTTGTTTGTAGGCCAACCGTAGCAAGGTATGTTCGGACGAAATACTCGGAAGAAGTAGTCTTCAGAGCCCCTATTCTTTTCCCTTTCAAATCCTCCAAGGTGTCAATTCCAGACTTCTTGTTCGCGACGATCCTATAGTAGACCTCTGCGACTGTGCTAATGCTCCGAAGGTTTTTATGGGAACCAAATTGTAGGAGCAGCTGGGTCTCGGAGTTTGATCCGAGGTCAACAGTTGGGTCGCTGAATAGGCTTGCGATGCCACCGTTCACGATATTGACTTCTCCTTTGAAATAGTCTTCTTTGGCAACTAGCTCAGGGGTCCATTCGAGTACCCCGAGAGCGCTGGCTATCTTCAGTGAGCAAACTTGGGTTACTGCAAGTAGCACAGAAAGGACGAGGAAGATAGCAGATAGCACCATTGTGGCGGCTTTGGACGCAATTTTTAGCATCCAAGTCTGATCTTGCTCATTACAGGAGAAGATAAAGCTGCTTCACCTCGCTTTTGTACTCCGCTGGGAAACAAGGGGCTAGAAAATAACTCCCAATGGGTATAAGTAAACCATATAATTACTTTATATGTGCCAGGATGTTAGAGTTTTGCCGGCATGACATCCATGATACCTTTAGAATCAATGGTAATCTCTTATGTAAAATCCAATGTCAATCATGCGGGGCCTCACTTGCGAGCTCACGGTAGAAATCGGCATTGATGAGTACCTAGGGATATTAACTACTTAAGTTGATGAGATACCCGGATATTAATCTTTACGTTTAGAAACCACGTAAAAGATGCCTCTGGCTTACAGGGTTGATGGCGCCTTAATACTTGTCCATCTCGACTACTTCCTTAAAAAGGTCTACGAAATAACCTGCCACCATCTTACCATAGGGAGTTACCACTCACCCTTACGAATAAATGTAGTCTGATAAAGCCCTTTGTGGAATAGCTTGGGGCGATGAGCCGAGTATTGAGTTATCGATGAGGTTTCCTATTAGATCATAGGATAGTTCATTAGACGACCTGGAGGAATGATAAGGTACAGTATAGATTAAAAATACATGTCATGACAAGTAGAAAACCATGATGCTTCGTTAACATTACCATGGACTTCTAAGGCACGGAACCTGTGTAAGCACGAATTATAAACTTTTAGTTATTTCTATTATTGTTTCAACTTGATATGGATCGTGTACTCAACCAGGGGCTTTAGGTGAGCTTGGCCTTGTGCCAGGCTCCTCGACAGTATCTACAATATCGAAGATGGAGTCATGGGTTCATCGTCAACCGAACCCAGACAAGGACTCGAAGCGTTGGAATGACTCTTGTCCAACAAAGGGGCGTTGGCGTAACCATCACTTTCGTAATCCTCGTATATTTTTACCTCGAGGTTACGAGAGTGTCTAGAGTATAACTCTAGGATCATTGTGCCAGAGAATATAATTTGTCTCATTGAAACGTCCGTGGGACTATGGATCCCTGGGTACCTGGCTTGGAAATCCGCGCTCACCCATAAATTGGCCATAGCCATAAGAAATCGTACAGTACAGACCGTTAGATTATCTGGGTCCTGAAGGATATATAGGTTTATCTTTTCATCTGGATCTTCCGAGTCATTGAGTTCCTGCATCAAGTCGAGGATCTGCGAGAAGCCCGGTGTAATTGGTTCGTTGTAAGTAGACATTGCCTTGAAGTAGATCATTCTGAAAGCAAGGGTGACCTCCGTGCAGCCTAGAAAATCCATCGTTAGACCCATGTTGTAAATACGTAGTTCACAAGCAAGCAGTTCGATTGTAGGGGTGTAGTATTGAAATGGACAGTCCGCTTTATGGTTGTAGTTGGGACCATGGTCATAAAAGTCCTCCCTATCTTCAAGAGTGATCATCTGGTCGCCGACGTTCGTTGAATTTCTGACAGGAAGTCCTGTTATTTGTGCTTCCAACATGTTCTTGCCGGTCATATCGAGGAACGACCTGAAAGTTGGAACTGGAATATGTACGATAGGGCAAGACATCTTGATATATCTAGCTGATAATGTGGCTATCACTTGAGATCGATGTATATGGATATACCGGGTATTATGTAGTATATGAAATACCCCGAGGAGCGGCGAGTTCACGTAGGTATTTATGCACAGGGTGAGGCACCTAGTATTCATCCTTAAGTATAGGCATAAACGAAGCCCACCAGGGCAGGAAACAATGAAATAAGGATGTAGAGAATAATCGTCTTGTTCGTCGGGGGGTGCTTTATTTTAAATGCCCTTTCTTGTGGTTGGGTTTGAAAGGAGATGACATATAGCAGCAGAAGCTGCTACAAAGGGGATCTAATAGACAAGCGGGCTAGGAAACAGGAAATACTGGGAAACAATCCACATCCTGATTTAGTGTGCTCAGTTGCTATGTGTTTTTTTTTTTTCCTTTTTACATCATGGTGCGAATTTCGAGGTCAACCCTTCTGCCTAGTATCATTGATCTCGTCCACTCTGCGAGTAACTATCTCTATATCCAATGGACAGGATATTAACTATAGGTTGGATCTTCGTCATGTCCAGTTAACTGCTAATATATCTTACTACTCGAGTATCAAGAAATAAGAATTATACTATGGGTGACATATACACGAATAAATAAAATTATGTGCCTAATAAACTATATAATGTACTGCTTCTATCTTAATATTAACATTGATTATAATTTGAAACTGATTTATCAATACTTCATTCACCCCCCACCCCTTAACCTAGGATCACAGCATGTTTTTCAAGTGGTGTCAGTATAGTCTTACTCAAATGTAGCATACTGTGACAGATATTAAATAATCCTCTACTCAAAAAGGGGTATAATTGCTACAAGTCTTAAGATACACATAGAGTACCAAATATCTATCTTATTGTTAAATAGTAATATTACTTAGCATCAAATCTCATCGCGCCTATAGACTTATATTGGTACCGATCCTCCATATAGACAGTCGTTTTCATTGCCATGTAGAAGACCAAGTAAAAGATAGGGATGTACGCCGAGGAAACGATGCACACTAGGGTTGAAACAATCATGATCCCGCTTGTTCAAGATATTTATTTGATGCTGCCCACAAGGGACACGCGGGATAACCGCTGTACTATACACTTTAGCAATGACTTCAAGCCTCCACCTTGGTAGACTGATTACTGGTCCTTACACCAACTAACCCAAAAGCATCTTCCGGGGGTCTTCAATGTATTCCTTAACCTTAACCAAAAATTGGACAGCTTCCCTACCGTCGAGAAGACGATGGTCGTAAGTTAGAGCAAGGTACATCATGGGTCGTATCTCGATCTTGCCATTTACAGCTACGGGTCTCTCTTTGATAGCATGGAGACCTAATACGGCGCTCTGGGGGAGGTTGATAATAGGGGTACCCATGAGAGAGCCAAAGACGCCTCCGTTGCTGATGGTGAATGTACCACCAGCCATGTCCTCGATGGTAAGCTTGCCGTCTCGAGCCTTCTTGCCCATGTCCGCGATGGCCTTCTCAATACCAACTAGGTCCATGGATTCAGCATTGCGCACAACGGGAGTGACAAGACCCTTCTCGGTCGCAACGGCCACACTGATGTCGACGTAGTCCCGGTATACGATTGTATCCCCGCCATTTTCGCCCTCAATCGAAGCGTTGACGGCGGGAAGATCTCTCATGGCCAGAACGCTGGCGCGCGAGAACGCACTCATAAAACCCAACTTGACACCTGTCTTCTTCAGAACCTCGTCTTTGTATAACTTGCGAAACTCCATGAGGGACGACATATCGACTTCGTTGAATGTTGTTAACGATGCAGCAGTGTTCTGAGATTGCTTTAGGCGCTCGGCAATTCGTAGGCGCATGCGGTTCATCTTGACACGTCGCTCCTCTCGGCTTCCCAAGACGGGACCAGAGGTTGACGAGGTGTCCTTCGCAGGTTGAGTTTGTTTAGGAGATGCCTCTTTCTTGGGTTCTGGTGGTGGATGGGGCCTAGACTGCTCTGGCTTAGGCTCAGGTTTCGACTCGGGCTTTGGTGGTTCTGGCTTGTTCTCTTCTTCCGCGGGCGCAGGGCGCGATTCAGTGGAAGCCTCCTCCTTTTTGCTTGGCTCTTCTTTGGATGCCTCAGATTTTTCGCCACCTTCGGGTGCTGCACCTGTTTCCATCTTCGCAATTTCTTGGTCTACAACAACGACGTCTTCCTCGTTGGCAATCAACTCTTTTAATACACCGGCCTCGGGGGCGTTTACAGCAACATCGATCTATGGACACGGTCGTTAGAAATACGAGTTAACGGCAAGGCCGAGAGCCTCTTTTCGTCTTTTCTCCTTAAGAGAATAATAATAAATAAAAAAAGCATAGAACTTTTGGTTACCTTGTCCGTCTCAATTGTCGCGATCTCTTCGTCCTGCTCAACATAGTCACCGACTTTCTTGTTCCATTGTCTCAAAGTACCTTCAGTGATAGATTCGGCCATTTGAGGGACTTTGACAGAAATGTGGGCATAGGTGCGAACTTGGGCCATTAGCAATGGGAGGGGGAGGTTTCCTCGTAATGGCTGCTGTTGGATGGGCCGGCGCAAAACCCGCGTCGCGGTGAGAAGTCGTCTTGACATCATTGTGAAGGTTGATATGTAGCTCTTGCGGGAAATTGGGCGCCGGCAAGAATCGGCAGAAGATCTTTTATGACGAGGATGCGAGGGCGCGAGAGTATGAAATAAGAACGACGGGAACTTGAAATCTACGTCAAATGAGGTTTTGAAGAAGAAGAAAGGGGTATTATTAGCTGCCAAAGCCTGCAATGGCAAGAAATAGATGATGTGTTATTAGCAGCAGTTAATATTTCTCGCTTCTGTATTTTGGAGATGAAAGTAGAAAGGTCCCAGAAAAATTTCAGAAACGTTCCGCTTCAAAAGCGTCCCATGTTTCCGGCAGAGCTTGTGGGTTCTTTTTTAGAACGTCGGCCGCTGCCTCTCCCTCTGTAAAAAAAAACACCTTAGGCACTTGCACGAAGCACCTGTGCTGCTTGTCCAAGTAATTTTTTGGCGTCGGAAATGAAACCACCGATTACAGGGCAGCTGGCCTTGTCAGGAGGTACTCATTTTGTAGTTACAGAGAGCTACCCTGTCTGTACCTACAGGTTTCTATGTACCGATATGCGACTTGGAAGTATCTTGTGGTTGTACTTACCGTCATAAACCGAGGTTAATGTACCCGTCTCTTTCCATTCCCTGCTCGAAGTGCTTGCTCCAATGTCAACTAACAGGGAAATTGGATAGGTGATGTAAGTACCCAAGTACATGGATACTTGTTACTTTATGCTTGCATCCATGGATGTGGATAACGGGATAAATAAGCCCCAGGCTCCGATGCAAAGTGGATCTGTGGAGCCTACCTTGCCTTGGGGCAATTGACGAGTTCCAATTGACGGCTTGCGATTTCCAACGCTTCATAATACCAACGAGCAAGATTTAATTTCGCCCAGCTGCGACAAGAAAAACCACGCCTTAATACCACGACCCCAAACTCCCTAACCATCATAGCGAACAAGAAATAGCTTTAGGGCTGGCGGAATCCTCGGCCGCAGCTTGCTGGTGAACCTGGGCTTTGTACATCGCGACCGACACACGCAAGATCGAGTAAAAGACCTCACCATGTCGAACCGACAAGCCGCGCTGTAAGCCCAATTGGATTCGCTTCAAATGTCGGAAACCTTAGAGCTAACCCAGCTGAAATATATAGGTCCCTCTACCGACGCTCGTTAAAGCTAGCTCTCGATTGGGCTGTTCATCGAAGCTTATGGCGCGGCCAAGCTCTCTACATACGCTCCCTCTTCGAAGCAAACCGAAATATTACAGATACTAAAAAACAAAGAGTAACCAGTGGCCTTTATTGCTATGTATACAATATTGGAATCAATATCTAATAGATGATATCGTACAGGCCTTGCTCAATGAAACAGAGAAATTGCTAGAAACTTGGAAGCACCCCGATCCATATTGTCATCCCACAGCTCCAGGAGGTACAGTGATGCTCATAATAATTTTGTTGCATGCTAAATTATACTAATATTTGGTATAGGATCTAAATACGAGAGAAATCTGCCGGTACACGTTACTGATCGTGAGTTTTATAATATACGAATTTTGGCTTGTTCGCAGTTGCGCTAATATAAATTCTAGCTCCGCCGAATCTTAAATTCTGATTCTGAGATACGTTGGGGGGAATGGGTGATGCCGATCTGTACATAGAAATCCTTACCTGTAGATGTCGGGCGAAGACAGGAAGATTCCAATAATATCATGCATATCTGACATCGCAACTGTGACGGAGCAATGCTGTTTGCAATTCAGCTGTCAGGCGTTAATTAAAGATATCGTTCCAGACATACGCACAAAAGCCTCATTCTCAGTACGTTTTTAACCAACCAATTGTTCAGGGTCAAATCACATAAAATGCCGAATTAATAAAATATTGTTCAGAAAGTATTCTCATTCGTGTCCATTACGCAATGGATTAATGCCAGTAAATGTACAACCCTAACGCGTAAAGCAAACCGTGCCCAGCCGTGACCCCGTGGTTCATGAAACGTCCCAAACGACCAACCAGAAAACAGAAAATTACCCCATTTACAACTCTTGGCTGGCGTTCTTGCCAGGCTTGCCGGTCTTCTTGGGGAGCAGGTCTAAAAGACACGTTAGATGACGATGATGAGACTATGTGATGTCAACTTACTCTGGTGAATGTTGGGTAAGACACCACCCTGGGCGATGGTGACGTGGCCGAGCAGCTTGTTCAACTCCTCGTCGTTTCGGATGGCGAGTTGTAGATGGCGGGGGATGATACGAGTCTTCTTGTTGTCACGGGCAGCGTTACCAGCCAACTCGAGAATCTCGGCGGCGAGGTACTCTAGGACAGCGGCGAGGTAGACGGGGGCACCTGATAATAGCGCGTTAGAATGTTGAATAATTTAGAAAGCGACGGCGACTTACCAGCACCAACACGCTGAGCATAGTTGCCCTTGCGGAGAAGTCGGTGAACACGACCGACAGGGAAAGCCAAACCGGCCTTGGAAGATCGGCTGAAGAATAATTAGTAAATAGACTATGTATTGAAGAGTGCTGGGTATTGTTGATATGATAAAGACGCGTCGCACTAGGCATAGCAGAAAATGCAAAAGTTGCGCAATGTGGATGAGGATGGTATGACTTACGATTGCGCGTTCTTGGAACCGCTGGCCTTGCCGCCGGACTTGCCGCCTCCAGTCATCTTGATGGTTGGTTTGAGTGGTTAAAAAACTGGGTGGTTTTTTGGTGTGGATTGAGATGTTACGAAGAACGTGAGAATGCGTCAAGATGAATGCTTTGTTGTGAATGATGGAGTTGATACGAGAAGATGTAAATGGGAGGAAGAGGTTGAATGGTAGTGGGGGAGGAGCTGTTTAAGTATTGTCGGGTCGCGTCCTGAAATCAGAATCACAGATCACCAAAAAAAAACGGGTGGATTGTGCGCCTAGTCCGCATTAGGCTGGATTTCGGGGGAGCTGCGGGTTCGGCAAAAAAATAATAACAGCAGCAGGCGCCGTATCACTGTATGCAAGGAATAAATCTATGGGAAAGCACAGGCCCCCATTAAGCCTATCTAGGGACCTTTTAGCAGGCCCTACCTACTGTATTCACCGTATTCACCTGTATTACCCCTACATAAAAACAAAAACAATATTTCAATCTGGTCTATGCATCCAATCATAATTACAATGGATTAATGATAAAATATTATTTGATTTGCCAGTTGCGACTTAAGGCTAACTACAGCATCTGCAACCACCTTAAAGGTTCCCTACCCACTACCTAAGGCAGGTACCTACATAATGTAAACGTACCCGCTTCCTCGATTTCAACTTTTTGATTCTACTTTCCGCTCATTTGCACAGTACACAATCAGTTTAGGGTGGTTACGACGCAGCACCTTTGATTTCAATTAAAATCAATCAAAATCACAACCAACGTATCCGACCACGGATACAATTTTGGTACCTAATCTCTAAAGTCTTTATCACTGCTTGTGATTTTGTTCCTTAACCTTTATTGTCACTTGGTTTGATTAGATCAGGCCGTTTGTGTACTATGGTTTGATTTTGAGCATGGTATTCTACAGATTTAGGTTTGGGCGATCTAGTATGAAGGTAAATCCAGACGTTATGATTTCCAGTTTACGAAAATAAGGTTCTAAGCTTGCTCAAATACATTACGGGCATAGGATATTTACAACATGAAATATCTGGACGGCTTAATATAGTATTTTTTTTTAATATGTATTATTTAGCTATAATATCTAGGTAGACATAAAAATTCGAAAATTTCTTCATTCTAAATGTCTAGTTCTTTGTAGACCCATCGGGAACCGTGTAGATACGGAGTTGCCCGGTATTCCATGAGTCCGGCAGCTGTAAACATCGGGAGCCCGATCTTACGCAAAGTGGCTACGAGATTATCGGAGATCGGGACATGATGATAGCTTCATAACTAGTTCTACGGATGTACGGGGTTGCTCAAGACTGCATACGGTGCCGACATTCGTCGGTACCAAGCGCCACGCATGGCCACTGATCTGACAGGTAGTGCGTAATAAATATGCGGACTGATAGATACCCGCACGGAGTTGTGTGGGGACCAGTTGCGGGTGATGATGATGAACGATAGGCATTCAAAATGATAAGCTAGTTACCTAGGGAGGTAAGGGTAGGGATAAGGGAGTAGAGTGGACTGTGGATCCTTAAAAATGACAGATTCCGAATAATTTAAATTATTTGATTGGCCGAAGCTTGCTTTGATTTTGCGAACCTTTCCCTTTTTGTCATTTTGTTTTGGTACATTTGATTTTGGGCTAGGTAGCTGTGTACTGTAATTCCTTAGGGGGTTATGCACTGCTGCTTTAAAGGTCTGTGCATTAAAACGCGTAACAGTTTCTACCGCGTTTACTGGTGTTTGGCGCTGGAAGGCGGGGGTGTGGGTAGCTTATCTTGGGTTAGTACGTACCGTTTTTTCCCAGGGTTGTTACCCATCCTTTTTTATTTTTTCAACGTGCAACCTGCGCAGCAAGATCAATCAGTCGAACCTTACGAGGATCAAATCAGTAATCACGCTAGTGCCCAGGTCCATTACTTTTAAAAGGACCTGCCACCCGCCATCTTTCTGCATCAAACATCTTCGACTTCTCTCTCCATCTCTCATCCCCAAACCTCTACCAACACCAAATCATTCGGAAATTTTTCCATTTTTACATCACCAACATTTCATACATTCAACTCCGATTTATATCGACTCAATTCAATCAATATGCCTCCCAAAGCTGCTGACAAGAAGCCCGCCGCCTCCAAGGCTCCCGCGACTGCTCAAAAGGCACCGGAGAAGAAGGACGCTGGCAAGAAGACCGCTGCCACTGGCGAGAAGAAGAAGCGTACCAAGGCGCGCAAGGAGACATACTCTTCCTATATCTACAAGGGTAAGCTGAATACCAATTTTTGGAAGATCGACGCGACACGTTCGAAGCATAGACGCGCCGCGGCATTATTTCCCGCTTCCAGTTCCACATTGAAGCTAACGTGTGCTCTAGTCCTCAAGCAAGTTCACCCCGACACCGGCATCTCCAACCGTGCTATGTCCATCCTGAACTCTTTCGTCAACGGTATGCTATTCCTACTGTGTCGTCACATGTTTAGATCTCTAATATTCTTTCATTTAGACATTTTCGAGCGTGTCGCGACCGAGGCCTCCAAGCTCGCTGCCTACAACAAGAAGTCCACCATCTCTTCCCGAGAGATCCAGACCTCAGTCCGTCTAATCCTACCCGGTGAGCTGGCTAAGCACGCCGTATCTGAGGGCACCAAGGCCGTCACCAAGTACTCGTCATCCACAAAATAAGTGCTCGGTTTTCTGCGTCTGGTTTCTCTTTGGGCATGGGGCTTTTTCGTGCTTTGGCATCATGACGAGGCTTGGCCAAGGCTTGGGATGCAAGCCCCCGAATATGGGAGTCTCATAATGCGTTACGGATGGTTTGCTTTTTAAGGGGGTTAATGTTTTTCACACAACGGTCCCGGGGTTTGCGGTTGTACAATACACTTTCCCGATAGGGCTTCGGAATGAATCTGCATATGAACAAACAAGCTTAATCTTTTAACACATCGTGATCATGACTGGTGCTCTTGGGCTTGCAATTTATTGACCACTCTAGGACTTATAATATTCTGGTAGCACTCATTTGAGATAACGGGTTATATAGTCATGCGCTATTGCCTAAGGATGTTTTTGGAACTGTCGTTTTGATTTCACAGGATATCCGTGATGTCAATATTGCGACGGGATGTTCCGATTTGGGACTACGAGATGTGAACTTTTACATTACAACGGAATGACCGCTGTCAATGCGCCTATTATTTTTGTTCGATTTCTGAAAATATAAGAAAGATTCTGTGGCAAATCGTAGAATTCGCTAAGTTGAGTTATTATAAGCCCGGTTTTGCCTATTTGTAGACTCGGGACAGCCTGTATAATTGGTTATGAATCCGTAACCACTTAGCTCGTAATAATAAAGTTTGTTAGAGAAGGGGGCTTCACGCATCGCCAAGTCCAGCTTTTGTCTTCTTCACCACATGTGTGATGGGTACCATGATACCTTTATTCTCTCCACTTCCCAGAGCCATACCCTTTGACCATCCCATTTTCTCCAGCATTGCTCTACCCTTATTCTCGACACCTATCTCCGCGGCATTCTGACCAACCACATCGCCGTCGCGATAAGTAACGGTGCCCTTGATTCGCGACTTGCCATTTCGGGCTTCAGCTCGCTTGAGGATTCGAGCTTCACTCACTACTTTCTCATCAACATCGACGCGTGGAAACCATGTTTGTCTAATGCGGTCAAAAGTATTATCAAAAGTAACTTTGTCGAATGGGAGAGTGGCTTTTGAGCGGTAGAGAACTGGATATCTATCCCGACCTTTTCCTGCTGACTGTGATTTGATCCTGAGCTTGTTCGCCACGGTGTGGATGGTTTTACGAGCACCCTTCTCAAGCGGGGGTAGAATCAGTCTATAAGACGTCAGTATGCTTCCACCTTGTTAAACGGCAATTGGCGGTGACTCACTGCTCTCGAGAACTAAGAAGAAAGGCCTCAAGCTCGTTGGCAAGGTCGTCCAGAGACATGCCCCCTCGGTATTTGAGTCGGAGGTCATCAGGATCCACGTGTTTGCCTAACAACCCCTGTGACCGTAATTCTTCTCGGGCCTTCTTCCTGTCCGCTTTCTTAAGGCGGTCTTTCTGCCAAGTTGATTTCATGGCCTCCTCAAGTTCCGACTCCGACACGTTTAAGGCTGGCGGCCCCCTCTTAAAATTGTTTAAACTAGGCCGATGCCAATCCATAAGATCCAAGTCATCGAATGCATCCGCCATCTGGGCTGCACTTGGATACTGGCCTTTTTTCTGGACGATCTTAGCCTTCTTTGAATCGCCTTTCCTTTTGCGACGCGGCGCAGCTTGTGTAGCTGTCACCCACTCGTCATCGGATGCTTCCCCGTCGAAAAGTACGACATCCGCGCTGCCGAGACCCAACTCCTCTTGTTTAGCAAGCATGCGAGCAATGCGCTCGTCCTCTACCTCAAGACGACGTTGCCGATTCTCGGGGTCAGCTTCATCTTCTGAACTGCGGTCCGCGCCATCTTCACTAGAGACATCGTCGGGAATTGCGTCGCTATCGGTACCACCAATATCTCTTAATATGTTGAAAGAGTAAGACCCCATTTCTGAGTATTCGGCCGCCCCATCACTATTGTCATCGCTACCTTCCTCCCAATCCTTGATATTGGCCATATAATCTGCAATAACCGCAGCATCTTCGTCTGATGTGATGTCCTGGTTGAATTTGCGCCCTTTTCCAGGCCCTCGGGGTTTAGATTGCAGGGGAACGTAGTCATTTTTATCGATGACGTTCTTCTGTTGGGTTGTACTTCGGTGGAGAGTCTCTTCGACAGCTTGTAACTGGATATCTAATTCGCGGAGTTCTAGCGAGTTGACATCGTTATTCTCTTTTGGGGGGTTAGCGGACACAGGACTTCGGCGGTTACGGTCCCTTCCTTTGAACAGTATAACTTCATCACTAGAGTCACCGTCGTGATCAGACTTAACATCCAAAGTGCGATCGGATTTCACGTGTGCTGATTTGTCAGAGATATCTTGTGCTAGTTCTGGGGCTGCACTAGTATTTTGGGATACCGCGGCAGCGCCTGTATTCTCTTGTGCTTGGTTGGTAATAGTCAACTGAACATTCAAGTCGTTTAGGGGGTTCATAACGCCAGCGCTGATGAAAGTAACGGGCTTGTATCTCAATTTGGCGTCAGGGCCGAATGCTCCACGGCGTTTAAATGCCGTGTTCCTAGCTTCATCGGCGAGTGTGTAGCCTAGTAAACAAATTAGAAATCAATGAGTGCAAATATGTAATGTTGTAAGTATAGATATACCATGGCCTCGAACGAAGGCTTGAGCAGATATTGGTGAATTGTTGCCACCGTATTCTCCCGAGGGATTTTCGAATAAGGCGCCTTTGCGACGGGTAAACCGCTGGCCCTTGAATCGAGAGCCAGGGCCGCCCTTCTTATTCTTCGCCATATCGATGCCAATGGCTTTGATTACGAAGACTCGATAAGAAGAAGCAGGATAATTAAGTGATGGAAATGATACGGTCAGGTTAGGATGAGAAGATGAGTAACTATCTGATGACGATAATGTGGACCTAAAAGCGTTGTTTAGAACCTAATGGCTGGTTCTCACATGTACAAACAAATTTGGTTTCTTTGGTGTCGCTAATTTGTATTCAGATTTTGAAAGTTAGAAAGAACTTTTCCGCTTATCCATTCCGTTGAAATTTGGCTCTTCATGTTCTATCGCAACTTCTATAAAAAACTTAGATTTTCGATGCTCTTACCTTTAGTTACATAGGTGGCCGGGCTGTGCATACCTAGGTACGTAAAACGACCTAGATACGTAGTATGTACACGACCCATCAAAATGTTAGTACCTGTTTTGAGTTTAGTACGAATTTGGGGTATGTACTTCCGAGCTTGTAGGTACTTAGTTGGTCTTCGTACCTACCTCACCTACCTATGAATAGGCGTTTATCGATAACAATACCACCCCATGAGCTCGTCACAAGGCACCCATTCTTATCCATTTAATCATCCATAGAGCCATCATCAACCTCTCTAATTCTCTGCCCCTCCCCCCGCTTGTCCGCTAACTAGCCTGCTTGAAGAGGCCACTAACATCCGCTACGCAATACAACACTGAAGCTTAGGTACAAACTAGGGGGGAGTTTGCCGGCTGACTGATTGATTGATTGATTGACTGGCTGGCTGACTGACTGACTTGGCGAGGTCTACAACTTCCCAACCTCGAAGAACTAAGTAGCAGTGCCAACTTCCACGCTTCGAATTCCGAATTCCACCCATGAGGCCTTCTGTTCTTTGCTGAGCTGCCTATTTCATACCTTCAACCTTTAACTTCATGTTTCGAGTAGTATACGGTCAGGCCTTATCTCCCAAAGTCCTTTAATCTAATTCAGCTCGGTCTATTCTACGTCTATGCTCGCCCACTCTCCATCGAACAGTCATACCAGGCCGCCGCCACCCACGTACCTAGGTACCTATAGGTAGTTTCCAGTTACCATTGAACTTTCCCTACTTATCATTCGCTTCCGTCGCAACGGGCAACTGGTAGCACTTAGCCTTCCCATGATAGATATCTAATCTACTTGATTCGTTATACTATTTTTTTTATAACTTTGTTATCCATTCTTCTTTATTAGTGTTTGTCTAGGTTCGTTTCATTCTTCGTTGCAGCGACGTAAAGCTCTATTCTTATTTGGGGGTGTTTCGGTCAACATTCCTAGGGTCTTAGAAGCTACCTACCTACCTACCATACCAAACTTTTAATCCACGACACCGTCGATTCTCCCCTCAACATGGACACCACGGTAGACATCGGTAGACGTATCGTGCAAATGTTCTGGGATCCCGAACCAACCAACGACATTGTCCGCGACCGACCCGTCTGGTGCCTCGGTTCTTCTTATAAACTCAACAATAGCACCCCGAGCCCCAAGCAAGACCCTTCTCCAGCTTCTGAACCACCGGCCAAAGACTCGATTCAAGCCCCGGCAAGATTACCTGCAACCCCACCCGATTCTACCTCGAGCAGCTTCGACTCGTCCCTAGCATACGACGAAGCACCTCTCGATGGAGGTTGGCCTCCCGCTTTTCTCGACGATTTCGAATCTAGAATATGGATGACATATCGGTCAGAATTCGAGCCTATAGCCAAGTCGGAAGATCCTAAAGCACTCTCCGCCCTGTCCTTTTCTATGCGCCTCAAGACCCAGTTAAGTGACCAGCCTGGATTTGCTTCGGATAGCGGATGGGGATGTATGATTAGATCTGGCCAGAGCTTGTTAGCCAATGCCATGCTTGTGCACCGTCTCGGTCGAGGTATGCGAATCTAATAGAGAGCAAGCTAGCTCCATTGCACGTCATTGCTAAATTTTTTTGTAGGGTGGCGGAGAAGTACACCAGACCAGGAAGAAAAGAGGCTTCTTTCACTGTTCGCCGATGATCCACGAGCACCATATTCAATACATAATTTCGTACGCCATGGCGCCTCTGCATGCGGGAAATATCCTGGTGAATGGTTTGGCCCCTCAGCGACAGCAAGATGCATTCAGTAAGTAGATACGCGTGGTTCACCAATATTGGGTGTAAGGCTAACTAATGATCACTTTAGAGCCTTGACCAACGCGACGGAGCCAACATTACGCGTCTACTCAACGGGCGATGGTCCTGATGTCTACGAAGACAACTTCATGAAGATCGCTAAACCTGAAGGCACAACTTTCCATCCGACCGTGATTTTAGTTGGGACGCGACTTGGCATTGACAAAATTACACCGGTATATTGGGAAGCCTTGACAGCATCCTTGCAGATGCCACAGTCAATCGGCATTGCTGGGTAAGTTTTCCTGTACTGCGCGATTGTCCGTGTTGCGCAACCCGGTTCTAATCGAGAAATACAGCGGACGTCCATCCTCATCGCATTATTTTATTGGAGTTCAAGGTCTTCATTTCTTCTACCTTGACCCACACTATACACGACCCGTTTTGCCATATCACGAAGATCCCGACGAGTATACGCAAGAAGAAATTGATACTTGCCATACGCGAAAGCTACGGCGGCTACACATCAAGGAGATGGATCCCAGCATGCTCATCGGCTTTCTAATTCGTGACGAGGAGGATTGGAGGGATTGGCGAAGAAGCGTCAAACACGTCCAGGGCAAAGCCATCATTCACGTGTCAGATTACGACCCAACTGCGCAAATGCAAGAATCGGGAGGGCCTATTGACGAAGTTGAAACCCTGAGCGATGAAGATGACGACACAGCCCAGGAAGAATGAACGGGCACTGGGCGCAACGTGTTGTTAGTTTGGTGCGCCAGGGAAATACCACTAGGTAATAGTCAGGCGTGAAACGTAAAGCATGAAGGACCTTGGACGATCATTGGCAATGTAAATATCATGAGCACCTACTACAGGAATAGGCAAGCAAAACTGGCTAGCCGAGGACTTGACCAGTTCATGGTTATTTGCTTTGGGAGGCGTTATGAATTGGAAATGGAGACGATCAGGTAACGCTTCCACTATCCCGAGGTTATTAAATGGTAGAATAAGTTGGATCTGAGCTGAGGAGTTACCTGGGTGCCTTTATGGGATTGTTCGACAGTATCAAGATAACACCGGATGGTCTGGCTATAAGCATCTACCGCTTTTTTTTATTAGGCTTAGAAGCTGCAACGACTTTTGTAGCCGCATGACCTGTATTTTTCAAGTGCTTGAAGAGCTGCGTCCTTGACTCGAATATGGTATTGCAAGCCGTGCACTTCGGCTGTTATGAATATCAGCGGGAGTCGCCAACGTGATGATTAGCTAGGTAAATCTACGTGGTCGCTTACAGAATCATCCTCCAGCTCCGAAGCAGCTAGGCGAGCGGCCTTTTTCTCTCTCTTGGCCTTGGCCTTGCCCATTTTCTTCATGGGTTCTTGGCTCGTAAGGGGTATATCATCGACGGAAGCAATGTGATTATCGGGGAGGTCTTCATCGTTGACTTGCAGAGAGTTCGAGGTTTCTTGCCGCCCAGGCACAAGCCGGGCTTCTACAGCATCCCTCGAAGCGTATTCATCGTCTTCGTCTTCATCCTCACTGTCGGAATTAACGGCTGTGGTCTTCGAGCTTGTGGATTCAATATGGGGTTTAGATACATCATCGGCGTCGTTAGAATTGGCTGTGCGAGTAGCATCGAGCGTGTCGTTCCCGGTGGCGATTGACTCATCATCCTTGTGGTGATTATCTATCTCCTGTTCCTCTGGGGTTGATCCCGACGAGGCACGCCCATTTAGATCAAAGTTTCTGTTTTCCTTCTTCATCTGCTTTTGAAGCTGCTGGACGGCCTTCAAATGCTTTTTGCTCTTCTCGTGGGCTTCGTATTGCTTCTCACTTTTGAATGTTTTGTTGCACACTACACATTCTATTTGTTCAACCTCGGATTCTTCTTCCGTCTCGGAAAATTCTCCAAGGTGCAGTTCATCGCCCCGAGATTGCGCCCACTCGGGGACGGCGAATGGATCGTTCATTTTCTGTTGGTTTGCAGCCCTCGATCTCGCGGCTTGTGCTGCGGCTGAGTCGCGAAGGATCCTCTGTCTCTCGGCTTCGGATTGGGTATTGGGGACGTAACGGGGGTCGCGCTTACGAACGAAAGCAACTAAAGATCGAACCGCATCGTTGAATTCGCGTACAGCGTCTTCTCGGAATTTTTTATTCTCTTTTTCCATGAGCCGGCGTACCCTCCGATCGGGGGCGTCAGAAATTCGCCATTTATCTTTCCAGGCAAAGCTCAGCTTAGTAGAAAAATTGGCCCATTTGCTATAGAATGTCTTAGCAACTCTTTCGTCGTCCTTAGACGAACCAAAAGGAGGATATTCGTCGGAAGGCAATCCGTCCCATTCAGCCGCTGCATCTTCTGCTTGAGCTATCCTATCGAATGTGTCTTGCAGAATGGTAAAGAAACTAGTGGGGGAGTCGTCGAGGGGTACGGTCTTATTAAATCTACCAATTAACTTATAGATTTCGTCGGCGGTAGTCAGGCGAACATTATGATATTCAGGAGTCGCATCGGTATCGGCCGGGTCGCTACCACGTAGTATAGCGTCGCGGTGAGAGTCGTACCAGGCTCGCTCCTGGGGGTCAGAGAGGACTTCGTAGGCAGATTGAACTTCAGCAAATTTCTGTGTGGCGTTTTCCACGTCACCATAGTTACGATCCGGGTGTAACTCTAGAGCTTTCTTTCTGTACGCCTTCTTGATTCTAAGAATGGAGCGAGAGGTTAGGTTGAAAGCTCATATGTTCACAGGTAATTTTTAGCTACTTACTCGTCATCAGTGGCTTGATGATCGAGGCCTAATAACTCATAGTAATCTGTTTTCTTGGGTGAATTTTCGCTCGATGTAGGGCTCTTAGTGGACGACTGCTGGGCGCCCATCGCGACAAAATCCGGGGAGCCTCTATCAAAGGTCGATAGAGACAAAAAATGGCTTTCAGAAACAAGTCTAGGCCAATACTTTAAGGGTAACTAAATGTGGATGGATTTACTAAGTACCTATCTTTGTGCCCCGCAGTATCGGGTCGCATTTCTGTTAAGCTACCCTTAAATTCGTTAGCTCAAAGTTACAACTTATTGTAGGTACATATGTACCCAGGTATACCAATTCATCAATACACAGAGCAAAGCCACCAATCATTTGGTCACGTTGGTATTTGCAATATGACTCACATTATGTACTCAATCAATACGAACATACAATCAATTGAGCCACTCATTTCTTATTAAACTGTTCAACTATCTTATAAAAGTAATATATTTAATATATAACATACGCATATATCTACATTCTAAATGCAACTGTCCTAATATAATGGTAAATTTTCAAAATCCAGATAAAATAAGCTCGCTTTACTTGAATAAGCTTAGAGTGGCAACTGGTCGCGTGGTCGCGCAGGGGCGAAGTGCTTAGATCTGCTAAGGCTGCAGAGGGGATGTTGCACAGGACGAATCACGCAACTTCGTTTGCCTGTGCTACGTAGTAGGTTCGCCCCGGTCGCCCATTCCGTCACCTCCTCTACCTACGACCTACTAAAAAGGTACCATCAAGAACCATGGATGGTACGTACATACAATGGATCCTACTTACTTACATTTGTTAGCGTTAAAACTTATTTCTAGATAATCTGGAAATGTTTGCCTCGGCGGTTACTAGTAAAACGCTTCTCTCCTCCTCTTCTTCTGTCTAATTTATTATACCCATAGACCTTGGTCTATATACACCTATAATAGCTAATAAGATTACTTAATCTCACTTATACTGATTTTAATACCATATTCCTTACTTTGGTATAACCTGACCCTGAGTAATTAAATTAAATCCCCTTTTTCTTCTTGAGTTAGCAATTGTTTTAGCAGGCATAAATCATAGTCACTTAGTGGCATTGAGGATAAAACCGAATTACTCGATTGCTACCTCACAGTTCCTCTCATAACCCGTAACGATTCCCATGAAGTTCGCTCAAGAATTTAGGAAGTCTTTACAACATGAAGGTGGAGTATTATCCGTCCACTCTCCGGGTTCCCCCTTACTCACCGGCGTTATTTTCCTAGGCTTCCCCCCAAAATGGGTCGACTCAGCTGTCCCGTACGGTCAGCTCAAGAAATGCATCAAGAAGGTCACCAATGAGCTCCAAGAACTTGGTCTAGACAAAGACACATTAGCTCAATTAACCGCCAAACAAAAAGATCCATCCGCCGTGGCCTTCCACTATCATCTAGATGGCAAAGCTGCCGATTCCAAGCACTTTCGCCCTAGGTTAACCTTCTTCATCCATCTTAAGGATGGCGTGGCTATAGATGCAAAACTAACACCATCTACGCGGGACTTCTTGAAAAAAATCGCTTCGGAGGCAAAAGGAACACAGGACACGTTTGCGAATGAATCTGACCACGCTAAGCCTGTTTCTGAGCCTTGTAACTCTGCTCATACCGCCTCGACTGAAGAAGAGCTTTTGTCGGTCCGGCAGGTCGAAGTACCCTTAGTCTTCGATGGGGAATTTTTCGATATTTTGCAGACCGATGTCTCGAACCTAGACGCCCTGCAAGAAGAGGAACAGAGCAAGTTGGGGAAGGAGATTACGCGGTTAGGTCAAGAGATTGATCAGGCCACAAAACCTTCAAAGGGCCGTAAAGCAAGAGGAGACCTAGAAACCTGGCGCAACATTTTTGAACTTTACTTAGACGCCCGCATATTCTTCTCCACAAGAGAAAACGATCATGGTGCGAGGACAAGTACCCAGGCTGTTGAGCAACTCCGATGGTTCCAAGACCAAGTGCTGTCGAGAAAATTAATTCACGGCCTCAAGCTGGAAAATAGCCGGAAAGCCTATACCAGGTTTCTCAACATGAACGCTTTACTCCTACAGATACTCAAATTCCAAGAGATCAACAATTTAGCAGTGACAAAGATACTAAAAAGTCTGTTACCCGAACTACCATCCCGACTCTGCCCCTTTTCTGCGTTCCTTCTTTACCCATATGTACTAACAATCTGGACAGAATTCGACAAGAGGACTTCGTTAGGCGTATCTCGAGAGTTTCCTGTTACTATTCGATCTAATCGCCTTTTAGCGGGGAGCGTAGCCAAGGATTTATGCGCCCAAATGTCCAATGACCTTATATCCGTTGTCCCGCAACTGGACGATTATCTTTGTCCCATCTGCTTCGTTGTTGCGTACTGGCCGGTGCGGTTAGAATGCCAGCATGTATTCTGCAGTCGGTGCCTGGTCAAGATGTCACGAAAAGGGGAGAGGTTCTGTCCACTTTGCCGCGCAGACGTGATCATGAGAGCTGGCATTGAAAACTTTGATACTGACCGCGCTGCGTTTCTTCGCGAATACTTCCCGAAGGAAGTTAAGGAGAAGATACGGGCCAACGAACGTGAACGGAATACGGAAATATTCGGGCCTTACTCGGATTCATCGTGTTCCGTAATGTGACAATCGTACAATAAATTTACAGGACATACGCATCTCATTAAGGAACAGGCCAATAAGGTATCCTACATACGGCGGCAGACCGACCATTGAGGTTGTCCTCTAACTACTGGGAGTCGCCTTTGGGTTTGGTGTCCGGTAAACACGTTTGCCTTATTATCGATCTCAGCCCAACTTCAGGTGGATCCCAGACGATATCTCTGAGACTCGTCCTTTGTTTGAAGGGTATCTCCCATCCGAAAGTCCCATCAACATCTGGGAGCCTGATGCACTCATTGTTCTTGATTATGAGCATGCCTAGTAAGGATTGACCTTGGGTTACGTCGCCATCTACCGCACTTAGACCTATGGCCCTTCTGGCTAGCCAGCTTACGCACCCGTACAACGTCATTGTGTCAATTTCTGCTGCAGCTTGATATATACCTACACCCCATGACGCTAACTGTAAGGGGTCACCGGACCCAAAAGGCGTGAAGGCATTCCCGACATTGTTTACTCCGATGCAAGCGGACAGTCCAAGATCTTTAATCATGGAAAGAACCTGCAGAGTTCCACGCGGTCGGGCGTGCGTCCCGCTTGCTGTTGACGTTGGCCGGCCCATCATAAACATGTCGCTGGTTGGTAGGCCAACGAAATACATTGGAAGCTTACTATCAATGATAGTCTTGGAAAGCCTCTGGAGTTCCGGGTCGGAGAGGACTGTAAGTTGTGTACAGTGCCCAACGACTATGGTCCTTGAACCGCCGGCAAGTTCGAGCCATCTATGCTTCTGTAGCAGTTCAACAACCGACAATACTAGCGGTTGGCTAGAATGAGAAGGCAGGGTCAAGTTGTAATCTAAATGGAAATCGAGGTGCAAACCGTACTGGATGGCGGTGGTGACAGCCCATTCGATATTCTGGAGAGATGCTTCTTGTGACTCCTCGACGTAGGGGGTAGTACCCAAAACTTGGACGGAAGGGACGTGCTCTCTCAAAAGCGATGTGAGAACAGATCGATTGGTCTCCCCGTAAGTGGTGGAGAAGAGAGGATCTTGGGCGAATGCGCAAATCTGTACCTCTAATAGGTGGGAGAAGTCGGATTTAAGCCGAATCGCTGTGGTCAGCGGCAACGCTCCAGTGACATGGTCCACTTCTACAAAAGCGCGGAGAGATGTCACACCTTGCTTATAACTTGTCGCTAAGAGCTGGGAGCCTCGAAGGTAGAGATCCTCTTCGGTATAGCGCTCTTTAGCCTTGGAAGTATTCAAAAGGGCCTCATTGAAAGATCCAGTCTCAGGTACGAGATCTGCATATAATGCACTTCCACAAGTAAGGATGAAGGCTTTGTCGAGATGGATATGTGGATGACAGAGAGCCGGCAGCAGAAGTTGGGATGGTTCCTTAACCGTATGATCTGAGCGACGAAGTTGGTGGACTCTGCCGTCTTCGACGATGATATCCCATCGGGTTGGATCATTGGCCGATTTCTGGCACGGTAAGATTACATTATTCAATTGCATCGCAATTCAAACTATTCAGCGTAATGATACGTATTCCTAGTTATCAAATCGAGAATTGAACCAATCAAAACTTATCCTTGACTCGAAGTAGCCATATTTTAGAAATTAATTAACGATAGAAAGAGTAGTAAAATTGCATCAGAGCGTGGGATGAATCATATGTAAAGATGTAAAGATGCAAGGTGATGTAATCCCGTAATGTACTTATCAATATAGGTTATATTGAGCTTAGCTAACGTAATGCGTGGTAACACAAAGATGTATCCATGTGTATACGAAGAAAATACATACATGATATATGGGGTAAGTTAAGAGGTACATGCATGGCGAACCAATCATGTATAGTTAAAATTCAATTCATTTAGGTTAGTAACATTTTAAGTGTACGTCTCTGTAAGTCATTTCGAAATTTCTGTCTCCGATCCCGGCACCTTGTAACATTATACAGCATTTGAAGCTTGTATATGTACTTCATAAAATATCTACATGTAATGTTACTACCTAGGTAGTTAGTCCTCGCTTCGTCGTACCCGTACCCGTACCCGTGCCCGTTTCCGTTCTTCCTAATACATGGGAGCACGTTCCGGACTCATTCTCGAATAACCTAATTCACACCGTCTACAATTTCCGCCGGTTGAGACGGGGAATATCTTCTACGTTTGTATAGCTCATCGAAAAGAATATTATCACGATGCCTTTAATTGATTTGGGAGACTCAATACCTCCTAATACCGCTCACGTGAGTCTTTGTTATTATCATCTCTTCCTCCGAATAAAGGATGCTAATGTATTCTTTAGGCCGTGAGTGTGTCACTTCCCACATGGAAAGCCAACATAGGATACGAGGAAGGCGAACAATGGGTGCTCGGCACTATGGTGACCGGCTACCCGAGATTCTTCATCCATAAGAGCATCCAAGCTTTTGCCCATGACATCCTAGCTAAGTACGGCACGGCTGAGCAGCAGGCCATGCTATTCCCAACCAAGAAGATCGCAAACCGATGTCTCAGCTTCATCCGAGACAAGGCCCCGCAGTCCGCTCTAGCTAACCTTGACGTCCTTCACCTGGTTCTGGACCCGTCCAAGGACCCCTCAGAAGCGCTCCAGTCCACCGCGCCTTCTATCTCGGCGATCCTCTGTACCGCTGAGGCTTTCCCTTTCGCCAAGCAATATTGGCAGCACTCTGGTGACGGCGTTTCAAGCCGTCGTGCTGAGTTTTGCCACGGTCTATTTAAAGAGGGCATCTTAATTCCCGAAAGAGAGGTGTCTTCACCCCGCCCGGCCCAGCAGAAGCTATGTCGCGGTCCCAAAAGATACCGACGAACAGCCTCCGTCGATGATACTGCCAACGGGGCGAATTCAAACCGCCACTACCCGGTAACTCTGGAGGGCACAACCGACAACGACATAACAGATACTCTTGAAACCTCAAGATTCTTGGAGGAGCGATATGGGAGAAATCTTGACATTTCCCTAGTTGCGAATGCTAAATCAGCCATTCGACGCCGTATCGCTGGCGTTCTAACTACTGACATCGACCTGGATAGCACTACTGCATTCCCGACCATGGACTCCAACGCCCGTGGGATTTCGAATTTCAAAGAGGACGATATATATCTCGTCCCATGTGGCATGAACGCTATATTCACAAGCCACCAAGCCCTTCTCAGGGCACGAGAACCTCAGAAGAGCGTCAACTTTGGTTTTCCGTATGTAGACACTCTCAAGATCTTGCAGAAATTTGGCCCCGGCGCTATCTTCTACGGCCGTGGCTCCTCTGCCGATCTCGACGACTTGGAAAGCCGCTTAAAGAATGGAGAGAGGTTGCTAGGCCTCTTTTGCGAGTTCCCCGGTAACCCATTATTATCTTGTCCCGATCTAGTACGTATCCGGCGGCTAGCTGACACATACGACTTTGCCGTCGTGGTGGACGAGACAGTCGGCACGTTCGTCAACGTCAATGTCCTTCCTTTTGCCGACATTGTAGTGAGCAGCCTCACCAAGATATTTTCTGGAGATTGCAACGTCATGGGCGGCAGCATGATCCTTAACCCCAATAGTCGGTATTATAACTCGTTAAAATCGGTCATGAATGCAGAGTTCGAGGACACATACTGGGCCGAGGATGTCATTTTTATGGAACGCAATAGCCGCGATTTCAAGTCCCGAATTGACCGAGTCAACTCCAACGCTGAAGCTATTTGTGACGTATTGAACGCGCACCCGTTAGTCGCTAAAGTATACTACCCCAAGTATGTTGACACGCGAGCGAACTACGAGGTGTGTAAGCTGCCGACTGGTGGATACGGCGGGTTACTATCATGCACGCTAAAGACCAAAGCACACGCCGTGGCCTTTCACGATGCCCTCGAGACGGCCAAAGGTCCAAGTCTTGGCACGAATTTCACCTTGACATCGCCATACGTCGTCCTAGCACATTATCAAGAGCTGGACTGGGCCGCTAGCTTTGGCGTCAACCCGGACCTACTCCGGATCAGTGTCGGGTTAGAAGATGATTTAGCAGCCGTCTTCACGAAGGCACTTAAGGCGGCTGAGTTGGTTCAAGTGAGCGAATAGATAAGTGAATAGACGAGGAAGACTCGATTCATAGAGAAGAGCGAAAGAAAACGAGAATAAGACTGATACCATCCATCATAGCGATAGATCTATTAAATATAGCAAAATTATTTAGCATGATGATCGATCTGGTACTCCCTTTTCCTTCCCTGTCTTCCCTTCACGACCTCACCGCCGATCACAAATAACAGGCCACGACTAGAATCGTGATGTATCCTGATCGAACATTTATCTATTATAACTCCGAATCAACTACCGCTATAATCGATCGTCTTGCGCTTTGTGCGATATACTCCATTCTATGATTATCATATACCATTATACGTACATCGCGCATTTAAATATGTATGGGGAGCTCTATAGGTCTATACTTTCTTTCTAGATACTGGTCTGAAGGGATAATCAACATGCATGACAACCAATACAAATGTGAGATACCCTCAAGCCTAAGCATGAATAAAAATCGCCATTAACAAAGGAAAGGCATCATGGCATAAGTACACTACATATCGTCCCAAGGGGTCCCTACTAGCTTCGATGTTGATAGAAACTCTTCACGAGACATATGGTTTACTTTGCCCACATAATGTATTAATGTACACCATTACACCGATGCTAGCCTCCCTGATGATTTTTTTTCCCGTCTACCCGCTCTTTATATTTACACAACTTAGAAGTGGATAGCTTTCGAGTATGTCGCCATAGCCGCCTCCTTGAACGCCTCTGCTAACGTCGGGTGGGCGTGACATGTGCGCGCAATGTCCTCCGTCGATGCACCGTACTCTAGCGCGAGGGTGGCCTCGGCGATCATCTCGCCAGCGTTGGGGCCGATAATGTGGCAACCCAGCAACCTGTCCGTCTCGGGGTCCGCAATCATCTTGACGAGACCTTCCGTGTCCAAGTTGGTCTTGGCACGCGAGTTGGCGCTGAAGGGGAATGTTCCGATCTTGTAAGGGATGTTTTCCTTCTTTAGCTCCTGCTCGTTCTGGCCAACCCAAGCGACTTCAGGGTAGGTGTACATGACGGACGGGATGACGCCGTAATTTACGTGGCCGTAGCCCTTCTTGATATACTCGACGGCGGCGACGGCTTCTTCTTCAGCCTTGTGCGCAAGCATAGGTCCGAATGTGACGTCACCAATGCAGCGGATGTGTGAGGCCTTGGTACGGTATTCCGAGTCGATAACGACGCGGCCACGCTCGTCGACCTCTAGACCAATATTCTCGAGACCGAGGCCAGCGGTATAAGGTCGGCGGCCAATGGCGACTAGGACAACATCCGCCTCGAGCTGTTTTTGTCTAGGTTAGAAAGAATCTCTATACCCACGTATATGAGTGATACTGACAGATTCGGGCTTGCCACCCTTGGCAGAGTCCACCTCAAGCTTCACTTTCTCGCCACTAGGATCACCGCTGACAACCTTGGTGCCGAGCTTGAATTCTATGCCCTGCTTCTTCAAGACCTTTTGCGCCTCCTTGGCAATCTGAGCATCCATACCGGGGCCGCCAATCTGGTCTAGGAACTCTACGACGGTGACCTTAGCACCCAGCCTCGACCAGACGGAGCCCATCTCAAGACCAATGATACCACCACCAATAACAATCATCTTCTCGGGAATCTTCTCGAGGGATAGGGCACCGGTACTGGTGACAACGCGCTTCTCGTCGAATTCAAGGCCGGGGAACGGTGTCGATTCGCTACCGGTAGCAATGAGGATGTTCTTGCCGATTACGCTCGTCTCGCCGCCCTCGTTAAGCTGGACCTTGACTTCATGTTCGTTAACGAAGGAACCGGTGCCCTTGATGTACTCGACGCCGTTCTTCCTGAAGAGGTACTCGACACCCTTGGTTAGACCGGTAACGGAAGTGTCTTTGGCCTTCATCATGGCTTGTAAGTTGAGTTTGACATCGCCGACTTCGATACCTCGAGGTTTGCTGTCGTGAAGGATCTGGTGGTATAGATGGGAGTTGTTGAGAAGGGATTTCGAAGGGATACAGCCGACGTTGAGACATGTGCCGCCGAGTGCGCCGCGCTTTTCGATACAGGTGACCTAATCACGGGGTTAATCGTCAGACGGGGTTTCTTCCTCTTGCGCGCGCAGAGTGGGTTTGATGTATGCTGTGTTGGTTAATATAGCGCACCTTCAGGCCTTCCTGACCAGCCTTGATAGCAGCAACATATCCGGCAACTCCACCGCCAATGATGACAAGATCCTTCTCCTCTGCGCCGAGTTAGTTAGCGATGGGGAAGGATGGACGAGGGAGCGCAAAGGAAGAACAAAATAATAATAAAAAAGGTGGTATTGACCTGATTCAGTAGCATATCCTCTCCTCCATCGTGAGACGGGAGTCAGGACTGAAGGGAGACTGGGGGTGGTATCAGGTTAGCAGACAAGCGAGTTATTTTTATGGGAGCTGGACTAAGCTTGTAGCTCGGTTAGCAAGATAACAACAGTACTTACGAGGAAGAAGAGCGGAAAGCAGATCGGACAGTAGTCCGCGGTATTAAACGACTGGCCAACATAATGTGTATAAACTTATCTAACCGAAATAGATATCTAGTCTGCCTCTCTACAACTAGAAAAGCAAAAAAGGGAGAGTAAATCTCAATTGGGAGAGGGAGGAGGAGGGGAGTAAGTTGGGGTTGAGTAGAAGATGAGATTTTGCATGTATGGTCTGTAAAGGATTTGGGATTAGTTGAGACCCGCGGGTGTTTTTGGAGTTGCTTGGTAAATTTTGGAGGTCCGGGCGTTGGATTCTGACGTTCCGTCCACCGTGTTTTACCGTCTATTTAGTACCTAAGTATACTAAGAGAGAGAAAAAAAAAAAAAAAAAAAACAGGTAGGTACGCAACTGACTTAATTATTGGCCCAACAATAAAGTTTCGGTAATGTATCCTTTAGCGTATCGACGTTACCTATAGTATGGTATGTACATAAATATGGGCACCCACCTGGTACCCTTCTAACCTTCATAGCGAATCATTTTCGCTGTTTCCGCCGTTGTTCCGAAAATAACCGCGGATAAAAGCCCAACCTCCTTGCCTTCCTACGTACCATATATGTATTTCGAATGTAATAGGGGCACATATTGAATATTATAGATGAACGATGGCAACGGGATATATAATTATTATCTAAGAGGCAATCGCCACTTATTTAATGTTTTTGACACGACCCCGACAAGATGGAAAGGCCAGGACTCAGCTTACAAGGTACCAAGTTTAGATGGCTTTTCGTTAAAGTGACTCCGTTACCAATAAAGTACCCAGTACTTGGTCTGCAACCTCGCAGGTTTTCTTGAGTGAAGTCTTCTCCTTCTTACCCTTCAGGAGATCTGTTTGGCGTACATTCTTTTTTACAAAGTACCGAACCCCTCGAGCGTGATCTGCGTCCAATCCATCAAAGAGTTCTTTCAACCCATCACGTTTACACTCCTGGAATATGGATATGAACATAACCTCGAAGAACATGTGCGCCTTTTCCTGCAGAACCGCAAGATTCCGATGTTTGATGATGTCTGACAGGCGAAGGGCCCTGGTAGCCACGAGCGACCCGTACATCTTCGCCGTGTTGTATACCCATCGCATATCATAATCAGCTGCGTCATCGGGGTCAACGTCGTCTCCGTCACCAACATCGATATCTTCTCCCATCTTTCTGAGCCGCGTCGTTAAGCATCGTCGGAATTGGAAAGCCAATTCTCGGTCTCCGGTAAATTTGGTAGCTACTAGTGTATAATAATGATTATACTGAGACTGCCGTTCACTGCTTCGGACGATTACTTCCGGTATCTCTTTTCGTTGGTGTTTGTTAAGCCTCAATTTTCGTATCAGCAATTCGGCATTTTCGTAATCTGTAGCGGCGTGTAAGGCTACAAAAATACGTTGTCGTATCTCTGTATTGAATCCCTGCTCCCTGGCCAGCTGCCAAAGGTCCGGAATGCCTAGGCCATCGTCGCCAGATTTCATCATCCCGCTTACCTCGTCATTGTCCTCGACATCCCCTTTCCTCTTCGAAGCTTCACCTTGGTCATTAGGTCCACTATGAGCGCCGGACCAACTAGCTCCGACGAGCCACCATTTCCCATGCTTATCTGCACCTCGTATATCCTGGAGGCCCATACGGAAAGGTTGGATATCTTGGGAGCCACCTAGAGTATTGATTCGTTTCCTGAGTTGAGTCCTTTGGTCCGCAAGGTCCTTGTTGCGAGTTGCAGCTTTGGTCTTGTTGCTCTGGAGCTTCTTCATCTCATCAATCATGAAGCTCGTCCTGACTGATATGTTCTTAAAGTTGGCGAGTTTGATGCTATTGACGATATCCCCAAGCGCGTGGGGGTCATCACGTCTGAGTGATGGTCCGCAGAGCTGGATGATCCTCAGAAGCAATTCTGTATTGAGTTCCAAAAGGTTATTTAGGAAGAGTCGGATATAATCAAATATTAAGTTGCAACCGACGACTTGCATATTGTAGAGCTCAGCAAGTAAAGACACAATGTGTTTTGAACCAGAGTCAGATTGATCGCCGGATGCTTTTTCGTAGTGTTGGCTAAAGACATCAACGAGTTGTTGTATGAAGTGAGCGCTGACAGCAATTCCCATGGCCTTATACATTGCTGCAATAAACCCAGCTATCATTGTGAAAAAGGAATCCGGCCGCTTTTCTGGTGACTGTACTAGGGCTAGAACAAGATCTGTAATTGTGGAGGTGACTGTTTGTCGCGGGTGGGTGTCGTATAAAGCTACGATGTCTTTGACTATTCCAATCAAATTGTCAGTTGTAAGACGATTGATTAACCCCTGAACTCGTCTTCGAAGTTGGGTTTCCGCTTCGTTGGCCGAACCCGACTGTTTACGGAGAGAAGGTGGAACATATTTGGCAACTCCTGTCGTGGGAGCAACGTAAGGATTTTCTCGCTGTGGCTTCTTAGGCTTGGGTCCATCTTCGTCTGAAACGCCCTCAAATACATCATCGGTGGTCTCTTCGTCATCATCACTATCGAATCCACCCAAGTCTGAGTTGTCATCTTCATCCTCATCATTACCGCTCCCACTCTCATTATCGTCTTCGTCTTCACCATCGCTGTTACCGAAAATTTCATTGGCGGCGAGGGCATTAGCAGCAGCTTGTGCTTTCCTCCTTTTTTGAGCTAACCACTCGTCTGCTTCTGCTTTGCGCTTCCTATTCGATGTTGCTCCAGTGTCTTCTTTGTCGTCATCCAAGCCATCTAACAAGTTTCCGAGGCCATCGTCCTGGAATGACTTGGGTAGGGACTTCCTTCCCTTTAAACCAAGTTTCCTTTCCAAGTCGGCGATCTCTACATCATCCTGGGCGAGTCTCTGTTGCGCAGTTTTGGAGGGTCGCAACTGGTTTGGTTTTTCGTCTTGGACACTTTCATCTTCGTTACTTTCTGAGTCAAAACCACCGTAGTCTGGCTCAGCGTCTCCATCGTCGTTGTCTCCATCATCTTCATCTTCATCAATCTCGGATGCGTCCTCGGATGGATGAGAAAGTCGTCTTGGCCCTTGCGACTCAACTATCTGACGTGGCTGAGGGCGTCGAGACTGCTTTTTCTGAACTCTTTGAGCTTTACGTTGTTCTCTTCTTGAGAGCTGCCTTTTTGGTCTTCCTTTTCCTCCAGTGAAGGATGAAGGCTGTTGAGCCTCTAACTCTTTTAAGAGTGAGGAAGGGAGTGATAATTTCCGTGGGCCCATTTTAGCGACAAATTGCGATATTCGAGTAACATGCAATTCTATTTAATACCATGAGATGGAAACCGCGTATATTCTCATAATAGAGGACGCATTTTGCATGGTAGATGAAATTATGTTTGGAAGTTTTTCGTCGTCGCGATACTTCGTATGTAATAAGAGAGTTGAGAAAAAAAATAAAAGATTCCTAGTACAGTATGAAGTAGCGGGTACCTAAATATGGGGCCGACACTTATTTACCTTGCATATCCATATACGCATATGTATATACTTATGAAAGATGTACCTAGGAAGGTACTTCTACCCCACTACTTGTACCTTTTTCCATCAGTGCCACCACCTTCAACTTTTTGTTCCAACTCCCTGGCATCTAACACTATCATCATCGGAAGCGGGGCCGCGTTCGATATTGATATCCGGCGTCAAATCTACTTCACGATGGGACACCTAAGCAATGATGAGGTTTGTACCTACATATAGTCCCTGTCATGGAAACTGTGCTCTTTGCTGAACTATTCCTAGTTCTTCGTCAAGCTCACTGAGCTCTTTGATCAGAAGAAAAGCAAGGACCATGGCTCTATAGTCCTAGTACAAAAAAGATGTACGCCTTGCTCGAGTCGACTATCCTAACCTCATGGTTCTCTCTGATTTAACATACTTATTCTAGTATCCCACGGCCAATCCTTACCAGAGTCGACAAGCGATACCATATTCCCTGATCTACACCCTCCGAGACCGATGCCCGTGCTCATTAGAGCAACGAATGCGAAAGGCAAGGAACGTCGCAAGGAGAAGATTAAGCTATCCACCATAGTCGATCCCGATACGCTTCCTATCTTTTTCGAAAAGTATGCTGAAGTTTGCAAATTGGGCATGACCACGTTGAAACCGAGAGATCGCAGTAAGAGGAAGGGTAAAGCAAAGAAGAAGAAGGGCACTACCGCTGCTACCGGCACTTGATTCGCCTGCTTTGCTAGTATATCTAATCTCCCTATTGTCGCCTCCTCCCTCTTTGAAAGGATATCGCATATCGGCGCGACCATTCACCTATCGCTACGAATGTCAAATGCGAAACGTCGCCTCCATGACTGCCGATTTAGACTTCCGCTCGATATCGTTGTCAGTAAGGCTGTACAATCTCGTATGCCCATATAACTGAGAAACCGGGTGCTCAAGACGTCCCCGAAAGGCCTTAGAAACACCAAGTTTTACTAAGGGAAATGAGGGAAAACAGGTGTTACTATAGTAAAGCATACATCTGAGTCTCGCTCGGCAGTCTACCTACAAATAAAAGTATCCTTAAGGGGGCCGGTCCTAGCAAAGTTGTTTTGCTCATCTTGCCTTCTTCTATCGAATTGTTGCACGTTTTATCTCCACGGCGATGTGAATCCATTACGCCCACCCCCAATCATAGCGCCCTATCGCTAATGATGCAATCTTAACCGTCGTTATCAAGACCACCTTGCCGCTCCCTGGTAGTCCTACAGTCTTTACATTCACCCATAGTAGGTTTGCGCGGGTTGCCCACGTACATACACAAATGTTCTGGGCACTTTTCATTTGGGTTGTTGTTGTTGTCACAGCTAGCAAGCTTCTTAAGCTCTACCCATACCCGCCTGCAGGCGATACATTTCTTATGGTGGACCTCACACATCAGTCCTGCGAACGGGATGGACTTCTGATCTTGTGGATATTCGACGTGGAGTAATAGCAGTCGAGGTAGGTAAATGAGTTGATTATATCCGTGTTTTGTTCGAGACGAGTAATTTATAATGTAGATGTGTTATAATCTACCTAGGTACGTGTAGGGTTTCATTGGTATGAATCCGAGAAGAAATCTAAAGATATATATACGTCTATATATCCTAGAGCAAACAGACACAGTAACACCAACCGTCAAGTTCAAGATGCAAATCAGAGTCAACTAGTGACTATTTTAAAAAGTATTACGCCTATACAACCGCGGGAGGTACCTAGTTTATAAACAAGATGGCATCCCATAACTCACTTACGGAAATCAAACGCATTTGGTATCACTACCTAGGTATGCAACGAGGTATCTGCTACAAGATGCAATTGATGCCGCATCCAAGATATCCGATACACCTTAATAGACACAATACAAAGCTTCCACATGTTTCGCCTGCCTTGTTTGCAAGCCAGGGTGATGCAACCGTATCCGAAATCCATGACTGTTAGCTCGTCCTTTGCCGTCTAGTCACACGTATGATAATGCACACAAATAAAACCAGCTCACGATAACCTGCACATACCAAGCCCGGCTGTTCATGACCTGAGATACCACACATTATAGGCACACCGAACAAGTCCTACGCCTTTCTCACTAAAACGTCTTGCCAATCCAGGGCTGCCTCCAAGTACAGCATAATAGGCCAACCGCCACCTAGTTCTGGAAATTCCGAATGCTATTCGCAAGGGTACAATCTAATTTTGATGCGTCTTCTCAAGCTTTCTCATTTCCTCGCAAGGCATCATGAACCTGATAAAACCGCCTTTTAATAACGCTAAGATAAAAGGAAATAGAAAAGTTTTTTTTTTCTGCGTCTTGCCAAACGCTGAGTCTTGATTGCTATCGCCCTCATGTCGTATAGGCCGACCACAAATCAACACACCCAGATCCATCCATCTCCCATCCTCTCCATAATATTACTGTTTATAGTGGAGCTCGTTGCCGATAATGATTGTCTTATGTCCCGGCAAATCTTTTTCGCGTGAGAAACTCGGATTACCGCCGTTGCCGGAAGGGGGGTACATGTTGAAAAGAGAAAAGAAACGAGCGCAGAGGCGAAACGAGAAGGAAAGGAAGCGAATAGTACATGATATGTAAGAGCGAGCAAATTTGCGCGTTCCAGCCGACGAAATCTCAAAGGGGAAAATCATCTATTACTTGGCTGGGAACTCGATATCGTACCCTGACCCTCGGATATAACATCAGCGAACACGTTCGAGGGGTAGATGTCAATGGGGTCTTTCGTAAACGATACCCTACATGATCTGGTCTTGAGTCAGACCACCATGTGTATCCGTGTCCATGCTGTCGCCACCACCTGGAGTGACATATTTAACGAAGCTTAGGCCAAGAGGTCGCCCGCCGTAGTGGTAGCCCTGGAACTTTGAAATGGCCGTTTCTGCAGTCGAAGTACCATCGAAGCGAACGACACCGGTCCCCCGAGATCGTCCACTAGGCTCGTACTGGATTTCGGCCTGCTCAACTTTGCCGATCGTCGTGAACAGCTCAATCAAGTCTTCATTGCTGGTAGACCAAGGAAGCTAGCAAAAGAGATATTAGTAAAACCCCCCAAAGCAGTTGATAGGAATTTATATATACTTACGTTTCGAACGTATATGATTTCGCTCGGATCAGTCCCCGCTGTGGCAAAATCGGTGAAGGGATTTGGAGCTGCAGGGGTTGAACTGGCGGCTTCATATCCGCCACCACCACCGCCGCCGCCGCCGCCGCTGCTGGCGGGTCCACCATAGCCACCACGTCCGCCGTAGCCGCCACCGAAGCCGCCACGACCACCACCGAAACCTCCTCGGCCACCGTAGGAACCACCGCCAAAACCACCACGGCCTCCAAAGCCACCCCGGCCATATCCACCAGCGCCTTGGTGAGCAAATCGATCCTCACGAACTTCGAGTAGGCGACCTTGCCATTCGAAACCGTTGAATTGTTGAATGGCATTGCGAGTATCTTCGGGATGCTCGAACATGACGATTCCAGAGCCCTTGGGTCTGCCATCCGGGCCCAAGTGAACGTCAGCCCGGATTACCTGGCCATTGCGAGCTGGCACCAATAGAAGTTAGTATCTCACTTGGAAGACGTATCAGTTAAGAACAGTCTACTGACCTGCTTGTCGAAACAGATCCTTGAGATCTTGCCAGCCAACAGTGTATGGAAGCTATTGGCATAGTTAATACCGGAACCAACCACCTAAATTAGCATTGAGAAAGAGGATGGGAATGAACAAACGTTGGACACGTAGATCTGGCGATTGCCGCCACCCATGCCGCCACCGCCACCTCCACCTCCGTAGCCGCCAGAGCCGCCAGAGCCGCCAGCCCCAGCACCGCCGCCGTAACCGCCTTGCATTCCGCCACCACCATAGCCGCCGCGGCCTCCAGTCGCGCCGATGAATCGAGGTTCCGCTTCACGATCCTAATTCCAAATTCAGCCTTTCACAGAGCAAAGAAAGCCAGATAATTGACCTTACCTCACGAACGTAGACGAGTCGACCCATTAAGTTTTGGTTGCTGAGAGTCTGAACAGCTGTTTGGGCTTGCTCCCTTGTAGCATATTCCACAATTCTAGGTCACAGTTAGCTGAAGTACTCCCAATCCATGATAGGTATTTTTTACTTACCCGCATCCCTACAAAAACCCACGGACAATGTCCCAACCCGTCAATCCATCAATTCCAACAAGAGCCAGAGGAGAGAGAACCAAAGAGAAAAACCAGCCATGAATCACGTGTAGAAGCCCACCTTAGACATCCCGTTCGGAAGTAATAAAACATCAGCGAACAGTACTTCGCCAGCTACAAGCACATCAAATAGTTAGCTGTGAACCGCAATTTCATGATTAGTACTCGTTGGAGAAATATCAACTCACCCTGTCGCATGAAATCTTTGAGATGGTGCCATTTTACGTCGTAAGACAAGTTGCCTACGTAGACACGTCGGTCCTGCTGCGACGTCTCGCGAATGTTATTCATCATTTGTTCGCGTGCAGCAGCACGTTCCTCGTACGTCCGTTGGGGTGGTCCACCGAAACCCGAACCTGATCCTCCAACCGTCGCCCCAGCTCCAGTCATGGGAGATCGTGATCGTCTGTCCGATCTACGATAATCCTCCCGGCTTCGAGACCGGCTGCGAGGTGAATATGATCGACGGCGACCCGAGCGGCCTGGACTCCTCGAACGACCACGTCGGGGCGAGCGAGATCTCTCGCGCTGCAACCTGTCAGCATCTAGGCGGGGTACATATGGCATTAGAAACAAAAAATAGCGCGCCCCGGAAGAGGACGGATTGTAAAGGAATCAGTTGTGATGTTCCGGGTTTTTCCCCAAACAAACTGGTTGGGAAATAGTACAAAAAGAGATGAAAAAAAAGACAACTAATAATAACAAATTCCTCGCAAATCGGACTAGGGTACAACGTCCACGACTTGCAAGCGGTTCTTTGATATCAGCAAACTTTATATATATCCCGAGTTCAGCTAGGTCCCGTCTCGGTGCCCCTCTTTACCCAGCTCAAAGGCGAAAAGATGACGTGTGGAGAGAAGCTTTCAGGCACAAGCGGTTTGCCAATTCGCACAGGTGGGTTCTTATTTAGGGTTTTGCCGCCGCTCAGAACAACCAACGTAAGGAGGGTAACGTAGGTAAGGCAGAACGAATATTCCCGGGATGAATTGAGGAAAATACCCAGTCCAAAATTCAGAAAAGGGTCTGGTGGCTCAGTTGGCTTACCTTAACGGGGCGATAAGTATCTCCTGAATCCGCTATTGAAAATATCGTGAGTTAGAAGTCAAGATCCCCAAAACAAAATGAACATGAAAGAAAAGTAGAAGTATTGGACAAGCGACAAAAAGTCAATTTGGACAGTCAACTGTGACAATTTGGGCGGGCCGTCGTTGCATACGGGGGGTGTTCAAGAGGCCAGACCGTTAGTGGATCGGGAAGGGGAGAGCGAGCGTCAAGGGACGGGGGTGGGGGGAAGTGCGGCGTATTAAAGGGCACGGGGATAGGATGCGGCTTGAATAAAACGGCACAAAGGGTAGGCCAGGTTAGGATAGAGAAACTGGTGGAGTGAATCGAGAAAAGGAGGACCAGGGAAGAGTGTGATTGGGTGGGGAGAGGGTGGCGTGGGAAGAAAGGTAGGAAAGGTAGGAATATGGAAACGGGTAATGGTAATGCTGTTGCTAGTACTACTGCTTCCGCTTCTGCTGCTGTTGCTACAACTGTTATTATTGCTGGTCTTGTTGCTGCCGCCGCCGCTGCTGTTGTGGGTTGTTACAAGCCAGATGCGTGTGTGAAGGTATTAGCGGAAGCAGTAACACGTCGCAGAGGCATTTTGTTTTTACGCCCCAATACAAGAATGGTGGGAAGGAATACCGTTAACAAGAAGCTAAGGAAGGATCTGATTCGACAGCCAGGGCGTATGCAAGTGCAGAAAGAGGTAGTAGTATATATGTATGTACGTATGTAGGCACGTACGAAGCAGGATAGGTAGTGTGGGATGTGGATATGGAACAAGATGGGACGAGAGGGCGAAGCGAGCGAGGAGGCTCGGAAGACACGCGAGTCCCTGGTGTATAGTAGACGAGGAGAACAATTGAGAATTGATAATAAATAATTATGGTGTATAGATGTTCATGTCGCTCAAGAATATCCCAAGATGGTGGTGTGGACTTACCCATAGTTAAATACGTTCAGTAACGACCTTTTTTTTTTTTTTTTTTGTGAAAGCTTAGCCGCCTTGTCTGAGAAGATTTTTTTTTTCTCCGCCGATAGTAATGTACCAACGAAAGTGCTGGTAGCAGGCCGTAAGTAAGTAAACCTGTATTGGAGGGGTGAGCCTTCGAAGTGACAAGGAGTGTGTCGAATCTTTTCGGGGACCCTCGTTAGCTGAGAGGGAATAAAAAAAGGGGGAGGGAACTAAGATGCAGCAGCAGGTAACTAAGGCTTGGGGGGGAAACAAAGAACCAGCCAGAAAGGTACAAAAATGCTTGTAGCGTGTGTGATTCAGCACTGCTGCATTCGTATTGCACAATGGGCTAGCGGTGCTGACAGAAGGTCCTATGTAAGCTGGTCCCGTATACGGGTAGCTTAGGAAGGAGGGTAGTGGGATTGCAGGTAGGTAGAATAGCCCTGGAGGCAGGTATGGCGTGTGTAGGTAAGGTAGGTAAGGTAGGTACGGCAGGTAATGCAGGAGGGAAAACGACACAAAGGTGCGGCCGGACGGTACACCGGCACCAACACCACAACCACCCAGCCTAGCCTAGCCTAACAAGCAAGCAAGCACCTAGTATATCAGGAAGTAGCAGCACTTGATGGGTAGTGGCCACCTTGCGAGACACACCACACTCACACACTGTAATACAGAAGGTGAGCACACGCGCAAATCCAGCAGTTGAGGCTAGAAATAGAACGTGTCTCTCCTTCCTGGTAACAGATAGATAAGTGAATGGTGTAAATGTAGCTTGAGATAAGCTTGGTAGGGCCAGACGAGGCAAAAGCGACGCCTGTTTGCTGGTGTTGCGCACGCGTTGTGTACAGCGAGTGGCTGGGCGCGTGTGCAAGAAAAAAAAATTGATAGGATCGGGGATAAAAAAAAAATTTCATTAAACAAATAAAATCAAATAAAATAACAGAGCAACCCAGCTAGGGGTGGTAGGTGGTAGAAAGGGTGTGCATATGCGACCAGATGGTCGGCGGCTGCTCTCATACGTACGTACCTGAACTTGGAATCCTGATATGCTTGCTGCTGCAGGAGAGGGTACCAGTCCTAATATCGACGAGAATGGGAAAGGGAAAGGAAAAATCTGGGGAGATGCGTTCGAATGCTGGTTGTGGACGGATGGGAATTTGGGCTGAAAGCAAAACGCGCGATTGGGAAAAACGATTGGGAACGCACCGGCCCCCAAAATGGATACAAGATTACCGCGTCCGAGTCAGCTGAACCCTCTTCTCTCATTGGTCTGTTTGTGGGGGGCCACTGGTTGTTCTCGGGAAGAGGAAAAATAGCCCCGTAATCGTGATTAAAACCCACTACATGCCCTAATGCATAGGTACATAATGAACTCTACTTTTATCATCCCTGTCTTAGAAAAGTACATGTGTACAACAGACGTAATGTACTTACATGTATGATAGGTATACTTAAGTACATTTCCAGGTACTCGAAACATACAATGGGTACAATAGATAGATCCATCAGAAGTTACGGTCCCCACTTGCCGTGCAAAGCTTTGATGGGAAGCTACAGTACGAAATAAAAGTAAGGTAAGGTACCCGCCCAATTTCATACCTTCTACGGTACATTATCCGTGCATGGGTGGTTCACTAGCATCAGACATCCGCACACCATTATCCATACTTTATAAAGTACATACTTTTAATGAGTTAACATCGCAGCAACATCGATGGCGATATCGATCTTATGAGATCTTGTCTATATTAATCAATATCTTATAAACCTATAAATATTCTTTATTCTAAGTTACAATATCTGATATATCTATTGTCGATAATAATTCTCGGACCTCCGCCGTTAAGATACATTCCAATTACCTATTCCTTGCCCACTCGTATCTGATGCCTTTTCAACGAACATACTTACGGGTAGGTACTATATTCCCTAATCGTGCCTAGAGGCTTATCTAGCATGCGTAAATTTTCTAATTCATGCATTAGGTATGTATTTTTCTTCTCTGTGTAAGGCAGATAGAGGCTTACGTGGCTGTAGCTCTAAGACTATTTTGTCAAATAATATGGAGGAGGAATTCCACACCGGTCGAACACAATATTATGCCGCTCATCCGAAGTATCAGTTATCTGATTTTACACCCCTAACTAAAGCCACAACATATTGCATAGAAGTACCTATTATATAAGTAAATAGGTATATAATACCCCCATTATCCTCTTATTATTCCTTTTTCAAGAACCTCGGATTTTTGTTATTGACGCGATGGTAGTAATGATGATGGTGGATGGTGGTGATCAAGGTGGAGGTGGTCCCGCAGAATTATATTTCAAAGCCTGTAACCGGACACGCTCCAAGGGAATGCAAAGCAACTCTGACACCGGGGAACATTTCCAATCCAACGAGCCCTCTTTTTTGCTGAATAAGGCGGTTCCAAATCCGTTAATAATCCTCGTCTCAACTCCGAGAGAAAAAAAAACCAAAAAACTAACTTACCTATTATCTATATCATCCAAACTATATATGCTAACTAAGGTATATATAATAGGAAGAACATCTACACTCGGTATGTAAAAACGGTATGCCGATCATAAGGTGGGCTTCGATCACTCGTTCCATAGCGTACGTACATGCATAAGCTTAGTCCACGATTCATACGCGCCGTCGACGGGTGCTGACAGGCTAGCCCTACTATCCACTACTACTATAAAACCGGAAATTATCGACGCTACATCTCTATATGTCATACTATGGGGATCGATAGGGTTACGCTGAACGCCAAGGACCAATCCATTCTACGAGCTTCGATCTAAACATCTGAAAATATCTTTTATTTTACACGTATTCGTCTGAGCTTGACGATCAATAGCCGCCTTGCAATATCATAGGTGGCCTTGCCTACTTCTCATCATTTGAGACATGCATAAAGTAACTAGACCCATCACGGCCATCACCTTCGTGTACATCCACGAATACTTAAAACAAGGTACTTGCATCAAGAAGAAGGGGGGAAAGTCGTATTAGTACACGTTGGTAGTTTAGGTGATCGAACAAGGATAATAAGATAGTTCCCGCTCCGAAAATCCTTGAGGAGCGCGACCTTGGCACTCGCGATAATCTCACAGGTACCTACCCGACTACTTCATGCCACATATACTTCTTTAATGGGATAGGTTATAGATGTAGCAATGCGCAGTCGCTTATTGGGCTATTGTGTATCTAATTAATATTTCTAAATATGGCGGCCGGAGTATATACTTTACTTGAAGTAGTCCAATACATAAAACATATGCGCTGCGCAAATAAAGTAGGTAGGTCTCACGATCTCTGGCATCTAAGATACTTATATACATAACATCCCGCTGTAAGCATGTATGGTACTGGGCAATTCGCCGGGTCCCCGGCCGTTGGCCCAAGCTCCACGGACCTTTTCTCTTGTTCGATCCATTCATACACCACATGTTCATCCCCGTAAATCCATATCAAAGGCTATTATTCCATTAGATAGGTTTTCACGCATACATAAAGGCGGTGCGAACTATTCATCGGTTGACGCAAGAAAACCCTAAAGACGGCTGGTGCCGTGGCCATCGCATTGGAGAGATCGGTCCGCTACGCCAGCCATGTCTCATAGCCAAACCCTTCCCTACCAACGGCCAGGATCGTTGTCACAGTCGTATCCAAGTCCAGGGTACGCAACCATACATACAACAAGCACGCACAGCACGCACTTACACCCCGTAGCCTGCTTCTATCGAGCTTGTTCATTAATATATAATAGGTGTGCCCAGGACATGCCCCCCTTTAAGCCCAGACACTTGTATCACCACCCGTCGTGGCAGTCCGTTGCGATTCGAAGACAGATAATTTGGTTATTAGTCACTTCCTGGGCTAAGGAGGGGGCTTTAGCTCGATTTTTTCTTTTTCCCTTTCAATTTTTTTCTGACCTATCACTTTATAGATGCCAGGATTAGTCCCTAAATGGCCGCCTGCAGCGTGAACCAATTCTTTGTGGCCCTCGGCTCCGAATCTACCGCATAATACTCCCTGGACATTTTTTTTTTTTTTTCTTACGGAAAGTTGTCCATGTCCATGTAGTAATACAATCCTCTCTATCCCTCTTTGATACAAGTGGGAGAAGTCCTCGAAGGTTGGTTTTATGTTGGACCAGCTAGTCTGCCTATTGCCCAATCAGTGATTTAAAGCCTTGTATTTTTTTTCTCCTATCGCTTAGAGTTAAGAGAATAGATGCAGGCATAAGAATGACGAGCATTTTGCCCTTGCAGGTAAAGCTATGCGATGATGAGTTAAAGGTATATGTTATAACTTATCCCCTATATTGTACTCTACCGTGCCGCAATAATTAAGCCTTTTCTATAATAATGAAATGTTCTTTATTCATTAGATCTAAACAGAGAATATATACTGAATATATTATCTATTTTCGTAGATAAGAGAGTGCCTTTATTGTTATATTAAATCAAAGCTTTTAACTGCATGATATAAAAGAAAACCCCTTATATAAGAGCACTACCGTCGAGAATACTTCGTGGAGGTTTGATAGCCCACAGATAGTCCTTACGAAGCTCACCGCCATGGAGAAATAATACTGCTTCTAGTGAGTTACATTCAAGCCGAGAACCCCTGCTCTTCCGCTGTTAGTATTGACACTCGAGACTCATCTGTGCAATGGTACAGGGTCATTAGCATCAACATCGCCTAGAATCGTTAATCGATAAATCAGATCATGACAAAAGCGGTAGCATCGTCATTGCCGGATTCGTGATTTATCTGCTTGGCTACCACAAGTATCCCTTATTCCTACACCTAAGCATCTACGTGGTGATTGGCGACCTGTATACTCGTTAAGTGCCGCTTCTTTAGGACTAAGAACCAATATTTGTTCTCAGCCGCGATGCTGTGGTGACACAACAGGTGTGGTGTTACTAGATTAGTCCTTTCGTAGCCAGAAAGAACTTATTCTTGTTGCATCACGTCTGGGGTTCGCCCGTTAGAAGAAGGTCCATAATCGTATCTCCTGAAGACCTAGCCTATCGGACATCATATCGACCACATACCAGACTGGCAATCGGCGATAGCATGCTCGATATACAGCTTATGATATGATGGTTGGAGCTTAAAGGCTAAGAACATATTAATACGGTGGGCTTTTATATCTTCCTTACCCACAAAAGTCCGTAAAACAACATATACTTCAACGGATCCCCTATTCCTCTACTCGCTCGTTTCGCTCAACAAGGAAGTACTGTACTTATACACATACACGTATGTATCTCTAAATTTGCATGAGCAACTATGACTGTTCTCCGCGCTAACTAGTCCCCCCCTGCTTTGCAGTGAGGCAACGATACGCGCATGTAACTCCTCAACTTATCCAATCGCAACCCTTGCTGCCTCTTACCGACAAGTACACTTGGGTAACGCCGAGAATGGACATGGAAGTGAAGATGAGGATAAACGTCACTTTGTAGGTGCTGAAGTTTAGCGGGGTTTCTTTATGGACATAATCCTCTTTAGGTATGAGTAGTCGTTTCTGTCCTTGTTGAAACCTGATGATCAAAAGTTCATACATTCCCAGAGTGATCCTGGCTTGATAGCCACCCGGCTATGGGCATAGGATCCCGATTTCTTGATTGATCTGACAGGATATCGTAAAGCGTGTCTTACGAAGATGAATAGGCCGAGTCACATCGGATACCCCCCTTGTTCCTCCCTACCCACTCGCAGTACCCAATCTCGTCACATCTCCGCCCCTCCGCAATCAGAGAGTCCAATAGGAACGCTGGCCGCCGCCTACCGGATTATGGTAGGGCTGCTGACAGCCACTACCTTGAGGAATTGGGAGTTTCGACTCGTTCCAGGCGCGGGATGAGGGGAAGGAGTAGAGAAAATCAAGTCGAGAAGGGAAATGGATCGCGACAAAGTTAATATTTGCAATCATTAGATAGAAAACAGTCATAACATCTATGGATCTTAGGAGTTCTATATAGCACGTGGGCCTAAGCATATAGGATGGTAGGCATGTATGGAACCCATCAATTTCTGGGAATGGTTTTCTGCAATCACTAACATAGTGCACGTAGCCTCGGTACCTAACTAGAATAAAATAAATCAAATGATGTAAATGTAAAACATATATTCTAGAAGATGCCTTTTGTGCTACCTACCTAGGTAAGCATCGTGATTCAAGCTTATGGCTGACATGCTTTTCCGGCGTATTGTTTGGCCATATCGACGTAAAAGTTTATAATAATCATTAAAAATGTATTTATGAATGGTGATAGACCTTTTATTATGTAAATCTTTAATGGTCTAGGAGTTGGGGATGTGAGCTGGCATCTATAACTGTAGTTGGTTCTTGTTTGTTGGTAAGAATGGTACATTGAATACCTAGATTGAATTTAAGTAGTCTTAAACCAACTAAACTTAAACAATGCCTACTATACTGAAGGCATTTATTTTATGTTTTGTGCGTAAACCATCAATAATCTTAAGCTTTGCTGATGATGTACATGTAAAATGTATTCACGAAGCACGTTCCATATGTACCTAGGTACCTAGGTAGGCACATCTTTGAAAATTGTCAATGCACCTACCGGAACAACGGGAGATCTCCGGACCAACGCTACGGTCTAATCCGAGACAACCTTGAGTACAGCAGTTAAAGCCGATAGCAATCGATAATCGACTGACTTTCTCAAAAGATCGTCATCCCAATTGTCAAATAATAACACATGAGCTTCAATAGCTAGCAACGACATTTATTTACAGTATAGCAAGGTAATTTATAACCAATTGAAGCTCATAAAACTATCGAATTACTTTTTTTTTTTTTATAAACATAATGGCCCCGTCGAGGGCTACAGCTAGGCTAGGAGCAGCCCTGCGACAAGCCAGTCAACATCAGCTCCGATCACAACGACAGCAATTCCTGAATAGTTCTAAGCTACAACGGTCATACTACCACTCTTACGACCACCCACCACCTCCAGGCGTATTCAGCGCGGCTGAAAATGCCATCCTATCCGCTGCCTACCGCCATGTCCCCGAACATGGCTTCACGCAACACACATTATCTCTAGGCGCGCGCGACGCCGGCTATCTCGACATAAGCACTAACCTACTCCCCGAGGGACCTTTCAGTTTGATACGGTATCATCTATTAACCCAACGGGAGGCGCTTGCGCCGCGGAGTAAAGAAATATTCGGCTCTGAGACAAATACCGCTTCATCCGCAGCATCGCTACATATCCCAGAAAAAGTTGAGCGGTTGGCATGGGAGAGGCTACTTGGGAACCAGGAAGTTAACCACCGATGGCAGGAGGTGAGTCATAATCCACAACGTTGAGAGGTTCCCTACTTGCATATCGAGCTATAGTGTTAGCTAATACAATCTCACCCCAAACCCCAGGCCCTAGCTGTGATGGCTCAACCCTCCCACGTCCCCACCTCTCTGCGCGAGCTCGCGCTCCTCGCCGACGAAATATACTTTCTATCGGGCGACACCGCGGTCGATCCGTCCTGGTACTCGAAACGCGGATCGCTGTCGGTCATCTACGCGTCGTCGGAGCTATTCATGACTAACGACCGATCGCCGGGGTACGGCGAGACGCGCAACTTCCTGCGGCGGCGCCTAGAAGAATCTAGCAAAATGGGCAACACCCTCGGCGGTCTCGCCCAATGGGTTGGCTTCACCGCCTCGGCTGGGGTAAACGTGCTGAGAAGTCAAGGAGTAAGGATATGACATGTAGGATATGATGTGTTAGGTAGGCTATATCGTATAGAGTAAAGACCGCACAGACCCTTGACTAGTCTGACAAGGGGGAGATAGACTGATAGAGATGGTTTGGTGGTGTGAAAAAATGTACTTGACTACCTTATAGACTTGTATCAGTTGCACACGTACAGTACCGGCATACGGTTGGAAGATGGCCTTCACACCATTGAATGGAATTGGGGCTGCAGCAATGGCTAGAGAGTCCAACATTCAGGCAACTAGTACTACATCACTCGCCACTTTTTGTACAGCAACATAAAAAGATAACGAGATCCATTGGCGGTTTATGTTGAGAACTTACCCGCCCCCCTCCATCCATTGCCCCGTTGGCACCAAAAACCTTACTTTTTGGAAGCTTCTAAAACCCGTAGAAGCCTACCGTCACCTGAACACCTTAGGATATAACCGTAGAACGCCGGTAACCGGATGGATGCCCTAGAATCCTACATGATATCATGATTGTATATCGAACTACTAAGGATTCGCAAGAAGCTGCTGTCGAGGGTCCGTGAGCCTGTTATGTTGTTAGTTGAGATTTCAACCAACCACTCAATAGAGAACTTGCCTGATGATCTTGACGTCCTTATCGATCTTTGCTCTGCCCTCGATGGCGTTGGGTGTAATGAGGATGAATTGCTTCCCGACGGAACGACGTGCCGTAGTTATCTGCGGAATTGGTCAACAAAACGTCACACTATCACCGAAATATGGCAACTTACTAGCATGTTAGTGCTAATGGCACGGTTGACATTGTCCATGAAGACGTCAAACTCGTCGAGGCATCGCAGTGGTGATCCCATCGCATCCCAGATGGCGAGTAAAAGACATATGGACGAAAAGGATTTCTCTCCACCGGACAACGTCTTTGTGTTTCGACCCGCACTGCTCTTCTTCGTCTCATCCGGCTCAACTTGAACTCGAAGTCTCTTGGCTTTGTGGTCAAGGAAAAGTTCACCTCTAAAGCCACGCTCGCTTAAAAGATAATTGAAGTTACATCGAGCATGTGCAGAGATGAGTCTCTGAAACGTTCGCCATTTGCGTAGCCGATCCATCAAGGCCTTCTTCAATTCATCCACTAGTGAAGTGAGACTCTTATGGCTCTTCTTGGCTTCTCGGTATTCCTGGATTGCCTGAGAGGCACGATTTTGGATCTCTTCCTCCGACGCACCTAGCTGACTACGGATCTTCTTCAATTGGTCCCTGACGGTGTCGAATTTACGTTCAATACTTTGAACAGTTTCTCCTTCAGGTATAAAGGCTCGCTCCACACAGACCTCACTCGCCTGTCGAATATAATCTGCGACTATTTCCGCTTGCCTTTCTCTGGACCTTTCTGCTTCGACTTTTCCAGCTTTTGCAAGATCTCGATTTTCGTAGGCTTTGTTCTTTTCCACCAAGGCCACCCGGCGGGTTTCTTGAAACCTCTTTACCTTATCTTCGGCCTTGGTGATCCTTGCTCTATGCTCCTGAGAATCCAATTTGGCCCTCTTGAATAAGTCGTTGATCTTCTCTACCTCCTTGTTCATCTCTTGCTTCTGCATAGCTAGCTCGCCGTACTGATTACCGTAGTGATCTTTTTGGAGTTGGGCTTCCTGAAGGTCGTTCTTGTACCCTTGCAGTTTGTTATCGACGCCTTCGAATTTGTCAAGTTCCTCCTCGATATGGGTGACTCGGGCCTGAGCTGTGCGCAGCTGTCTCTCGAGATTCATTCCTTGCTTTTTGTGCTGATTGACTGCTTGCGCGCAGCGTTGCGATGATTGCTGGAGAGCTCTTCTTGACGCCTCTAGTTCTCGAAATTCTGTTCGAAGTTGCTCTAGGGACTCCTTGAAATAATTAATTTGCGATTCTTCGTCGACTGACTTCATCCGAGATTGTTGGTCAAAATTAGGTATGACAGGGTTAGTGGCAAGGGATTGGCCACGTCTTGTAAGTCGCAGACCTTGGTTTTTTTTCGTATCATGGAAACACAAACAAGCAACGACATTCTCAGGCTGATGACCGTCAAACATGACTCGCTCCGCGTCTGGCCGACTTTCAATGAGGATTGTCTGCTCAATCAGGTGATTGATGACCAATTGATCTCTTACGCGCAGATCGTCGATCTTTAAAACTCTCAGTATAGTATCAAAACTTTCGTCGGGTTCTTTTAAATTGTTGATTCGGGTTCTCGAATCTGTGAATATGGGACAACCTCGAATTCCCAGCCTTTCCATGTGGGATGACAGTCGTGCTTGGTCGGATCGGCTTCCGACGATAAATGCATTGAGAGATGCTCCTATTATCTTCTCGAGGATGGCGGACCAACTGGGTTTGGTTAGCTGTATACATGTTCCAATCGGGCCGATGGGTTTCTGTGAAAAGCCGGTGTCATTGTCAATGATTCGCAAAAGATCACGAACTCGAGGCTCAAAACCGGCGAACGGATCGCTACGATTCTGCGATAAATCTCTTATCCGGCCCTCGGCTGCCGTCACTTCTTGCTGTTTCTGTCTGACTAAACCTTCAGCATCCATGACCTGTTTCTGGGCTTCGTCACGCTCTCTGAGGACATCGGGGCTTTGCTCGGCATGGGCCTTCTGGGCTTCCCTGACTTCTTCTATGGCATGATTTGCGACTTCAAGCTCATTTTGCTTTTCAGCAAGAGCCCCACCATTTGCTTCCTCAAGACGGCGCTCTTCCTCCTGTATCTTCTTTTCATAGTCTTTAACCTTCTGGGAGGCATTGGTCAACTGTTGGTGAATGTCCCTCTCTTGTGTATGTGTCTGCTCAATTAATGCCCGAGCGTTAGTATAGTTCGTCTTGGCCTCTTCTTCTCGCTCTTTGAATTGACCCTCTTCTTGGCGAAGTAGGTTTAGGGCATCGTCAGCTTCTTGGATCTTCCCGTCGATCGTCTCGAGTATCTCCGTCTTCTCTGTAATTGTGGCCTCCATCCGTTCGATTTCTTGCTGGGCTGCGACTACACCATCTTCCTTCTGTTGAAAAAGGGCTTCCTGCTCCTTGACTTGAGCCCATACTAATTGATGCGAGTAGACTTTTGACTGTCTTCGCATCTCTGTACTCTTAGTGACGGCGTCCCTTAACTTCACGGCCTTCTCACTCTTTTCCCTGAGGAATAGAATGCTCTCTTGGAATGCGAGCAATCTTGTCTCATTGGCCTCGAGTGTTTCTTGAAGAAGTTGATAGTCTTGGTCGAGCTGCTCTAATTGGGTACCTTGAACGAAATACTTATACTTAGCGGCCGGGGTAGCAGCGTTGAGGAATTGGCGTGCATTATCCTGGGAGAGCACATTCAGAGGGTTATCGACCTGAAGGCAATAGTATTCGACAATATCGTCTACATCCCCCTTTTTGGTCGAGATAATCCTATTGGTACCAGTGCCAGCCTTCAATCGGAAACCACTTGACCCAGATTTAGTGAAGTATCGTTCAACAATGATCGATTCTCCGTATAAATCGGGCTTGAAGGCGTCGGGGCCTTGGTTTTTTATCTTCACTATTAGGTTGGCGTGTTCCTGGCCTTCTCTAATGAAGCTTCGTAGACTACCGCCACGATTCGTTGCAGATGCCTTTCCACCCAAGCAAAGCGTTATGGCAGTCAAGATAGCACTCTTGCCACTTCCATTCTCTCCGACTATGAAGTTAAGTAGGGGCCCTAGATCGACGTGTAGCTTTGTATGGCACATAAAGTTTATGCAGGTGATACTCTCGATAATAGCGTTGAGAGCCACCTGATTTTCGCCCAACATGTGAGGGCGATTCTTCAATCGTTGTGTTGCTCGTTGATCATCTAAATCAGGATTCTCGAGATGTCTGAACCCGGCATCTCGCATCATTTCATATTGTGTCGCGGCTGGCTCTTCCGATTCTTCCGGTTCCTGCATAACTTCATCTTCTTCGGAGCTGGATGGACTCTCTTGGCGAGATTCCCGAGTCGACTTCGTACTGGGGCCTGCGTTCGAGATTCGTGCCTTCTTTCGTTGCTATATCGGCGAGGTTAGTGGGTGGCAGTCAATGGCATATAGTGGTTTTTAATGGGCAAGGTGAATGCTTACAGCTTCGTTTTTTAAGCTTGAGCTAGCTTGGGCGATAGTATCCTCGTCATCGTCATCGTCATCATCGAATGCAGCGCGACGAGAGCGCTTGATGGTTGCGGAAGGCATGGTTGTTGCCCTATTACTACGTAGGGTTGGGTTTGTTGGACCAGACTTGGGTGTGTTATAGTACTTGGGATCGAATGTCGACAGCGACGTAAGAATTCCAGAGCCGGATAATTACTACTCTCGGAGAAACTTAGGCTTAGTGCAACGGTCTGGAGGGGAAATAGGACTGCGGGTCAACCGTCGACCATCAAATGCAAATAAGCTGGAGAGAAATTAGATGGCAATTAAGATTTAATGGAAGAGACGCGACTTGAGACGCGATACTGCGCGTGGGAACACCCTTGTTTGCGGTATTACGGTACTAAGGAAAATGGGAAAGAGCCAGGCTTGCTGGCTTGAAAGAGCCTACCTACATGTATCACCCCCACCTGGGCACTAACTACCTAGGTACTAACTGTGGTCTCCCGCTTAAATAGCAGGGGTCCGAGCCCGGACGTCTGGATTTAGGGGGAGGATCCTTGCTGAGCATGCTGAGCACAAACCATGTCTCAGAACTATTTAATGAATCAACCAATTAAAACGTATTTGTACGTCGCTTGTGGGAGCATTGTACCTATCCGATTAATGATTGGTTGATATTGTATGTAAAGCGCGGCCTAAGAATATTTTGTATCCCATTTTGCTTTTCACATTCAATTTTCCAAGGTTCTTTTCTACTTGCAGTACGCCATAAGTCACCCTCGACCAATCTTTGCCTTAGCTGCAGGGCATTATCCGGCAGACTAATAAGAAAGCAGTTGCTATTCCCTGTCAGGTAACATTCCATGTAGCTTAGGAGAACCTCTCAGTTTCATGACCCCCACGTTACGGTGGTGCTAGCGACAGATTTCTCCAATACATCGATACTTCTAAGTATGCCAAGGTTGAGCGCGGCCACGCTCGCAGTTGAATTCATATACCAAATATAATTGATCGATCAATGGATCCCATGGAAGACAAAATCGAATTTTCTCAGGCCGACTTCGACGGATTTCCTAGGAGGCTCCCTGAGAACTGCGTTGAGTATGTTTTGTTTATTATCGATGAAAAACTCGAAGGACGCAGCCAGTTTCTGGAACTTGAAAATATCCGCAAAACAGCTTTACAATTGTGTGACAATATTGCCGGGGGGTACATATGGCAACGAGATTCCTTCCAATTACGCCTCGAAAGAGATCAAGACCTGATCTATCTGAGTGGGATAACCGACTATGGAGACTCGGTAGAAGACGAATGGCTTATAGTCTACCTGCTTAGGGAGTTGACTAGATCCTTCCCGTCTCTCTGGGCGAGAATCTCTGATAGCGATGGCGAGTTCCTACTTGTCGAGGCAGCCAACGTCCTACCAAAATGGTTAAGTCCAGAAATAGATAGCAATCGAGCATGGGTTCACCATGGCAAAATTTATATCCTCCCTCTTGCTGCTAGTTCCGGTATAAAAAGATCTCCATCCTTGGCCGAAGCAGTCAAGTTCATCAAGTCGAATCCCGATGCCTTGATACATTCTACTTTTGTAGAAGCAGAGGCTTTCTACAGGTTAGAGAAATACCCCAAACGCATCACACATTCAATACACTATTCTCTAGTCACAATACCCAGGAAACTAGCATACATCCTCCATGATAAACCTTCTACCATAGCTCCTGCTATCGAGGCATTTTACCTTCGGGATCCGATAGCTATGAAGCCCCTAACCTCCCTAGTTGAAGATGTGCACTTCCCACCCAGAGACCTAGTGACTGTCAGCGTCAAATTCACAAAGGTTCTTTTCGCGCAACTCAAATCTCAGCGCTTCTTACCCCCTCCGATATGGAGTGACGTATTCGAGGACGCAGAAAAGCAAGCATCTAGTGCAGGAGATGCTCAAAAAAGGTTGGCGCGTTTGGAATTGGGTATGAAGGTGACGAGCGGTTTCGAAATGCTTGCTACCAACGCCGACGAGAAAGATAATCGTCTAGCGCGCGAGTTTGCCATGCTCCTCGAGGATCTAGAAGAAGACGGTGCCCAGGTGCTCCCAAACGACGAAGATATGGAGACTTGGGAGAATGCACGCAGGGAAGATGACGAGTCCTGGCTAGATATTAATTTCGAGGATTTTGAAGACGAATTGCAGGGCAATCGTGGCCCTAAAAACAGGTCTAAAAATGGATTTGGTGATTCTTCTACGCAAGCAGACTTGCAAAAGATTGTATCCCGCTTTGAGGCCTTTCTCAATGACGAGAAGGCTGGGATAGAAGGTGCCGACATGGACGATATGGACGACGACGACGATCTTACAAACTACGATGACGAAGACAGCGATGAGGACAAAGATGTTAGTTTCGACGAAGAGCAATTTTCTAAGATGATGAGGGAAATGATGGGAATGCCAGCAGAGCCAGCGACGGATCTGAAACATAAGCCAGGTACTTCGGAATACACCACTACAAACACTACCGAAAAGGAAGATGAGGATGAGGATATTAGGCAGCTAGCGGTTCAGATGGAAGCTGAGTTAAGGGAGCATGGTGCTTTGAGGCTTGATACCGGTTCTGAAAACGTGAAAGCTATTGCATCAGGAGATAAAGCTAAATCCAAGGGCAAAGCAAAGGATGAATTAGGGAGTAACGTTGGCACAGGGGAGGAAAGCAGTGAGGAGGATGTGGATGTTGACTATAATCTCGCCAAGAATTTGCTGGAAAGCTTTAAGAGCCAAGCTGGAATGGCAGGTCCGGCAGGGAACATACTTGGTATGATGGGGCTACAGCTTCCACGTGACGAAGATGAAGAAGAGGAAAGCTAAGTAAGGTATAGTCAGGATTTCTATCAAAATTCGAGTGATTATTGTTCGCAAGATTATATAGAAAAGGGGTTTGAAAAGGAGGTATCAAGCACACTATGTACATACAAACGTATTCAATGTTGTTTATGTATGTATATATATGCATGTACCTTCTCCCTCTAAAAGTGCCCCACCATACATGTATCCTACCTCCAGCGCTACTTCCATAAGTACCTACTGTAGGTAAACGCGACTGTTAAGTGGATCAAGTTCTTAGTCTTCTAACCCCACATGTGCACTAAAGAAACACGAACGCGACGTCACTGGGTCCTTCCAAAATCTAGTATCGGCGGTAGTAGATGTACGTGAGATCTTCAAAATTCGTTCCTGAATCTAGACTTCAATCAAGGTACTTACCGTTTTTTTAATCTTTTGTAGCATCACACCTTCTACACGTCTATTTTTTTTAATATAGGCAATGAAAGGTCACTGATGTAATCCTCTAATGCGGAAAACCGTCAATCAATTCTTCTATATTTCTCACGTCTATGACATTGTCAAAGAACCATATGCTCTCGTGCCAGACGAAATCAACGGCGACGCCCGCGCAAGACAAGCATGTGGCCTACCAGTAGTGTCTCTAGCCTCCAGAAAACATACGATGAGGCCTATTTAAAATGCTCCACTGCTGTCTACTATGAGAGCCAGGTATGTGCACCCTAGTTCCTAGTTTATACCATACCTGCTTGACCATTTTCCCACCGAACTAACTTGGTTTACTACACGCCTAGGGAGACGAGAGAGAGGCGATGTTAAGCTGGAGGAATGCACTCGAACAGATACGACAAAATCCCATGAATAAGCGACAAGGCAACTATTCTCCCAAATCCGAGACCGAACGTGCTTTACTCGAGAGCCTGCGAGAGTTGGAAATGCAATGCAAGGAGAGGATTGATCTCTTAGAAGCTTTGAGGATATCCCGAGAAGAGGACTCATCGTTGCAAATTACACAGTCGAGCATCGGTGCGGAAGGAAGTGCGGACGGCCGGTCAATCCCAAATACTCCAGAAAGAGGATGGATCGGTGACGGGACGATACCGGCAATAACATATACGGAGCTGTCTAAACCACCACTCCCTAAACGGCCGTCTTTCCCTTCTCGGAGGACGTCCGAACAGGCAGTGTTGGGACTTCGCAATGCCATAATGGATCCAGATTTATCATCTTCTGCAGTAAGGCCACCTTCACTGCCTCCTTATGGTACATCTACTCCGAGAAGGAGGTCTTCGCGATCGCCCAGCCCAGAAAAGCATACCATGAGAACAACACTACGGACAGGGAAACACGAAAAATCTGCTAAATCGAGTCGGCACACACCAGCTAAGATCACCAAAGGCCCAGGAGCTAGTAAGGCAGCCACGCTGGCTTGGAGTAGCCTCGAAAAAGGGAACTCTGCAGACACGACTAGTTCACCCTTAAAGGCCCCTGAACCGCGACGGTCCTACGAGCAGACACGAAAAAGTTCTGCGCCAACTCCAAGACACTGGGATAGTCACACAAGAAGATTGGTGGTCTCTCCTGAAGCTTATAGTATTTCTAGTGTTACGCCTTCAGCCGCCCGTGCTAGCCCTGAATCTTCGATGCGGAATGCGAACGATTTTACATCCCCTACACCATCTTCCCTTGCCCTAGGTGCTGCCTCAAGCGCCCTAGGATCGCTATCTATTCAAGAACGTGAAGAGTTGAGCCCTACTGTAGCTCGAACGGAGCAAAGGTCAACATCTAGGAAGGGAATATCATCAAGTTACGACGAGCCAACTACTCCTACCGCTCGAACCCCAGTGCCTCTGGAAGGCGCTCTTAGAACTAGCTCTAAGGAAAGCTCGGTGAGGAGAAAGCCCATTGAGCAGAGCAAAATATTTGAGCCCAATAGCGCCAGAAAACGAGTAGGTCGGCAAACATCCGAACAAGACGGGAGAGGGGAGATATCATCCAGCGACGAGCCGGTAAGAGCAACCTCTGCCAGCCGAAAACGCAAGGGAAAACAGAAGGAGTCGCCCATGGTCTCCGACACTGAAGACCAGTCCTCGGCGGATTCTGTTGCTAGGGAAAGGAAGAAAGCAAAGGACGAATGGGAAGTAAGAAAAAAAGGAATATTGAAGAATTTACCGGCCGGTATAGATGATGCTGCCGCGAAGGCAATATTCAACGAGATCGTAGTGCAGGGCGACGAAGTTCACTGGAGTGACGTTGCCGGTTTGGAGATTGCAAAAAACGCACTGAGAGAAGCAGTAGTATATCCTTTCTTACGACCGGACTTGTTCATGGGTCTTCGCGAACCAGCTAGAGGTATGTTACTCTTTGGGCCTCCAGGGACGGGGAAGACAATGTTGGCCCGCGCCGTTGCCACAGAATCTAAGTCTACCTTCTTCTCCATTTCAGCAAGCAGCTTGACCAGTAAATATCTTGGCGAGTCTGAAAAGCTGGTTCGCGCACTGTTCGCATTGGCAAAAGTAATGGCACCGAGCATCATATTTGTCGATGAGATAGACTCACTCCTCTCTCAACGGACGGGATCCGGAGAACATGAAGCTACTAGAAGGATCAAAACCGAATTTCTCATCCAATGGAGCGACTTACAGCGAGCCGCCGCAGGGCGTGAAAGCAACAACGAGGCAAACAAGGAGCGGGGTGATCCAAACCGAGTACTAGTGCTAGCAGCGACCAATTTACCATGGGCAATCGACGAAGCAGCCAGACGAAGGTTCGTGAGACGCCAGTATATCCCTCTCCCAGAAGCAGATACTAGAGCCACTCAATTAAAAACCTTACTTGGTCAACAAAAGCACAATCTTACAGACGCCGACATTGCGGAGTTGGTGAACTTAACGGAAGGTAAGACCTAGTCTCGATTTTCATACACGTATAAATATACAATACAGCGCTAATCATGATGGCGATTTAGGCTTCTCGGGTTCAGATATAACTGCTCTAGCCAAAGATGCGGCAATGGGGCCCTTGCGTGCCCTAGGTGAGGCACTCCTACAGATGACAATGGATCAAATTCGACCCATAGAACTGGCGGATTTTAAGGCTAGTCTTCGTACGATCCGTCCTAGTGTTAGTAGGGAAGGGTTAAAGGAATATGAGGATTGGGCAAAGAGATTTGGAGAGCGTGGTGGATAATAATCCTTGATTGGAGCATATCATTAGTACTGGGCTTCCTCGACGCAAGGATGTACCAGGGTAGCAGTTGTGATACTGGCGTTCTCAGGATAGGGAGCGATGGGTTGACATATGATATGAAGGATGAGACACCCATCGAGCATGGAATATCTTGGTATGTTTGCCCTTCAAATAAACAGGGACGTACAAATCCATAGTTGTACATATGTTATGTTACATGGAGATGATTTTGATATATACAAGGTTTCGCAGAGGGCCGAACTCGCCTTCTATGGTGTCGACCTCCCAAGTAGAATGTTAGCGGCTAGTAATCTTGTCCCGATTTTTCAAAGATCTTGGTATGCCTATCCGAATGCATTTATAACTTCCTCAATCTACATCGTCTAGTGTCGTATCTTGCGTAGGTATTTGTTTAGTTTGTCCAGCCTTCCAATTTAACTTCATCGCCCTCCTCGCTTGTCGGGCAGCTTTCTCTTCTTCCTTGATCTTTGTTTGTTCTTCTTTGCGAACTGCTCTTCGCTCATCCTTAGCCGCTCTCTTGGCTGCCACTTGAGCTATTCTCTCCTCTACCGCAGGAACGGCCGGTCGCTCGTCGATGGGATCGCCGTAGGGCGCAATGATGTGCTTGACAACGTGGCGCACGTGTTGCGATACTCTCCAAGTTGGTGTTATGGCGACTACGTCGCCTTGTCGGACGGAGTTACATGGGTCGTGGACTAATTTGAAGCGTGGTTGTTTAAAGAACTAGAAGAGATTTAATAATTAGCCGGGGTATCCTTATAGATAAGAGGGATTCAGAGTGACAAACCTTTTGTACTCTCGGCTCCCATCGTAAACCTCCCAACTTAACCTTTACGGTTTTGTCCATTCGACCGGCCGATACCACGATACCATGTAATTCCTTGCTCGCTTGTTGCAAGGCAGTAGCTGCCCTTTTTGCGAGCTCGGAAGACATTTTTTTGTAAACTTTTTACGCCGATTCCAACTTCCTTTGGTTTAGACCGCCCGCCGCTATGATTCTCGTCTTTGTTAGCTCGAAATTGGTGTAATATCTTGTCGAGTGGCCCTTTCTACTCCGGGATCCCACCAATCTCAAAATCTTTTGGTGCTACCACACTATCAATTCCAAAGTTCTATGTACACTAGCACCTCCTGCTATTATGACGGAAAATAATTATACCGGCACTATCGATAAGTTCCCGCTATATACATGTAGCAGCACTAGCTTCATCAGGGCCCATCAAATTGTTTTCTACTTTAAAGCAACGGCATGCGACATAATAAAGCCAAGGTACCTAGATACATATACCTAGGTCAATCACGTATACCCGCTAGAAATCTGCGGTCATCAACCAATTTCCTCTTCAATTTCAAAATATTGTTGTAAAATAATGGATGCTTCCTCACTGAAGTCACATCACGGAATAAGAGGCCAAATTTCCATACAACATTGGCAATTCCCAGCCATTGCAAGAAAATGCACCTATATAGGATTCCAGACAAGCAGTCGTGTTCCGTCGAATTCTCGCCATTTGATGAAGTAAAGATGCGGGAATCTTCCGCAATTTTAGAGTCCAAATAAGAATACATCGAAATAGTCCCGTTACGAAAGTATAGGTATCGTAATAGGTTTAGCTTAGCTAGCAAAAGAATCAGCCGTCAGGGGTAACGAGCCACTCTCGTCATCTATGAAACCATATCGACACCGCCACCCCTCTTATTCGAAAGAATGTATCTAAGAGTCAACAACGTGCTCGTTTGAGAGGATACCACTTCGTTGCAAGGCGGGTAAACCATTGCCCCGTCGAGCTTCCTTCGGGGAGCTTGGGTGTCTGCAATGTTCTTTGACGAGCATCCCTATGCCTTGACATTCCAGTTTAGGGGCAACCTCAGCTGAATGGATCAGAACCTAACCACGCTAGGTACCGCAGCGACATAGTAAGCTACCTAGGTAGTGGAAGTCACAACATCAGGTTTCAACTTCACATGACCCTTTTATTGGAAAACGAGTCCTCCCGACTAAGTTACTTCACGAGAATGTACTCATACGAATCTAGGCAATGTTACTACGTCCAAAATCACCTACCACTCTTAGCGCGGATCGACGGCTTCGAGGTCTAGCTGAAAGGCATAGCAGATCCAATGATCCAACGACGCCACAAGAAAAACTTGATTTATACTACCTACCTAATTCGTGATGGCATTTTGGGGAGACTGAGGCCATACTCTTATACTATAGATTCCCTTTTAAGGCTACGGGTGTAGAAGTTATAGCTATATATTAGGCTACCTATGAAAAATATTTAATTGCGTCTAAACCACGAGCAAAATGATGTAAATTCTTCGAGACGCAGAATCCGAGTTACAGACTTCTTTACCATATATCAACATGAGATTATTCGTCACAACTGTTCTAAGCTTGGGCAGCGTTGCCATTGCTGCTGTTCCTGGCTTTGATATATCCCATTACCAATCGAGCGTAGATTTTGCCGCGGCCTACGGTTCGGGAGCGCGCTTCGTTATCATTAAGGTAATTCCAACATCTAGGCATTAAGCCAACATACGTGATTGCTAAAAAGGGTAAAACAGGCTACGGAAGGCACCACTTATATCGACCCGAGTTTCAGCAGCCACTACAGCGGTGCCACGAGCGCTGGGTTGATCCGCGGAGGTTACCATTTCGCACATCCTGATAGTTCTTCTGGGGTAGATCAAGCCAAATATTTCTTAGCACACGGTGGCGGCTGGTCGAAGGATGGAATAACTCTCCCGGGGATGCTAGACTTAGAGGGTGATTGTGCGGGCCTCTCGGCGAGTGCGATGGTCTCTTGGATCAAAGATTTCAGCGATACATACTACGGAAGTACTGGCCGTTATCCGCTTCTCTATACGAATCCTTCATGGTGGTCAAGCTGCACCGGGGGGTCAAACGCTTTTATCAATACGAATCCACTCGTCCTCGCGCGTTACAGTAGCAGCGCCGGGACGCCTCCTGGAGGTTGGCCATACTATACAATTTGGCAGTTCAACGATGCTTATCAATATGGTGGTGACTCGGATACTTTCAATGGAGAATGTAAGTGACCTTTACAGCCTTTATTTCTAAACTGCTCCCCGGCCCTCATGAGTTCTACCTATTCGAACCAAGTTAACTTTTAGGGTTGTAGTTTCATCGTTGCAGAAATTGGCATCCGGTTAGAAATGACTTGAGGGATGGGTCCCCTGCGATTTGAAAAAGATATAAGGTATGAAAAGACGTCTCGGATGTTAAAAAGGCCTTGTAAAATTTATGTCCTAGAGGAAATTGTTTATAACATACCGCAAGTAGTATCTACCACGGGTATGGGTGTGTCATAAGGGCCGAAATTTGCAATTGAAAGGATGGGTATGAGCTTCACACTAATCAAATATCTAAGTAAAATGCTACTGCAAAACAACGGGACTTCCTAAATTCTTCCCTCGAAGCTGGGTACTACGGTCTTTGTCTCTCCATGTGTGTGTTAAACTAATTATACCTGGGATGGACGATTTGGACTACTAATAATAATGAGGAATACGGTTGGATGGGATTATAGGGTACCCAGCATGAAATAGTGTTATGAGAGATAGGGGAAAGGGAGCATAGGCATATATATTAATCGAGTTGAAGTCATTCGTGCACGTGAGCCAGGCCCCTTTGGACGGTTCTTTCCTACATCCAACACGTGCTGGATCCTTGTTTGTGAGACTGGGCGCGTTCAGACTTGCACGCGTAACTACCCTAAACGCTTGTTCCTTACTTTTTGGTCGACGCGTCCTCGATAACCCACCAAACCAACCTACGCAAAGCATATATGTAATAATAAGTCGGCGTTATTAAAAACAAGCACTTAAGATGCCTTGGAGAAGTGGTAACTCGCTCCCTTTGGGTCACCACACACATGGGAGAGATCAGGGGTTCGAACCCCCTAGGCATCCTTTTTCTTTTTTCTTTTTTTTTTTCTTTCTTCTACCCACTCCTCTTCCCGTTTATTGTGCACAGTTTCACCTTCCTCACCTAGGTATATTATATTCCGCCAACACCCCATCCACGGCGACTGACGCCAAGTCGAACGCAATATCCACCCAAAATAAACCAATTCATTAGGCAAGTGAAGCATCCTTGGTGATCTTCTTAGACCACTCTCGTAGGCTTAGGCTCTGAATATCTTATTCCCGTGTTATGTTCAAGACCTAAGATGTACTTTAGCCTATGTCCTTTCGTATTTTTAGTGTCTGGTATACAACCCATGGTATTTATTAATTAAATCCATACCATATAAAACGCCACTACACAGAGTAACTGATCTGATTTTTTCGTCGACCATCGAATCAATCTGTGTATATTTTATCGGTCTGGGTTTTATTGATGGGAGTAAGGACAGCATTGCTCAACTATTTCCCACCTTGGTCTCAAGACATCGCCTCTAATAATTATACAATCCAACATTGGCAAATGTTTTATCTATTTCATGTTATACTAAGCGAATTTTGGCATGAAATCTCTGTCTATGAGATGTATCAAACCTAGAAGGGGAATATCAATTTAATCAACGCATGACTAATACTCGACGCTGCGGGTTTCGGGGAAAGTAACACAATTCGGTCGTGACCCACAGTCTATTGGGGGTCGGGACTGATGATGGGGAACTGGGGAGCCACCGGAGATATCCGTGTGTATGTAGAACCATCTCGACCGAACCAGTGGACATGTACTGTGTCATTGGTGATACATTATACTTGCTAGCAAGCCATGAAGGCCGGTGTGTTGTCGATGTGTAGTATGTAGAGTTGTTATGTGAAACAACTTTTGTGTCCGTGTACTTTTCTCTGGTCGATGAAGAATCGTTTACCCGCATGCTGTAGTGTACCCGGATGCATCACCGGTGACAGCCTGCCTCAGTTTTATTTGCCTGTTACAGGGTGCTAATTAACATGTTCATACCCCTCGAATAAAAGGAGAGAATTGATGTCATGATAATATATTTGGTTAAGATGGATACGTCCAGGTATCCTGACCTAGGCATGCGTACGTAATACTTTCATGATGTATGGGTCAAATATCATACTGTCACACCTACCATATGTATGTCCAGTAAGATCGGGTAATTCCTTGGAATCGGCTGGAATGTGTCGACACTGGGCAACTAGAAATCCGTCAATGATGTTAGTTGAGAATGACTGCAGATGCATATTGTCAGTTTCTCCGAGCCTCCCTTTTCCTATAGGAGTAGCGGGTCGGTTGGGGGCTCCGTGCTGAGTGAGATGGATAGCTCGGATATTATTTCTTCAGTCATGCTTACGGGTTTTTCATATACTGATGATACTGATGATACTGATGTATATGTTATAGGAGACTCAATTCATCGTTCTTGACTCTCGGTGAATTGAATTGGTGGATATTTCGGAATCGGGGGAGAGTCTGCACCCTGGACGGAAGGAATTGATAGCTAGAGTGGAGCCCCCACCATCACCTGTTTGTGGAATTAGACCCTGTAAAAGAGCGCCGAGGTGGGGGATACTTTGGTTTGTTGGAGGGGGTTTTGGTTTGCTTGCAGGAAGCACCCGGACCTGGCGGCCTGGTAGGAGCGTAGCAGGAACAATTCGAACGGTTGAGAGGGGTAAGCTTGCAGATTCTACTGCAAAAGTAGTTACCGTAGCGTTGCATTAGCGCTCAAGTAGCGTGGCGTACAGGATGTTTGATAGCAGGCTAACCATTGTTATCAGTGGGGACAGCATTGTGCCTGGACGGACTCGGTCGGTGACAAAAATCCTCTGCACACCCATCTCGGATTGGATTCATCGTTTTTCTTTTCCTCACTTCAATACTTTACCCCCCCGCTCAACAACAGTCAGCATCATTGATCAGACTTACATTCTTACACGATATCCCTTTATTTTTCACCTACTCAATCACCTGCCTACCATTTTCTACTTACGCGTTAGTAGATTTTGTTAAGGACAATTCTATCTTTATCTTGGTCCTATCACCGAAATCAGCCTACGATGCCTACTACAGTAGAGTACCGCGCCGGGAAACGACCTCGTAAGTTTGAGAATTGCTTTTTTTCTTAGCTCTGGAGACAAAGATCTATGGAAATACCTGCACGCTCGGCCGCTCTCGCCTATAGTTAGCTCCGAGCTGTCGCTTCAGCCGCACATTTTTGCACACTTTGCACTTTCTGACCTGCTCACACCGCTCTGAAATACGGAAGCCTGTAGCAATTGCAAACAGTCAACTTGTTTTAAAATTTGTTATTTATTTTGTCTCTGACTTTGCGACATCTGTCGTACCATTTATAACAACAATTGGCATACCTTTCTAATACCCATGGCCTCTTCAACAGGTACCCAGTCTTTACCTCCTCCAGCTCTCCCGCAATTGGTCGCCGAGCAGCATGTGCCCATAACCACCAGCGACAAGGATGGCCAGAGACTCATTGTGGTTTTGTCCAATGCTAGTCTTGAGACTTACAAGGCGTCCCACGGTGGCGGTGTTGGTCGTGCGGGTATGCAACGCGAAGACAAATACTCGCTTCTCAACAGCGATGAACACATTGGGGTGATGCGCAAGATGAACCGGGATATTAGCGATGCCCGACCCGATATCACACATCAGGTATGCTGAGTATCATACTTTATAATTCGCACATCTTTCAACAAATCTCAAGTTTCCCTCTTGGGTTGGCATTCAACATGCTAACAGTACATCCACTAACATAGTGCCTCCTCACTCTTTTGGATTCGCCTATCAACAAAGCTGGCAAGCTGCAGATATATATCCAAACCGCAAAGGGTGTCCTCATAGAGGTATCACCAACCGTCCGCATTCCCCGGACGTTCAAGCGTTTTGCTGGTTTGATGGTTCAATTATTACATCGCCTATCCATCCGTTCAACAAACTCGCAAGAGAAGCTACTCCGAGTCATCCAGAACCCAATTACAGACCACCTTCCACCTAACTGTCGCAAAGTCACACTAAGTTTCGAAGAGACTACCGTGCGTGTACGAGACTACATACAGACTCTTGGACCCAAGGAAAGCATATGCGTTTTTGTCGGTGCGATGGCTAAAGGCCCTGATAACTTTGCCGACGAGTATGTGGACGAGAAGATTTCAATCAGTCAATACAGTCTCTCGGCTAGTGTCGCTTGCAGCAAGTTTTGCCATGCTGCTGAAGATGCTTGGGATATCCTTTAGGTTTACCCCTGAATCTAACCCCTTATAGAAGATGGAGGAATGTAAGAGGAGGGTAGGTTGGTGGAACATATTTAGGTATGAATGATTAGAGCGGGCGTTGACTTGCGAAGCTCGCTATACAACATGGCGGCCGACGCAGACATGCCCTGAACTTGGGTCTTAAGGGTTTTGTTCTGTCTCTGTTTTTACAACCAAAACATCAGGCGTTCAACATGAGATCCAAGACGTTTTCGCCGTCTTTTGTGGACCACTTCAACTTGGTCCACAGCCCTCTCTCTTTCCCCCTTTTTCTTTCTTAGTCGTATCGCCTTGTCTCCTTTGGCGGGTACTAACCAAACTCAGCATCCACAAGGACTTAGCATTACATCGAGGCCAATGTCTTTAGACGTGGATCGATTGTTTTTGCGGCTCTATGGATTGGTTGAGTAGCGAACCTGATCTTCGAGACAGGGTAGTTATTTTGGCCTATGTGCCAATTGACATTGCTCTGACATGCAGGGAACCCAGTGTATAGATCGGGCGAGTTGAGAAGCGGGGTGGGAGCTGAGTGCATGAGCTTCTCACTTTGGAGGTGCCTGCTCGTTTGTAACAATCAGGGGTCTGCGTTAAGAGTAGACAAGGCGAAGCTCCCGGTTCGGCTGGGGGCCTGCGTCCCTTACAGTTGCTTGCTATTGACCTGCTGTTAGGTAAACATCGTATCGCTCTGTGTCACGATACTTGGTTGGAGACAAGATCCACGCTTGAATGCAAGGTGAAGGTGGACGCCTGGCCAGACCCGACCTCTTTAAATTCAGTCAGCATTGCGGATCTCGGACTAAGAAAACAGTAAGGGGGAAGAATACTAAAGCAGCCTGATGCAGACAGACTTAGTCATTCTATACATGTATTACACATTTGAACTCTGGACTAGTCGTTACAGCTTCGGATTATAAAAAGATATCCACTCCGGTATACCAATCAACATTGTATATGTTCCCACATTGAAGGTTGTTTTCCTCCGTCTACAATGTATACATTGTATTGTACTTACTTGGGAAGGTGTCTTGCTGACTGGAGTAGGTACCTAGGTACGTAGAAGCATGTTCCTACGTGTATATAGATCCATTTACGTATATGTAATGTCCACGGGTACGTTGTCCATTAAAAAAGTGGACTGTGGGGAAAGTCTCCGTTGCCTATTTGGGGGGATTTTGGAGGTGGTCGATTTTGTTTGGACCGCGGAAACAGCGGTCACTTCTCTCTTTTCCTCTTTCACATCATTATCCATACTTTCTGACCTTCTAGCTTAGTATATAATTCCCCTTACTCCTCTTAACCAATTGATAACCCAATCATCTGTACCTGTCGTCAAGCTACCTTTTTTTATATGCAGCGGCCCCGATTATTCGTCGAACGTTCTCTCTTCTAGATAAAAACTTATGTTGGAGGCGTTCCAAACACACGTAATTCGATACCCATAGAGCATACATCCAACGTGGCAGTTCGTCCACCAGTGCCATTCCAAAGATGTTTGGAGAAAAGCGCGAATTTCTTACTGAGGACGACGGGTACTTTACATCACCTGCCCCCATTTGTATTACAACGCCACTATGAAATTCCGCAAGTATGCCATTTGGGCTCGAACCACCTCGTGTTCATCCATCCATCCATCTTGATCAAGCTATCTGGGTTCGTACATACATCGCCTTTTGTTGACGATATACTATTAAGATATATCGAGAACCGTGGACCATAACACACACATGCAAGCGTTGTGGACATTCATCCACCATTACGAAACCCCACTGGGTTGTTCATCGATCAATGCGTGGCGCTACACGTGTATGAATGATCGAAATGGGCGCAACTAGACCAAGCCAGGTATCCAGTCACGCTGCATCTATAGGGCGAGCACTCTCCGGAGTTTTCTCAAGACTTGTAGATATGTCTTCTCCTGCATCAGTACCTAATCTGGCCTCGTTGAGGAGATGTCCACCTATTAGCGGTCTACATGTGAAGCCCCCTTTTTAAGATATTTCTCTGGCTCTACCTAAGCATCTTTTTACTCTTGAGTTTTTTCTACTCTTTTTCTGGTCCTTTTCTGACTCGGTTCTAGCTGTCCCCGTTGTTTTTGCTGCTGATACCAAACCAAAGTTGAGCAACTTGGAGCCAAGTTATCTTCTATCAATATAGCACTCTCTGTTTTAAGCGAGAAGCCCTTCCTCAATAGAAAAGAATAGGCGTGCCTCACTCGAGCGTTAAGACATCTGTGTATCTGCATCTAAGCATCAACAACATCCTTCGTTCCACCTTGTTCCACCTAGTATACCACCTTCAACACTTTGATTCCAAGATACTGATCCTCTCATTCGTTACTTATACCTTTACTCTTATACACACCCCACAATCCTGCTGCTAGTAGGCTAGCTGCATCTGTTGTTTTCCTCTCGATCAGCATTCGTGCATACCTTCGTCCTTGGCTTGGCTACGTTTTCAGTCACCGCGCCTTGACTAGCCTCGTTTTTTTGCTCCTGAATTCGCAGTGTCTAGAGGCTTGTCGCGTATCAGTAGCACACATGCAGGCCCTACCATTTTTCCAAGTTTCGGACCTCCCTCCTTCGGCCTCCTTCTTTGCGGCAGTCGCCCAGCCGCTGGGTCTCAAGTATATATCCGCCAATTCCTCGTCGATAGTATTTGGTGACACCAATTCGCCTACCCCTGAACCGATCTTTGAGGTAAAGCAAAGGATCGGCCCCGACGCCCACCCGCCGCAACCCTGCCGCTTAGTCCTCTCAGCAACTTCACCCTCGGTCGTATCCGCCTTCCACGCAGCTGCCCTGCGATCCAATCCAGATCTAAAGGAGTGTGGCCCAAACATCAATTACCTACATATACAAGACAATTCAGATCCGAACGGTGAAAGTCGCGCAAGAGTGAGCGACTTCGACGGGAATATTATGGAAGTCGTTCACGGCAGTACTCCTGATTATGCCACAAGCCAGGTCGGCTCGACGGTGCGTCGAACTCAGTCCTCTTCACACGAAGTGAGTCGCGTTCTTGACTGGAACCTAGATGTGGCGCCCTCACGGTCCGTCGTCGGCTCTGCCACGGCCAGCTCGACCGTGGGGAGCCGTGCTTCCAACGGTGACCCCCTTACCGTGCTGCGGAAAAGCGTCACCACGACCTCGACTGTAGAGTCCTCGCCGCGTGAGAATCCACAGGGGCTCACTTCCACTGTGTTCGGTACTGTCCTTGGTGTCGCTGTTGGCGCCGCCGTTGGTGGTGCTCTCACTTATTCTATGATGAAGGACGACCGAGAGCGTATGGCTTTCCAGGAATATGAGCAACCACCCGCATTTGCCAGACGTTCTACGTTTCCGGACCCCTACCCAACAAACCAACCCAGGTACTACCCGCCAGCTAGCTTCGCCGGTGGGCCAAGAAGCAGGGTAGTGGAGGAGCTCGACGATCGTGCTAGCCGTCACTCAAGCCAATACACTACTGGAAGCCGAACCCGAAGCGAGGCCTCTTCGGCAAGACGCCCACTTATGATAGCTGATCACGAGTATAAGAGCAACGCTGGCAGCAGTGCGGGTCCCAAGTACGGCGACGCGCCACGACTGCTGATGGATGCGGAGCACCGCAGCGTCGCGAGCTCCAGGCACACCGCTGCGGATAACCATAGCCAGGCGGGTTCAAGATACACTACAGCATCATCGAGACGCTCTCCAGAGTCGGATTATCGTAGCTACGCTAGTTCGAAATATACTTCTACAGCGAGGCCCCGCGACCCTGAAGTTGAGACATACATCTCAGCCCGTAGCGATAGGTCCGCTAGTACGATTAGGCCCGCGCCCGCCAGCGTCGAGACAGCGCCGCCATCACGTGCTCCATCGAAGGCCGGAAGTCGTTTCTCTTCATCCACGGTTCGAGGACCCAATCGTGCGCCAAGCCATGTTTCAGCCAGGAACGTACCGCAGCCGGAGAGTGTTATCGGAGGAGGGCGTGGAAATTGGGAAGATGATGTGGATAGTGTGGCGCCAAGTGATAGTATAAGCAATGTTGGAAGTCGGAGCAGTCGGCGCTCGCAGCGTGTCTAGTATTTGGGGGAGTTCTATAGCGATACAACTGGTTAAAATGAGAAATATGCGATAGAATCCTATGTATTGGGAGGACATTTGATTCGGGCACATCTGCAATGGATTATACAGTTTTGATATTGGTATTTTTAGTGGAATCTGGGCATATAAATATATATACATATGTTTCATATATATCGCATATCGAAGCTTATCATTCGAATTTCACCATAGGGAGACGAGCATTCTTTATAAAGCTACCTTGTATGGGTATAATAGGACTATCAAACCTTACGATATACGGTCTATACTAACTTATCAATACCTATCTACGAAGATTATCATGGCTGATCTACTTGATTATTCTCAGTGATTGGTTCTTCTGGTACATATTTCCCCATGATATCTATGACGGAAGTGGCGTCCCTTAGCATGCCAGTAATGTCAAATGGCTTACGACAGACGAGCAAGACTTTCCCCAACCCGTTTCTGACGAAGTGCTTTTCGATGACCCTAATGAAACGTCTAAACGTAACCTCTTGTTCGGGTGTATTGGCATTCTCTAGTCCCACTAAAACCAAGAGGTGCTTTCCAAAAGTGGACTGACTACTTGGGAGCTGGAGGTGTGGGATACGCTCCATCGTGCCGAGCCTGTCCCTGCCTGCGTTATACACGAAGGCCCAATTCTGCGGGATAAACGGGCGGAATCCCTCGAGAAACTCGAAGATCACGCGCTCCATATTCACCTTAAGCGGACGCCCCTCTCGGTTTACCGAACATTGTGACCTCGCGAAGGAAGATGAGATGAAAAGCACGGGTTGAACCTTTTGAACTTTTTCCCATCCACGGATCCTATCTTTCTGTAATACATCATGATAAAAGCGAACGGTATCTGTGGCTATGCGATGCCCCGCCTCGTAGGGGTGTTCGTGATGGACGACGCTAAGGGCTGACTCGGAACTCTGAAGGAACTTATCGGCAGCATTGTTGAAGAACCACCAAGCTGGGTCTTCCGGGATATTGTATTTGATGTCGCTGGCGGCTTTGTGGATACATTTTCGGTTTTTGACATAGTCAAGAGGGGTCCTGGAGTCAGACGCCATTATAGATGGGCTGGCAGGTATGACGCTTCAAATCTACTGGAAGTAGATTATACCCAGAAGATTATTAGTCTCCTCTATACGTAAATGTATAGTTGATTTGTACCCTTGTGGACAAGGATTAGGTTGTTGTAATGAGTGCTTTGGCTATGGTAAGACCTTTTATCAATTGTACCGGAGTTGCAATTGTTCTCTAAGTTTTTCATGAAATGGAAGACGCGTTGAGAACGAAAAAGAGAGTGTGATTAGGAGTTTCAAACGCTCTTTCAACATAGTGCTGCACGTATTAGAATGATGAGGCTCTTAGGCATCATCGTGGTATCACCAGGCAAGGTCATTGCCAGGCAACTATAATCATTAGGAGACGAGGCTTCTAGGCGGTGTTTAGGTATATCTAGATATCTAGATGAAGAGTTGAACGGAGAGCGGTTAATGTCTTGCCGCTTACTTATTCCAAATTTCGCAACCCATTCTGTAATGGGGATCAGTTAGAATAACACTCACCCACATAGCCCTGGTACAGACTTCACTGCTGTATGAAGAACATCCATTAAGTTCAAGCTTAATGAATAAATATCGCCAACACCCAATGTTTAAAACAGGCGTATTTGATGCTCTTCGTTTAAATTCTGGATTGTCTTTAACTATTTAGAAGGCACTAGGCCGATAAATTTCACTGGCAGCATGTTTAACGCTAGGAAGGGTGTAAACTCTCATAGAATCGATTTATAGACACCTGGTTAAACTCATGAGTCTCTTTTCACCGATGCGACTATATAGTGGCGTTTTGGGCCAGTCTTCTAAAAAGTCGTTGTGAAATTTTGGTATCGATGAGGGGCCTACTCGACTTATCGAGTACTCAGGTTTTCGGCGAGGGAAACGAAACAAAGCAGGGATAAGAGAAACATATAAATGTAAGAACCTAGAATCTGCATGACTAGTCGTACGACGTCAAGAGGGTTTCTGCGAATAGTACCACGGACAGTTCTTTCGGACACGGAAGGCTTCGGAATCGGAGACCGAACCCGAACATGTGGAGTCTTATGTCGGATGTTTTTATCATAATTGGATATGCCACTTTGTTTCTTTGAGAATTGAAATTCTGATGGAGCCAATGTTATTAACAAAATTCATATGGAAGACGTTGACGAGAGATATGTTACTTATAAACTTAGAATTAGTTCGTTTGATTGAAGAAAAATCAGAGCAAAGTAGTTTGTGAATTTGTGAAACTGTAGCTCACAAAATAAATCATTACCTAAATAGGTATATAAGTGGAGTATATCACATCGGAAGGTTGTATAGAAAGCTTCATAATGCGGGGGAAGTCGTGGCTTAGCGAGCACATCCTATTGGCCAGAAATTCAGGGGTATCAGTGTATAACCCCCACCTTTAATTCCCACCGCTATTCCACTCTGAAGCTTCCTTGGTTTTTTACAGTGGAAATTGAATCTCAAGCAACTGACCTTGGAACCATCCGATCCTTAAAAGTCAATTGACTTTCCAACCTTCCCCATTCTTCAATTCGTCCCATCCGCAACCTTTCCAACTAATAGGGACCACTTCTATTTTACACAATCAATTCAAATGACTGCGTAAATTGCTAGTTTGCTTTAACTGGCCGAAAGGACGACAATGGCCGAAAGAAAGTTTCCCGTATTGTCGAGGAGACAAATCGAAGGCTTGATCGCTGACGGACGGAGTGTTTTCATTCTCGATCAATATGTAATCAAGGCAGATGCATGGCGCCAGTATCACCCAGGTGGTGACAAGGCCATCTTGCACATGGTTGGTCGGGATGCCTCCGATGAAGTTACTGCGTTCGTGCTACCCTTTACCCTGTGTTATGTATACTAAACAATATCAATATTAAAATGTCTAACATGTTTCTCTTATTAGTCTCCATTCCCCCGAAGCAAGGCAGCAAATGAATCGTTATCGAATTGGTAAAATTGAAGGAAGATGGACTAATTTCATCCCCCCTATTCAAGGCGGCAAATTTAGGCCCTTGGTGGACGACGAGGACCTTGAGAATGATACCGACGGGTCCGATCCAACCTCTCCGACATCCTTGAGCAACCTAAGTTCCCGTGACCCCTCTCCTGTTTTCGACAATACCTCGGAATCTACGACCCGAAAGCGCCATACCGCCGATAAACAAATTCCTAGCTCGCCATCTACGACGTCTGTATCTTCCGTAGAGTTTGATGATGGCATGTCATACCTGAATACTATCACCAAGGAGAAGACCACCCTGGATTTGGAAAAATATCCATCCCTAGATTTCACTACACAGGACACTATTGTTACCAAGTATCGTCTGCTACGTCAGCACGTTAAAGACGAAAATCTTTACGCTTGCAACTACTGGGCATACGCCATAGAAGTTACTCGGTATTCCATGCTTTTCGGCCTCAGCTTCCTCTTCCTACACTGGGGTTGGTATATTCTGAGCGCGATATCACTAGGCGCAGTCTGGCATCAACTTGTCTTCTCAGCTCATGACGCCGGGCACATGGGCATAACTCATGGCTTCCATACAGATACCGTCATCGGCATTTTGATCGCTGACTTCCTGGGTGGCCTGTCTTTGGGATGGTGGAAACATAACCATAACGTGCATCATATCGTCACAAATGCGCCCGAGCACGACCCAGACATTGAGCATATGCCGTTCATGGCCGTTTCTCACAGGTTTTTCCAATCTATGCGTTCCACCTACTACGACCGTGTGATGGAATACGACGCTGTGGCAAAATTTACCCTCAGGATCCAGCCTTACACATACTACATATTGCTCCTCTTTGGGCGTGTGAATCTCTACCGCTTATCTTGGGAATATCTACTCGCAGGAAGGGGACCTCGGAAAGGCCCGGCCTGGTGGCACAGATGGCTCGAATTAGCCGGCATGGTGTTTTTCTGGAGTTGGTACGGCTATGGTGTCCTGTATAAGTCGATTCCTAATAACTGGGACCGATTCGTCTTTGTCATGATCAGCCACATGGTTCCTATGCCCGTACACGCGCAAATCTGCCTTTCTCATTTTGCGATGAGTACGTCGGATCTTGGACCCCACGAATCATTCCCCCAGAAAATGCTTCGTACTACCATGGATATCGACTGCCCTCAGTGGCTAGATTTTTTCCATGGTGGTCTACAATTTCAGGTCATACACCACTTATTTCCCCGAATCCCACGCCACAATCTCCGCCGTACGCAAAAGCTTGTGCAGGAATTCTGTGACGAGGTCGGCATTCCGTATGCGCTGTACGGTTTTGTGGATGGTAACAAGCAGGTCGTCGGCACATTGGCCGAAGTGTCGAGGCAAGCTGCAATTTTAGCCAAGTGCCAGAAAGTCATCTCGGAAAGCGATGACCCCATTCATGGGCATGGACACCACCACTAAAGTTCTGGTATCCCCTGTATTCTCGTAGCCTGAACCCCCTTTGTAAATAGGTAGCTGCCCCCTCTGTTGAACAGCGAGCGTGTACCGAAGGGACGGCCTAACATTAGATGGCGCAGATCCTTCTTAGTTACCATGTCTCAAATAGCATCCCGAGGACCTGATGCAACCTCGCTGAGGAACGTACGGGTCAATGTTTGCGAACTTGGCGACACGTAGTCGGACCGTCCTCCCGTTCCGAATTAATGAAGAATTACTACATTTCGAGCTCTAGGGTGGGAAGTTTTTTTTTTGTTTTTTTCCTGTTTTCTGTAGCGAGCCAATGCCGTGGCGAGCAAGAAGTGTCAAGGCTGGTTCTAGCATTTGACCTGCCATTTGTTGACCACCTTGTTGAAATTTGAGTGGCGTGTTAGTCCAACATCTTACCCCGAGATCTCGGGGTGTTGGTCAGAATCAGGCTCCCGTGATCCTTGTTCCGGTGGTCAACCCCCTTTTGCGGCCTTATCGGACGAGAGGATATATACCTGGCTAGGCTGGCTAGGCTGGCTCCGTCGTGGGATAATAATTTGGCAATTTTCGCAGATATTGAATTAATCCTATTGTGCGACACCGATTGACTCCTTACGTCTCAGCCTAAGCTACCTCCTATAGTCAGCTGAATTCAAGAATAAGCTGTCAGTGGTTTGCCTTCATTGCCTCTCCTGACCTCTGTGTTCTGTTGCGATCTCGGTCTTTTCTCAGTCTCAACTAGTGGTGGGTAGAAATATGTTGGTGGAAAACCGCGTATCGTCGGCGAAGGCAACGCTTGGATGCGTAAGTTTCCGATGATACGGGATTATTTCGTCACCTTCTTGCAGATGGCTGACCTCGCCGTAGTAGAATGAATGACTTCGATCTGCGCCGTCTACGTGCTTGAGAGGGGACAAAAAAAAGCATTGCGATTTTTTTTTTCACCGATCAATATGGATCCCGGGGGACTAGACTGTTCCTAGCCACTAGATATCTGGGCCTCACGATGAGATTGGTAGAGGCGTTTCTCATCTTACCCTACTTCATGTCAGTCGCTCTATTGTTTGCTACGGTCGCACATGTTCTGGCATGAGTTCTGCACCTGTCCTTCCTTGCATGATGCCTATGGGAAGAGCCCGGCTACCGGTGACGTGCCAGAATCATACATGAGATTTGCCTCATGCGTGCTGCCACAATGTCACCGGCATGAAGGGGAAAAAAGGAAGTGCGATCGAACACCAACGGCTTGACCGGGGACTGAGAACAAATATCCAGGCCGGTCTCATCCCACCATCAGATTTGGTCTATATAACTTCGCTTGTCGCCTCCATCTCTTCTTCTTATGTTCGCCAATCTTTCGACTCCATAGACACCATTTCATAAATGCCTCTACAACTCTGTATATCAGTTGACTTCCAAGTCTTACTTTTCTGCTTCGTTATATTCTTATTTATCTTGGCTCTTGCAGCCTGTCTTTGCTGCCTCACCTAGGATGGGCCCAACTAAGATGGATGAGAAGGCGGCTGCGCGGATCGCCAAGGCTCGCGGAAAGACCGTAATGCATGCCTAGCTCGAAGAATTGTCTGTGTTGCTTACCACCAGTTAGGACCCGTTCTCAAAGCGTGCAGATATGGCTGCTCGGAACAACAAGGAACAGAAAGGCGACGGCCCCGACGGGTCCTCTGGAAAGAGCGACACAGGCCAAAAGAAAGGCGATGGCGGCCAGGAGAAGTGAAGCAAGACTCGGAGCCAATCTCGGACCAATCATGAAGCTTGCACATAGTTATCGCGGAGGCGATGGTAGCTTTGACATCCGAGACAGGGCCCAGGGACTGAAGATCTAGACGGGTCTTTTGTGACAGATCATGGGGGGGGAATAATCTCGGTTTGCTGAAGATAGAGGGTTTGGCCAAGGGTTGCGCGATGGAATACGTACGGACAAGTCTCCGCTCAGGTAATGATGCCGCGATATCGACGTCACTCATATGGTGCACATGACATTCCACTGGATGCGGGACTCGTCGGGACAAGCCAAGCTGCATTCTGGAACTGCAGAGAGACCATAGCAGAGCGAAGGATGGTTAGTGGCGCTGGCGCTAACCCCCACGAGTAGCACCATCGCAGGATATAATAGGTGAACAGAGCACATCTACAGCAGTTAAGCTTAACCAAGATCACATATATTGATGTTGTGTTTGAGCGTGAATCACCTTGGACCCCTGCCCGCAGGGTCTTTTTGTATATGGCGATGCTTACTTATGCCAAATCCTAAATATGATATATTATAACTATTCGTACCAGCGGACGGGTTCTAGGTAAAAGCGCTTTACGACCTGATGTAACCTACCAAAAAGGGGATTACTTACCGCCCCGGTCTGCTGCTTCACCTGCCATCCATTATCGGCTTACCTTGTTAATCTGGTTGGCTGCATATATATCCATTTTGAAACAGCATATGCTTTCCCTCGGGCTTTACGGCATTACGTACAGGATTGTTGAGTTTATCATCAATAATAATAAACAAATAACGTAAGAAAGATACATACTAAGTAATGAATCACAAGCGGGGAGGGAGAAAACAAAAGGGGGATATCATAAGAAGTAATAATAGACTATTAATAAGGAAGGGATAACATACGGCGTTTACGAATCAAACATACGATTTGGATTAGAAAGAATGAGGCTTCTTCACCTAGTCTTACAAATCTTGCAGATTACCCTCCCATAATTGACTCTATTCTCCGCAGGTTACGACCCATTACAACCCATTACCACGTTTAAGTAACGCCCGGAAAGATCTCATTACGTCATTGTGCGTAGGGAGGGAAGCATCAACTAATAAAGACGATATATATGGTATACGAGTATGCAATATATCTAGGGCTGTGTTACGCACTGCTACCTACCTAGGTAGGTATCATTGTCTCTCCTTACCGTTGGATCTGGTCATACGTAGAGAAATGACGGATTCCTGAAGAAGCAATTCTAGACGGTAAGATAACTACCTATGATCGCGATTAGGTAACCCCATCGTCGAGGGGGGTTCGCGGAGATATCCTGTCGTTCTGGTTGGAGCGGTTGGAGGGGAAAGTAGAGAGGGAAAAAAGCAAAGAGAAAGAGAAATGAAGGTGAATAATATTGGTGAAACGGTACCTAATGAATGAATACCTAAGGCACTATTGATAGATACCTTATGTGAAATAACCATGTCTGCGTGGCGAGTATAGATATAGTAAATGAGGCATTTCTAGTGGTCAGATATATCCGTACTATCCATCGTGAGAAATCGGACTATTTTACTTCTAACATACCGCGGTAGGTACCTGGGTGTGTGTGTTGTGTGTGGCTAAAATAGGTAGGTAATTCGTCATCGTGTTCGTTTCCCATGCCTAACGCGTTATTCCTATTGGTATTAGTATTGGTATTGGTATTTCTTTTTCTTCTTTTCCCCCCTTTCTCGTTAAAACTCCATCTTATAAGTCCGAGTGGCTTCGCGACGGTATTTGGAAATCCCGATATTACGTCATTGTCTTTGCTCAGGTGGGGGTTTCATATATCGAAAGGCTGCGCAAGAACTCGTGGTTGATGGATGTAACGTCTTAGTAAAGGTATAGTAGGTATTCTCAAGGAGTCGCGCATATGAAGAAGTGATTCGTACTGATACCGAAATGTACCCAAGCTCCCTTAGATATACATCTTGTTATATAGCTCGTCCCTTATGATATTTTGACTTCAACTTTTATGAAGTCTGATCTTTCAGTACCTGAGAATGATTTTGGTGTGGCATTTCGTATCATTGGCGCGCTAAATACTGAATGTTGGAGAATTGGGGGGTTGGGGTTACTCATTAATATTCTGATAGATTGGCCGGTGAAACAACTGCTGGCATGTTATCGAAATTATTAAGAGGATAATGTTACTGTGGCGCGCTGAGGGCAAACTTGCGTTAAGCAGCTTGTAACCCCCTGTGAAAATCTTAATACAGACGCCACACTTTCCTCTAGAAAGCAATCCAATCCGATACCTACATAAGGTAGGTAGGATACATTATGTACATACATGTACATATATACAGGTATCTAGCATGCCTAATGCACGTACTGTAGGTACATAAAGGTAAGGTTCAGCCTCGTTAGCGTGTAACGGTCAGCTGGGGTTAGTGGATTCTGCCCCGCCGAATCCAATCCCTGCACAGAACGGCACAAGGGACTTACCTACATCATCGGTGCTTCATCCCCTCAGCCTTGCTTCTTCCTATCTAATCTTGGTCCTGGTCCCCCATCACGAGGTAGCCTTATTTTGTAAACCCGCTACGTTGGTTAAAATAATCTCTTCCATCTTTTAACCAACAGAAACAAGCGTTTTTTTTTTAAAAGACATAAAACACCTGAACACCATCTTGTATTCTTGGGCTATCCGCCCGGTTGCCTGACCAATCCGAGATTTCACGTGCTAAGCTCTCTGTGAAGTAGACGAACCTCCTTGCCATCGGAGCAGCGCAGCACAGCATGGTAACGTGACCTGAGAATCCGAAACGGAGACGCAACGATGGAACCCAATATCCAACGGCTTCTTAATGATAAGCTATACGATAAGAGGAAGACCGGTGCCCTTGAGTATGTATTTCCCCTCTCAACATTCATCCCTCCATTAATTAGACTAACTCTTCTAGACTCGAACGTTCCATCCGAGAACTAAGCGTCGCCAAAGACTACCAGAGGATCAAAGATATCCTTGATCAGTTATGTAACGAATATGCATATGCAGTTCACCAACCTCATGCCAGGAATGGAGGATTGATAGGTCTGGCTGCTGCTGCTATTGCCCTGGGCCCAGTACGTGATATCCTTTATCCCCCTTTATCTGCCTTTTAGGTAATATGGTTCATTGTTTGCTGGGGCTCAACCTTGCTTATCTAACTTGACACTTTAAGGAACTACCAAGATACCTCGAGGTCATAGTACCACCTGTCCTGGCGTGTTTTACCGATCAAGACGCCCGCGTCCGGTACTATGCCTGCGAGTCTATGTATAATATCGCCAAGGTTGCCAAAGGGGAAATCTTGAAGTATTTTAATCACATATTCGATGCTTTATGCAAGGTACCGTTGACCCCATCCCCAGTTCCCCCTTTTACATAATCTGATATGATTAATTTATACAGCTGGGTGCCGACTCGGAACTTTCTGTAAAGAATGGCGCCGAACTTCTCGATCGCCTAATCAAGGATATAGTTTCTGAATCCGCGGCAACGTATGTTTCGGTACTTGAGGCTGATGTGCCTCCGCCTTATGAGACGAAAGACTCCGAACAGAGTTCCTCCCCTCATCCTAGCCCCCCGACGGCGTTTTCGCTTCCCAGATTCATCCCTCTTTTGAAAGAGCGAATTTGGGTTATGAACCCATTTACGCGAACCTTTCTCGTCGGTTGGATTACCTTACTAGACTCCATTCCAGATCTTGAGCTAGTTACGTATCTGCCTGAATTTCTAGGGGGTCTATTGAAATTTCTTTGCGGCAATAATCGCGATGTCCATGCTGCGACGCAAGCTTGTTTGGATAAGTTCTTAAACGAAATCAAACGCATCTCCCGGGTAAAGAAGGGAATTGCCGAAAGCAAAAGATCAAAGGGAGACGGAAAGAGAAAACGAGAAGACTCAGTTGATAGTGGTAGTATGCATCTGGAACAGGATGACGCCGAGGAAGCCGGTTCTACTACTGCCAACGAGGACGAAGACGAAGTTAGCAGCGAGGATGATTGGATCCCAGGGCAGGATGTCCAGATCAACTACAAGGCAATACTCGAGATTCTTACCGCAACTCTTGATTCTCCTCTAGGTAAGTGTCTGTGCTCGCGTTACGCACGACTTTAGGTTCTAACGTTTAAAAAGAGGAAGACAGCCTTTTAGAGAGTTTGCGGTGGATAGTATCGTTTCTCGAAATTTGCCCTGAAGAGGTCCTACCGTTCACTCCTAAAGTTCTAGCTCATCTTCTACCAGCAATGGCTAGCGGAGTCGAACCGATTCGTCAAGCTGCAGCAAAGGTGAACGGTTCGCTGATGGAATATGTTGTTTCTCTTACCGACGAACCAGAAGTACCGCAGGGCCCATCAGCCTCACGACTCTCCGTGCCTGGAACCACGGACCGCCCTGAGGGAGCATCTAGTGGGCGCGCCTCTTTATCGAGTGGCCGTGAAATAGACCTACGTAGTCCCACGCCTGCCCATAACCATAGAGCACCTACCCCCGCCCAATCTACTCAAACCCAACCGGATTTAGATTACGCTGCCGCAGTCAACTCTCTCACCTTGTTATTTCTCAATGATCACGAAGCAACTCGTGTCGCCGCACTCACTTGGCTCATAATGTTGCACCGAAAGGCACCAAAGAAGATTGTTGCATTCAATGATGGAACATTTCCTGCCCTCCTCAAAACGCTGTCGGATCCGGCCGAAGCTGTCGTCACCAAAGACTTACAGCTACTTTCCCAAATTTCGAGAAACAGTGAGGATGATTATTTCTCCAACTTCATGGTTAGCCTCTTGCAGCTCTTCTCAACAGACAGGAAGTTATTGGAGACTCGGGGGAACCTAATTATCCGTCAACTATGCATGACTTTAAGTCCCGAGCGGATATATCGTACACTGGCCGAAACAATCGAGAAAGAAGAGGACCTTGAGTTTGCTAGTATAATGGTACAGAATCTCAATAACAACCTCATCACGGCCCCGGAGCTAGCCGACCTGCGGAAGCGGTTGCGAAACCTGGAGACGAAGGTAATGTTTTTTTTTTTTTTTATTATTTATCAACTCGATATACTGATTAACATCTCGCTCACAATTCTGTAGGATGGCCAAGCCTTTTTTGTTGCCCTATTCCGTTCTTGGTGCTACAATGCTGTCGCTACCTTTTCCTTGTGTCTGCTTGCGCAGGCATACGAAGCTGCCTATAACCTCTTACAAATCTTGTGAGTACCAGATCCTAGGTAGGTATCGAAGTCTTTGACACATCGCTAACGGATATAAGTGCGGAACTCGAGATGACAGTCAACATACTTATCCAAATAGACAAGCTTGTCCAATTGATCGAATCCCCTGTCTTCACGTGTGAGTTCGACTTCGATAACCTGGTCCCTTTTAGATGCGCTAACATTGAGACCACCAGATCTACGACTTCAACTTCTCGAACCCGATAAATATCCGTACCTGTACAAGTGTCTGTACGGACTTTTAATGCTTTTGCCACAATCCTCTGCTTTCGCCGCCCTTAAGAACAGATTGAACAGTGTAAGCTCGATAGGGTACTTGCAAATTGGGCCACGACCGTATGTAAACCCATTCTCTAATACTACCCCTACACATTCCAGGCAAGGTTCTGTAGCCGAAGCTGTTTCTTGTTTCCAAAACCACACTCGTTCTAAAAGCGGCCATGACACTCATGCTTCACCCATTACTAGTTCTGCCACAGCACCTAGCGCATCAAGTTACGATCGGCCAAACAGACTGGGAAAAGGCCGCGAAGACGGCATGATTCGATGGGATCAGCTTCTCGAGAAGTTCAGAAGTGTACAGGAAAGAGCAAGACGGGCACAGAGAATTATTGATGGAAGCAGCCTCGACGATGGCCTGGATTTCGGCGGCTTACGTATCACGGAGAAGGAGGCGCCACGACCCCCAGCTGGTCCAGCTGTACCACCGAAGGATTCGACACCTGCTGCGGCACCACCTAAACGCTCGGGATTAGGAAGACAATTCGGTAGACTTGGAGCGTCGGTTTCGGGCAGAGGTAAACGATCCCAACAACAATAGTCGAGTCGTTGGCGATAAACGCCAAGCTTGTGCTTAGATTGCCGGAGTAGGATGGCCATTTGTTTACCTGTACTCATACCCAGCAGAGATGGCGGGAATACATACGTGATAGGGAATGTTTTTGAAAGACTGTTTGCACGAGCGGTGAGGTTCTGTTTTGTACTTTGTACTGTATTGAGTACTGTTAACTGCACAGCGTGAATACCTGGATTATAAGATCATACAATATTAATGTCATTGATTACTACCTACAACCCTTCAAAATCTCCTCCGAGTCTTTACTGGGCTCTCTCGCTCTACTAACCTCTCGAAATTCTCATCTCTCTTCTCCGTCGCATCTCGAAGCTCAGAACGGAGCGCTTCTAACTCAGCTCGTGCTGCCTCGATGTCTGGCGGCAACCCAGCAAACGCCCGAACTTGCGCATCTAGATCCTTCTTCCTAGTCAGTAACTCGAGATATGCCTCCTCGTCTTCCTGAACGTCCTCGACCGTCAAACTTGGTAGACCACCAACGGCCTTCTCTAAACCCTGAACTTGACGCGCGAGCTCAGGAAGGCGGCCCTCGGTAACTTGGTTCTTCCGTTGTAGATCCAAATTCTGTCGTGCTAGGTCTGGTCTAGGTTGATATGCATCGCCACTTTTCAGCTCTTCAAGAAACGCAGCCGCGCGCTCGGCTTCTCGATCGACGTACCGTCGGAGTAGGTCTACCCGCTCGGCAGCGTCCGAGGCGGCGACCAGGCGTGTTCGGAGGTCTACGATATGCGAGCCTAGGAGCTCAGGAGTAGGGTGGGCGACACCAAGTTCGACGGAAGTGGTAGCTAGGGCGTCGAGGGCTGTTTGGCCTTCTTTACTTAGGTTGGACTCGAGGGCGGTGAGGAGGTCTTGGGCTAGGAGATCTCCATCGATTGGTGCTTCTTCCCCCCCTTCTATTCGTTGTTCTTGTCGCTTTCTCCTGTCTTCTCGCTCTCGTTCTTGTGTCCGTACATCTTCGAGGGCGGCGGCTTCGACTCGAGCGAGTTGGTCGCGATCTTCGTCTGCGGCTTCACTAGCGGCAGCGAGTGCGAGGAGGGCCTTGAGGGTTTCGGGGTTGCGTTCGAATGCTGGAGGGCGCCCGCGATTAATATTTGAGTTGGAGTATTTGCTTCGTAGCCAGTCGTCCACGTAGGACCAATCCTTAGCGGCAGAAGCGGCGGCTCGGGCTACTGAGGGCGAGAATATGGCGGCTTGGTGGTTAGAAGAGGAGCGGGAGTGAGACATTATCGTATTGAGCGTCAAGAGGAGGATATGTGGTGAATTGGATGGGGTGATGCCCTTTCTTTATTCTATCTCATGTAAGCACCAAATTAGATATGTACATGTGTAAATATTTGTTGCGACGACGAAAGTAAATCATGTGAATTAGAATTCGAGAACACGTCAAATACACGCGACTAACAAGGATGTACAGGGGAAGTGGGTGCCAGTAGGATTTCCGATTTGGTGGGGTTGCTCCTGCGGCTGCAACTGGCCGTCGCTGTATCGGCAAGTGGAATTTCTATAGCCCCTCTTGCCTCTTTAGGAAAAGGTCACCCGCGGCGCGTCAGGCAGTCCAGAACACAAATCGACTTTGGAAGTGGCCAGGTTGTCAATGCAAGGATCAATTTGTTTAGTAAGTACTTTGTAACACAATATTACCTACGCATTTTGATAGGTACTTCTCTAGCAGATTCTGCTAGATTCACGTAGTAGCCACTTGTTAACCTTTTAGTAGCAACTTTATCAACACTGTCCCTTTTATAGATCGACCTTCTTCCTTTTTATCTCCAGCTAACCAATCCTCTTTTCTCCTAGTTTCTCGAAAAGTACTCACTTTCCCTCGAACGTCCTCACATATTCGCATATCTTGGAGTATAATCTCACCTTTTGTCTTTTTTAACCTAGCGAAACCCTGACGGCGTCCGCGCCAACGGGCAATACCGTCTACTTATTGTGTCGTCACCATGATCGTCCCTCTATCAGCGTTGGCTGTCGCGGCCACTGCGTTGTCCTCCACCGGTCTTGTCGCGGGTTTGTCTGCTTCAGATATACCTTCCGATACCCCCATATCATCACTGCTCTCTTCTGCGCAGACCCACTTGACGAAAGGCGAAACAAGCGAGGCCTTGATTTACTACGATGCTGCTGTCGCTCGCGACCCCAACGATTACCTGACCTTCTTTAAGCGCGCAACCACCTACCTTTCGCTCGGCCGCACGTCGCAAGCTACTTTGGATTTCAATAAGGTCCTTGAACTGAGACCCGGTTTCGAAGGCGCACACGTACAACTTGGCAAACTCAAGGCGAAGAGCGCAGACTGGGAGGGAGCCAAGGAGCAATACACCCTAGCTAAACAGAAGGCTGGTTCCCCCGACTTCGATAAACTTATTGAAGCCCAAGGTGCCGCTAAATTGGCGGAAACAGCCGCACAAAGTGGGAATTGGGATGAGTGTATAAGTCAGGCAGGAGAGGCCATCATGGTCGCAAACCGAGCTCCGAATCTCCGTGAACTGCGCATCAAGTGTCGATTTGAAAAGGGTGAAGTTGAAGAAGGAATGAGCGATCTGCAGCATGTTCTGCAGATGAAAGCGGGCGATACCACTCCACACTTGCAGATCTCGGCCACTACATTCTATGGCTTAGGAGACTTGGAACAGGGCATGACTCAGATCAAGAAATGCATGCATTCCGATCCAGAGTCCAAGCCGTGTAAAAAACTGCTAAGGCAAGAGAAGAACGTTGATAAGACATTAGCTAAAGTCAACAAGGCTCTGGAGAGGAACCAGCCTATGACTGGTGTTAAATTATTAGTACCATCTGGCGAAGAGCCTGGTTTAATCAACGAGGTCGAAGAGCAGATCAACGAACTTAAGCAGAGTGGGATTATCCCGGAACGTGCGCCCAATGTTTTGCTAGCTCGGTTAGTTGAGACTGCTTGTCAGGCTTATTATGAGGTACTATTAATTCCTTTCCCGCCAACAAGGATGAAAGCTAACTATCATATAGTCAAATAGCAAGAAAGCGAGCACATATTGTGCAAAATCTCAAACACTGGATGAGAATTCATTCTACGGACTTATGTACAAGGCAAAGACGCAACTAGAAGCAGAAGATTTTGATGCTTCCATTGCGACATTGAAGAAGGCTTCGGAACTTAGACCGGATAAGAACAACATCATCAACCCTGTAATGCAAAAGGCTCAAGTGGCTCTGAAGCGCAGCAAGACGAAAGATTACTACAAGGTCCTTGGCGTTGCCCACGACGCGGATGAACGACAAATAAAGGCAGCCTACCGAAAATTAACCAAGATACATCATCCTGATAAAGCGGCGAAACAAGGCCTCAGTAAGGAACAGGCGGAGAAAAAGATGGCAGATATCAATGAGGCGTACGAGGTTCTCAGCAACCCCGAGCTCCGGGAAAGGTTCGACAGAGGAGACGATCCCAACTCGCACGAACAACAAAATCCATTCCAACATGGACATCCGTTCGGCGGCGGCGGCGGCGGTGGTGGTGGCCCGTTCATGTTCCAACAAGGCGGTGGGCAACAATTCCAATTCAAGTTTGGATCCGGAGGCGGTGGCTTCCCGGGAGGATTCCCATTCGGTTAAAGCGCTCTTCAATAAAGATATCCTGCATGACAATGGGCGGCTGGAGTTTGTGGAGTTTTCGAGAGTGCATGATAGTAAATATGCATTTAATTAAGATGATACTTTTAAAAATTTGCACACATATATATATATATAAGACATGTATACTTTAGCTCCTTGCCAATTTCCCTGCAATGGATCTCGGGATGACAATTAAGGCCATCCCTTGGTGGATGATCAGTGATTGGTGAAAATTACAACTGACATGTCTACGAGGTTATATAGTTATCAATATGACGACACCACCGGTACGTGTACCGATATCAAGTATGCCCTGTATATTGTTAACAGCAGCTGTGGTGTTGGGTTTCGACTTTCCCCTCTATTCATTCGGATATAAGTCACCTATCAGACCCTTACCATATGGGCTGTACGAGTTACCTTTAACCAACACTCGTCATTGAAGTAACATGCGTCCATGCCCAATTCCACAAGAGAACCGGTGTACCACAATCCTACAGGAAACATGATTATGCAGTTATTTATCTTTTGCCATGTATATTGATTCTGTGTGGTCACGGAGATAGAAGTAGAAACATGTACACGTAACCCGTCTGCCTGCCTTGGCCGCGGAGTTACTTTCAGCTACCACAATTGCCTGCCGCTGATAGAAACATATTATGTACGTCATACATCCAGGACGGGAGACGGGAAGGGTCTCACTACATACATGTACTAGCAATATAATATCCACGTATAGGCGACGGGTACTTCGTAGGTAAGCACGTAATATATCACAATTTACGGCGAGAAAGGAAAAAAAAAGGAAGAAAATCAATATATGTTGGAGGTGAATGGTTTTTTTTTTTTTGAATAGCGTGTCGGGATGATATGCCAATCATGAATATCAACGCTGTACCTATCCTCATTTGATGCCGCATCCACAAACAAAAGCCAAGTCTCATAACTGTACACTGGGAATTCCCTAAGCCGAAAAAGGTCAGACCCCCCTCCCTACCTCTCCCCGTTTAGGCCTTATATAGGTAAACCCAACCGCCGTCATAAATGAAGGGGCAATTTTATAAAGACGTCGAAAAAAATAAAAGTAAAAGAGAAATGGGGAAATTGAAAAAAAGCAAAGCAAGTCAGAACGCCGTCTCCTTCTTTCGCAGCATCCCGCCATTATCATTTCATTTAGAACCTTTCTCCGACCTCGGGGCAATAACAAAAGGTCGGAGGTATGATACGAAAAAAAAAAAACATCTCAAGTCATATATACAATCAAGTGTCTACGTCTACCTCGGCCAGACACCCTTTTCCGGATTTTAGCTGGTTTTTTCGAATAATTCCCCTTTCCATTCCGATTGCTCGTGAAAAAACTTCTTTTGGGATTCGCCCGGATAACGAGGGAAATTCGGAAGACCACGGGAAACTCCACGTAAAACTCCAACGGGCAACCGTATCCAGAAGACCTGTCATATGTATCGAATCGAGTTCCATACCACGCCCGCGGGCCACAAAGGTTCGGTGAACCAACCTATAAAATGGATCCCCCTCCTTCTCTAAGGCTCGTGTGAAACAAGGGCCATGCGAAGCCCAAAGGACTCCAAGGGAAGAAGCCCAATTCAAGCTAAAAAGCGGGATGTATTACTTTGACTGTAGCGATAGGGATTCGCGGCGCTCGGGCTCGGTCATCTGTAGGCTCGGAGATATGCTGACGCCCGGGAGGATCGGCAACAAAGGGGGCCGATTAGTGGAGTTCTTCGTGGATACCTTCGAAAAACAGCACTGGGACTCAATGCTTGTCCCCTACCTATTCCATCATGATGCTGCTGTGTTGGTGCGAATGAAATACGCCCTAGAAGAAATTTGTAAGTTTATATGACGCAAAATGTTGAACAAAATTTCGAAAATGAAACGTACTTTGAAGCCTCGTAGGCCGACCAGCAAATGGCTGTGCTCGGCATTGTGGTCACCACCCTCGGCCGAACCCCTTTAAAAAATCCACGCACTCCCTCCCGTCGGTACATGAGCTTGCACCCTGCTATGAAACCATTGACCGATCTAAGCTCTGGGTCCGTTGCAGTGCCACGAGTCTGCAGCATCGTCTTAATCACATCCATTGGTGTCGTCAATGCGGCAGCAAACCCACCGGCAACGGCGCCTGCCATGCAATGTGTAAAAGGGTCGTATTTCTTGCTCGGGTTCATGGTCGTAGAGAGGGATTCGTATGCAAGGAATTGTAAAGCGGTGAACGGTACGGTCATGGATAGGGTGGTGGGGTAAGAGACGTAAAACGCCGAGAGACCTTCCGTTTTGTAGACATATCGAGCGCAATCGGTCATCGATCGATACATCTTGCTGGAGTTTTGAATTTGCATGCGTTGTTTGATGACTATACCCATAGTTAGAATAATAATCAAATTAGTAGCATCTTCAATTTGGTAACATACCGTCGAAGGGGTTCATCAGCGCATCGCTTGCTATTGTCGCACAAGCTCCACTCGTGGCTGGTAGAAAAAGGGACAAATTAGACATCTAGTACCAACGCACATCAGACTGAAATTGGGAGGGAATTTGCGCCTACCTGCTGCTAAAGGGTGATGAACACCAGCCCTGTTACCGCCCATCACGTGCTTGACTGCTTCATATGTCGCGAAGTAGACAGCATGCGCAGGTCCTAAAAGTCGGAGGAGTGAGATAATGAGCAATATAGAGCTTTACGAAGAGAACGTACCGGCACCGACGACGACACTCGACATTCCTCTCCATAATTTCAGGACACCTTCTCCACTCGCAATGCGCATGGTGCTCTGTATCATCCCTTTATAGACAGCGTTTGCAGAGGGGTTTATAATTTGCATTCGAGTCTATGATGATATCAAGTTAGCTTTGTGCCGCACGGTTGGTTGTGATCAGACGTTGCGCACCTTAATCGCGTCGATCGGGTACATAACAGTGTGTTCCTGTCATTTTGTTAGCTTCAACGGCGATCTCGATATAGCGATACGAGGAGCAGTCGGTGCATACAGCTATACCCGCGAAAGCGCCGGCCGTCATATTTTGGGCGAGCGAAAAGTTCGGTGGTAGGGATTCGTAACTAGCAAGTTAATTCGAGTACGTTAGCAACAATATCGGTCATACTCAAGAGTGGAAGAAGAAAAAAAAAAGGGCGGCTTACTCGTAATCCTCCACAGGCTCGACCGTAGGCTGGGCCATTTTGGCCACAGCTGAGGAGCCTTCGCCGAAGGCCTTAGGTTGGAGCGCCAGGGTTGCGTCTAAGTGAGATCGAGGGGAAAGTCGTCGCGCGAGGTGCAGCTCAGAAGAGGCTGACTAGAGATGTCGCTATTTGTCGGAATGGAGGAAGTCTTACGCAGAATGCGAAATATGATGAGGTGAAAGAGTAGCGACGATTCGGACGTGAGGGACAAAGCGGTTAACAAAGGATTAAAGTTGAAAATCGCAAAGAGAGAAGGTGTACGGCTGAGGTGGAAATGGATCGGCAAGTTTGGTGGTGGTACGAATTGTGGTGATGAAATGTGTGGTAGAGTTTGGGAAGTTAAGAAAATAATTCCGGGATCAAATAACGTAGATGGTGGTGATAATGTGGTACAAGAATAGCTATATGTACGCTATGTACTTTTTTTGCTTGTGCATGCTCGACTTTTTCAATTTGATCGCAAGCGTAATTCGGAGGCCGGCCTCACAGGGGTGTGTCGGAGCCGTCCAGGCCATTGGGTTTAAGGTGCTAAAGTACCAGATGTACCCAAGTATCTAACCTTCTCAGTCCACATCAGGTCTAGTGCACCCAGTGCGAGCAATACTTTTAGCCCCATGAGGCCAAGGCTGAAATGCACCCGTTCCGAACTGCATGTGGCTTGTGACAGGTAAACTCTTCAATCAGCAAAATAAAATCTTACTGCGATCCCCAATTTCCTTTTTCTTTCTTTTTTACCTGCGGGTGTCAAACCCTATATACAAATAAACAAGTACTTTTATTTTTATTTGTCTTTCTTCAACACAGTACGTGCTACTGAATTAATTGCCGCCTTTTGCACTTTTTATACAACCTTATTAGCTGACAGCTTGCTATGAAACCGCTAAAGTGGGGACAGCTATCAGATAATCAGATAAAAAAAAAAACAAGCAGCCTGTGGAATCTTTAGCATGGGTCATTTTCACGTGTGTTCCAAAGTCCTCCCATCTATGTCAACAGCCTCGTTAATCTCTTATATATATATAAAGACCCGACAGCAGGGGAACTCCCTCGCGGCACTGCACACTGCAGCCCTGAAATCTGGGGTAATATGTTACATTCCTGTTCGATCGAACTATCATCGTATGATATGAATGTCATTTTGGGATACTTATCTAGATTCATCTTCTTGGCATCGAAGAGAACCCCTCATTACATATTTCCGTCAGCCGTTTTTACTGGTATTTATTCTCGTCGGTTTCTAAAGAGACGGTCCATCGATTTTTCATACTCTAAGCTTTAGCTGAGTGCGGAAATATGAGAGGAATCCACCCACCAAAATTTGACATGCCTAAGTATCCCCGAAACCCGACTTTTCTACGGGATTACGGATAAAACATCGGGCTAACCACTTTACCGCCTATCGATACGATATAACTTGTTACCTAGGTAATGCCAACATTTAAACATTATTACCGATGTATTCCATCGCGCCGGGATGAGTGGTTACGCGAAGCAAGACCAATGTTAGCGCCTTGTCTAATATCTGACATAATAACCTCGACCTTCATGCCATCCAACAAGCTTTTATGGGGTGTTGTGGTATGGCGAGCCCATACTATTCGTTCTATCGTCTAAGGTGATATGACTTCGAGCAAGTTTAGGTGTTTGCCTATAGAATCCTAGAAGTTTTATAGTGTTTCACAAGGCAGAGAAAGAAGACCTTATAGGTTCAGTACCGATACGAAGAACGAATATCAAACATCTGACAAATCACATCAGGTTGGTCCTAATAGGTCTCAGACCATTAGACGCCCCAGCATAGCATACTTACGCCTTTCCTTTGTTTGCCAGGCCTGGAACTTATCCATGTGCCAGGGATCGGGGTAAGCTGGGCGAGCACAACCTCAAGTGAGCGTGTAACCTCCGAGTATCCAAGATTATTGATGAAACCTGCTCCGCGTTCATAGGAGCTACTTGAGGGTATAGGCAATCTCCAGTGAGGCAGACTTAGTTGAAAATAGCCTGGGAGGTTTGGCCCAGTACCCAGGTAGATGGTTTGCTGCATTTCATAGCAATCAAAAGCTCACTGCTGCTTTAGGTCAACATACTAAATCGAACTAGAGTCGCAAACATCAAGAAAACAACAATTCGAAAACAGAATATACCTGTAGTGGAAGAGGATCCCGGTTTGGTATTTAAGAGTCGAGGAAACTATATGCGTTTTTCATAAGTTATCAAATAGCTATTTGAAAAGCAGCCTAAAGAATGGCGATATAAATTCTGGGCGATCATTCGCGATTTTGGGGGGGTTATCGCCCCTCTATCATTTGTGTTCCTGGCAAGTTTGACTGTCGCTCGTGAATCCTGGGTGGTTTAAAATATCTGTTAGGCAGTTCGGGGTCTATATCGCACCAGTGTCCTACATTTTATGTTAGTCGCATTATTCTTATTTCACCCTCATCTCGTAACGTTGCGAAGTACAATGTAGAGTGTTGTAACACCAGCATGAGATCCGGCCAATTAGATTCGAGTGAGCACATTTATAACTCAGTATACGTGTATACCTAGGTAAGTTCCAACATATTAATTCATAGGATAGCATTGATAGTTGCCTACTCCGCGGAAAGGAGGCATGTCAGTTATCCCTTACTTAGCTTCGACTTACATTACATCTAGACGTCTATAAGTGTTGGTGCCTTATAATTGCTTCAATGGTACTGTGATATGCACTATTGTGTCGCTCAAGCTGCACGTAATTCTACTTCGAGCAACGTTTGTTATAGTATCTGTAAAAAGGTTTATATTCCGTGAAGTAACTTCCTCATAATTGTTTCATGGGATTACATAAGAACCTCGGAAGTTCCTCTAGCTTGTTACCGTGTCAACGTCGGCCGATAACTCTGATAACTTGGAAATGTGACTCATTATCTACCTAGGTACAATATGTACCCAAGCAGATCAATGCATTTTGGCTATCGGGTTTTCTTTCACGTATCTAGAAAAGGATGGTGGGGCTAGCTCGTTGAAGGCCAAACTTGATGCAGGAGGGAGCATTTGAACCTGAGGGACGGGTACAAAAACCGACTCGATCATTGGTCAATTCCAGTTTTTGGTACGTCACCACTACTAGGCTAAACCATTTACAGGGATCTTAATGGTAGTGGTCATGTGACAGCTCCTCAATTTCGGCTCTGGAAAGTACGGATATACAACGGTACGACCCTGAGCTGGGGAACCGACGATCGGCGTACGTGGGGTTGCGGTTACACTCCGTTTATGATTTGTGATTCATTGCAGCGAAAAGTTGAAATTTCTTTCCTGGCACAAAAGCAAAAAACATAAAGCATAAAGAGAGGCAACAATTTTCTTCTTCCCAATTCCCTTCCATAATAACCCCACAAGACACAATCACTAGATACCCGACAACCAAAGATAAAAAAACATGTGCGAAACAAATGGTTCTACCGCCAGCAATGTACGTTTACCCAATCCCAAATTTCGACATTTTCACTTACTAACATTTCTTTGTTTTTCCAGGGCGCAAATGGTACCAACGGTACTAATGGTACAAATGGCACACAGCCTGCTCGACGCTCCAACCCATACCAATCCAACCCGGGCGAGTTCTTATCCAATGTAGCTCGCTTTAAGATTATCGAGTCGACTCTTCGCGGTTAGCCATCACAATTTCTTCCTCGGATCCAATTCGACCCATACTGATAATTCTCTTAGAGGGAGAACAATTCGCCAATGCCTACTTCGACACCCAAACCAAAATCAACATGTACGCCCCTTTATATCCCTACTCTCTGCGCTTTACTAATATTATTTTTGCAGTGCTAAGGGTATGCCGAATCTTCCAAAATCCCGTCCTTTATGCCACAATACTGAACTATCGTTTCCACAGCTCTCGATGCTTTCGGAGTCGACTACATAGAACTCACATCCCCAGCCGCATCAGAACAATCGCGGTTGGACTGCATTGAAATATGCAAGCTCGGACTCAAGGTATGATCTCTGCCGCTATTCGGTCGCAGATCCAGACTAATACTTCTTTTAGGCCAAGATCTTGACCCGTGAGTCATCTGAAGATGCCACTTATCCCTTGCTTTACTTACTGACTGTGACTTATAGACGTCCGATGCGACATGCGAGATGTCCAAATGGCCATTGACACCGGTGTAGACGGCCTTGATATCGTCATTGGTACCTCACATTTCCTTCGGGAACACAGCCATGGAAAGGACATGGCCTTCATCACTAAGGCCGCCTTAGAAGTGGTTCAATACGTCAAGGACAAGGGCATAGAGGTTCGATGTATGTTGATATCCTCTATTCTTCTTGGATGTTATCACTAATAGGACTCTAGTCTCAAGTGAGGATTCGTTCCGATCGGATCTTGTGGATCTTCTATCGCTTTATAACGCTGTGGACAAGATTGGTGTCAACCGTGTCGGCATTGCTGACACAGTTGGTTGCGCCAGTCCTCGACAGGTCTACGAGGTATATTAATCACCTCGCCTCATCATCGTAATAATGTTAACCTTGGAAATAGCTCGTGCGAACGCTGAGGGGTGTAGTTTGTGAGTTGATATAATATGTTTTTTTAGATTACATTTACTAACTCCTGTCAGCTTGTGACATTGAGACGCACTTCCACAACGACACAGGCTGTGCTATTGCCAATGCGTGAGTCTCTCATTTAACATGAAACTGTTTTGTGTTACTAACGGGATCATAGCTTCTGTGCCCTTGAGGCCGGTGCGACACATGTCGATACTAGTGTACTCGGAAGTGAGTGTCTTGTGCTACCACGGGAAATTTCTACGAGTGTATATGATTACTAACGTGTGTCACAGTCGGAGAGCGAAACGGAATCACTCCTCTTGGTGGCTTCCTAGCGCGTATGGTGGTCACAAGCCCTGATTACGTCAAGAGCAAGTACAAGCTCAGCATGATCAAGGAGGTTAGTTTGTCACAAATGCGTTAATATGAATTTGATGTCAACTAATATAATTAGATCGAGGACATGGTTGCTGAAGCGGTGGAGATTAACACCCCTTTCAACAACCCTATTACAGGTTTCTGTGCCTTCACCCACAAGGCTGGTATTCAGTGAGCTAAACCCCTCCGAAAACACCTTCCAATACTACTTTCAGTAAAGTGATGTTATTTTGAGGCGTTATATTAATACCAATTGTTATAGTGCCAAGGCCATCCTCAACAACCCGTCGACATACGAGATTCTCAACCCGGAAGACTTCGGTCTTACACGCTACGTCCATTTCGCTTCCCGATTGACGGGCTGGAACGCCGTCAAGACCAGAGTTACGCAACTTGGCTTGACCATGACAGATGAGCAAGTCAAGGAATGGTATGTGTTAATTCAAGTTGAATATTATTACTATGACTAACTGATCTTTCTAGTACTGCCAAGATCAAGACATTGGCCGATGTTAGGCCAATTGCCATTGATGACGCCGATTCCATCATCCGCAGTTTCCACCTGAATTTACAAAATGCGCAAACCGTCAGCAGTTAGGGGGGCGTAAATAGTTGGGTGTGATTTTTTTTTTCTTAAATTGGAATCCTTCAAAAAGGGGGCAGCATCAACAAAAGGGATGAGGATAAAAGTTCTAGTTGCATAGCTTCGGTTTGGGAAGAACTAAGATCTTAAGATCTGAGAAAGGGCCGCAATTTCAGGCCGTGTAAGCTTCGTTTTATTTTACAACCCGGTCGTTTGGGGGCCAAAAAGTGATTTATTGCATCTTCCTAAATTTCATGGGTTTTTATGTGCTTGGCTTGTTCCAACCCACGTAGCTGTATTTGTGACTTGAACTTGATAGGCCGATTCCTTCTGTCAGTCGGGGCAGATTGTTATGCTGCAAGAAGCCTGCTTATTTGGCTTATAGGGGTATGAAAAGGGAGGATAAGGTTGACTAGCACTAATGTTGACTTATAACTCTACTCGCTCATGGGGATATCCTTATACAGCTTGAATTTACAGATTCATTGGTATGGCAAATTTGGTAGGATTCATTTATTCCGAACATGATGTTCTTGCTGTGCTATCTAGCCAGGGGTAGCTGTGTTCGACGCTATTGATATTTACCACCTCGGAAGAATATTTCCTTTAGCTAGTATTATTTCGTTTCCTCGAATTTTACAATAGGTATGAGCTAAAGATAACCCATATACATGCTTATACTTCGCTAACAGAGCATAAAGTTGGTCGAAAACGGGGTCTCGGTCTATGAATTAAGCACAAACGTGTTTGGAAAATGAGTAAGCTATTATACAGCATCGCCATTGCCTCAATGGTACTGCTATATAATAACTTACCTGCTCCAACGTGCTTATACTTAATTCATAGACCGAGACCCCGTTTTCGACCAACTTTATGCTCTGTTAGCGAAGTATAAGCATGTATATGGGTTATCTTTCTATACCAGTAGCACTGCTGTATACCAGCTAACCTAGACGTGTAGGCAGGTTCCTCTTGCAGTCTAAACACCATAACTCCTATCCATTTCCCCATCCCTATTCCTAAGTTCCTATTACCTGAACTGAATCGCGCCGCGCCTATGCTAGTTGTATTTCACGTTGTTTGCTAAAGCTCTTTCACATCACATGACTCCCCGTCGGTCCATATGCACCTGCTGGAATTGCTTCAGCATCGTAACAACGCCGGGTCCCTCATCTCCGTCCGTTGTCGCGTTGCTGGCTTCCCTACTTAGCCCTCGGCGCGGCGATCCTTCCCATGTCGATTCGCCTAAGCGTGCTACGCTCTCCTCGACATCGCCATCGTCCGTGTAGCCCGTGTCGTGTCGGCGGATGACGCTTCTGGAGGCACCATCTTCGAGGGATTCTTCTATGATATCCCTATCGCCGTGATACCCACCGCGTTGACGTGCCCGTTGTGGTGTGCGCGTGAATGAAGAAGAAGGCTGGTGATGAGGATCGAGAAGCATCGATGCCATTGGAGACGGTGCAATAGCTGGGCCGAATCGCGGCGTTCGGCCTGGATGCTGCTGCGTTCCACCGGGCGCTCGACTCCTAGGCCTGTCATTGGGTAATATCCGAGATGAACGCATATCTGCAGCGAGCGTCGGTGACATTAAGCCGGGAAAGGTAGGCGGGGGGTGGAATTGGTGTCGCCCAGCTGGTCCTAAAGCGTGCGAGCCAGGAAGGCCAGTTCTGGGATGGTAGACGTAATTATCTAGGAAACCATGTACTGAGGCTTGCATCTTTCCGTGCTTAGTGGCGTAGTAGTCCTCACGTGCATCGTTCATATTCCCTTGCGGTTGTCTCGTGGTACGTTGGTCCTTTTGGAAGTCGAAGACGGCGAATGAGCAAACGTATCCTAGTCCATCGACGTGGATCGTGAACTCGCGGAAGAAATCAATGATCTGATCACTACACTTCGGCAAGCTAAAGAATAGTACCAGGGGTGTAACCAAGACGCCGAAGATCTCCTCGAGGAAGATAATGATTCTCGCCTTGTAAAGCTCTGAAAATTCTGCCTTTACCTCGTAACTATGAAGTCTCCCCTTCCATTGATCTGGTTGGTAATGTGTATATTCGATGACGTTCTGCATCGCGAATTCGGGATCGAACACATCATTCTCTTCCGAAATCATCCCACGAGCTACTGCCCATACGGTAGTCATGAGTGCGAGGAAGGCAAACGCGTTCATCCCAGGGAATAGATCGAAGTCCACAAACATTTCCGGATCGGAGAACCCGACAATGGCCATGACGGCTATTAGAGCACCAGAGAAAAACTGGATGGTACGAGCAGCTGACTCGGTCTTTTTCTTTGGGAATTGGTCGATATAGTGCTTGGCAAAGGGGTATGACATATTGAGACGTTCCTCGAAAAGATGTGGGAGTTCATTAAACTCGCGAAATTTCCATCTTGCAAGTGGCGTGTACTGTCGTGCTCCTAACGATGAGGTATTGGTTTTGAATTCCTGATGATGGGTTAGCACGCATCGTTGAAATAGCTTAAGATGATACTCACGTTGTAATAAGTAAAGATGAAGTCGATAACAAGAGCGGAAGCGGCAAAAGGGGCGAAAAGGAGATTCATTACGGCAGCAAAAGCGAATCTCGTCTGCATTTCTTTACTCAAGTGACCTCGGTGGTCAGACTTTAAGACTCGCTGGTGAACTTGGCCACCTTCATTGAAGACGAGGTCTAATACTCCGAATTGAACAGTCCATTCGAGCGATTTTGAAAATAGTTGCCGATTCCTCATAAACGGAATGGGAGCCGTAAGATCCAGTATGTCCTTGTTAAATAGTGCGATAATGTAGTTTTCTCGTCTCATGAGCCTGTTGGCGATATCGTGAGCGTCAAGCCTTTCTTTTGATTGACTAGCCATGTGTTGTCCCAACTGTTTCGACAAGAATTTCCGTTGGGATGGCGTAATATTGGTGGCAGTCTTGACGTTTTCATCGCGGAGGGCAGTAATCTTGGATACTACATCCTGCCAAGAGACGGTTTGCATGTCTTCTTCGGGGATTTCTAGGAGGTAAACGAAGAAATCCCGAATGTGCATTAATCGTGGAATGTCTAGGACCCACTGGATGGTCTTCCATACGAAATAGAAACTGCAAACCCAGAGACTCAAATTCCAGATCCCCCACATGTGTTTGGTGCACTGGGGGATCATGATTTGGGAGAGGCTCTTGCTCTCCCGAAGCTTGCTATAGTCTATGCATTGTGATAATACAGTAAGTAGGGTTGCTACGAACGCCACTTTCCTGTTCGATGTGAGCTTGTGAATTAATAATAAATCAGGGAAAAAGGGACCTTACAGTAAATGTAGAAATCTTTCTAGTAAAATGCACCACATTCCAGCTCCTAAGTAGTAATCATAAACATCCCTGATGAAGACGTCGAGATTGGAGACGTTAGCCCATCTAAACATAGCCTTATCTCTGGGACTACCGGCGAACCCCGGCCGCTTCGTGGTCCCGGCTACCTGAGGTTGAGCAGCTGAGGAACCATATTCGTCATCTTGATGTAGTTTTTGATGTGCCTGTGCAGTTTCCCACTGCGCTTGTATCCTCCGGTTTGTGGAGCTGCGTCGGGGATTTCGTGTCTGTTGAGGGCTGACCCTAGGCGTGCTCGGCTTCGCAGCGATGTCGTCGGGTCCTTCCACTAGGAGCGAGGCTGGAACGTCGTTATCTCCATCGTCCTCGGACATAAGCCATCGTGGTCTTGTATCCCGCCTGCCTGTTCTTATTGGATTGTGACGGGCTTCGCTGGTAGTAGCGATAGGGCTACGTGGGGTGGAGACACGGCTATCGTCAAGGCCGAGGCCCTCGTTAGGATCGAGTTCGTCATCGTGGAAATTATGTGCTAGGTTCTCTTCATCTAAATCTAACCCTGCTCTACTTTCGACGTCGCCGTCTGGATCATCTCTAAGTCGTTCGTATGGGGATCTATTATCGTTGGAAACGAGACGGGAAAAGAGGTTGGGAGGCATCGTGTCGACTCATGAGTGTATCGGAATCACCATCTAAGTCCGTTTGTTTTGGGAGCTTCATCAGCCTGATTATTTGGTTAGATGAGGTCCTCGATAGGGTGGTAGAAGGAATATGTATATTTTAGAAGGATAAAGAAGTCGAGGAATAGGAGGGAAGGTTTCTGACGTGTCTCTCAACAACAAGAATAAACTATAAGTCGGTTGTTAATTACCTACTGCATATGCAGCGCCGAAGTTAAGCTTGCTCTCCAAGGCTCTCTCTAAGTTGGAGCCAACTGATGTACCTATGCATGTACCTGTACGTATATAAAGGCTATTATCCTTATGCTACATGTCAGAAGTTATGATGATAAAGTCTTCTGATTCAAAAGTGTTTGCGAAGATATCAAGAATAGAATATGGAATATGTGATGGTCATCTGGACCCTGAATTGTCGAATCCGACCTTATGACTTAGACGTGCTTCCGGTAGAACTCCACTACTAGGAGGCAGCCACGCGCCATTCAATAGGCCTTATCGGACTAAGGTTAATATTATCTTATCGTTATCACCATCGCGTGAGTGAAGTCATTCGACAGGGGTGGTTTAATATGTGGATCCATGGATACTCCGTTAGTACCTAAGTAGCTCCATAATTAGCCTAGTCCCCTTAACCAATTTCTCCAGCTGTCGAACACTTTTCCCAGGTGGCATTTTCTCACACATTCAACTTTCTATACTTGAGATCTTTAAGATATTCTAGATATTCTCCCTCAATTTCATTTCTCTATTAGATCCAATTAGAATGAAGAAGCGATGATATGAATTAGATCAATTTGGGACTCTTTTAATTGGAAATATGGCCTCAAATGGCCTCGCCTCACCCCCTCTACCTGGACGGGATGGAGTAACTCCGGGGCCACTGTCGCCCACAGGTACTTCAACTCCGGGCTCTGTGGGCCGGAGTTCAAATCCCTTATCATCAAAAGTGACGTCTGTACTATCGACCTCATACGCAGACGCGGAATTCCGCGAGAGTCTAGCTCTACTGGATGAGCGCGGTATTAGCAACACTGCTGAGACGCGGAGACAATTGCGACTAGACGTCCAAAAGGAGGTGATTGATAGCAATGGCAAAATTATAACGGAATTCGGCCGAGTGGCTGAACAATTAAGGAGGATTGGGACAACTATTGATAAACTGAATAAGAGCTACCAAGAGATGAGAGGCCACGTCACCACAGCTCATGAGTCGACATCTACCATGCTAGAGGAGGCATCTTCTCTCATGACGCAGAGGCGGAATATCGAAACCAAGCAGCAAGTGTTAAAGGCCTTCCGAGAGCACTTCGTACTTTCGGAGGACGAGGTAGCCTGGTTGACTTTAACAGCTGAGCCCGTCGACGATCGCTTCTTTGCCGTCTTGGCTAAAGCTAAACGTATTAGAAAGGATTGCGAATTCCTTCTTGGTTTTGAGAGTCAGACCTTGGGTCTTGAGATCATGGACCAAACCTCAAAGAATCTGAACCAGGCCTTCCAGAAGCTGTACCGTTGGGTCCAGAAAGAGTTCAAGACACTTAATCTTGAGAACCCTCAGATTAATTCGTCTGTGCGCCGTGCTATTCGTGTGCTTGCCGAGCGTCCATCTCTCTTCCAAAGCTGTCTGGATTTCTTCGCCGAGGCAAGGGAGCAAATCCTATCCGATGCCTTCTACCTAGCACTGACAGGCACATCGGCGTCTGGTACCAAGGACCACTCTGTTAAGCCCATAGAGCTAGTAGCTCACGATCCGTTACGATACGCAGGTGACATGCTAGCTTGGACGCATTCCGCCGCAGTTTCCGAGCGGGAGGCTCTTGAAATCCTTTTTATCTCCGACGGAAATGAAATTGCAAAGGGAATTCAAGAAGGCCGAGAAAATGAACTGTGGAATCTAATGGCCGACGAAGCCGACGGGCCCCCAGAATTCGATGCTGTCAAGGCCCTAAACGAGCTAGTCGACAGAGATGTCTCCGGCGCAGCGCGCATACTACGGCAGCGTGTTGAACAAGTCATCCAGACCAATGAGGAAACAATCCTAGCATACAAACTCGCGAACCTACTCAGCTTCTACCGCGTCACTTTTTCAAAACTTCTCGGCGCCGATTCGGTCCTCTTACAATCAATGGCAAATCTCGAATCCGAAGCCCTGCGCCAATTCCGCTCCTTAATGCGCGACCACATCACAACACTAGAAGGCGAATTCCAGCACACGCCTTCAGACCTCGGACCCCCAGAGTTCCTACAAGAAGCACTCAAACAACTCACCGCTATCATGCGAACATACGAAACATCCCTTGCCGCAGATGACGATAACAGGGAAGCTGAATTCGAGCCCGTGCTTGCCGAATCCTTCGACCCATTCATGTCAGGCTGCGAAAACATGTCCAAGAACGTCTCCCCGCCCTCCGATTCCATATTCCTCCTCAACTGCCTCCTCGCCGCGCAATCTGCCCTCGAGCCTTTTACCGCATTCACATCAACCCGCCTCGCGCGTCTTCGCTCCATCATCGATTCCCATAGCGCCCGTCTTATCGACAGCCAATACGCCTTCTTCCGCACCGGGTCCGCTCTCGAACCCTTGTTCACAGCCCTAGACCCCCTTAGCGACGCACGTGGCGATGACGTCCTACAAGTCGCCGACGGCAAGCTCGATGTGCTACAAGCAGAAGCGTTGGTACACGCAGCGCAGGGTCTAGATGACTTCCTTCCATCCGCTGTCATGGACGCCCTCGAGAACGTTAAGCACCTTCAAGACGCGAAGCTGGCGCGGTACGTAACTGAGGAGGCGGCCGAGCGGTTCTGTGCCGACTTCGAGCATGTTGAGGAGTTACTTGTCGCAGCGGATGAGTTAATCGAGGAGAGGGAGGAGCACCAGACGGGCGTGGGATTAGGAATAGAATTGGGAGTGAATACTGGGGCAGGAGAAGAAGGGGAGAAGCCTAGGCTTCGGGCGTTGTTCCCAAGGACGACTGGTGAGATTAGAGTGTTGTTATCATGATACGATGAAGTGGAAGCCATTTAATCTGCTATCTGTTGCATTGTGCGATGTTATTGTAGCAGTACTACTACCGCCATTGATATCAGTGGAAGGACATTCAAATATATATCACAAATTAGACGACATAAAATTTGTATCCATGGACGTATCAATGTTCATCATAAGCTAGGTACCAATATATATGGCGAAGTAGCTGAGATACAACATAAAAGTCTCAATATATCCCCCCTATACGATGTTTTACAAGCGGCTCTGCCTGCGCTTTGTATACTCCTTCACTTTCCACTCACCTATTTTAATGATAGTCTCCTCATTCATCTTCCACGCTGGGGATAGGACTATCCTTATCTCCCCTAGATTTCTTAACCGGCCACGCCTCCACATTGGCACTAGGCCTTCTGGGACGTTTCCCTGCCGCCTCTTCCTCCACCTCTTGGAGTCTCTTTAGCGCCGTGGCTAGGCGTCTTCGCGCCGTAATCTCTCGATCGCTGCTATTAGGACCAGGTCGATAAAATTGCTTCACAACAGCCACTGTAGCGTGGTAACATTCATATAGCAGTAAACGGCCCGGCACATTCTCGCAATCCTCGACGAGATTATCGCTACCATCTTTGCTAGCCTTCTTGCTTTCGCCGCCAGAAGTGTCGTACTCTTGAGATTCACGGAAGCCACGCAGGAACTCAGGTGAGGGGTCCTGATTGAACGCCTCAGCAAAAAGGGGGTCTCCGAAAATACAGTTACTCCAGTCGCGGAGTCCTGTAACAGTGAGTACTGGTCTCTGAGAATCGGGTGGTCGTCCGCCTTTATCTTCTTGATTCTTCTCGCTTGCTGCCTCCGTCTTAATCGTTTTCGTTTCTTGACTCAGCATGGGCTGGGGCTGAGTCCTATCCTCCTCTTCAGCAGATTCTTTCAATCGTGAAACTAGGACGTTGGAGTCGTCTCCTGCGTCTAGTAGTACTAGTCGTGCGATTTTGATGCCATCTAACAAATAGCCCAATCTGTTGAAATAACCCCTGATCGGTTCATAACTAATCGTTACAGCCATATCTTCCGCATCTCTCAGCACACTCTCCAATAGAGAGTGAAAAGCATGTTTCCATGTACGCGCACCGCGGAAGCTCTGGTTAGCTAGTTGTGTTCCATGTGTATCGGCGGTCGGAAGCTGGGTGTTGATAACCCCAGTGACTGGACCGAAAACCCCATTTGGCGACGTGAAATTAGAAAGACGTCGTATGAGTTGACCTCGCTCCAAGTCTATAACCTTCCTTTCAGGTGTTGTTAAAGGTGTTGGGAGTTTAGATAAGGGAACCCCTCTAGTCGGTTCGAAAATGTTGAAAGGGGAACCTAACTCGGTCGATGAAAGAGAATAGGCGACAAGAATAGGCAGAAATCTGAGGACGTCCTCTTTTAAGTTTATTGTTTCCTTGGAACTAACTTTCAGATTATCTTGTTTTAGTTGGATTTCTGTGGTTGGGTGATAGTCGGCCTTGTCCTGGATAGAACCTCCAGCTTGTATAGGGGCCTGGAGCGCTCCTTCTAGAAGCCACTTTGTAAGAAGAGATTCTGAGACGCTTGCAGCCCTCTCAGATCGGAGTAGCCTCAGAGTGGGTGGTGGCGGGAGGCTAAGGATTAATGTTCGACCATCTGAGATCTTAATGCTGAAGAATCTTAGGAGCCGATACGATGGTAAGGGATTAATGGATTCAACGGTGATATTTGGTAGGGCATTTCGGATAACCGAGTGCATAGATTCGAGTGGGTGAAGTCGATCCATGGAGTTGACGGGTGACAAACGCTCGGTTCGTACGACAGAAGAGATTTGGCGGCATGAAGTTAGCCATCTTGTGGTACACGAGAGGCCGGGTATGTCGAGGTGCTCTCTTTTTGACGGAAGAGCATGTGAAGGAGGAGAAGAAGACTCGAGGATGTGGAGTGAAAAGAAAGGGCTGCCGGGGCCTGCGGCAACGGAACAAGGGTTGGTTGACAGCGCTAAGTCCACCCTTGAAGTCCGGCGCATCACTTGTGCCTGTGGCATCTGCCCTCTGCCCTTTTCCTATAGGTGTAGGGGGTATAATAAAGGTAGATAGTTTCTCAAAATAGAAGGTTGGGGCGGGTGGTTGCTCCTCGGTAGCTGATAGAGGTACTCAATCTAGACGCACGCCGAAATGAGAGAGAACCTTAGGTACATAAAACGAACTCAAAGAGGGACATAAGCTCAACACCGCCGGGTATGTTAGCTTATAAAATAAGATAGCCCATGGATATTGGTCTCTAGAACATCGCGAATATCGCTCCCTAGATTGCACCGGCTAGTAAAGGCAAGAAGACCATGGATTAAAAAAATATATATGAAAAAAGGTATCTATAAAAGGACGAGAAAAGGGCAAGATATAAAAAGACTTTACGAAAAAAGGGAAGAAAAGCCTCAGGCGATGCGCTCGGTCAGCATGACAATCTAGTAGGCTCGCTTGGTCGTCGAGACCCGAGGAGAGAGAGCTCAGCTAAGGGTGGGCGAGAAATAGCGGTATTACACGATATAATACGTCTGAAGAAACGACAGGTAGGCTCTCGTGAGGCTAGTGCGAGATACAGAAGGTCGGTTGTTGGCGAATGAGGCGTTCTTACCTGGCGAAGAGAGAGACATCCGACTCGCGGCTCTAAAGGGGACTAAGGTGGCCATAGACAATACTCGCCTAAAAGAGGCGTAGACAGGTGACAAGATGTGGACCTACGATCTCGAGCGGCTGCAGCGATGTGTGCGCTCATAGGGAATTCCTTTCCAGATGTGAAACGACGAGTATCATGTAAGTGTTCCACCCAGGTCAAGAGGTATCCGAACGCCAAGCCACCAACCGAAAGATTCCAGAATTCTCGAAGCCCGAACGTGTTAGGGACGCTCCCACGGCCGGGAACCCTGGCTAGGGGCGGCAAGTGGGCGGGCTGAGAAAAGTCCCTCCCCATCGTGAAGAAGCCACCTTAGCAGCTAACTAGCTAAGCTAGCTGCTCATGGGCATGGTTTAAGACGACGACAGGCTGCTGTGGGACTCATTTTAACGTAGTCCCACGCGTTATATGACGCCAAAGTCCCGAGGGGAAAGTCAAGAAAGCGAAGCGCAGTGGGACATGGTGGCTCTCTAGAAGCCACAGCGGCCATTGGGTTTTGACAAGCGAAGTTGCATGGACACGATGGTGTCTCATCATCGAAGATTGCGTCCCGATCCAGCGGTGTGCGTAACAGAGTGCCACGAGCATAACAACACTAGGTTAAGTTAGGTACCGGGGCGCGCGCTTGTTGGAAGAAAGAAGGTGTAGAGAATGCGGGTTAGATTGGACTGGTAAGAGCCCGGTATGTGTGGTGATCCAGTGATCCAATGTTCAGTGTCCAGTGCCCGGTGTGTAGTTGTAGGAGTAGTAGTGATTAGCGGGTTAGTGGATAGTAGTGGCAGTGGTGGTGGTAGTGGGAGTAGTAGTAGAAATTAGTACCATAATAAAGCAAGTGATGGATGGATGGACGGACGGACTTAGATGCAATGAGCAACGTGGGACTTTGTCCAAGATTGGCAAGAATGCGAGGATGCAAGAAGGAAAGAAAGAGAAAAAAAGAGTTGGCGTAGTCAGTGTTTAGTGGTTAACCATGGAGTGTCGGCGCAAAAAAAGGTTTAACGGTTTGATTAATCTACTACGTATGCGGTAGGTGTAAATGGGAAGTCCCCAGCGGAAGACGGTATGGTAGCGGGTCTAGAATAGTGATGTGCGAATTGTGGGACTGCATTAGCAAGCGAGACGGGGAATTTCTTATTGGCTGGGAGTAAGCGAAAGGCGCTCAATTTGGAAAAGTCCGGAGTCTGAAATAGGGGACTTCCCTTCTAACCCCTGCTTTACAAAAGAGCTCCAGGGTTTCCCTTTTAAAAAGGAACCCCGTACTCTCTTCTCTCTACTTTCTCTTGTGGACCCTTCGGATCTGATACCTTCTCTACATAGTATCAACTTCGAAATGCTATAATGAACTAATCCCTGACCCTAGCGCCTATTCCATTGTCCATGCTCTCTATTACTGTATACATACGAAAACCGAAATCTATAATTATATCATTTCGAACATCATCATGTTACAAGTTTCCCTCAAAGGGAACTTCGCCGTGGTACAAGGAAAAGTACCTCCTTAATAACACATTTTGAATAGCTTCAGTTTAAGGTGTAGCAGGGACACCCGGGTTGTGTTGCTTCACATTACCGTCCTGTCCAACACCCACTCAACAGAAATAAATACTATCAGTATACAGTATACAGACACCCCACAGGTTACATGTATGTGCGGTATGTGCGCACACTATAAGTCTGTAAGACATCCAAGTATTAAGCGATACGCTCATTTGTCCAACAGAATCTCCTGTCTCGGACCGGTCAACCGTATTGCTTCTTATTTAAATCTTTTATACCCCCCCAGAGTCTCCGCGGCATGAGGTTGTGAAATCTCGGTAGCACAATGCAGCCCGAGCTCCCGATCATTTCTCCTTCGTATATATAAAGATTGCCATTCCGATTTTGACTTGTCAGATACTGTAACGGCCCTACTTCCTGGATGCATAAAATTTGATGATATCTGCCCAGCAACATCTCCCAAGCACACCAATGACAGTCCAAGCGTAGCGATGCTTACCATAGTCAATTCTCGGACCCGTCTTGCTTACGTAGTATTGTCGTCAATTTTATCGCAACAGGGCTTAGCGCGGCGGTGTCCCAGTACAGGATCGTAGGATGGGAGCCGCGTACTGGAACCATCGTGTAAGAGAATCATTTTTCAAAGAAGCGAATTTTGTACCAAAGATTCCTTTCTCCTAGTCAGCTTTAGCCGCCCTCTATTGCACGGGAATATTATATCTGCCCCCTGCCTCCATTTCCGTTTTTAGATTCTGCAGTGAGCTTTAGAAAGCCGACTTGTGTGACAGGAATTCAACTCCGAGTTGCTTAATTATATTTTAACGAGGCCGGATAGGCATGAAGACTCGGCCTTGCTACGATAGCTCTTTAAATCGGTTTCTAGCAACCTAGGAAAATGTCTACGACTATTAAAAGGTAGCAAATACATAGCTCTTAAATAAGGGTCACGTCGCTAAATAAAGTCTTGTAGCGGTTGGCTTTTGCAATACTTGCGAACAATAGCACCGAGCCCTTCCTTAGGGTACCGGAGTTGACTTAAAATGGAGTTAATTCAACTCCTTGAAATGGGGCCGTTGGGAGTTGACCAGGCTTGGCTTGGCAAGGGCTGCGAATGTATCAACAATACAACAGTGGAGTTAAGACTCATATATATTTCAACATGACTGTCTCGTGCTTCTAGCCTGGCTCAAGCAACCCCCAAGGGTGCCACTTAAGACGTAACCTACTGGCCCAAGGTTGCCGTTATGATACCGAGCGGGTTTCGTGACTTCATGAATTTAACGCATAGCATCCATAGAAGTCTCTTCTCCAACGTACCAGGTATACCGAGTCGTAATCTAGCGAATCGGCTGCTCCATACCGTTTAGGCAAACAAAGTACAGGCAACCGAATCTCTCATATATGAGGATGTCGCTGTAATATCGTCGGCGTCTCACTTGGCCACCCGTTAGGCGATCAGCATGGCCCACTGCCGGGCTTCAATAAGAGCAATGCAACCCTCCTCGGGAAGACTTTTTGTATCAGCATACTGGAACCGGATGGTAAATCTCGGCGACCAACCCCCAGCCAATATCCAGGATATTTTGTAATGGTCATATTTGTAAGCACAAATCTAGACGCCGTATCACATATACAATGGTCGATCTATGATCTTGTAGTTGGAGTTGCTTTTCTTCAATGTAACATCTTCTCACCAGTGCGGAATGGTTACCTTGGTCGATTGTATATGCATGAATTTTCAATCTGATGCCTGAAGAATAGGGGCGGTCATTATCATCAAACCAGGTCTTACCCCTAACTACTTAGGTATAGCCTTTTGAATTCATATGCTGTGTCGACTACGTTCATAGAGGAAAGTTCATAAGATAACGAACGCTAATGCTTAGTATACCCTATAGGCTTTGATGGAGGCCAGGTCCCTAAAATGAGCATTTGATTCGCTCATATATGCCTGTTGGGTACTTTCCGAATTCGCAGGAGCCACTATCAACTGCCTTTCGGGATCTATGTACATCTATTCTGTTCCTGGAAACAATGTCAGCGGGGAATGAGGATAGCAAAGTAGGTACAGGGGGATACAATACTATGGAGGGGCAAATTATGTATGAAGATCTATTGTCTCTGGCATGAGGATACTCTGTTTATGCGTTGTTCGGAATCATATGACACTTAAGCTGAGCCATGTAAAGCCATGGCGCTTTGTATAAGTAGCGATCTAACTGTATTAAACCGAAGTTATTACCGAGGAAATATTTTGATATCTTACCGCATCTTCACACCACCACACCGGTCTGCAAAGATATGTGACTAGAACCCACTAGAGTCTGTCTGTAGCGAAAATATCATCACGCAACCAGGGTTACCCTATGTAAACATTATGAAAAATCCCTTTTCTTTTTACGCTTCAGCGGAATACGCGTAAGCCCTGCCCGCACATAAGTGGGTTTTCATTCCAAGATCTTATAGCTAGGTACGGTCCGCACGATTTAAATGTCCACTGCAAACAAGACTTTGGACAAACACATTCCAGATCGAGTTACCCGGGGCGGTGGTAATAGCGCTAATAGAAATCGAAGCTAGACTCGCAGATCGCCCAAATATGTTTTTTAGTATGCGGCTAGACTAGTGTAGGGACCGTCTATCTACTCTTCCAAGGCTCTGGGAGATTTAAGGGGTTCCGGTGTTTTGGTCTCATATAGTCCTTGGAAGCATACAGCCGTTCGGTATTCGGTATCTTGGTAATTAATTCTACTAAGTTATGAGAGTAGTAGTTATTCTAAAGTTTCGAGCCGCCGAGCTGTAAGTGACATGCTCTTGAATCTTACATACACCATAATGTATCCCCTATATTTTATAATCGTCTCTAAACTGTGAGATCTCTTCTCATCTGTTATATTGAAAGGGTGGATAAGAAACCATGCCAACAAGTGGAAAGGAAAAGAAAGAAGCTTTTGACATAGCTTTCATAAACGGCAGTGTATACGTCGATCATCGAGAAGGGGTCCATGGTATAGTATCATACAACATTGAATAGACGATGAGTAGTCGCATAAGGGCATAACTCAGCTTTGAATTAAGTATAATGAATTTATAGATTCTTATTTTAAAAGATAGTAATTGTCGAACTCCGATGCTGCCGTTGGTGACCCACAACGATCCCCGCGATCTTTCGCTTCCAGGGTTATGATTAGAAATATAACGATTAACGGTGATCATAATTGGTCAGCAGCGGCATATGACGTGAATCAAACGCCGCGAACAGAATCGAAATCTGTATCATCAATAATTCTAAGCTCTTTTCGACTTATTCTATTAACAAATCGGTGTTAATTCAAATTACAATACACAATGAACCACCTAAGCCCCTGGGTTAGGCATTTCCATGAATGGGAAGCGATCCGGGATGACCGCCACAAGCACGGGGATCTTGCCGCCCGTAAGACTTCCGAAGTCCCCTTATCCCCAACTCCGGAGCCTGAAGCCAATCCGCAGCATCAATCCCCACTCTTCTGTTTACCCCCGGGGTTGCGGGCTGATATCTGGATGTATGCTCTTGCTGGGAACGATGTAACGATAGTGCGAAAAATTGATAAACTAGGGCACATTGTGCTGCCACGAGACTGCCAACTGTGGGAGGTGGCCCGAAAGAATAGAACGGGGGTATCGTGGGGGCCTGTCGGAATCGAGAGTCGCATCCCGACGAAGTACGTCCTTGCGGAGGTTAATCTGCTGACGGTGGAGAAGTTGTAAAAGGATGTAAGATATATACTCGTCTGTAGCACGACTATAAGTGAGGCTAATCTGGCTTTTAGCTATATTGAAGCATATCCTATGCTATATCGGCAGAATTCTTTCACATTCGAGTCTCTGGAAGCGTTCTACCGCTCCCTTGTTCACTCGCCTAGAGCAAGCTTACACGCCATCTCATCTATCAAGATCCCGTGGGCCGGCTTCGGGTACTGGAGGAAATACGAGGATGAGTTGATTGACCCACCGCTCGAGTACGAGGAGAGTTGGAAAGATATTTGCGACCTCCTTACTTCCATGGAGGGCTTACGAAGGCTATATTTCTCCACATACTTGCATAACGACAGGCCCCTTGTTCACAACTGCTTCGATATGATATATAGCGTCGTACTACCGTTGACTCGACTGCCGGTGGCGGTCGAATTTGGATTTCGCTTGCGGGACGAACTTCGCAAGCAGCCTCTTGGGGTTGTGTTGTTGAAGACTGGGCATGGGAAGTCTAGGGTTGATATCGACCTGATGCATGATCCGCATAACTCTGTGGATGTGGGCAGCGTAGAAAATACGACTAAGGTCTTTCTTTCTTCTCCCCGCTTTATCTCTTTTTCCCGTGCGCCTTACTCCGAGCATCGGCCATTTTAGGGTTTCATTAAATGTCTATATCGAAGTTGTTATAACATTTCCAAATGAACACGAAGCTTACACGAGGTACCTACCTACTAGGTAGGTAGATGTGCATGTAACCACTTAAGCGACTCCTAGCATCTATCGTCATAAGAGCTGGAGCTCTTCAATATAACCAGCCTAATCGGTGGTGCAAGTCAAGGCTGTACTCGATCTCTAGCCTGTGCACCTTATCCGCGAGCCATGCGTCGTCATCAGCATGCGGATCTTTATTGAGAATATCCACGAGTTGTAGAGCGATTCTACGCCGATCATTCTCGTGATAGTTGTTGCTATTAGACCCCATAAGACGGAGAACATCTCTAAACTCCTTTTCGGCTTCGTCGTGCTTATTTCGGTTCGATAGGTTGGTGGCCCTGTAGCTTTTTACTCGTAACACGTCGGCATGGCTAGTACCGAGGGTCGCTTCAAGAACCTCAAGGCACTTATCATAGACTTGGCTGGCAATGTCGTGGCGACCCTGCATATCGTAGACCTGGCCCAGCCGTGCCCAGCACTTCTGTGTGGTAGGATGCTCGCGACCTGGGCGTTCCATGTGATTGCATAGAGCATGAGTGAAGAACTTATCTGCATCATCGTACTTCCCCTGCTTCAACAGAACAGTTGCTAGAATCTCGAGTGCCACCGCCTTTTTCACGTAATTCGTTTCAGGCATATTCTCGTAGGATAACAAAACACGCCTTATATGGGCCTCCGCCTCATCGTAGAACCCGACTTCGATTAGGTCGAGAGAGAGTTCCTTCACGGCTTCGAGTGTATTTTGATCCTTGTACCCGAAGCGGTGCTCCTGTGCAGCAGCGATCTGCCTAGATAAAGCTAGTTCTCCTTCAGAGTCGGACTTCTTGTGGGCTTCTTTCTTAAGAAATCTCAAGGCTTCGACACCTACATCGTCGCCTTGTGGTTGCTCTTCCAATGTTGGCGCTTCTGAATTCGGAGTTGCAATACCCTGTGGCTGTATAAGTTCTTCGCACAATTCTTTTGCGCGCACATCGTCCCCAGATATACGACGGGTCAATGCTAGCCGCATCTTCGTTTTTCGGAGCGCCGAAATTGTCCCTTTGTTTTGGCTGACCTGAAGATTGTAGTAGTCGCTCGCGTCGCTATTTCGGCCATTCTTCTCGCATGTTTGACCCATCAAATCGAGATCAATATCCCATTCGTATGACGATGGAAGATAAGTAGTGATTAGAGGGTAACATTGAGACATGACGGTTGCGATATCGCACTCAGCGAATGAGGTTCTGAAAGCCTCGTTTCCATCTCTAACTTCTCGCAATGAATTTGCCACGGATAATGAGGACTCGCAAGCAACTTGGCTGGCGAATCGAAGTTGTTCGTCCGAGAGTGTACTTCGGCCAAAATCACGAACTGTGTTTTGTGTTATCAAGTACCTCTCGTCCTCAGTAAGAGCCGCTAGTGAATTTTGTGCAAGCTCTCTAATGGCGATCATTGAGTCACCCGCTAGAGACAGTCAGTTATGCTATATTATCGGAATGCTAATTACTTACGACAGTTCTTCCGGAATGAATTTGATAAGAAAACCGAAACGCAGACAGATTGCAGCGAGAGAACGCAACATACTTGAAATATACTGGTTGAAAGGGGGGATAAGTTTCTAAGAATATTTAGTAATGCATTTTCCATTTTGACGGGGTGTATACTTCAACGAAGCAAGAGTCTTTGCTTCCCCCTGCCTAATGCTTATCGAGGATTGACGGCGTCGCATATATTCTTTCAAGGTTGATTTCGTTGAAGATATGAAAGAAGCAGCATTTTTAAGTGCTAGGGGTATATATCCTAAGGACTTCGATAAATCGGCCAGTTCACGCTCTGTATTCATTAGTAGTGGGGCAAATTAGTGAAAAAGGAGAGGGTAGATACATACCATCAGCCTTTGAAAGGCCCGTTGATGACTTTAGAAGTGATAGAGACTCGTCAGGGCTGAGTGGATTCACTCTACGGTTTGTGACTATATCCCATTCTATAGGTGTCCGCGAAGTGATAATGCAATGACCATGAACACATGTCGTATTAGGAATGTATCTGGCGATGTCGGGGTCACCCTCGATGTTTAGGTCATCCAGTATCACAAGCCATCTGGAATTCTCGGGGCTCTGGAACCACTCCATTACTGAGCTGATGCTTGAACGTTGTTTGCCCTCATCGAAATCCGCATCCGACGGCGAGTCGGTTAATGTTGAAGACGCCATCGTGGGATTAGACTCGTGGGATTGTCGGTGAAGAATACTTTCAATATTCACAATGCTCCGCTCAATAGATCGCTGACTCGTAGCAGGAATCCAAAAAATAGAAGTAAAAAAGTCTTGATTTGCATAGGCAAATTCTAGAGCGACCGCTGTCTTCCCTATCCCTTCACCTCCATGGAGATTGACGGTGGCGCAAGGGCTAGTACACACCTGTGGGCATTTCTGAACGAGTGCATCGTGAAGAAATCCGAGTTCCTTCACTCTACCGACGAATTTCAGGTTCCTAGGTGGAAGTAAAACACCAGTACAAAAGTCATTCGATCTAGAAGTCTCAGGCGTACCTTGTCCCGCGAGATAAAAAATCAGTATATAACGTAAAAAGGTTTATGTGGAATAATGATGGTACACTTCATACTTCGTACGTCTCCCATTAACTTCTTAGAAGCTTCTTCTTGATCTAATACAACCCGTTATTTCTTCTAGATCGATATGCAGCGGGTTTGGGTTAGTTACCTTTTCTTTTCCCATACCGATCCCAATTGCTCTGTGCTTTAATAGTCGCCTCTCGACACAAGCGAAAAATCTCGCTGGAGACCTTCCGATAATCCGGATGGCTGCTGTTAGGGAATTTGCACATATTCCGATGGTCCGCACTAATAACATCTACTTTATCCCCATATGGATGCCTTATGGGTACGATCTGGACCTATTTAGCCATTTTAAGTCCATCATAGAGTGAGCCTACTTACTACATCACCTAGAGAGGATGGAAGTCCTTCATAGTAAGACACTATTGAGATATTATCGCTCAAGGCCTTGAATGGTTCCAGCCGGGCTTGCAAGGTGAAACTCTGCGCGTCCAAGTGTCTTATCAGACTGGTATTTTCCATTTTATTTAGTTGGATGATAGCTGCCAACATGCTTGGCCACATGGATCGATCTAGGCATGATATGGTCTCCGTGTGGGGGGTACCTAGGAAGATAATCCCAGTCGCGGAAACCGAAAGAGCTGACAACTCGGATTGTTTAGCCTGGCTTGAAAATATGAGAGCACTTTTGATGACAACGCCCCCGAGGCTATGGCCCACGAATATCAGCGGCCGGTCGATGTGACCTTTACGAACCACTGCTAGACTGGAAAGTAGCTGCTGAGAATGACGATACAAGGTCCTCTGAGTTAAGTATTCTGGTGTCGGCGCAAAGGATTTATATCCGTATGAAAGTATGCGGACATTTATACGGCCTTCTTGAGCATCTTGAGGTAAAAAGTCTTTCGGCCAGATATTACTCTCTTCGGAATCCTGATCAGCCCATTTCCAGGTTTGTATACGATCCCCACCGAGGCCATGGACGAAGCAGATGCTATTTTCTTCAATCAGTAACGCTACATTTTAAGGGTGGAACCTGGTCATTTAGAACCCACTCAACATCCGGGTTATCTGGTGTGAATAGCTCGATGATGCCGGTACCGTCGTCCGATCGTCGGGATCGATGCCGTCCTCGCCGGAATACGTACGAGGCATAGGTTGAAAGGGCTGTGAAGCCTGAGTAAATACTTATAGCCTCTGCCATTCGTGCTCGACTTGTTTTATACCCGGAAGCGCATACGCATAGTTTGTATTAACGATGTAGTTCGTACGCCAGCGATCGTATTAAAATATTAAAGGGTGGTGGCTAGTAGAAACATCGCCATCTTTACCAATCCCTGACTAAATTCATTAAAAACGGTATGGGTGATTAGAGCCGAATGTATTATCTGACTCGCGATGGTGCATCACGTTGTCTTGAAGTTTAAGATGGATGACATGGAGTCTTTCAGAGTTGTAATGGTCAGGTAGGTTAGTTAGGTGTCGGGCGCGGAGGGTGGAATGTCGTGTGAGTGTAGTACATAACGTCAGTGGCAGTGCTGGGTGGCTAAACTGGGTGTTATAGCGTGTGGTAAGCCCGGAAGAACACTGCTAGAAATGCCTAGCTGAAAATGGTGGCCACACAATGAGCAGAAATCTTGAGGGAACCCGTGATCGAAATAGAATATTGAAAATCCGATCTATTTTTGGATAATTTTGCACATTCACTTCCATCTACTCTCGCTACATCAGGTGAGGTATATTAGGGTTGGGTGCTTACACTATACAGTACATTGGGTGGTAATTGATGAATGGTGTGCGAGTGCCTTTACTAAACAACTGAACTACCCAGGTAGTGTATAGGGGAATCTCTATTTAATACACAAAATATTGTAACACCACCTAGTACCTAAGCTAACAACTAATATAAACCCTATGCATACAGTTCAATTTCACCATCATCATCATCAGACTCGCTGTCACTACTGTCGTCAATAGCTTTCACAGCTTTATCGCTGGTGCTAACTATTGCGCCTAGAATGACTTCTTGGTTGCCCGAAACCCTTCTTCCAGGAAGAGCGACAGTCATGGTACTTGGCTGGATACTCTCATTTTCATTTGTGATGATGATATCATGCAGAGAGGGCTTCTTGGGTTTGAATAGAGCCATGTACCAGGGTCGTGACTCTCGGATTCTCGTTATCTGTAGGTACGAGCATGCCATTACTACCTCACCTTCATATGTGCCCTCTGTCTCCGATATCTTATTCTTCGATGTAGACAATTTAGTCTTGATGTCGGCTGTCTTGTGGGGGGCTCCGAAAGCCTCACTAGGGACCTCTACTTGAGCACTGGTCTCGCTCGACTGGTTATGTTGGTCATTGAGACTCATATTCCCGACACAGATGATGCTATTGATAATTCCGAGTTTCCCATTTGGAAATTTGGTAAAGTATTCGAAGATATCTCTTGAATATTCGGGATGTTTTAGCAACTCTTTGATTCGACGGGGTGCCTCGTCGATAGTAAAGCGTCGGAATACTGGGATCGACGCTGTACGCTCATTTGATGTCTCAGTGGAGCGCAGGAATGAAATGGCCTTGTTAATGGCTACTTTCGTTTCGCTTGAGTGGGCGCTAGCGAGAAGCGTGCTTGCTTGTTTTGCTGTTACTTCTTGTGGATAGAGGTATTTGTCTAACTGGCGCAAATCGGGTCCCTTGGGGGGTAGCTCTGGATAAATATGTCCTTCCGTAGGCCGTTTTAACGGATTATTATCGTCGTTTGGACTTTCGGAATCGAACGGTACTGCTCGGCCTAGGAGTTTGTAGACTTTGTCTTGTGTAGCGAACTCAGAGAGGAGGAAATATGGCTTTGGTGGCGCCATGCTTGAGTACCTAGGTAGATTCTACCCCACGGTAAGAATGATAAATTTCTCTCGAACGCGAAATCAATAGCTTCGAGTATTGGAAGCCATATAACTCGAATGAGAATGCCTTTAAAATTCAATACTAGGTTCATCTATATATTCTTACCTTGATCTATAGGAGCCTTCAATTACATATTTTTCCACATTGCGCCTCAATTCGCCCCCCTCGACTCTACAGCCTCGATACCGAAAAAGTCATGCGGACTTGGCCCCCAAGGACAATTCCGTGTGGGACCAATCAACTAAGAAAAAGCAGCCCACCATTTCAGATCAACATCACGATGGGATCGGCTAGGATATTATGTCTTAGCTAAATGAGACACGAAAGATGGTGAAATCGCTCTAGAGATGACTGCTATATAGGCACAGGCTACTTGGGTAATGATTTAATGGAAATAGAATTAAGTATTAAGTTACCTACTCAACACAATTTACATTAAGATTAAAGTAGCCCACGCGGGCCGAACCTTATACATCTACCATGATAGGTCTGTAGATACCCCACTTTCACCCGAAACCTTATGCACGTATTGTATAACTCCGGTTTTCACCTCCATACGGAGTATAATCTTGATGTATGGATACACACAATTCGTCATAAATAATCCCCACCTATCAGTCCAAGCGAAGAAGCAATGAATTCTGTTCGGTTCGGTGTCGTTTAGATAAGATCGCAGACTCTATCCCGTGCTAAGTTCTCGAGTGATACATTGTCCTATGCACAGGTTTGGTGGCGGCAAGGAGGTATGAAATTCTGCAGGGCTCCGATCCATGATGCGTGCTAGCTAGGGACAGCCACCTCCCAAATGATATTAGTCACTCCAATATGTACGCATTATCAAATACCGAAGTGGTATTGGCGGAATGATGAACAATTCAGCCCCGATTCGAAGACTAGAGCCTTCTCCGAAAAGCAAATGAGCCTCAAAGCTTGGTGTCTCCAATAGCTTTTAGCTCTGTTTCCTAATCCTTTTCTGCCCTCTTTTTGAGCCGAAGGTCGAATGGTTAAATCCAAGTTTATACTTTTATTGTTGGTGCTACGTCCGAGATGAACCAACCAGAATCGCATATACCGACGGTAACTACGGCACTCATTGGTTCGCAGAGAGCGCTCGCGACTGATAATACGGCTACCAATAGCCCCACGATCTACGGCGTAATCAACGGATCCTCGAGATCTAACCCGAACCCGAGCGTGATTACCATTTCAAAGCCAACGTCACACGTAGACAAAATCGCAATTGACTGTCTACAATATATCGGAAACCGGAGCGGTCGAAGAAAATGGCAAGTCGCTGTTGTTATTAATGGCGAACCAGAACGTAAAGTCGACTTAGAGGATCCTTTTCTGAAAGAAGACTATAATTACAAGCCCGACAGTGGGCTTGACGAGCAAGTAAGCACCGCTTTACCAATCCTATGAATGATGTGAAGATGACTTCGGCATCGAAGACCTTATAATCTCTCCGCCTCTTAAATAGACTTGGACAAAGTCGATTTAATTAACATTTCCTCGCAGCGTAGGCGAAAATACTTCAACAGACTATTTCACCAATTAGGTCTCAGCTGCTGCCGAAAGACGTATTGTCGGATCTCCATCCACGAAGATGTTACCAGATTCGCTGAACCTGATAGTTTTATCAGCCTTCATTCGCTTTTTTGGGAAGTTCTCGAGCACTCAGATTTTTGGCCATGCATTGAGCTTACCGGGAAGCGCGTTAAGAGAGTCCGGCTTAGTCGAACATTAAACGTCGGCTCCAGCGCACGGTTAACAAGCTGTCAAACATCAAACCTACCAGCGCCCCAAGCCGAATATCGTATACTTCTTGTTATAGCTCGGTCGTTTAGGAAAGGCTCGGACCAGAGATATGTCGACTACCGGCCTAGTCTCATACAGTAGGTATCCTCAACAGCAAACCTCACTTATTATAACATAAGTAGAGTAATAACAGTTAATTATTAGAGGGCCGTTGCTCAACATCGCGCGAAAGACTAAGGAAAGAGGAATAACGCCTAAGTTGCATATCGATGTTGTACGCCCTGGGACCATTGACGAGCTCGACGAATACCTCAAACCCGGCCGTACAACGTATGATATAGTACATTTCGATTTACATGGGAAGATCGGGCCTCCGAAGCCTTCTGAATCAGGGGTTCTATCTCCACCTCCTGGTAGCCAGCTACCCCAAGAGCTCCAGGCCTACCTTCGCTTTGCGAAGCCCTACGACTCAAAACTACACGGATTCAAACCAAAAGATAACGAGATCCAAATGCTCCTAACCGACGATACATCCTTACACGATGTACCCGTGAAGCAGATCGCCGAAAAGTTACAGAGGAGTCGCATTACAAAGGTAGCTCTAAGCGCATGCCTATCTTCCTATGCGCAGAGCCGAATATTCGAAAACATGTGTTATACTTTCCTTAGTCATGACGTCTCCGAGGTACTGGCTATGAGCTTCCAGATTTTGGAGAGCACCGCCGAGGCCTATTATAGCGCATTTTACGAATCTCTCATCCTGAATGGTGAAGCATTCCATGTCGCCGCAGCAAGGGGTCGTGAAGCACTTCGTGCAGATCAACTCCAATACAACCACTCTTTGCTACCAACAAATTACCACCTCTATCCTAGGAGCTTTAGTAACGAATTGTGGCGAAGTCCTAACGTGGAACCAAAGAGTCCGCCGCCATTTGCTTGGTACTTAGTTCGCTACGCTGTTATATTCTTCCTGCTCCTCGCACTTTGCCTCTCATACCTTTGGCTCCCTCCACCATTCTTTTACGTACTACTTCCGATTACTTTCGTCATCACGATAACAACATGGCTACTAGCAGGGCACCAACTCAAGCGACTTACCCCCAACACAGAACACCAGCAACAACAAAACGAAAAGCCCAAACGTCGCGCAACCTTCGAAGTAGACATTGAGCACCTAGTGATCGAAGATCAACTCAAATCCGAAGCGAACCGAGGTGCATTATACATATGGAGCACAGCATACTCCAAGGAACTCAGCGATTGCATGGACGATCTAGCACAGATGTGGGTGTTAACCGGCTTCGTCGACGAAGCTGACATCATCCCGGCGCGTGTCTTCTCTTGGACGCTCACAAGCCTACCCCCATGGCGTTGGCTACGCACACGGCGGTACCGCAGTAATCGCATCGGCACAATCGGTCGACGACGTCTCCTCATAATCAAAGAATTCGATCGATTCTACCCTCGTCACGCACGGGATGAATTCGACGAAAGCAGTGACAGTTACAGCAGCAACAATAATTACAGCGAGGGAGCACACCTTCACGCCGCGTTGCGACGTATGTGCGGCTTCATCGAGGGGTATGGATGTAATGAAACCTATTACTTATTAATTACAGGAGCGTATGATGAGAATTGGTGGAGGGATTTTAATAGGTTCAACGACGAGCGGATTATGAATACTCTGGATAGAGCTGTGCCGCATAATCATAATATCACGCCCGTGAGGAGACATACGCCTAAGTGGAGCGTGCCCGGGGTTCAGAGGAGGTGGTCGGCGTTTTTGAAGGGGGTGATTTAGCATTTACATTTACGCATTGGAGCATCTGATATTCTGCATTTTGGGGTAGGGCGTTATGGTTGGGAGCATCTAGCATCTTGCATATATACCATGAAAAGGCATTGGGGCTCGAGAGCGTTCGACTCAGTGTGGGGATGAGAGTTCTGAAACCCCTCTTAGCGGCGGTCTTGCGGGTATTCATATGATACCAACTTGTATATGAACTGACTTACATACATCGTATATAAGACAACATTATCATATTGAACCAGTTCACATCCCTGGGAAGTAGAAACACATAGATATGATTACGTATCATTGGGTTCTAATAGATCCTACTCCCGATCCTAGGGTAAAAATAAGACGACCATTCCCAATACAACTCTAAGCAGGCTATTCGCCCAGACCGCCATCGTCAAAGTAGGCCACCAACCACATCAACCGCACTCAAAGTCGATATCAATTTCCAATTAGTCGCTAGAGCCGCAACAAAATTCCAAGGGGTCTCTCGTCGAAGCAAACACGAAATCGTTTCACCAGAAGCAAGGGAATCCTATATATTCTATCCCACTTAAGTAGGGTAAGTTATCACCACATTAAGACCCTGTCTCACCATCGTGAATCCTGAGTCATTCCTTTTTACAAATTCGCACCAAATCCAGACTCAAAACCATATCACCATTCTACCTAGATAGACACAATTTTCTAATTGACACCCTCCCAATAAATTTTCATGTCATCATCATCTGATATATAATATTCCCAAATGATCTCATCAACTTTTCGTCAATCCAGCCCTCCTACCTCCCCATAATTGGCCAACAAACTCCATCATCCCGCTGTGCCACCCACGCGCGAAAACCATAACCCCCCAAACCGACCCAAACCGAGCCCCTGAGAGGATACAACAAGGTTAAGAAACGGCACCGACACTTTGGGACGCGCGTACCAAAACTGCATGTGCTACATATAAGACACTTTTTCCCTTTCAAATCACCAAACGGAAATTTATTTTTTGCAATTGAACAGACGCAGTGTATTTTTCATTTCATATACAGATCAGGAGACTCTAACCTCGTTTAGAACGAATTTCTACATTTCGCATTTCGCAGTTGAACCTACGCCTTGCCGCCTCATAACACCCCCATATGGAAGAATAAACCAATGCTGCCCTCATCCATTAACTAGCCCGACCACCCTCCCGATATCAACGAGGCTAGTTTTCGTATGCAATTACCCAGGAACGCCATGCAGAAAAATGTCATGGAATATCAGGTTTAGAAAAACATGCTGAGTCTTTTTCGTATCCCCTCTTCTCCCTTTTTATCATTACTTCTTAATCAGGCTGTTGTTGGTGTTACCGCCCAAGGCCACCCTTGGCTCGGAAACCGTCGCACATCAGATCCCATGGCTTCTTCAAGTTATTCGGCGCACAGACAGCTTCGTTCGCAAATGCCCGATATCGGTCTAGGAGATCACTTTTGGTGATTTCTTGCTGTGTAAAGAAGCTAAAATGTCCGACGACAGATCGCGTGTCAATTAGGAACGGTCGCCCAATCCGTCTCGGAATATCCGCAGTGATATCCTGTTCGTCATCTTCTGCGATAGGTAACTGATCTCGGATATCGGAACCCCAGACGGCGCAAAAGTTCAGGTTGTACCGATTATAGCCCGTGTCGTACGTCTGCTCACCACCGGGTCCTTTTCTATTGCCGAGAACAACCGCAGAAGAGTTCGGAGCCAAGGCATTTTCTGGATATCGAATATTTCGACCAAAGAAATATCGCTGCATTTTATTCTGCTCCAGGTTGTATAAAAGCGAATATTGTTGCTGAGCGCCGATTGCCCACGACTTCCAAGCTGCACCGAACGCGATCGGATCGGAGCCGCGATTTTGGTCGTACTTGCCCATCGGAGTTTTAAGCAGATCGTAATGGTCGTCGGAGATAAGAAGCCACGGGTGACCACGATATGGCGCTTGAATATCCATAAGATCATAATCATCTACCATTTCCTCCTCGGGATACTTCGGCTTCTCCGATACTCGCCACGTCTCAGTAGCAAGGAACGAAGGCTTGCTACTCGGATCCGGGAGGAAAGGGTGGATTGCGCCGTAGTGGTATTGTTCCATACCGGTTACCGGGCTGTTAACCAAATTGGACGAGATTGCAAACGGATGAGGTAGGGCGATTCGAGTATGTACGAGCTGGGGAATGGCGTCGGGGTGGATATATACCTAGGTAAGCAATCAGGTTAGTCTACGTTCTCCCTTACTTCGCGGGGTAACAATTCTAGCTCCACGTGGAAACACAACGGATTGTAGCGGGTTACTCACAATATCATCGTCGATTTTGACATAGATGGTCTTGTCTTCGACGGCATAATTCCACATGCAGTTGTATTTCTTCCCTTCGCAATCTCCCTTACCGACAATTTTGTAATCGGTGGTCTTGTTGACGAGATCTTCCACCCAGGCCATGTCATCCTTATCTTTGGTGTGAGCCATAAACCATACCTCGTCGAAGTAGCCGCCATTGGCTGCAAGGTTCTGTTGGAGGTAGCAGTCCAATATGTCGACATATCTCTTGCGACCATAGAAGACCATGCCAATGACCTTGATACCCGCCGGTTTTTTCCAACCGCCCTTCGGAGCGATACTGTCAAGCTTGACCTTATTGACACGGTGCGCCGGGTCGAGTTTGTACTCTGCATTCTTATCTACGGGCCATGTAGTACAGAATTTGGAGTTAGTTTTCGGCTTGGAGTCTTCTTTATCCTCGCTTTTACTATCATCCTCATCCTCTTTTCCCTCTCCCTCCTCTTGTTCCTTCTCATCACCATCCGTCTCTTCTTCCTCGGGTTCTTCGGTCTCTTCCGGTTCCTTGGATTCCTCGGTCGGCGCGGATGAATCAGCTGATGTTACGGTAGGACTTTCTACAGCAGTTGACGTCGCGTGTATTATTTCTGTTGCGGTGGGAGAAGAAACATCGACGTCTGTTTGGTGTTGCGTAGGTTTTGCGGGAGAGTAAGGGTTGAAGATGACCAAGGTAATAAGTAGGGAGATGGCGATTGCGGAGACGAGGTACTTGGGGGTGAATTTACGAGCAGGCGACCAATTGGTTATCCAGGTAGGTATCGGCATTGATTGTAGGCGACGCCATAATGTATGTTGATCTGATCTATGTGGCGATGTGGACCAATTGGGCGGTATCTCGGGTTCGTCGTAATCGAATTCCTCGCTGGAAGATGAGTTGTTTTCCTTGGAGAGTAATTGAGCTGAGGACTCGACGTCCTCTTCTCTTTGTTTCTTCATCTTGAATGCGATTGATGTAGAATACGACCCGAGTTCAGCGATGCGCTCGTGTATTGCGCCAAGGGAAAGTAACAGATAAGCACTTGGAATCCTATCCTGCTTTTGAAAAGGCTATTGTTTTCCTAATACTGTGCAACGCGTCGTATCCTAAAAGCTAGTCGCCTCGATTCGACGGTATTGTGAGTGATGCGCTAATGTTGACCGACCAGTAATATTAAGTCTTATGAAGTCTCACACCCAAAAGCGTGAAGAATGTCAAAGTGACAAGGGCGAAAGAGACGAGGGTATTATTGGCAAAGATACCATATTATGAAGATGTCCTTTACCAAATAGGCCAAGTAATAAGAAAAAAAGAAAAATAAATGAAAAGGGAACGGAAGATAGGAAGACAAGCTTTGGAGGCTGAATAAAGGAGAGGGGCGAAGAAAAGATGAACATGGGAGAGATGCATCAAATTCAGGCAATCCAGCTCATTATTACTTCCGTTATTAGAAACGGGTACATCCACCTAAGGTAGGACTTTCTCTCTCTCTTACTACCGACCTACAACACACTAATTTTTTTTTGTTGGTAGCCTAGAACGAGCGAGTGATTATGGATTTGGTTATTCATCTGCAAGACTGCAAGACCTGCAAGACCCATCGTGGGTAAAAAAAGGCCAAGACAAATTACAAAGAACTACGCTACGCTAGTGCTGATAGAGTCGATGGGGCCATCCATCCATCCAAAGAGAAGGGCCCCTAGCTGCCCTGGAGAGGCTTAGATTTTAAGGTTAGGGGAGCCACGGATTGTCCCATTCCCATTTGCTGTATATATCTAGGTACTATATTGTACCTCGCTATCTCTAGTGGCGTTCTTGCTTTGCTTTTTCTACCGAGTATATACATTACATCCTAGTTATACATTGTATACCTGCATAATCGGGCAAGTACGTGGGAAAGTATACCTTGAATGTTGAATTCCTATTGGACATATGTCGATCTTTAATGTACATCCTTGGCATGGATGTGCGGATGTACCAAATTGCATGTGTCAGATGCTTAGCTGTACTTATTGTCATTGAAAAACTCCGTATTAATTGTACCTTACTCCCCGCAGTTGATATCATTTTTGGGAATTGCCGCCTACATCGAAGTTGATGTAGATACAATGTACTGTAAATCACCTATCAAATGACCAAGTTGAGTTTTTTCTTGTTTCTTCCATCCAACTTCGTATTACAGCACGCAAGAAAACAAACTTGCTTGCATTATACATACACATACACCTACATTTGCACACATACATACACACATACATACACACGACATACGCATGTTAAAACACCTGTCTGTGTTCCCATCGATAGGTGGAATCGGATTGTACATACCGAACACCACGAGATCCACATGCATATCTGCCGGGGTTAGTCGTATCCGGAATGACCAGCCGTATTGGTCGCTTCAGCTGTGCTACGCTTGGTAGAATTCAGAACAAATATCCGGGTTCATTTAAATGCTGCCTACTAATAGGAATCATTTATACGAGAGTATATCCAACCTAGAATACTGTTACGAGTATACCAATTATCAATAGTATTCAACCATTCAAAAATGGATCACATCTAGAACAGTTACCTGTCTGGAGAAGCTCGAGTAAGGCGATCGCTAGAATCACTATTATTACTTAGTGTTGGTTCGGTCCAAGTTTAGCGACCCGCGCCATCGGATCTACTCAGCTAACAGTAGCATCAAACGATAGAATTCGTCAATCATGATAATAATAACGATACCGCAATTTCATATCACATAAGGAACGTAAGGGATTATCTACTAGAAGAATATGTTATACGATCACGAATACAACAATATTGACGGCGGCGGTTTTTAACTCAAAAGCCGAACCAAACTGCGCCGCAACCGGACAGGGCGGAATCAAAACGGGCGTTGATGCGAATTTCGATCACCCTAACATCATACTGTAAATTACTGTAATACAGCACGACATCTGATGCCAACCGAGTCCATTTTAAGCGTCAGCCTAGAAAGGCACTTGCTGAAATGACAGCCGCATATGGTATAGCATGATATCCGATCTCTTTTTTCTCTCAGCCCTTAGTTAATTGTTCTCCACGCGGTCTAGACTTATCAAAGCAGCTGCCAAGCAAACCGCTCAGGTACTAACTTACTAGAATCAACTCTATTTCTCTTTAGACACATGTCGCTAAAATAATAAGTAATTGGAGGTTATAATAAACTTGGCAACGTCTCAATGGGCTAGCCTTATATCCGTTGTCGATTCTCAAGCCGAAAAGACAAGAAAAATAAAGTGTCAAGGTATTGGTGTTCTCGAAGGATTTCGAACCAATGTATCTAACGACCCGCATCCGCATCCGCGCTCAGAAAAAAACCAAGACACTAAAGAACATTTAAGACATTTCAGATATCTGGGTCGGGACATTCAGGGATCTTAGAACGTGGGCGTGCATCTTTTTAACAGTCAGTACCTAGATTCCCACATTTTCAGCCTTCAGATTTGCAGCAACAAGTTTGGTCGACCCGACTTGGCAAAATCCCAAAGATCCTTTTAATATCTTGGGACGGGTTGCACAACGTCATACCCAACGCAGAAGGTCTCTACTGGTTTCATCATAAGGACAAATTTAGCTTGATTGTTGGTGTAGCTGTGCATCATAGCTTTAGTTTTGGGGAACTTTTTTGCACCACTCAATACGGCACGTTTCCAAGCCAATCAATATTTACATTTTACGATATAAACGTGGGTTGTAGGTACTTGCCGAGGTTCGGTGTCGCTATAATCAATTCCTGATTATTAGAGTTGACAAGCTAAGTGATGATAGAGCTATACACAGTAATTTAAAGCTATAGATTTTAACTTCTACACTAGACGACAAATAGTATAGATGCGTATGTATCTCTTTTGCTGCCATTAAGCTACGAGTATGTAGGTATTAACCCCCTGAGTTTGTGAAAGCATCTCGTCCCAAAACATACCAATGTCGTACAAATTGCCCTCATGACACGGCTCACGAAGGCTTGGGCCCCAGAGCGCCACTCATCTCATCAAGATAACAATCGAAGTAAGGGCTTAACTCGGCGATTACCTCTGCGACCCAAGACATTTGTTTATAATTAGTTCCTTTGAAATTGGCAGAGATCAGACGGATTTTAGCGATCGTTTCAATGAAAGACATGCGAAACCCGCTGTTTATCATACACTACTCCGAGACGATCACCTCACCAATAAACGTAAGTTGTATGTATTATAAAAAAGCATTATAATCCTATCACGGACCTAATCACAGGAGTTATTGTTCTACCGACATTAAAAGCGTAACATTTTACCTGCAGAATTGTCTTAGGTCTTAGGTATGGGTTGTAATGGATAGTATAAGCTGGATGACAAAGTTCGTATCCCCTCAAACGATGGAACGTTTCTGTGTCTATTGCAGTAGGACAAAAGCATCCAGCCTACTGGATCGCCCCCTTTAACTATTCCTATTAGGTCCACGTTTGGATATAGCTGTGGTATCTGTCAAGTTTCGTGAAAATTAGGTCTAACTTGGGAAGGTGTCACCATGTTCAGCCCGTATCACCCGGGTCTTGTAAATTAGCAGCAGGCTGTAATTCAATGCTTCCTCACTTCCCTTGTTTACAGGGCTTGCGAGGTGGCTGGGTACAGTATCCGAGCATGTATGTTCATGGTTCTTTAGTGGTACGTGCACAGTAGACAAATGCACGATATGATAGTCTTATCATTTTATCGATAACACCTATCCGCCGCGACTGTTTTTCCGACAGAGAAAAAAGTGCGGGTGGATCCTTGCTACATTGACTAGCTCCAGCAAAATTATTCTAAGCTCAAATTCGTTGTCGAATTTGCAGTCGCAAACCACGAACCAATTGACAACCCTCGACGCACGAATTAAACACATACATACACTACGAAATATCCAATTGACTTCGGATCTGATCGCCAAAATGTCGAGAGGAGCGCCGCGCGGACGTGGCGGCTTCGGTGGTGGAGGTAGCCGTGGATTCAGAGGCGGCGGTACGTTGAAGCTCTACTCTACATAAAAGAAAATACGCATCACTATTACCAACCATGCAGCTAACTCTACCTCTCTAATTCTAGGCCGTGGCGGTTTCGGACAACGCGACATGGGCCCACCAGACCAAATCCTCGAAATGGGCAGTTTCATGCACGCATGCGAAGGAGAAATGGTATGCGAGAGCGTGAACCCGAAGGTTCCGCATTTCAACGCGCAGATCTTCCTCGAGAACAAGACGGCAGTCGGTAAAGTCGATGAGGTGCTGGGACCTATCAACCAGGTCTACTTCACTATCAAACCCACCGAGGGTATCCAAGCTACGTCTTTTAAACCTGGCGATAAATTCTTCATCGGCTCCGAGAAGCTCCTCCCCCTCGAGAAGTTCCTTCCCAAGCCTAAGCCCCCGCCAGGTGCACCCAAGGTCAAGAAGCCTAGTCGAGGTGGTGGCGGTTTTGGTGGTCGTGGAGGTGGTAGAGGTGGCCCGATAAGAGGTGGACGCGGAGGAGGCCGAGGCGGTCCCCCAAGAGGAAGAGGTGGATTCGGTGGAGGTGGATTTGGCGGCGGCCGAGGAGGTGGTGGTCGCGGTGGTGGTGGCTTTAGCGGAAGTGGTGGTTTCAGCAGGGGCGGCGGCGGCGGTGGCAGAGGACGAGGCGGTTTCAGCAGCAGAGGACGATTCTAAGCTTGGGCAAAGATACCCCCCGTGCCTCTCTGTATTCCCCTCTAAACCCCAGCCCAGGTTTTGAACGTCTCGGCGGTCGTCTCTTCTCGCGGTTTCCCTTATTCAATGTGTTCATGTGGTACGGGAATGGCGTTACGAGGAAAATTCTGAACCTTTTTTTTCTGCTTCTTTGGTATTTACGCGCCCAGTCTTTTTACTATGCTGAAAGGGCCTTGATTGCATATAACGAGAAGCATCATCGCTAGTAGAGGCTATTTAGACGACTAGGGTAGCTGTATATGAAACGCACTCACCGTATCATGGACTTTAAATTTAGTGAAATTTGCATATCATCCTCAATTCTGACCTTGGGTCGTGTGATTTGGAGTCATTCTATGACGTCCCCATGATGGTAAGAGGAGACAGCGAAGTAGACTAGCAAATAAGACATCATATCATAAACCTCATAACTAAGTAGCTATGCTTACCATTGGATGATGCCAACTGGACCAAGTCATAAGGGCCTACTTCACGATCAAAAGAATCGCCGCCGTTTAAAACCATGCAATATATTCATATTTCCAATTCATCTCAGCAGCGCAAGTGTACATCTACATCCACAACTCTGAATCGGAATCACATGTATCCTGCCGATTCATTCAATCACAATTATCATTTTTATTTAATTCTCCCCTGCCTGCCTGTCTATCCAGACCATCCTATCACAAGAATCAGAGCGGGAGCTCTCTTTTCCTGTACCGCCTCCCCTAAATGGCCATTTTGTCTTCGGCGAACTTTGATACTTCGGGGTACTATGGAAAGAAGGGGAAATTTAAAACGCCAACGCCGTGCGGAAGAAAGTAGAAAAGGTATACCCCTAACGTCTGACGCTCAAAACGAAAGCTCAAACCCCCTTTACCTCTGCTTAGAAAGAAACAGACAAAAAGCCACCGTCGTGTTCGCATAAGAGAAAATGGAAATCTTGATATCTAATCGAAAAAGAGCTAGTAAAAATACCTAGTAAGCCCCGGGTGTTCCGCCTGGTGTGCTTCGGGGGTACTCGCCCGGGACGTGGGGATTGCTGTTAGTCCTGTCACCGTATGGCCTGGGCTGACCATTTTGACCCGAAAAGGGAATGCCGGTAGCAACGCCGGGCAATGGCTTTGTGTATCCATTGCTTTGGGGTTGTTCCCTCCTTTGCGCACCATATGCGGCGGGGGCCGGTGCGTACTTCTGCTGTACATCTGTGGCCATCTCGAAGGCACCAGGGTTGCCTGAATCTTGGCTAGTAACAGTGTCTAGGGTGCTAGATGACGCCGGTCCTGGAATAACGATGGGTGCGTTTAGTGGTTGGCTCGGCTGGTTCCTCTGCTGCTGCAGTGGTTGCTGTTGCTGCTGTGGGATGATAGGCTCCGCATTATACGGATTTACGCCATCTGCTTTCGCCTCATGGTCAATAATTGCTGCGTGACTGTGCGCTTGGTCCATTCTCACGCTCGGAGTATTTCCATAGGATTGACCAACCAACTGCGATGCCCGATTCCCTGCATAAGGCTCACCGAGACCGCTGCCGGGGAGCGCGCCTGCAGCCGCGATAACGTCACGGTCTTGATTGCTATTCATGTTCGCGCCACCCATCGTATACTCGTTACCGACAAATCCTGACCCGACGCTACTGGGAGAACGTGGTACCTGTAAACCTCTCTGGGCATTAACCTGGAGATCAGACGGGAAACGTCCACCGGGTTCGGGTCTATTCTGGAGGGGCTCTTGTCGGGAGCCGGGGCTAGCGACTGCCGGGTCGACAGAAAAGGGTTCATCGTCTTCTTCATCCACCATACCATCCGAACTAATGCTGCGCTGCGAAGTACGCGAATATGTGCGAGCGTGTCCTCGAACAAAATTGCTAAGCTCTTCGGGCGACTTCTCAGTGAGGGCCTTGATATCCTCATACCAAGCCATCATTGTATCGTGACTCTCGGCACGGAACACCCAAGTGTGACCGCGGTGCATAGCCCCGGTTTGTCGTCCCTTTAGGATAAACTTGTTGGACGAACCTCCCTCGGCGGAATGGGAGCCTAGCTTCTGTTCGGGGAGATACAGTGACATGACTGGCGCCATTGTCTTATCGGCGGACTTGAATTCGTGCAGATGCGTCGGCGATAATACATACCTATTATCACGTTAGCTAGTCTATAGACCAAAGAAAATCCAACTTACCATCCAGCTGTGTAGCTCTTTAAGTACTTGCTCTTGCGTTCAAGTAGACCCGCACGGATCTCTTGGCAAGCGAAGTGGTCTCGCCCTGGGTAGTGAATATGTTCGGCGGACCTTAATGGGACGTCAGGATCAACAAATTGCGCATCTCTTTGGATAAAAGTGATCCACTCGTGATCCTTCGGCATCGCGATGGGGCCGGCGCGGAGCTCTTCGATAGCATTGTAACCTGCATCCGACTCTCGTTTGATGATACCTACGTATGCATTGTAGGACTTTTGAATCTCGCCCACGACGATAGACTCCAGCTCTCTACCTGAAGACTCGAGGTTCAAATATGCCTGGTATTGTTAGAAAGTACCTTGATATACGGTAGAAAATGAGCTTACCTTATGTAAATAATTCTCTTCATCCAGTTGTCTTTCAACTTGACGATCCACCGCGAGTCGCAAGAGATAGGGATCTTGCTTGCCCGTGGTCATAGACGAGTCTAACTCGTTCTGCCCCAGGACTTCCTGGAGTGCATTGACGGCTCTTCTAGTTCCATCCATTTCTTTCTCGACCGAATTCTTGAAGTCGCTCGACAGGCCTCTGATCTCCTTGATCTTTTGGTTCAGGTCGCTTCTTAGACCAGTTAATGCTAGAATAACGTCTTCCTCGATTTCGCGGGCCTTATTAGCTTCTATGATCGCATTCTTGTGATAGTTCCGGAGTATTTGAATCGCGTCGTCCAACCCGCCAGACGCAAGAAATCCGGGTGGCGTCGACGTATTGTTGAGTACGTTAGCGAGCTTAAGAAGCGACTTCGATCGGTGCTCGTAGTGCGATTGTATTTCCCTAAAATACGCAATAAAGTCTTTAAGCATTTTTCGCCAAGCTACAAAACCGTGTCAGCAATCAAGTCATTCGCAAAAAGGATAGCCGCCAGAAATATTATAACATACCTTGAAATCTGTTGGATAATATTTCTGTAGGGCTACCCGAGGTTGGCACAGGGCAGAAGAATACGCTGTGAATCTCGTCCGAGTCGTGAGAGCTTTGCAAAGCTAAGCTTCGCACACTACCGGCCTTCATGCTCCTGCGACTACTACTGCGCTTAAGACTACCACTCCTACGTAGCGAGTTCTTTTTCTTCAGAGTATTTCCCCGCGATAACGATATAGAATGCGCGCCCGAGCCATCACCAGTAGTAATGACCTCGGGCCGCGAAGATATAGAGTTAGAGCGCTGCATCGGGGATTGTTGGTATTGGTTTGGCTGAGAAGTTGGGCCGTCGATGATGGAACTTCCTCTCACGCTTGCATCCCACTCCTCATTAAATTTGGTCTGGCGATTTGCGACTTGAAGGTTATCGTTCTGGGGCGGTGCAATATGGGAATTAGCCAATGTGTTAGACAAAGTTTCGTCATCGACGTGTGGCCTTTGTGGCTGGTGGTACGCAAAGTAACTGCCGGAAGTAGGCCTCGAATAACTGCCTCCTCCTGCGTTCCCGTTACTTGGGAATCCTCCCGACTCAAAAGCGGCGGAGGGCTGGTTCATATTGGTACTGACGGCGGACGGAGCGGACGGCAATGGGGGCTTAGTGGACATGACAGAGTTGACGCAACCTTAGACTCAAGTGCCTGTCAGACTATTTACTTCTAAGCATAGAAGGTTTGAGACTAAGATCGATAGGGGTCAGCTAGTCAATAGCCTCAGTCTTGTAGTACCTCTCGCTAGCAAGTATAGGCGTGTATCTTCGATTTTTTAAAGCTTTTGTTTAAGAAGCATGTACATAAGGATACGTAGGTATTGCTATTTTCGCAAATGGTGGGTGCATAGAGTTTGGGACGGTCGCAGAATAGGGTAAATGTATGTGCCTTTCTTTGAATTCGGTAAGGCGATGGATTCAAGGATTCGACGCTGTTTATTCGAGGTTGTATGTCTCAGCAGACCTGCATCATGGGTAACTACCAAGTTAGCCTAAATGAATCATGTATATGACTAGAGGTATTTTGTGCTATAATTATCGAGAATATTCGAGTGATATACCTGAGGTACCGAAGCGAAGGATGTCCAACGAACTAGGTTAGAGAAATGGTCGCGAATGGGTGCTACCTACACGATTCAGTAGTTCGCCGTCCTTTGAAGTTGGGCCGCAACTTAATTGGGCTTTCAAATAATAAATAAAAGAAAAGAGTGTTTCAAAGGATAATAAAATTGCGAATTTCGATAGTATTCGTAACAACGGAATTTCTGGAATCACGATTGGGGGATTGTGGGAAATTGATTGTTGCCGGTAACCGACGGCGCGGAAGAAGGAAGAAGGAAACTTGGAGTGATGCGCAGTGACGATGATGGCGTTGTCGTCACCTTTGCGACTCTCCCCCAGCTGCTCTTCCTAATTCTGCAAACACGCCAACCTAAATGAGTTTAGCGTAATTAAATGAATGTGGAGGTACCTGCCTAAGTGATGAAGTACCGTTCCTACATAAAAGCTTAATGAACGTTACCAGCTAGCATTTTCGTACCATCCGGATTCGGCAATCTACTAACAGGGGTCTGTCAGTAACAAGCCACTTGGCGGGGTTTTGGCGTTCTCAAGTCTTTGTAAGATAGGATTTATGACGTAACACAGCTATCCCGTCTATTGACCTATGTTCTCAGTTCACGGGACTCTCCGCCGATGTCTCTTCCCTTGCAGAAGAAGAACAATCAAATCTCAGGAGATATGTATGTCGTGCTATGATAAGACACCCTTTTTATATTATACCTTCTGGAAACAACACAGGATCATTCGTCTACAAATTTGCTGCTGCAAAACCGGTATACGTCAGCTACCTCAATGTCGATATACCTACGTATGGTCGTACGGTAGCATGTATCCCCCAAACGTGCGACTCGAATAATTGTAGTTAGGTAATTTTCACCACTCAAAGCATGTGAGTCCGAGGCCTTTATCGACTGGTCGACTAAGACGATGCAAAACAGCCACAATCCCAAGCCTCTTTGAAAGGTGTCCAATGATGTCGTCACAGCATCAATGATCGCCATTGGCCCTACTAAGAACTCGCCCAAATCGGAAGAGAACTATATAATAGGGCGTCCATATACATATGCAATCGGCACTCCGCATTTTCATATATCCTTGCTCAGCTTGACTGTATATCATAAGCTATTATACGCTATCCCCAGTCTCCGCATTGCTACTCGGGTGCCTAGCGTGATGCTTCAGCTCATGACCTGCATGCATCTTCACGTATCACCTCCGTACACCTGGAACAAGACAAGTCTAGAAGGATATGCGTAACCACATGTGAATCAGGCACATCAAGTCGGGCTCCTCTAGAAGTAAGACATACAAAATTAAGATATTGGTATTGGGAATAACAACATTATATTAAAAATCAAGTATTCATAAACATAAATCATATTTATTACTCCATCCCCTACGCACTACGTGCTGCGCATCTCCTAATCACCTAGCTCACTCTTCATTTCGGTTCCAAAAAAAAAGAAACCTCCAACCACCCCTCCCTATAAACGCCTTGCTCATGCAAATATGCTATGTAGTTCCGGAATCCCGATCAACAAAGCATTATCAGCTTTCCGGTACGCCATGCCCTCCCAGCCATGTTCATATCAAAATATGCCATTCTGCTATGCCTGTTTCCGATTCCCCTACGACGCGGAATTCCAATCTCGAGTGCTACCATATCAAATTATTAGTCAAATTATGTTCCTTACCCCTATTCTCAAACCAGTTCCGAAATAGACTTCACCGTCTCGGACGTTGTAGTGTGCTTAATCCTACCTTTCCGTCTCGGCGGTGGTGCCTTTGGGGGTGCTTTCTTGGTACTAGTTCTGGTTCCATTTTCTAGCCCTGAATGAACATAAGGTATTCCGTGTCGGTGTTTTGGTACTTCGGGAAGTGGCTTTTTCGGTCTGCTCGGCTTCGGTGCTTCCTTCGGATGCCCACTAGAACTTGACTTCGTAATCTCGCATTTAGCCTCTGCTTCCGCTTTGGCTTCAGCCTCGACCTGAGCTTCGGCTTGCGACTCGGCTTTCCGGCTCGGTGTTTGTACACCCGGTTTCTCCATGACTGCCGCCACGTCCACGACGCTAACGTTACTGACGGTATCTGAATGCGAAAGGCTGATGCCTAGGAATTTGCGCGCTACCGCACTTGCACCTACACCCCCGTCCGAAAGCCACTTGACTTTCGCTACCCGATCCACAAGCCTTACTGTTGTTTCATCTACCGGCGCAAAATGGGTGTTGCCCGACCCAGACAATATTCTTAACAATTTTTGTACTTCGTCCTTTTTATAGTGGGGCGGTTGGTTTAGTTGCGTGTGCGCAAGCAAGGGATATAAAACGCGGAGGTATGTATGTCGCAAAGCCATCAGCTCATTCGGTAGGTCGAGGAGATTGCGAATAATGACATCAAGGAGCACTCGTAAGTCGTTCGTATAGAAATACTCGTATGTGGCTTTAGTAGTGAAAAGCAGGTATAAGAGCTTCAAGATCAGAAGCTGCAACGACGTCTCGGTTTCGCGGTTGAGAAGCAATATGATATTCTCGCCAAATGTTCTATATTGCGGTCCGTATATGCTAAGGCACTTGACGACTTTATTCGTTAATGGTGCGCCGAGCGAAGCGGGTTCGTTTATGGCTGACGTGGATGCAACCATGTATTGTTCGTTAAGGACGAGCTAGGAATGGATAAGTAAAAAAGATGCCATCAAACACTATTTCAACTTACAAGAACACGGATAATGGGATAATGATAAGGATCATGCGCATCATCGGAAAATCCCTCTATCAGTTGGAATAGATAGATTACGAATGCATCGTCAACGTGTAGAAGATCCTCAATGCGGAGTTGTTCAATCCGCGACATCTCATACATCAATTCCAACAGTAATCGATGTAGACCTGGATCGTCATCTTTTCGTTCATTTATCAGTTCTAGTAGTCGATGGAAGCAACCTTCTTCAATCATCCGCTTGAATGTCGCCTCTTCCGCCCGACCGTCGAGGATGAGGAAATTAGCGATGACGTATAGGGGACCAGGTTCATCTTCCTGCAGCAAACTGTAGATAATCTGCATGCGCACATATTCAGGATCGGTTTGGAAGAGGTTTCCATCGAGGAGGCGCTGTGAACAATTCGCTACGTCGTCTTCGGATTGGGAGAACTCGTCTCGGCATCGCGACGCAAGGTACAGCCATGATCGCAGAGCATCGTCAATCGTTTCGTGAGCTTCGGCGGGGCACTCGATAGCAACGACCTTGTTTATTTCTGAAGATCCATAAATCAGCTAATTTTATCATGCTTGGATAGGAGAACCGAAGAGGAAGCTAAGACGAACCATTCCATAATTGCTCCTCATTTTCTATCGAGTAACTGGAGTCTGAGTCGGCCATATTGATTAGAGCCCAAGCAACGTGTCCGACATCTCATCACGAAGCCTAACCAAGGTTGGGTGTGTAACGGACACCTATAAAATAAAACAAGAGATTATAATGGATAATAAGAAGGCTCTACTGTAAAATCATAACCCAACGCCAGACATAGATAGTCGCTCGCGTGGCTATGTCCAACGCAAGTTGGTTGTTGAGTGTCGAGTGTCGATCAGACAAGGCGTGTTGTAACGATGGTATGCGGGAAAGGAAATAAAAATGGTAAAAAAAATACCCCAAGACCTATCTAGGTAAGCCTGGTAAGCTATTTTCCATTTTCGCTATGGCCTTGGCTCAAATTCCCCCGCGTCGGGTCCAGTTTTAGGTTTATGAGCTCATACTTATACCTTATCTAACGGTTATCTTGGGTATCACTTCATTACGTCAGCGTTCAAATCCGTAGGATTACATAATCACCACCCCAGTATGTACCTAAGTAGCTGTATAATATTGTTACGATATCATGAGTCCGCCAGTTTAAAAATATCCGGTGTATCATCTTACAACCATCACGAAAGGTGTCTGACTCTACTTAGTTTTCACTGCTATATAGGTTACTTGTCTAACTTAATTGTATTACTACAATCCAGAAGTATGCCGACCTTCTTAGTCTAGTAGGTAACAAATCAACTAGATCTAAAGTACAATTGTATAGACCCGGGTTTTTGGAAATGAAACCTTGTCTATTGCCATGTCAGCATGAGTAACCTCAATATGTAGGCAGCTTCTATCGAAATGGGTCAGCCTGACCTTATCGCTGGTGTCGTCCAGGTGTGACCAATAGTTTGGCCAAATCAATCCACCACTCCGTGCAAATGCATTCGCTCCTGGTGATATCCCGAAACCAACTACAGGAGTTCATTATACAACTGTTACTAGCCTGATTGCAGAGAATAGGCCGACCACATTTAGTCTAATATCCGAATCTAATTTTTTTCAAAGACGTCATCTTATCGAATCTTACGATTCAAAAAGGTTAGCAACGCCTTCTAAATTGTCGGCATTTCTCTCATCTCGGCCGTTCTCGGTGGCCTCTGATCTTGTAGGGTTATGTCCGGACAACGGAGCAGTCATGAATTGCTGGGCCATTTTGCTTCGCACCGGTTTCTTCGTAGCGGGGGCCTTGTTCATCGAGGTCCATCCAATGCTCTTGCTCAACTTGCCCATCTCCGAGACGCTTACCCCCTTTAGATCGCCCAACAGTTGGAGAATGACTGCTCGTTGGCCGCGGGAGCTTGTTCCACTCCTCATCATGTATTCTATGCCGCCATCCACATCAGCTTGCTTCATGTTGGGAAGCGAAATGAGCACATCTCGTGCCGTCGCCGTATGAGGACTATAGGTCACCACAATCGTGGCAACGAGAGAAGCAAATTCCTTCTGCAACTCAACAAAATACGGCTCGTGAATTGATGTAATACAAGCCTTGACAACATCCGACGATATATACTCTCGGATAGCAGCCGCCGTATCCGGTGGTATAGGTGCCGTATCGACACGCTGCTTGGCTCCCGGGGCTCTTGCGAATTCCGGAATGATAGACCGGAAAACTCTCAACATTATGCCGCAGCACCGCGAGTCTCGCCAACGAATAGCATGAGTGCAGAACAACAATAATGGCTCTACAATGGAGGAATGCATTAGACAAAATTCTCGTAGTGTAGGATAATTCCTTCCTCCATTCTCTTCAAGAGATGGGATGGGTGTATCTGTCAAATGTTAGCATATATGTACGAGAGTTCATAATATCATTAAGAACTTACTGATCCTAGCTGGATCTAGAAAATCCGCGATCATCATAACCGATGCATACGTCAGCTGCCGTAGAATGCTCTCCGCTTTCATTTCTTCCGTGAGAGCGTCTCCTCCTGTTTTCACCCCTTGCTGTTGGTCAAGTTTCTCCCATTCAGAGCTTATTCTAGCGTCCATCTGCTGGCAGCATGCGGCCAGAATCGGCGGGAGGAAATGATCTCGTAAAGGCACTGGGCAGTTGTCCACCAAGTATCTAACCAAATTAAGAACGTTAATTAACTGGTGGGGCGAAAGACTGAATGAGTCAGCCAGGAGAGCATGGGCCAAAGGTCCTGGTAATTCACTAAAACCGTAGAATTGTACGTCCAAACGCGTCATGCAGTAGATGATCGCGTAGCACGACTCTCGTACGAATCGAATAGACCCTCGGATAGTAGACGCAAGGCCCTCTAAAGTGAACTTCTTCTCCAGCACGCGAGCATAGAATTCATCTTTACTGCCCTCAGAAATGCCAGCTTGCCAGAATCTATCGGTTAAGACACGGCCAACAATACTTCTCATCTCTGGTGGAAGTCCTGACCAATTATCAGGGGTATGCGACGCGTGTGCATGACTGTTTTTACGAGTTAATCGAGACTAAATATAATTCAATGAACAGTAATGAGACTTACTTTAAGAAATTGAGAAGCTCTGGGAGGATCGTGGGGAATCCATCTTGCCATAGTGCGCATGAAACTTGATATGGGTCGGTGTCCTTCTCCACCTTATCGACGGAACAAGTCAAGAAAGATTTCGTCGGCCGTAGCGGGAGGACCTGTTTAAGGTTAGCAAACATTCCATTCATAGAGAGACTTAATATACGCTCACAGTTTGTCGCTGTTCAAGTTCAGCTTGCAAGGCCTGTCCTTCAGCATCGAGTTCCACGGCGCCCCAGTCGGGTATGTTTTGCATTTGTTTCTGGGCTAAATAGGCCTGGGCCTTATCAAGTGCCATGAGCTCACAAAAACCCGCGTACGAAGACAATGCTCGTTTCAGGCCATCATCCTGCCATTGAGATACTACTGGATCAATGAACCCTCGCAGTTTCTGGGCTTTTGTGGCTTGCTCAAGCCGTGTAGAACGGTGACTTGATTGCGTTAGTATTATCGTTCTGTAGAAGGGCTTCCACACTTACACAATGGTGAAAAGGAAGGTCTGGTATGTAATCTGACGCTTCTCGTCCAAAGTTCCAGAGGCGATCATATCGTTCACCTTTGCTTCTATCTGATCATAGACATCCTAGCGAGATGGTTAGTTCGTATCTACTTATCATCAATCGAATTTCTTACAAGCAAATGGTCGGGCATTTTCGCGGCGAGTCTTTGCAACTCAACCATGCTTTCCGCTTGTAGTTCTTTAATCGCATCGGTATATACCCGGTAATCGCGATGAGTGGCCGGCCAAGTTACGAGGATATGTTCCAGAACCTTTAACATAAAGTTCGGGTTCCTATCAAGCGCCATAACCGAAAAAGCTACAAGGAGTTGTAATATCCTCTTTCTAATGAGGGGATCCTATATCGACAAGTTAGCAACATCAATAAGAAACGAATTTGTATATAACTTACCTCAAACTTCATCACTAACAATCGATTACACCAAGACTCTAAGCTTTGCTCTAGATCAACAATCTCCTGTTCCTATGTCGTTTTTAGCAAGGAATCAATATCTACTAAGAATAGAATTTTCTTACCTGGGCGTTTTCATTTGTTGATCGCCATTTTCCGAAACCCTTCAGAGCTGCTTCGATCACTGTCGCTTGAGCATCAACCCGAAGGACGGGTTGAGATGTTTTGGAGTAATTCGCTACTACTACAAGTTAGAATATATTCCTTTTAATGGGTAATGAATAGTGAGACATACTATCAAACGGCGGTCCATTGTCGTAGAGATGTATTAAGATGTTTTGTGTCTGCCCTAGAATGTGTTGCATTGCATCGGTGATCTTTAGCTGAACAATGCTCTCAACAACTTGCGAACTGTAACGGCGATAGTTGCCAAGGAAAGCATGGCGCTCTGGAATTGTATCCGTATCCTCTAGTAAGAATAAGAACGTGGGATCCTGAGTTTCTTCGGGCAGGCTTTCATATCTAACTAGCCTTGAACTACAACATTCTAGCAGTGGTCCAATGAAGGTGGGCACATCGGCGATGTTTGGTCCGAGAGAGCGGTTGTTCAGAAGGCGTGTCCACGTCACGAGGACGGGAATTGACACTACTAGACTTTGACTTTGGGTAATTAGGAGAAGTAATTGTAGAAATCCTTGGAAATCAATTCGGTCTGGGTCGTTTGGTAGAACGTTAAAACGACGATCCATGTATGTTCCAAGGAACGAAATCACCTAGGCATAATTAATAAAAGTCCTATTGGATATTCATGGATACAATTACCTCAGACAGTTTCTTAGCGAACTGATATTTATCATCGTCAATGTCTTCAGGGTCGACTATCGACCATTCGAAGAGTCGTCTGAATAAGTCTACGTACTTGCTGCCATATAACGGAACAACGAGATCTAAAAACTCCTGGTCGACAAAGCTCGTGCGAGCATACAAGGAGTGCATTGCTTCTAGAGATGCCTTAATATTTAGTTAGCTTTATATATAATAGCTTTTCATGTAGGGATTGATAGATGGCAGGGCTAGCGCTTTACCTTTTGGACGTCGATGTTGGACGCGCGAAGACCTTCGCACATGACCGGTACACACTGAGTCGCAGTCACAGCATTAGGGATGACCCAGGGCAATAAGGAGTAGAGGACGGCGAGGGCTCGTATAGCGCAGCCTCGCAGTTCCGCATTGTTTTGTACGTCTCCAGATAAGCACTGGCTTAGAAGTTCTGTAATTCTGGCAAGCCAACCCTCATCCCCACATCGAACGTCCGGTCCTGGTTGTCTATTCGGGAAGGTTTCTGTTAGGACGGCAGCGGGTGTAAAAATCTCAACGGATGCCTTGCTAAGAACACCCTCACGGACTGCTACTACAGTGTCGTCCCCATTAAAAATGTCGTCTGAAAGCATCTCTAGAACACACAGGACGAGTTCTTTGTGAACCGCCGAGTCTGCGACCTGCCATAGTTGGACGAGCATCGTATCCATATCCATCCAGTCGCCGGCCCAGCTCCTTTTGGCAATCTCAACCCATAATAGGGCAATTTTGTTCCTCAAATAGGCGGGGTCGTCTCGGGATACGTTCTGGGAGAGCTCGAGAACACCGGTTCGTAAGGCCGTAGCCTGTTCCAGAGTATAATAGGCCCATTTATGCTTGATCGCATGCTCGAGAAGTGATAATGCATAGTGTCGCACTACGGGTGATTGCGATTTGTCTAGGGCAAGCTTAAATCCGTAATACGAGGCTTTTTCGTCATTCTTCACGTGTTCGAGATATAGCTGGGCGTCTTTACGGGCTTCGTTGGAGGAATAAGGACTGTGGACCGTTTCTAGAGCACTATGAATCATGGGCAGGTCTGCCATGTTCTCGGAGTTAAAACCGTTGCCGCCCGATCCCATATTTCCATTGATCGAGGTGTGCGCTGTCATCGCGTATAGGAACTAGGGATGCGCAGTCGAAGGACGACGATCTTGGAGGGGTGGGCGGGAGCTGTTCGGTTTAGGTACTACTTTGTCTTAAGGGTGAATCATGAGGTGCGCCGAGTATACGTATGGGCGAGACAATACGGGTTGTGTGTTGGACTCGAGGAGTAGAGCAAGCACCTTCGCGAAGGAATCCCGAGGTTTCTACTTGAATTTAGTAATTGCGAAAGTCAAGGTAAAGGAAAATGTTCAGGTTGGTAAGGTCGCAAGTGGGACGATGAATTATGGTCAATGCACTAGCTAGGCTGGCAGGCTGGCAGGCTAGGCTGGTTAAACATAGATTGGCGGATTGGGATAGTAAGGGTATCGTGATTGGAGTTGGAGTTGGTGCGTGCCTACAATTCAAATTGAGAGGCTCGATGAAAGAAAGATGTGTTGCTTCAACTTTAGTGGCATGGTTTGCAACGCGTTGATTGGAGAGGTCGCTGAGGTGTAACCTTAAAGAAAGGAAACTCAGGTCATATTGTGGTCATATTATGTATACTAATGTAGGAAATAGCGGCATTAAGATATAGGTAGGTACAGTACGTGACGCATCTGCTGGGAAATGGTGAGTAGCGTGGTTACTAGGTACTGTACTTGGTCAAGGCTTCTTGCCTCTACCTTATCTTAGAGGTTTTAACGTTGGCAGAACTTTGTCTAGGCAGGTACGTACCTAATCACCCCACTTCGCCGGGGGTTTATTACTCACGAGGAACCAATTAGCCACCAAACCAACCTCGGAAATCCCCTGTTTCTGGAAAGACTAGAACAATTCTAAAAGTACCTTACGGCGCCCTATAAAATTGCTTGTATGACTGTACGTATTTACGTATTGACGTATTACAGAATTCCCGAATATGTTCCACAGCAGTTTGTGCAATTAAAACTCTTTAGAGAATATCTTGTAGGGCGACTCAGAAAGCGGCTAGGAAAACGGGAGTGACAATGATTTATATATGTAGGTACCTAGGTATGTATGTACTACATATGTACTTACATAATTCGCCCCGTCATGCAGTAATCTAGCTCTCTGGATGAGTCACAAAGTCATGTGAGAACATGTCTAGGCATTTCAAAGGGCCAAAAAGAGGACTAATCATCAATATATAGAAGCTTGTTTTCGTCGTATTACATGACGAAGTTTAGTATCGACGTTTTGTCTGCGCAGTGCCACGAAGTAAGTGCTTCGACCGGTCAATTCGACCAAATATCAATCCTTGTACTACCCAATCCCTAGACCCAGGCATACATGACTAATATTCCCACAAGCATAGCAGTCGATCATAAAAACTCGTTGATATGCATCGGAGGCTTCGACCTTCTGATTCAGATCCTGGTTGGAAATCACTGCCGTAATTCATGCTCTTATGCTCTTCAAAACGACCAAGTACATTGATCTGGCATGTTTCGGTAACGGCATCACCTGTGATTTCAACCACCCTCGATCCCGCATGCATGCACGATGCCAGTATCAGAGCTTTCCATCGTCGCAGCTCTCTCGTCGTCCCCTCTGTCTGATCCGTCCTCGGTACCATTTCTGTCGTCTTCTCTAACTTGATTAATTTGAGTCTCCATACTCCTCCTTCGAGATTCCGTTCTGCTATTAGCTTAGGATTTTGAGGGGGCAATCCTGACTTTTGATCATTAATAGTATACACTCTGATATGGTCATCATAACTACCGGTTACAACCACAGAACCAAGAAGCACAATTTGCAGGTTCAGTGGTAGAATAGCGGTAACCCCTGCTTCATGACCCCTTAACGAAATTGCAGAAAACGGACTTTCAATCGAGTCAGCTTCGCTATCAATTCGAATTGGATGGTATAAACATTTTGCGACGAATAATTTCGAGTCGTCGCCACCCGAGAAGAGAGTGAATAGTTGCGAGTTCCTCTCTAGCGAAACGTTCGGGTCTAGGTTCGGCCTTCTCGGTATTAATGACGAGAACGCCACCGTCCAAGCTTCAAGGCTATGAGTGATCACTGGCTCCGCCCGTGTGGTGCGGACATTCCAGGAGTCATCCACACGTAGGATATGGACCTGGTGGTTGGATGTCGTAATTGCCAGGAGCTCCGGAATATACGGATGCCATGAGCATGATAAGAAAAGAATTCCTTCATCATCACCAAGTGGCCGATGGGTACTTATCTCTTCCAAGGAGGCCGGGGATTCCTCCGAAGTCCGAAGCCTAAAGAATGAAAGCGTACCTGTGCTGGAGACAACCGATAGCACTGTATGTCCTTCTCGACTAGGATGAAAATGCAGATCGAGGATAGCAGAGGGGTAGAGCACGGTCTGTACATGGTTTCTATCCAATGGTAAATTTGATGTCGAAAATATGATAGAATAATGACAGGCAGAAGGCTTACATATCTGCAGCCCCTGTCAATCTAAAGAGAACAAGACTGCCATTTCTAGTCTGTGTGGCCTTCTTTGCCTGCTGCCCTTCCCCGTCGGCATCGGCATCGGCAACTTCTGCACCTTTCCCATCTTCTTTTTGTAAGTTGTATGTGCCAACAACAAAATAGTTCGGGTGACCGGGACAGAATTCGATGCAGCTGGGAGGGAGGTCTAATATTAATGACCTCAGCGGCGCGAGATTGCGCCCTTGCCCCTCCATCACTTATCAATTTTGCTTTTTTCTAGACCGAGCGATGAATCCTTAGCAAGGCTTCAGGCGGCACTGCTCGCTAAAATATTTTGTATCGGGTTGCGGCATCAAAGATCAAGCGTATCCCCATTTGTAAAGACGGGCATCTACTCGAGATAAGAAGTTGTAAGAATAAAAGTAAAGTATTTCATGATTATCTGCAGCTCCCCTCGTTTTTTATGCTTGTTATAAGTGGAAGAGACTTAATTGGGACTGATTTGGGTTTTATGATGCATGCTAAGGTGCGTGCCCAGACCAGGGTAAAAGTGGGTAGTTACCGACGACGGTGTGCGGTTCGGAATCATCCCCGCTGTTTGGACCCTGGATTAGCGGAACCCTGCCACTGGACCGACCAACCTTAGCGCCCGAGAACCTGGTTCTGGTATTTCCAATTCTGGAGGTGACAACCAAAATGCAAGAGGCCTCAGACCTTCAAACTTACATCCCTGGTAGACCACACACCACTCGGAATCGATACCTAAACACCTACATATATATGTACATGTAGGACTTGAACCCAATCATGGAAATGAGGACCCTTGTTTTCTCAACTATTAATACTATCATTCTAGACTGACCTACTATTATTTACCCATGCAACAGACTTACGAGAAGTCTCAGCTCTTCCATCTTTTTTCATTCTCTACTTTACCTACGTATGACTTGTTTCATGTGTTTCACTTGATTGACTCACCTACATATACATCCTCCTCTCATTTTGAGTCACACTTAGAGATGCAATCATGAGTTCCGATGACTCCGATTTCTATGGTAAATACGATTCGTCCGTCATAAATTAGGCAGCATTGTTGATACATGTATATCATTTTAGGCGACGATGATGTCATGATAGATCTTAAGGCCAGGATAAAAGCGTTCGATGTTGAAGCCTGGTGGGAGCAATACCAAACCCTTGATACACCGTTAAAGATTCAAGCCCGAAAAAAAGAAATGGAGGACATGTCTCACTTGCACAACCCATACGCCGGCATGGAGAATGCCTGGCAACTCACTGAGACGATTGAAGAATTCGTTCAGCGCGTGCCGCCCGCAACAACAGACGAAACCCCGGAGAATCCTTGGATTTGGGTCTGCAATCCCTACATCAATCGCAAGAGGAAGAGTGACTCAGAGAACCAAAAGATACGTGGCGGTGAAGATGAAGCCCCTGAGGAAGAAGGCGCAGACCTGAACAGTGTTGTTGAGGGCGGGATGGCGAGGCTACATTTCGCCTCCGACTTCATCAATATGTGCAAATCATCTGGCAAGAATCCCAATTTCATCTCCCGAGAATGCCGAAAGGCTGGTACGGACGCGGCGAAGGATATCCTTGATCTGGCAAAGGCCCACCACGTGAGGTGCGGCAAGGTTAGTCAACTACCACTCATACCAACTCAGTATAATTGAATGATTCATTCCTGACATATACAAGTGGATGCTCTTCTGTTCCGTTCCAACAGTGAACGAAGTCTGGGAGACCGTCGCCAAAGCGACCTCAAATAACGAACTAGGAATCGGCGCCAAAGTTGCACCACGATCGACTGTTGATAACAGGACAGATCGACTCATATGCGTCTACACCGCTGATTTCTCCGACACCAAGGATGTCAGAAGAGTCGCTGAAAAACTAAAGCAGCTCGGGCTTATCCAGGCTAATGGAAGGGCTCTGTACTACAAACCAGGTAAGCTCATCACCAATACAATTGTTCCAGTAGTATTCTTACCAGATTAGATGTATACACATACCTAGGGATAGCGCGAGGAAATCCCTGGGAGATACGAGCCTCCATATACGACACCACGTCTATGCTTCGCACCAAGAAAGAGTAAAATAAGAAAAATGAATCAACAATCATACTAGGAGGATATATGTGTCTTTAAAAAACAACGGATGAATTTGTCGAGATACCCTTTGCTATCACGAAATTGCTTCTTCATGCGTAATGGGAGAACCCAATCACAGATAGTTAACTAGCTTGAGCGCAAACGAAATAAAACCTCAATGCTTACTTGCTAACCATTCCAACGCCGACAATGCATAAATGCTTTATGTTACCGTCATCCGAATCCTCCAACCTGTCCTTTTGACGATCCTATCGCACACTTATCTACCCCTCATCAACGTATTCTCGTAAACTAGGATATTCAACATCCTTCTCAAGCAAGTCTAAAACTGTTGCTTCGAGTGTATGGTACCATGGGTATAAAATTCACCTTGTAGAGCCGAATTCCACGTGGAGGCATATCCTTTTAATTCCTAGTCAGGCTGATTCGTTTCGGGGTCGGTTGACTTCAACAATAGCACCAATCGATAGGCACTGTTTCCGTTCAAGTAATACCGATGAAGTTTCTTCGACCTTAAAAACCCTAGTCTCTCATAAAGTCTCATAGCTGGTATGTTCATCTCTTCGGTCTCTAAAACAATCTCGTCGGCGTGCCGTTCAGCCATCGCATCGATCGCCATCTTTACCAGCGCCGTGGCTATACCGTGGCCTCGGTAGGCAGAGGATACCGCGAGCATGGCTATATAGCCTCGATGTGTCGGGGGCGAGTGGGAAGCATGATGTTCGAGCTTGCAGATGATGACGCCCATAAGCGAGCTGTCGACGGGGTTGAGCGCCTAATTGTAAGACAATGAAAAATAACTCTTTAGCCAATCGTTTCCCCCCGTGTGTATGGGCGGAGCCTTGTCCTACCATGTAGCACAAGTGCGCCCATTGGTACAAGAAATACCGGTAGACATAGATGCTGTAAGGTTCGCTGAGGTCTTTCGAGATCAGTGCCCGGATCGCGGGTAGGTATTTTTCTTCTAGTGCATGTTCGTATTGGATATATCGAAGTTCGCCGGGAAGCTCACTCGCGCGGGCTACTTCCATGTCTTGACGACTGGTCACATGTGGTGTATTGCTGACAACGTATGATCGGGATGGGGGGCCAGGCGCTTCTGTTGAGGTCGTAGGTGAATCAGTGTTGTCAGCTTCGTAAAAAATGGTTGGACAACCGTTCTCAGTTAAGTGACAACTTAAAGTTCGTACTGGTGTGAGAAGGGATGAAGTCGTTAAGAATTCAACGAGGATGGGATTAAATAAGACGGCACCGGCAGTTTAATTGTTACAGTAATAAATTTACACTAGAACGTGGTGGTGCAGACTATGAAAACGGCCCGCTTTCACATGCAAGCCATAAGCCATAATAATTAACGTTGGCTTCCGCCTAGCTACGGGACAAGTGAAAGGCTACCTGAGTTGACCAATCCGGTAATAGATTGACAAAGTGGGACGGGATTCAAAGTGAGGCACATTCATGCTTTGCGGTATGCAAGTACATACAGCGGGTAACGAACGACCAAAATCCTCTAGGATGTTATTGGTTAGTCTCTCTGAAACACGCCGAATACCGATATTCTCCACCATTAATTGGTTGGCCCAAGCTTCTTTCCCACGGACAAGGTAGCACATGCTAATGGTCGCTGGAGAAGCGGACTGACGTCAAAATGTTGCAAATTATTTCCCCTTCCTAAGGATTTGAAGTTTCGCACCTGCAGTAATTTCCGTTGATCAGGTACACGTCGTCCAACTTAATTTTTCTCTTCCTTTTTTGTTTACAAACAAACTCAACGAATACCTATACACCCACTCAACGACTTGTTGTCTCGAGTCCACACCTACTACGGGAATACCGCTGAGACAACATAGCTGACGTAACAGAGCGGCTGTTGGTCCACTGACCATTTGTTGATCACCCCCGAGCTTCGACCCCGAACCATTGCGAGCCCCGATTCGTTTCCTCCCCATCATCCACTTTCCCACGCACGCAGCGCTTTTCCACCCGGTCATGTAGCCCTGTCTGTACGATGGCATCAACTCTCCGACGCCGGGCCCTCGGCGCCGATAACTCATCCGATTCCTCATCCACAGTACCGACACCGAGAGACGAAAGTCCGGTCAAACCGGGCGATAAGATCAAAATTATCCACCAAGAGCGCCCACCCAAGACCCGCAAACGACGAAATACTTTTATCTTCTTGATGGGTAGTTTGTTTGGGCTTATCGCGGCCGGATTTCTCGCTAAGAATAATGATTTAATCGAACTTCCCGAAATTGGCGAGCTTAGCATGGATAGCTTCCTCGATGTGCTGCCTGCTGGTCTCGTCAAGGATATGAGGGATCTCATAGTATGTCACCGTTAATCCGAACGAAAGCCTCGGCCCCGGCTAATAAAGATTTACACTTCTAGAAGGGCGAACGCGATTTTGTTGATAGTTATGATTCCTTCGCAGTCGGAGTAAAAGCCCGATCGGAAGGGCTCAGCGTACATCATCCCGTCATTATGGTCCCCGGAGTCATCTCGACAGGCCTCGAGTCTTGGGGCACTGCTAATATCTCCCGACCGTACTTTCGAAAGCGACTCTGGGGTAGTTGGACCATGATGAAGGCGTTAGTGATGGATAAGGAAATATGGAAAAAGCACATAATGTTGGACAAAAAGACAGGGTTAGATCCACCGAATATTAAATTGAGAGCTGCGCAAGGCTTTGATGCTACCGACTTCTTTATCACGGGATATTGGATTTGGAGCAAGATTCTGGAAAATCTTGCGTCTTTGGGATACGATCCGAGCAATTCATTTACGGCTGCTTACGATTGGCGTCTATCATACCAAAACTTGGAACTACGAGACCAGTACTTCACGAGGTTAAAGAATTATGTTGAATTGGCCCATGACTTTTCTGGTCAGAAGGTGGTTCTCGCATCTCACAGCATGGGTAGCCAAGTTCTGTTTTATTTCTTCCATTGGGTTGCATCGGCGCAAGGTGGTAAAGGGGGCGATGACTGGGTCGACCGCCATGTAGAGGCTTGGATCAACATCAGTGGGTGCATGTTGGGCGCGCTTAAGGATGTGACTGCCATTCTTTCCGGCGAAATGCGGGATACGGCGCAGCTCAATGCCTTTGCGGTATACGGACTCGAGAAATTCTTGAGTAAAGATGAACGCGCCGAGATGTTTCGAGCTATGCCGGGTATGTCGGCTATGTTACCAATGGGTGGGGATGCGGTTTGGGGAAATTTGACGTGGGCGCCGGATGATCAGCCTGGTCAGAAGAATTCATTTGGTTCATTTTTGAACTTCCGACGCGGTCTGAACTTAACTACGCCGGACCAAAATTTTACTGTTAGCGATGCGATGAAGTATCTCATGGAAACAACGGACGATTGGTACCGGGATAGAGTCCAGGAAAGCTTCTCCCAGGGAGTAGCCCATACCTCCGCCGAAGTGGAAGCTAATGAGTTGGACCATCGCAAATGGGTGAATCCTCTTGAGACGAGGCTACCTTTAGCCCCGAATCTGAAGGTATATTGTTTCTACGGTGTTGGGAAACCTACAGAAAGAGCGTACTATTATCGCACGCCGGAATTCCCGGGGTTCACGAATCTTAACGTTACTATCGACACGGCGTTGACAGCCGACGAAATCGATCACGGCATCATCATGGGAGAAGGTGACGGCACGGTTAACCTATTAAGCACGGGATATATGTGTTCGAAAGGTTGGCACATGAAACGGTTTAACCCGACAGGCGTCAAGGTTTCAGTTGTCGAGATGCCTCATGAACCGGAAAGGTTCAATCCTCGTGGAGGGCCCAATACGGCCGACCATGTGGATATCTTGGGACGGCAGACACTTAATGAATTAATATTACGCGTTGCGGCCGGTAGAGGTAACACGATCGATGATTATATCGTTAGCAACATCAGGGAATATGCAGAAAAGGTCAAGATTTATGAGGAAGAGGCATAATGATTGGGAGGGTAACGGATAGGGAAGTATGGGGAAGGTAGATGGGATATGACCTCTGCAATTTTCATAGATGACGACGAATTAAATATATGTACGTATACTGGGACGGTATGTATATTTATTCGGGTGGCACACTCCTAGGTATGGCTGTGCGTTTTGGGCAGCGGTCAGAGCACGTTAAGATGTCCTTATTGGTATAGATAATAACGTGTATAGAAATTCAGCTATATATAAGGTTCGACTCCTTAGAATATGGTTCAATCTATAAACTCCCATTTAAAAGTGCTTAGTGGAAGCTCTACCTACTTAGAAGTAACAGTGCTAAAAATAACGCTACACTGTCTTGTTCCCACTTTTTGCCAGTGCTCCCATAATTTTTAGACTCTCCATCCGCTCATACTCAAATCCATCATATTTATCGCCCAATTAACGTACTCAATTGCCTACTACCACAATTCATACGAATCTAGTGGGCCGTATCAATTAGAGCCCCTATTTCAACTTGTCTCAATTTAATTCGGTGCTTTTGTCACTATGGATGCTTCCGCAAAGAGGAAGCATGCTCGGGGTTCCGACAACCGTCCCGTTAAAAGAAGTAAGGTAAGGTTACACATTCCATCACCAAATTTCCACATCCTAACGCAATCTTTTTCGCAGGGAGGTAGCAATGGAAGATGGCAGACGCCACACCAAAAATCTAAACTTGAGTCCTTAAAAGGTAAAGGCATAGAACCAGGTGATGTAGGCATATGGACTACATGTGTGAAGGGCAAGGAGCGACAATCTCTTGAGGAATTGTTGAATATCTGCGAAGAGGTATCTATTCGCCTGTCTTACTCTCATCTTGTTCAAACCGCTCATATCATTTACAGTATGGAGAGAAGCTTTACGCCATAAAACGGGAAGATCCTGATGAGGCTGCAGAGGATGACGAAGAGGAAGACATCGAATCATCCATCAAGAAGGAAGTCCAAGGAATGAAACCCAAAGAAAAACCCAAGGATTCAGTGTTCGAACCCCTGCGCATGGATCTCGATTGCTTGCTTTTCATGCGGACGAAGGCACCTATTAACTCCGTTGAGATGGTCCGGCAGATCTGCAAGGATGCGAAAGGGGTGGAAGAGAAAAAAGAAAGGAAGTCAAGGTTCATCAACCGATTTACGCCGGTTACGGCGAGTGGAAAAGCCACTCAGCTTGGATTGGAGGAGGTTGCGAAGAAAGTTCTAGGCGAACACTTTCAGTTGGCGGGTGACGAAGACGATCAGGCGGCCGCTCAAACAGACGCATATACGGTGCGCCACTCGCTCAAATCTAACCCCGAAGTGCCCTACTTCTCACCACTGCCAATTATGTTGGGACGATACTGATGATTCTCAATAGTATGCCATCCGTCCCACATTCCGAGCACACAACATCCTCAAGCGTGACGATGTGATTAAGAAAGTCGCAGACCTGATCTCATCACACCACAAGGTCAACCTCTCATCGCCAGATAAAGTCATTCTTATCGACATCTATCAGGTATGTCTTCTTTTTATTTCTCTTGTGAGACGTCACGCTAAAGCGGGGTTAATTGTGGCAGACATTTTGCGGTATGAGCGTCGTCGACGGAGACTGGGAAGATCTAAAGCGATACAATCTCCACGAAATATACATGGCGGCTTCGAAGGCGCAAAGTGAATCTAATGAGAAGCCGAAAGAGAAGGAAAATGCATGATTGCCGAGTCGTGGCATCTATCGCGTACACATCGTATGCATGGTTATACCAGTTAATAAGCATATGCATTTCTTGCTAGTTATGGGCCAGTGTTCCCTTATGATATATCGCGTCGTTTAGTATGACTCGCTAGCAATATCCCATGCTATGCTATTGCCTGGTCAACTGGGGCTTTCGATTAGCCTTATTATAGCAATGGAAAATCAACACCACGATCCCCTGATGTTCCTCTGCCTTCTTGATATAGTCAATCGCTTATGATCACGCCACCTTCTACGGTACGTATCGAATTATGAGTCTCTAGGACTATACCCCCTTGCTAACCATTCGAATCCCATAATTTCGACTGAACAGGCGCCACGATATACGGCAGGTTGTATTAGACTAGCCAGCATAGGCTTGAAGCCGCGAGAAGATGTCCAGATTACTGATGAGGATTCATCATACTTTCTCCTCATATCCCGGTCGCATTCGTCTATACTATTATTGCCGAGCGACCTTGCCATTGATTCAAACATTTGTCGCGGCTTATAGCTCTACCGTATTCTATTCTGCCACTTTTTTAAAGGGGGTATCGATTGGGTATATTAACCCAAGTTATTCTAGTTACGGTAGCTACTCGAAGATCTCTATCAACAGTATACCAATTGGAGCGACGTACTCTGGATCTTCTAAATGAATCCTCTCCATCGACTTTTCAAGTTAATAAGAAAATCCGAAACGGGACTTATATAGCGAAAGCGATCGACGTCTACAGTTTGGGGCTGCGGCTTGGTATGGTCCTATAACTTCAGTTGTATAAAGTCCTACAGTCTCACCGCAGCAGATCATTAATCTACACTATTGCCCTACAGATTCTACGAAGTATAAATACCTAGGTGATCGACCCGACTCTTCTGCATTGCTCTATAGCACATTCATCTACGCCTTCCACACGAGACCACTACTTCCAACGTTACTACGATGAAGTTCAACGCGATCGCTCTAGTTATTGCCTTCGCAGCCACGGCATTGGCAGATGGCTGCTTCTTGGATGGCATGAGCCACCCCCAAGGATACACTATCTGCGATGCGGGTAAAGTCAAGACTTGCAACGGGCAAGATTTTGTGGTAGGCGATTCAAAGGCTTCCATGTGTATTCTCCCAGTGACTAATATTGGTGTGTATAGGAGACGGGCCAGACTTGCTAGTCGTACGACCCTCTAGCATCGAATTACTACTAATGTAGGAGGAGGATGGAAGATAGGGCTCCGAGCCGAGGTTCCGAAGCGTGGTAGGGAATGGATTGATGTGGTCGCATGGCGTTTTATTCGTACGGAGTCCGCAGATGTCGCCGGGTTCTAATTTTATTATCGCTGCAACCTCCAACACGATTTATTCGTTAGATGATGCACTGAGAATTGACAGTTCAGCTGCAATTGATTGAGGGGTAACTAGGCCAGCTAGATGGTTCATGAGAATCGTATTCAAGGTCTACTCTCGCACCATTTTTAACATCGTTAATGAAGTAAATATCGAGATACGAATTAATCCAACATACATTATGCTTTTCTTCGGCAGCTGGTGCGGCGCCAAGGATCGAGACCGAGCCGCCCAATTCCAACTCAAGCTGAAAGACAAGGCGCGATACTAACATTTGATTATACGAAAGGCGCAGGATCAAATTTGGAGTCGCTAATTGAACCAACAATTTTCAATCAAATATAAAACTCGGATCTCCCGCTCGCTAATTGCGAGTTTTCTTTTCAGTTAACTTTTGTCCAATTCAATTGACATCAATTGCTTAAGCTACCCCTATTCCTTTAACATATACAACAAGGAATCTCGAGAATGACGAGCAAGATCGCTGCAAAAGTTGAGCTTGTCCCCTGGGACCATACATCCGATGCGCATCGCGAGAGATTGGTGCAGCAGCGAATTGGTTGTGGGTGGATGGAAGATGCCATTGAGGCGTGGAGAGACATGACGGTTAAGGGGACTAAGACTATGTATTGGATTGTACGAGCTACCCCTTACCATACCCGTCGACACTTCATAGACAGGGATTTTAGAATTTAATAATTAACGTGGTGAAGCTGTTAGCTGATGACTACCCTGATCGAGACGGACTTATTGCCGCGCACACGAAGCGATATCCGCAGGTAAGCACTCATCGGCTTTCCCTTCATTATTTACTCATCTTTCTAACGCCTGCCCATGTAGGAAGCCATCCCTATCGTTGATAGTGCATCAATACATTGGGGCTTGCCTCGTCAAGCATCGCAGCAGCCCATCATCCCCATTGGGCACATTGGGCTGGGTCTCCGCCCCGAGAAAAATGTGGAGTTAGGCCTTCCCGCTAGGGGTTCCGTGTGGATTGGACCCTTGTATGTATCATGGGCACTCCAGGGAACTGGGCTTGGCCGCGCGACGATGCGAGCAGCCGAATCACTAGCTTTGAGCCCGGTGTTCAATGCAGAGACGACCGCGCTAGACGCGATTACCGAAAAATCGCAGTTTGACCCGGGGCTACTTGAGCTACATTACTTCGCGAAGGGAAACCCGAAGCCGGCGGTGAGTAACGCGTTATAAGTCTTGGGTATTCTATGAATATTGATTTAATAATTTGGCGTTAGGTATCTAACGAAGCTTGGTATCGAAAGCAAGGCTACGAGGAGTTTGCTTATAATCCGGATTCTTACTCGTGGCTGAACACAAAGACAGGCGAACAGGTGCCCCTGCCTAGCATCTTCTTCAAGAAGAGCCTAAAGGGGTAGTTGGTTTGCGAAGAAGAGAAACATAGTCCCTAAGCCATCGCATAGCTCTATTTGCGACTTTGCCCACCTGAGATAGGTGCTTGGCAGCTATCCATTGCTCGCCATCCTATATATTCTACTAGGGTGGACGAGTCCCGACAAGCTTCCGGATGGACGATTCGAGTAGCGGTACTACCGACCTCCTATATATCTATGGTGGAGGATAAAGAAATATTCGAGTTGGCGGGGTCGGATGCTACAGGGACGACCTTTCGGACTTCTAGCTCTTCAACATACGAGATCTAAGAGCTGACCCGGTAGAAGAGTCAAAAGGTCTTGGGAATTTTTTAGTATTGCTCAACCAATGCTTCGAAATCTCTCGGGGGAGCTATGGTAATATGAGAGCTTTAAATGGATGAGCAGATTGAATATACGAGAAGGGATAATGTTCCGCCGGGGGATACGAAGCGGCCCGCGGCGGAGGGGAAATACCCTAGAAGAGCTTTCAACAAGCGATAGGATATTGTTCCAGTGGTTTGTTCATTTCTTCTTATTCTACTATATTATCACTATTTCCATCACCATATATTAAAACTTATATCATTCATCTAGTTTCAATGAGATGGACGAGCACCTTCATTACATAATCACGCATAAAAAGGAGAACCCTAACCCTGGCTCAGGGGTTAACCCCAACTCCAGCTCCAAGCCAAAAATTTAGGTGTCTACGTTCACGACATGGCACACTTTCTAAGATCTTTAAATATTGAAAAAATGAAACAGCCACTTCGAGATATATACCTGTCAGTAGCATATTCTAGCATACGAAATCGTCAGCCAATCGTCAACCCACGTAGCGGACATCATGGCGATATCATTGCTACCACGAATTCGACTGTGCCGCGCAGCTTTTGAAGAATAACATTTCGGAAAATGCCTTACCGTATAAACATTTATTCCCCAAAGTGGCTGAATGCATCCAATCCCCGCAGACCTCTCCGCGTTATAACCGCCACGTGCCGTGTTGGTCTATCGACTAGTCCGGGGCTAATGCGATGTAGAACGGCACGAAGCGTTAGAAAAACCTTAATCTCGGACATAGCGAAACTCTATTTAACGTGATTACGGAATAGAAACGTCTTGGCCACGCGGAAGAGCCTCAGTAGCGGCCCCCGGTTTCTTGCGCCACAGCTTTACCGTGCACATCACCTACCTAAGAAGATAGGTATTTGTAGAATTCCATATCTCCATAGACTTATTCTGGAATCGGACCTATTCTCGTCATTTGGAAGAGCTTACATGTCTGAATAACCTGACTTCCTAGTTTGACTCGTACAGTCCTCCATCTTAACATTTACAAGCAAAACCGAATAATCCCCGAGCTGTATTATTCCAGCACAGTTTAGACTTTGACTATGCTTTGTAGCATTTAGTTATGACTCTCGGTGGACGTCAAATACGGCAATGCCTTCGGTATTTGTTTTTGAGAAAGAGGCCTCCCTATGGAATAGAAATCGCTCAAGAATAGCGCTGGCCTTCTCGAATTGCACTCCACTAATGTAGAGTGCCTATTATATCATTTGATAAGCATTAATGATATGCCAACCGGTGATTTTCATTATGCCGAACCAAATAGAGGCGGTTTCTCAGGGAGTCGAGCTACCGATTGCTGTCGTCATCGGAGGATTTTTCGCCATAGCATGTTATAATTGTATTGAGATATACATATTGACATTTGGGACGTTTCGGCGCAAAAATACCCTTTATGTATGGAGCATGATGGCGGCGAATACTGGGATTATACTTCATGAAATATCTGCCACTTTACGACTTTTCAAATTGACGCCAAATTTACCGATGGTTGTGACCGCGTCTCTGGGCTGGTGGATGATGACAACTGGACAGTCAGTTGTCCTATACTCTCGGCTTTATCTAGTCATGAACGACACTCGCAAGATACGATGGGTTTTAATTATGATCACTACCACATTCCTTACCTTGCAACTCCCGACGACGGTTACGTTCATCGGCGTAAATGCTACGCCGAATAATTATCCGGATAGGTTCACTGGACCATTCGACATATTTAAGATTATCCAGCTTGCGGCATTTACAGTCCAGGAAACCTTTCTCTCTGGTCTATATGTTTATGCTTTCAGGAAGACATCAGAACCCATGCGTGCTATAAGAGGGAATAAAATTCGAAATATGCTGCGACAGATGATTGCACTATTCCTCCTGGTCTTCGCGTTGGATACAATACTTATGGTCACCGAGTACACCGGGCACTTCCAAATTCAGACTACCCTAAAACCGGCAGTTTATAGCATCAAGTTGAAGGTCGAGCTGTTTGTATTGAACAATCTGGTAAACTTGGTACGATCGCCAACATCGAGCCTTTGGAGCTCACCTATAAATCCAATTCCGTCACAGCAGGATCAAAAGGATCGATCATCAGCCAGGCAGGCTGCCACATTTATGGGTGCACTTCAAAATGGCCCTTCCCGTAGCAGGGAGGTGTCAATAGATTTAAGGGAACATAGTTCACGAAATCTCGATGGAACGAGTCTAAGTCCACCTATAACAATAATTAGAAGTAGGACTGGATGATATAGAGGATCAATTCAAGAATATACCACTGCCCAATATATTATATCATTATATTTTAACTTACTTACTTTGCAATATTACCAAAAAGAATACTAAGGTTGCGATTTATTGGAAAGTTCTAGGAAGTAGTTGGGTTGGAAGTCAGTGTCTTCAACGTGGCGGGGGCAGGGGATGTCGAGACGGCCCGGGCTGGCACGGAACTGGGCAACAGTACTAAATAGTCAAGGACTACCTAAGGAATATCCGATATATTTGGCCATAGCATTGACGTGGGAAGTCTCTCGCAGTAAAGGCGCGTGAGGTTTCCCGTGTTTCGACTTAGAACTGTCTCAACCGGGAAAGCAAGCACGGATATTTGTTTATGGATATCTCAGGGCAGCAACATAACTTCTCAATAAATAACAGGTACACTCTTCTGTTCCTGCCGATAAGATACCTGGCAGGGTTGTTGCTCTTACTTTTTACAGATATCGAGTTGCGGGTGCTACCATTCACAGGTTCCGTGCACAAGTAGCAACCAACCTAAGAATTCACGATTTTTCACAACTCTTCACAGAAATTCACATCCTGTCAATTTCTTCCTACCTTAGTTTTCTATTCTTACGGAAAACAAAACCTACTTCTTCTTCCTACATCTACATCTACTTCTGACTGACTTCTTTGACGGCTTCCAAAAGCCCACCGTCCTGCTTGCGACCCAAAGCAATCGTCTTCTGTCAACAAACATTCACTACTTCTCAATCTCACTTCCAGTCACTTTCACGATGGCGCCCATTGCCAACAAGAACCAGGCTGGCGATGCCAAGCCTGCCGTCAACCAACGTGAGATTGAAGTCATTGCGCTCGCCATGCAATGCATGCCCGGCGACGGTGCTCCTCCGGTAAGCAATCCTCCTTTCCTATTTCTCGCCGGAGAGCTTCCTCTTCAAAGTTTCTTTATAATTACCCACCCGAAAATCCTTCCTCCTCTATCCTTTTTCGCAGAAAATTACTGGTCTTAATAGGGCACCAAAATGCCCAATCATTCATCGCACACCATTCCCTCCCTCCATCCCCCTACCAAAAAGTCCCCTCTACACCTCCCATCTAGTCGCCTACCAACACACATACTTACCAATCTCTCCAGGTCGACGCCACCAAGCTCGCCCGCCTAGGCAACTACGCCAGCGCCGACTCAGCCCGCCACGCTTGGCGCCCGATTGAGAAGAAGCTCCATGGGCTCGCCAAGTCCGTCGGTGTCGACCCTGACGGCGAGATTCCGGAGATGAGTCGAGGTGGACGAAAGCGCAAAGCCGATAGTGACGGCGAGACCACTAGCACCTCTCTCCCCGCTAAGAAGCCGCGCGCCAAGAAGGCCGGAACCGGTACCAAGAAGAAGGGTGGCAAGAAGGGCAAGAAGGAACCCGAGGGCGAGGACGACGAGGGATCAAAGGTTGATGGTGAGGCGGAGACTGGTGAGTCTGCTGGTCTGGATGATGGAGAGGTTTAGATGAGTGCAGGGAATGGATGGGTGGATGAGTAGTGTGCTTCGGAAAAGGATATAGAGAAAAGGGGGGTGTTCTGCGGTGCTTTTCATGCGCTTTCTCGGTCTCGTTTGGGCTTTCGTCTCTTCGGCCCGGGTCTTCTGAATCGAGTTATGGAAACTGTGGAGGATTGGAAAAGAGAAGTCGCTTATCTCGAGGCATTCAGTTGACTTAATATGCGGTCCTTGGTTTCGGTCGCACGATAGTAGGCCGGCTAGGTAAATGTATATGCGATGAGCTTGCAATTTCTTACAAACACGCTGGTGTGTGATTAATGTCACTCAAACTATGTTCGCCATGTGAATCGATGACAATAGACGACGTAGAAGTAACCGATCGTTCGTAAGCGAGGATAGATGCTTAATAAAGCCTGTACTGAATGTCAGAGTGTCATTGGCCCCCTATTCGTCAACCAGAAGAAGAACAAGTAAGAATTGAGCCTAGATACCCACCAAATCTCCAATTCAATCCAAAAGCCTACCCAGGTGTTCAATCCTTTTTCCCGCAGTGCACACAAATGCTGGGTAGCCCGGACTTAAGTAGAAGACTGTAGGTGAGACAGCCTACATTAAAACCAAGCGCCACTCGCTTATTGAGGCGCTCCTAGCGGGTACGGCGCCCTAGTTTCCCTCAGATCTCGGCCATGCCTCGGGCATTCCCATGTATAGGTGCCTAATCCCTTTTCTCCCTGAGCGATTGGGCCATTGGCATTCGGGTTGGTTGCACTGAAGGCTAAAACTCCGTTCGAATTGGTACATGGTGGCTCTGAGGAGTAGGCTATGTAACTGCGGCTCATTAGAGCGCCTTTGGCGGACAGGTACGATTCCTTACTATTTAAACGATTGGTCCCAGCAATGATCTTGCTTTTATACCCCGATCTCTTCGTCCTTTAGCGCCCTTTAGCATATATGCCTGCTCTTAAGTCAACCAAGGGTCATGGATCCCGGGACTGCACTCGGAGTGGTATCTTTAGCATTCCAAGTCTTCGCTGGCTGCATAAAAGGGTGCCAACTGCTGTTAGATGCCAGAGATCTACCGCAAAATTACGGGTATATGAGGCATCGGCTTCATCTGGAACAGCTGAAACTGCTAGACTGGTGGAATGCATCCGACTTCGCAGCAGAAACTATTTCCGAGGATGACCCTTTGGATGAGAGGACGCAAGCCCTACTGGACTCTTTGGTTGAGATCAGGACTCTAACCCTTGAATTTGGCCGGATTAAAGGACGGTATGATCTTATGTTGAAGATAGTCGACGGTCGTCAAAGGAGCAGTACCCCATCCATCACGGGTTTGCTTACGCCCGAAGTAATACCCTCCCACATCATGCTGGTGCCTTATCTGCTAATGGCTACGAAGTTTTTAGGCACGCGCGAGATTCTGCGACAAAAAGCCCTCCGATATGCCGATATAGTTCTAAAATGTCCGACGATGCTTCGTTGGGCCATGTTCGATGCGACGAAATTCGAACAACTCCTCGCTAAGTTAACTGAATTAAACAACTCAATGCACTTCAGCCTCGAATTTAAGCAACGGTGTCGGTACCTTCAATTCCAAGAAACCACCCAACTGCAATTTCTACATTTATTCACCAAATTAGATCAAGTTGTTGAACTTCTTCGGTCGCTCCGTTTGCCTCCACAAAATTCTCTGGACGGATCTCAGGCAGACTCGGACGACGGTGTACTCAAGACGTTAGGGCAGCTAGCCCGTTTTAAGGCTCTCTACATAAGTGTCGACGATGACAATTTACCATCTGAGGAGAACATTACTGCCCGAATCGGGCTCCAAATTTCGTCCCCCGGAAGCCTTAAATTGTCGCTGTCGCACCTGAAGTTTCGAGAGGACCAAGAAGAACAGAAAGCTCAGCGAGTCGCTGGGACATATGACAACGCTCTTGTATGGGTTGAATGGAAAGACTATGGTGAATGGAATACGACCTTGGCGTATAGTTATGTTGAAGATCGGGTCGCGCGCCTTGCAGCGTTATTCCTGGACAACCCAGATAAGCCCAGGGGACTTCGACTCCCTACAGCTCATGGCTATGTCCACGACCCTGTTTCCACTCGCTTTGGGCTTGTTTTTGAGTTGCCCGCCATAGGGAGCATATCGGTTCCGCAGTCATTATATACCAGATTACAAACTACAATGAAGCCTTCCTTAACTACCAGATTGGACATGGCGCGGAAGCTCACCGCAAGCCTAGAGCATCTTCATGCAACAAAATGGCTCCATAAGGGTCTGCGAAGTGACAATATCCTGTTCTTGACATCTTCATCAAGCTCAGATTGGATGTTGTTCTGTCTAGCCGGGTTCGATTACTCTCGTCCAGCAAATCCAGGTGCACTCACGGAGCTCCCCAGCGATCGGAGGGAACATGATCTGTACCGTCACCCGAATGTACAATTCGATGTTCCTCGAGAGGGTGAGTATGGGTATAGGGAGGAGCATGATGTTTATAGTCTTGGGGTGGTCCTGATGGAAATTGGCCTCTGGCAGCCGATCCACCAATTTCTCGGGATATCCCTAAATCGACTTATACCGCGCCCAAAAGTCAGGGAGGTTCGAAAACAACTATTAAAAGTTGGTTCTCTAGCGACCCTTGAGGCAGAGACCGGATGTAGATACTCAGAAGCTGTCAGGATATGTCTTGAAGGCAATCCATGGGCGAACTTTACAGCACTACAGGAGGATCGTGAGCCGGTAAGGACCTCAAGAAGTAGAATAAATAGAGCCCAAGAAATATTGCAAAGTATTCAGATGTAGGAGGAAGTGGTTGTAACTACATTATATAGTTATACTTAATAACTAAATTTCATTCTGATGTAGTAAATCAAATAAAGTACGCCGAGAACGACCCAACCTGGCTAAGATGCTGACAAAATATGGCGCAACTGTAGAGTATTAGTAGATAGTCCATAGGAAAGGGGATGAGTAGGTCGAGGTCGGAGTAAAGACGGCACCAAGTAACCTAGATGATATGGTAGAAATATAGCAACAAAGCCCACGCAATTACGACTCAATCATCATCTCTTACCAGCCACCGCTGCTTGATCTCCTCCCAAAGGTTCGGCGTTTCAGCCGAAAGATCCAATCTTGATGGTATATATACATCTTCGTCTTCTGATTTCTTGAATACGGAGTGCGGCTGCGTATTATGCATTGGTACGCAAGATTTCCTTTTACAACCATCGCAATACAGCTCGGCAATGGAGTGGAAACTTCCTTGGCCCAATTGGTTTAATAAGTCAAGGAGCTGGCGCGCCGTTATCCGCTCGCCGGGGTTCGGGTCAAGCATCAAGAATGCCAGCTGAAGCATCTTCTGAATGTGTTGCTTAAGAGGGGGCTCGCCAACCAGAGAGACCAGAAGTAACCATATCCAATCAAACACAAGATAGGGAGATTGGCAAAATGGTGGTGGTAGACCCTTTTCGTTTCTTAGTAGATGCTGATTTAGGTCTTGTATAGTGCTCTGTCCCGACGCGACGGTACAGATCTCGAGTACAGTACAGCCCAGTGCCCATACATCCGCGGCTCTGCCACGTGGTAGCTCATCGTTAGCTTCAGGGGATATATAACGTTCGGTCATTCCACCAAGCGGGCCTTTCGTTTTGGAAGTGGTCGCATCCCTGAAATTCCTAGAAATGCCAAAGTCGGCAAGGTAGACATGGTCATCCTTGATAAGGATGTTGCTGGGCTTTATATCCTTGTGACGAATGCCTAGGTTGTGTAGATAATCTAACGCGTGGAAAAGGCACGACGGCCACTGACACATGACGTTGCGCGCTTCAAGTCGGTCTGTATCATTGCCATCTCGCTGGAGTTCACCCATATAATCAAACCACCCCGTGAGGCTCATGTCCGCAATGGGGCGTAACAAAATGCCAATCATCCCGTCGCTCCCAATGTAATGGCTTCCATGGATCTGAACAATATGGCGATGTTTAAGTTTGTCCATTATCGATATTTCCTTCTTGACATCCTTGACGCGTTGGTCGCGGTTCGGCACACGTAACGAGAACTCCTTTCGAGCGTAGACTTCTCCATTGCCTTTATGTTTAACCTTCCAAACTTCCGAATTAGCCTTCCCAAGAGGTGCTTTATCAACGCGCTCGAACGGGTCGGTATCTAATGATTCTAACTGCATTCTGGGAGTTCAAAGATTTCCAAAGAAAGAAAAAAATGTTGAAGTTGTAAAAGGCGTCTAACAGCTGTAGGGTGAAGGCTATATATGCCTACCTACCTTAGGTACCTAGGTAGGCAGGCACGTAAGAATCGCTCGAGCCGTCATAAAATATGCATAGGCCAAGCAAGAAGATTAGCCACATTCTGACGCCAAACACTCTGTTCAGGCATGCACTCCGCAATATGGGTGGCAGGCCACGTGGAATATATGTCAAATGGGTTATCCCAAGCGTGTAATCATGTCATTCGACAGATGCACTGGCGTTAGTTCAATAGTAACGATATTGTCTCTTCTGCAATTCAAGAGCATTGGGATACTTTGTTGGGGGCATGGCACGAGGGATGTAGCGACTAAGGACACTGGCCGAGTCCAGCAATGCAAGAAGAGTTTCTAGGTATGCATCGGCCCCTAAATGAATATTGTGCCCACTCGGGTGCCTCTATCTCGACGATGCTATTGAATGGAGCGTTAAGGAGCTATACAAAATACCTGTGTTCGATTCACTCTATACCTGCAGGGAGTGCGGTCTATCATAAAACTTACCAAACTATAGGCATCCATGGGAGAATTTGAGAGAGCAAGGCATCCCATCCCTCCAAGTCATGCGCCTAAATTCGTCCGCATGCACAACTAAAAGTAGGCAAACACAACAGAGCCTCAGGTACCGCATAATCTTGCCAACCATGCCGTACCAGCTGGCGGGCCTATAAATTGAACCACCACTCCGTTATCAAACAGTATTATTGTGTGACGAACGGCGTTCAACGATCGGGCAGAATATCCGAAAATTATTAGCAGGATATTGGACGTACCTTACTATCTAAGAAGTGAAAGAATGGCTTACTTGAAATGTGAAGACATCCCCTATAGTGGAGCGTTAGAGTCGGTTAAGCGTAGGTATGTATGTAAGTATGCCCAACTGGAACGCTGAAGGTACCAGTTTCGCTTTGCAGTTAGAGAATATCATATTTTCCTCGCAAATAAATAGGCCGCAGAGGAGAAAGTCAAATGCATACCAAGTCACTCGTTTGGCTTCCCTTTTCGGTGGCGGCCAATCATTCAAGATGCCACCACTGATGAACCCAGTATCGCGCTTAAGCCAACGGGATGGCCCTATTTCAAAAAACGGCTCCAGTTGGCTGCGAGGTCGACAGTCACCGCGAAATAGTGTCATCTTTACTTCATCAACCGATAGTGTTCCCGAAAGTAGCTCATCCGTAAGACAGCCGCCAACAGCACCGAGACGATTGAATTCAACTATGAGAGCGACGGCAGATATAATCATAGCGATCATGGGTAGAACCGGCTGCGGGAAATCCAGTTTCGCTTCAAGGCTAGTCGGGGAGGATTGTGTGAATGCAATTGGACATAATGTTAGATCTGGTTCGTTCTCGGTCTCATACTAATACTGAGACGAAGAAGGCTAACCCGGTCCAGTCCAGGAAGCTCATTTATTTCAGGAGATAGAATGTATAGTCAAGGAACGCAAGATACTGGTTATCGACACGCCAGATTTCGATGATACAGCCAACGAAGATGTGGTTCTCGAGCGTATGTCGAAATGGTTACAAGATCCATACGGTGGCAACAAGTCCCTAACCGGAATTATATATATGCACGACATAGACGGTCCCCCTATTGAATGTCCCTCTATGAAATTTATCATGCTACTAAGGACAATCACCGGCCAAAACGACATGAACAATGTCGTACTGCTCACAACGAAATGGGGCGAATCCAATAGCAGCCAGCAGAAAGCGGTCGAGCAGGAGTCCCGGCTTCTTCAAGGGAATAGTTTCTGGAATCTTATGAAGGAATATGGCGCGACAGTAATGAGAGACCATGGTACAAAAGCGTCAGCCGAGAGTATTGTACTCGGCCTTCTTCAAAAAGCCCGTGCTACGAAGGCTGCCCTCTGCAGGCCAGTGATCGACAGCACATACGTTAGCGAGGAGCGAATGGGGCCGTTACGACAAGCGGAGAGTAGCAGCTCTCTAAGAGACGAGTTAAAGGTAATTATGTGTAGAAGTAAGTCCTGTGGCCGTGCACGTATTGGAGATCTGATACTAATAGTTGCGATGCGTTAGAGATCAGACTAGCGGAAAGTCGACTTCGGAAGCATTGCGATAAGAGGATCGACAAAGTGGAGAGAACCCAGAAACGGAATAGGATGCGGGTTGTTACACAACGAAGGGGGACTGCCGCAAAGGTAGAATCCGACGAAACCGAGTGGGAAGAATTTGAGCAAAATTTGAATCACCACCAGGAACTATCAGTCATAGTAGTTGCTTTGATTGTATTGATTGGGATGATCCTAACATTGTTCTGGGAGCTGTCGTTGTTATGTACACAATTAGTTAACTATCTACCTAGGTACCTAGCGATTTATTACAAGGCGGCTTAGGAGGAGGATACCCCAGAGGAGACGTACCTAAGATGTAGGTCACAACACCCCAACCGGGCGGGTATGTTCGGCTCCTACAACAGAGAGAATGGTACAACAGAAGTTAGCAAGCGTTGACCAAGAGAAGTATTACCATGGAAGCACGTCTATCTAGAGATGCTTAGATTGTAAGTAATATTAATCACTTCAATAAAATCATGATCTATGAGTGTAATCCGCACCGAAAAAAAAAAAATTACAATACGGTTATCCAGGTAGTCAACATTCTGGCGGCCATCGCTGAAGGTGCGATGACTTTCCTTTCGCTAACATACACTGAAGATAAGCGACTCTTCCATATCCCCATGTCTTAGACCAAAGTCCCTTACGAAGGTGGGGGCAGGGGGCTTCCCCGATGGCATCATGGTGTAACCCTTTCGTTACATACTCAATACATATCTCATATGCGTGTCCTTCGCTTTCTTGGTCGTACCTCGTAGTATATGTATGTTAAACCCCTGTCTAGCACATAAGTAATATTGATGTCTTTAGGCTCGCATCCCATGACACGATGTATCCGCTCAGTTTAATAGAAGAGAGGTCGAATGAAACAAATCCACTGTGTACATTCATAGTTATACTGTATTTTGCAGGTTAATGTACTGTAAATCTTCGAGAGCGCCCTGTCCAATGGCTAGGTGTGTGTCCATGATAAAATATCCCAACACGCTAGCCATTCCGTTGAACTGAGTCCAGGGAACCCAAGGGACTTACGCACACCTCAGAGCCTGATATTTCTTCCCCGCGCGAGTTTTGGGGCTACCAATCCACGCCACACATCCTATCGGGCCGTTCATCTTGGAGTATCCTTGTGGCGTCGTGAGCCTTTGGTTAACGGACATACCCTGTGCGCCATTTTCTTGCAGAAACCCTTGGATCGATCTGGCTATGCCCGTACATAACTCGTCTTTGACATTCCAAAGTGTGTCGGCTACGTGGCGGAATCTAGCGAGCTGATAAGCACTTGTATGGCGAATATTTTCATCTATGGATCTTCTCGTTTTTAATCCCGAATGGTTCTATGCTCTGAAAGGTACGCGAGGAGCGGTACGTTCATGTCGGGCTTATCTTCCATCAGGCTCTACATTGTCAGAGGCGCTTCTTCTCGGGCTTCAACCGGTATTGCGCTCTGCAGTAACTCTATAGAGACCGTTCTATTGCAGCAGGCGAAATAGAAGACTTAACAAGCCTTCATAACACACAAGTCGCCGTTCTCCTATTTCTAGGATTGGTTCTCGACGATACCTCTATATTAAGATGTCATAGGTTTACCTATTCAACTTCATAGTATGCGTTTTGGGGGTATAACCGGGCAACAATCTGCACTATGGCTGCGATCAGGAGGCGTGGTCGATCCATGTTTTCTGCATTTCTATGCCGCTGTTGGCGGTTATGTATGATGCCCTCCGTGGATGAAGCAAATGACGAGAGGGCTATGTTCAACGCTGCTCCGCCGTCGTTGATTGACTCGCCGGTCGGTGCCTAGCAGTCTAGGTATCCACTACACTTAAGGCAGCCGACAGCTAAGCGAAGGCTTGGTCAACCCAACTTCAATAACGCCCCCAAAAGCATTCGAGCATTCCAACAGGACACGGAATTGTAGTTTTCGGCATACCACTAAGTTCAAGTCAGCAATCATAGATACAGGAATCCAGAAGATCAGTGGTAGTGCAGGGGGTTACTTTGCTTACTCTTACTTCTCTCCCTATTCCTTTTTTCTTTTCTACACGACTAGATGCTTAATTCGAATTGCAGCCTTATTTTCATACCTAGATATAAGGCGTTTGTATAATATTAATGTTGTAACAAGTGAAGTAATGCCTGTTTTAATCTAGACATAGTCTGCGGGTTGAGAGGGCTCTGCCACCAGCTCAATTGACCCACTTACCATCACCCCCTTTTGAGGGTTAGACCATAATGGACTGGGCTTGCAACGAATTAAACACTGCCATTCCTTTAGGTATAAATGAAAATCTGTTTCAAAGGTGATATCGGTTTGAATGTACTTAAACTGGGGGGAGTGAAGGCACAATACGATATGAAAACCGACCACACGACATAGCCATCATCCGTCCCGGAATTATATACGCTCAAGAACATCGAAGCCATTTTTCATTAGCACTACTCCAATCGACTATAGTCCTATTCTTTTCGTTAAAATTCTATAATTATTTACCCAATTCCGCCCGTACCGTACTTATTATAGTTGAAGTCATATCTCATACACGTGCTCGCCCCCCTTAAATTCATAACCGTCCCATAAAAACAAATAGAAACCAATAAGCTCACCCCCTTTCCATCGCCGCATCTCATCTCACTTCCACCTATCTCGCTCCGAGCCATTATTCATCTACTCCGTCATAGCATTCCTCTTCGCACTAGCCTCCGCCGTCAACATCAGACTCTTCGGCGCATCCTCCTTCGGCATATACAACTCGACAAACCTCAACCCCTTCCTCTCATTAAAATCCCTATCCGTAAGCAATCCCTCCAACCCCCCCCTAGTCTTAACAACATACGACTTAACCCCCTCCCCCTCCCCTCCAAACACAGCAGGTAGATCTTTATACCGCCACGTCGCAATATCATTATACGCCGCTTCCATACCGTGTATATACCGCTCAATCGTGTATCCGTCATTACATATAACGAACAGGATAACATTGAGTTTATGTCGGATCATGGTACTAACCTCCTGCACCGTAAGTTGTAAACTGCCATCTCCCTCAAAAAGTATAGTCCTTCTCGCCTTCTCAAGACCATCGGTATCCTGAGCAGCTAGTGCAGCACCCTGACACGCGCCAACAGCCCATCCAATGCTTCCCCACAGCGTCTGATTCAGCGCCGTGACATTCGCCGGGAAGCGCGTTTCCCAGACGCCGAAATTCGCTGTTCCGGTTTCGGTCACTACGATATCGCCTTCGCGCAGGAACTGGTCTACACGCGCCCATAGCCACTCTTGCTTAATCACGGAATTAGGATCGGATTTCGTGGCTGGTTCTTGGAAGGTGGGGGCTGGGAGGGCTTTGATTTGGGCGACGTCTAGTTTTTCGACGACTTTGCGGAGGACGCCTTTCATGCTGACACCCGGGTACTCGGAGTAGCGCACCGTGCAGTGGTCGCTGTGCAGGTCGATCGAGGTTAGTTGCGAGAGACGGTAGGAGAAGCCCGCGGTGTTGAAGTCGCTTTTTAGCGCGCCGATGGAGATTACTAGGTCTGAGTTTTCGACCATGTCTTTAACCCCAGCGTTGGAAGCGGTGCCGGCGTAGACACCGCCGTAGCTAGGGTGAGTCTCGTTGATAGCGCCTTTACCCATGGGAGTGACGAAGACGGGGAGTTGGGTCTTGTCGATTAGGTCGTGGACTTCGTCTAGCACGCGATGACGGATAGCGCAAGCGTCGACTAATACGACGGGTTTCTGAGCAGCATGTAGGTACTTGAGAACGACATCGACGACATAGTCCTCTCGATCGGCGTCATTCCGGGGTTCGCTTAGATCAATCTCGGTTTCCAAGCGTTCGCCCTCGATCTTCTTCTCAACCATGTCCGTGGGGAACATGATGTATACCGGGCGGGAGCGTAAGTAACACTCACGCAAAGCATGATCGATTTGAGCAGCAATCTCAACCGGATCATTGAGTTTGGCAACAGCGCATGAGATAGAAGCGCTCATATTAGCAAAAACGTTGAAATCGCCATTTCCAAGTGTGTGGTGTAGTAGCAAGCCACTTTTTTGAGAAATGGTGCTTGGGCAGCCGACAATGTGGACGACTGGTACATGTTCGCTGTAGGCTCCGGCGATTCCGTTAACGGCGGATAGTTCACCCACACCAAAAGTGGTGATGATAGCACCAATGCCCTTCACGCGGGCGTACCCGTCGGCGGCATAGGCGGCATTCAGCTCATTGCAGTTGCCAACCCATTTTAGACCGGCTTTTGGTAAGTAATCGAGAGCGACCAGATTGAAATCACCGGGAAGTCCGTGAACAGATCTGATACCAATTTGGTAAAGTCTCGTGAAGAGGTATTCAGCCACGTCAACGGGCTTTTTGAGATTTTTAGTCCGGATGTCCAGATTGGTCATCGTGGCGTTTTTTCCCCTCTTTCACCTATTTCAGATGGTTGATTTGGATGTTGTAGCTGTGATTGTTTCTATATGAGGAAGTACTGTTGAGAAGTAGTTATAAGTAGTATTCGGTACTGAGTAATCGTATACTACCTATGTAAGTTGACGTAGAAGAGTTGAGGGGTAGTTAAGTAATTAAGTAGGTATAGAGTAATTGTTCGTCAATTTGTATGTAAGTGTCTTCGACTTGACTACCTACACTAACACTCCAATGGTTGATATTATTCGATGGAGTATGAGTATGCAGAATAAAGAAATGTCTCTCACTTGAGCAAAAGGAAAATGTTCAACTAAATATCAAATAATAATTTCTTACCGTCGCCGCTGTCGCACGGCGGATACGAAGGTCGAGAAAGTTACGGATACTCAAAATCGTAAGGTGTGTATTCGCATCGCCTGTTCTTGACATATTCGGGCCTTGTTTCTGTGGACCATGGTGCATATTCGGAGTCTGGCGATGATCAGGCGATGATGCAATGGATATGTATCGATTTATTTTTCTTTTTTCTTCCTGTTTCTTTTTACTGTAAGGGGTGTATCGATTGATTTCACCGGTACATTGGAATACATGGAATATCCCTCGATATTCGAGTTGCACAAGAATCCTTTGAATTAAGAAACCTTAAAGTTAATTCACTCAATATTATGACGGTTGAAATTTAAGTATTCCATTAACTCTAAATCTTGTATCTCTAAATAATAAATGGAACCAATCGGCCGGACCCGGCTTGTTTTTAACTACTCAGCTAGCCTGGGTCGCAAGGACCGGTGGTCTGGAACGGTCTAGTTACATACACAAAATCCGCCGCATTAAAGTTCCATCACGGAAATGCCGATCTTTCATGATAAATCATACCTCAATTTCATCGGACCGGTACGATACAGAATAATAAAGAGGAAAGATTCGATGATATACAATTTTTGAGCGGTGAAGCCATATCTAGTATCTAATTTGAAACACTATGCCCGCTATCGTCAGTCATTTTTATCGTGACATATTATACAGCAGATCTACAAGACCAGGCTTAGTCATCAGAGTAACTTTGGAAATCTCCCAAACAGCATCAATGGCCATGGTCCATGTACGAGGATATCAGAAGGGTGAATCTTCCGACGCGCTGATCGACGAGTTTAATCGCATCGTCCATCCTTCCAACCAGTCCGCCATCTCTCCTCCCATTTCGAGCAGTCGAACGTGTTCTTCCCCAGCTTAACATTCACAGCATTATGCGCTTCGCATAACCATTTGCCAAATTCATCGCGACTACCGACTCGGATCTGTTCTTTCTCCATGTAACGTTGGAAATCTTCGGCGCAAACCCAGCACGGATATAACCGCGAAAAGACCCCCATGAACGTCTTGAGATCCGACTGTTCCGCTACGCTCGGCGTTTTCGGGTAGGTCGCCGCAATCGAGTGTAAAAGTGTCCATGTACTCCGCCCAAGCGTTTCTACGTCAGCTGGGCAATCATCCGTAGTTGGACGTTGTGAGGAAAATGTTGAGGCTGCAACAGCGCCAGCTCCAGCTCCAACAGCAGCAGCGCCTGCTGCAGTTCCGGTACCGCTACCAGATTTTAATGACGATTTTGTCATTTGCGCCCATGAGGAAAAATCTCTTTTTGATGTACATGATCGACATCTACGTAGATCTTACATCAGTAACCAGTCAATATGATATTGGAACCATGGTACAGCGAAAATGCTAGGTAGGTACTCACGGCTTTCCATCCTTCCCTATTACGACGCCCTTGGGCAATTCGTTAGGCTGTGGTTGCGGTTCTCTCGTGTCAGCAGCCATTATGTGAGTGTTATTGGGCTGAAATAAGAATAAGGTAAGAAAAGATGGGCATAGGAGCTCGCGATAGCTTGCGACTATAGAATCGAAAGGTGTCGGCAAGAAAATTAATTAATTTTGGATGGACGGCTGGCTGGCTGGCTGGAATCGGATTTGTCAGTTAGCTCAGTAGCTCGGCGGGAAGCGAGTCCCGGCCCCGGCCGGTGACGCCACTACCAAAGTACAACTAAGCACGGGCCGAACACTCAATGCTAGCTCACCTTATCTAATCCACTATTTCTCAGGTACATCCTTGTATTGGTATACCTTTTATCGATAAAGCTTACGTCTTAGCTTTCTTCGGTATTCAAAGCTTCAATTGCGCGACATAGAATTGTAAAAATTGCCAGCTCACGCGACCAATGCGTCAATTTATGCCAATTCGATTGGCATAGCTCAGCTTCCATGGCCTCCAATACAGAAAAGATTCCTGTGTTACTCCTCAAGACGAAATCGATACCGACGGATGCATACGAAGATCTATTCTCTACCCCGCGACAGGGCCACGATTTCGAACCCACCTTCGTCCCTGTGTTACAGCACAAATTCGAAGATGATGGAATGCAACAATTCGACAAACTGCTGCGAGAAAGGCGGATGAGCAAAAACCCGGACAGCGCATACGGAGGCCTTATCTTTACTTCACAAAGAGCCGTCGAAGCATTTGCAAAGTTAGTTGAGGATGGCAAAGGTCCGAGACATTCTATACATCAAATGGGACCCTAGTCTCTGACTCGCGAGAACAAACAGGCGACGATAATTGGCCACATCTTCAAGACGTCCCAATATACAGTGTTGGTCCCGCTACAACCCGTGCGCTCAAAGCCGTGTCGCAGACCCCTCAGCTACAGATATTTGGGGAACACACAGGGAACGGTGATGCGCTCGCGCAATTCATATTAGACCATTATGGCGAGTGGTATAAGGACCGACCGACCAAGCCCCCACTACTATTTCCGGTCGGAGAACAGAGAAGAGATATCATACCGAAGACATTAATGGATAAGGCCATACCTGATACCCGACGAATCTCAGTGACCGAGATAGTGGTGTACGGCACAGGTGTTATGGAGTCTTTCTCAGGAGACTTCGCAAACGTACTACAAAAGACGACCAACCGGAGATCAAGATGGGTGGTTGTCTTCTCACCGACCGGTTGCGATAGCATGCTTCGAGGATTGGGGATGCTAGATGATAAGACTGGTAAGGCTATCCCCAAAACTCAAGAGAGGTCATCAACATTTATCGCGACGATCGGACCAACCACACGCAATTTCCTAAAAAGGACGTTTGATTACAACCCGGATGTGTGCTCTGAAAAGCCAAGTCCTGAAGGGGTGTGGCAGAGTATAACTGAGTTTATAGAAAGGTCCTCATAATCGAAGAAGTTAACTGCCCAAACTACATTGCCTCCTATTGGCGTATGTATGTATATCTGGATGTATCTTGTATCTTGATGAGGTATATGAAACACTGTATTATGTAAGAATAAACTTATGCGCATTTAGCTGTTACAACCAAACAGGATGGCGTACATACATGTAAAGCTTACTTGGCATGTTGTGTATCACCAACCTCATTTATATGTACAAACGAGTGGTCAATGTACATGCCATAGACATAGTTAAGTATAAAGTATGGAAAGCGTCGCAGGATTGGATGATAGTACTCAGTGAGTTTATTGGTGAGACAGCGAATAGGCTTTATATAGTGGAGAATGGGGAATGGGGAAGTCGGACCATCCATTGGAATTTCGAGAGTAAGAAACCTAATTAAGTGTCTAATAATAGTCGACAAATATTCCATCATTCCTAACAAGAGTCAAAACTCCAACACCTAAACCTTTTACTTATCTTTTACTTAATCGATCATCACCACTTCAATTTCTCATAGCATTTATTATTTATTATAACCATAGTTCTTATCTAAAGTTCCTACAATTGATACTCTCATTATTACGTTCTACGCATTTACGATTCATAGCTCACTGGCCACAATACGACATACCGCTGTGACCCCACTAGAACATACCCCAAACATACCCAATAGACCGCCCACCATTACAGCCATCGTCACGCTACGTCACATTCGATGATTCCACTTAATAACTAAACCCCTACCCTACCTTACCTTTTGCCTAGGAAGAGGTAGGTAAGGTCTGATCGAGAACCTTAGAAGCACCTATCTTATCTCCATTTACCTAAGACAAAACTAGAAACTACATACAGAAGCTATTATCCACTTCTCCAACTTCTTCACTTCTTAGCTTTGCAGCAATCACCTCCCGCCACTACTGTTACTACTACTGTTACTACTCCTACTAGGCCGATCGACAGGCACACGATCACCATCACGCACGCCATCCACACCAAAAAACCCTTACCTACCCCCACGAGACCCAAAACAACTACCGACCATGAGTGTAAATCGACAGGATAGCAACTTAATAGATTTCTCGCCGCCTTCCTCCGGCACCTCCACCCCGATATCCCGCCATTCTTACGCATACCCACAATCGCAATCACAACCACGATCTCCTCCACCTCAGACCTCCCCGAATAGCGGCGGTAGTTACATCGGGTCCGCCGTACTAGGTCTATGGCGACGATTCTCCTCCCTCGAAGCACCTACATCACCTCCTAGTGGTACCACGACACCACCCTCACACACAGCACTCTACAATGCGAATTCAGAACCAGCATTACCAGGTGATGGGATTAACGGCCCCTTCATCCCACCCTCACGACCACCTGGGCGTTCAGCATCACCGCGCGGACTACCATCGCTAGAACCGTTGACGTTACGAGGCTATCGCGGTGACACAGGGGCTGACGAGAGGTTGCTGGCGCGAGGCGTGGCCGAGGAAATCCGTACTTTCTTACCGGAACGCCTTAAGATTGCTGAGGATTGGCGGTTAGTATACAGTCTATACCAGGATGGCAGTTCCCTAGGGACGCTATACAAGCTATGCGATGAGTACCGCGGCCGAAGAGTCGGGTTTGTGCTCGTAGTGAGGGACGGCAAAGATGGGGTGAGTCACCTTTTTATTGTATACCGAAGGAAACGAACCCATCACCAATGAAGCGAATACATACAAAAGCGAATATAACAGCATTAAGTCCAAAAACAAAAGACTAGAAGCTAACCCAACTCCCACATTCTATAGACCTTCGGCGCATACCTAACTGAAGCACCACACCCAGCAGCTTCCTACTATGGCACAGGGGAATGCTTCCTCTGGCGAGCAAGCCTCCACGCACCACTCCCACCACCTCCCTCCGCCGACACAACCAACATCAACTTCCGCACCACGACAATAGCATCCCCCACAGCCTCCACAGCCTCCACATTCCCCCCACACGACGACCGCCAACCCGCCACCCAACAACAACAGACCCTAGCCCCAGGCATCACAGACCCATCAACTAACAAACTAAAACCATCTTCACTACCCCCTCCACAACCCCCGGCGCAAAGTATCCGATTCCAAAATTTCGCGTATACGGGCGCAAACGATTATTGCATTTTCTGCGAGTCTAAGTTCCTATCAGTGGGCGGTGGAGGCGGGGGTACGTATGGGCTATGGTTGAATGATGGATTAAGTCGTGGACACAGCGCGCCGTGTGATACGTTTGGGAATCAGCCGCTTAGTGACGAGGGCGAGAAGTTTGATGTGCTGGGTGTTGAGCTTTGGGTTGTGGGGAGCGGGTAGGTTGGTTTTAGCGGGATGTTCGATGGTTTTAAGATTATGAGGGTGATGAGAAATGGCCAAATAATTCGAGAATAGGACAAGGGCGAGACGAGAGAATCGTCTAATGTAAGAATGACAGCATTTTGTCCACGTATAGACTTGCTGACCGGATTCAGCAAGTTGGGAGTCGGAAGTCAGACAGAGAGAGAGCTTATTCCTACTCCTACTCTTAATACGATATCCAATGTGTAGATGGAATTTCACATCATTTTAACCAGATTTAAGTTCGCTATCATTTGGAATAAGGGTGGATTTGTGAAATGACATATGGATGTATAGCAATGATACACCCTGGTAACACCATAAGGAATGAAACGGAATACGGATAGAACTTCTACATCCGACCTCAGCCGATTAGCACGAGAACTCGGGATAGGAGAACAAGCGGGCTTAGATTAGAAGAGCTAATAGCTACGTTATACAACGCTATCGAGTGAACATCGATCCCATCCACCCATTCGTTAGTTTCTATCAGATATAAGCAAGGGATGAGTGAGTTTAGGGTTAAGGGATATATAATATTCTTCCAATTGGATGTCGTCCCATCACTTATCACCATAATAGGGGCCATTGCACGTATAATTAGGCGCTATAGCTTGTAGGCGCGAGGGATGGGGTGGAATTACATACTGGTCAGTAGGATGGGCAAGGAAATATCATATAGTATGTGGTACTAGGAAAGATTTGTAGATGTTCCCTTTGTTTAGGTATTAATAGTCCAGAGTATGATGATGTGTAATTTTGTAAGTACCCCTACAAACCTCTCAAGCACAAGTTCAGTCTATGTACAGATTAATGATAACACGGAGCTATACATAATAGCGTAACACCAGCTTCCATCACAACGTCAAGAGCCGTCTACACGCCACATCACATAGTCACATACACATAAGTACAAGTCCACAAGATAGTAGAAAAAAGTGCGTGTTTACTATCAGCAAAGGTAGAAAAGAAATTTGGAGAGAAGATAAGACATCGTTATCCATCAACATCTCCCACTATGCTAAGATCTTATGCGTGCGCAGCTTTGTAGCACAAGATCTCCCATTCTCCCCCTAATGTTCCATATCGTTTGAGCAGAAAGGAGGATCCCTCATGAGAATCTCTAGTAATTTCTCGGCTCTTCTCAATAATTACTCTCTTTAGGGACACACCCTGCCCTGTCTTGTCCATAAATTTTGCCTGCTATGCTAAACGGTGATTGGTCGATTCATTGATTGGTTGGTTGTCCCAAAACCGCGAATGCTCAGCGTACGCGATTGGAGTTGGTTTCAGTAGATGTATTCTTCAAGCCCAAAACCCTGCATAAGATATGCCATCACCCCCTGACTACCAGAATAATGTCGGTTCTACCGCATGATCTCTTGGTAGATGAGCTGCTTCAACTGCTCCTTACTAAGGTTATCCTTGTGCTTGTCGAAATCGAAGAACTCTTCGGGAATCGGAGGTGCTGTCGGCTCGTCCTCAGGGTCGTGGTACGGTTCGAGGTACGGGTGCTTCAGAGCCTCCTCCACAGTGATACGCTTGACGGGGTTAAAGGCTAGGAGCTTCTCTAGCAGGTCGAGGGCGAGGTCGGAAGTCTTAGGAAAGAGAGTTCGGAACGGAACCTTCTTCTTGAAAGGAAGGGAACGGATATACTCGCGAGCTCGACGAGACTTAATTCCGTAATAATCCTCCATAGTTGGCGTTCCTAGAACATCCAAGATCAAAGTCAATTGATGGTGGTCTGTACTCATGTTAGCAGGGCAATCATTTTTAAGATATAGAATCGAATTACATACAATCCTTTCCTGGGAAAAGAGGCTTTCCGCTTAGCATCTCCGCTAGAATGCAACCGACGGACCAAACATCAATCGCCTTGGTGTACTCCTTAAACGTCAACATGATCTCAGGAGCACGGTACCAACGGGTAGCGACATATTCTGTCATGAAACCAGAGTTGTCTTCCTGAGAGGCGGCTGATCGTGCAAGACCAAAATCACACACTTTCAGATCGCAGTTAGCGTTCAGTAGAAGATTGCTCGGCTTCAAATCTCGGTGAAGCACGTTAGCGGAATGCATAGCCTTCAACGCTCGTAGCGTTTGGTAGATGAAGTATTGGCAGTGATCATCTGATAAATCCTGGGTACGAATGACACGGTGCATATCCGTCTCCATTAGTTCCTACGGGATCGAATTAGCCATCAATCAAAACACAATTGGGTCCAATTTCATCTCATACCTGGATCAGATATACTTCATTGAAAGTCTCATAATTTCGCGGCTTCTGGATGTCAAGGATGGAGATAATGTTCTCGTGGTTAAAGTATCTAAGAAGCTTCATCTCTCGAAGAGTTCTTAGGCAGAACATGGAATGGTCGAAAGGAGTAATCTTCTTAATGGCGACTTTCTGGCCTGACGGCTTGTGTATCGCAGAACTATACATGAGGATTTAGCTACTGGACTTCACTTGCAATCCCAACAACAATAATAACTTACCAGACAACTCCATAAGCTCCCTCTCCAACAACATCCTGGATGTCGTATTGCTCACTAACATTAAATGAGATCTTTCGGGATCCAGCCGGATTGGGGGGATTCGATCGCGACATGTTTGCTTATACCGCCGGAACAGATGATTTTAAATCGATGTTTGGATGGAAGAGCGGAATAAAGCCCAAGTACCGAAAGGTTCCAACGCTTCAGGCGTCCAGAGTGGGTATATTAAGACCCTCTAAGGGCAATAAGAGCGTCTATATAGGTAATTTCGGCTCGGCAGGGAACAAAAATCGTGCACGCTCCACACGACGGAGTATAGCACAATAGAATATCGATTACGGCGACCCTATTCGAACGTCTTATCGAGTAATTACCGAGGCGTCGAGTCCGGTATGACCGAATTGCAGCTGCCGCCTATATAAAATGGGTTGTCGCAAAGGAATTGTGAATGCTTTATTGCAAATCGCAGCTTTTCGTTCTTTCAATTTCACAAACCAAACATGTGGCTCCTTTATGTTCGTCGGTCTAAGCTTTGTACGTCGATGCGGTAGTTGTGGCTGTCTAATCGAACTGGAAGTTGTTACATTAGCTGGGATTGTTGCGCAAGGACAAAGACGATAACCATGAGTGACACTGGGGTCAGGGGTTTGGAGGCGAATCGCAATGATTTGTGTAGATCGTATAACATAGAAAGGGAAGAGTAATTCGATATCGGGTTATGCGCTTGCTTAGGACAGCTTTATTGCTCCGGCCGTAGATGTGCACTGAACAACTACTAGGTACGAAGTGGTTCGCGTGATGGATAGCTTAGCTTCGAGAAGACAAGATGAAGCACAATACAAGCCCTCGGAAGTTGAGATCGAACAGGTGAACAAGACTCGAGGTCAAAGAGTGCATTCGGGTTGTAACGCCGTGTTACAAAACTTCAGACGCTTCCATATATTTATTCTCTTAGTCCGAAGGGGGTGGGAGAAGGCAGACAGGGTTCCCGAGAAGATGCGCGCCAACACGAGCAATCACTGTCTCTTCTTGTAACCTAACGGCGCACGATAGGTTCGATAGAGTAGTTAAGTGGAACATGAAGCGCCGGTGGAGTTGTTGTGGAAGGGTAAGAAGCAAAGGAATAAAACGTGGAAAGTCTTCTTACCTTTGGATTAGTTGACTCGTTGACGACGGCGCAAGTAAGGAAAGTTGTTGGGTGCAGTTGAATAGTTCAAGTCGAATAATCGAGTTGAATAAATGAATGAATCTGGATGGGCCCCGCCTTCTTCGAATGGTGACTGGAATTGGTGTGGATGATACCTAGGTACCTACATATGTAGTGACTTCCGAGTGACTTCTCAAATGTATTGCATGTAAGTGAGGTGTGATTTATCGAATGCTGTACTAGGTATCAGTACCAACACTACATATGCGGTACTTGCGTATCTAGGGAAATACGTATATGTAAATACGTAAATGCCAAAAGAAATCGACCCGTCTGTGACCTTCCAATGGATGCAATGGATGTGTTTATTGGAAAACGGTTTATGAACAATAACCCAAACAGTCGGGTAAAACAATAAAGCAACCAAATAATTGTCTTGATAAGAGGGAACAACGACACAGACGTTTTAAAAAAGGGAAGAAAGGAATAAAAAAAAAAATAAGAATAGTAACAACAAAAGTACCAAGTATCAATCAAGTAATAAGTTGTAGTGTGTAAGGTAGCGTGTAGCATGAGCGGGGCAGAGGAGGAAGCAGAGTTGGGAAATGTCAAAGAGCTCGAAGCGGCTCGAGCGAGAAAAAAGGACGAACAGAAAAGCTGTTACAACGCCTGTGGATTAAAAAACCCCTCGGACCCTATGTAACAACTTATGGGTCAGTCTATTGAATCGAAGCTACTTGCATCGAGTGGACCCCAATAATGCGACGGCGACCAGACACTAGAGTACTAAGAGCTAAGTATGGTATGGTATGGGATAGTATGGAGTTATGGTGCATATACATACCTCATACATGTACGCACCGGGTAGTCGGATGACAACAGTTTAGTGCTAGATAACGAGACTTGCTTGTCGTTGAAGCAGATTATATGGATGTAGGTATATGCAGTGATAACGGTGACAAGAGTTGTATGTATCAGATTATTCAGGAGGAAGAGAAAACTAGAAAACAAGGAGGAAACTGGATTATAAGGTAAAATAGATTGTGTTAGCTACATCAAGAGCAAATAAAGTAAGACAACAAACAGTAATGCAAATTTCAAATTTCATCAGAATTTCCCTTCTTCATTCTCTCAATGGATGTCTCTTTCCAACTTCCATCTAAACTTCCCTTAGTAACTTTACACTGAAGTACAGTAGTCCCGGGTAATTTCCCCACGTGGGATCTAAAATCAGGTTGCTCATCATAGGATTAGCAGCAGGTCAAACCGACTAGACATGTCAAAAGGAAAGAAAAAAAGGGAAAAGAGGGAAGGGAGTTGCCGCCGTAAACATCCATGCCTGTCTTTACATCTACATACATACAGTTGAGACGTACAGACGGCAGGTACCCAGCATCCCGAGAGATGTTTTAGGTTTGACTCGAGATGGGATGGTGAGGTGTGATGGAGTTGAAAGGGGAAGGGGGGAGGGGTTGGAGCTAGAAAGAAGGAGTGAGCAAAAAGGTAGCAAAGGTGGGGTCGGAGGGGTAAGGGGACATCAGCGATTGCTGCAGCTGCATCGCATCGACACTTTCTTTCGCGGGGTCCCTTTTTTTATTCCATCCATTAGAAAAGTGACCTGATTTTACTTTACGAATTGGTGTCTCATCATGTACCACCTCCATCACTACATGTACCTAAGTATCTACATAGATACATGTGGTACAAGTACATTCAATGTTCATTCCTGGCTTCAAAGCACCCCAATCAATTGAAGTAGGTTTGAAGGTCAACGGCTTGAACCGATGAAACGACGCCGTTATGACTTCTCAAACTCTACCTACATACTTTCATCCACCTCGGCAGGCAACTCAAAAGCTTACCTTTTACATCATTTCCATCTTTTTCCATTTTTCTCACACTTTCAACGTTGTCAACCCCTATCACACAGCAGAACGGCGCCTCCAAATTATATACCATACGATGTTAACATGAAAAAGCTGTATGGTATTGGTACCTACATCATGCCAATGCAAGGTTCCTATCTCTTGTAACCGCCCGAGCAACACACCCAAGGCGTTCCCTCGTGTGCTGATAGATTACGAAATCAATCCGGCCATCCAATGATGGGTCGCGTCAAGCGCCGCACACCGCAGGTGGGCACGTGTGTTTTAAATCTCATCCGCAGCCTCCCCTGGTCTGTTTCATGACTGGTCGGAACGGATGTGACCCAAGCATTTCAGGAACGCTCGGCACGGGCTGCTTCTTAATCACTCCTGTCCTGCCAGCCCTGTTCGACATACATCATGTCTACATACCACCTCCTGAGGTACCTTGCAGCTGTCGTGTTTTACCGTCACCATCATCTTACTACATAGGGGCGACGACCAATAAAACTGTGACGGCAGCCAGCCGATCCTCCTGTGGTCAGAAGTTTGAGTTCGGCTTTACACAACAAGCCGAGACGCCTATATAATATCTATGATGTGGCTGGCCATCTATCCGCCCGTGCCGTCCAATAGCCAGATTACCGGGCCAGCTCTCAATATCCGATGACTTTCTATCCTCGGAGAATTATCTAGTCGAGCATGCCGTCAGACATGCGGCCTCCAGGATGGATTTCAAGTTTCTCATATATCATACGCCATTAATCTACGAACTGCCACGAAGCAAGAAGGCGACAAGTACCGACAGTATGCAGGTTATTACATAGTTATTGGCCTGCAAAGAACGCCAAAGTACTATACATACTCGTTTCAAAAACCAATGAAACGCGCATTTTCTCGTGGGTGGCGTCTTGCTGCATCCATTTCGCAGCCGAGATCGCAAAAAAAGTATGGCCTCTTACTATCGATGTCGCAAAGAAGCCGCCACAATCAGCAGTACGCGTAAATTAATTTCCTACCTCTGGTAATTAATTGATTATTATCGCGGATTTTAACACCGGTAGGTGCGTCAGGATAGCCGACTAGCTAGTCCTTATGATCTATCATACAGGCAATATTGGTTCTACAATCGCCGTTCTTGCACTATTAGAGTCAGCAGCCACTAACTCACTTCCACACGCGTCGCAAGGCTGATGAGAACTCATTTACAAGCTAATTCGCACCCCCTACATTGAAGGCTAGGAATGAATAGTCCCGTCGAATTTGATGTGTAAACGCCTTAAGTTGATAACCTAAAGAAAATTTGTATATTCTAGATATTTATTTTCACTTACCTACCCCACGGATATGCGTACATATGCCTACGTTTCATTAATGCCGCCTAGTATTTCATGTAGATTGAAAAATGCCACGTGAAATGCACCTAGGGACTCCACAAGGATTGAATAGTAGAGATATTTGGGGTCCAGTTAGTAGTAAATGTAAATACGAATTAAAGAATAAAAATAAAACAATGTCTCCGTGGTATGCAATGATCAGTAGTAAAAGGAGGCTTGACGTAAGCTCTTATGGTTCTTGGTCTCTGATAGACGAGATATGACTATATAGCCCCTGAATAGCTTCATAAGCTTGAGGAGAACCTCACTCCTGCTCTGAAAGCAATGGGTGCACACGGAACTACTAAGTCTTCTACACACATCATTCATACTCCAAGAATAGGTACCTACCTGAGGTAGGTAGGTAGGCGGTAGCATCTCACCAGTAAAACCATCAAATCGATCCGCTAAGTATTCTCGGTACTTATTTACTATCGCCGGCTTCGTTTTACTTCCACGACATAAGTGAGGTGGGCTGCGCTGAAGCTCTATCTAACAATACCACAAAACGCAAATCCCTAACCTCTATTTAGCCGCGAAAAAAGACATCGCTGGTACACTATCATTCTGTCTGAATGCTATTTCGCTCCTCCTTTTCTTTCCTTTTCCTTTCTTATCTTACTTCGACCACCGGGTGGATAGTATCAGTCTTCCACCTCACTCCTCAACTCACTGCCCTCAATAATAACACCCCATCCCCACCCCCAACCCCTCAAACTCATCCTGCTCCTCCCGAAGGCGTTCGACTACGCAGTACTACTGAACAACCTAAACAATCAAGAAGCGCAAGAAGCAAAACGTGAGCAATTGGTCTTTGTGAAGTTTCATATAAAACTATCTAAGTCGGAGAGACAGACAGAGAAAAAAGTGAGAGAGAAAGATCCGTGCTTGCTTTTATTTGGTTTTGTGATCATCAGGAGCTTACCTTTTCTCTCATCGTTCCCATCCACTGGCCGAAGCTCATTCCTTGGTCTGCCCGATCTTCTACTAGTAATGTCTGTGCCCACAGTTTCAAGCTCGGTTCGCCGTCTTCTCGGACGATATATAGATGCGGCACGATTATGCTTCCTACTCCACGTGATAGGTGGTCCCGACTCTTCTGAATTACAGCCCGTACCCGTTCGTTGAAATCGTTATCTAGCTCTGGGATCGATCCCTTACCGACGCGTAGTTGCGTACGGTCTGCTACACCAAATACATCCATTAGAAGTTGCGGCACAGCATCCCTTCCAACCCATAGGAACTGTGTCTGGCCATCGTCGATTAGGTATAGACCGTATGAAACGAATCGTTCTGAAGACAAGTTCAATGGGGGCGGAAGAATGATCTGGCTCGTTTCCGGATCGGGGACCCCAGCGGTATCGGGCATATCGTGTAACGAGAACAACCGCGGGTAGATGTACTGCATGAGAAGTGGCAGGGGTAACGTAGAAAGTTGGCACAGAGCCGCTGATCGGAGATCGGATGGGATCTGTGCTGATTTCCGGAGACCGACGTGTTTTATTAGACCCAGGAAAAGCACTGGAAGGCCGCGCAAATTAGCAGGGAATTGTAAACCACCACCTCCCATGCTTCCACCACCAAGTTCCTTCTTGAAGGTTTGTAGTAGCTCCAAAAGTTTACTCTGAAGAGCATCGCGGGCGGCATCTAGACCACTGCTTAAAGCTCTCTCCACAGCCTTGTGAGTGAAGTATGTCGTTATGGCGCACTGATCCGCCGAAGCGTAAACGTCTGCGAGATTGGTAGTTGTGGGAATTGCTAGGGTCAGAACCCGGATACGTCGTTCTCCATTGCAATTAGTGTATAGAACACCAGCTTGCAGGCAAACGTAGTTCTTCTGTAGAGTCTCGTCGATAGCCACTTCAACCACGTAACATTGGTCGCGAGGGAAGGCGGGGAAGGCGCAGAGATCTGAAGACCTGTTGAAAAAGTTTCCGTAGAATGTACTCATACGTAAACCAGTCGTGGCCCGTACCCTGAGCACCGCTTCCAATCCAATCTCCGAAGATAAGAAGTCGCTAAACTCTGATGCGAACTTGACTGCATCCTCCGCTCGACCTGCGTTCCATCCCGGATAAAACCAAGTCTGACCACCAGTGTACCGAGGGAGGTTACTAAGCGAGGCTACGTCTTGGTACTGTGAGGAGAAGAGGAACATGTCAATAGAGACCTGGTTCTTAGAACATTCAACAGCAAACGATTTGTAGAAACTGTTGGCGGTTTGAAGAAGACCGCTTTCTTTAGAAGTGCCAAGAAGTTTCTTATCTTCTCGCATTTCCAACTTCCCAATTCCCATGTTCGGTAGCGAAGCACTTAGAACAACAATCTTACCACCCAAGGGTGAAATAAGCTTGTGGCCAGCCCTCAAAGCCGAACCCATAGCCGATCCGTTACTTTGGTTGTTTTGGAACATGTCGGGGAGTTTGGTCAGAAAGTTCTCCACGCTGTTTCGACTTTCTATTAAGGGAACTAGTAGGTCTTGAGGCACGGGCAGGAACGGCTCATCCAGATCGCTAACAACAAGCATGCTCGTCTCCGCATTTTCTTCGTCGTCTTTGGGAATAGAGAAATAGTGTAGACTTGAGTCGACCGCAATGAATCCTAGCCGAGTTCGTCGGTCCGCATTCGGTATCCTATTAAGACTATCGAGAATGGTTCGCGCGCTCGTAGCGAGAAGACCAGTGGAAACAGCAGCATAGCTGACATCGAAAAGGAATAGATATACGAGCGGTTGCGGAGGACGGACCATATACTCTTGAGGAGCCACGAACTCAACTACAGAATGGTTCAACTCGTATCTATCCCATCGGTTAACACTCTTTTGAGCAGCAGCATCCCAGTCGAATGCTTGTGGAACGTCGTTGGTAAGGTTGCACATATTACATCTCCACCTGTGACCTTGATCAAGGAAGATCACGTAAGGGTTAATGTATGTCCTACATCTCCGGCAACGAGCTATAACTTGGTCCTGCACAACTGGCACTTGGTCATCGATGTCATGAAGAGCGGCGTAGGGCTGAATAACAAGGGCAAAAGGCATCTTGGATTTTTTGAGTAGGGAATGCGTGGTGGGGACCGCATTTAATGTAGACCGGACATATTTAGGGGGGCAGTTTGCGTCGGGCGACTGGGTTACACTGGCCTATCATGATAATTAGCCTGGATTGTCAAGTGTTCAAAGCAGATATACACTTGCGACACTTACATTTGGCGGTAGAATACAAGGAGGCGGGGGAAGATCAAGTTCGGAGACGTTGAAAGGTTGATTTAATAAGTCGGTAGGATAGAGTTGATTTAGAGACAGCCGAGCTTGCTGGCCATGCTGGGGAGGCTGTTGGACACCAGGCTGAGGAGTAGCTCCCATATTCATACCGGCCATGCCCTGGGTTATGCTACCAACACCCGGCGGTTGACCGACTCCGGGTTGGTAGTAAGGATCGGGTGACTGATAGCCAGCTACTCCTGGCTGGACAGGAGCACCTGGATGCGGCGGAGCGCCGTACGGTGCAGGGCCGGGAGAGACATATCCGGGCTGCTGGAAATCTTGAGCGGGATAGCCACCGTAGCCAGGAGAAGGCTGGGGACCAGGACCTCCTACAAAGCCAGGAGGGACTGATTCGCCTGGTCTACCGGTAGCACCGGCGTTCGCGCCGCTGCCAATTTCGAAAGCTTGAGTAGCATAACCCCTCTTCTTTTTCTTTCCAGCGTCATGATGCGATACAGATTGCGGGGGAGGTGAGGTTTGCCCTTCGTATCCCGCTGGTGGTTGGTCAGTATAGGGGGCCTCTTGGCTGTATTGTTGTGGGGGATATTGGCCGTAGCCGTCGTTAGGGGCAGCCATATTGGCGCAATTGGTCGGTGATGTTAACCTGACCTGAGGTGGGCTGTTTTGATACTATTTTCCTCCCGTCCGTCTTTTTTTTGGAACAATCCTTATTACCAACGTCCTAATTATTCGGTGCACAATAAATCCGGGATCGCGTTAAAGGAGCTTATAGTCGGATCGTATTAGGAGACGTTGGGTTCTTAGTTGTTCGGTGGTTGTAGCTGGTTGCTTAGTTGCTAGGGTACTAATTGTCCGACTTGTGGCCACGATTCGATAGAAGGAAGCACGGTTCTCGGCGGAGGCCACGTTTTTATAAGAACCTAGAAAAGCCAGTACAGAGAGAATTAAGGGAGACGCTGGCGGTGTAAGCCGTTAAAAGGTGAACGGCGTAAAAGATAGGAAAATAGGAAAAAAAGTAGAAAAAACAACAATAAAATAAAATATGATTTTATAAGATCGCCATTCTTCTGACCTTGGTTGAATATTGTAGTTGATGGTCAATGTACCCGAATTCAGCAACTTGTCAATTTCACAGGCCGAATGACGATGTTGATTCGATAGATTGAATAAAAATGGTGGGCAACTTGACCGATGTAGCTTGGTCCAAGCTCCTTTTTTTTTTTACTTTTGCTTTTCCTTCCTTTCCTTCCTTTCCTTCCTTATTTTCCCCCCACCAGAAACTTTGATCCTTGGAATTAATATACTAAATCACGTGAATGCTGTCATAGCTGTCAGTTGTCTGTCGTAATCCACCTTGTACCTAGGTATACATGTGTATGCATTTATGAGTTGTATTATGAATTTAGCACAAATAGATCGGCGTCGGGTTTCTTCAGCTTACTTATCAAAAGGATCCACTTCTGATGGACCCCAAATGGAGAATCCCCCTCCATCTCACATCATAGGAGGCCCGTTCCCCTCCCTCTCTTCTTCCATGTTCCTTTCCCTTTCCGATCTAAGATCCATCCATTTTATTATCTCCCTTTATTTGTTCCGTCGTACCATACCAAAGTAGGTATACATACATACATCCATATACATCCAAACGTGCCGAACTTCCAGCTTTTGATGTTGGTATCGACCTCAATTAGGCAGGCTAGACTTATTGTTTCCCCTATTACAAACGGCGTGTCCGCCTAATTTTAGTATTTTCGTTAGCAATAAGCTAGGTACCTAGCGTGTTAGCTCACGGTTCGGTACGATGGCAGGTAGCGGCAACGGGTAGTCGCTGCTCTGGTAGCACGTTTATGCATGTGCTTATTACCTTTTATGAGTCGTTCCTGATGTTTGTCCGAATAACCAGGTAGGTAGGGAAAAAGTGCAGTTGCTTTCAGCTGAGACCTTTTGCACTTTCCCATTCTTAATACCTATACGCGATTGCGTTACACTATGGGATAAGTTTAGACTCGCTCTCTCTTAATCTGTTCCATCCTATCCTATCCTCTTCCTCTATTTCATCTACTTCATTTCATCTACTTCTTACGTACTTCTCTAGTATTTACTTTCTTACATAGACCTGATCTTCATAAATCCAACAATCAAATCAAAGAAGCACATACCTATTCTTCTACAAACCAAATCTATTTCCATTCTCATTATTCACTTACCTAGGGATCCTATTATAATACCTACATAAACTACGACTCACTACTAGACTAACCGTCGCCACCTAAAACTTAGTCGCATACTATTTTTATTTTTAATTGTCTTCTATTCTAACAAAAATTGCGATTTCAACATATACTTTACGTATCTATACCTTTCAGAGACAACCTAACAAATAAAATCCGAAGTCATGGCCTGGAGAAGCAAATCGCCTGTTCAAGTCGAGGCCAAGCCCTCGACATTTAGGTATATATGTTACTTCACCTAACATTACCCACTTGCCGCGATTAGGCATACAATCATATCATCTTGGTACCTACAGATCGCTAACGTAAGCTCCCTCGCTTCCAGCCAGTTACTCCCACTCCTAATCCTCCTCGTCTTTCTCGGCGGTGCTGCTTTCGTCGGTTACCATATCTACCTCAGCGTCGTTCAGATTCGCGACAGTACCGAGAAGCGCATGGCCAAGAAGAACGTGGTCTTCACCAAGGATGGTCTCAAAGTTGGCGTCAAGCACGTGGAACAAGAGAACTACGTTGATGCCACACAGAGTTGGGTTGTCAAGGCCTGGAATCTAGGGAGTAGCGCTCCAGCGCCCGTCAAGAGGAGATAAGGAACGGAAGGGGGGAAGCGAGGTCGTGAACTCGAGGACGAGAAGCCGATACTTGTTGTCGGATGTATACCAACTTCATTTCGTGCGGTACCGGAGGCCTCCTTTAGGGTTGTACAATCCTAGTGGACCTCTGAACCTCTTTATTTATTCTACAAAACCACTTGCGCCCATGGAATTACGACGAGTCGCGAATCCGATAACACCTAAATCAACACCATGAACGTTGTTGAATCGGATATACTCTCTATGACTGCGGAAAATGGATGCGCAAGAAGGTTCTTTACGATATACGATGATACCCTGGCTGATGGTTGGGCGGATGTTAGGGGGTAGAGGACCACGGTGTTTCTAGTGTTGCTTATTTACTGTACCAACAAAACAAGGCGTTTACAGCTCAAAAAATATCTTTAAGATTGTGGCTGTCGGTGCGGCCGCTTCCGCATTGTTCAACCAGCATCAGACTAATATATAACAAACAAATGTCGTGGTGGACTTTGTACTACAAATACCACCCGCAATGAGAAGTTGATAAATTGCATTGTATCACGATAACGTGATTTTCCGTCATGGAAGGGAGCGACATACGAAGAGGATCTACGTCTAGCATTTTATCGGAGTTTTATGCACGATGCGGTGTTCATGAGATATATTAAACCTCGCCCTTATTCTAATCATCTTCGTGTCAATCCACAATACTCATATGTTATAGGAATCATCTCTAAGGGGTGTATATAAAAGCTATCCTAAATCAAATAGGTAGAGCTGAGATCAAATTTTCGCATGGTTCTGTTCGCCGCAATAGCAGTACACCTATCCAAACCCTTTCCCTAGAACCAAGTTATGAATAAATCGGAACGCCATCTTGAGTATCCTCCCAACCAAATATGCGCTCTAATAAGCTCCTATGATCCAATCTGCAACCCAACATTGTAAGAAACGCACATAAACAAAATTGCATCCCTCTGTTGAAAGCTGAAAAAAACCCAGATAGGGGGAAAATGAAAGATCATCAAACGCGACATCCATGCCCAAGCTGAATATTCATATATCCTCCCATGTAATAAAGTCCATCCCAAAATCCATCACCGGGTCAATGAATCAACCGTCTTATCGTGCAAAAGTCCTGTTTTCCCTTTTGGTGGTCTGTCCACATCCGTGCAATATTTGGGTTGCCCGGGAAAAATACCTAGGCACGTAAGTTTATAATATCGAATAACTCTCAGTACCAGCACCAAAAAAGAATCCGAGCGCGTTGGGAGTAAAAACCGTATCCCGGTTGGCCCAGTTGTCTGAGCTCCCGAGTCGACAAGCCAGGCAACTGACCACCGGTGGCGGTTTTTCGCGGCGCGGGTTCGATTCCAGCTATGAGTACGATTCATTTCCAGCATCGAACCCGCACCGTCTTTTTGCCATTTTTTGCAAGTAATCATTTTTTTTTTTTACCCATCATAAGGCTCACAACTTCAAAACGCGTGGGTGAGGTTAGACCGTAAGCCATAGTCGTGCAACCCATTTCTGTCCTTCTCCCGCGTTTTGCCCTCCCGCAGCTCTAGCTAGGAGCTCCGCTCTTGTCTTTTCGAATCGTTCTCTTTGCAACGCTTCGATGTATTTTAACGGATCTTGTTGCTGCTGTTGCTGCGGCTGTACTTGCTGTGCCCCCATAAACCCAGCCACAACTTGCGCCTGACCCAATCCACCTGCGTTCCCTTGCTGCTGCTGCATCATCATCATCTGCCTCATCATAACCTCCCTCCCCCCTCCTCCTAACCTCGCCATCCCCATCCCCGCGGGCCCAGCCATCCTCGCATAACCAGCCGGTGCTGCACCATACGGGCCTGCCATCGCCATCATTAGCCCATCTCTCCGTATCAGCATAGACGGGATGCGAATCTGCAACCCCCGCAAGATATGCGCGTACTTAACGCCGAGCGCGTCCCCGATATGCGCGAGTCGACCGCCGATCCAGGATCGCTGGGCGTCGGTTGTGTAGTCTTGGCTTACGAGGCAGATTAGGGGCCAGGTTAGGAAATAGCCGGCTAGGGCTTTGACTTGTCCCTCGTCTTGCGGGTTCGTGTTGTCGTCGCCGCAGCCGAAGGTTCCGCCGGAGAGGAAGTTGAAGGGTGTGGAGGATTGGGTGGAAGAGGGGTTGGAGGAAGAGGGAGAGAAGTGCGCGTTTTGCGCTTGTTGTTGCAGGGCTACGGCTACGCGTTTGCGGTTGCGTAGGTGCCAGCCTAGGTGATACGGTACTGAGGCAATGATGTCGGTGATAGTATCAACGCAAGTGCGTGCCGCGGTTGCGTATTCAGGCGTTGTGCGGTAATCGACGGGGGAACATACCCACTACAACACCAAAAAAGTCAGTATCGAATAGGAGGTAGAGGCTTCAGACAAGTCTTAAAGCAAGAACTCTTCAACCCTCAGGCACGGGCCTGGCTCCTGCGAAACAATATAACGCGAGGTAAAGGGGGTGGAAAGAAAATATATCACGTACAGCAGCACATCTTACTACCAGCGACGCAAGCACCAACCTCGCCGTTCGCGCCGTATTCCACACACTCGCAATATAAAAATCACGATATACATCCACCCTCCCAGGGAAAACCTCCAGTTTCGAATAATCCGGTGTCGCAGCGCCCGTGGGACCGTCTTCCCATGCCACGGTGCGGTAACTCCATTCTTCAGGTACGTCGCGCATCCAAGCTACGACCTCGCGGTCTGCAGCTTGCACTCGCCGGATCATGTCGAGCATGACGTCAACATTGGCGCCAGATGATTGATACGATGAGGAAGAGGATGGGTTAGAGGCGGAGGTACCGCTCATTAGACGTGTTACTTCGGCGCGCAATTCGCCGGTTTTAATCATTAAGCGGTGGCATTTCGCTGCTGTACCGTCGCGGACTGCGTCGTCGATCCACCATTCTGCGCCCATTATGGGTGCGGTGCCGGATGTGAGACTGTGGATGATCTAGATGCCGTATTAGCTCTATACTGAGGTAGAGAAGAGGGAGTGGAAAGGTATATCTAGGAAACAAACCATCTGAGTCCGAACCGCAGCAAAGAGCGCCAACCCTACATTACTCTTCAACTGTTTCTTACCCCGGGCTCTAACAAGCTGTATAGCACCTTCGGTATGCGAGCCCCAGTTCAACATGCCGATTTGCTTCGCCGTGATACTCTGCACAACCCATATTAGCACCCATAATCCCCAGGCAGACAGATTCAACATACCTCAAACAACCCCAAAAGCAAAACCGCCGCCAACGTCGAATCCGCAAGTTGCATCTCCGGACTCCTAAGCGCAGCATTCGTCCCATTCAACGCCTTCGTATACTCATGCAACGCCTTATCCGCGAACCTACCCCCCGTTCCCCCACGGTTATTCAAAAAAGCCATGGAGCACGCATTAAACGCATGTCGTAAGTGTCCCTGCCCTTGATCCTCCTGCCTCAACAACGGAATCACAAAATCCATAAACCCGCGCCCGCTGCCCTCGCTCGGGACTAGGATGAAGTTCGCTACGAAGTGGCAGCTGGCTTGGTGTTCTACGGGGATGTTGAGGGAGGGGATGATGGCTCTTTGGTTGTCTAGGGGGGATTTATTGCTACTGCTGCTGCTGGTACTTGAGTACACCGGGGAGATGCTTAGAGATTGGTCTGTTTTGGAACTTGTCTTGAGCGCGAGCGCCTTCTTGCTGCCCGCTTTTCGGGCACGGCGTTCTGTTGCCTGCGTCTCGTTGCGGAAGACCAGGTCGAACTCGTCTTTGTACCCAGGACATTGCCGCCGCGACTTGGCGCATTGGTTGCATGTGGGTTTGGTCTCATCGCACTATTGTAGGCGGAAGAGCGCTTTGGTTAGTCCTGCGTAGAACATGATGCCTTGGAGAGGGATTCATTATTCTCAGATAGACGGTGATGCGACCTGACCTACCTTAATTCTCCTCGTCCTGCACATCTGACACCCCTTCGAGGGTTTCCCGCAGTACACCATCTTCAAAACCCTTGTGACGATGGTACGTCACGGCGATATAAGTCTGGTTTATTGAAAAAATAAAACTAGACCGCCGTTCGTAGATGGACAGCAGCTTGGGGTGGTCCCAAAATGGCCCTTCGAAGTTCCTCGTGGAGCCTCTACGTGTAAGTAGCCCGTGAACCTCCGCAAATCACAAAATCTCAACGGATGATCGAATAACACCAGGATAGTAATATCGTCTTCAAAACTTTCTCCCTATAACAATTAAGTTTCGAAGTTTCAAAGAGAAGAATAAACGCAAGTTACATTCGAAAATAAGGGCCTTTCACTCGATAATAAGTGTCGACAAATAAGGCCTTAGATCGTCAGCCCCGGATTATCGAAACAGATACGTAGGTAAGTAGGTTGTAGTCTATCACCCGAGATGACCAACCAGCGGGACAATAAGAATGGATACGTTCTTGATTTTTTCACCGGGATTCTAACGCACAAGACGACCGTGCGAGGGCGTGGGTGAAGTTTTGCAAATCCCGCAATGTTATTGGTCGCGGTCGGTATGCAAGTCGTGTATCAACTTTTCCGGCCGGCTCCTCGTCGTTCCCGTCTGTCTCTGTTTCAGGTGTGTATGTGCCGCAGCGCCCCAAGATTCGAACAGAGACATACAAACTTGCATATACATATGCTTAATACGTACGTATATCTATACTCTTAAGTATAGGTATATGTAGATGTATAAGCACATACAGATACGATTGAAGATGGATGAAGTTCCGTCAATCCGGGGTAAGGGGGTCCTAGTCGATCGAGAGTGTGATTGGAGGCGGGATACACCCTGGAATTGCTGCAATTGGTAACTCAATTATAGTCCTGGATCATATGATAACTTCCGAGTTTCCGCCACTGCCACATCTCAAGGGGTCGTATGAACATGTAAGATAGAAAGTGAAGTTAGAGAAAGAAACAAGTCAACAGCGAAATATTCATATCTATGTATGTGCGTAGGTAAGTGGATAGATAGTTAACTAAATATCAAGGATTCCCCTACCCATATCTTCGAACTCCATCCCGATTTAATAAATGACCCCAGGGCCAAGGGGCGGGCCATGTGGAGAATGGGAAAATCGACAACGGTAGAGGAACTGCTTGTAACGAACTTCAAGAGAACAAGGGTCAACGACTAACGAAGAGAGGTTTAGTAAAGTCTCTAGTTCCTCGTTTTCGTTCCACTCTTCCACATATCTTTATCAAGGCGTCATTACCAAGCGACCCAAGAACCTGGAGAGTTCCGTTACTTACTAAAGAAAAAAAAGTACCTGGATTACCCGTTATATCAATGCGTGTGGGCTGTCGTGATTTTGGTCCCCTCTACCATCTTATTGTGACTAGAACACCTAAACATTTGGATATTTTATAAGTTAACGACAAGAATGCCATATATAGTTACCGCATTTAAAAATGAAGACACATGTCGTACGATATTGACTAAATAGTAATGATAGATGTCTATGTGTGTCTTTCAAAAGACTCGAGTCAGTTGACAAGCCACGAATAACCCTTCTCGCCGAAATGTCTGGGCGTTTTTGAGCTACTAAATTAATCACAGCCTAGTCTTTCTAGTATAGTAACTCGTTTTGGGTAAAATATCTCCGGGAAAGGTGAGGCGACGTTACTAAAATCAACCTTATACTTAGTGAAGACTGAAGAGTAAAAGAAGGATGGGAAAATGGAAAATAGTTCTCAGCTAACATTACTAGTTACGTGGGGAGTCGCTGATCCCGCCCCGTAACGGGTGAATAGGTCAGTACCAAGCTGTCGGACTCTACGGACTTCGGAAACGTAAGTCGGTAGTTTAGGTACCATCTCAGCTATCCACGATGTATTATTTTAGGCCGTTCTTGGTAGGTGTCCAGGTAGGCAGGTAGGCTACCTCCCATTCCTCCAGCACACCTACAACAATTCTACCTATCATCGTGAGAAAATAATAACAAGAAACACGAATTACGAATCCAAACCCACAGCGGACGCCATCACTGCAGATCATTAAGATCTCCCTAATATAATCTTATTAGAAGCTTACTCGAAAGTCCGAGAGTCGAACTATCTATCTTAATACCGAACAACTATAGGCAGGGCACATCCATCCCAAATCGGTACATATCTGCAGGAGACGAGAGAACACCCGTCCGGGATCAACACACCAAGCCCAGATAAGGCGAGCGCCGAGAATGCGACAAGATCTCGCGTCCCTCACGGTACGGGATGTGACTATGCACATACATAACATCATGTCGGTGTGTGGCGCACCCGACGTACCTAAACAATACCAATTACCTCAATTCAGCCAAGCAAAGAAATAAAAGTGAAGCTTTAGTTTCCCTCGGGAGGAATCCGAGGCTTGTCAACATTTTTACAACCCCAGTCCCTCCAGCTTAACCACTGTCACCTCTTCGAACCCTTGCTAAATTATACTCTGACATCGTGCCACTTTTACGCACATCAGGACTAGCCGGTAAAGGTTGCAATCATCGAGATTCGCGATTCCTGCATCTCGTTTTGCCATATGGCCATTATTTTGATTAGAAGGGGTAACTAAGATTCGAAGCATTATAATCCTATTGGAATGCAACGTGGGAGTACAGGGTGCTGGTCTTTGAAGAATTAGGTAAGTTCGTGACCCTTGTATTTTATCATAAATCATCGTTGAAATGGTGCCAAGTAGGCATTTACTATGAAGTACTTAGGCATGTCCGTGGGATACTTGAAGAAACAGGATAAGTCCGGTAGCACAGCAGGAAATATATGCCACTGTCACTTGTATGCCGTGCATGTCTTCTAGTCCTAGATGGTGATAGTGGCAGGCATTTGTCACCCGCATGTACTAAATTCTAGGGTACTTACTGTGCTGTCGAAAGTCATCGGCATTTGTAGAAACCAGTACCATGTGGCTATTCCATACTGTCAAGTAGACAATTGTCGTACTATGAATGAAGTATTTGGTCCTAGGTATAGGTATCTGCTTCATTAATAGTATGTTCAATCTTAGCAATCACAATAGACACAATTTCGAATTCTTTTAGTAAGGTTGACAATAAACATTTTATATTGGGACTGCGGCAGCAGCAAGCAGCAGCAAATCCCCCAGCAGATGATTTTGCTGAATATCCTACCAGAACGCCATGCTCATGCAATGCCCTACGGCCCGGCTACCGTGCGTAACCATAGCCAGTTCATCCTCCTCCACATCTACCGTTCTGCAACATCATTAAATCCCGCCTCCCCTTCCTCCGCGGAACCGATTCATTCGTCTTCGTCCCGCTTCCCCGAGTTTCCGCATCTCTATGTCCAATCTGGTCAAACCAAGTTCCACCAGTCGCCTCCAACGAGGAACCAGGTATAGAGAAGCCATGAGTATAAAAGCCATTAAACCAATCACCGAGACCTAACCTGCGTGATATTTCAACGTCTTCTGGCCCTTTTCATTCCCCTCAGGTCCTAACGTTGAAAACGCGCAGTAGTTATCCCGGATGGCTACAACTTCGTATGTGCCTTCCAAGCTTGCCGTAATTACCTTACTATGCTCGTAACTGATGTCATGACGCGTTTCCAAAACCTCACTCTTCTGTCCCTTTCGCGCGTTTGTGCTACGCGTGTATGTAAATTCGAAGGGCGGCGTGCCCCAGAATTCGAATAGAATCTCCACCTCACTTCCTTCGTGGATATCAACCTGAATAACGCGACCCTTGCTGATCTTGACACTCGGCATTGGGTGAATCTTCTTCACCAAGTTGACTGCCGCACGACACTCGCTAGCCTTGTCACTAATTCCGGTGATTGTGAATTCACCAGGAGACTCAGCGATACGACGGAAATTGGTAGTCTGGGATTTGGCCTTCATCTTTTTGCCAGCAAACTCGTACTGTACCTCGAAGGGAGGTGTACCTGAGAGGGTGTACGCAATGCGCTCACCAACACAATAATCCGACCGTGCCTCGAGAGGGTAGATAGAGGGAGCTTCATAGAGCTGCACATAAACCACACCCCCACCACTTTCGGTCGTTTGTTGGCAGCCACGGGCATCGCGCACCTTGCGGATTCTAACTTGCTGACCACCGAGCTTGAGATAATCCCTTGGAACCTGAATAGCGAAATTGTTGGACGGAATATTGGGGATCCTGAAGATATCCGGCAGGTTTCCAGAACGATGCTTAATCTCGAATTCAACGTAGAAAGGCGCCTTTCCTTCTAGTCTGATGGGAATCGATTCGTTCGGGTCACCCTCGTGCATGCACATCTTGAATGTCTGGCCGGGTTTGAGGAAAGAAGCAAACGGTTTAGGATTGACCGTCTGTTCCAATGTAAGAGGCTCGGATTGTCGCTTATCGTTATAGAGATTATCCGAGAGACCGGAAAATGTGTAGGTATATATTCCAGATTTAGTTGTGTCTAGTGGAATAGCTGCTTTCCCGTGAGCAGCATCGAATTCCTTTCGGGCGACCGAGACCGAACCTATCTTTGGTTTATGCTTGACTTCGTATTCGACGTGGTAAGGAGGAGTACCTGTGAAATTGGTGAGTCAGCTTGACAAAAACAAAATATAAATAGAGTAACCTACCTCGAAGAGCGACTTCAATTCCATCACCCTCACCCTCACAAACGTCCCTTCTGACGAATTTATTATCCACGGGCTGTATAGCATCATTTGGCGAAAACGATAGCTCGGGGCGCGGAAACCAGCCTACTTCGAAAGTATTGGCTTGGGCGGTCACAATACCAGGACAATGGTCATCCATCACGTCGATAATTTCGTATACACCTCGGCTCTTCGCTTCAATAAAGTCGTTGTTGGTCCGTGCAATACGAACCAATCTATCAGAGCTTTCATTCAGGTTGCGGTATCCAACCTTCCAAGGGCCATCGCCGACAAGTTTCAATGGAATGTTGGCAGGAGCTGACTCAAGAACCGTTGTCTTTCTCTTACCATCGACGAGACCAAACGCGGCACGTGGTCGTTGACGACGTACAGAAATCTTGGCCTCTTCCTTAAGGAACATACGACATCCACTCTTATCTTGGACACTCTTTAGAGAAAGAGTGTATTCACCACCAGTCGACAAGGGTAAGGTCTCAATAGTGAAGGAACCACTAGTGATGTTAGTCGCTTTCTCTGATTTCCTCTTGAATTCGTGAATGAGCTCCCATTCTAGTGTGTAAGGAGCTTCTCCAATGAGATTCACGTCGAGTTTCACAGGTTGATCAAGACAGGCGTTGATGTTACGAGATTCCCGACCAAAGTAAGCTTGCGCGGGCGGCTTCACGTTCTGCTCCAGATAATATTGGTCTGTTAAAGGTAAGGGGACACTGTAAATAGCATCTTCGAGTCTCCTGAACCGATACTGGTATCGACCAGCACTTCTTGGAAGCAAGTCGATTTGCTGTCGCAGGCCTTTGATCTCAACTGTCTCTCTCCTATTCTGCTCGGTCTCGCTGGTGACGGAATAAACAAGTCTGAATGGAGGAGTACCAATCATATCTAGATTAACTCGGAGACCAACAGAGCTGCCAGCGCATTTGTCCGGGATTTCCTCGGATTGAAGAGTCAATCTAGGCTCGGGAGGATTAATGAGCAGGCACGATGACGGTTCCTCGATCTCTCCTTCACACGAATCGTAAGACACGGATTTCAGAGTATATAAACCCGCTGCCGTAATCGAAGGTTGGTCGGTGATGTTCTTGGTAGTAAAGGAGCCCACTTCGATAACGTCGCTATGATCTCCATCCTTACCAAGGGTTTCAGCTGGTGTGAAGTGCCAAGTTAGAGTATGAGGTAGACTTTCTGGTTGACCTGGACGCGAAATCTTGAGAGGAAGTTTCGTTGACTGCCCCTTCGCCACCCTGAGAGGGTGGGACCCATCGCAACCTACAATAGTGGCTCTAGGACGTCCCCTAACGACAAAATTCTCATATAGGTGTCTGGGTTTGGGTTTCGCATCGGGGTCCTCAGGTTGGGGATATGAGATGACGTTGCCGAAAACATCTGAAACCTCGTCGATAGAGTATTGCCACTCGCCCGCCGAATTCATTGATTCGTTTAGGCCCACCTCAACCGTCTGCGCTCTAGCCCAACTATAGTCTTCCTCGCCCGGGGGCATCAAAGTTGTACGTCGAGGACCAAGCAAGGGAGACGAGTACCCTTCAGGTTGTAAACTCTGGAAATGGAAGCTGTGGTCTTTTCCATTGATTGTTCGGCTGTAGACTATTTTCAGGGGAGGTGTTCCGTAAACATCCATAGCCAAGTTGGAGAGATCACTAAGACATCTCTTTGACGATTGGGCTGTACGAACCCGGGCTCTGGGGCAAGGAACAATGTAAGTAGGGTCATTAAGCCGTTGAACCTCGAGCTTGTATTCGTCGAGAACTTTGTGTAGTTGATAGGCGCCGGGCTTCTTGAGGACAATATCGTATCTGTAAAGACCCAGAACCCCATCCTCATCGGTAGCTCTTATCGAGTGTCTAGCGATGTCCTTAAGTTCTTTGCGACTTAGCCTCACAATATCCCGAGCATCGGATTCGAGATCAAATCGTGTAAGTTCGACTTCGACAGGAACTGTGGCGTTAAAGTAGACGGGGACGGTCACGGATTGAACTCCCTGGCCGAGACAGTAGGGATGTTTTTCGGGGTTGAGTAGAGCGGAGCTAGCACAATATTAGTGATGGTCGATTATGAGAAAATTGCTACCGAGGACATACCCTTCAGGAAGAATATTGATAATCTGCTTGCCCATGATAAGAGAAGAGTTATGCAAGATACTGGAGACCTTAACATTGTGTTCTGATATGGCAAGTTCCTTATCGTAGAATATCTTAACTAGGCCTAGGAGCCATCCTTGGAATGGAAGTGGGACATTGAACATCAACAACCAATTGAGTATTAGATGCACAAAGTATATTGACGAGACGGTCGGTGCGGGTAGTTCCAGCCAAGGTATTCGTAACGAAGGCAAGGAGAAGAAAAAGGCGAAGTCGATGAGGATCCATTTACAGAAGAAATAAAAAGATCCGCTATCTTCTTCGAGTACGTGTACCCAATCGTAGAACCGCCATCCCAACAATCCTATGTAGAAAGCAGCGGCATAAAAACGTTGGCTCGCAGCGTCGACGAGGGTTAAAGGTATGACGGGGTTGCCGACCGGCGCAGGATTCGGTGCGTGTTCGGGGGCATCTGGTAACGGACCGCCTTGGAGGGGATTCTGTGGCTGTTGATTTTGGGGTTGACGATGCTGTGGTCCGCCACCAAAACCTCCAGCTGGAAAGGCTCCAACATTTACTTGAGGGGTGCCTGGATCCATCGCATTATGTGATGATATTTATGAGGATGACGACGACGAATTATTGGGCGTTTGTGAATTTCGTCGGGCTTGTGGAATGTCGCCGTCGTCGCGAACTAAATTTAATGGTCAGAAGAATTGTTTGTTAAAAATTGGATCATTTCTTATTGAGTCGGCGGAAAAGAAAAACATTAAAAATTTAAGTTATTGGATGGAGTGGGAGTGAATTACCTGCCCGAGCTTGTAAGGTGGATTTTCTGTGTGTGTGGTCACTGGTCAGAGACTTTGAAATGGACGGTAATAATAAATAAAAAATCCAAGCAGGCAAACGGAAGCATCGATCACACCTCAAGACGCGCCGCGTCAAAGAAACTTTCTTAATTTCTGAATGGGAAGGATGTTAGCTGTCCATACCGTCACACGCGGCTGCTGCCAGCTGTCTAATCCTCTTGGCACCTTAATTTTTAACCTTACTCATTGGCAAAGCTGTTTGAATAAGGACCGGATTGGGGAGCTATGACTTACAACTTATGGGACTATAGTGGGGTACTTGCAGATTTAAGCTTGAAGCTACAACCCTGTAACCGCCAACTTGGTTGCTGATTGGAGGTGACAGGTACATACTCCATATCTACATGTACATATGTAGGTAGGATACATAATTCTCATCCATCTTCTTACACCTTCAACTTCGACATAAATATAAATACATACGTCAAGCACGTCCGTCCAACCCATTTCTGTAATCTTCATTGCATGTACAAAAATCGCAAACGGTTTAGAAACTCACCTAAAACATATCTTCACCCCCTTTTTATCCTCATTTGTATTTACTCGTGCTGAATGGTCGGCATTATTAAACTACCCAGATCAATTGAATGACATAATCTTGCCTAGCAGTTGGAAATTGTCCTGTTACATCAGTTTTGTTCCGTCTATTTCATCACATCACAAGTCGCTTAGAGACGCCTGGTCATTGTCCTTTTCTTCATATTCTAAACGAAACTCGCCGACCTCCAAAGAATAAGGGTGCAATCCCTTTCATGGAAATGATATAGAGCGGTCTCAAGACTGACATGTATGGAATATGTCTTATAGGTGAACTATCACGGGACAGAAATGGGAAGAGGTAAAGAGTACATACAGCATTGGAACATTTACTCGGGTATGAAGGTGTGTGTAACTATTATTATATTCGTCTTTGTACGCACCAAAATTTCCAGTCTTCTAATTTGTTCATTAAAGAAGTCAAATGAAATAAGACCTGATTGACGACATCGCTATTAAATGTTTCCTCTTCTCTTTATCTTAAACCTTTCTCTTCTCCTATAACCTTTGGTTTTTATCGGGAGAACTACAGCGGGTGAGTTTATAAAATTACTCAAACCAATGTGCTTGGATTCAGAAATTAACTGCCTATAGGGTTGCACAAGGAAGGGCTGCATACACGTGGTTGCAAGTGTTCCTTTACGGTACTAGTACCTACCTAAGGTATAGGGGGTCCGGATTCCTAACATCACATTTTGAACCCTACCTGGGTAAACAACCTTGGAAATAACCGTCGTACCTTCTATCTTCTTTGAAACAACCCGTCGTGACTTACCTCCGGCGTTCAGTGGATTAGCTCTTTCGTTGCTTCCTTATGACCCAAACCATCCAACCTAGGAAATACGTCGGTCGCAACCGACTCGGAGACCAACCCACTCCATCCCTCATTTGGCACCTACCAATCTTCGCCGCTTCCAACTTTCCGGGTACCAACCATGATGAAAAAACCAGAGTTCATGATAGGAAGAACAAGGAAACGCGACAACAATTTCACTATGGATAATGAGCCCACCATGGAAAATGAGACTTCCGGCGAAATAGCTGGCGAACCACCCGACAAGGGAACTCGCCCAAAGCGCAAAGCCGCTCAGGTGGCTAAAGAAATTATCGACGAAGATGATACCAGCGCACTTCTAGACAATGTATTGAGTGCGATGTCCGAAGATGAGCATGATGAGTATCTGGGCTGGGTCGAACTTGAATCTGAGCCGGTAAGATCAACTACATATATTGCGCATAATTATTCTGAGATCCCGCTGATTCATCATATAGGCCTTCTTTAATGCCATGCTACTCGCGCTCGGAACCGTGAGTTTCAAGGTACAAGAAGTCTATAGCTTAGATACTGAAAGCTTGAAATCCTTATCGTAAGATCACTAATCGCTATTTTCATGCATTGCGACTAACAATACCCAGACACCCGGTACATGGATTTATTTTCTGCTTCGAATACGAGGGAGATAGCGAACCAAGTCATGAGAAAGAACGTCAAGACTGTCCGCCTGGACTTTGGTTTGCCAATCAGGTATGCGATTTTCCACAAATTTCAAGATGCATGTTAGCTGATAGACAAATAGACAGCCGGCAATGCCTGTGCTACTGTCGCATTGACGAATATCATCATGAATGCCAAAGACGTTAATCTCGGCGGCGATCTCCAAGGTTTTCGAGAAGAGACATCATTATTGCCGCCTCCCCACCGAGGTCGCGTCTTGGATGAAGACGATTTCATTCGTAGTGTTCATAACTCCGTAGCGAGGTATGTTTAACCCACTCATAACCAGATAGGCCCGACTAACATAAACCAGGCGTATCGACCTTCTTGCCGAAGATCTAGTACTCGACAATAAGTATGAAGAGTCGCTTAAGAAGAAACGACCACGAGGGAAATCCTCCTCATCCTCTTCTTCTCGCCAATCCCGCAAGAAGCGTAATATCGAAACGAATTATCACTACATCGCCTACGTACCCGTAAACGGCCAAGTATGGGAATTAGATGGCTTTCAAGTGAAGCCTCTTTGCCTTGGTATGCCTACCACCGTTCCCAATAACAATTTGTATTTCTAACGTGTCTTCGAAATAGGGCCTGTCGGGGATTCATGGCTCGAGAAAGCAAGTGCAGCAATCCAAGAACGCATGCTACGCAACGAATTCGCCCCATTCAGTCTCCTAGCTATCAGCAACTCACCCCTCCTCACTCTATCCCGTAAACTCTCCATAAGCCTAGCCTGCTCCCACACCCTCCACGAACTCTTCAGCAAAGACCCCGCATGGGTATACCCGGATCCCTTTGAGACCTACAACGATGAACGTCTCGATCGATTATTCATAGAGCGCGACCAAATCGTAAGTCTCGAGCCTGATGATTTCAAGGTTATAGTAAGCCAGCCGGGTTTTACGGTCTACAAGGCTCTTAAGTACGCGAGAAGCCTACAGGAGGAACAAGAGGTTTTCGATGCGAAATATGCTGTCGAGCTGGCGGCGGCGGAAGACGCGTTGGAGACTATACGTGGACGGCAGCGCGATTATACGCCTGCTATACATGAGTGGGTGAAAGTATTAGCAGAGAAAGGTGTGTTAAGGGAGTTGATCCTCGAGATGGATGGATCATGATGATTTTTCGAAGGATGTTATGCGATGATTTACGTCTAGGGGATATGTGTTGAAAGAGTTGAGGAGGCATTCGACACCATTGCGACATAGCCATACAATTGCGCCTCGCGGTGCGTATCATGTGGAAGGACGGCAGGCCCCTCGACCATTGATAGGGATCACCGGCAAATAACCCGGATTATCTAGAGTTGATTTACACCAGATAGACAAAAGTGATGCATTAATGAAAAATGAAAAGTGGATACCAAATAGTCTCATGGTCTCATGTATACCACTTTTCGCGAATAATCCTTCTTTCACCTTCCCGTCTACGCATGTGATCCATTGAATAGCAAAGTGTCATACTCCAAACATTGAATAAGAGCTGGGTAATTTCATTCCCCGTGTATGCTATATGAATCACCAACGATCCTATGTTATGCTATGCTCATATACTGAATTCAACCACAAGTGCTCCCCAAACCCATCATCTCATTTCATCGCTGGTGTATTCTGTTTCTCTAACGCTGTTTTTCGTTGCCTTTTCTATGACTATCCGCCTGGAAGACACGTATATCCACCCACTCACCAACCCACCTCAGAATAGAAATCACCACACCCGCTGCATGCAAAACTCATTACTAAGAACATAAAACATAACCAGATCTAACATCTGCACCCTCGTGTCCCTTTCTTACCCCATGCTTCCCTGCCGTTCAGTAGATATAACAGAGCAGACTAGGGCTTGGGAACATGCAAACTCTTACTGCACATCAGACACCCATGCACAAGGAACAAACCCACGATCGGATGTACCTCCAGCGCCGAACCCGCAAACCACACACCACCGGGTACCTGATCCAAAACCCAACCGCGGCTTACCCACCAAGCCATCAGCGCATCGATGCCGAGGGTCGTGGGAATGGGCGTGCCTTCAAAGTACGCGGCTTTGCCGGCTGCGTCCTTGGGTACGGCGCCGCTTGACGCGGTGACGTTGAACCGCGCTAGGCGGGTTAGACCGCAGAGCACAAAGACGGCGAGGAGGATGTGGTCGAGGGTTGTACGGAGGCCGATGCTGAAGGCTACGCAGGCGGGGGCGAGACCAAAGGAGATCTGGAAGAGAAACATGAGTTAGTTAAGGGAACGGGGTTATGGTGAGGGTGTCGAACGCATGGATGAAGGAGGGGAAATAGGCGGACGTACCAAGTCAGCTAATGAATCTAGTTCTTGTCCCATCATACTGCTCTTCTTGCGCCACCTCGCGACGCGACCGTCCATGAAGTCGAAGAATAGACCAAAAGGTAGGAAAGCTAGGGCCAGGTAGAGGTTGTTCTTGTCTGCGGGGTCGCCAAGGCAGTACCGTAACGATGAGAAGACGGACATGATGCCGCAGAAGCCTGTATAGAAGGTGGCTTATTAGCTATGTCTGGTTCCCTAATGCGGAATATCTTTGAATTGCATGTAGAAAGATGTTGAGGGTGACAAGTACCGTTCAATTCAGTAATATAATCCGCCATATGTAACGCCTTGAGCAGCGAAAAGTGTCCCGTGGACGAAGAGAGGAGGTCCTTCTGCTTGTTGTATGCTATACACGGGAATAACATTGTTAGTATATCATCACAATCCTAAGCTTATTCCAATCTTAAAATAGGCAATCCGGAGGACATACAAGGCTCTTCAGTAACACCTGTCTTCGGCGCAGAGCCATTGCTGGCGCTGTTGGTTCGTTTCGACATGATTTCTGTTTTCTTTCTGGTTTTCCACTTGCTCACTTCTCTTTTTCGCTAGACCGCTCAACTAGATTATAATCGTTCGCTCGATCCCGTAACTTTCGTATAAGCTCGATAAAGCAATGTCTTTTTTACTCGTAATACTGAGTCCCCTCACGATACCGAGTTTCTTTTTGTCTTTCGCCAAGTGTTTCGTTTCGTGGGGTGGGATAGTAGATCGTCGTAGTTGTCGTCACCGACTAGGTAGGTAGGTACTTCCAAATGCTGTGTACCTTTAGAAATAGCTCCGAGTCGTACAAACTATTTCCAATCTTCTTTCTTTTTATTACTTCCCGTTTTATTATCTTGTCGCTGGTAAATATCGACAATCGGAAGTAGTAGAAGAAAAGTAATAAATCGAAATCAAGGTTAGCAAAAATAATAAGAAACCTTGGCGAGAAAAGAGGCAAGGCAAAAAAAGTTAAAGCCAAAAAATAACAGCTTTTTAGCTAGAACCCGTTTTTCGCTCTCGGGTAGGCGCAGCAGCGCAGCAACCCATCAGTGATGCCGTCATTTGGACACGTCCCAGGGTCCGCTAGGCCGCAAGGGGACAAGCGCGGGGGAGGCGTAAGTCATTCAGCCAGCCAGATTCAAGCTTTCTAGGCCTTTGTATCATCGTACTAACGGTCCGCCTGCCGGTACATGCTACCTGACCTGCTTACGTATCTCCGATTTGGAGTTGTGATACTCAAACCTCACCACCATAAACTTTTACTTATAATCACCATCACCCAGGCTAAAAAGAATAATATGAAGAAGAAAATAAAATAAAAATTAAAGTAAAATAAAACGTACAACACCGAGGATTCCCTAGTCGTCACCGACCTAGGTACTAATTCGGCGGTATTTGGCTTGTCTATGGGAGAGCGGACGGGATCCCGAATTTTCCAAATCCTGTGGTCGTACGTGCTAATTCAACGCATTGTTTTTACTTATATATCAATAATTGGGTGCTTGGGCTCGCGAATAGGAAAAATTGGGTTATTCGTCCGAGAGTATGACGACTACGGAGTATGGTTGTGGACGAGAATTTCCGAAGACAACGAACAACAAATTAGCAACACACATTTACATCAACCATTCACATCGCACCACGACAAAGCCTTTCGAATGGGCCCTCTCTTTCTCGCAGAGATCAGATTATTAGTCCCGGTATGTTGCTAACTACCTATGTACAGTGATTTTGGGTAGCAACACCACCGTCTCGTCTCCATCCATTCCTCAATTCTCTAGCCATTGCGTTCAACTGATTAAAGTCGGCATTGGCGAAAAACAATTATTACTTCACGAGATGACGTCTCCCGCCCCCCTCTCTTCTCTGTCTGTCGTATGCGTGCACACCTCGAATTGACTGTCCAAGTGGCCACTCGGACTGTAGTCCCTACAATCAACCGTTTCCCACGCACAAGAATGATACCGGACAACCAGTCCGTCATGATATGCTCACCAAAAGACCTGATGTTCCTTTCCTTGGACCTTTCCCTATGGTCCGGTAATTACGTATGCTAGATGAGAAGTGAAGAAAACCGAGAAGAAAAAAAAGCCCTTCCAAGTTGCGAATCCAGTGTATGCCGGGGATATGATGCCGTAAGAAAGTGAATATGCAGATGCCAGAATCCTGTACAACCAATTGGGAAAAAAAGCGGTTGTAATCCCTCACTAGAATGAAAACACGACTCCTTTCGTGCCGACGCCTTCTAATGCTCATTTGGAGTTTATACCAAATATCTCATTTACCGAGCGATGATAACGGCAAAGCCGTCAACCCAAGCAGCGCATGATCCAGAAACGCCACAAACCGTGTAACCGCGGGGAGGGAGAAGCGTGTGACTGGGGACAATTGTTAGTGACATCGGACGGAGTTTTAATAGGGGAAGTAACATACGGAGAACCACCATGCGGGTTACCATAAATGGGCGATTTTCTTCCGAGACTCGTCAAAACCTGAATAGCATCTACCCACAACCCTGATCGCACAAAAAAGCCGGTTATATACTCGCCACGGCGGATATCTAGAAAAATTAGTAACAATAGCAGCAGTGGGGAGTTATCACAACTTACCCATTTCAAATGTATCACCGCCAGGTTTACCCCCACGTTTTCCAAACAACTGGCTGGAACCGTCATCGTAGAAGAATTCTAATCCATCCAAGGCAAACCCATGGTAAAATACAACACGAGATAGAACTCGATTTTTCTGGGTAGTGCTCGTAAAAACGAATTCCTGCGGCTCACTGCCTTCCATTTGCGAGAACCCTAGTTTATCACTCCGGTATGCTGATTTGCCGAAAGACAACTTCAACGAAGACGCTTTCGAGCACAAGCTATGGAAATCGTTGATATCGAGGTTTCCACCGCCGTGGGTTTTAATGCAGACCTTTATTTTCGATTTCCGCTTGTCTTCTGGGAGTCTATCTCGCAACTCCTGCTCGGTGAGTGTAAGGGTTCGCTGCACGGGACCGTTCTCCAACGGGTACTCGATCCACGTATGACAAAGATCGTCGCCTTCCGGATAGATCTCTATAAATGAAACTCCGGTGGCTGCCGTAATCTGCACATGTCCATTTTCAACTGGCCAAGCTTGAACACTTGCGTCGGGGTTCAGGACCGGATCGTTAGGCAGTCTAAAACAGGGGTGGCTTCGGAATCGCAGGCAATCAAGACGGTGCCAAGTACACTCATCGGCTTGGGACACAGGGCCTCCTTTCGATTTCGTCCGTGTAGAGTAAGACTCGTGGGCAACAAATGTACGATTTAATCTGACGTAGTCCCGAAGCATGACCCCATTCTCTTGATGTGGACATCCGAGAAGGTGACCAGTTTCATGGAGATGCGCACCAATACCAATATTGGCAGCTTCCCATGAACTTCCAGATTCATTGCAATCATTCGCCACGAAGTTGGTGTCTGTAGGCGTGCAGTCGTTGAACGCTGGTACAACCTCCTCGAAGCTCGTGGGATAACTCTGCATACAATGCGATCCAAAAATAGCCATATGTAAATCGCCAGAATTACCTCCTAGGGCCGCGTGTGCTGTGATTGTCTTCGCTGTTGTATCCCAGTGCGCGTCTAAGAGTAAGACTGAAACGTATTGCGTTTGCCCTGGAAGTGGTTTAAAATAATTCTTGAGCGCATCGGCGGCAATTCCGTATAAATCGCCCTTCTTTGTTGCCTTGGGATTTTGTTGCGCAATTTCAAGGTCCCTGATCTCGGCTAAAGTCTTGTCTGATCGGATGACATGGATACGCGCCTCTGACCGCATTATACCCATCTCCCTATCTCTAAGGTTGCAGGTACCAGTAGTCCATTCCTCTTCGAATCTAAACACTCTTCTCCCAAGCTTATTTCTCCACATCTGTTCAGCGGTGAATGCTTGCCAGAGATAAGCAGCCATTCGAAACTTGCGGACGGCCGTTTCAAGACCATTTCCTTCCCTCTCAACTCGGGCAGGAACCGCATCGAATGTACCAGGAGAATCTTTCGCTAAAAGGATGGCGAGTTGTAGTGGCGGCGCATTGATCGGAGGAACCATGTGCACCGTGATATAGGACGAGTGGATCGGGTTCGAAGAGCCGCTGTTGGCAAGCTTTGGGCTCGCAAAGTCGAATCGTAATCTATTCGCACCGGGCATAAGGTACACCAAAGCCTTGAACTGCGATTCGCTTACGGGCCATTGCGTAGGTGGGAATCCATCGTCCAGTCTGCAAACTGTGACGTTTCCCTCTAACGATCGCTGACCAAGTTCTCCAATTGTACCATTAACTAGGAGTATCTTTTGCGAGACCTGCCGAGGAATCAGTAAGCAGATTTTACAAAAAACAAAAAGCACCTAGACGCTTTTGTCCATGCTCTTGGCGCATATGTCGCAAAATGTCTTGATAGGAAATTCCACCATACCCAAGTATTTTCTCCAAGGTTAGAAATTCGAGGAGCATATTGCGACACAGGCAACGAAGATTTGCCGTTTAGCATAGGCGATCCTAGCCCAGCCATTCCCGATACACTATACCGGTTGTTATTGGGCTGGGGAGGTGGCCTGTTACCGGGCACAGGAGGAGGTTGCGGCTGGTCTTTAACTTGAGTACTTAATCCCGGATCGGATTGGGCTGTTATAGAAGGAGGCGTGATCGATCCATTGGTGGGAGTGGTATGTTGACTATGGTGGTCATCATAACTTGAGGTATCGGTAGAGCGATCGGTACGGATACTAGCTCGTGATCTTCTTCGAAACTCTTTAAAGTTGAGGAATGAAGGTGCCATGGCGGCTGGACCTTAATGGGGGTTGGCTGGTCTTTGAAGGCGATCAAAAGAAAGACAATTGGTCTCAGTTTACACTTGGCTATTGGAAGTTTTGTTTTCCTTCTCGTGTCTGGCAACCGAAATTACTACGTAGCGTTGTCTTTTTCGGAGCTATTTCAGGAACGGGAAGCAAACAGCCACTTGCTAGTTCTGACTAACGTGGCTAGTGAGCTTCCCTAAAGCGAACGGATCTATTAATCAAGTGGGTTACTGAAGTAGAAGGGGAAAAAAACAATCTTGGCTTGTTATATGTTCACTTTAGGGGTTAAAGAAGCGAATGTAGCGACGAAAGTTGCGTGGTTAGGGGAAAAGATAGAACGAGAGTGTGTGGAGGGTGGATAGACAATCAACGAGCGACTGGTGGAAGAAGCATGTGAGGTATGTAGATTGGTTATCAAAGAGGTTACATTGGCCGTACAGTTGTTATCGGGGACTCAGGTAGGTACTTTCTGCGTGGCTGGATATGTATCGAATTGGAAATTGAAAAAAAGTGATTGTGTGTCTGTGTCCTCTACCAACGGAACTGAAGAGAATTAGTTGTCCTGGTCGGATGTAGGGCCGATTATTGTTGGATCAGTCGTATCTTAGAGGGAATAAGAAACAAGTCCAAGCAGGCTGTGGTACAAGTTAAAAAGTAGTCAGCCAAAGTTGGATATTGGATAGGTAGAGAGACGATCAGAAAGGTTGAAAAGTTCCAGTTGTAGATTAGAATGTGGATTGACATTTGACTGCGGGCGGGAGATGTTGACGAATTGGCGAATGATGATGACGTCGCGGCTGATAAGTGGGTAGCCTAATAATGATTTAAAGTGGGTTATGAAACTAGTGGGATTCTTTGGCTCCTTGAAATTGCATCCCACTAATCTGATTCGGGGAAAGCCGCTTGATCGTTTTGGCAGTTGAAAACTTGGATACGAGAAGTTACCAGGCAAGGGCCGGCGAGGCTCACCCGTTTATGTACCTAACCATGTACCTCGAGTACATTTTCTACATATCTTCATACCCAAGAAGGATGAACTTGACATGAAAATAAACACGTAACGTACCTGATTTTCTATGTGTGTTTGACTATACAGAATGTGTACACCTATGAATTAAGTCTAGAATAATTCATAGGTGATTATCTCTCAATGTTGAAAAAAGAAAAGAAAATTAAGAGGCTTCGGAAGCTGACGGATCGTGCAACCGGCAGACATAGGCAGGTGATACAGTAATATATTGGTGACGAACGAAAACTTGTACTTGGAGATCCGGATCAAGGTTGCATTGCTGTTACTGGGTCCTGCAAGGATCTCGATATGTTCTCTGCTGTTATAATTAGGTGGCAGGGTGATAGAGATTCGGGATAGTAGATCATAAATAAGTTATAGATAAAGATGAAGAACACTCTAGGATATTAATAAGAACAAAGAGTCCGACTACTTATTCATAGTGCCATTGATGTTTGTCGGAATATCACAGATCTCATTATTGAAACGAGAGCTACGGCTGCTGGAATAATCGTGCTTTGGTGTACAAAATGATGTGTTGTGTATCGTAGCCCTGGCTAACACGGCAGCACGGTCGGAATATGCAGCCAACCGGTGATAGCGCCGTATCAACGTACTACAGCTGCAAAGATGCAGATCATGTAAAGTACCACATGAAGTAGCTACAAAGGTCTGAGCGGATATCTGAGTTGGTGTAATCAAAGCCAGCGCTACTTAGGTATTTAGTGCCAGCTGTCATTCGCAAACTTCTTCACAATTTCACAATGGTTCATTTATTACTTCCATGTTATCGCACCTGAAATATCAGGCGATGAAAAATTGAGTATAGATCGATCGACAACGAGGATGGAATGATAGGAGAGGCATCGTGAAAATGGAAATTGGTAATGGGGAAAGCTGCAGGAAAGCAAAGTCGAATGGCTTTGTGGGTTTTGTTCGGAAAGGGGAAGTCTTCATTAAAGACAGACGTTTACCGATCATATGCACGATACAGGTCATCCTTTCCTCCCAACGTCGGTTCTTATATAGATTAAGGTATTTAAGTTTTCGGAATCGATTGATGCTTTGAAGTTTCTGCGAATGCAATGCAAAACCGGCCCGGTCCGATGTCCAACTCAATTGCACAAAACAACCCTTTAACGTTCGGTCGTAAGCTGTCTCACATTTCTAAGTTTACTTGGTTTAATAGGAGGCTGACTTTTCGATATCCGGGGCCACCACCATTATTATAGGGGTGAACACCAAAACATCGGACTTCCTATTAAACGCTCGGATATGATCCACTAGATATTATGTGCCATGGATGGATGGAATATCTACCTAGGTATATCTCGCTCAAGATCAACATTGCATATCCGAACCGTATAGCGGATGAGCATGTCGGCCTAACAATACACATATTCAATTAATTAGTCGATTTGGGGGTAGATGTCGGTCGACTAACAAAATCTCGTATTCATCGTCTTGCGACCCTGTCTACCAAACCTTTTGCTATATTATATGAACATTGCCATAGTATAATACGAGGTTGCAGCATGAAGATTTATAGTCCATTCCCACCAAAAACCTCGAAACATTTCAAAAACTCCTCGCTAAAGCGAATCGCCTAGCGATCGGGTACGGACGGGATGAACGCCATGCGGGGTGTGCATTTGATTGCGCGTCCCTTAAAAGGCACATTTAGTGTATCACCATTGGTAAGGTTAGGGGATATCTGAGTGACATGATCATGTTCTTTGTCCTTTAAGGAGGAGAAAAAAGAGGCATCATGTAACGAGCGCATGAAAAAGTCAAGAAATCTATTCCATTCTAAACTTTGTTTGCTTTAAAGTGCTTGCAGCAAAATGCGGGTTCGGCACGTTTTTTATGGCCCTTAGCCTTACTTTCTGGTCGGACATGGGTTTAAATTGGCTACCCTTTTAGGATGTGAGGTTACAGACCATCGAGCTCGCCATCACCATCCCTTGCTTCTGACGGAACAATGATAAAAAGTTGATCATAAAACTCCGAAATTTTCTACGAAACTTGATTTTTCTTTGGTAACGTGAAATGTCACTTTATATTTTGCATCTTATAGTTTGACAAGAGATTTAGGAGAGCGTTTATACCGGCTTATCGCTTTGCCCCTAATCTCGAGGTGGCACAGTTAGGTCAAAATTAACATTCGAGCTGATGAGACATAATTTAGTCCGATTCAGATCACTGTTGAGAAAGAAACGTATGAAACTACGAAGGCAGGGTGGTAGATCGCACCATATCGAGCCTATTCATGTCTTGTTGCTAGTGTTTAAAGCAACTTGTTCGCCGACTATGCGTATAGGGGTGTTGATAAGCAATGCAATGTCTGGAAGATGTTACCATATTTGTCTTCCCCCTGGATTATAATTTTTTTTTTTTGCCTCATTCGAATATGCCACCTAGGTATATGGCCGACAAAATGCTCCTCCTATATCTCATTTATCGTCAAACATCCTTATTGTCTTTTCGAGGGTTACCGGCCTGCCGGTCTGAAACTAATTCAAGACCACGCCACATATTCTGTTAGAGGTGACTTACGATGCTAAGCAGACCAGTAAAACTTGGTTATATCTTTCAGCGCAAACGCCAACCTATAAAATCATGTTATAGAATATCTTGCTCGCAGGAAAGTCCTGCAGCCTACCGGGCTATCTGGAAAACAATTGGTGAAAGAAATGCACCCTAGCCGCTTACCACGAATTGTATTGGCTAGTAGTATCTAACCGGCAAATTAGTGGACGCATTTGTGTAGCAACCCCCCTGAAGATGCTGCATACCGTGCTGTGGGCGTTGCAATCCGGCCCTATGAGATCTCTCTAATAGGTACAATATAGCCCTAGAAGGCATGTGGGTAGGTAAAGTCTGCGCTGAAGTTAGGACTAATAGGTACCTACTCCTAGGTACATGCGGAGTAATCATTTTAGTCATTTTTAGTGGCCTGCTCACCTGGCGTTGCTGGGAATTTTAATGTTCAAGGGAAGCTGAGCTCGGGCTTAAAACATCAATTTTATTGCATCACTCCCGGTTTCCATGGAGAGGAATGCAAAAGAAGTTTAACCCTGACCAGGTTAGCCTGGCAAGGTAGAAGTACCATAGCACGGAATTTATTACCATTCATTACATTTCATTACCCAGTCACTTTCGTTTTTTTAGTTTTGTTAGCGCAGCACTATTTTTCCTTATGGGAATCCAGGCAGCCCAGGCAAGATACTATCTCCGCCAACTAATCAACTTTTTTCCCTACCTATTTTCCCACCACCACCTCACCGTCGTCGTTCATTAATCATACTATCTACCCGACCAATGCTGTCTACTCTCTCTACTTGTTATACAACTCGCTCCTTTCCATAGTAACCGATTTCGAGTCAATTCTATAATAATACGAAACGGTATCTTAATACCTAATTCCGTCCATCATTCCATCCTTTCGTTACCTATCATATCCCTCGATCCCTCCGAGCAACCATACCACACCCCCCTTCGCTTACACCAGCAAGCGCCCGGCCAACAAACCGACCCAATCACTAGTACCCCGGCAATATTTTTCTAAAAAATCACTCGACGAACGTCACTTCCGACTAAGTGAAGCAAATCCAAGCACAACAAATCTTTGGCCTCTGGTCCAAGCAAAACAACATGTCGTCGCCATTGAAGAAACAGCCTGAGGCTGTTGCAGATAAAGTGCTCAAACGAGTGGAAGTTAGCAAGGTATGATATACACTTACTCTACCCACCGGACCAACGAGGGGATATCAAACTGATTGACACGTTTTCACAATGCTAGATTGCCCGAAAGTTACAAGGTCGGTTGGCTCTGGCATCGTTCAAAACCAAGCATGGGTGGGAAGACTTGACACTCGATAAGATTGAGCCCAAGTATGAGGAGGAGATCCGAAGAAAACGCCTCGTCGACGGCGATGTCCTATCCGACTCTTCCTCCAGCACATCCGAATTACCGTATCCCAGTAGTAGAACACTTATGAGCTCCCCGCTCAAAGCCCCTCTCTTTTCAGATGCCATCGGATCCAGCAATGGCAGTACCGGTCATCGCAAGCGCACATATAACATGGCACAGTTCGAAATGAGCATGTCTAGTCCTACTAAGCGATTTCGTACCACGCCTGCCGCACATAAATCCATGAACAATGGTCATAATTCCTGGAGAGCACATCGCCAACTGACACAATCTTCTCCTATTAAGCCACGAAGGCAACCACACTTTACTACTTCTACTGGACCCGATATTTCCTTTTTCCAAAGTTCACATCACCCTTCCGTGGACTTTACATCACAAAACTTCGCGGCGCATTCGGATGATGACGATGACCTCTTACCTTTACATTCCTTTGCGGTTCACCATGATCACTCATCACCGCCTCGAACACCGCCTATGCGCAGTAGAGCACTAAATCGGCGAGGTAAAGGTGCCGAGGATGGGCAAAAGACTGGCGAAGAAGGCGCAGATTTGTTGCTTTATCTAGCAACGTCTCCCTCCCCCGCCGTACATTCTACAAAGACCCGAATGGAACCCCCATCTACACCACCTCCGAAGAAGGATCTTGCGCTGCCGTCGTCGATGATGACAACGCCTGGTGGAGGTAATCTTTTCCCAACAACACCAAGTCAGCCTTTCGATATATCGGACTTCGTCAATATCACACCCAGCCCGGCGCAAAAGCCATGGAAGACACCGCTGTCGCTTAGAACTCCAACAGCGAAGACCCCCTTGAGTGGAGCAAGACGTCGGTTAACGTTTGACGAACCTATACCGGGGCTACCCTGAGCTCGGCAGGTCCGAACACTACGGTGACAACTATCTTTCTTACTCTCATTACTTCCCCCTTTGGACACTACGTCCCAACTATGACTTATTCTTCGATCCCTACTGTGCTTACCTACGCACATACGACATACCCGGCTCTCGCCATGATTTTTAACTACTATACTTTTATTGGAACGGAATGGATGGATGGATTGACGGAATGAACCAAACCTACCGGTCGACTTGATTTGACTCGGCCCCTTACGTTTGTACAACACAGACGACACGGACACGGAACTCTTGTGTTTTGACTTTGACTCTCTTTGTTTGTTTGTTTTTATATTGTTTTTACACCGTCGAGTCGAGGCGAGGTCAGCAACGCGGAATACTTTTTTTGCACGGCGTTTTCTACTGGTCACGGCATTACACCACATCAACTTTGTTTTTTTGCCCTTGTTTGTTTTTTCAGGACATGTTATATGATACGGACACACACTTCGCTTCGAGAATCATATGCTTATTCGCCCACGCTGCGTTTATGCTTTTTTGTTGTTGTTAGTGTTGTTGTGAGATGGAGGTGTTGCTTGCATTGCATTAGCATAGCATGGCCTTGCGGTGAGGAATTGGTTGTAGCCTAGGGAAGGGTGGATGTAGGGAGGGAGGGCATGATAGGTGGATGTGGATGAGCTATATCATCCGTAGGAGGGAGGAAAGCATGTGGCTTCCATAGCTTTCACCGAACTCTTACACGAAATAAACAAATCATCATGGATTCTTCTTATGTCTTCCTGCTTGTGATCTGCGTAAATAAACACCATTGCCCAATATCTGTTCGTCAGTCTTGACGAAAAAAAGGGATCGACACTTACCTCGATACCGTATTTAGCATAGACAACCATTGACATCCCAACAATGGTTATAAATCAACAAATTGGGAATTAGACAGTAGGCTATCCAGTTGGTTACATCCAACCCAATTGATATCTTTTCCAACCCGAAAACCAAACCGGTAAGTCGTGTCGTGATATAATATAATCGTGAGACGCGTACGTGAGAGACGCGACGTGGCGCGACGCGATAGGGAAAATTTCGCGTTTTCGCGTTGCGCTAATGTAGGCGTCTAACCAATGAGGAGAGAGAAGGGGGCTGGGGTTTAAATGGTGTGGGTGGAGTGTGGATTTTGGAGTACTTAGGTACATATGGCTTGGATGTGAGGTTGTGCTGTGGTTTGGACAAATGCTATGTAGTTGAATACCGAAATACAGTAAAAATCAAGTTTGTAGAATTGTCAAGATATATGATTTTGCAATTTAAGGGTACAAAGGAAGATACTTTCAAGCTTGAAGTGTTAAGTCGAGGACGCTTGAACTCACATCCGATTCCCTTACTATGATGTAACCACTTTACAGCACGTATTCCCTTGGAAATCAAGCATGTAAACTTCGAAACTTTTTTAATTCAGCTATACTCTGATACTCTCCGCGATGTTTTATTTCACACATCACAGCAAAGCCAGTCAGCCTACTCTGATAGTCTGTCTGACTGACTTGTCTGGTAGCTAACAAGCTCCATCTTCTGCCTCGCGAGGTCTTGTCCTTTCCTAACTTACACTCGTCCGATTTCTTTGTATTTTCCCGCGGTTAGGGTATTGGGAACGGGGATAACACCCCACACAAACAATAAAAAACATCTATCTATACGTATTGTGGTGGCTGGTAGAGGGGACACTCCATTTCCTGGCCCTCTCCCTTCTTGGTCGATTGGTATCATAAAGCGAGCGTGTGGTCGCCGGGTATCACAAACCCAACAGAGGAAATATGTTAAAAGAGCAATGCACCCCGCGAACTCCGAGCTACCCCCTTTTTCGGTATGCTATAAATCAAGCAACAACGCTTCATGCTCCTTCATCCGATGCTGTTTCTCTCCGGACCCCTTTTCTATGCCGTGAATGCTTCGTACGCCTTGAACGTGATATTTGTTCATAACGCTTTGCCTACACTGCCCTGACTAGTGCCACTCCTTCCCTTCTTGTTAGAAGGCTGCCTCCCTAGTGCACTATCCGGTGTATATCGCACGGCTGCTGGTCCAACATCAGGGCCGGGGTCACTCCACTCGCTCAGGCTCGCGCCGCTAACGCCACTAGAGTATTTTGATGTGAAGCTATCAGCTCTGACATGTGCTTGTTGCGGTGTTTTCGGTACCGCACTGGTGTTCCTGCGACTACCAGATCTGCTGATACCTCCTGCAAGCACGCTGACGCTAGAATTGCTAAAAAGATCCGGTCGGTCTAGATCGAACGGATCTGAGCGGAACTTGTTCCGTCTAGTGCCAACCGTGTCCACACTGGCATTAGACTCGCGGTATACACTATTACCACGATTGCCGGCACTGCTGGCCTGTCGACTTAGACCACCGTTTACGCTATGTCCACGGGAGCGTCGTACGTTCTGGATATAAGGCGTCAGTCCAGCATTCGATGGCCCTGATATGGCGTTCGCATCCGAAAATGGGTTGTTTGCTGCTGATACTACTAAAGGCGTAGCTTTAGCTGTATTATTCCCTATAGCATTTACGTCGGAGAAGGGATCGACTGAATCAAAGTTCAATCCTAGGCCACCGAGGAAATGTTGTTCGCCACCCACGGATATGGAACGACGTTGGCCGCCTACACTCCCCCTTCCCCTTCCTGCTTCTCGCTCAAGCTGTTTGTCGTCCATATTCATGAGCGTAAGAAAGTCGGGCCGCGAGTTAGATCCATTACCCTGCTTAGTAGATTGCGGGACAGCAAGTGAACTGCTGGCTGCAGCATTGCCTTGGGATTCGTGACGTAATCTCCAGTTGAGATCGCCATCTTCATCTAACCGACCCCACCAGTCGACGAAGCCACCCTTATTAGTAAATTGGCCTCCTTTTGCACCACCACTACTTGAATTTTTTCGGCTATGGGCAGCATCTGGCGGCCCAAACTGAGAGTTTCCTCGGTCAAGATTGACACTTGGACTTGGGCTATTACTTCGAGCTACGATATCTCCAACTCTTCCACGTAACTTTCGATATTTCGCACCAACAGTAGCCCATAGTTTTTCGGAGAATGGTGTCGGTCCTAAGGAAGTTCGACTGATAAGGTAAGGGCCCTTCTCATCGTCACCACCGCGGAACGTAGCATTTGGAGACATTGGTGTTAGCATGGTGCTTCTCCGATCCTGCATCTTTCTCTTCCGCCAGAACCATATACCAAATGCTATAAGTGAAAGGATGATGACTCCACCAATTACACCACCAGCTATTGCTATCGTTTGTTGCGTAGTGATAGCATTGCCAGTAACGGCCTGCTGAGTACCCGGTAGCCCAGCCCCATTTGCTCCAGCTTCTGATGATGTCCCAGTAGGTTGTGTACCACTTGTTGCTCCTATCGCAGTATTGCCCACTGAACTTGCTGATATATCTGAATCCCCTGACTGTGCCGCCGTTGGATCGGTGTTGTCAAGTCCATTAGTATCCTGGGACTGGTTGTCTGGCTGATTAGGAGAAGGTGTAGGGAGATCAGCAGTAAGTAAAGAATCTGTCGGAGTTGATGCAGCGCTAGTGCTTATAATCGAATCCGGAAGCGATGTTGAAGGAGCTGCACCTCCTACATTGTTGAAAGGATTGCCGGGTAACGCGCCTCCGGTATCTTGAGAAGGAGCCGAGGAATTCGAAGCAGGATCGTCTGGGTTCGCTTGGTTTTGGTCTTGAGGCGCCGAAGTCGGTTGATTTTCGGTCGCAGTTTGAGATGTGGAGGACGAAGAGGATGAAGAAGATGAGGAGCTTGACGTTGAACTCGAGGACAAAGATGATGATGTTGACGTTGAGCTAGAACTTGAAGATGTCAAGGAAGATGAGGATGAAGACGAAGATGATGTAGCAACAGCAGCAAGTTCGAGACCTGCTTTCTTCGGCACCGCCGTACACCTTTTACCATTCCGGGTTGTAATTGATGCCATAACTATAGACTTTTAAGAGTAGGCGATACCAGTCGCAAGGTGGAATTTAAAAAAAAAAAAAAAACCAACAGCGCCACTTGGGGCAAAACGAAGTTTAGATAAGAAGAGGTAATACGAAGAGAAAAGAAGGCGGCCGTTGCGGCCGAACTACGATCATAAGATCATGAACGATAAATGTTAAAGAATACGAAGAATATCGTATATTCCCCTGATAGACCAGAGGAAAATGCGACTCAACGCGCTCTATACAATAGAGACTGATGAAAAAATGAGGCTCAAGAGAAGAGAAGGAATTGAACGACGCTTGATGGAGAAGAGAATCAAATGGGAATGGAGACGTTCGACCTCACGAGCGAGAAGGATAGTCTAAGACTAGTCAAACAGCGAGGATAGAAAGGTATCAGTCGAGGTGTGTCAGTTAGCCGAATCTGAAGGCCAAGAGATGTAAAGACGTAAACCCCCCTGGATAGAAAGAGAGAGGGTTACTTCGAAGAGGAAGAGAATACTACCTGACCTCGAGGGTGTGTAGTGGGCGTGTACTGCCTACCGTGATTTTGGCCATTATCCAATGGTAGTATGTATAGTATGTACATGCTTAATGCTTTGCACGGCCGTCGCTTGCTGTCGCAAATGTCTTGACCCTGTATAGTGTGTTTGATGGCAAGGATGTAGAGGGACAGGATTGGTTGTTGGAGTCTTGGAAGAAACAAAGCGGCAGTACAGAAAAGGACAGAGACGACAGGGGTTGCTTTAAGGAGAGTTGATGGCCTCAGAATTACCTTTTCTAAGTGTGGGGTAAAACACTTAAGCCCCTGACTTGCGACACACCTGACGCAACGGCGCGGCCCCCCCTCCTTCTTCGTCTTTCTCTTTTCTTGCCTCAGCCGCAGTAAGGCGCCACACCATTAATGATAATATGTGAAAATTGATTTGGTAGAGGAATCTAATTGATTTTCATTTTATGTCAATAATTTTATCAATTCCATTATTCTACATCAATTTTGTGATAAAAGTAGGTGGCTGGTAAAGATTGGTATTACGGTAAGAAATATTTATCGGATGTGTTGGTTGGTATGCACTAACATTCGGCCCGGAAGTCAATCTCCCTCGGCACGGGTCGGGGGTGTCATAGGCCCCCACAAGTACCTGCAAATGCATTTTATTTAACGTAACAATCCCATATCTTTATCAACCTTAACATTCCATTCTCTCTAAGTCTATTTCATACACATATACGCCGCATTAGCTTAGAAAGAAATATAGTAAGCTGTCAAACGATGTCGACATCAAGTTTCAAAAGTACGTCTTAATGCCCGTCATGATCGAGTTCCGGCAAAACTCCTAAGGAGATCGGATCTGGTAGTCTGCCGAGTTACCGAAGGGGCACGGTGCCACGATAGTACCTTAAACCCTCGTTCTATTATACATTTACCCACTTCGCCTACCCGATCTACCGACTATCAAACTGAAGGAGATAGACGGGTATAAATATTATTTTATAGGGAGTTAGCTAGCCAAGACGGTTTAGTATCTCATATAAACTAAAACATCCGGTGTGCTTTAATTCGCATTTTCTCTTTTCTTTTTATTAGCCCGTTTGCATTAATTTGTATATGATTAGTCAACTTTTGGTATCAATTGAAGTTGTTGTTCGCTATTACTGTATTTATACAGGTACATATTATGGTATTCAATCGTACCACTATTAAGATTGTTCTCCGCATTCCTACATACATCATACATATATGTACATCATGGCCGGCTTCGCAGTACTTATTCTGGTAACTGTTCTTGACGACTCCAATGTCTCCAACGAATTTACAGCATCTTGTGCATATGTACCCTGGTACATGCAGAATATGTTAGTAACATTACATGTAGCTACATGAACGTACCTACTCGTACCACATATACCTCGTGTACCTACCTCATAGGCACATGGTGTACCTTATTGGAAGGATCAATTGGGTATGTACATGATGTACATGTAGGTAGGTATCAAGCAATCAAATGAATGAGCCAATCAATCTGTCCAATATTTGGATATTTCGATGTGCACGGACCACTCGATAAACTTTCTAGTGGATGCCCCATTCGGGTGAAGTCCCGCTCTAAACTAAAACCAACGCCCGGCTCGCTCTAATCTATCAACAGGGACTTTCCATGATGTTGTCTTTCTCAGCCTCTACTACTATGTTAAGCTTTAAGCTGCGTACCTTAACCTACTAAGTGAACAAGTCACGAGCCGTGCCACATATACCCTATTCGTTCTCGGCTTTACTTAAGAAAGCTTCAACTTGTTCATATCAAATTTCTAGATCTATGAGATCTAAAGAAAACGACCGACGTTTCTGATTAAAAATTGATTGATTGATTAATTGAATTGAACTTTTATTAATTGGTTTTTTTAACTGGCCAAGCTGGGCACAGGCACCAGGCGACCTCGTTAGAGAGTTGTGTCACCTATCACGACCTTTCCTCTACGATCTAGAACTCCCTTACTATACCACTATACCTCCACTCGCCGGACTGTCTCTTATTTGAAACGACCTCCTACTTGCTTCCGTTCCATAATTAAAAATGTTTGGAGTCAACTTTAGTAAGTCTACTTACATTTTATTTGTTATTTACTCCTTCTGCCTACCATCCACAGTAAAGATTGGATTCCCTAGTCAAGATGCGACGTGCGCCCTTCCATCGTCATCGCCGTAACAAGGGAGAGTTCAAAGGATTGTTTTCTACATCCGCCCCTCAATAGCCAACTCATCATCATCATCATTATGAGGCAAACGACTCAATTCTACTAAATATACACACAATGTGTTTTCCCATCTTCAATACCCATCTCCCATGATGAAATCATCTCATACGTTTGTTAGTTCACTCCTCGTCGGAGTTGGCGCCGCCACCAAAAGACGTTCCACCTCCTACTCCCATCAGATTGCCACGATGCAGTCCACAATTAGACGAATCCTCGGACCAAGATGTGCAAACATCTCTTGTTCGCTACCTTCAGCGGCTACAGCGCCCGACTGAGCTTAGAGAATCTCACTTCGCCGCTCTTGGCGTGCACTTACATTCAGATGTCCCAGCTGAAGAAATCGTCCCAATTCCTTCCTACCTGCCTTCATCGATAGGATGGGACGGTATAAGTATGGATGAAGCATATAGTAGAGATGCCACTTTCCGCTACCCGATGTCTAATGGGGGCCGTTCACCTGATGCTCGCGCTTACTTGGACCGGCGCAATGAACTTTCCATACCAAACCAAGATGCATTTCGTACAATTCGGCGCATCAAACCGGAAGCAGGAAAGCAACAACGACGATTAGGCAATAGCTACGAGTTCTTCAAACAAATGGAAATTATGGCTGCCTACTGGGATGACACCTCATTACCCCCGCTTCCCGCGGAGACCCAGGAACAATCCCCGCCTTTACCACCGCGCCCCACAGAAGCTGATGCTGGTGCCGAACAACCCGCTACCGGCGCCGCACCCGAATCCAATGCCCGTTCCGAAGCGGATCCCGAAAGCGAGTCCCAGGGTCCCCAGCAAGTTACTTACCGTACTAGCGTCGGTGCGCAAATGCCCCCTGACTTCCGCCACAATTTCATATCGGCGTTTGTAAAACTCGTTTCCTACGGCTTTGGATGCAACATATTCCCTCCAAGAGTTGAACCTCGGCTACAGCTTCTTTCACCACCAACCAAGAAATCTTCAAAATCCAAAGCACCCCCTAACCAAGTAGCATCATACTTCCCTTCAGGATGTGTGTACTTGGCGAAAGCACCTACCACCCGTGAAGCCGCCCGCGCAGGTGTGACCGAAGGCCCTATTGCCGCAGTATCCGCGCGAAACACGACTAACTTCAAATCCTCAGCGGAATCCAACATTGATTTCGGGCGTGAGCTCATCGCCGCCTTAATCATAGCACAGCATCGCGCCCGTGAAGGCCAGCCCGAGAAGAGGTACGGCGAGGGCAAATGGTGGGCGACTGAGAAGCGCTGGGGCGGCGGTGAAGGCGGACCAATAGGACGAGAAGTCGACGGCGATTCCATCGTAGGGGATAAAGACGCTGTGGAATCGGATGCCGAGCGCCCATCTTCCTCTTCAACCCCACAGAATCAGCCGGAAGAGAAAGCAGGCTCGTCCTCGTCCCTATCATTGACGAAAGGAGGTAAAGCATCACTACCCTCTATCCCGATGCGCGGACAACCGGCTAGCAAGAAACCCCGCAAGAATATGAGCATCTACGATAGCTACCGCATGGTTCGCCCACCCTCCACAAACTGGGACCGCAAAGCGATTTACAAAGCTGTCGGTCGCCCGCGAGGCGCAGATTATGACGATGTATTCGTGCTAAGTAGCGTGTTTCACCATTTTTCAATACTACGCGTTCGCGTGCCGAATCAGTTACTTAAAGTTTTCGCGGGCGAAGCGGAGGATGTGGTAGAAACGGACGGGAAGAAAGGCAGGAGCTGGGGTAAACTCGAGATTTGGCGGAGTAAGTGGTTTGATCTTTTTGTTGTTGAGGATAGACTTGAGGCTATGAGGTTGCTTTGGGGCGTTATTGGATATTCGATGAGGAAGGATGAGGAGCCTGAGGGTGATGGGAGTGGGGATGTGCCTATGAAGAATGCCTGAAGGGAGGAGGTATGGTGAGGAGGGGATTGTGAGATGAGGATGAAAAAGGGGTTAGGGGTTAGGGGTTGGCTTTGGCTCATCGTCGATCAGTAACAGAGGTTTTCTCGGACCATGGCCTTCATGTTGAAGACTTGAGCGCGAGAATTAAGGCAGTACATAGCATGGACAGGGAATTGGCATGGAATGGGAGGAACGATCGGGTGAGGACAGCTGGTAAGCTGAGCCCGTTGGATTTAGACAGACATTGATGCGGCGTGGAGTGAGTTGGAGTGATGGTGTGTCTAGTTCCGTCGCATTTGATGTTGATATCAGTACTGATAGACGTAAATGAAGTGGATGAAGCAAAAAGCAAGCATAATTCGTACCTACCATGGGTGAGTGTTTGGTACGGTACGACACGCGAACTCGCTAGGTCTTCGGAAGATATTTGCTAATTTGCTTTCTCGACCATGATGTCATTGTATCTATTTTCTCATGCTCCTATGGTGTACATACGCTATGTGCTAGCGCTCTCTCGCGAGGCTGTGCCCCCTGTAGTTATTCGTCCTACTCACCAAGAAAGAGGAAGTATTTCGGACTTAAGCCGCGTTCGCGAGTTCCGAAACCGAGAAGCGGCAAGGCAAGTGAATCAAGTCTAGTTGGTGTGCTTAATGTCTTACCAGCCTACTACTTACTTACTGTACCTGAGCTGCTAAGGTAAGGCTCTGATAGACAGTGATAGCGCCACATGCGGTGAGACCGTTATGTCATGTCCAGACGTTGATATGCCTAGCTAGGCATGAGGCTTAAGGCAATTTCCGAGTTTGGGTATAAGATTTTTTCCTTTTTATTCCTTATTTGGTGATGTCTTGGTTTTGGTAGGGGCGCTGTTCTGTTACTCACCGAATGTCTGCGGTTGGAATTGCTGCTTTGGTGTGTTGATGCCTATACTTAGCATTTCGGGAGAATAAGGACCCTGAGATTGGTGGCTGTGAATGTGAAGGTTGAGGGGATTGAGCTTCTGCAGGTATATGTGATGCTATGTATATCATACGAAGTCGTACTCTAGGGTTGATCATCGTTAGGGATGTATGCAAGGTCTTTACGTACGGAAAGGGACATGTTGCATGTATGGCTGTGCACCTAGGTAAGCGATGGTGATGAGTAGCTAGGTATCGTAGGCGCGCGGGCACGTAGCCTCGTCTGTCTATGTTGCTGGCGGGTGTCTCGTGGGCGGTGAGGACTGGATAAGTTATTACTTAGTAATTCATCATGTCTTATACTTCTCGTGCTTGTCCAGGGGGTATGTCTCAATCTTATCACCTCCAAGGCTGCTATATTCTTGCCTATTGTGGTCTCAGAAGCAGAAGTCGCCTGAAACTTTCGCCTTACAAGTGGGTTCGACTATTCCGCTTCTATTTCACAAGCGAGCTGGACGGGTATTGTACCTAGGAGTGTAGTACTGTCGACGGGACCCAACCCGCCTACCCACATATCTACAGCCCTATGTTATTATCCCGAAGACTCCTCTATCATCTAGCCTCGCCTATACCTAGTTACCTGGACGATTATCTCCGTCTGTATCTTTGTCAAAAGTCCAGACTTGCATATCATATCAGGGGCTTAGTCTACGTTTTTCACTTCGCCCCTTAACCCCCAACATGTCTCCATCTATCTCAGGTACGTGTGTAGCCACTAGGAGCCGATCCGTTTTGCCGAAGCAGATACCTATACAGGCAGAATTGAAGGACCAATTACGGAGAATAGGCGTATGAATGCAAGTACTAAGACCGTGATCGACATTCTCTAAGCCCTATTACTTTGAACTGTCGTTGGTGTTTATTGCATTAAGCCTACCATGTGATGAATCGATTCGACATTTATCTAAAAGTTCATTTGACGGAAGGGATTAGATAGGCATATGGTTGATAAACTCGCGGTGAGATTATCGCAATTCCCATTCGATGTTCTGTACTGCATGACTTCTTAGTCAGGTTGTTAAAGTGAATATAAGCACAACCTAATATACCGGCTGCCGGCAGTGTTGGGCACTTGCGTCTTGCATCCTTGGGCGGCAATGCTGACTACTCTCCGATAATCAATCATGATTATCTTGTTCGCGACGGAATAGTAGGTGTCTACCTAGGTAAAGCATCTTGACCCGCATTATCTTGCGGCTCAATGGAAACGTTACACGGAGTCAAGTCAATCCATAGGCAGCGAAGTTATTATGAAAATGTTTTAGAAGATTTGGTTCCCTCATTCGTTAGCGAGAACCCTTAGATCTGCTCTTGCTCCCGAACATGACGTAGTGCGATTGGATTATCGCGGAATGGAATCACGCGAATCGAATTTTCTCCGGTGCTATAACGTGAGACATGCAGCCCTCGGCGCAGGACAGGGTAGTCTTAGAATGAGTTCGTTGTCGTCGTTAATCCTAACGTCTTCCGAATGACGGGAGGACCCGCCTGCTCCACACAGAGACTGACCTAGTGCTGACTACAGAGAAAGTCGAGGAGGGTTCGGAGACTACATGCTGCGATGCGCGTGTGAAAATATCTTCACACGATAAAACGTTACCTTCCTAACAAATTTGGAGATCTGCTTAAAGCCGAATTCTAACAGGTCCAAGAAGAAAAAAAAAGTGAGGCTCAAAAAGATGTAAGATAAATATAGATGAGAATAGCTGTATAGCCTCAACCGCCTTATTCGGGTAGCTGAGCCGTGGCGAGATGCGATAGGCTAGTTGCTTTAATTGACGCGTATGTGAAGAGATAGATAGGGTATAGCGTGAGTCCCTTTTTTCGACACTTGTGAGCTGAGAAAAGGGTTTTCGTGTGATAGAGCGAGCAGGGGAGAGCATTATCACCCTGGCAGAAAATTATCGATAGAGCTCAGCCTGGGGGGAGTTACATGCAGAAGTCCCGGCGGTAAGCAGTTGCATGAATGCTACTTGTGTACGTGTGGGTGATGTGGGTGGGTGCGAAAAAGGGTACAAAAGGGTTTTGAAGGGTGGCTGGACAGGCCTATTGACCTATTGACACAATTCACCTTCTCAAATGGTGATAGTATCGGACCGCTGACTCGCAGACGCATATTCTTTTTGCATATCCGGAGAATGTAGTGCGGCATCATATCTAGATAGGGCTGTTATGTCATGTCTCATGGCCCATGCTGTCCCGAAAACTTTTTCTTCCTTGTAGTTCTGCAGAAGATCAGAGTTGGACCCTGAGGCTGTGCTCGTCGGCTTCCCCTCGATTGGCTCCTCCACACATTTCTTATCCCAAGTGCCCGGGAGTGTCAAGGAATGATGCATATGGTGGCGTCTGTATGAAAGATGAGATGAAACTTTTGACATTTGTACCTGATGATCTACACCAGCTTTGAGACAGATCTAAGACGGATATGTATGCGACAGCTAGTTTGTGGATTTCTTCTTAGCGGTTGGTTACCTCTGATGCTGTGTTAAGTCGACGAGTACCTCACTTGGGATCTCATGTATGTAGTTAGTATGCGGAGATCTCTTAAACTAAGAGCCACAAGTAACGTGGCATTTGAAACATCAATACCAAAAAAGGATCAACTTCCGTGGAAGCAATGTTTCGGTCGAGGCTTCTCCGTATAAAAGTTTCGATATGATGGCATTAAACTATCACAGCCACGATGTATTTGTTGTTTAGCATGCGAACTAACGCATGCAGCGGTGGGAAGCGACCCGGGTTACATAACCGTTCCTAATATGATCTTCAAGGTACCGAGGTATTGCATAATCTTAGAAGTGCGGTATGCCGGTACATATGTGTGGCAGCCACAGTAGGAAAGTACAAGAGCTGTTGGAGTGGTGCTAGAGGTTGCTAGAGGTGCTAGAATGGTGCCGGAGAAGCGAGTTCAGACAAAATCTGCACGTCAGCCACCATTCTTCGGGTATCCCGAGATCCAAAAGCCGATATGCAACTTCGGATAATTCGTTGTTCCCCAACCGTCAATGTAACATTATGTCGGAAATACTCCAAAACATCATGCAGATGGAGCATCTAATACATCATATTGATATGTCAAGGCGGCTTATGGCGTCTGATGTATGAGGCAGGGTTATCTTGTTGATGTTTTGATCTGCATGTACGTAGGTATCATAATTCTAAAATCCATAATGCTTTCGGATAGCTCCCTAAGCCTTTATTTACAGCGGACATAAGGAACGTTTCCAAAGGCGAATACCGAATACGGTACTTATGCCGCTTCAAACGGATTCGCCGGCAAGCTTAGAGAGAGGCGCCTAGAAAATACTGACGAAACTGTCAATAGTGGAATGAATGAATAATAAAAGTGCTTGATTTGCGGTGATTAGGTCGCCGATCGGGCTTTTTGTAGCAAGGCTGCCCAAGAATCTCATTCGCTCAAGAGGAGAGATGCAGAGAAATTGCGCTGTAACAGTACTGACGTGTTCCGCTCCAGGTACAGTGATAGCCGCATAACCGTAGTCAATGCCAATGGAAACTACCTACTCTGTAGAGCAATCTTGGGCATACAATGATAAAAAGCTTTGTCCAAGGATGCCGAGAAAACCATTCAGCTCCGAGGCTAGAAGTTGAGAGAAGTCGAGGATTATCTCGACCTGATGGTTATAATTGTCGATCATATAGCAAGAGTTGGATAGATTCGTGCTGCTGAAGGGGGGGTACTAAGTAACTAAGTAAGAAGACTGGGGACAAAAAGGAAACATCTCACATTAGGATTGCGGCTCATCACTAAACTATTGGATTTTGTTGGTCGTGGTTCTCAGGTTGTATGAAGGAAACACGCGAGGAAGGATTAATTGATTGATTTGATTTCGTTTTTAGTTCTTAGCTTTCTTGGTAAGGGAAAAAAGGGAGGCCTGGCCGCGTTTGGGTCGCCGACTCAGTTTAGTTTACTAGGATTTACTAGGGCATTCTGTTTTCTCATTGGTCCGTGAGTCTTGGGTTTAAGTCTAAGTTAGGTTTAGTCTAATCAATGATTGGCTTCTAGTTACGATTTCCCGTTATTCCACGCGACATAGGTAGCTTAGATTCTGTAAACTAAGAATCGGCCCCCCCTAGCTTGACTGCTAGAATGACGATATCCCTATTACTCCATACGGTTAACTCCATTGCTTTATTGACTTCGTACTTATCGTACATTTTTTATGTTTCCCATGGAGAGAAGACGAATTTTGTTATTGGACAAGTCTCACATGTTTTACAGCATATTGTGGATTGAGACTTTCCACAATTCCACATCGGCACCAGAGTTGAAGCCAGCGCCAAAACTTCTCTTCTCCAAAGAGCAAAGAGCAAAGAGCAAATGGGGATCCACAAACCCACACTCAGACCAAGATACCAAGATACATCCCGCATCCCGCATTTTTCGCATCGCAACCTATTTCTCCCTTCATACAGCGCAATTTACTTGAGCTACAGCGTACAACAGCACACAGCAGCATACATCCCACACCACCACACCACCATCATTACCATTACTACCACCACCTACGTTATATGTTATACACTAAGATCTCTCCTACCCATCGCTTTCATCCGTCCTCGGTTGTAACCTTTTACTTCCTGACCGGTTTTGTTATTTGCCTATGTCCACCTAGGTACATACATTACATACCTAACTAACTCATACCGGCGAACTCCTATCTTGATACCTAAATTACACAAATTACGGCATAGCGACGCACATACAGACGTATACATCTCCGACGATAATTTGGAGAAAAGAGAAAGAAACGAGTAGGATATTGGGCTTTTTGCTTTTTCACACCGACCCCTGCCCTGCAGGTGAGCGTACTTGTATGTAAGTAAATAAGAAAAAAAAAAAGGTGATGTGCGGGCTGTCAAACAAGGTTCTCTGCGCCGCAACGCTTGACCGCCGTGCTGGGATATTTTTTCCTTGCTAGCGTGTACTTTTATAACCCATCCTGGAAAGACTTGGCATTATATTTTCTATTTTATTATTGAAGTAGTATTCTAAAGCTACCTGGCTACTTGCGCAAGCTACTGGAGTACTATCGAGGCTCGTGGTTTGTGGGTAGTAGTCTTGGTAGTTATGTAGCATGGGGCTGCGCTTACATACAGAGTACAGGAAAGAAAAACAAAGACGTGCACTAAGCCGGGGCTCGGTTCAAGGGTCAGGAAATATACTTTCTACCCACATAACCCACATACATCATAGCCCATACCCGTTCCATACGATACTTTATACATACGTACCCGTACCTACCTACCTTATCCATCTTGTACGCCAGAGAGGGAAAGAGCAAGATCTCATATACATACAAAAACGTATCGCGAACGAACCTTTTTTTTTTTTTTTTTTTCTTCTATCGGTCTTTCCACGAACGAGTTGTCGCTTGTCGATTGTTCTTCTTTTTTTTCTATATAAGAACCTCCTACCCTGTCCCATCCGACAAACCCAAATCCTTCCCCCGCCTTATCCCTCCACCCCACGAGTTCTTATCCCACATTCGACTTTTACCTATCGATCATAGCTTGTCGGCGACATACAATTTACAACAACAGCTATATATTCGACGTCGCAAACAATTATATATACGATATACGATATAACCCATTGATATGTCAGGTTACGGCTATCCAGGAGGGTATGGTCCGCCGCAGCAACAACAATATCACGGCGGGAACTACTACCAACAACCGTATGACCGCTCATTCATTCTTGTCGATCACGAGCGACAACAAACAAAGGTAGCTGACATTGTCGCAGTCCACCTCAACCATATAACGGATATCCTCCTCCTCAAGGAGTATCGCCAGCTCCCTACGGCTACGGCCAACATACACCACAGCCTTACGCATATAACCAGGTGAATAACAATGCCGTATACCGCATAGTATGACGGTTTGCTTTCAGAGCCCCGCGCTGATAATCTTCATCAGGGTCCGCCCCCGCAACAACCACCACAACAACATGGCGGCTACGGCCAACCTCCGAGTCAATATGGCAGACCTGGTAAGACATTGATCGACGAGTCCGACACTGTTTCGCTTGATTCCAGGTTTAACAAAGAGCTTTAGGGATACCCACGATAAACTCGAATTCCTACAACCATGGCAACTTTGGTGCCCCTCCTCCTCCCCCGTCCGGACCGCAACATTTCGGCCAAGGCGCGCCTCAAGGATACGCCTTTCAGTATAGTAACTGTACGGGTCGAAGAAAGGCACTTCTCGTTGGTATAAATTATTTTGGCCAACGCGGCCAGCTTCGAGGATGTATCAATGATGTAAGAAACATGTCGGCCTACCTTGTTGAGCATTTCGGTTACAAGCGCGAGGATATGGTTATCCTCACCGACGATCAGCAAAACCCGATGAGTCAACCTACGAAACAAAACATTCTACGAGCTATGCATTGGTTAGTGAAGGATGCGAGACCCAACGATTCGCTGTTCTTCCATTATTCGGGTATGACGACTCTTGATCTTCGCGATTGTTCACATTTAATATGATCTAGTTGCTTATAATAATTTCATACAGGACATGGCGGTCAAACCAAAGATTTAGATGGAGACGAACCCGATGGTTATGATGAAGTCATATACCCTGTTGATTTCCGCCATACAGGCCATATTACTGACGACGAGATGCATCGCATTATGGTGAAACCGTTGCAAAGCGGAGTACGATTGACGGCTATCTTCGATTCGTGTCATTCTGGTACTGCCCTCGACCTTCCTTACATCTACTCAACCCAAGGTATCCTCAAGGAGCCCAACTTGGCCAAGGAGGCCGGCCAGGGTCTTTTGGGTGTTATCTCTTCTTACAGCCAAGGCGATTTAGGCGGCGTTGCGAACAATATCATGGGCTTCTTCAAGAAAGCTACAAGCGGCGAGGATGCGCATCACAGAGCCATGGCTACCAAGACGTCAGCCGCGGATGTTATTATGCTTTCCGGAAGCAAAGACGATCAGACTTCGTTGGTCTACCCTCTCATTACGGTTTCTTCCTATTGATACCCTTTCATTTTCACTTGTTCGAGTTGTATGAGTGGCACGAGTGGCACATATATCTTGGGTTTATTCAAGGCATAAGACCTGTACACTTATAATCTTGTACAATCCGGTTTCCTTTTCTATTTCTTTTCCTTCTCATCTACAGGAGGGATATATATGGTACACATAATGTGGGCATCTGGATATAGGGGACAGTCATTTTGTACATTTATTTCCTAAATGGTTTCTCAACGCTCTAGATCAGAGTGCAGTCATAAAAGGCTGTAGCTCTGCATCTAGGGCGACGAGTTACGTTCGTTCGGTTTAGTGCCCGGGGCTTATTTTTCCTATTTCTATTTTTCTTTCTCTCTCTTTCCTAGAGTATCATGCGCCATTGGGGGTGGGGATTGCTAACCAAACTAACCAACAGGGCCGACGCGACTATTGCTTCTCAAGCCACCGGTGCCATGTCATGGGCTTTTATCACCGCACTCAAAAAGAACCCGCAACAAAGTTATGTACAACTACTCAACAGCATCCGGGACGAATTGGCCACGCGATACACCCAAAAACCTCAACTTTCATGCAGTCATCCCCTAAGTAGGTCTCCAGCTCCGCTCTCGTTTCCCGAGCGCTGACGTTGCTCTCTGCTAACCAGGAGACATTAGACACTAACTTGCTGTTTGTCATGTGACACGAAGTGACGTGGAATGGGATGTTGCTGCTCGGTGTCGGCGTCGGTATCGGTGTCCTTTTTGAGCGATTAGTGCTACAATGACGAACTTATGAAATTCTTATTTTTTCATATGCTGTTAGGTGTCGCGTGGTGTCGTGATGCGTTGTGGTTCTGGTATTATGCATTTTTTCGGGCTGTCAGGGGAAACGGGTTGTGTTTTTTCTCTGCTTTTTGTCTTTTTATTTGTGTTATCATCCAACGAGGCTATCAAAAAGAACGGAGGCCTGTGCTGGGATAATTCCATGGGGTTGTGGGTTCTTGGTCACTTTATCTATTCGTTTTTTTAATGGAAGACACAGCGACATCCGTTTATCTGTCACAGGAAATGAATCTTACAAACGAATAAACAGACAATTGGTTTGTGACATGTTAAAAGATCGGAATTTGAGTGTTCTTCAATCTTGACTTGATTTCCTAAATGCCCCGGGTTATTGATAGCCCGCCGTCGTTGGTGATCCTACCTATGTATTACCCCATCTTTCCAAATCCCGATGCAGGGGCGGCGTCTGTGACGACACGCCCTAGAATTTACAAAATTCACCTAACATCCTGGCATCCTAGCAGCCACATACGACACCGCACCGGTGATAACTCTCCAGGGCTCATCCCCGCTTCGAATCATGGATAGATCCACTTGAATGGTGGGCTACTATGGCCGATAGCCGACGGTGTCCGGTTCAAAAAAATACGAAGATGGAAAGATGCATTACTCATCGGAGTTATTGCCGAGTTTTTCGTGTGTTTTTTTCCCTCTTGTCTTTTAGGCGGAATTAATTCCTTTGTTGGATTCGAATTTCTTTGACTCATCACGACACAGGCTCTCTACGAGCTCTCAATAATAGCGATAACAGCCTCCTATCTAGGAATTGCTAAGCTATTTAAGTAAATTGAGTCATCTCGATGGAATAGGCAATATTATACAAGAGGAAGAAGTCGTTTCACAGTATCTTGTATTTTGTTAAAGAAACACAAGCAAAAGTACCAACCAATCTAAGCTATTCGATTTCATTGCTTGATTCCTAAATCATGCCGTCGCCAAGTTCCAGTGATGCCGAATTACCAGTAGACGTCGAGAAGGAACATGTGGAGCCTACCATACCCGGAGGAGCACGCGACGTTTCGGCCCAGAGTGCAAAGGGAAAAGATGAGGGACCGGTCGATGGCGACATTAGCCCCACTGATCCCGTCGAGGATTGGCAGATTCCGCCCGAACCCGAGATTCTTAATACGGAGGCTGACGGTATGGCCGGGGCCGTAAATCGCGTGCTTAGTAGGATATCGACGAAATCTAGTTGGAACCCCGGACCCCCGCCGGATGGGGGCCGCGTTGCTTGGTTGGCTTGCATTGGTGGCCATTTTGCTATTATGAATACGTGGGGGTTTATTAATTCTTTTGGTGTCTTCCAGTATGTAATTGAACCCTGAGATGAATTCGCTGTTGTGAATGTTTGCTAATTGTCGTCGTCGCAGGGGTATGTATAGTCTAAGATTGTTCTGAGTTCTGTGTAACCAATCCTTCATCGCGGTTGTCGAACCCCTTCTCCTTATAATCTCGTTGGCTCTTTACTAACATATTAATAGTACGTATCATGGACTATAATCGTCGATTGCAAGTCTTATGAGCAATGAGGTATGAGGTTACTAACAGATATTTTCATCTCTTAGACGTACTACGTCTCAGTGCTCGGTCGTCCACCGTCTGATGTATCATGGATTGGATCAATTCAAGTCTTCCTGACTTTCTTCATCGGCACGTTTGCGGGCCGCTTAACAGATGCTGGCTTCTTCCGTCCTGTCATCATATGTGGTACCATCTTCATGACTCTCGGCGTCTTCACCACTTCCGTCGCTACCCAATACTGGCAACTTCTCCTCTCGCAAGGATTATGCATGGGCATAGGTAGTGGCTGCATATTCTGCCCTACGATATCAACCGTCTCAACATACTTCAACAAGAAACGCTCCCTCGCCATCGGCATCACAGCCTGCGGATCCGTCTCCGGCGGCTTAATATTCCCCGCCATGGCCCGGCAACTCCTCCCCACAGCAGGCTTCGGCTGGGCCGTCCGCGCAATCGGCTTCGTCCAACTCACAACCCTAATCTGCGCCATCACATTCATGAAATCCCGTCTCCCACCCCGCCGCGCGGGTAACCTAGTAGAATGGGGCGCGTTTCGGGAATTGGAATACACGTTTTATGCTGTAGGCATGTTTTTCAATTTCTGGGGTGTGTATTTCGCGTTCTACTACTTGGCGGCTTTTAGTCGATCCCAGATTACGCCTACACTTGGGTACACGAATTCATTGAATTTACTGCTTTTGTTGAATGGAATTGGTATTTTGGGAAGATTATTGCCGAATCATCTTGCCGATCGCTTTGGACCCCTGAATTTGATGATTCCGACCTGTCTTGTTTGTGGCGTGTGTCTGCTTTCTTGGATGGCTGTGAAAACGCCTGCCGGGGTTTACGGGTGGACGAGTATTTTTGGGATTTTTGCGGGAGCGTTGCAGAGTTTGTTTCCCGCGGGGCTTAGTAGTTTGACGACGGATCTTAGGAAACAGGGGACGAGGATGGGGATGGTGTTTACGATTGTGAGTTTTGCGGTGTTAACTGGGAATCCGATTGCTGGTGCGATTATTGGGAGTATGGGGGGGAGATATGAGGGCGCGCAGGGGTTTACGGGGGCGTGTTTACTGGTGGGTATGGGGTTACTTGCTTCTGCTAGGTGGGTGAGGATGAGGAGGACGGGGATGGGGTGGAGGGTTAAGATTTGAAGAGAGGAAAGAAGAGTTGATTAATATGGGATGGGATGGGGAGGTAGGTCGTTGGCGTATATGAATGGTATGTATGCGTAATGTGATGGGATGACATGAAATAGGGCGAAAAGGGAGTGATCATTATCATTATTCTGCGAGATGTCATCTTTGGGGTTTGCATAAGTGTGTTGAGAGTACAAATGGAATCTTTCATAGAATAGAGATATGACCTAACGTTCCAAATTTACTACTTGAAGCCCGATCAAGATATCGTGAAATGATAGAACGGTTGTAATAGCAATTGAAGTTAAGGATCGTGAAGGTAGAAAGAATGACGAATGTTGCAGTGAGATCTCGATAGTAGTCTACATATAAGTCCACCAGTTAATCCCTACAGGGGTTGTTCAGGCCTAGTTAGCTTCACTAAACAAGGGTTAACTCCCAAGGATTCAGGGGTAAGACATGTCACGATTGGTCCCACGCAAGCTAACAAACCCATCGCGCCTTGGAATTTGTGCATGAAAGTCCAATTTCAAATGCGACGCTGTCGTTTCCAAGTTTTCCATGTTTTTTACACTTCATAAAAAGGTGGTTACCGCCGTCATGTTAATTGTTGCTGGGGTTAAGATCTTTCAGATCGATCGAAGATGTTTTGTGGGTGATACCGACATGGATCGATAGAAACGACGACGAGAAGGGCGATGCGAAAAATGCGTATCCTAAATGTATTCATCGCGACACTATTAGCAACGGAGGTAGCTGCAGAATGTGAAGCTAACGAATGCCTTCGGGGTAAGCGACTAAAACTGTCCATTGGTGCATCCTTATTATGCTGACGCTTGGCTATTTAGCTGTGCAAAATGCGGCATCATCGCTTAGAAAAGAAGACTGCCAGTCATTTGCACGAGTAACTATTACTCCAGCAACGAGGTACTATAGATCCTGATCTATGACACACAACTTGGGATTAACGATGGAAATAGCACTGTCGTCAGCTCTATTACCGTCACAACAACAGGAACTACTGCTAGGACGACAACGCAAACGACAACGAGTTCCGCGCAACCACCGAAACGATGGCTGCAGCGACATGAAGTCATTAATGTCTTAATGGGGAGAGCTGTAAGCGATGATGGTCCGATTACCGCGAGGGCGACATCTATTCCGACGTACGCATCTCCTTGCGCTTCGGCTGCTTATGAGTCGGCGTGTTCATGCTTCGGAATAACCCAGACCACCGTAACAGCATCAGCATCAACGACTACTAAGACTCCGCGTATAGTAGAAACCACGACTATAGCAGCTATTCATACGACTACAAAGTATGCACTTGGTCATAATAGCTCGTCACTATTCGGAAATTCTACTAGTGGCAGGTTCGGGAACTCAACAGCACTTCATCGGAACACAACAAGCTCAGGGATATATTCGAGCTCAATTTTCACTTCAAGCTTTTCGCTAGGGTCGAGCGATGCGAAAACCTCCACCGACAAGTATAGGCTGAAGAGCCCCTCGATAGCGGAAGCGACCTCTAGTAGCGAACCTGATATCACACAGTCTAACACCATCTCGAGCACGGCAGTCCAAACAAGCATTTCGAGCGGGTTTGGTAACACGACAGGTTCCTCATCTCCCAATGCGACAGTAGGTCTCGGCAAATTTTCGAACTCGACAAGTGCCACAAGGCGACCCAGTGCGGCGAGTGTGACGGGCTTCCAAAGCGGTACAGCTGGAACCGCTGGTGCTCTCACGAACGCGACCATCGCAGCACCGTTCTTAAATTCCACGCGAGCGGCAACAGCCAACGTAACAAGCAGCGTGACAAAGTTGTTATCAAATGCGACGACTTCAGCTCCATTCATGAATATAACAAGCGTCCCCTCTTTACGCAACCACACACTGGCCCCATTCCTCAACAGTACCCATCACAACATCACCGTACTCTCCGCCAACGCAACAAGAACCGCTCCATTTGCAAATTCAACAAGTTCAGTTCGCTTCGCTAATACGACTTCCACCGTACCCATGGCGACACCAACGTCCACCACCCTCTGCGAAAAGGTCTCAGATTCTTTCGCTCTGCGTGTCGCTCAACCCGGTGGTATGTTCGATGGGTGGTACGTGCAACTCAGCGGCGACGGCGCGATATTTAATCCTTCAGTGGACCGCGCTTCGCGGTTTAGTCTCGACGAGGGGGATGCAGATAGGCAGCATTTGTGTTCGCTAGGTGGGGCGGGGTTGGTCGGGAATTCGAGCGCTGTGGTGGCTATTGCGGAGAATCGTACTGAAAGTGCGGGCGGAGATAATGGCGATGGGAGTGGGAGTGCGGTTTATTTCGTCGATCCGGATTTGTTGGATGAGATTGAGAATAAACAGCATGGGTGGTATGCGCCGTTAGAATGTAATGGAGCTGGGTCCGCGCCGAATTCGACGGCGAAGGTAGCGAGAGCAGCCGCGGGGACGCTAGCTTGCGCTCAGGGCGCGATGGAGTATTGGGTCGGGTGTGGCCTAGGTTTGGACATTACGAGCGAGGGAGGTGGTGTGGCGGTGGTTGACGGGTGGAATTGTACTTCTATCACGCTGTCGATTGAGTATACTCAGTCATCTTAAGGGCGGCTGTCAGAGTTGGCCCCCTATCGTCACAGGAAAGGACCCTGGCCTGGGGTATGAAAGCAGAAATGTTTCTAAGACAAAAGGGCTTGTAGACCTGCGTAGGTACTTATTGCACACCAATAAGATTGCTATCCCCCTTGGCATAGGGGTTATTACCTACCTACGTGCCCCCTATATCCCAAGTACCAAGCAGATGTAGAAGAGAAGCTCACTATCATATTCGTAAGCGTGCGGGGTACCCAATAATACCCAGCCAAGTAGTCGTGGCGTCTTTCCGCATTCGCTACCTATCAGTTGCTTTTGCTGGTGCAGATTTATTACCTATCGGAAGCCAATAGTTGCAGCCATCCGTGGGGAAGCCCCTTGGAGTCGACGAGTCAAACCCCTGATAGCACGCCGCATATCTGTTGTGCAACATGAGTTCTCATATCGGACACATCCATCACGAAGTCTAAGATACATACAGAGGAAAGATATAAGTCCCCTAGTATTTCCCACGGTCCTTGAGGGCCGAATATAAGGCTGGCATGCGAGTGTTAATCGCGATTTACCGTTTTCCCAACATCTTCACATTGTGTTGCTACCTCGAACATGATGGGCCCAAAACCAAGGCTTGACGTATACTCAAGGTTGCTTTCTCGATTCTATGAACCCCTAATACTGTTACGTGCTCTTGGCAAGACACGGGGGGTGCACACAGCAGGCCCACAAGACGCCAATTCTGACGAATCCGGACGGCGGAGGCTGCTTCGTAATTTATCTTACCTCTGCGACTATGACAAAGGCGGTGACACGACTTCATCAATTGCCATCGAAGAGAATGACGAATGCTATATCTTCTGGGTGGCTTCGAACGCACCTCGCACACATCAGAAGATAAAGCAATTCGTAGAGTACACTCTGAAAACGGTGTATCATATTACCGACCTAGAGGAAAGCCGAAGACCTAGTCAGGAGAGAGATTTCACGCACAAATGCATTACATTCGCCCAGAACAGGGTGAAGAAGGAAATCGTTTTATTATGTAGGGATGCGAAGAGGTGTATTCAACAACTCAAAAACGTCGAACAGACGACAGGTATAATTCAGTTATGTTAAACGTGTATCGAGGTAAATAGGTATTGACGACTACCTACAGACTCCCAATCACTCATAACATGGTTGAACCAATTCGTCGTAAAGAAAACGACAAATACGGCGGATCTGTGCTTCTTAGCTTATGACCAACGAAGCACACCAGAAATGCGAAAGCTAGAAGAGATAATCCTATCCAATGCCGGAAACTCTCCCCACAATCAAATATCCAATTTCAAGTCGGCACGCCACTACATAGGACGTTTAGCTCACCATATCAGGGCTCCCAAAGAAGTCATCGCAGACTTGTCAGAGATGCCCCGATTTTTAGAGCAATACCACGTCCGACTACTTGAACCAACACCTTGCAATGCGCGGCCACAAGCTGACTCCTTAACAGAGCTCAACAGCATTCTGAAACGGATGTTGAGTGCAAACGACCCTCGATTGAGAGAATATGCAGAGTGCTTGGATTTATTGGATCAGAAGTTCGATATCGCGAAGCTAATCCAGGAACAATATGATAAAAAGACATTCAAGCCAGTTATTCATGCTGAGATCCAGATTCTTGAACACTTCTGGAAGAACAAACTTCGGTTCGCCAGCAGGGACCCCTACATAGGGTGTAGCAAATCGGCCTGTTATTGCTGTCACCTGTACTTTCAACATCATCCATCAAGGCCTGTAAAGCCCCGATCACATCAGATGCTGTATCTGAACTGGGGTTTGGCAGCTCTGCCCCAGGGAGACAAGGATTCGCGCTACGTGTTACAGCGAGACATACTCAACAAGATGGTAAAGACAATCAGGAGTGAAGCCTTGGACCAGATAAGTCGCAAGGCGGACCCGCTGGCTTGGCATGCTGATTCGACCACTGGGATCACAAGATCCTCTGCGACCTTAAGTTCTGGTAGGTTCGATATCCCTCAAGAAATAGATATAGATACTAACACCCCCAGATTCCGAAACGCTGCTTGACTCAGTAGAGGATGTCTCCGACACGGAATCACAGTCCGGTGCTTCCGAAGAGTCAAGTGTATTGCGTCTCGAAGGCGATACTTCCTTAAATGTACTTAGTTATGAGGAAATAAGCGAGCTTGGATCCGACTCCGACTCTAGCTCTGATGGGGGAGCTCTGCTATCGTAACTCGTCGGCGTTTTTAATCCAGATTTATTTCTATTGTTGAGTGAGTTCGATATCGCTCGTGACAACTATTCCTTGTCGGGATAGTGTCTCTTTTCACATATGTGCTAAATTGTGTTCCTGAGAAGAGTCTATTATGGCGCGCGAGCCCCTTATTAGTTGAGTTGCTATTATCGGAATAAATTGCGGTGCGCTCCTTCAAGAAGAGGTGATGAAAGAACGGTATGTCGTGATTGATGCAGCAAGGAAGCAGATCATGATACCAACGCCGCGGAGAATGGAATGCATTGAATGCTGGTTACCAGCGGAACTTGGAGCAGCTATCTGGTTGATAAAGCCGTAATAATCCAAATACACTTGCAAAAGGCGCGTGAAGACAAGAACATTCTTTGGTATAAACGCTTGGCACTGTACTTTAGGAAAGCTAGCGTGATGACGTACGTATAGGTTCGAGCCAACGAATAACTCATTCCAGTAGGTAGAATGACAGGGGTTGGTAAGCAACTGTAAGTTCGCAATGAATACGATACATATGTATGCCACTCCAACCCCACTTAAACCATTTGATATTGTAGTAGCAGACAATGCAAGGGAGCATCTGGATATGGCGTTGGGACCGCAAGTTGTGGTTAGGACGCAGCAACAATTCGGCGCCTCCTCCGGAATTGGTATCATCGGTCCGGGAATATTCGAAATATCGAGTGACACGGAAGAAAAAAAAGGAAAAACGAGCTGGTGCGAATAATCGCGCAAGAGACGCCCAAAGCATGCCGTAAGCACGCCACAAGCGGTGGCGGCCTATAGAGATACGATGCATGCAACATCCCGTGTAGCCTATGGTGGGTTACACGATTATACAGTCCTACTAAAACGATCTCATGAAGTTTTCATTGAGCCGTTAAATGCTCTGATTAGATGTTGTTGGGATAAGTTAGGCAGGCTACAGATGATTATGTTGGTCCAGTATGCCAACATCTCAGATATTGTTGGCTACCCGGGCAGATAATAACCCTCGTGGAACTAACGGCATGATTTTTCATGCACCTGAAGCATATCTCCTCTCACTGTATACATACTATAAAATTGCTTTTTATCCTAAATGAAATGCATGGAATCCCGGTTTTGGTGAACGGCAATGTACATCAAGTACCCTCCTAGTAACAAAGGGGCACACCATAAGTCCGTACGTACGCGATAGAACCCCCATGTTACACAGCTAAACACAATACTAAGAGGGGCCTCTCCCACCTCTCTAGCACCATTTCCCTGCTGTTTCAGGAGTGTGGCGAAAATGGCCACTAATATAAGAGGAAATACGCCTCTCTGCTTCGATACATTCCATAACATAATTGATGGAGAACTTTCGTGCACAGCCGAGACACGGCACACAGTCAATCCCGCTACACTAGAAAATAATCCGGACGCTCCCCTCGGCACGGTCGACGATGTAAACAGAGCCGTCAGAGCGGCCAACCGGGCTGCCGATGCATGGGCTAAAGTCCCTTGGGATGAGCGTGCTTGCGCGATTCGAAGCTTCGCCGATACTACAGAGCAGAAATCTGAAGATTTTGTTCGGATTCTACAGAAAGAAACCGGCAAACCCGTGAGTGTTTTTATAACGTTGCCACCTAGAAATCGTGTAACCTTGGCACTATGAAAAATTAACTACTTATCACTACTCATAAACAGATGATTTGGGCTCGACACGAGCTTGCGACGTGTGTGAAGTATCTCAGAGGGTTCTGTAGATTATCTCTTCCTGAAGAAGTCATCGAAGATGCCGCGGAACGTAAAGTTGTCACCCGATATACGCCGCTCGGTGTGATTGTTGGAATTGTCCCTTGGAACTATCCCGTTCAGCTCTCATGTGTGAAAATGGGAGCAGCTCTACTCACCGGAAACACCTACATATGGAAGCCATCTCCTCATACACCCTACTGCAGCATTAAACTTGCAGAATTGGCCCAGAGGTTTTTCCCTCCCGGCGTTGTTCAAATTTTGAGTGGGGACAATGATTTAGGGCCGGCAAGTAGCATTAAAGGTCGACCATTACGGGTGATAGTTCGCTAAACCATTCCATTGTAGCTGTTGACCGAACACCCTGATGTTCACATGGTCAGTTTTACGGGCAGCATTCCAGTCGGAAAGAAGATCATGGAATCCTGCAGCAAGACACTAAAGCGGGTGGTACTTGAGCTAGGCGGCAACGATCCAGCTATCGTTTGCAAGGACGTAAATCCTGCCGACGTGGCCGCCAAAATCGGCTTCGTCTGTTTTTGTCATGCGGGTCAAATCTGCATCAACATGAAACGAATCTATGTCCACGAAGCAGTTTATGACGACGTACTGGCCGCTATTGTTGGGCTTGTGCAGACACTTAAGCTAGGGCTCGGCGAGGACGCTTATATGGGACCTATCACGACTAAAGAGCACTTCGAGTACCTCAAAAGTTTGCTCGAGGATGTGGAAAGAAGAGGCTTCAATGTCGCGATAGGGAGTACGAAACCACTATCTGATATGAAGGGATACTATCTTGCGCCCACAATCATTGATAACCCGCCAGACGATGCAAGGATTGTTGTTGAGGAGCAGCTTGGTGAGTTCTAACCTATTTGACATAGTAGGCGAACGAAGCTAACATTTAATAGGGCCCGTTCTTCCTTTTTTGAAATGGAGAGATGAGACAGATGTCATCACGAGGGCTAATAACACTAAAACCGGTCTAGGTGCATCTGTATGGACTCGTGATATGGAGCAAGCAGAGCGTCTCAGGAAGAAACTGAAGGTTGGTAATGTTTGGATTAACACTCATGCCGAGATCCAGACTAATATCACGTTCGCTGGCCATCGGGAGAGCGGCTTTGGCGTTGCAATGGGCATCAACGGCCTCAAGGCTTGTTGTAATGCCCAAAGTATCTATACTAGACCAGCTGACGCCATAGTACAATACTAGGTATGCAAGTAGCTAGAGCTAATTACCAAGGGACTGTTACACCAGACATTGATATGACAACCACAACGAAGATCTGAGAAGATGCTTTGATAAACTACCCCTGCCAAAAACGATATCAGATTAAGAGGCAATAAAAGCGAATTACTGAGAAGAGACGCTAATATCGGCGGCATACAAACCACATCCACATGCGAGCAGATTCCCCTTCGATCCTTTCTAAATCAATATATTCCTGTCATCTCACACTAATATGGCACATTGCACTAATGTGCGACAACAATGGACCCGACAGTCTGGATCCCATCGTCAGTGGTTGAGACGAACAAAGTGACGTATATTAGAAAGAACTAAAAAGACCCTTCAGTACCGATATGACCTCTTTATTGCCAGTATAAAGATAAAGGAAATCTCAAAATAAAGGTGCTATTTTTGTATATTTGATGGTTTCTGTACAACACCAGAGCCGTTAGTCTCCGCATCCTTGGTCTTACGACAATTTCCGTCGCCATAGAGAATACTCTACCCTCTACTCAAGCCGTATACTTTTACGAGATTCTTTGAACTTGCTTCCAAATTATCACCATGACTACTACAGAAACTCAGACTATTCTAGAACAATGTATATCCGTCCCTAAGTCGGAACCGGAAAAGATTTCTGACCCTGTCGAAAATCATGAAAATGTAAGCATACTGCCTTTGATCTCTCATATGAGATCTCCTCGTGTAGAAATCATGGGCCAATGCATCATGGAAGGCGGAGCGGACAATTTCATTCCATTTGAAGACCCTATACGTCCTCACGGGTAATGACTTCAAATGCGTCGTATTTCCACAGGGTGCATTTGCTCTCGCACTAGTCTTATCAAAGGCTGGAGCCGTTATGGCACCGTCACTGGGACGTACGGAAATACTGCTTCGCATACCACTTATGTTTTCTTGGTTATGGCTGCACCTATTAGCCGAGGATCTCGCCAATCAGCGACTACCCGACTCTATTCTTGAGGATAACGTGAATAGACCATGGCGGGCAATACCTACCAAGCGCCCAACGCCCTCGGAGGCGCGAGAATTTCTCCGTGCTACAGTTTGGTTTACAATTGGTAGTAGTTGGCTCATGGGCAGCTTCCTGCCTAGTGTCTCGCTGATCACTATGATATATCTATACAACGACTTGTATGGTAGCAGCGCCGGCCCGCTAGAACGCCATGTTATCAACGCCGCGGCGTTATGTTTCTTTGGATGGGGCGCTGTCGCGACTCTTCTCGGCGGCAACTTCAGTACTGAGGGGACCAAATTGCTCGTTCAATGGATGGCCATCTCGTTTTCGATAGTTGTCACCACAATCCAAGCCCAGGACTTCCCTGATATTGCAGGAGATGAAGCCCGAGGGAGACAAACCGTGCCGTTGATTTACGGCCAGAAGTTTTCACGTTGATGGATGTCATTATTTGTACTAGGCTGGACCATTTTCTGCCCCCTATTCTGGAATGTCACAGTATTTGGCTGGTTGCCAGTACTATTTACCGGAGGTTTCATATCTGTTATGACTCTCCTACGTTGGGACCAGCAGTCTGATGAGATGGTATGGAAGATGTGGTGTGCCTGGGCGATTGTGCTTTATCTGCTGCCCCTTTTTCAGTAGCAGTTCGCGTAACTTGAAACTTAGGTACACGTGGACGTACCTAGGCAGATAAGTTAGATAATCTGCGGCGAAAGGAGTTCTGAATAGAGGCATCTCATGAGGCAAACCATATGAGGGGGTTAATACCTCTGTTGTTGCGCGAAGAGATCGCAAGTAACTGCTACGGGAACTATCGTATACATATACGAATGGCTTCTTTGTTCTAAGGGCTCCCTTGCCCCCACATCGGCGATAAGGGGTTCCTCCGATACCCCCCCAGGATGTATCGCTTCGTATGGTTCAACTACTGACGCCATGTCTTTCCTTCAAGCTGAAAACATTTTTGGAAACTGAAGAATTTCTACATATTTGTCACTCCTTTTTTTATTTACGACTATCAGTAGCTTCGAGACCTACCTACGTTCATTCTATATGATTTTTATAGCCTTGGACGTTTCAAACAGAGGACAACTCTCAGACTTCCAAAGACCGGCTTCGATTCTCTCGAATGTTCCTTGAACGGGAATTAATATCAATAGAACGAATCGTGTTTCCTTATTTCGAATGCGCACGGACAGAGGAGAATTGGAAATAGTAATACCCGCTGGTCATGATATTATCTTGACTCTGACCCTGAAGACAGCGATGATCTTTGCATTTACGCCAAGTCAAGCAAGAAGCGCCAACACCCCGCCGCGGCATTATTAGGGGCATGATCTATATAGATATATTAATGCCGCAAGATTTTGTGTCACAATTCCTAGTGCTCTACTTTCAGTGCTTCCAGTGTTTCCATCAAATATGACCCACAAGGGCTAAGGGGGACGAACTTTAGGTCATAGAACCCAGGAGATATGTACTTACACTGCCACTCAAACACGCCTCATCCTTCAGGCTGCTCTCAATCTAGAGATCAATTAATAGGATATACGCCGTAGTCGGGAATCCGAACAACCCCGACATTAGGTACAATGGTACTTACTTCGGGGTCTAATAAGACCCACATTCCTAAAATGGAATTATGCCAAGCCGGCGTGTCTCGGTATACCGAGGCCGGGGTCGACCAGGCATCCGATATTTCTTCAAGTCCTCCAAGTAGTTCTCTCTTATTTAAATAGCTATTAATATTCTCTCAATTGCTAAGTTGAAGTATCATATACCCACATCCGTCCCTTACTCTGGCACCACCGCACTATTCACTCAAGAACAATACTCACAATGACATCCACAAGCGACCTCTGGCACGACGCCCGCAACCCGCCCGCAGACCCAACACACCTATCCTTCAAGAACAAAGCCGTCCTCGTAACCGGTGCCTACGGCGCAGGATTAGGCCACTTCGCAGCCGTCAAGTACGCCGCACTAGGCGCCAACCCCCTAATCCTCGCCGTCCGAACACAAGAAAAAGGGGAGCAAGCCAAAGCCTCCATCATCCAAAAAACCGGGTGCTTACCTGACATCTTCATCATTGAAACCCTAGACCTTTCGTCTTTCGCATCCGTCAAGTCGTTCGCAGAACGTGTGAATAAGCGTGTTCCTGAGTTACATGTCATCCAGCACGCCGGTGGCGTCGCGGGGTTTAGTTATGTTCGGAGTGGTGATGGGTGGGAGATGGCGGTGCAAGTAGACTTACTATCGCCCGTTCTCTTAACTCTTCTATTACTACCCAAAATGCGCGACACAGCATCATCATCAGACCCCAATGCCTACCGCCCACACATCTCATTCCTAAACAGCCGCGCAATCTTCGGAATCCCAGAAGTCGTTGCTCCGCCCGAAGACCAGACACTGATCCAAGGATGCAACGACGAGGGTAAATGGGACAGCAGAGCGTCGTATTACCTCGTCAAGCTAGCGACATGGTACGCAGTACAGGGTATCGCGGATCTATGTGAAGGTTCCGATATCGTCGTCAACGCCACATGTCCGGGGTTGTGTAACACCAATATGACTAAGGGCCTCCCTACAAGTATCCAATTGATCATGGCGGTGCGGTATTTCTTCGTCGGGCGAAGCGCTGAAGAAGGGGCGCGGACGCTGGTGAGTGCGACGGGGTTGGGGAAGGAGAGTCATGGGCGGTTTTGGATGAATGATCAGTATCCGAAGTGAGTATCTGCCCCTTAAAGCTGAATTCCTATTTCAAATTAGCTAATAAGTTGGGTCTTACTTATAGGATGACCCCATTCCTCGAGAGTGAAAAGTCGACGAAGATGTATCATGAGACGTGGAGTGAGATCCTGTCTATTCTTCGCGATCATGTTCCCCCGGAGCTGATTTAACGGATAATTGTTGGAAGATTCATTTCGGATTCCACTATGTATAATTAATTCTAAATGCAGGTGTAGAGCCTTATCGTGTAGATTGTCAATATATACTTCATCTGCATTATCAATTTACAGCATAGGCTTGAGGTCCTCTGCTACGTGGAATGGAGCCTCGGTCTTGCTCTTTATCTCATCCACCGTTACACCGTCTGCAATCTCGATCAAGGTAAGGCCGTGCGCAAAATCAACATCGAAAACACCCTTCAGAAACGGTTAGCATTAAAAACAATAGTAGATCGGCCGAAAACTTACCAGTTCGGTGATAATCCTAGAGACACAAGCCCGACCCGTTAAGGGGAAAGCACACTGTTTGACGATCTTCGGGTTTCCCTTCTTATCTGTGTGCTCCATCGTGACAACGACTTTTGTCTCGCTCGGGTTACTGACCAAGTCCATCGCTCCGCCAAAACCTTTAACTTTTCCGGGCAACATCCAATTTGCGAGGTCACCCGTACCACTAACTTGCATAGCTCCCAATATTGTTAAGTTGATACGACCGCTTCGGATCATACCGAAACTCTCTTCGCTACCAAACACAGCAGCACCCGGCTTCAGTGTCACTGTCTCCTTTCCGGCATTGATAAGATCGGCATCTTCCTCGCCTTGCCTCGGATACGGGCCAAGGCCCAAGATACCGTTCTCAGACTGTAGCTGAACCTCAACTTCAGGGCCGACGAATCCAGGCGCAAGCATGGGCATACCAATTCCGAGATTAGCATACATGCCATTCTTAAACTCCTTAGCAGCCCTGCGAACAATTCTTTCCCTCTTAGCCGCTGTGTCGCCCGAACCCAACACTTTCTTGGCATCCGCGTCATTATCGTCTTTCGTCCACGTGAATTTTTCGATGTTCTTCTCCGTAGTACTTTGAATAACTCTCTTGACGTATATTCCCGGCAAGTGAATAGCTTCCGGCGCGATCTCGCCGGGCTCAACGATATGCTCGGCTTCAACGATAGTCATCTTAGCATTTCGACCCATAGCACCGTTGAAATTGTTAGCAGCAAGACGGAATTGGCAGTTTCCAAGCTTATCCGCCTTGTACGCCTTGACGAAGGCGTAGTCTCCGGCAATAGCGTGTTCCAAAAGATAAGATTTCCCGTTAAACACCTTTACATCCTTCGGGTACGAGAACACATCGGGTGTTCCATCGCTTTTGTTCTTTAGGGGTAATTCTCCGGTTTGTACGACAGTACCGAAAGCTGCTGGGGTGTAGAAAGCGGGGACACCTTTGCCGCCAGCAGCACAACGTTCGGCTAGAGTGCCTTGAGGTGTGAGTTCCAGCTCCACCTCTCCTGTTAGATACATTTTTTCGAACGTCTTATTCTCGCCGATATAACTAGCGATCATTTTCCTGATCTGCTTAGTCTTCAACAATTGGCCCAATCCAGAGGTATCTGTCCCGGCGTTATTTGAAACTGCCGTGATACCCGTTACTTCGGGTTTCTTTAGAACTTCGTTGATTAGGGTGTCTGGAACACCGCATAGACCAAAACCACCACATAATACCGTTGAATCCGATTTCATATCCTTAAGAGCTTCCGAGGCGGATGGATACACCTTGTTAATCTCGGCACGTCTGGAAGTTGCCGAAAATGCTCGAGCAAATATTCTAGCATGCTATAGTAATTAAATATGTCAATTAAATTGACGATTTTCGGATAACGTTTGTTTATATAGATTTTCACCTACATTTGGGCCATACCGAGAGTATGCCCTTAACGTTCTCATGCACACTGCTGCGGAGGGCATTGCGACAACACTCAATTGGACAGAGCTTTAATTCGTAGGAATAATCGATCTTCAACACGCGATATGGGTCGTAACGGGTACAAAATATATGGCTAAAATCGCTAATGACTTATATCATGATACACTAAAATATAACAAAAGGAAAGATTGAAATAAATCGTAATAATTATGGAAGATCCATGGTCTTAAAGGTAAGTACCCAGGTACGTAAGTTCCAATGTTGGTAATCGTGTTAGAATCGCTTTTCGTTCTCCGCGCTCGGCACGGAAGCTCTCTTCGGCTATGAATGTCGTTTGATTTCCCTAGTAAGTGTCTAGGTGGTCCCTTAATTGGGGAATCCATAGGTACCTAAGTCGATTAATTGCGCGTGGGAAACTGCCGGCATTGTTTATTCTCTCGCGGAAAGTAGCGGCAAAGATGAACACTTATTAAGTTATTATGTAAAGAACATTAGCCAATGCCAGTAGCCGCTCGATAAAACAGACATGGGTAGGGACTGTAAAATGAGGGGCCAACAAGGCTTAAGGGATTTAATTGGTCCGTTACCTCAGCTGCTTCAGCCATATTATGCTAAGCTGTAATAGGAATAGATGCGTCTTATCTCCGTCTTATCTCTTATCGATAGCCAAAACTTTGGGAATTTTTTGAAGTTTCAAGGTTCAAAGGACATGGAATTGAAACAGCGATGGGTCTTCAAATAAAAACAATAAAAATACAGGGAAATTAACTGGACAACCAGATCTGGTCATCATCACTTGCATTTCTCTCCAAGATTTCCGTGGTCGATCGAATATGGAGGAAAGTACAGCGAAACGACGAAAATTAAGTCACGAAAATGGCGAATCAACCCTTGAAGCAGCCAGCGCTTCCGCTGCGACGATGGGTGCTTCCGGCGCAAGCGCTTTCATCCTCGAGACGGAAGAATTGTTAAAGGAGGTTAAACTGGATTATGGCAAGACAACATACAATGTCGAAAATATGTTACGTCGCCTCAAGGAAGTAATCGAAACTTCGGAACCACATGAACCTCTTCCCGTGAGTCTCATTTCCTACGCAAATACTTGGCTGGTGTCTAATTTGTCTTATTTTTCAGATTAACGAAGTATCAACAAACTTTGAAAAATCGAATAAAATAACGATTCCATATCCCGATCCAAAGCCTGCAAAAGACTCTCCATACAAGCTCTCTTTCGATACGCCAGCTCAGATCAATATAGTAGGAAGTTGGATTCTCAAGACTGGTGTCAAATCTCAATCGGATTTAGCTATTGACATGATTGTTGTCATGCCTGAATCCATTTTCCAAGAGAAGGACTACTTGAATATGAGATATTTCTACAAAAGGGCGTACTACCTAGCTTATATCACCGCAAGCCTTCGAACGGCGTTGGCCGGAATGGCTATGGAATTTTGGTTCGATCACCTACATGGCAACCCATTATTGCCCGTAGCGATTACTCGGCCGAAGGAAGGTTCAGGCAAGTCTGGAGCATTTCCTGCGATTCGCATTATTCCATGTGCGCCAGAGAATTACTTTCCAACAACCAAGCTCATGGCTACCAGCAATGCTATCCGTCAGGGTAAAACTGAAGAGACAGAAGATGCGAAATTACCCACACCGTTTTACAACACGACCCTCAAAGCTGAAAGCCAATTTTCAGCATACCTACGACTATTACATCGGGCCACAAATTCGTGTTCTGCTTTCACGGATGCATGTGTTCTAGGACGCATATGGTTGCAACAACGAGGTTTCAGCAGTAATGTCTACGGTGGTGGCTTTGGTCAATTTGAATGGGCTGTCTTAATAGCTCTTCTTCTGCAGGGCGGTGGCCGGAAAGGAGAAGCGGTACTTTCGCCGTCGCTTCATAGCACGCAACTTTTCAAGGCGACTCTACAATACATTGTCACGACGAATTTACAAAAGAAACTAGTGATTATCGGCAAGGATCCTCCTAGTGTGGAAACATTCCGCCAACCTGCGCCGGTCTTATATGATGTCGCCCGCGGGATAAATATCTTATACAAGATGACTCCGTGGTCTATCGCAATGCTAACAGAACAAGCTAAATGGTCTCTTTCCGCAATAAACGACAGTCCACTCGATCAATTCGACCCCCTATTCATCATCAAAGTTGATCAGCCTCTTCAGACGTTCGATTTGCTACTAAGCGTCAATCTCCCAACTTCAAAAGGAGATCTTGAATCAGTTGATCGTAAAGGGTTTATTTGGGATTTCAGCACTAAGCTGTATAACATAGTAAAACGAGCACTTGGTGAGCGGGCGCAACTCATCCACATTCATACTCCCGGAGAAACATTATGGCCGATTTCAGCTGCATCTCCGAAGACAAAAGGAAAGGGTATTCTTGTCGGAATCGTTGTAGATCCTTTGAAAGCATCACAGGGTCGCGAGTATGGTCCTCCGTACGAAGAAAAGAAGGAATCGGCTAAGTTCCGAGAATTCTGGGGCCAGAAGGCAGACCTCTGGCAATTTCCCGACGGAAATATTGTCGAAAGCCTTGACTGGACAGAATATTCTATTCTAGGCTTCTCGGGAATATGTGAAGCCATTATACGGTATATTCTTAGGTTAAGGCTTGAGGTGGCTGATAGCGATCTCGAGTTCTACTGGCAAGATATACCCAAGATTATGTCTCTTGCGCCTTCGGATAAGGTTGCATTTGATGCTGCTAAACAAGCGTTCGAAATATTCGAGCAAGATATCCGCACTCTGGAGGGACTACCTTTACATGTGAAACATATAGCTCCTATTTGCGCGGATCTACGACGCACGTCGCTATCTATACCGGAATTTAACTTCCGAAAACCTCTTCTATACCCGATGGAAGTCGTGATTTCTTTCGAGGTTTCTGGAAAATGGCCTGAAAATCTGTCTGCAATCCAGAGAGCTAAAATTGCATTTTTGCTAAAAATTGGTAGCTCGCTAAAAGAAGTGAAAGAAGACGAAGTCAAGACACACCTTGGACTCGAGAACGCAACTCGTGATGACGAGAATCTGGCATTCCTGGATGTCGTTTATGAGAATGGCGCTTCTTTTAGGCTCAGGGTCCACAGCGACCTTGAGGAGTCACTTCTTGAGAGGAGAACCAAAGACCAAACTATTGAACGCCACATTCGTACAGAAGCTGCCGATCTGCTCGCTTCGTACAAGCGGATGTATACAAATCTACCACTCCACAACCAAACCATGTCCACTTTCTGCACTAGATTCCCCGCGCTGTCTCCTTCCATACGGCTTACCAAGCATTGGTTCAATTCTCATAAGCTTTCATGTCATTTCAATGAAGAGCTTATAGAATTATTCGTCCTGCAAGCCTTCCTCCGTCCGTACCCATGGCAAACTCCGACCAGTGCCATGACCGGGTTTCTCCGAACACTTTTATTGTTAGCAAGGTGGGACTGGCGTGATGAACCTCTCGTCGTGGATTCGTCCGATTCGCTCTCTACTTCGCAGCGATTAGAAATTGGCACTCGGTTAGAAGCATGGCGGAAAATCGACCCCAACATGAACCGCACGGTCCTGTTCGTCGCAACGCCCCACGACGTCAGCGGCGTCGCATACACCCAACACGGCCCCTCTAAAGTCGTGGCTACGCGCATGACTAGTCTAGCCCGATCCGCATGCAAAGCAGTTAAGGAAAAGGGCGCCGACCTTAACATCAGAAGTCTCTTCCAATCCCCATTACGCGATTACGATGTCCTACTACACCTCTCGCCCAAGGTTCTTAAGAGTATAACCCGCGGCGACGATGATACCGCCCGACGCTCGCGGTTTAAGAATCTGGATACCGGATTCGATGGCCCGCGCGCGACAACCCTCCCCTTACCCGAACACCCCGCACAGACTCTTCTCAAGCAATTAAACGCCGCGTACGCGAGTCCGCTACTCTTCTTCCATGGTGGGGCTGATGATAATGTCATCGCCGCGTTGTGGAATCCGCAATTACATCGTAGGACGTTTACTGTGCATATGCCGTGTTCGTTGAGATCGGCTGGGGCGGGGGATGGGGAGGGGAAGAAAGATAAGAAGAAAAAGGATAAGGGTAAAAAAGATAAGGAAAGGGGAGATGAGGGCGAGGAGGAATTGTTCGAGGTTAATAAAAATGCGATACTAGCGGAGATCGCGAGGATCGGCGGGGATTTGATTGAGAGGGTTGAGGTTATGGGTGCTGCGTAAGTGCCTAGGTGGATTGAAAGCTGGAGGTCGGCGAGGAGGGGGGAATATAGGATATAGAGGGATGGATATGGAGGTGTATATATGGTGGTCGGTGGTTGGTGGGCGGTAAAAATAATATTAATGAGAACATTGCGTTTGAAAGTACGTCTCTTTGTGCTGGTGATAAGTCTTAATGATTTTCTTGAATTTAGGAACCTAAAATGATACTCAAGTGTCCAGTCACGTATAGTCTACCCCCATCAATCCAATAAATAGACCCATCACTTATAGAAATAAATATGCATTCATGAAATTACATTTCTATCATAGACTCCATTACTCCATCATCTCATGCAGACATCAAACACCATGGAGTCGTGATCGTAATTGCAGTCGTAGGGGATAATCATTAAGGGGAGTTAAACATGCTAAAAGCGAAGAATTCCGTATAATGCAACCGACGGAAACGATAAAACAATGCGAAGCCCACCAAAAATGCAAACATATGTGTGAAACCAGCTACGGAAACGGGTAGGTAGAATTCATTAGTCCTCAGGAAATAATTCCTTTAGATTACTAACGAAAATCCCCCTCTCACCATCCCAGCGCTTGAAGAATTTACCCGCCATCGGCATTAAATCCTTGATTTCGGGGGGTAATACCTCGGGGCCTCCACGGAGCTCTACGACTTCTATGTTCTCCTCGGATATGACATGGTGGTCTGATCCATCAGTACCGACCCTACATTTCTGTTAGCACGTTGCGTATGTTATTGAATTGAGAATGTTAATAGGTGACTTACATGCACCGATAAAACGGCTGACTATACGTAGTCCACGGTCTCTGGGCGGGGGACATCGGATTATCGTCCCAAGTCGACGCGCCCTCGACGGTCCAGCCTAGGATAAGGCCATGGTATTCGTAGCGCCTGTGTCTGAAGACCTGACCGACGCGATACTTGACATTAACCCCCTTTGAAAGATCTATTCTACTGCGTGGTGGTTTCGGCGACGCATCCACGCGACGAATCTCACGGATCTGGTCGCGGATACGTTTGGAGGGGAGTTCACGCTCGTTGTGGTGGCGCATGGGCGGGGCGAAGATGTCGTACATGGGACACACGTACTTCTCGACAAGCCACGAGTCTTCGGGGAAGTATTCGTAGAAGTAAGTGCGTAAGTCCCCGACATCTTGTTGCCAGTCCCAACGGACCTCGTCATTCTCTGGTAGCACGGGGACCATCATTATACTTGCCCATATCATGCTGTATAGAGCTGGCTGGAGGTTACGAGCCCAGTCGCCGCGGTTGAGTTCGATCATTGGAATGAGTTGGGAGAGGGGACGCTCGTTAGTGCGGAAGCTGGTAAAGGAGGCTCGAATGTTTTGGGCGGTACGCATTACGATAAGATCCGTAGCCGTTGGTTGCAGTAGATTTTCATGGCCGGAGTTGATTCCAAGTCGGGATAGGAAACTATGAATATAATCTAGCGGAACCTCCTCATCTGATCCATACGGGTCAAGGAACATGTTCTCCTGGTTCTTGGACTGTCCTTCCGGAAGAATTTCGCCATCCAATGACATGCCCGGCGGTGATAGGACTGTTGCGTGAACATGATTCGGCAAGGCACAGGGGTATGCTTCCAGTCCGAGTCGGGACGCTATAGCCGAGTAAATCGCAGCAGAAATAATAGGTAGCGATGGATGGTGTTCATCTCGGAGGGCTCTGCCTATCAAACAGTTGCGCAGATAACGGTAGGTTTGTTCCGTAGGATCGCTCAAACCCGTCATATTGTTTGAATGAAGCCACTGGGCCAGCGCGACGGCTCTTTGTCGAGTGGTCATTCGATGGAGACTTCCGTGAGCTCTGAGGAAACGAGTGGCGATATCATCCAGAAGCTCGGTAATCTATGAAGTGGGGTGCGAAGTCAGTCAAAGGCCTAGACTCAACAGAATATTTAAACATACTTCGTCTAAGTCACCTTCATTATCGTGAAGCATGAACATATCAAAAGCACCTAGGGCACGCTCGAGGCGCATGCCGCAGTTCAGTCTTTCGCTATTCGGGGTATCTTCGCCGATGTGACGTGATGCATATTTCTGATATTTGGCCCATTCTTCTATTGCGAGGCTTCTATGTATACTGTCGAGGACGGAACAGGAGTAATATCTACAATTCATCGAGAACGATTCGCCATTAGCACATTTATGGATAAATCGCAAATTGAGCAGAAATACCTTCGCGCCAAAACGTCTTCCGTATTGTCCGAAACTCGACACTGGCTAAGAAGATAATCCTTTGCATCATATCCGTACTGGCAAATCTGTTCTATCTTTTGTAATCGGGATACACGAGAGGTGACAATGCCATCGACTAGTTGGACGATCTGGTTGTTACGTATAAGTCGTTGGATGAAGAGTCGCTTCCAGTCGGTATCGTGTATATGGGTTCTTAATCTCTCTTTGAAGTGATGTTCCGAGTTCCAGTATTTGAATGTTTCTAGACAATAACATCTCCAAAGAAGGGGTTCTTGCGCGACTCGGTTGAAACGTTTAGATAGTCGTGCGACCTTTGTCAGGGTCTCCTCCGGGGAGACGTAGAGTAGGATTTGGTGGACGATTTCGTCGGGTAGGGAATCGAGTGAAGCCATCTTTTCCTCCAATATGTGATTATCTAGAGGGCAAGGTCAACTTGCGAGAAAGATGGTGGGAAAGGGAATATAAGTATAAGAAGTTGAAAGTCGTGGGACAAGTTATCGCCGAGAGGGCAATAATTGTCCGCGCCGAATCGGGGATTACTTAGGTATGTAAAGAAGGAAGTGATGCGGAAGGGTCTCATGCGACCAACTGCGACGAAGAGAAGAGTCTAATGCGAACTGTAATGCGAATTTCAATGGGTCTGATACGTCAGGCAGCGGTAGTTATAGTGGGTCTACGTGTAGCTAGTACATTTATAGTAGCAATGTCTTTATCACCCCACCTTTGAAGAATAAAGTGGTTGGACCTCAAGGTTCTTACTATTGGTGCTAGTCCCAAATGGGATTATCAAATATATAATAAATTAGGCTAGTCCTATTGAAGGTAAAATGCATGTGCTGTCATAGCTTAAGTTTTTAAGTACCTTTTAGCGTAGTATTATAAGGTATAATCAACCTCTATTTAGAAGCTTTGGTCTCGGCAACTTTTTACACCTGCCAAAGTAAACACAAGCAAACGCGTCTTGTCCAACAAAAATAATTCCATATGTTGCGAGGTCGACTACGAATTGTAAATCTCCTCTTGTCTTTTTCAAGATAATTTACAATTACATTTTCTATACACTCGATTCAAGCCAGTGTTTACCATGATTAGCTAATTCTTCATTTTATTATCTAATTTCATGGTTATTCCAAATACGCGCTGGTATTATCGCGATATTCAATCCCACCACTGTCGCTACCATCGTCACCACCAACACCACGTATAAGGCGTCAACCTACTTGATCCACCGTCGAGATGGACGACACACCTCGCACCAACCTGGGGAATGCAACCTACCTCAGTCAAGGGCCCCCAGATTTCGACTTAACGCAAGAATCGTCTTTCCAGACCCCGCAAAAAAACAACAACATATTCCAACGTGGCGTCAATTTGCGAACACCCCGTGGAAGCAATCGCGCACCTTTAGGTGATAGAGGGAACTTCTTACCAGCAGGTTTAGGTGGTGCCGAATTCACCCCCATGCTAAAGTCCGCAACGAGAAACAGCGCGCGTCGATTCGGCAAGGAAAATACAAATGGTGTAGCTACACCTGCCCTAGGCAAAATCGACGAAGATGGAGATATGACAAACGTTCCCGTCGAATCCTCCTTATACGGTCCCTCGAGAGGCGAATCATACGTCGATGCCACACCTTTACCACATGTCGAAACTAGCAGCGCCGCATCCACACCATTAGCCGTGTTACCACGACGCGGCGGCAACAAAGGTCCTTTACAGGATGGAAACCAACTATCACTTCGAGAGCAGGAAAATGTTATCGACAGAATCGAAAAAGAGAACTTCGGTCTGAAACTCAAAATTCATTTCCTTGAGGAGGCATTGCGGAAAACAGGTCCCGGCTTTAGCGAAGCTGCTCTGAAGGAAAACACCGAACTAAAAGTCGATAAGGTCCAGATGCAAAGGGATCTTCACACATACAAGAAGCATCTAGCTTCGGCAGAGAAGGACCTTGAGGCATATCAGCAACAAATCTTGGAAGTTCAAGAGAAGGCCAAGAAGAAGTATGCTGATGAGAGCCAAAGGGCCGAGATCGAAGCATTACGACGACGCTTAGAAGACAGAGATGCCGAGATTGAAGACCTACAGCGACAACTACAGAGAGGAACTAGGGACCAAGGAGAGGTGGATCGACTACAAGATGAGATCGGCGACCTCGAGGCAGATTTGCGACAAAAAGATCGAGAAATCAACGAACGCGAAGAGGAAGTAGACGAATTAAAAAATAAGTTAGAAGATGCTGAAGAAAAATGGAAGTCAGCACAGAGTAAAATGTCCGAGCTTGAAGCGCACGCTCAACCCACCGAAGATCTAGGGAAGATAGATCAACTACAGGAGAAGATTCGAGAGTTAGAGGGCGACCTGCGCGAAAAGGATATGGAGATCAATGACCGAGACGAAGAGCTTAATGATCTAGAGGAGAAACTTGGACAGGCGGAAGAAAAGTGGCAATCTGCCCAACAGCGGATAACGGAGCTTCAACAAAATACCCAAGCGAGCGAGGAACTCGATGAGGCGAAGGGCACTATCGAGGATCTCGAATCAGATGTTCGACAGCTCGAGCAACAGCTTGAAGAGATGAAAGACCGACTTCAAACCGCAATGTCAGAAAAAGACCGCGCAGAAGCAGATCTTGAGGAACTCCAAGACGAGATGTCGAACAAGTCTCTAGTTACCAAAGGACTCTCCCGCCAAGTCGAAGAGAAAGTCGTACGCTTACAGACTGAAGTTAGCCATTGGCAGGAAAGGTACGCTGCTCTCGAGAAGGACGCATCTCAGAAGGGAAAATTCGCCACGGAAGTGAGCTCCAAAGCTGAACAACTCCTGCAACAACGGGAGTCTTGGGATCGCGAACGGCAGCTCCTTGCGTCAAAACTCGATACTGCGCAAAAAGATTTACAAACGCGCACAGACGAGAAGAACCTTCTCCAACTTCGCCATGATGCATTGGGCGATGAGTCAGCATCCCTACAACGAGACATTGCTCGGCTCAAAAAGCAAATTGACGATCTAGAACTTAGTCTCGATCAAGAGAAGACACATAGTTCGCAAATCGAACGCGATTTGAACCGCAAGCATCAGTCGGAGGTTAGCCGCCTCAATGATGGTATTGCCGATCTTCAGGATGAACTTCGCCGAGTACGCCAAGAAGCATCAGGGGGTCAGTCAGCATCAGCTTCACTAGAGCGAGAGGTCGCGCGCTTGCAAAAACGCGTTAGCGAACTCGAGGCAGACCTGGGTCAGGAGAAGTCACGCGGCCTACAAAACTTGTACGAAGCAAACGCTAAGCACAAGGAAGAAGTGGACCGTTTGAACGATGATGTCCTTGATCTACAGGATGAGATCGAGCGAGTGCGCAAAGAAGCGTCGGGAGGTCAATCTGCGTCCGCGTCATTAGAAAGAGAGGTCGATCGTTTGCAGAAGCGGATTCAAGAACTGGAAACAAGCTTGGATCACGAGCGGGCGAACGCACGAGTTCGTCAAAATACTTCTGGAGATGAATCCTCTTCGTTGCAGCGAGAAATATCCCGCTTACGAAGCCAAGTTGGCGACCTTGAACTTAATCTAGATCAGGAAAGGAGCCATGGCCGCCAAATTGAGCGAGATGTCCGTGCTCAATTGAAATCGGAGATCGAACGGCTGAACGACGATATATCGCAGCTGCACACCGACATTCGCGAGAAGGACAATCTCTTATCCAGTGATCGTGAAAAGTGGCATGCCGAGAGACGCGACCTGGAAGCGCAACGAGATCGTCTAGAGGAACGGGCCATTGGTCTTGAACGTACCATCGACCGTTTGCGCGATGCTGAAGGGACACTATCTAGCAAGGAGATGAGATTGCAAGATGCCCTTAATAGTGAAACCCAGCGCCACAAGAAGGAAGAAGCGGCCCTCAGTCGTCAGATAGACGATTTGCGACAAGATTTCGAAGAACGTCAATCTTCACTGGCGGCGCTTCGTAATGAGATTTCTGCCCTCCGCGAAGAGCTTCAACAAAGCCAAACGGAATGCCAAGTACAGGCTGAGGAAATAGAGGCTTTACAAGATGAAGTCGAAGTTCTTCAGGCGACTTTGGACGAAGAATCGGAGGATGCTGTTCAGAAGCTGACCGAAGCTGACCGCGTATGCCAAGACCTTAGACGACAGCTCGATTTAGCGAAGCGCGACCAGTCACTTAAGGCAGGCAACCTTGGTGGGCAATTAGAAGAAGCCAACCAGGTTTCTGACAATTTAAGGCGACAACTTGAAGAGACCAACCGAAAACTTCGCGATGCTGAGCGCCAATGTGAACGCCTGAAACATCAGGCAGAACGAGCGTCTCGACATGAGTCGAAGCAGTCCGATCAAAAGTTGGAAGAAGCCAACCGCACCGTCGAAGGGCTAAGGCGAGACTTAAATCGAGCGACCAGACAATCCGAGAAAGCGAATCGCCTATGTGAAGAGTTACGAGAGCAACTAGAATTAGCAAAGCAAGATCTAGACTATGCCACCCCACTATGCAGAGAACTTCGCCAGAAGCTTGACCAAGCGCGGAGTGAACGTGCCGCATACAAAGCTTCAGCCGAGAAGTTACAGGCCGACTGCGAACGACTACAAGAGGGCGCTAAAGAAGCACTGGCCTGGATCGAGGCAAAGAATGCCGAATCTTCTGATAACCCTTCTACACCTTACACACCACATATAGTCAAGAAGGGCAACAAGGCAAGCTTTCGGTATGGCGATATCGTCATGGATGTGGTGGACCAACGGGATCACGAGGCTGTTATTCGAGCAGCGGACTCAGCAGAGAAGCGTCATATTAAAGAAATTCGCGGTATGGCATTACAGATGCAATGGATGCAAGCGCGGTGGGAACGCGAAGCCAAGTTACGAAACGACGCAGCATTCGCCAAGAAGTTCCTCTCGCTGCAATTGGAGATTGCTGATGCTTGGTATGTTTCTATCCTATTTCCCCTTCCTATCTTTACTTCTACATAACATTAAACTAACACCCTCATAGCAATAAAGCAGATATCCGCATACTCCGCGGCATCCACAAACAACTCGGCATCCAATCGCCGGACTCGCTCCTCTTATCTAGGAAACGCGAAGCATCTAAAAACGCACCAAATAATCTCCGCGTATTCTTAAACGTACTTCGCGCCGTCGCACGCATGCGGATCAGCGCGAGGAACTGGGGCGAACACGAGTGCACGAGGAAGAAGCTCGTTAATGCGTGGGAAGAGAGTCAGAAAAGGGGCGTTGAAGAGGAAATTGCTTAAGCTTGCATGGTCTACATTTTCGGTTTGATTCGTCGATTTGAGTCGAGTTCTATTCTAGCATCGACCTATACCCCCCAGGTCTGGAGTTTGTGTATTCATATTGCATCGTCTGATTGACGGACAGATGCCTCGGGATTGCATTTTGGCCTTACTATGGATAATAAGGCAGATATGGCGTAAGCAGGATGGTCGGGATAGGGTAGGATAACTCATTAAGGGGCTAGGACAGTGGGTTGGATGAATAGGTACAATTGATAAGACGTAGTTTGTTTACTACGAAATCAGACAGGCAGGCGACTACCTAAAGCAATAGAAAGGACACTTAGTTTACCTAGTGAATTCTCTTATAACTCTAATTCTAAGTTTATAGCGCTGTCAATAGGTTGGATAGGTTCATCCCAAACTTCAATGTTCGGAAGTATCGAACTCATTACAGGCGGTCTGTTCTTCCCAACATTGGAAACATTGGAAGCAATATAATACGCGTCTCCGCTCACCCGGCAGCTTAAATATCATTCCTGTTTATCCAACAAAACGTACAGTACATACCAGCAATTCATACACCAATAATATTCCAATAATTGTCAAGATGTCTGGAAATTCCGAAATTCTCAGCCCCATCGATCCCGACTTCAAGAAAGAAACCCCACCGATGGGAGACCTTGAACGAAGATTAAGCCATGCCCTGTCCATTCACAGCGTAGTTTCAACCTCATCCTCATCCGCCGAGATCAACACAACACCATCATTCACCAAAATCGGCGCCGGCGCATGCGGTGCCATTTTTGCCGAGGCCGGGAAATCCCTCGTCGCGAAACTTGCCAAGAACCCGGGTCTGGAGTTATGGAATGATTACAAAATGCACACGCTTATATACGAGAAGGCAACACCTCTCGGTGCCAGGATCCGAATCCCACGACCGTATTTCTTCGTGCCGGGGGACGACGCGGAATACTTTGAAAAGCATACTACTTTGGTTGAGGCCGCGGAGGATATATGTAATTTGCCGACACATGTTCTTGTGACCGAACGGATTGTACCGCTGCCGCAGATTACGAGAACCCTTTTAATCGAGAAGTACTGCAGCCCACACCTACAACCCAGTGCACTAGCATGCGCCGGGAACCGAGATTGTCTCGTAAGGGTGTACCTAGGGTCCTCGAACGGGAAGAGTGGACGAAGTTTCTTCTCACTACGAAACTTCAAGCTCCACCTTAACCAACTCGCGGAGCTCGACCTAGACCTAGACACCATAACATCCCGCATGGCAGAAGCCCTCGCCATCATGCACTGGGCCGCGAAAACCGATGCCCGCGATGTAGAATTCGTGTTGGGACACTCAGCACAAGAGATCCCGATATCTCCGAAAACCCATGATGAGATATCCAACATGGAGCCAAATTCGTTCACAGGCCCATCGTCGCGCGTCCACGATGACTTCTTTCACCGCACAACCGAGCTATGGTTACTAGACTTCAACCAAGTTTGGCCCGTCACTATGGACCAAGCTGGTGTTGACGGCATGGTAGACGCATTCAAAGCCAATGACCCTTACTACCCAAGACCACTGCAGGAGGGCCAATTTGCTCGACGGCTTTGGAACCAATTTGTGGAGAACTACTTGAGCGTGGCAGATTCTATCATGGGCGAAATGAAGCAACTACCGCGATTGTTTCTCGAGGGAATTATTGAAGCGGAACGGGCGAAGGCGCAGAGAAATGCCTAGGATCATAATTGGACTGAATTTCGAGTATATGTTAATAAAAATATAATCATTCACTCATAGTACGCTCTATATACCTAGGTAGTGTCGCTCTTGTAATACCAGTCATACTTAAGCTGATCCTAATTCGAAATGTACCTAGGTATTCTCCCCCTTTTTCAATGTCGCTACTTACATGGCCATTCACCCATTACGGTGTCTTGGTTTCACGCTTTGACGGGTATTGAATGGGATTAAGATTGAAGTATAAGACTTCGTCGGAGCTGCGCCATCTGCCCTGAGTTCACGTCGAAAGCAGCCAGGTATGCACGTAGCCACCACATACAGATTTATACGACTTAGAGTCTCTCTCGCTTGCCTAGTAGGCGAATACGTCTAGTCCCATTTCTCTGATCTAAAGTAAATGATTAATTTTTGATATTACATGAGGACAGAGCATCGACCAAAATTGCCACCATGTTGGGCTTCATCTCTTCCATCTCCTTGCACATATTATCCCATAGACTGAGGCAATAACCTCATCTACAATCGGGCACCACCTACATCTCAAGCAAACCTTCTATCAAGTAGCAAATTAAGTCGAGTATCGAGCACAAGACTCCCACCTACAACACCCTAGCGCTACGGATCAACCGCGGAATTGCGCGAAGTCCAATAGTCTCGATCTGGACTTTCGGTCTTTGGAGCCGTCATCACGCTTGCGAGTCGTATCGCGCACCTTAGAACGACAGTCTGCCTTCTCGCACTGGTTATCAGACCACCCAAGCGAAAGGTCATCTGCCCACCAGGTTTTGGGCACATCGTCCACCTTAAGGCTGATTTGGACTGATGTAAGTCGATCAAATCCTGTGAAAACCACGGGAGAAAGCTTGCAGTGGCTCATTGAAGGACATCCTGGGACACTTGCTGTTTGCCAAACCACTTCCTTCTCTTGTCGAGATTGCTCATCAAATCGAAGTCCCGTGAAGTTAAAGACACAAGGGGATTCTTGAGAATCGCACCCAAGACTAAACCCGTTGAAGTTGAATGGGAAGCAAGACGATGATATCTGTGGGCCAACGCTGATCTTCGCTGTATCAGAGGGTACACCGGGCTCGGTAAGATTGGAAATCGACGATGGTGTGAATTGGATCATTAGGTTCCCGGAAGACGGGTCAAACGGAGCAGGTGGTGGAGGAAGAACATCGAACCCGGACGAGAAATAAAATCGATGGTAAGGGCTAAATAGTGGCATCGCCTTCGAGCCTCCTCCGAGAGGTGGAAGGTCATCGAACTATCAAAGTAACAAGAGTATTAGCCATACATCTAATAGTTATTGGGGGGTCTATCACTTACGTTGAATGTGAAGTCGCCCAGATCGGCCCGGTTCCCGCAGGCGGGAGGCGAAGGTCCGTCACTCTGGGAGAGAGACTTAGTGGTTGAAGCAGGTGAGCGTACGACGACCGTTGCTAGTGTGGATGGACCGGGTAATTCGGCATTATCTCGAGAGAAGATATAGCCTCCAGTGGTTTGAGTTGGGGCCGCATTGAAAACGCTGTTTTGCTCGGTAACGTAAGTTTCCTCGGGTAGCGTGGTACTGGTGTCTATGCTGTTTACTGTTGCAAGTAGAGCACACCATGAGAGCGTCTTCGAAGCCATCGTTACCGAAGTCATTTTCACACATTCCACCAAGGGACCGGTCGGAATCTCAGTAATCGACGGTGCGGCAACAGGCGCTGGGAAGCTAGGGACAGGAGGAAGAGACACAGCGGGGATTGACTCCGTTGGAGTGGCATTCCAACCGCTGGTCGGTACGACGGATATCGGGGATCGTGAAGGAGAGAAAGTGTTAGTTGGGAGAGCCCCCGATATACCAGAACCAGAACTCGTGTCGCATGGAACTGAGCCGCCTTGGTTTGCAGAAGGTTCAGCTGTTAAAACGAGCATAGTTAGCAACTGTTCGACTTTCAATAGACTTTCGGGGGAGCTGTCCTATTACGAAGGGATAGCAGGCATGGACTTACCCGTTGCTGTCAAAGATTCCTCTGGAATAGTCACTGTGTGTGTTGGACCGCCTGCTCTAGTAGAGATGACGGTGACTGTCTCTTGTCCTCCAGGTCCAGCTGTAAATCCAGACTGAGAGCCCGAACCACCAATTTGAGGTGTTGGATGGCCGGCTCCATAACCACCGGCTGGGACGGAGTCGGTTGGCGTACCGGCATCAGGATTGCCGCTTACACCAGCACCAGAGCCAATTCCAGATGCTCCAGGGCCACTGGATGGCTGACCTGAAGGGTTTCCTCCATAGCCCCCAGGACCCTCTGGAACTCCCGAACCTCCCGAACCTCCCGAACCCCCTGGGACGGTAACAGTAACGGTTGGCTCACCTGGCTCTCCGGGACCAGTCACAGTAACAGTGGGTTCGCCAGATCCTCCAGGTCCATTTGGAATACCTTGTCCACCAGGGCCACCGTTAGATCCCGACCCTGCACCTGTACCTGCACCAGATCCAGACCCAGATCCAGGGGCAGTCACAGTGATAGTTGGTAGATACGCACCGCCCCCATTGCTACCTTCGGCTCCCCCAGATGGGTTTCCAGAACCAAAACCGGGTGACGAAGGATTGCCTCCATTGCTGCCGCCGGGGCCTCCCCATGGATTTCCAGGAGCGGTCGCGGTAATTGTCGGAAGTGCTGGGTTCCCGCCTCCATTACCGCCTAAACCTCCGGATGGGTTTTCAGGGACGGTGACAGTGACTGCTGTCGGAAAAGCGCCACTGCCTCCACCAGAGCCGCCATTGGGGCCAGTGACAATGATTGTATTCGGGTGCGACACAGAACCGGACTCGCCCTCTGGGCATGGAGTTGTACCCTGGCCTTGCGATCCTCCGGAGTTGCCTGCCGATTCGCCGGGTCCTGAAACTGTAAAAGTCGGGGGTACACCTTGACCACCTGGGCCACCGAGCCCTCCTGAGGGATTGCCTGATTGGCCACCTGCATTTGTAAGCGTGGTACTATGTGAGGGCGACAAGGGATACTTACTTCCAGAACCTCCAGGCCCTCCAGCTCCATTGCTTGGCAGCTCTCCTGGTGCTGTTACTGTAATAGTGTGGGGAACACCCTGACCGCCAGCTCCTCCGGGTCCGCCAGCAGAATTGCCCGGTGATAGGCCTGGTGCTGTAAACGTAATGGTCTCGACGGCGCCAGGTGTGAGATTAGTGCCAGTGACGGTAACAACGAGCGGGGTGGAACTTTCTTCAGGGCATGGTGTGCTGCTAGGATTGCTTGGAGATTCTTCCGGACCAGTTACAGTGACCGTTTGGGGGTTGTTACCACCGTTGCCTGGTAGTCCTTGTCCGCCGGGACCTCCGGAGCCACCGGGGCCAGAACCGCCAGAACCGCCAGAACCACCAGGACCACTAGAGCCGCCAGAACCGCCGGCAGGGTTACTTGGGTAAATGCCTGGTGCTGTCAAGGTTACGGTGTACGGGATACCTTGTCCGCCTGGAACTTCGGGGTTGTTTGCGGTGCCGGTAACTGTGATGACCTCTGGAGTAGAGCCTGAGAACGCTCCCGATGGACCAGAGCCGCTCCCTTCCGGGCAGGGTGAGGTCTCGGGGTTACCAGGCGATCCGGTTGGGACTGTGACGGTGAAGGTTTCGGGAATGCCTTGTCCACCTGGACCCCCAGGTCCTTCGGAGCCACCGGCAGGACTACTTGGCGATTCTCCTGGGGCAGTTATGGTGATAGTCTGAGGACCACTCTGACCACCTGAAACTCCAGAGCCTCCAGGACCTTCCGAGCCGCCCGCGGGATTGCTTGGTGATTCTCCTGGCGCACTCAAAGTGATAGTGAAAGGAACGCTCTGACCTCCGGGACCTCCAGCACCATTTCCAGACCCACCTGGTGCGGTCCAAATTGTGGTCTCGGAAACTCCTTGGCCGCCTGGCCCACCTGCGCCTCCAGCATTGCCAGTAGACTCACACGGAGTTGTAGTAGCAGGATTGCCAGTGCCGCCAGAGCCACCTGACCCACCAGACCCACTACCACCGTTTGGACCTCCTTGAGAACCCGGGCCACCAGGGTATCCAGCTGACTCAGATGGCCAAACGACAACGATCGTCTCAGAAGTCTCTGGGCCATTTGGACCACCTTGGCCAGCACCACTTGGTGATCCTCCAGGGGCTGTAATTGTGATAGTACCGAATGGGGGACTTCCTCCATTGCCTCCTCCTGACAATGTCTCTGTGAAGGGATATTGGCCTGGTGAAGAAGAGATACCGAATGGGCCGGGGTAGATAGTTGTGACTCCTCCTGCATTGCCTCCCGATGGTTGAACACCTTGTCCGCCAGGGCCACCGTTGCCTGGTACACCAGAGCCGGACTGAGGACCACCAGGGCTCACAATAGTATAAGTGTAGGGGCCGCTAGAAGAACCGGTGTTGGTAGGAGCAGGGGGCAGAGTGATAGTGAGGAAATCAGTAGACCAGGGAACTCCTCCAGACGACTCAGTGTTACATGGGATAGTAATGGTTCTAGACGGAGACCAACCAATTGGCGAAGTGGAAGGCTGGAAACCATTGGTACCGGAGGAACCGAAACCACCTTGGCCACCTTGGCCAGATCCAGATCCCGAACCGACAGTGGAAACAATGGTAGAATAGACGGTGGACACGATGGTGGGCAGAACAGAAGGAGTAACAGTAACGAAGATAGTGGATTCACCAACGGGACAGGTTCCAGCGCCATTGCCAGCACCACTACCAGCACCACTACCGGCACCGTTGCCAGTGCCACTACCAGCTCCATTGCCATTGCTACCGCTTCCACTATTGCCGCCGGCGGTGGTTGTATGTCTTTCAAGGCATGTCAGTATCGTGAAATGTCAATAGTCAATTGGTTTGATCTGTCAATCACATACCCATTGCCGTATGCTTGTGCTGTGGCCGATCCTACGAGCCCGAGAGCCCCTAGGACGCCCACAAGGGCGTTGTTCCGCATGTTCGAAGTGATCTGTAATCTGTGGTATGCTTTGCAGGTGGTTGAAGTAATAAATAACGAATGACGATGGTTGAGTCAAGCAGGGTGATAATGAGAATGAAAGATGGTGAGCGATGGAGTGAGAGAATGAAAAAAAGAAGAGGGACTTAGATTGAGAAATGGGAGATGGGAAGAGAATTTGCGTTTGAAACGTTATTTCCACCGTGCCTTCCTGATCGATGTTGGATGTTTCCTTTTTTCTTGAGGATAGAAGGAAGGCGTCGATGGTGAAAACTTAATATCATGTCATGTGTCATAGTAAGGTTTCTGATATGGCAACATCGACCGACGTACATACCCCCTTCAAGAGCTTCTGCCATGCTACCCTTACTCCCATGTTTCCTGTTTTTCTCCTAGAGCGACGTAGTACTTGATGAGGTGAAGCTTTGCGGAAAAGCAACAACAATTCAGAAGTAACTCTTACGAAGCAACTATAGCTGAACTAGATGTTACTTAACACAGGCTTGGACTATTTTCATTTTTATCAATTGCCCGACCTGATATATACCCGTAAGACGCGGTGAATAAATCATGTACCCAGAGGCAGGATGCTTTCCATCTGTGAGTTGCAAGGCAGTGACGGCATCAGGAGATACTTGGACTGTGAGAATCGTGAAATGTAGCCTTGCTAGATTGATGCGGGTGGATGCCTTTGTTTCCACTCGAGTATCACTCTGAGTTTATGTTTGCATGGCACGACAACAATGTGTTGAGAATGGTAGCAGTTTCCAAGTCTTCGAGGAACACCTTCCTCTCTTGAAAAACTTTGTGATGATACTCCATTACGTAGACAAACGAGGTTGTGTAGCTCCTTCCAAAGGACGTGGAAGAATCGAAATGGGAACTAAAGGACCGTCGTACTTGCTTCCATACGCAAGTACGCATTCGCGTTAGGCAGCCGCCCTAAATTCCGATGAAGTCGCTCTCTTAGGAGGGAAGTTAGCAGGTTGGAAGAACTCGTTACGTAAGCAGAGACCCCTAAGAAATGGGAAATCAATCGACTTACATAATAGATCTGGTTGCTTAGTAATTCTGTAGGTTTCAGCAACGCAGATGTCATGACAATGTTCTAGTTAGAAGATGCGAGATTACCCACGCTGGAAATCTCGGTTTGAATATCTCTAATTGTATCGCAAGAGATTTCTGATGTGTGCACATATCGAATTCAAATTCAATAGTAGAATTTTCTGTCTTCATAAACGTTTCACACTTAAGCTAGTGTACGTAGTAGCTAGGCACCGAAACCACATCGTGATCAATTCTCATAATACATAGGCCAAAACAAAATGCTGAAAAGTGAGATTCGTCAAGTTCCAATTGATCCAGCTGTAGATAATTATACAGGGTTGTCCACATACGGCGGAGGTGGTTCATCAGGGCCGTGCTCCTGCGATTCTCCCGGAACATCAGCGGGAGGGGCAGAAACGGATGATCCTCTTGCCTGTTGTTCAAGCTTGGCTGTCCAGAGCGCTGCGCCTGTCGTCGAGGTCAAGAGGAAAAAGAAAGATAGGATGGGTATGAGCTCGAGAATCATTGCTATGGTACCGAACCATATGTTTTCCCACATCCTTTTTCTAACCTCTGCCTTGCGCTCCTTCTTCGTCAACCCTCTAAGATCGAACCACCTGTAGTGCGCGAATGTCCCCAATCGAGCGCCCGTAATTATAATAAAGGCAGGAGTTCCGACGTAGGGAATAAGGTTGAGGGGTAGGAAGATGATCAACTCGACAATTTGGATTAAGCTCCATGGCTGATAGATGGCGGCGCTTGTTGGCTTGCCAAGTTTCTTAACGGACGTGGGCGCATCGGCGAAGAGGAGTCGGTGCGGCGCGACGAGATCATCAAGACCTAGATCTAAGAGAGTTGCCTAGTGGTTGTCAGTCTTATCTGGAATTGATTACTGTGATGAGAAGAGGCAACCTACATCAAAAACATCCACGCGACACTCATCAACGAAGAAGCCTTCAAATAAACCTTGGATAATAACCAGACCCTCACCCAAGACTAGTACCACCGCATTAAACCATGCGCCTGACAAACCGTGGAATAGAGCCAAGAAAGCATACTGAGGTAAAAATGCAAATGTGAATAGGATCAAATACACTAGGAAAGAGATGATAGACAGAGGAAGAAGTCTTCCAATGAAGAGAGGGTAATAGGAAGGATGACGTAGGAAGTAGTAGATGCCTCGTAGAGGATATGAGGCCGCGATCAATGCTCGTGATAAATAACCAAGGGGTCTTCCTAGCGGTCGCGTAGGTTTTGGAAGACGAATTTGGGGCTCCATTGCATCGTCGATATAGGTGTTGAAGGGAAAATAAAGTAGAGAGTTGTTAACGCATCCTTGACATGTGTTATTATAATTTGGCAGCCTAGATTGGTTTCAACGTAATTAGGCGAGAGCTGATGACATAGTGAATCCTTGGATACTCAGCGTATTACCTAATCCAAGCTTGCTAGCCTGCTGACTCATCAGTTGACTTACCTAAGTGACTAATGGAATTGATTACGTAAGAGAAGTCCAACCAGATTCTGTTATGTAAGCATTTACTACTTACCCCGCCCCCTTTTCAAAGTCATTTTTGATTTCTCTAAGTTGACTTATCAAAGAACATCACGACCTCCTTCGTGGTTCAACCTCATGCCCTTGTTTTGGTATTTTTACATCGATTTTTAGAGTCATATGTGTTATTGCGAAGCCATGTGCAGAGCCTATTCACAGGAAAATCATAACCCGAGCGCCCTTCCCTTGAGCGGATAGACCTAGCAATGCTCGATGTATCGGCCTCGTCCGTCGTGCTAAACTCAATATGCAACACCAGTACCGGTTTGAGATGCAATCACATCTTATAGCCAGATGTCCACCCTATCCTGTTACTCGCATACACCCATCTCCCTAGATTGACTGTGGGTTCTCAAAAACGTTCTTGGGATCCCACTTCTGCTTAATAGCCTTGAGACGAGTATACAACTCGGGCCCGTAGTACAGCGTGTGCGCTTCATGTCGTGAGAGGCTGGGGTCGGCGTAGTTCGAATACGCACCGTATCGCGGAAGGTGTGTCGTGATCGAATTGGCGAGTCCGTTGACAAAGTCAATACCCTCCGGTGGAAAGATTTCGTCGTTTTCGACGAAGCCGTACAGCTGGACAACCCAGAGCGCATCGCGGTGAGCGAAAGCATTGAAGTCTATGTCCTTGTTGCTGATCTGGCTGTCGGCGCCTCCATAGAAGTCAACCAAGATCCAGTAAGAGACGGGCGCGTCTGCTCCTTCGGTGAGAAGAAACGTGAAGAAACTCCTCAATGCCTCCTCGGTAAATCCTGGCTCGGGCACAACAACACTTTTGGCGAAGAAGTTGTATCGGCACTCGTCGTCCACTGGGGTTGTGATATCGACGCCTTGATTGAGAAGTTTCAGTGACGCGGGCCAATCAACTTCACGGAATTGGAATGAGGGCGTGAATTGCATGCCTTCATGAAGCGCAGGGATAATCGTTTCCGCGAGGTGACTCGAGGATCCTAAATAGGTGCCTCCGATCGCAAAGCAAGTGGCAGAGAGCGTAATGTTGAATCCCAAGTTTCGATCAACGATGGAGGCGTTATGGGTGAAATTCTGAACGCGTTGGAAAGTGTCAACAACAGAGTCGATACTTTTGTTTGCATCGTGCATAAAAAGATCCCAGTGTACGACACGCTCGGGAGCTGGAACCGTGTCTAAGAAGAAGCTTTTCACGATACCGAATGAATCAGCCGCACCCCGCATAGCCTGAGTCAAACTTATGTTAGTCAAGTTACCTTATCAAAAATACTCGATGATTAAGAGATCCAAGACTCACATAGAACAGGTCCGCATTCTCCTCTTTGCTGGCGTAGACGCATGCTCCACTCGCAGTCACGACACTAAGCGCCGAAATGCGATCCATCGCCAGACCCCAGGCACGCGAAAAGAAACCATACCCGCCATGGGTAAAATGGCCTCCGATGCCAACTCCAGCGCAAGAACCATGAGGAAGGGCACGCTTGCGGTCGAGTGTGGTGTAAATGTTATGGGCTAAATTGCCCAGTCGCATTCCACCGCGGACTAAGACCGGATCTCGCGCAGAGTTGAAGTACTGCATTTTTTGCAGGTCTATTACCATTGAGCCATTCGCCCCTCCGTTGCTGTGGGATGCGTACGAATGTCCTCCCGATCGAGCCTGGACTTTAAGTCCATGTTCACCTGCGCAGAAAACTGCACTGCTGATGTGTCCCACATGATCGGGGAAAACGATGATCGCCGGAATAACAGGGACGCGCAGGTTGTAGGTCGCCGAATGGATATCCCAGTCAAGGTCACCAGGGGTAATGTATGGGACAGAAAGATCGGTCAGGTATCGAATGGCAGCGTCAACGTTAGTGTTTGCCATATTGACTACCGTCAAAGATTGTACTGTTGTGAATGGATGGATAAATGAACGACGAATAAGTGAATAGGTGTATTGATGAAATAAAAGAGGACAAGATGGTATGCGTGTTTGGGACGCCGAAAAATAATAATAAATGATGTTGTCCGCTGCGTGTTTGTTGATTATGGTCGGCGCCGCGTTCCTCCTTCTGTTGTGTATGCACGGGTTAATTCACAAGGAACGTTCTACCTTCACCGTGGCAGGTGTAAACAGCTCACCCAATCCGCAGTTGCAAACAAGTTCCCGGTTTCCTTAGCGCAAATGAATAGGCCTAAATGTACCTAAGGGGCAATCACGGCGCTCCGGTTGGGCAGTTAAATGCCCAATGATTCGCTCTTGTCAACCTTAGGGACTTCCTCACACTTGTAACTCCAGAACCCCTCGGGCCTACCTACATTGTATTCTACCTACCTAGGTACCTACTTGGTAATTACGAATGAGCAATTCATTGGACTTAGCATCGAACTGCCTATGTGTCTATGAAACGGAATTAGTAGGCCCCTGCTTCTACCTTGGTGACCAGACTTAGGGCATATGGAGGCCAACCATCCAAACAACGTGATGTATTTATTTCCAACAAACAAGAGAGGCTTCCCCCAAGTCGACTTCTCAGTTTAAATCTGAGTATTGATTTATTTTGGATTAGATTGTTTAGACTCTAGGTATCTATGTGTAAGTGGTCGCGTACGTAAATACCCAAGTACACAACCCCTATTTCGTGCCAATCCCCCTCTCTAGTAATGTGCCCCGTGCACCTCAGTGTCCCAAAATATTCATTATTGTCATCGCCCTGTTATTATTGATTTCTTGTAATTTGGAAATACGCATTCTTTATCTATCGAATGTCTTTCTGTAGTGTCGCTTTATCGCGAACACGGATCCATGTGTGTAAGGTACAGATCTAAAGGCATAATCGGAAGAGTCCAAAAAAAAAAAGTAGTAACGCCCATGCTAAAGTGATCCCTAGCTCTCTTTGACAACCTAGGCCTAGTGGTTGGACCTTGCTCATACATCGAACCCTCCCACGGGGCAGCCATCGCCGTCGAGGACCTCCTTAGAATCTCTCATCTTTTTGCAGATTGCGTTACATCTTCTAAACCACCAATACACAACGGCACCAATAAGGACGAGGATAGTTAATCCCCCAGAGACGGCCGGTAGAAGCCACCAGTGTTTCCATACCTTGATTCCATCACTTATATCTTGCATGTCGACTGCAAACGCATTGCTGCCGGAAATCGACTGTTCATGAGAATTGTTAGTCACGCAAATAGAGGACACGTATCGAAGGTAAACGTTGGTGAACTTACTGCTAATAGCGAGATAGGAAGGAATATTAGTGTAGCAAACGCTATTATTGTAACTGCTATACTATCTTGAGAGACCAATCTGAGATGATGTCGCTGGTTTCCGTCGCGAAGCTGAACCTGGTTAATACCCTGGCTCAAAAACAAGGCCACGATGCCCACTCACAATCTCTATATTTAACTTGACCCATTCTTCTAACTCTTGTCTGCTCGACTCGCGAGATGCAGCCTCGCCCTTAAGGTCCTGGATTTGATATTGCACCTCTTGGAAAATTGTGTCCAATGGCAAAGCCGAAACCTGGGATCCATCGACAGAGGCTTGCAATCTTCGATGCTTCTCCCAAACACTTTCGACAAAACCCAATGCGGACACCTCGTATTTAATAGCGCCTTTCAACGCGCCAAGTTTGCGTTGCATGACCTGGAACTTGTGAATAGCCATAAAGACAGCCGCGCCATCATCTTTGAACAAATCCTTCTGCCCTCGGCAAAAGCCGTCCATAGTATTCCGTAAGGGGTGGAATCTTGCGAGGCGACTCTGAAAATAGTTCTCGTTCACCCTGTCCAGCAGCCCACAAAGAGTGCTAAGTATGTAAAGGGGATTGGAGTTGATCAGCTGGTGGTCGTGTTGGAGCGCCTGGCGGATTTCGTCTGCCATAGTAGTATGTTCGGTATAGTCGCTTGATGTTGGGTCACTACTTTCTGTTCGCATATACCCCGGGACATTCGGCTTGTTACCATTGAACAATGTTTTCAAACGGGTAAAAGGGCATGTCTTTCTTGAAGATTGGTTGTTGGTTTTAGTGTCCTTTTTTGCGCAGAGGTTCCTTGCGAGAATGATACACGTTGCTGGATTCCCATTGGCTGATACTCGGAGGAACACTGAGAATGATCCCATAGGTGAGGATGCTTCGAAGTCGTCCTCGAGTTTGGGGGCATTCATAGATATACCTTGAGCAATGTATTAGCTACACATAGATGCCAACTGGAGAGCCAATCGGCCTTACAGGAAACAAGTTGGCGTCCATCTGGGGAATGGTGGACTGAATGAGTAGGCCGACCGCCCTCGTCGAATAAGCTGCGTACAAGGCCCTGTACCGAGGATATGGGCACCTTGAATGTTTCAAGAAGCTGCTGGAATCTTTTTCGGTTCATGCCTACAAATTTATGCCCCTCGGCTTCTAGTAGTCTTCTGTCTATTAGCTTTATAGTAGCTAATTTCTAGGTTATACCCTGCTTACATCATGTCGAGCTGGCCATGATGCGCTTCGCTGATCCGGCCCCGCTGCTATATTCATCATGTAAGCAGAAAGTACAATAGTAGTGGTTATAGTTCATACGCGTTCTGTAAAGCGATTGACAAGATTCTGACCCTGGATCAAATCGAACGTTCCCCAGTCCTGTCTATACCAATAGGCTTTTATGTCTGAGTCTTTTATGTCAGAGCTAAATTTAAGGCGTCCTAGAGATTTGTCGTACAGGCTTCGGCTCATGGTGATGAATTGCGACTAGATTCTGCCGCGCGAATATCTGAGGGGTTAATTGGAATCGTGGACATAGAGACGGCATTTATATACTGGAAGGTAAAAACCGGCGAAGCCTTAGTCCATGCTCGCACACACACGGCCAGCCTACATCCACAAGTCAAGTAATTTTGGTTCTCAGGCGATGCTTCGACATCGCGCCTCTGAATATACACGTCCACGCAAAAGAGGTTTCGATTAACGCCCCCATGACCTTGCTCATATTATAATTTGGCAACTATTTGCGCGTAACAGAGTCAGCCTTGGTTCGTGTAACGAGGCATAACTAGTTGCGTCGCATGGTCCTTGCCTAATGCTACACAATCAGCCAACGATGACGGATGAGCGCTTAAGTTGATGTCAATGCGCTTGAGAGCCGATACAACGGAAATCAGATCATTGGACTGAATGATAGGGCTGTAAGCTGTATCACGCAATATTCACCTATTGACCAGTCGAATACCTGAGGTCGGATGTAGTATGTAAATCCGCATAAAGACGGATTCTCAATCATACCTAGACAATGTGACATATCGCCGTGGCATTCTGCGTACGTAATGTATCGCGATGCATTGCGGCTATCTGGCGAGAGATCACCCGCCCCAATGGAGAGTTATGCGGTCGATGCCAGAAAAATCCTTCGATCCAGGTGCCCGTTGACTCATACCGTAAAGAAAAAGCACTTTGTGGTGACGAGAATTTCAGCTTCGACGTCGTATCATTTTGAGGGAACCCAGAACCTCACCAAACCAGCCTTTCGTAGAGCCGCCTGTGGATTGCCTGTGAAGGCGAATGATAAAGGTTGAATGGAGGAGGTTACACGTATGTAGTAATCTATTACACAGCATAGACCTACCTGCCTACATAGACCTACATATATAGTGTTACACAGCGTCATAAGCGAGATTAGCCTACGTAGTACAGCCTGCGACGCCACAAGCCTTACCTTGCCGCCCTACCCCACCCCCACCCTCCAGCCTTCCTAACCTTCCCTTCCGCTGTCTGTCCACCTTCATTTATTTACGTAGGTGCCTAAATATTTTAGGTCTTCAACATAATATTTCAAATGCCGAAGTATGCCATGCTTATTATGCAATTATCTCCAAGGTGTTGGTCCTCTCTTGACCGAGGACGACGCGAGACAACTTCCGAAACTCCCATCTCGCGATTTTAAGCATGACAATATACCCTGGCCCAAGTTTTTACACTCAGCTGAAAAATGCTACTGCTGCGCCATCCTTCAAAAGGGAATCGTGAAATGCCTCCAGCAACGTCAACTACGCCCTGAGCAGGTTGTGCGGATTAATTTCAGGTTCCTATATCCTGGTTGGATAGACAGTGACAGGGGGGATGATAAAGATATTATCTGCGAATTAGATGACGGAACTGAATTTGTTGTTGAATATTTCACTCTTGAGGGTACATAACTAAGTTGCCTCTTCCAAGCCTTATATAGCCTCACTCATGATGCCCAGGCGAAGATTACCCTTGTCCCGGTGCTTGGGAGTATGTTCCTGTTTCAACGAGAACATCTCCAGAAACCAGCTCTGAGGAAGCCTTTAGCAAGGCTTGTGGATGGATTGAAAATTGTGATGAATCTCATGTTAGCGAAATACCAGAAGGCGAAGATCCTAGTCAATTTTCAAATTACTGCCTCCCCTCACAGCAAAGGTTACTGTCGTTGGAAAAATTGCCAACTAGGGTAGTAGATGTCGGCCGACTTGATGGAAAGGTAAGGTTAGTTGAAGGAAATGAGCGCGCAGAGAAGTACTTATGTCTTAGCCATTGTTGGGGAGAACACCAGATTATCACAACTACCAACTCAACCCTTCTTGAGCGAATGCACGAGATTCGCACCGAGGACTTGTCCAAAACCTTTTCGGACGCGATACAAATGACGCGACGCTTTGAGATTGATTATATCTGGATTGATTCACTATGCATCATTCAAGACGACGCAGCAGATTGGGAACGGGAGTCCGCCCAGATGGCATCCATCTACCACAATGCTTATTTGACACTTGCAGCTACCAAATCAAGAAATGGCAACGGCGGTTTATTCACGATAACACCAGATTTCAAAATATCCGGCACGACTCCAGATGGGGAAGAGTATTACCTCATTTTCCGAGAGAAAATAGACCATGACCTTTCAATGGATAATACATCACCACAATTTCCCCTAATGACACGGGCATGGATCTTCCAGGAGCGCATGTTATCTCCACGAGTATTACATTTTGGTTATTACGAGCTGTTTTTCGAATGCTCCACCAACGCGTATTGTGAATGCGACAATATCGGCTTCCTCAGCGCCACCGACGATATACCCTTACCGAACCCTAGAAGTCTATACTCTTCAGCCTTGGAGACTACTATATCAACTTCTAATGGGAAAATGAGTAATAACGCTTGGATTCGGCTTACGCAATATTTCATCGCGCGGGTGTGGCGGTCATTTGTCATGCTTTACACAGGGCTACACCTTACCATACCCGGCGATTGCCTCCCAGCACTGGCTGGCGTCGCGAGAACTTTCGCAGAGAAACGGAAGTCACCATATCTATCTGGGTTATTCCAAGACTCGCTGCTTGACGATTTGTTGTGGATGACCTTTAACTGCGAGAAATCTCGGCCGCAAAAGTGGAGAGCTCCTTCGTGGTCATGGGCTAGTATCGAAGGACTCATCGAGTATCAGGATGGACTAATAACCTATCAAGACGACCAAGTCTTCTTAGAAAAACAGGAGGAACGGATAGAATTTGCGTTCATCGAAGACTGTACATCTACACCCGCTGGTTTGAATGAGTTCGGGCAAGTTAGCTCTGGGTCGCTTCGAGTGACTAGTCAACTCTTACCGGCGGCTCTACTTCTCAAGGCTGACCTTGATACTCTTCGACGCCCGCAGTACTACTTGTGCATTGAGAATGACGGAAAAATACTTAGCCCTCGAGTCTGGCCGGATTATGACTTAACTCGACCCGGTCTATATGAAGTTCTTTCTGGCGCCGAGGTTTACTGCCTAAGGATGACTCAACAGACAAAGCCCAAGATAGACAATTCTTTGATTTTGAGGTTCATCTCCACTGATACTGGGAAGACATTCGAACGAATTGGATCCCTCCAGCTTAACGCGCGTACAGCCCAGATCGACTGTCTCGAGCCTGAAATGAGAGAATTGGCTATTATGGCACTGGACAAAGCAGAAGTGACAACTGTTAACATTGTGTAGAAACCAATTGGATTGGTCGATATACTGAGTATAGCATTGGATATCTTCTATACTTCAAAATTTAGGACCTCGTTTTGGTATCGACTAACATTTCGATGACGTGAAGAAGTTACAACCTATCAACCAGCTTCTCCGCCGCATTATCGATATTCGTCCCCCAATTCTTAGCAGTACACTGCAAATACAAAACACCATCTTCGATATCGCATTCGCAATACGAGTCATACTTCAACTGATCCACAATCCGAAACGCAATTTCTCCCTTCTCAACCGCCTCATGGAATCCCTCGCGCAGCAATTCATCCTGGTCGAACTTCTGGCACTTAAGCTGAGTAACGAGTCCCTCCCAATACATACGCGTGAAGGAGCCCAACACGTTCTCCCAATCAGATCGAATGTCGATCTTCTTCGCCTCGCTTTCCTCACGGAGCTTCGCGAATGTGCTCTCGAAGTTGGGGTTTAGCTTGATATCGGGTTTTTCTAGGATCTGCCCGATTTCCGCTCGGATTGCTTCGGCTCGGGGCTCGTACTCGTTGCGGATATCCGACCGCGCTGCGAAGCTTAATTTGTCCTCTGATGTGGGGGCTGGGGCTTCGTTAAGGGCCTTTAGAAGGATATCCCGATTGATGGCGTCGTCGATGTTGACGCCTAGACGTTCGGGAGCGAAAAGAATACGTAATTTACCCTCGTGGATATCTACGCCGCAGTAGGGGAAGCGTCCGGTGTCATCTAGGTCTATGGTGATGGTGTGGGCGGAGCAGATGGTGTTTAGCTCTTTTAAGCCTTCTTCCCCAGCATGATCTACGAACTCCTTGAGTCTATATGCGGCTCCAGTGATATAACTAGAAGGGGATTAGTGTGTGATTGGATACAGTGGGTTCCGCTCGATGCTTACCCAGCTATACAACTTCCCAAAGATTCTTTCGCGTAACCCTCTGTGGCATACGCGTATAATTGGTTGGGGTTGACGTCTACGGTCCAGGGGACAGTGAGGATGTTGGAGATCTGTTGTTCGAGATCCAACTTCTTATTGTCCCAGTCATCGCGAACTATCACAGTCAGTTTCCCGAGAGCGATAAATTCGCGGGTTCAACTTACTGTTTTTCCTCAATGCCAGAGGCAATTTCTCAACGGGAGGTAGTTTTGACATCTTAATTATGTCGTGTGGTGTTTGGGGGGTCGAATGGTAAGTTTGGTAGCGTATTCTTGCGTGATAGTGAAGTCCTAGGGAATAACCTTGCACAGGGTCTCGTAACCCTTTAAATAATGATGGATAACCGAGATGTCTCGCTTCATCGTCGCTGCCTATTGCTAGTCGTTTTACTAGGCTATCCGCTTTCCGGAGAAGAATGCCTTGAGCTACCGGTTAACCTACGATAGGGGTAAAAGGTCTATCTGCCTAACATCACATGTACTAACAGTTCAAGTCAGCCTTAAATTTAGTTGTAGACCCTTAAAAGAGTGACTATTCTCAACCGCAAGCGACTTGCTTCCGATGCGGAGATGAAGTTAGGTCCCGGAGCATAGTTAGTCGTACTGCCAAGTACACTACTGGCGTTTAGTGTATTCACTATCTTCTCAGCCGCAAGAGCCACGCTTATACACGGCGTACTACGAAAAACTGCGATAGGGTTCGGGTAACTGTAGTTGGCAACATCCCCGGTGCCGTTTCAAATATTTAACGAGCATACGTAAATGATAGATATTGACTATCTTATTTATCTCGGGGGCCGTAAAACCCTGCTGAATTAACTTGAAGACGTTGATCGTTAAGGCTGATTGCCTTGTGGGTCATCGCCTGCTAAAAAGGGGTCAATGTTACCTGGACTTTCAGCTCGTCTTGGCAGCGTCGAGCACTTGTTTCCTCGCCCCCACTTCCATCTCATACGACGCGTAAGTTGCTTGTCATGCGATGTGAAAGTGAAATGCCTCGCGGTAAGCCTCGGTCGAAATATTATCACGGTTGTGGGGGCCGGTAGTTAGCCGGAAAACACTTAAACCCCTATATTGAATGACGACGATAGCGTGCAACATTAGATGTGCAACAAATATCGGGTCTGACTTATTTGCCGCATCAACTAAGAATCATGTCACCGTCAACACCGTAAGTGTCGTTGGATTTTCTATCGTCGTGTTATTAATGGAATTTTTAGATCCCTCACGATACGTGTCGGCATCCGCGATCATTGGGATAGGGAGGATGCACCTATCAACACAGCGCGATCCGCCGTGAAACAACTTCTCGGCATCGACATAGCATTAGAAGTTGCCTGGGAGGATTTGTTATTAGATTTGGGCGACGATTATCCAGATAAATCTACATTCATTCCTTCGGTTGCAGCAGCTAGCCAGGCGTTTCTCAATGGCCTGTGTGAGATATTGGAAAAGGAGATCAACCCCGAATGGTCCGACACTTTGCTCGAGCGTGCCGGTGGCCGTTTGAGAGTTTCTATAGGTGTAAGTATGATGTATCGAACGTTGGATGATGTGATGACTGATAGAATTGGGAATTAGGCTTCGAAGAATGGGGAGGCGACAGTGACATGGTCTAGTAAGGACGCCGGCTTTAATGTCGGCCTTCCTAGAGGCAGCATACCGTCATCAAACGAGCTACAGTCGCATTTCAAGGATAAATTACTCGATTGCTTCACTGGTCCACAAACGCCCCCGGAAGATTGGGCAGACGTATCAATTGATGCGACATACGATAAACCGGCCTCTACGAAGTCGCATGAATATTTCGACACACTTCCGGATATTAGCATTCTACCACGTCCAGACGAATTACTCCTTAAACCGCCATATCACCTTGTTATATATGGTGGCGGTAAGTCGATGGTTGAAGTCCAGTGTAGCCACAGTCCGACATTAGAACTGTTGGCAGAATATCTGAAGAAATGGTGTAAAATAAACCACCGCGACACTCGGCATGTGAGTTCTCATTATACTTTTATATAGGAAGTATTTTATTGCGGCTAATAATCATAGCCTCCCGCGGTCGAAGTGAAATTACATCAATCCGCCTTTGGTTTTGGTCTCACGTATGATCGCCTAACGATGTCTATCGAGCATCGGAATCCAGACTTCCTCGTATCGCCCATGATCGTACTATCGTTTGTTGAGCGTGTGTTGAATTATAAGAGCGTATCAATCGATAGTTCTTCTTGGATCTTCAGGAGGGACGTCGAATTCAAAACTATCAAGTGATTTAGAGTGGGTTGGGTGAAGAACTGTATGTTTTCGGCCTCGCAGTTACTTGGCTGTCGCTCTTGTTAATGGGAGTGTACAGCTTAGTTTTCGGACCATGTTACCGACTTGTGTAACACTACATCATTAAGGGTTTCGGATGCATCCGAAGGAATTGGCTATCTTCAATGTTTCTAATAATTGAAATGTTCGTGTAACGTACCTAGGTAGGTGTCGGATACATCCGAAAAGAAAGTGCTTCCTTCAATTAGTAAGGCGGGGTGGAATGCTGACATAAGTAAATTGAAAGTACCTAGTCACATGAGAACTTGTCGTCACACTGCAGGGTCTCACGTCTCACAACCTTAGTGCTAAGCTAGAGAAGACAATATTTCAATTCTTCGAAATCATTTTCATTTTCTCTTTTAAATGTTTCTCTTCAAACTCTAGTCCTCATCATGGCTGTGCCTGGGACCAAAGAAGCCATATTGAATTCCCTGCTCAAGGATGCCCGTCATTCGCGAGGGCTACAAGGTTGTGTTTATGACCTAGAAATGCCTCTATTGCTCAATTCAGATGAATCACCTCTACCCTGCCGCGAGACACCAACTGAGTTTGAAGCTATCAACCCAAGCTTTTCCTCCCAGATCCACGCCCTGTTTGAGGCGCTTCATGAAGTCGAGCATTTAAGTAAGAAGGAAGAGAACACAGAAAACAAGACGGATGATGCTTATGACCTTATCGACAAAGATGGTCTCGTTCCAGCCATCCGTGTTATCGGCCAATCCTTCGACCGCTATCCTAATTGCTTGCATCGCAACTTCCATTGGCGTCGTCTCTCCTTGCATGGCCCAGCCACATTGCCACAGCTATGGCGTGTGACTGAACTCCGGCTGTTCCCAAGGCCAGACTACGGTGTAAACATCGATTACATGAATGCCCGGCCTGTGTCACTTCGCGTGCCACTGGAGCTTGCGTCTAGACTTCCCGCACTGCGTCACCTCGACTGCCCATGGCTGTGGGAGCGCATGCCTACCGCCTTCACCCTACGTACGCTCCACCATTTCGCTCGCCCATAGGAAGGTCCATGGCGAGACGAGCGCCATGAGTTCGGTAAAGCAGTGCAGGAATTACACGAACAACTACCCACCTCGCTAGTCTCGGCGCGTCTATGGTTTTGGAAGCAAAATACTTTCTACACCGACGAGAACCAGAGCATCGAAATGCCGGATCTCATCCGTCCGGAGGATGCCGATCCCCTTTCACTTGCCTTGCGAACTCTCGTATCGCATTTGAAGCAGCTCGACTTGCGTGCCTTTTTGACGCCCGATCTATTCCAGGCGCCAATTATGTGGCACCGCATGAAACGTCTACGTGTCGAGTTCCATCCGTGGTGTCCTGATGGTACCTGGTATTTCGTCGGACCGCGCAATGAAAACCCCTACCCCGACGGCGGTTTTGAGGTTACGTCCGAGCATTATCCGCCTACTGGTCCTAACGAGCTGGATGAAGAAATAGATGAAGAGTATGAGGAAGTTGAAGGAACCGAGGAAGAAGAACTCCAAACAGATGTGTTTCGCACGGTGCCTCTACGAAGCAAGATCGAGCCACTCTTGTTTGCCTTTGCTGAAGCGCTAAAGGGTATGCCTACGCTAGAAGAGGCGGAACTATTTACGTACCTAGCCTGGCGACCTTCGAGAGAGAGGAAACGCGCGTACGAGGGTATTGATGAAGAACCGTATAACCGAAACCGCGCCACTTATAAATGGAGCGTGAGCTACACTCCGGGAAACGACGGTGGCAAAAGGTTGTTGACATGGCAAGTCGGGTCGTGGAGACCACAGGAAGACGTTATCCAGTCATTCAAGGGTTTGGGCGGGGAGGACCGAGAGGTTGATATATTGTGGAATCCCTTCGAGTTTTTACAAAAAAGGGAAACTGAGGACTACAAGGCTTTCTACTGAGAGGATATTACGATGGCAAGCAGCGAACGTAAGATTCATATTTTCGGGACGTGTTTACGACGATATTAACTTTACATTAGTAACGTAATGTATCGTAACTCCTCCAGTTTTCTTGTCCGACTCGCACGTTACCCCGACACAGCAACGCTGTAACAGTGGCTTTGTGTAACACAATCCGCGCTAAATACCAAGGATTTGAAACGGTCTCGGCAGTTCCCGCTTATAAGGTCGCTTTATTCATGGCAATCGCTTGGTCGGCGTGCGGATGGTCATAGGGGAGGTTTTGTAGCAGTGGGCCCTGCTACCAATGTAACTGAGGGCGTTTTGGAGCTGGGAGTTGTCTTGGCCGACGTTGATGACACACCAACGCAGTATGCCTCTCCCAGCCAGTAGTTGGTAAGGCAATCGTCGCTAACAGCGGGATTCCAGGCCAAGAATTGAGCTAGGGAGATGCCAGCGGTGGCGGCCATATCCGTGCACTATACCATCCAGTGTCAGTAACCTAGTTGTACGGGGCAATAAAAAAAACTCAGGAAATTACATACCATCACGCCTTTCTCGGCGACAGCCCACTTATTGCAATTTTCAGGTTCGCCCGACATCGTTGGGGCTGGAGGAGTTGGACTTGTTGGTGTCGTTGTGTTGCTCACAGTCGACGTTCCTGTATTATTGGCTGTGCTACTAGCTGTACTGCTGGTCGTTGAGACAGGATCGAGCTGATCTGGCTTTTCGAGGTACCACGACCCGCAGTAGTTTACACCCTTATCAAATGCGCAAGAGGGCGCCGTTATGTTTCCGAGCCCGATATTCCAGGCGGCAAATGAATCAAGGTCAACATCATAGACTGCAGCCGCGAGAAGACAAGGGTTTGCGAAAGTCGAACCAGTCACATTCACTTGGTAATCATCACCAGCAAAATAGTGCACGCAGTCATCCCGTGTACCCGTGGCCATCGGAAGTGGCGTGTAGAGTCGTGTATATGGAGACGCCGTAGCGTTGGGACGTTGAGTGAATGGGGCACCGGTGAAGGTAGCATTGGGGTCAATTGTGATGGACATATAACCCGGGCGCCCCGAGTATGTATTGATATTGCCAACGGCTTGCACGCAGTAGCTCTCATTGGCGAATAAGTTGGTGCAATTCCCGTTTACGCCTGTATTGAGGAAGCGAAAGTTGGCGAGCGAGATACCAAATTTGAGAGTAAGTAGGTTACAGTAGTCTCCCTTCTGTACCTCGTACCACCTACCGCAGGGCTTTCCGCCTGACCCCTCGCCACGTCAGTTGGTTTCGCCGCCGGAACAGTGGGTGTCATGGGCGGCAAACCGGACGTGTCTGTGGGTGCCACAAACTTGCGGCCTGGAGCAGTGATGCACACCTCGGAGCCATTCATTTGTTTCAAGTTCGAGCAGGCGTAGTTGACTACGGGGTTCCACGCGTGAAATTGTGTCTCGCTGATACCAGCCCTTTTTGCGATCACGGCGCACGTTTCATTGACGCCGACCGTTACGGTGGTACATTTGTTCGTGATACACAACGCGGTGCCCGCCGCGGGGAAGTTTTTGCAGTATGCATCGAGGTTATTGTCGGCCAATAGCCAGGCCCTGCCGACACCCTGGCTTTTGGAGATGGTGTAGCAATCATCCGAAGGCTTAACCGTATACTTGGACCCTTGGCAAGTGCTAGCCGTCGGAGTTGGCGTGGAGGTAAAGTAGCCAAGCGAGCTTTTTGAAATGGGCCGACCCGTGATGCTGCAACTGGACGTCACGCTCTCGTATAGGGACTGGCTGGCCACAACAGGGCCGTCAAAGTACGGTGACCCCGCACGCAAGCGCAACCGTTCTACAATGCAGAGGTCGCAATCATCAGGCTTTTGGTCTTGGCCTGTGATGTTGCTGATATAATTGAATGGACTGACTCCGGGGTCAGGAAACGCTGCTGCTAAGGCCGCAACAGGGCCACAGTAACGACCACCATCGTCTTTCAGACATGCTGATTGAAAGGAGAACTGTAGCGATCCTGGGATATAGACGGCCGCAGCTTCAACTTGTAAGTCGCCTAAGACAGTTTGGTTTCCACAACTGGTTCGCACCGAAGACATCCACGTAGCCAATGACGAGGAGCAGTTATTGGTACAGATGCGGGACAACGATGCTGGGGGATAGAAAAAATCAGGACGAAAATTCTTGACAAGAGTGTCGCAGGCGGCGACGTCAGCGAGAAGCGCATTGGAATACGCCGAAGTCAGCGTTGAAGGAAGGCTGTTATTGTATAACATCACCGTAGCAGATACTGTCGCTACGCGAAGTTGCAGCAGAACGAAGAGAAGTGACAGTATAAGCGACGATGATGACGAGAATTCGGGAACACCATGCTCAATGATCAAGCCCGCCTGGGATGATGACGCTTTCTTGACAAATGGCGACGGTGATGACAACCTCGATTTGCGTCGTCGAGAGCAGGTTGAGCTGCAGTGGACGGGTCCGTACAATGAGACCGTTCTAGACCCGCGATACGTTGTTCTTGAGGAGGGCATTGTGGACAGCAAGTCCTCGAAGATATGCGGCATCGACGTCGAGCTCGATTATCCCCAAGGTGGAGATGCAGCGGTCGCTAACAACTTCATATACGGCTTCCATAGGCCAGACGTCTGTGAGGATTACGAGTTTGGCGCTCCATTGGATGCCCGCATTATCACAAATCCGCCTACACAGTACGACTCGGAGCGCGTACTCGAGTTTCAGTTGCCAAAGCAATTCTTCCAGCACCTTGATAATTCTCTCGGCCCCTTCGATAATCTAGACCCGAATGACAAGAAAAGACCGAAATTATCGTTTTGTGACCTCGTTCGGGCGCATTGGGATATAGCTGCGGTGCCCATTCCGGGATTAGATACCTCACAGGGCGTCGGCGCTTCCCTTACGCCAATGGACCACATTGCCCAACAATACCCTACGGATAGGTGGAAGACAGACGAGTACGTTCTCCTGGAGCATGGCATCAACGACCCTGCTAAGGGGAAGGCGTGGAGCGGCACAACGAAAACAGGAAAAGAACTCCAAATCGTCAGCATGTCCAAATGGATACAAAACAGGCTGCCCACGCGCCAGGGCTCGGGCGAGGCGATCAAGTCTATGCGTTATCTGATTGGATCGCGCATGTACGAGACGCCCACATCCGTGATATCCTAAAGCGCCAGAAGGACCGCGTCGGCAACGTGCTCGATCTTCTCGACACCCAGATCCTAAAGGCGAACCCCCGAAACCCGCCGCCCTGGAAGCCGTGGCCGATGCTAGGATTGAAGGCCGAGTGGGATACGTACATGAAGGGCAAAATGGCCCTCGTCGAAACTAAGACGATGAAGGTCATCAACGAGTTCCTGCCGAGGCTCCAGGAACAGTGGGCCGATGACGCGAATCGACAGGCTGCTAAGATAGACCCAAATGACGATGCGAATACGCAAGCTAGCAAGCAAGAGCTGCAGGACTTGATTGACAAGATTGATGCGATGGACAGTGTGGTTAGGGCGCTACCGGCTTGGACGTGGCCATTTTAATCACTTTTTCGGTATTATGACTGCTAATTCAAGTCAATGTGTCAATATAGCCCCAATTATAATTGATTTAGGGGGAGTACCAGGTGCTGAATGCGCTAAGGATCAACTATACGTTTACTACCTGGGTACCTAATTGCGCCATAACATTTCAATGTGGAGACCTTCGGATAGATCCGAAACCTCCAATGACCTCAGGAGGTTATGTAGGTACACAGACAAACATAAATTACCTAGGTAGTTAACGGGTTTACCCAGCAGGCTTTTCGAAAGTTTCATCGATAGAATTGAAATTTGTATTGACTCTATAGTATGTCCTCACATACCTAGGTACCTCGTTATTAAAACCAAATTAAAAATATCAATCGCACCATATTCGGGGGCATATTCAAACAAATTCGCCTGACAAAGCTCCATTCAGCAAAACAATGATTTCATAACCGTGGTGAACGCCTAAAGAGACCCTTCTTGATATCTAACAAAACTCTAGAAGATATCATCTTTGCGTACTCTCCACCCTGTTCAGGTTTACTAGTCGAGGGCCCTTTTTCTCTTCCTCACTTTTGGTTGAGACGCTATCGTTATCACTACGAGTCCGAGAGCGTGTGATTGGAAGTGTCGCAATATTTACAAGTGGGCGGAAAAATCGGTTATATACGATGAACGTATCTGGATCGCCCCTGAAAGCATTAGGCGGAGTAGCCACGTATATACTCCTCCGTTTAATCTCAACTGCGTCCTCGGTGATAGTCCGAACGCCACAGTACCCATAAATAGCGCTCAAAATCGGGATAGAAAGGCCGTGGACTATGATGGAAAAAAGTACAAGAAAATATACCACTAAAGCGCTGTCAGTTATGCGGGTAGTCAAAAGATGATACGATATACGAACCTGGGCACATAGCATCGAGTAATTCACGCTCCCCTATACTGGCCTCGTCCCCCTTAGGAAAGAGTAGCCTAGTGTGTTGGAGGTAATATATAGCACCAACGCCTATGGGACCGAAATATCCCATGAACACCGCCTCCTTCCAGTTTTTTACTACCGAGGGCATCATTTTATACGTGAGTAACAGAGAGGGGATTCGACGAAAGAGGAGAACGAGGATACCCAGACCTAATAGACGAGAGATGGTGATCCCAGTCGTATCAGGTTGATGGAATTCTGACCAAGGTATGGTAATGCCGAGATACATGAAGCCGCCAAAGTTGAGCATGACGTCTATGCATGAATTGACTTCGTCGTGGCGGCGTTCTGTTTCTGCTAGGAACTCCCCGTCCCAATTCAAGGCGCAGCCTGCGACGAAACAGGCGAGAAGATCACTCGTGCCGATTGCTCCGCAGGTTCCAACAATGAAAAGCTTCAACATTTGGTCAGTTCGGTTCATTGCGTACGACGAGCACCTAGGTAGCCGGGAAACAACTTACACCTAGAGCTGTAGGGAACAGCAAATAGCTCTCAGTATCGATCCATCGTCGAGATAGAGAAAATCTAACTCCCATCCGTGCGCAGAAACCAACAACAGCGCCATACGCAATTGCTAGTGTGACGATATAAATAAGGGTTTCGATAACCCAATTGCCCAAGGCAATACCAACATCTTTCGTATCATCACCAACACCTCGACCACGCTCCACAAGTGTTGCTTGTCGATTCTCCGTGAGACGTAGGAGGTTCACTGCAAGCATGAGAAAAGGTGATGCAAAACCATCATTGGCGCCGGCTTCCGCCGAAATAATCTCTCGAAGAGGTCGTGCCACATACTTGTCCGCAAATGGACCTTTCGCAACGGCTTGTGAGAGGATTGGATCTGTGGACGTGACACATGCCCCGATCACAAGGGTGGCCAATAGGGATACCTTGGGAATAGTCGCAAGAACACAGACGGAAGTCGCCAACCACATCATCGCCATGATGGGAACGAGGCAGACTATCAACTCCTTATATCGTAATAGGAGATACTTAGCCGGTAGTTGGTATCCAGCAATGACTCTACAACGGTCGAGACTAGTCAGCTATTTGGGACACAGGATTGAAGCATGTCTCATGCAATGGCTATCCGTGGTGGACTAACAGTTGAATACCAATCATCACCCGCATAACCCCGAGCGTAATTCCATCTTGCTGGTCTGGAATAGCTGAGCCCCATCGCTCGGCGTCCAAGAACTTTGCCGCGATAGGGCCCAAGATCATGCCCGTGAGCACTGCCGGCACTAATAAAGAACGTTCAGCAAATAAGCAGATACACAAGGTATTCGAATAAACTAACGCGCTTCTCCAAGATACCAGACGCCCTTTACCTTGACGGCGACCAGGCCGTATAGCACTATGAAAGCACCTATGATAGTATCAGCATCGCGGAACTATTGAAATAATCATGCACAGTTCAAGCTCACCCAACACTGAGACGACAATATTCAACTCGCTAACATCTAAAGTAGGCATCTTGAAAAAGGAAGGTAAAGAAGCAGAATGGATGCGTGCGTCATGAGAAGGTCGAGGGCGCTCTCCCGGGCGAGAACATTCGAAAGGAAAAGGAACGGGGGGGGGGCGCCAAGGAAATAGATACGGACGAACCCACAAGTTAGATGAGACGTCTATGAATGTGTAGATCAATATATTTTGATAGGGATAACATGTAAGTCATCGAAATCTCCGGCTTGGCAATGGATATGCGATCCATTCCAAATACAGGAATGTGTCTTCCCCTGATGTCCACTAGGTTGGTATCCTTACAGCCACAATGTCTTGTTACGAAGCGTCCAAGCTTCTCCCGCGAAGACCCGATGGGTACATATCCGTGTGCCCCTTGCTCTAGTCTCAGACATTTGTCTGAGTTGCCCTTAGACATTAACGTCAACAAATTCAATCGACTTGACATCACGTAGAGAATTCTACCCGGGTATCGATAGCCTGTGTTGCTGATTAGCACGAATTTTACCTAGGTAGGTTACCATATTTGTTGTATCGAACAACCGCGTCGTGCGGAACGGATAGCTGACGAGGCCGGTACGACCCCCGGTGCGACAATCCCTGTCGCACCTGAACCATGGTATTTCAAAAGCAAAGATGGGATAGTGGGGAGTCTGATCTTCAAAGGGTCAACAACATCCCAAATATCAAAGTACTGCATAATAAAGTATGTAGCAGATGAAAAAAAGGGAATACCAGATAATTGTACACGTTTCAGACCGATTCACTATGGGATTGTGCACTAGGTATCGAGGGAAGGATTTTATGTGATATCCTATCTAGAAAAGATTTTGTCAGAAGTCGTACCTAAATATCATCAAGATGAGGTAAGAGGTGAATATTGACCTGTCAATTTGCCATGAGGTAGACGATGATTCGTTGATATATTGCTTCTAGAACTTCATCTATGCTTGTACAACATATGCTGCCCTACAACAAACATCAAGTTTATAGATCATCACAAATGACATGTCTTCATTGCTCAATCGGATTTTCCGTCTCAGATGTAAAATCATAATAAGCAGTGAGCCTTGATACAATCCTCACTCAAGTCTCAGCCACATCCTGGTGATGGTGACCCTAGATGCCTTCTTTTTCCCCTTAAAGTTGATGACTGCTATACTTTCGAACGTATTATAATATTCTGTTGGTGAGATGATGTAACAAGATCACCATGCCACATGTTTTGCCCTAGCTGATCTTAACAACACCCAAACTAGTTCCGTTTTGTTGAATCGTGTCATACTATTCCTACTCCTTAAAGTAGGCTGATGTTGTTAACCTTTCTCCCTGAAGTAGCAGTGTCACATACTACCTACCTAGGTAGGTATGGACACACAACTCCTTGTGGAACCGATCATGCAGCTTCTCGATTTCGCATTTGACTTCCTTACGAAGCTGTCGCCAATGTCCCCTAGCATAAAATACTACCTTGCTTGAATAACTATCTAGGTAGATACATAATCTTTTTTTTTTTTCGAAGAATCTTCCTTGGCATTAGAGACGTCACAAAGAGACAAGGTCTTGGGATATTACTCCACATGAGTCCCTCAAGGGTTAATCAGCCTCTTTTCTTGGGTATCAGGGGTTCTTAGGTGGGCTAGTGGGTATTTACGGACCCAAGGAGCACGTCCCTTTCTAAAATTACACAGTCAGCTATCCCCTAATCCTAGTTCGCGTGGGATGTTTCTTTGTTCGTAGAATTAGAAGATTTATATAAGAAGAGAGAGTATCAACTTGCCATTTGCTCTGTTACACAAATCAGTCAGCACGATGAGTCTGATCTTAACCCTAGCCCTAACCCCAACCCCCAAATATGACTAATCAATGTATCCTACCGGCTCCAGCCGTCTTATTTCTAAGCCGAATAACCGGTTGCTGCGCCTCTGACTACCATGGTACTGGTAATGAGGATCTCCTGAACCTCGTACTTCTTACCTAGTCATTCGGCCTTCTATTGTGATCTAGAACTTGTCTTTTAAAATTAGCAATGGCCGACCCGAAATCGAAAATTCAAAATTCACCGATTTCTACCCTTTCCAATGAGCTTCTGCTTTATGTATTCGAATCGGGCTTATCCCTCTCGACGTTGACTCGCTGTGCTCTTTGCTACCAACGGTGGTCGTCCGCAGCTGCCTCCGTATTGTACTAACATGTCGCCCTGTCTGTCGACACATTTCCTATATGGTCCAATTATCCTTCAAATATCAATGATGCATTGGTCAAGACATTCACTATATATTCATTACCCGAGGGGTTCGTTCTGTGGGAGTGCGGAGGCAGAAGCCTTTCGGCAACTAAGAAGTGGCTTTAAAGGATTACCATCGAGGCTTTCGAGAATGAGCAACTTAAAATCCCTGTCCCTTTCGGCACCGTCCAACTATCCTTCCGACCTGTGGATGCTTAAGTCATTGATTGCTGCTATCGTAGATAGTCTCCCTAAAACCTGCGTTTGCTTGGAAATCAATGTCATGGATCACGAATACTACAAGGTGTATAAGGGCGAGCAGGACCATTTCTGCGTCTCGATTCGAAAGATCCTCAGCTACGATATCTGCGCTTAAATTTACCAATAATCTGCCCTGGAGCGTTCGGGTATGACTTCGACGCAGCCAAAACATTAACGCTTTCTCCGAAATTCAAACCAATTAGAGCGCCGCACCTCGAGCAGTGTCTAATTAGACTGTCCGATCTTGGTATATATCCCTCCTTTTATTGCAACCATTTATGTACCTTCCTGAATGCAAGCCTTGTAACTGTCTTGGCGGAGCATCTAAAAGCTTTCAAGTCGGAATAGCCCTAATCTCCAGAAGTTGCGGATGTTTGACCACATAATTCCTTTTGAAGACCACGAATCCCTAGCATGGGTACGTCGCGATGTTCTTGCAAACAAGAGTCAATCTCTTCCGTATGAGAATTTTCATGGTCTTGATGACCCTGACACTGAAACATTTTATTCGCATGCCAGCAGAGGAAGGCGGCCAGGACATAGCATCAACGATGAACGGTATACAAATTCTCGCGGAAGGATTTACCTGGGTCGAAGGTAGTAATGGAACTCGCCTCCCCCTTCGGAGTTCCCTAAATACGCCCACTTCATCCCTGAAATACCCAAAATGCAAATAGCGGACGAACAGTTCACCTCGACTCGACCAAAGTGTATCTTATGGTCTGGAGAGCGACAAACTGGTACGCGATTGCTAGATGTTGCGGAGGGAAATTTAGTCGAAGATTGCATTCCTATGATGCGTGCTCCTCAAGGTTGGACTATGGACGAAATTGGTAACTTGAAAAGAATAGAATGATCATGCTTCAAAGTCGACTAAATCTTGGAACTATTCAAGACACGAGATTATAGACCCATTTAAACGGAACCGGGATCGGCCGAATACGGCGCCGGTTTATGATCCACTGGGTCCACCTAGTCCCGGGCCGCCGGTAATATCCCCGAAAGGGGTAATTAAGGGGCACCGATAAGGAAGCCATACAAAAGCCTTAAGGCGAAACCAGTACCCTGAGTTAGACAATAAATTAGGTGAAAAGGAAAAAATTACAAATTCTTCTATCTTAAAAAAGTGACGGCACGGCGGAATTTTTCACGGAGATAAAAGAAACCCGAGCATGTGTTCTAGTGATGCGGAGTCGGTCTGCCAGCTTTCTCCAATGATATTACATAGTAGAGGATAAACTCAATCATAGCTTTCTGCTGGCAAGACTATATGGATCCAGTTTTAGACGCGTCATTCGTCGTTTGTTACGAAGGAAGCGCTAGACTGGGAGTATAGCAAGGTATAGAGATAATCAACAGGGGTTAGTTTACGGGTTGAGTATATGATTGGCTATACAGACCGACAGCCAACAAGTCCGTATGATCCGGCCACCATTGAATTTTCAGATAACCACATTTATAACAGCCAGTATAACCCCTTAGCAACTTATTACCGAGGTAGCCTTCCTAAAGTCAGTCTTAGAGCCACTATGTCTAGCCTTCCCACCACCGAATATTGTCCTGAGGCACAATGCCTTATCGCAGCCGGATTACAATCTCACGTCTTAGTTCCAAGCAATGCGGAATACACGCAACGCATTGAGTCTTACTGGTGTAATAGCGCCAAACTAAGGCCAGCATGCATTGTGCAACCATCCTCTGCCTCTGAGGTCGCTACGGCAGTGAAAGCACTGGCAGACGCAGGTCAAGTCTTTGCTGTTCGCTCGGGAGGCCATGGAAATTGGGCCGGAAGCAACAATATTGACGGTGGGGTGACGATCGACTTAGGTCTGATTAGTTCAGCCGAATATGATGCCACGACGGAATTGGCACATATTGGACCTGCCGGCAAATGGAAACATGTTTATGAAGAACTAGAGAAGCACGGACGAGTCGTCGCAGGGGCCCGCGAAGCAGAAGTTGGTGTTGGCGGTTTTCTGCTTGGCGGTGGCAACACATTTTACAGTGGGCGCGTTGGTTTCGGCTGTGATAATGTTGTGGCCTATGAAGTCGTATTAGCTGATGGCCGGATTATTACTGCTGATGCGACTGGAGAATATTCTGACCTCTTCCGCGTTCTAAAGGGCGGGGGTAACAATTTCGGAATTGTCACCAAGTTCACCATGCGAACATTCTCAAGCGGACCCCTGTGGGGTGGATATGCGGCACATCCAATGGAGATCATGCCCGCAGCGGCACAGGCATTCGTTGACTTTACCGCGAATTCATCAAAAGATCCTGATAGTACCCTAAATCTTTCCGTTTGCCACATGCCACATTTAGGGGGCAGCCTCGCAGTAGCAGTCTGCACCAACGTCGCCGGAGTAGAGAACCCTCCAGCGTTCAGAGAGTTACGAGAGAAGCCTGAAATTCTCAATAACCTCAAGAAGACGACTCTTCAGGAGGTTTTGCCATATACTTCACTTCCGCCCAACTTTTAGTAAGTCTTGATTCATCAATCACTTGATAGTTCAGTCATTTGTTAACGTATAGGAAGCAATACATGGTACACTCTAACTTTTAAGAATGATGCATCGATCATCGCTAAAGCGCATGCGTTATATACTCAATTAACAAGCAAGGTCCAAGAGAAGGTAGCTGGTGGCGAGTTCACTACCCACTGCTCCTTCCAACCTATACCGAAATATTACACTGAGCACTCCGTAGCTGCTGGTGGCAATATATTCGGATTAGAACGCTATGCACATGACGCTATTCTGATACAAGCCAGTGTCAGTGTCCGCACGCCGGAGTTAGCGAGCTGGGCACGTCCACAGGTTCGTGAGATGATTGAAGGTATCCGCAAATTTGCCGAGTCTGTCGAGGATGGTATCTGCCCTTGGCTATATATCAATTATGCGAGTCCGGATCAAAATGTCCTTCAAAGTTACGGAAAAGATAATGTGGATAAAATGAGGAATGCGGCCGCTAAATATGACCCCAAAGGCGTCTTTCAGCGGTTGTGTCCCGGCGGGTTCAAGATCTCAGCTGTCAAAGACTAGTTCTTTTAACGCCGAGAACATAAAGATACTATAGCCCATTATGGGGGAAAGAAAATAGATTTGTAATCCCAATAACCAAATTTGGGACTTGCGCCGACGCCTCATCGTGTAACAGTTTTCCCCTGGGGTCATGAGAAGGGGTGTCACGTGACCGCACTCCTAACTATCCGCCTTAAATACCTGGGTACCTTTGTGACTTGGACGACATCCTGATTACTACCTCTACTCAGGTATGAAATAAGCATATTCTAAGATAACTCCGATCGAAGATCTTGATTGCAAACTAGATGCCCCAAGGACATTGCAGCAGAACCGAAGCTACAAGCGGAATCCCCTACCATCTAGCGTATAATTATATAGGGACGTTTATTTCCGTCGGCAATCAGAAAATATCGCACATAATGATAATAAGTCGCCTGCGGGTCGTAGCCGATGCCGGACCTGTCAAACTGTCATTCATATGCAACGTGTGAGCCAAACAAGGGATGCTCTTTTCCCTGTCATGGAAATGGTTCAGAACTGCAGAGGTCAAGAAACTCAAAAAACTATTTTTGCCATTTAATGGCCCCTCTTGTGCCAATAAAATAAGTCATTCTAATAACTAGATACGTAGGTCATGCGACTTACCAGTAAAGATACTAGTATCCCTCGTGTTCTCCGAGGAGTTTCCCAGTATCCTATCGATCGATATGGACTAGCCACTATGGTAAAATAATACCCAAGTGAACGTCATGAAAGCTTTTCCAAGACGAATATGGCAGTCCTTACAAGTTACTAGTCAATATCCCGTCAAACTTAAAATGGTAGCGGACATGCCATGTTTTCCTCGGCCAGCTCGGAAATCTGTCACATCTCGTATAAAAAGGCATGGGTTGCATGGATCTAGGATGAAGAATATGTATGGGCTAATCGCCAAGACTGTTTCCTGCCTCTTTTCATTTCTCACAAAGCCTAGGCCATGATACAAAATAGACGACCTTAGAAGAAAGGCATAAACATCCAAAATACCATTTTAAGCGTCATAATTCTTGAATTAAAGTAGCCAAGAAAGCTAGTTCTCTAGCACAAATTGTTACAAGCGAAGAGGCGGACGTGGATCAGAGAATATGTGGTAGTTATGAATACCTCGGTATTACTAGATGTGTTAATTATTACATGCATGATATGACTTTTGAGTGCCTACACGCAGAGAGAATCATGCAATTCATATTTCAGATAGGTAGTTAATATAATCGTTACTACTGTCCTAGTTAGTGACTGAATGTTCCGGTACGATGACACCGCTGTGGCTAGTGCCTCGGAATTTTTAGATTGAATCAATATCCCAGAAATTATCTCTAGTTTCCGAATGCTCGGTCCCGTATTAGAGTCCTCGCGGCGTTGGAAATGAGCGAATTTGGTGCCCGGTTGTGGGTAATAGCAGTAGTTGCGCTACCTAGCCATTCAGGGGTAAGCCAACATCAAATACGAGCCTCGCATAACCTATACATCATCTCTTCACTTGAATTGCGTCAACATGTTGAACTCGCCATGGATTGTATGAGCCAACCTTTCCCTATGCAACTCTTCTTTTTTCATTAACCAATAATCCTTAGGCCATGCATCCGCATATGTATCGAGCCGGATGCAGATACCCCAGAGCTTCGTGACTATCCAGCGACAAGCAGTCCTTACACGCTGGTTCTTATTAGCTACAGAGACTAGGATCGTAGGTATGTAAGTTGAAACGTAGTTTACTCTTCTGACACATATCGTTGTGCTGTCACGAATAGCTAGTACATGACGTTGATTTCTAGGCAATCCCAAAGGTTAGGATAAAAATCAAGTTTTTGAGGGTTTCCTCACAGCAAGGCTTCCTTGCCCTTCAAGTAGCCGAGATATAAGCTGGGTGGCCTCTCTGTCAAACAACTTGAGTTTTCTTCTTCCCCAGTCTATCGTTTTCGGGGCCTGTTGTCATACTTGACCCCAAGAGTTTTACAGAGCTTGAGTGTTTGGTTGGAATAACAACCGTCAACATGATATACACAAGCAAACCGCTTGCTTTATCTTCCATAGTGAGCGGCGCATACTCACTTGTTGCCCGTCAGAGTGGATGTAGCTTCACCATTTCGACTGGTGGCTCATTCAGTGGTCAAGTTGGTCAATACAGCAGCGGCCAAACTAATGCTGGAATTTCTGGAACTAGCGTTACACCATCTGGCTTCGTCTTGGATGGAGATACAATATCAGATTCTCAAGGCAGAGGTTGTTGGTGGACACCGCCGAGTACAGTGCTCCAGTGCGACGTCGGCCAAACTCCCGAAGGCGGATTTTCTATCGGCTGCAATGGGGAGGTGACTTATAATGGTCAATCTACTTTTTGGCAGTGCGCAACGGGCGAAGATGGTGTCGTCATGATATATCTTTCCCCTGGAGGAAGTAATTGTGATCAGATCACCTTAACGGCAAGCGGATGTTATCCTTCATCATGTGGTTCAGGGTCTAGCGGTTCCGGGACAGCTCCAGGTCAAACAGGCAGCGCTACTACGGGCGTAAGTGGCACTGCTCCTCAAGGCGGAAGTTCAACCTCCCCAGGCGGCGAAAGTTGGACGGCGCCGGGCGGGGGCTCAACATACCCTGGCTGGAGTGAAACGGCCTCGATGAGTATGATTTCGACGTATCCCGGTATAAGCGAAACTGCTCCAGTAGGAGGGTCAACTTATCCTGGAACGACACCTTGGGGGACAGAAACTTCAGGAATATCTGGATCGCTTCCCACTGGAGGAACGGGTACAGAATCTGCTACAGCCCCAGCGGGAGGTTCAAGTACCACTCCTGGTGGCAATGGTGGACCAGGTACCTCACCTCCTGAAGTGACTGAAACAACATCACCTGGAGAGGGAACTGCGCCGCCTGTGTCTACCGGACCTGTAGTTACTTCATGTGTGCCGGAAACCATGACCGTTTACGTCACGGTCACAGATTCCGCGTGCACTGGGCAAACATCCCCTCCTAGCGAGACTTCTCCGCCCGAGACGACCACTATAGAGACGGCCACTAGTCCTGCTATGCCGCCACCGATGACTATTCCTACCGAGACAGTTCCTACTATTGTAACATCGGAGCAGTCACCCACAACTAGTCCAGGAACGCCGGCTACTACTCCGGAAGTTCCTACATCGGCAACGTACCCTGCAACAAGTGTCCCCCCGCCGGAAACTACCCCGCAAACTACAGCGGAGACTAGTCCAGAGACCAGCCCGGAGACGACTCCCCCCGTAACAACCCCAGAAACTAGTCCCCCAGCAACCACTTACCCTGTGACAACCCCACAGACTACGGCAGAGACTAGTCCGGAGACCAGTTCGGAGACTATCCCCCCGGTGACTTCTTATCCAGTGACAACTCCGCAGACAACTGCAGAAACTACCCCAGAAACCAGTCCCCCAGAGTCCACTTATCCAGTCACGACTCCGGAGACTACCCCACAGACTAGTGCAGAAACTAGTCCAGAGACTACTCCCTCAGCGACTACTTATCCAGTGACAACTCCACAGACAACTGCAGAAACTAGTCCGGAAACTAGTCCTCCGGGGACGCCTACCACACCGGAAACACCCACCGTACCTCCAGTAACTCCTACAACTACTCCAGAGGTACCTACTTCGACGGAGTATCCCACGACGTCTCCTCCGGCGCCTCCACCAACAAGTCTCCCTGTTACAACGAGCCCGACGGAGGGAACCAGTGAAACATATCCGGGATCTGGATCGATTTCTACCATATTTAGTTCTGAGACTGTTACGGTACCTGGATGCGAAACTGGATCTACAGTCTGCCCAAGCGAGTCTATGAGTACCAGTGTTCCGGGAACCTCGCCACCTATCGTCACCAGCAGTACGGGGCCTCCGAATAGCGAAACTTACCCGGTAACTACACCGTCGATTGAGACTACCACTCCCACTACTCCGGCTACTCCAACCATACCTACTAGTGAGACTTACCCGGTCACTTCGCCTACAACTCCGGCGACGCCAACGGTCCCTACTACTCCGGGAGAAACTAGCCCTTCGACGTATCCGGGAACGTCTACTACGGTGGTTGAAACAACGAGTACTACGAGTCCGTGTACCACGAGCTCTGAAACTGTTCCGACGGTCCCTACTGTCCCTACCGTTCCCACGATTCCCACAGTACCGACAGTTCCTACGGTGCCGACTGTCCCAACAGTACCAACGGTGCCCACAGTTCCTACAGTTCCAACCAGCCCAGTCTCAACATATCCTGGTACGTCTACGACAATCGTCGAGACTGAGAGTACCACAACCCCGTGTACTACCAGTTCAACTATTCCAGGAGAAACTCCAAGTACCAGTGTTCCCACGATTCCAACTGTACCCACTGTGCCAACGGTCCCTACAGTCCCTACAGTTCCGACGGTTCCAACGGTTCCAACGGTTCCTACTACCCCGGGCTCGACGTACCCCGGCACGACTACAACAGTCGTGGAGACTACAAGTACCACGAGTTCGTGCACCACTTCAAGTGAGACGGAAGTACCTTCGACTTCAACAACTCCCACGACAGAGACAGGATACCCTAGCACCACAACACCTGAAGTACCAGGAACCACGACGTCTCCAACCCCTGAATATCCCACATCGACGCCTGGAGTGCCAACGACGACCTCACCCGAGGTGCCCGGAACGACGTCTCCAACTACCCCGGCGACAACACCAGAGTATCCAACTTCAACACCCGGAGTTCCTACTACAACATCGCCAGAAGTACCCGGTACGACAACGCCTACTACTCCGGGGACGACCCCTGAATATCCCACTTCGCCGCCGGCAGTGCCAACCACAACGACGCCCGAGGCCCCTACCACAACCCCTGAAGTCCCGACGACAACACCGGAGACTCCAGGTCAATCGACACCTCCGGCTGAGACTACACCTGAGACAAGTCCACCCGGGTACCCAACGGCACCTCCAACGACCGAAGCGACAAGCACTCCGGGATATCCTACAACCCCACCAGCTGAAACAAGCAGCGGCGAGATCCCTCCTCCGGCGCCAACCCCACCCGCACCAACTTCCACCATAACGGCCGGCGGCAACAACGCCTGGCCCGACCAAGGAAGTTCAAGTTCCGGGTCCCAACAATCCAGCCCCGACAACCATGACAAACCCAAGGACCAAGGTCAGGGACCCGCGTGGGCACCATCCAAGGTCCCACGCCGCTCTGTCGAATCCAGGATGTTGTGTCCCGGCTCTCTTTCGGGACAATGGGAAGCCCCGCGCCTAATCATCCCCATCGACAGCGCGAACCCGGATACCGCTTATGGTCCGTCGTCTTTTGGTGAAGTATCACCTACAATCTCGACAATCTTCCAATTCGGCGCACCTCCGGGTGATAACAGTGGTGCTGAGAAGAAGATGTGTACACTCGTGTTCTTCTCCCCGGATAAACGCTCTATTGACCCTGAGGCCGCGTTCAACATCACCGGTCCAGGGGAAATTGAGTTTGCGCGCTTGGATGGAAGGGTGGATACTGAGACTACGCAGAATAGTGTTTCGGAGATGGTGAATAGTGTGCGAAGACTTAGTATTACGCACGATAATGCGTATACCGTTGAGTCGTTCGCGTGTCCTACCGGGGACGAGGAGGTTACTGTTGAGTTGAGCAGTGTACCTAGAAGCCTAACGGAGATGCGGTTTATGCAAGATGCGGATGAGTGTCCGCTTGGCTTGTACATGCTCACTTCTACGGCGAAGGATGCTGAGTTGAAGTAGGTGGGTGGGTGATTGATGGAGATGGAGAGGCGACGGAGAATGAAAATAGAGGAGAAGAGGAAGGAGGAGAAATTGATTGGAATGAATGATGCATATTACTTACCTATTGAGTTGGTCGAAGGTCGTCGCTAATAATAGTACCCGTTCAAGTATGTATGAGCATATGAGGGGTTTGGGACCTGCGCGAGGCCTTGTTGGAGTGAAGAGGTGGATGAGAGTTGATGAAAGTAATTGGAATATTGAGTACAGAAATAGGTAGCCATCCTTAGTTACATCTATTATTTCTTTTGTCACCCGAATCGGTGTCCTCTAGTTTGAAACCATGCAATCTGTGAAGCCCAGGGTATAAAGTCTACTCCGTATGAAACGTACTCCGCCCGCGCATCAAGCTACCCATCTCCTTGAGGAGAATACAGACTGAGTAAATGTAACGATGTAGCCAGGTTGTCTGCCTAACTAAATAGTTTTGACGTATCTTAATTCGAAAGTCCTGATATCTCCCAATGGCATTCCATCTAATAACACGGCCCTGACTCTTGAGGATCTAAAGCATATCAATTTTGTCTCGTCAGCATAAATAGCTTCCGATACTAAGAAGCCATGAATACTCACTCGCATAATCAGATACCTAGCTACTCATCGCAGGCTAACGGCCAGGTCTAGTTCGCGGTCGAGCTTTGGGGGTCGATTTGTTGTCATCCTTCTCTTCTAGGTCTTCCGGCTTTTTGAGCTCTGCTGGTTGCTCCAACTCCCACCACCAATGCCTAGAGAGGCGATATTTTTTGTGTAATCCAAACGTGCTGGTAACGTGTTCGGTGAAACTTCTCGCTTTCTCAGCACCTGTGCCAACCCAAAGCGGAAACTTCTCAGGATTTACCCACTCAGCACTTCTTGGGCTCACTTCGTCCAGCCTTCCATCCCTCGCTTCCACCCAACCAAGTTCTTTTGCGTACTCTAGTCCCGCGTCTTTGGAGAACCTAAATGCACGACTGATCTCTTCACGGGACAGAGCTTTTATATCAGGCCGAATACCGAATGCAGAGATTTCACGTGCTTCGAGCTCCAGGATAAATTTGGTAGCCGCGCCCATAGTTGTCGTTATAGTGTTCGAGTTGGGTGCGTATGTACCATCGAGTGCATTTTCCCGTAACGGTTCGAATGATATTGGTGCACTTAATCCGTCAGTGATGCCTGTGAGAATAAGCCGTACTGTTATTTTTGCCACATCGTCCAGTTCTCCAAATCCGCTATTGCCGACTCCATAGTTCGTTGCGACCATAAAGAAAGCTTTGAAGAGGGGTTGAAGTATATGCGCTCGCTCGCAGCTGTCGTAGTGAGCAACCGGTATATCAATATCAGGGGTGGCCGGTCCGCGAAGTGGACCTAGTATTGGCAGTGTAGGGTCTCCCGTGCCATTACCAACGGCTGTGGTAAGTTGTGCTCGTTCACAGATATCAGTATGCATAGCAATCAGTTGGTCTGTGTCTGGGTTGGAGCCAAGGGCGGCCACGTTGTAATGAACCGCAAAGGACTTGATCGGAAATCGACAGAACTCGACGTCTGTTCGGTATGGATCGAACCACTGCCGATGCATCCACGAGTTTATAGGTTCCGCCATCACGTTTGAGAATTGCATTCGGGGATCGAAAATATACAGTGCAGTAGACTTATTGCTGCAATCAAACAAGTCTATACTGTGCAAAGGTCTTCGCGACAGGTTGGCGGAAAAGTAAGCAGTTGGGGAAGTGACCTTTGCGTAGGTACTCAAAGCGTATAAACATTCCCTATTAGCCCTGATTTGGTGTAGAATTCGATCTCTTGACGTGATGGTTGCGCTATTGGTGATAATACTCAGCTCTCGACGAAGGGCCTCTTTCTGGCTGGGCATGACATTACGAAATGCTTCCTTGCCCGGGGCTAACCTCTCGAACCGCTTTCTCTTTTCTAGAGTAGCAATATACATGGGTATAGACCCTTTCCCTTCTTGCTCTGTCGACATGATGTTTAGGTAGGCTTTGAGATTTTAGTTTCTGGAACTATGTATTTTCCTTAGGGTTCAAATTTGTTCGCAGTTCGCCATTTAAGGGGGTGTTATAGAGGAGTAACGAGAGATGCCCCTAAATATTTAGGTGTAAATACCTTGTGGGTGCACGTCCATCGTGATCAGGATTTAACACAACCTTATCACATGCCTCACTTATTAACCTTCCAATATATTAAGTTCATTGGAGAACGATGTAGTGATTCCGATTGTTGGAGTTCAAGCGCCGTCTAACCGCGAGAGAACCAACGTTGAGAGCGTAATGGCAACACACGGGCCGCCATCATCTTTGCAGCCAAATTTGGTCGCTTCCTTGTCGTAGATAAAAGTAAAGACTGTTATTCTGTAGTTATTTTTCTCTTTTTTCTTTTCTTTTCCTTTTTCTTCCTATTCTTCTTTTTCCTGTTTTTATTAAAAAAGAACAACTACTATACCTAGGTACATACATGTATGTACATATGTATTTCTATTGATTAGATAATACCCCATAATTAGGTAATTGTGTCACATGACATATATTCTCATTGATAAGGTTGTCGGTAATCGGAATCGGAGATGGCCGGTTACATCGTCTTCAGGAAACATCCGGCGATTCGCTAGAGATTACCATCCTAGCATCCTAGGTCCATCTTCAAATGGACCTAACCAGACACGATGTAGGCATACCAGGAACTCGATACATAAGAGGTATCCTCGGCATCCCACAAAGATAATGACACCTCCTGACGAGCGGGAGCCGTTGCTTCAATTCGAACAACCGGAATCAACTCACAACCAGAGTTCTCCTGCGATGGCTACCACAGCAGATACCACACAGGCTACCAATGCGCATAGCACTGTTGATCGTGATGAAGCTCGTCGCATCTTACGGCGCGTCGATTGGCGCATCATGCCGCTGCTGTTTCTCACCTACACCTTTAGTTTCATGGATAAAACCATTCTCTCCAGCGCCGCAGTTTTCGGATTGAGAGAGGATACTCACCTAAAAGGTTCCAATTACTCCTGGGTCTCTAGCATTTTCTATTTTGGTTACTTCCTCTGGGCCTATCCCACAACCCTATTAGTTGCCCGGCTGCCGGTAGCCAAATATCTGGCTGCGAATACCTTCATCTGGGGTGTTGTGGTAGCTTTAACAGCTGTATGTTCTAATTATGGCGGCCTGGTTACCGTAAGGTTCTTTCTTGGTGTAGCCGAAGCGACCATCTCGCCGGCCTTGATGTTCATCACATCTACATGGTACACCCGAGATGAAATTCCGACCAGAACCGGCATATGGTTTGCAGGAAACTCCGTAGGCGGTGAGTAAGGACTGTGGCGCCACGATGACCTAATTATTGATTCGAACTAGGCATCATCTCGTCACTTCTCGCTTATGGGATTGGTCACATTACCGATAGTATCAGCCCGTGGCGTTGGATGTTCATCATTTTAGGTGTAGCGACCTTCCTCATAGGATTCGGGATACTGTTTCTGTTACCGGATACAATCTCCCAGGCGAAATTCTTAACGCCTGAAGAGCGTCAATGGGCGGGCGACCGAATTGTGATCGCCGGCACTGGTCGCACCGAGAACGCCACTTGGAAGTGGGAGCAGACATTAGAATGTCTACAGGATCCCAAGACTTGGTTGATCTGGTCAATTGCGCTACTTTGCCAGATCCCTAACGGCGGTACTCAGAATTTTGCCAATTTAGTTATCACATCATTTGGGTTCACGTCGCTTCAATCAACACTCATCAATATTCCTTATTCCATCATTTCCATAGCAGCCATTTCTGGGAGCGGATGGCTAGCCGGTCACTTCCGGTCGATGAATTGTATTCTTGTTGGCCTTGTCGTTATTCCACCTGTGGTCGGATCGGCTTTGATCGGTAGCCGAAGCTCAATTCCTCATGGCGTTTCATTATTTGGATATTTCCTTCTGTCCACCGGACCGGCAGGCTTACCGCTGCTTCTCTCACTCGTACAGTCCAATTATAGGGGCGTGACGAAGAAAATGACCATGACGGCTTTGCTTTTTATCGCTTACTGCACCGGAAAGTACGTTTTATCGTCGCTAGACATCGCATTCCCCCGCGACACCTTGAATAACCCATTCAAATTCACTCAGAGCTTTCAAGTGCATCGAGTCTTTCGCTAACGCAATCGTTTAGTATTGTTGGCCCTCAATTATTCATATCCACCGAAGAACCCACATACGACACTGCATTCCGCGCTATCATGATATGCTACGCCTTAGTCATCTGTCTCGTCGCCATCCTTAGAATTTACCTACAATTAACAAATAAGCGTAGACAGCGAGAGGAAGGAATCCAAGGGAGTGCTGGAGCTTCTGGCGCTGTTGGTGGCGGGAAGGTAGTCGACGTTGCCGATTCCAATAATGTCACTGAGGCAGTCAATACGGTTCAACTCAGGCCAGAAGACTACGAGGATGTGACGGACTGGAAGACATTTGGCTTCCGATATAGACTTTGAGGAGCTACGCATACGGTATGCGCCGACGGCATCTATATTTACCATGCTCAATTCCATCGTCTACGACTGGAAATATTCTAGCTGAACTCCTACCCCTCCGACGGCAGTCTCAATGGAAATCATAACGTTTCAACTTTCGCGCAACATTACCCCACCAGAAGGAAATCAATGCCATACTAAGAAAATTGACAAGATCACACTCCGGTCAAACAGTTTCAATGGGGCTTTCCAAGGCTGAAAGAAGGGTAGAAATATACGGCGAAGATGCCGACGTAATATACACCTTTCGCGCAATTTTTCCGATCGAGCCTCATTTGAGGACACCCCTCGAAAGTCATGGCGCTTAGGTGGGTTGAACGACGGCTTTAAAAAGACTACGCACACGCTGCAGTATGTTTCACCGGCGAGACCACCCACTCAATCGACAGTCGCGATAGCTTAAGGCTCCAGAGGCTATTATTAAAAGTTGCTATCTTCAGCATCTCGAAAAATCCAACGCGGGCATTTCCATTCTAGAATGCGCCATCCGCAGTCTTGAAGATCGTACCTATGACAGGGACAACTCCTCCCACACAACGAGACCTATCGTAGGTCAAGCACCATTTGATTGGTACCTTTTTTAATGACAAGGATCATAAAGGAATAAGTCTAGAGCTAGCATTTTATTATGAGGTAGCTCTTAGCTCTACCCCGAGTATTGATTCATGAGATCCCTTCTCGGTCGCCATTGTGCCATACGCTCTAATCCTGGTTAGGTATCCTTATTTGTGAGGTATTATCATCAATTTGCGGTGAGAGAAGCTTAGAAGGAGCTGAGTCCTTATTACTCGCGTGGCCATCACTCTGAGGGGTTGGACTGCATGTTTCTTTAGGGTAATACGGGACTGAGGCTCGATAGGGTAACCAATCAAGCAGCCATAGTTAATACTAGGCCAACCAGCACGAGCCAAAGGAGCTTGCTTCCCTGGATCTCGGATCTTGCAATATACAGAGGAGCTGCGGACCCGACCCGACGCTGCATGTCGCAATATCGAATGCCAGTGCTAATAATTGCTCGACTCTAGACTCTGATGCCAAAGTCTAGACTGGGACTCACCACTATCGCCTGACCTTAATTCGTTCCCAAAATAGCTTATTCAAATTATGTCACGATGATTTCCAAGGAACGAAATATGTTAACAGATCCACTGCGCACGTCTCATTTTTCGGATACTGTGACGACTTTCCCGGTGAATCTCACGATGTTACTATGCCGCAACTTGTCTTCGGACGTATTCTTCACGAGCTTGGCAACCGCGGACTTAACTGACTAAACCATGAGAAATGTCACGAAATGTCATGCGTGTAACGAAGAGATTTGAAATATGACGCATCTGCTTGGTCTATTCGCCAGCCACCGAACCCTCCTTTTCGTGGAGCCGATGCATCCCACAGCCTGTCAGGCACGAGGTTATTCTGACATGGTTCTGGGCTCCCCCCCGTCGCATCCAACCCCCGGTGTCCTTTTAGGAGGAATTCTATTCGCTCTGCTATTATTAATAGGAGAAACATGCGGGTAGAAAGGGAAAAACTCTCCCCTTATTTTTTGCTCCTATTGTATTTACCCCGGCTCTGTTATAGTCCCCCCTAGCCATAAACCCCCCCGGCCAGCCAATATACGGCTAAATGGCTGGCTCGCTCCCAACGTCACCTTTCTACTACCCCAACCGTCATTTCCTCGGCCCTTGCTACTCCAATTGATACCTATTACGGCCTTCCGTTTTCCGAACAAAGTGCTTTTCGCGGGACGGAGGCTTTTGGTCAGCATGCTCGTGGACGTAGCCAAGACTCGAGCTACTGTAGATGCTTCATACGCAATTCGATGATCTTTAACAGTTTACGCGTGGTTCCAAGGAGAATTTGCCTCCTTCTTCCCTTAGATGCTAATGCTATGCTGTGCGGGCCCCGGCCCGCACTCCTTGTTCTTGTTATATCGTATGGCGCATTATCTCTCGTCTAACTTGGAAGCAAGAGCCCGGGGGGGGTTGTCTGGGTTTGAAAAAACTCACTCACTCAATTCACTTTATAATGAGCCGCCTGCTCAATGGGTATATATCTAATTGACGAGGTCCTGGAATACCGCCACGTTGCGCATGTGAAATTCACACCCCTTATCTTTTGCTGCCGCTTCCAGTAGGCCGCCTCGTACTATATAATTTTTCCTTAGCCGAGAAGTATTTGTCTGATACTCACGTGTAACCAGTAAGTTACCAATAAAGACACAATTTGGAATATAGAGGTCAATTATCTAACATAATTACCTAAGGATAGTTCGTCTCTAAGGCCACGGTGGTTAATTGTTTCTCGAAAAGCCGTTTCTTCGACGTCGCTAGTTACCCCCCTTTTTCTTTGGAAGCTTCAGGTCAACAAATCAAGATGCGTTGGAACTTTGGTTTGGCGTGCGTAGTCGCGCTTTTCAGTCTCGGTGCGTATAAATCACGTTGAAGAGGAGATTGAAGGGGGGTGTTTCTGAGAAGGGGAAGATTTACTTGGGGATCAATTGGTTAACATATGGCGTCATGCGATCCATATAAACAGCATCTGAGGCCGCCGGCGACGTATTCCGTGACCCTGACACCGGGTTCACCTTCTCCCAATACAGCGCCGCGACAACAACAGGCTCCGGCTCTGCCATTACTTTCCGGGTCGCGATCCCTAGTCCTGCTTCCTCGGGTCAACCGTATGACGCTGTTCTTCAGATTGTCGCTCCTATTTCCGCTGGTTGGGTTGGCCTCGCGTGGGGTGGTTCTATGACCAACAACCCTTTGCTCATTGGTTGGCCGAATGGTAACAGCGGTGTAGTGTCTGTCCGCCGCGCTACGTAAGTTGCTCTTTTTATACAAGGAAAATGAAGAGTGGGAGTTGGTACTCTAGGCCTACATGCACCTCGACGTTTTCCGCGACCATAGGAACCCGTCTAGCAGAATAAAAACAGTATTGACACCACGACCAGCTCCCACACAGCCCCAACAGCCTACACAGGCGCCACGGTACAACTCCTAAGCAAAGGCACCAAGTCGAACGGTACACACTGGCAGATCACCACCAAGTGCACAGGATGCACACAATTCACGACTTCGGGCACGACAACCAAGACACTGAACCCGACAGGCAGCAACCGACTCGCGTTCGCATACGCCAAGTCCAAGCCCAGCCAGCCCTCATCCCCCTCCAGCCCCATCAACGTCCACGACCTATTCAACTACTGGGAGCACGACTTCGCCGCCGCCGGCAACGCCCAATTCCAGGACCTGGTTGACCGGAACTTGTGAGTGCAAAACTTGCTGTTGATGCGGTGGACACGGGAAGAGGGGAGAATTTATTTATTCTTTTTGAAATAAGAGAAAAATTATTGATTTATAAATATCATTTTACCTACACTCTACCGTATTACCTACAGAATCCATTCTAACCAAACTCCATTTCGTGAAGAAATTCTTCGCTTCTTTACAAGTCACCCATCAAGGACCTACGAAGGGGAGGAAATGTCGTACCTTGAAATAGTGACGGGGAGCGCGACTTACTTGTGTTGTGTTGTTACCTAGAGGAGGTGGCTATCGCCGTGTGTTATGGGAGAAAAGAGAGGAGTGGCGCTCCAATGTTTGGTTTGGTTTTACTGTTCTTTCCGACGCGGATACCGTTCAAGTTGTACATAAAACAGAAAGTGTCCAGTTTTCAATCCTATACGATAGGTGGCTTGAGAGATTTTATGTGTTCTTACGTAGTCGTGTTTTCATTCGTGACGTCTGAGGCTCAAGTTCGTCCCAGCGGATTCGATGCTTACTGTGGTAGTCAGAATGCGATGCTACATCATCACGCTCGAGAAATACTACAACATCTATTTTAAGATGGATGCACTACGATTATAAGAGGTATTTATAGTCATTCACAAGACACGTGCAATTGATTTCAGAAGTACTGAAGCAGCTAAAACGGAAATGGAGTATAATTATGTGGAAAAGATGTCGATGACAACGGCTAACCTCTAACAAATTTACCTAGCAATAGAACATTGACCGCACCAACGTGGCGTGTAAATGAATGCTCTACATCTTACTAGTACAGAGGAAAATTCCACCGGTGAAGTTTTTCATCGAAAACGCAAAAATGGTCTTGGCTGGAATCAAACCTCCCCTGGTGGAAATTCTCCGTCTAGTAAGTTTCCCACTCAGGAGAATTCGTCTAAGCCTTGATAGCCATCTCACCCATGGGGAGAGCCTTGAGCCCTGTTTTGGGTTAGTAATTATTCGTTTATGGGTTTTAATGGAGGAGGGGAACTTACAGCCGTCAACGTCCTCGGGAGCTTGTTGCTCCTTGGTGCAGGCGCTGTACTGGTCGGGGGTCTGGGCGTGGATACCGGCGGTGGTGCAGTCGGTGTTAAGACCGCAGCTGCCGATGTTGTCCATGGCCTTCTGGAGAGTGTCGCCCTCCCAGCCGAAGAGGTAGTCACCGTGGGCAGCAGGGCCGCTGTTGATAATGTTAGTTATCGCCTAAAAATTAAATATCTTAGGTGCGGTTTCACTTACCCAAGGTTCATGGAGTAGACGTAGGGGTTGGAGCCGTCGGTGGGGAAGTCGGCGCTGTTGGCGAACTCGGTGACGTTCCACATCAGCTCGTACATGATCTGAGGGAGCTTGGTGGGGTGGGTGGAAGGGCAAGCGCCGCCACCAGTGGCACCGGAACCGGAGCTGTAGGCGACGTGGCTCTGGTGGTCGGGGGAGTCAAGGTTCTTGCCATCCCAGCATCTAGTTTTCATGTCAGTACGAGTAGAATAATCATAAAAGTAGCCTAAGTGAAAAACCTACGTGGGGAAGATGATGGTCTGTCGGATCATCTTGCAGCTCTTGGAGCTGGGGATGTCAACAGTGTCAGAGCCAGTGCAGGGAGCACCACCAACGAAGGTGTTCTCGTTGGGCGACGTCCAGCATCTGTGGCAGATGTTGGACTTCTGGACCTTTGAGGGGTCGGTGTTGGCAGCGTTACCAGCCAACATACGGAAACCCTGGTTTAAAGTTAGAAATCTCGCGTTCATTGAAGAGTAAAAATTTCGCAGTGTCTTTTAACATACCTTCTTGAAAGCGGTGGTCTTACCGCTGGGGATGTAGTAAAGGTCGAGACCGCCCTTGTTGACGAGCTTGCCCTGAGGGCCACCGTTACCGACCTGGGGAACACGCTTGTATGTTCCGTTCTTGGACTTGAAGAACATGACGGCGGTCCAGTAGTTAGACTTGTCCTCCTTGAATGTGCAGGACGTGCAGGTCGAGGAAGCCAAGTCGTGAGTCGCGGGGTCCATGGTGACGTTAAGGGAGTTACCACCGACTAGCTGGTGAAGGTGAGGAGTGTACGTCATGCCGGGGTTGACCAAGGGGTCGATACGGTCGACGACCAGTTGGGAGCATGCGAATCGCAGCATAGAGTTACCGAATTGAGCGGCGGCATTTTGCGCGAGAAGCGCGACGGCAGCGATGGAAGTCAGCTGCATCGTGACTGAATTCTACCTTAGACGTCGATCGATGTGCCTTGGGTAAGATGAGTGAGACGTTGGACAAGCAACGAATGGGTTAGCTGAGAGCTGCTATGAGAAGTCACGGTTGCAGAGGTAGAATCCGGGGTGCTTGGGATTCTGGGGAAGTTCGTGATGCCTGTTGTACTTGTATGATCCGCGAAAGTGCTCCTTCGCGGGTCAGCACCCACGAACTGCCGAGCCCGAAGAACTCGTTCGAATATTTCTTTCCCTTGGGCTTCCTGGAACGATTGGCCAGGATCATTTTGCAGCTTGATTGATTCGATTTCCGCATTGGGGATCAAGGACAGCCATAGTTCCGAGAGTTGATTGATCCCTGAGCCTGCTTTCAACCCCTTCTGGCTGTATCGCATTTACCCGGTTATATACACCTCCCAATAATAGAACGGCGATAAATGGCAGAGTAGCAACAAGCCGCATCGAGTGCTTGGAAATATGGGTCCAAACAAATAATTTCGATTCGAAAATGGATGCACCTTTGCCACTGGTAACCGTATAATCCACACGTGTAGGTGAGTTGACCTAGACTACCCGGTAGGCTACCAAGTATGATTTTCCAGATCGCCTCGTTTGTGAGCGAAACGTGGGTTCCAGGCACAATCGAGAACTTTCGATACTACGGTCCATAAGTCTAGTTTTCGGATCTAATGTTCTTAACTTGCCACATTGTCCGTGTTAGTTTTGAGAATGGTGTTTTCTTTTTCGCTATCCCATATGGCCGGACCCGTTGTGAAGAATACAAGGGTGCCGAAGGGGCGCCCGCTCTTCACTATATCCGGTCCAAATCTCGGCCCTAATGTAGAGGGGAGAAAGCACCGCCAAGCCGTATCAAAAGCCCTGGTCCGGCAAGCCATACCGTAGGAATTATTGGGACACATGCTAGTGTCGTCATCAACGTAAGGAAACAAAGGCCGTAGTTTATCTGATTCGCCTCCCTGGTAGAAATAATTATTAGTGACATGTCTAGACTTCTTATTGGACTATTATATTGTTGCCGACGCCTTGTGATAGGATCGCGGATGCAGGTGCAACTTGTAAGACGAAACAGACACACATAATATGACCAACTATGTCGGCCCCTCCATATTGAGGCTGGTTGTCACAAGTTTTCTCCTGAATATTCTCCCACCCAACAGGTCGGTTAACTGTGCCGTAGGGCACGCTCCTCGGCGAGGCCACATGGCGGAGACAAAAATAATTCCAAATCACTCCCACGGCACAAGGGCAGAATATTTCCCTTAGATGACTCTCCATCTAAAACACCATAAACGGAAATGCCAACCTGACGCAGGGCACGGCACAAATTAGGCCCGTAAACATGCGATCGTCGATGAATGACTGTTTATCGAGATAGATAGAATCCGTTAAGGTTATCATGCATTGTAAGCCGTTCGCAGTTGATTGCCACAAGTGTGTCTCCTTTTCGGCACGACGGGGATAAACTGTGCGAAATATTTGGAATGCACGAGAAATCGGTAAGATGGAATGAGTTCTCATCTTGGATCAATACCTATAAACAGAATTCCACATACCGGGAAGGCCGAAGTACTATGGAGATAATGACACATAGTTTATCTCTTAGATCCTACCCGCCAGTGATAACATCACCGCTTCCACAAGTGGAATTGGACGGTTCCAGTACGTTGTGAAAAGTTTTCCCTGCTGAAGATTCGGGTCTCTCATGAAAATTCTTGAAGTTTCTTTCGTCATCGACTTCAACAAGGTAAACGTCGACGCGAATGAAGGTCGCTACGAGTCGCCCCCAATATATCGGCTGTACTCCAGTCGTCGTCGGTGACGCCGCAGCGTACGCCTCCCCTTTCCATTTTGAATCGCCGACTAGAAGATACAATAGAGAGTTTGCGACCAGGAGAAGTCACATGATATCGCCCCTGAAGCTGTGTTCTGTCTATACTTCCACTGAAGGTATCGCAATCGGTTATTACCGGGTCTAAGTTGTACTGGTGTGGATAGACCGAAATGAAAAGGGGCGTTGCTAAGGGTTAAGATTATAGATATCACATAAATTGCAATTTATATGAAAATCTTTAATCCAACTTAATCTCCCCACACATCACATAAATTTCCCTATTAGTCACGAAGGCAGTTAAAACAAACTCAACAGTAAGTCAAGCATGGTGCTTGCGTAATCCCCTCGCGATATCGCGACAATGATCCAACCCCACGGGGAAAATCCCACGGATTTTCGCTAGATAAGCAACCGAGGTTACCCCTTAACTTCCGGCGACCATCCATTCGTCAGTCCAATTATATCCTAATGAACCCCGGAAAAGGACCATTACATACGTTATCGTCATGCCTGCAGTAGATCTCGGGAGTTGCCTAAAGCCGGCGGAATGTGACGTCCCCACGATCGGGTGCCGATCAGGCGGGTGAGGGTAGAGAGGTGAGGGCGGACCTGAGGCCCGGTGTGAAATGATGGGATTTTCTTTCGCTTTTGGATTACCAATTGTTATGTAAGAAAGAAAACACGAAGATCAATTCCACCAGTGACAATGGCTGTCGGAATTAAGATCGTCGCAGGCCTTGCCTTCCATGTGACGGTTTTCGCTGCGGCCGCTACCGAGCCACAGTTCAAACCATCCAGATCACGGGTGAGGTGCATCCTAAGGAACAGGTAGCCCGGCTGGGCAACCTGGGCAGTATAGAGCTGATGATGTAAAAGTCAACTACAGTCGACCTATCACCATTTTACAATAATAAAGCATTCGGTACATACCCAGGTGAAGCCTCCTTCGATACACTGGGTCAATCGTACCCCGCGCCGGACTTGAATACGCCGTTCTACACCTCAAGCTACACGGGTATAGTATACTCATTCCCGGGTTATACCGGCCCCGATGAGTCGGATAACGTAATTTGTAGCGGCCAAAGCATATCAGTACCATCCGGTCCGTACTTCTCGGCCTCATTCCTAGTCTCCGAAGATAAGGAGGAAGCGACCGTATCCGGCAATGTGACCTTCACATACACCGACAACAGCACATCGGTGTACGAGTTGCGATCATTGGATTGGTATAGCTTCTTGACTATCAATCGTGGGGAACTAATTTTCCCGAGCCGTTTCACCGCAACCGGCGTCGACTACAACACGAGTCATATCTTTGAGCGTACCGCATCGCTGAGTCCCGGCAAGCAACTGCGCTCGATCACTTTGCCTGAAGCAGATAATGAGGATGATGGGAGATTACATGTATTCGCAATCTCATTGTGGGCTGGCGGCTCGGCGGTCAGCGTACAATCGATTCGTTCGACTCAAAAGTGGCTCGATAGCGGCGCGCAGGCAGTCGAGATTACAATCAATAACGCAGGATCCGAATGTGTCGCAGGGGATGGTTTGACGTTTTCTATCTCGGGAGATGGACTCGAGACCATTGATGATGGACACCTAAAGCGCTTGTGTCCTGGTGATCAGAAAATCGTGACAGTCGGAGTAGAGACATCATCGAATGGGACCGTAAATGCCTCAGTCATAATCAACAAATGGTCTGTCGAATTCGAGGGTATCCAATTCGGTCTAACCGAATGGACAACCGACCTCGATAACATCGCAAGACACGAAAGTCCAGACTGGTTCAACAAAGCCAAATACGGAATTTTCATCCACTGGGGACCTTATTCAGTAACAGGCTGGGGAAATTCATCTCCCCACGAAAGTTACGCAGAATGGTTCTGGTACGTGCGACCCCAGCCCCCTCCTCTCAGCAATGATACTAATCAGAGGCGCCTCTGACGTAGGTGGTACTCAACTCACCACCCCCAAGCCGACTCCTCCGATTTCTACGATTATCGCCTTCGCACCTACGGCGAGGTTTGGGCCTACGACGACACATTCGCGAATTTCACCACATCAAACTACGACCCGAAAGCATGGGTCGACCTAATCGCCGACGCGGGGGCAAAGTACTTCGTAATAACATCCAAACACCACGACGGCTTCGCCCTCTTCGACACCGGAACCACCAGCAACCGCAGCGCCCTACACCATGGTCCACACCGGGACGTCCTCGGCGAACTCTTCTCCGCCGCATCAACATACCAACCCGCTCTAAAACGCGGAACCTATTTCTCGCTGCCCGAGTGGTATAACCCAGACTTCGGACCCTACGGGTTCGACCAATTCGACCCACACACCATCCCAGGAACAAACAGTTGGCCCGGCGTTCCGGCTCTGAATCCATTTACTGGGCTTATTGAGCCGTATGTTGGTTATATCCCAGTCGCGGATTTCCTGACAGATCTCATGCTCCCGCAAATGCAGACTCTGACTAATATCTACGGCACCGATATAATGTGGTGCGACTGCGGCGCGGCAAACGTAACCGCGGAATTCGCCTCTACATGGTGGAACATCGCGCGTTCTCAAAACCGGCAAGTAGCTGTAAACTCCCGCTGCGGTGTGCCGCAAGCAGCTGATTTTGATACACCGGAATACGCGCGGTTCAGCACGGCGCAAAGAAGGAAGTGGGAGAGTAATTTAGGTATGGATCCGTATAGTTACGGATACAATCGCGCGACGCCGGAGAATGCGTATATGAATGCGACTACGTTGATTTATACACTTGTTGATGTCGTGGCTAAGAATGGGAATTTGTTGTTGGATATTGGTCCGAGAGCGGATGGGAGTTTGGTACAGGCTGAGGTTGATAATTTGCGGGAGGCGGGAGGTTGGATTAAGACGCATGGCGAGGCGTTGTTTGATACGGCTTATTGGTTTGTACAGAGTGAAATTAGTGGCGGGCCGGATGTGAGGTTTACGCAGACGGATGAGGCGTTTTATGTGTTGTTCTTAGAACGCCCGGTGGTCCGTGAAGGTGTGGTTGATGTCCCGGCCCCGGTGCCGATTCTAGAGGGTGATGAAGTTAGTCTGTTGGCTATTGAGGGAGGCGAGGATTTGGCGTGGAGTGTGGCTAGAAGTGGTGACCAAACCGTCCTCAAGATCAAAGTTGATGATGCACTGTTGGACAAAGAGGAATTCTGCTGGGTATTCAAGATCAGATATGCGTGATTATCGCGGTATATATGTGCCTAGATATGAATAACTCAAGATCAAAAGTACCGTACTCCTAGTTATTTTCATGTCGGGTATTCAAAATGATATCCAGTCTACTAAATAAAAATGCACCCCATGGCCAATTCCGAGGATATATCATTTCTCATCAGTCACCTTTCCTAAGCATCGTGTCGATTATTCCACTGTCATCCTTCTCAATTCGTTTCTCACCTCTCTAGGGAGATCTGGTGGGCTCCTTCCATTTCTGTACTGCCACAACCGACTTAGATCCTTCACTCTTACGGTTCCGTCGTTGAGTTCGGACTTCTTCTCGTAAAAACTGCCGTGTATCGCAACCTCATCCTTAACACCATTCACCTCTTCCCCGCTAGATTCAAGCATAGACCAGGCATTCTCAACAGCCTCACGTATGTCTTCCTTTTCCGTGCCCTTCTTAGCCACTTCCACAATGCTGTCCATGAACTCGTTTCGTTCGGCGCATCCAATAAACTCTCCTTTAGCATCACGCGCAAGTGGAAACATCCCGTTCAAATAGTGTTGGCAGAATTGATGTCCACCGCGTGGGGAAGAACGGCGAAAAACACGACCGATATAACGGGGCATCTCTGGAGAGGCACGCTCGTTCGTTACGAAATGCAAGATTCCCCACAAAGCTACGAAATCAGTCGTGTGGGCGTAATGCTCGACATGCGCGATTGCTCGGTCGGATGCTGGTACAGTATATGCAGTTGCACGCGACACAGTAGACTCTTTTGACAGCGAGGTGAGTGTAGGAACACGTCCTCCATTAACCTCAAACGAAGATTTGCTACCGTTTGAAAGTCGCCTTCGCGATGATTGAGTCTCAACTGGTGAGTCAGTAAGAGGGATCTCGGCGATTACAGTGGGTATATGAGTATCTGTCAAAGGATATTTCTGTTCCGATGACTGAGACTCGACATGTCGATGCGGATTGTTAAAATGGTTGGATGCGTTTCCAAACGTGTATACTTCAAGTTTCGATAGGAGATCCTGCGGTAACTCTTGAAGTAACCAGTCGAGAACCAGTCCACCTTCGATTCCACCTTGTGAGTGTAGAATGAAAATCACTTTAGTGTATTTCGGGTTGTACAGTTTTTCCTTAATGATTTTGTACGCCATCCGTACATCGCTCGTTGCATACCCAAAATTACGTTGAATGAGACATTCAACAATATCAAATATGATACCGTCAGTACGATTATGAACACCAATGATTGGTCGCTTGAAAGTGATGGCCAAACGATTGATATTGCTTTTTAGCCAAGCCTCCCTAAAATCTTGGAGTCAGTACCACATTGTATCCGCATTGGATCATCACGAGGTCGAACATACCCGACGGCTACACCATTTAAGAAAATCCACTGCTCATGTGCGTGTTCGTCCTTAGCGGGTGCATATTTCGGGTCAGACTCGAATGTGATGGTCTTCCCATTCAAACCCAGGCATAAAAACCAGTTCAACGTGAAGAATGCGCCTATTCCTATCGCTACCATCCAAACCGGAAGGAGAAAAGCCAGAGGCAGAGATAATATAAAAATTAACTGAAGAACCAGAAGTATCGCATGAATGGACATGCACCATAAATTCTGCCAAGTTGATGATAATTCGTCAAAATGATCGCCGTCGCAAGGACGAACAGGCCAGATTACAAAAGGTAAGGCCCATGCGAATGTGAAGAAGTATCTCACATCCCATAACATCAACCTCCAGGGCATATCGGTATAACTGTAGTTAATGACGGACTCGCCACCGACCTGCGAGCCGAAAAATTCGGTACGATCCATGACGGGTTTCGACGTAGGTGTTGTTTGTCGTTGAGCTCCATTTGGTCGTGCGAAAATGCGTGATGTGTAAAGCAAACCAGCGACCATGACAACGAGTACACAGCCGAAGTAAATAGGAAAATTCACAGCGGAGAAGATGACTCCCAGATCGGGATAGCAACAAGTTTTTATTACTCCCAGGATGTCCATCCTCGTACCTTTTCTGTCTTCCTCTTTCTTTTTTCAGCTACACTAAGCCCCGAGCCGAGCTGTTTTGTACCCCAACCTAAATACGTAAGGATGTCACGAAAAACGAGGGTAGAGACCATGTGGACGGTGGCTTGCCATGGTGTCGGCAACGAACATGCTGGAGCGGGTGCCTACCGTGCACCGTAACATCGTGGCTAGGTAGTGCCCCTCTACAGGGACTACAGAGCCTACAGGGCTGAGATATTATATCATATTATACCCCTAGGCGTCCACTTTTACACTAATGACCAATAAACAAGTGTATAAGGTCGGTGTGAGTTGGTCATAGTCTGGGTCATCTTGGGTCATCTGAGCCAACTGAGTTGTGGAGGGTTGCAAGAAAAATGAATCCTAAGAGGAAATAAGGGGAAGTTTCTCTATCAAGTCACTAAAATGGCCTTCTATTATTGGATTATTACTGTTGATTAGCGTATTATGTACGCTGTGAGTAACAATGATTTGCCGAGTTACCCGACCAGCTAGTAAGATTTAAAACGTCCTAAAGTGTAACGTCTTCTGCCTGTTAGCCCTTCTGTTAGGTTCGTTTAGGTCTGTGCTCTAGGCGTTTATTCGCCCGTTAGTACGCCTAGGAGCTTTAGGTCTTAGCTGGGTGTTAATGAGTACATGTACCTAAGTACCTCATACGTCAATCACCTCCCACTTCGGGATCTTCAAATCGATTGATGCGACTTTCTTTCTTAACACAACATACTTCGTTTCGACCTCATTTCTTACCTAAACAAATCGCAAACAAATATCGAGGGTACTACTACCAGTATCATTAAGAAACGATGGAAGAACCCCAAATTACATCGCCGGGGACATCCGTCATAAACCCCAAAGTCCTCATTATGATGGCCGACTATGGCCACGATCCTACAGGTACGCCACCTTTCTACCACAGCCCTTTGCCTACCTAAGCGCCCACCTATGTACCTATAACATGCATGTCTCTAGCGCTGACTCACAATATTTAGAAACTGCCGTCCCCTACACTGCGTTCAAGAATGCAGGCTACGATATCAAGTTCGCGACCGAGAACGGAAAGCCGCCGCGATGCGACAAGAAAATGTTGGAGGGGTTCACCCAAAAACTACTCGTACGCCGTAACCACTCGTGACATCTTACACGCGAACAACCTCGATCGAATGATCGATCCTAATAACAATGGATAACAGGGAGCAAAAAAGGAAGTCGTCACTTTGTACAAGAAAATGGCCATAAGTGAAGAGATGCGCCACCCGCTCTCCTGGTCCGACCCCAGCTTTTCCCTCGACCCTTTTGACCTCGTCGTGTTCCCCGGAGGCCACGAGAAAAGTGTTAGACAAATCATCGAGTCCCCCATCGTACACAAACTCGTACTAGATTACTTCCCCAAGACAAAGAAGCCGAGTAAGAAAGTGATAGGCGCTGTGTGTCATGGTGTGATGGTCTTGTCCGAGTCGAAAGATGCCAATGGGATAAGTGTCATTCGCGATTGTAACACTACATCGCTGCCTGCGAAATTCGAGCAGGCGGCGTATTGGGGAACACGGGCGGTGCTCGGTGATTATTACAAGACATTTGGCGCACAAAGCGAAAATACTGAGGACTCGGTAAGGATAACAACTATCCCAACAAAACCTGAGTGTTATCATCTGATCAATTTGTAGGTCAGAAAGGTTCTTGCCGACCCATCTCAATTCAAGGCCAGTCTAAACCCAGGCCCGTAAGTGTTCCTATCTTTTCCAACCATTTATCTCAAGGCTATGTTCACTCGCAAGCTGAAATATATCACTCACCATATCTAGTTTCACTGTCGAGGACGAGCAGTACAATTACATCAGTGCTCGATATCCCGGCGATGCGGAGTTATTCGCCGAAGAGATTATCAAGCTCTTCGAGAGCTTCCACAAGATTGTCTAAATTCTTTCCACATATGGTTGGTCTATATGCGCATAGATCTACCGGTTTGCAAATTGTTGATACCCTCACGGCGAATCTGGATTACGAAAGAATGAAATAGTTATGATATATACTTAGTATGATAATGCACTAATTCTTTAAAATTGACTTGATCGCTTCATCGACACCTGATGCTACGACCGAAGGATTGCGATTTGGTTCCAGTCGGTCTATCCAGCCTTTGCCAGCCCGATCGATAAATGCGGCTTGCAATCCCGCAGCTCTTGACCCTGCGATATCGAACGGATTCGCACTCACAACCCATACGTCGCTTGCTTCTCCTTGCTTGCCAGCCTGTTCAACGAGATGGTCATACGTCCTCCTATCCGGTTTGAAACACTTAAGACCGTCAACAGTAATCAGCGATTTGAACCTTCCCGCATGAGGTCCCAATTCCGGCGAAGTATTAATCGAATTCCCCACCATTTCATCGGTACCATTCGAGAAGACATAAGCTTCAACCCTATCACCGTTTTCCTCCAAAAGTTTCAAAGCTAAAGGTATTTCAGGGAAGACATGTAGTGCATCATATGACTTCATAAGCGTATCCGCGTCTTTCGCCGAGAGCGTCAATTCATGCTCCGCTACGGCGTGTCCCAGCGCATTGCGTGTTATTTCGCTGAATGATTTGTACTCGCCTAACTTTTGTTAGAAAGTTATTCTCCCAAGAGCTGAATGATTTAGTGACTATACCCATGCTATTAATCCGCCATGTGTATTCCAGCTGATACCGTCGCCATAATGCAGCTAATGATTTAGCTTTGTCTTCGCCGTAAATCTTGGCTAGTTCCTGGGCGATGGATTCGGTGGATAGTAGTGTCCCGTAGAGATCGAATGCGATAACTGTTTTCTTAGTCGCCATTTGAATGTGGAGTAGCAATACGGGGAATGAGTCAATCGGTGATTCTTAGAAAGTTATTTATTTCCCCCGTATCAAATACCCTTGAGCGTTTATATGGCTCTTCACGGTTTGTCATCGTCATCAGTTGACATAGGGCGTGATGCATTAGCTACTAGCTTGATATTGCGGGGTAGCTGTATACTGCATTGGGATAGGTAAGTGCTCTATAGTTGTCGCTATAGATGGTTTCCTACATTTATGCTTCATCTATAATACATTATAGTGTGAGTAGTATCCTTTCGAAATTAATATGTATAAATAGAATTTCCCTTGATATACATAAGCTCTATTATACTCAATCTTTTACGCATTTACACCCGTATCACCCTACCGAAATACATCATCATATCAACCACATGACGTATGTCAACAATCGGATATCATGACAGCAATACCAGAAGACCAAGAGAAAAACTACGAGATATTCCTAGACTGTCTCTCAACTGCTCTGATCGAGAAAATCTCACAACCCCAAGCAAAACCAAAACGAAGGACCAAACCCAAGTCCAAAAAGCCCACATCTACACCACCACAGACCAAGTCCGCAAATCCAGACCCGGAAACAGAAGCAGACACCGACCTAACCAGCGCCGACGACCTCGCCGACTTCGCCGGGTACATAGCAACCACAACCTTCCACTCCCTCCCCAGCGACCTCAAAACCCTAGACTACTACCTCTGGACCAGATCCCCATCCCTTCAAACAACCTACACCCTCCCATTCACAGGCACCTCCATACCCCCTCTCCCAACCCTCGACCCGGCCATCGCCGACTCGCTATCCACGTACTCCATAACCCGTGAACCAACACAAGGCATCAATGAATTCCTCGCACCAATCCTAACCCACTACCTCTCCCTCATCACAAAACCACCCCCAGCCCCGCGCGCCACGCTCAAAGAAGCAACCGGCTGTGAAATCTGTGAAAGAAATTATATCCCACTATCATACCACCACCTAATCCCACGATTCGTGCATTCCAAAGCAGTGAAACGCGGATGGCATAAAGAGGAAGATTTACAGAATGTAGCTTGGCTATGCGGTGCTTGTCATCGCTTCGTGCATCGTTTCGCCGGACATGAGGAGCTTGCGCGGAGGTATTATACGGTGGAGTTATTGATGGAGGATGAGGGTGTGAGGAGGTGGGCGGAGTGGGTTGGACGGTTACGGTGGAAGGGGCGGTGATATGGTGCTGGGGAAGATGTGAGGAAGAAATGTGAATTAATGGTTAATATTATGAGATGATACTCAGGCCTGTTTTAGGGTGCGAACCTAGATACCCGGTTGCATCATGTGGAAATAGCATATAAAAGCGCCTAGGAAATACATCACTAATGATTAATGGTGTGCATCTATATAACTTATCTCACGAAAATTGGCATTTTAGTGTGTTTATTAAGAGAAAGAAAATCGTAGTAGAGGCGTAGACTATACATGTTTCAATTGGCTTCAATTACACGGGCATCCACTTACTGTGTACGTTCTTAGGGTAGATATCTATAGCACCTTGACTCGAGACTTACCTTTAATCATGGTGGTATTGTAAGTAGGAATCGGGCTTATACCTAGGTACGAACCGGAATGGAATGGCTTGGAGCGTCGGGCACCCAAATTATTTAGCGAATAGACAATTTTCGTGCCTCGCGCCCATGTTCGAGGAAGACACAAGTACCAGCGACGCCAGCAAAGGCGTACGATACGCCATCATTTGACCGGGTACGGTTTCTATCATTTTTATTTATCATGTACTCACCATCTCTTCGGCGCCGTCGCACAGCCCGACGAGAATGTCCGACTCATGACATTTGCTTTTGACCTTTCCTTCTCAAGCTTTGTTAGACCTATCCTATCAGTAATAGGGGTAGCGTCGATAATGTTATCAAACGCATCATCGTCTTCATCTTCATCTTCATCTTCCCCATTATCCGAATCAGGCTCTGCATCGGGGTCGACGTGATACCTTTGCGGTTGAGGTGGAGGTATTGCTTGTGGCTTGGGTTTGTGATCCGCTTCCTTGGAGTTGGCGAATGGTTTTGACGCGAGAACCTTACGACGTATTTCTTCCATTTCAGCATCGTCGTCGGAGTCATCTGATATATGGAAGGGATCCCTATTGTCCTTCTCCTCTTTCGGCTTTTGCGCGCTTTCTCCGGGATGTGGCCACTGTTCTGGTTTCTTCCCAAGGTAGATGCCGTCGACGCTATCATTATCCCCGTTTTCGTCTCCATTTTCTCCATCGTCCTCATCTTCATCTTCATCTTCTTCGTCATCGGAGTCAATAATAGCTCGACGATTAACATTTCCACCCTTCCATAAATCGTCATCATCAGCATTCTCTCTGCTTTCGGCATGTTCCCGCTCTAATCGTTCCATCCATTCTTTCTCTGTCTTTATAATCTCGTCTTCATCGGCGCATGCGGCGTACTTCCTAAGTACCTTTGAATTGATAGCCAAGAAAGACTCTCCATAGTTAAACGGTCGCAGTACTTCCTCTGCCCAGTCGGCATGACCACATATGTAGAATGCTGCAGCCAAAGCCTCGACACAGTTAAGTCGGAAGGGTTTGCCGTAGTTGACAGTATTCGCAGCGACGAGGTACGGCAATAATCTTTCGCATTTTCCGCCGACCTTGTTCCATTGTACTTCTTGCGTTCGCGCCCAGGAGCATTCGACCACAGCAGCGCCATATTGTTCCATTAATTCTTTGTCGGCGGGGGAGATCTTGTGTTTTCCGTTAGGTGTAATAATAACGCCATTATGTCTTTGGCCAATATGAAGGTCGCGCATGAGGCCAAGTCGGATAAGTTTTTTTCCTGAACATCGTTTCGGATCGCAGTGGTTCAAGTCCCAGCAGGCGGCTTTGAAGGCGGGTTGGGAAGAGTTCGCTTGTTCGGAATCATCGTCGGCGAGGCGCGGTCGAGTTGGGCCATTTCCGCGACCTTTTCCACCTCGAGATGAGAATTTATCTTTCTTGTGTCGAACCATGTTGAATGCTTGAGTTATTCCTTTTGAAAATGATGATATGGGTAGTAAAAGCGACAAGGAAGAAAGGAAGGAAGAATATACGAGTATTAAAAGGTAGAGAAAAACAATGAAATTCTCGTAGATGAGATAGAATGACGAAGCGTGGGGCAATTCCAATTACCCTAGAACTTCAAAAAGTTAAACCTTGTCCTTGCTTCAGCTGTTCGTGGGGCTTGTGCAAGATACACCTTATGCAACGGATAAATAAGATTATCCGGGGATAGTGCTTTCCCAAAGCTACGGCTTGTTATCTGATTGGTTGAGAGTTATTCTATCAACTTCTCCAAGGTCATTGCTGCCACAATTCATATAACTGCGCCACAAATCAAGTGGGATGCCTGCCCAGCTTATTTTGGTAGGCTCGATGGTCACCAAGGCCAAGGCGCCGCCGCATTAATACTTTTGGTGATAACCCTTTTTAAGCTTCAGCCTTTTAACTGACAAAAAACAACAACTGCGACATGATCGTCGTTCATGAATAAAATAATTATTTTTCCTATTTTACATAAGCGAATGTCTATGGATGGATTAATTCCATAGGCGCATTGCATCAGGCGCAATTTATTCCGACTTATATCTCCCCTCTCTCGCCTGCATCCCATCACTTTTGAAACATGGAGGCCGCCTCCGCTCGAGCTGCGGCTAGAGACCGTTGGAACGAATTGGGTTACCCGCGACCTTCTCAGCTTCAGCGATTCATAGCGAATGCTTGTAGTCCAGAGAATTACGAACCGAACCTCGCTTTAAATCTCGAAATTTCCGATCTGATCAACAGCAAGAAAGGTAGCGCACCCCGAGAAGCCGCCGTCGCTATAGTCAACTATATCAACTCGCGCAATCCCAACGTTAGCCTCCTCGCTCTTAACCTTCTCGATATTTGTGTCAAGAATTGCGGGTATCCTTTTCAACTTCAGATTAGTACCAAAGAATTCCTAAACGAACTTGTCAGACGGTTTCCCGAGAGACCCCCTATTCGTTACACAAAAGTCCAGTCTAAGATTCTGGAAGCGATCGAAGAATGGAGGAGTACAATATGCGAGACGAGTCGGTACAAGGAAGACCTCGGATTCATCCGGGATATGCACCGGTTGTTGAGCTACAAAGGTTATCACTTTCCGGAAGTTCGGAGGGATGATGCTGCTGTTTTGAATCCTAGTGATGTGAGTAGATTATGGCGCAGCTTACGTGGCAGTTAGACCAACTAATAATCGTAGAATCTTAAATCGGCTGAGGAAATGGAGGAGGAAGAACGAGAAGCGCAATCTGCTAAGCTACAAGAACTAATACGAAGAGGTACTCCAGAGGACTTACAAGAAGCCAATCGCCTTATGAAGGTTATGGCCGGATACGATACGAGGTCGAAAACGGACTACCGAGCAAAGGCGGCGGAAGAGGTCGGAAAGATTCAGGCAAAAGCGCGCCTCTTGGAGGAAAGACTGGCAGCTTTCAAGCCAGGCGATTCTATGAAGGATGGCGACGTATTTGAGGAACTAGCCTCGTCTCTTCAAAGCGCACAACCCAAGATTCAGAAGATGTGCGAAGAAGAATCAGACGATCATGAGGCGGTCGCCAAATTGTTCGAGATCAATGACAGCATACATCGGACCGTTGAACGGTGGAAGCTTCTCAAGAAGGGTGATATTGAGGGCGCTAACAAGATCGCCCAAGGCGCGCCCATTCCCACGACGTCGTCAGCACCAGCTGGAAAGTCGACATCGGCCGCGAACGAGCTTTCATTGATCGATTTCGACGCGGATGCTGCGGCAAATGGTTCTGCTAACAACACCGCGGGAACGAGTTCACAGGCTGGTGGTCTTGAGAATGACCTGCTGGGTCTATCTTTAGGAGACAGCAGTAGTAGTTTTGGTCAAGGGGGTGGTATCTCGCTTGGCTTCGGGTCGAACCAAAGTAAGTCAAATTTATTGTCTATTCAAATCAACTAGAACACACGGCTAACTTTTTGTCTAGATGTACCCGGACCTGCTTTACTATCTTCAATGACTCAAAATAACAGTGCTAAGGGCCCTGTATCAACACCTACACCTCCGCCATTCTCTTCCTTTTCTGGTTTCACTTCACCCCCTACAGGATCTCAGTCGAATACCCCACAACCAAACCTAGCGCAACAATCTTCCTTCTCTAGGCCACCTCAAAAAGCGACCCCGGCCAACGATCCTTTTGCGGCTCTCGCCTCACCTCAATTCTCATCTAAGCCAGCCACGCCTAAACCCGCCCCACCGCCTGCGACCTCAAATGATGATGATGAATGGTCATTTTCTTCAGCTTTACCACCTGAGCCGTCTCTTCCTGCGGAATATAAGGTAAACGTTAAGGACGGACCCTTGCAAATCGACCTGAACGCGAGAAGGGCGACAATACCGAGTGCGCTTTCTCTCGTATTCCTTTTCTCTAACACCACCACGGCGCCAATCAGTAATCTCCACTACCAACTAGCCGTAACAAAGGTAAGCCGTCTAGCACATCCAATTGACAATACTATAGTAGCTAACCACGCAACTGAAGGGCTACGAATTACAATTACAACCGCAGACAGGTCGTGCCTTGCAACCTCGCCAGACCGCTGGTGTTACACAGACGGTGGAGGTATACCATGCAGGAGATAGAGTGAGGAAAGTCGAAACGATCAAGTTAAGATGGCGCGTTAGCTATACATTGGGCGCAGAGCAAAGGAGTGAGACGGGCGAGATACCCGAGTTTGGCATTGCGTGATCTGAACCTTGCATAAGAAACGAGCATACCTGAGTAAATGAGCGAAGATATGAAAACGCGGGCAATGAAAGATGAGAGTAGGACAACTGTGCAAAGGAAGTCGAAGCGGTGATAAGCGATAGTAGATGTAGAAGTCAAGTCAAGTGGACTACCGGTTGATAGGAGGCAGATTCTACCTAAGAACACACTATTCTGTGTCGATGCTTCTCTCGTGTCGATGTTCTTTTTCTTCATTTCAGGAATCAAGGGAATGTCTCGACTCGCTAGCAATAATCGCCTAGATTAGACCGTCCCTACTCCATATGAAGGCAAACCAGCTCGCCCGATATGTCAACTCTAATCGATTATAACCCAGAGGACCATAAATAATACGCGCACAAAGCAATCCTCGATATTGTACAAAATGTATTATTTTAGAGGGGATATGATATATGTGCATAGTACAGTGCCTTCTATATACACAACATAGCAACCAAGGCAACGCCACAGATGCCAACCGGTAGATACCTTTTCGTAGTTCCCGTCTACCGTCTATATGTACAATATACCATACACTCCAAACCAAGCCCCCCCTTAACCAGTCATAAGTCGAGTGGTTACAAGAACCGCTTGGTCTTCACCTCCTCATAAGCCTGTATCTGATCGCCGACTTTGATGTCCTGGAACTCTTCGAACCCGATACCGCATTCGGTGCCCTTTCGCATCTCTGTTACGTCTTTCTTGACATGTTTTAGTGTTTCGAGTTTACCTATTCGATTGTTAGCAATTTGAACAAATGCAATGTAGATATTGAGAAAGCAAGCGATTTGGAGGGGAGGGGGTATTAAAACTCACCATCGAAGATCTTCTTCCCATCCCTAAAAATGCGGTATAAATTCGTCCGTGCCACAACACCATTGCGCACCCTACATCCAGCGACATTCTTATACACGCGACCTTTAAGATTGATCGGGAAGACCTGCAGTACCTCTGCTTCACCCAACACGCGGGAGCTAATCTCAGGCGTCAGATATTCGCTTAAGACGGCCTTGACGTCGTCTACTAAATGGTAGATAACGTTATGGTCTAATATCTTCACACCTTGTTCCTCTGCCATCGCTTTTATGTACCCCGGAGTTGTCGTCGCGAAGTTGACAATGACAGAATTACTCGTCGCCGCGTGTTCCACGTCGAATTCACCAATTGCACCTGTGCCCGAGCGCAAGATGCGTGGTTGCACTTCGTGGTTACCAAGCTCCTGGACCGCGGCACAGACTGCTTCAACCGAGCCGTGAAGATCGCCCTTGACGACGACATTCACCATCCTCGTACCATTCTCTTCCTCTGGCAGGGCTTCATCAGCTCCTGCTTCACTCTTCTCGCGAGCTCGCTTTTCCTGGAGAACTCTACGAGCTTCAGAAATTCCTTCGTGAGCAGCAGCATCTTTTTCTCGGTCGCGAAGACCTTCACGGTACTCCGTCGCATCCTTCGCTCTACCCTCATTTTCAGCTTGTAGAACCTGGTCACCTGCTGCGGGCAGATCTTTCCACCCAAGGATTTCGACCGCTGTACCAGGAGGTGCCTCATCGATTTCAACACCCGCTTCATTACGAAGATGTCGAATCCTAGCCCACGTCAGACCCGCTGCGATTATATCGCCAGGCCGTAACGTGCCTCGTTTAACAAGGATAGTAGCAGCTTTACCAATCGGTTTCAAACTACTTTCGAGAACCCAACCTTCCGCGAGGCCGTCGATTTCAGCTCGGTGGTCCAAAATCTCGGAGAGTGTCAATATGTTTTCTTCCAAGTCATCCATACCCTGGCCCGTCTTGCCACTGACACACACTACCTGGACATCTCCACCAAAATCTTCAATCTCAATACCTTCTCGCGCAAGATCAGATTTGACTTGATCTATACGAGCACCTTCCTTATCAATCTTGTTGATAGCAACGATGATCGGCACTTTAGCTCCACGTGCGTGCTTAATAGCCTCAATAGTCTGAGGTTTAACACTGTCGTCCGCGGCCACAACTAAAACAACGATATCCGTCACATAAGCACCCCGTTGTCGCATTGTAAGGAAGGCAGCGTGCCCAGGGGTATCTAGGAAGGTAATCTGTTTACCACCGGAGAGCTTCACTGAAAAAGCACCAATACGCTGAGTGATGCCTCCATGTTCCTGAGCGGCGATAGATGAATTTCGTAAATAATCGAGTAGAGTCGTTTTTCCGTGATCAACATGACCCATAATAGTCACAACCGGTGGTCTCTGTGGAAGAACCGACACATCCTCAGGTGGTGGGCGGGGTTTAAGATCACGGTCCACCTCTACCGTCGGTTCGAACCCATATTCCTGAGCGACAAGCGCAGCCGTGTCTCCAGCCATCAGACTATCTAACGAGACATTTTCAAAACCTAACTCGCCAAGTTGTTTCAAAAATGTTTTTGGCTTCACTTTGAGTGCTTCGGCCAACGCTTCAATACTTATCAATTCGGGTAATGAAATAGGAGTAGGACCGGCTTTCTCGGATTCGCGTTGTGCTTTTCGTGCTGCCTTCGCTCGACGCCTCTCCTGATATTGTTCGTAATCGAAGTCAGCTCCATCATCTTCTTGCAAGCCAAACTTGGCCCCACGTCGCGAGCGTTTTCCACGATCAGCCGCACCACTATCCCGTTGTTCAAAAGTCTCAAACCGATCGGTTCGCCCACCACGTCCACGACCTCGATCCCGACCCCCGAAGTCCCTAGCTTGACTCTGTTCCTCGAGAACCCTGGATGGAGTGTCGGTCGTAGATGCCCTGGATGGGGGAGATTTCGAGGTATTTTTGATTTGGTTCCCTGATGTGTCAAACTCCTCACCCCAGTCATATAAGGCTTTAGAACCCGAACTTTTCGGGTCTGCAACCTTCTTCTCCATCTGTTCCCAAGTATTTTTGCTATCGGATCGCGACGAAGCCGTTCTTAAATCATTTGATCCTTGTGTCTTCGTCGCTTGGGAACTCTTGGAATTATTTTTAAATTCATTACCAAAATGATTCCAGAAGTCACTACTTTTAGGAGTTTGTTTTCGTGCCAACGAACTCCAGTCCGGATCTTTCTCCGGGGGCGTAAATGGACTGGCTCGCGGATTGGTGGGTTTCGATTCTATATTACGGTGCGCATCACCAAAGGGTGAGTCGAAATTGGTTGGGGTTGACCGTGGGGGTTCTTTAAAAAATTGATTCGATCCCAGAGAGCGCGATTCTCGAGCACCTCGTCCATTCAAATCGTTGTTATTCGGGGTTTGGGAAATTCCTTGTGGGAAAACACCCTTTATGAAATCATTCGGTCGGATCGTATTAGCTTCCCTCGTTTCACGAGCAAGCGTTCCTGGTGGTCTTCTTATAAAAGTTGATCCCTGGCCGACATCCCTTAACCGCGGAGCCAGTTGGAAAGGGGATCTGTCGCGCCATTCTTTATGAGCTTCTCTTTGGAACGTCACACCCTCTCTCCGTAAGCTCGTCTCGATCTCTCGCTGCTTTCCTGCATCCCATACATGTCTAGCTTGTACACCACTGTCAGCAGGGTTAGGCTTCGGAGGTTCGGGAGTTGATTTCTGTTGCTGTTTGGCAAGTAGCTGTCGGCGCGCTAAAAGCTCACGTTGATTTAAGAAATCATCTTGTTTCGGTTGAGCTTGGGGTTTGCTATGGTTCCCCCAACCCCAATCGTCATCGTCCTTGAGGGGTTTCGTAGTTGAAAATTGCTTTTTGCTGGTTCGTGGCGTTGTGAAGCGCAACGAAAGGCGATGTTGGCAGAATGCGCATATTGAAGACTCTCGCTATATAATCTTTGCGTTAGCATTTAATCATAGGGTTCATAGATGCAATAGCTGTAATGATATGGACTAACCCCTGATATTCCCGCTCTCAGCATAGTGACAACAGCTACTCCAAATTGTCACGCGACATTTGAAGCTCGAATATGAGTAGATCCGAGAATTGCTCCAAATTGTTGAAGATGTAAAAAAGAATTGCGTATCGCGGCGCCACCCACCAAAAATCACCGATTGATCCAGATCGGAAAGTTTTAGTGGGGTCCGCCCGCAATAATAGCACAGCCACGCGGGTTCAGGTACAAGGACAAGGGTAGCTTGAGCCACATTACGTCCATCTCGAAATTTTAGCAGAACTTATTTCCTTCATTCATCCCTTACCCCGTTTTTCATATACAGCCCTCCTTTTTACCAGGACTTATATACATTCCATTCGTTTAATTTACATGACAACCTCGAATTCTCATAAATAATGGCCCGTCTAAGAGGGTCCGGCAAATCCGGACCCAAACCACCGAAGCAAAAAAAAGACACAGGACCTCCAGCACCTTTCAAGCGTCCCCCAGAAGTGCTCCAACCATTCATCGACACACTCGACGAAAAGCACATTTACATAACACACATCGACTCGCACCCACGGGACTTCAAGCGCAAAATCTTCACAGTCCCGGTGCTCATGAACCTAGCGCTAGCAGGACTTTTCGTATACCGCATGTACACAATCGTGCCGTATTACCTACGCATCGTAGCTTCCGTCTTGGGGTATTATAACGAGACCACGGTCATCGTTGAGGAGATGGAGTGGAATGAGATCATTCCCGAAGTAGGGAAACGCGCTGCGAGTTTTATGATTGATTTTTTGCTGTTTGTGTTTGTATGGCATTGGCCGTTGGACTTTTGTCTTGCGCAGGAGCATGGAAATCCGGTTTCCTGGCGGTTAAGTGTTGGGTTTAAGGATCGTGAGGTTGTGGTTAGGAGGAGTAGGAAGTGGGATGAGAATGTTGGGGATTTTGTCAATGACGCAGCTGCCAAGAGTTTATTTGTGTCGAGGATTGGCATGTCTACGGCGCCTATGCTACTCAATGAGAAAACGGGATACCTGCTTATGAACGCTGAGTGGGATTTGGATTGGGCAGCTATGGTTGATGCGCATACGATGGTCGACAGGAAGATGGCTGCGATTGAGGCCTTCAAGACGGTTGTTTTGGCTTACCATGAGGATTACGGATGGCTTTCTGTCGACATGAAAGGTGGTGAGAATGCCGATGAGGACGAAAGAAGACGCCAAGTCTTCGCCTTCAGAGATGCACTTGCTTCCGTGGGCAAGGAGGATCTGTTCTATCGCTGGATTGAGACCGTACAGTTTGAGACTGAGAAAGCCGGTGGGTTCACTAAGGAAAACCAGGAACAAGTCGCGAAGCAGATCAGGGATATGTTTAAGAAGGAAGGTATCGACTTTGATGAGTTTTGGAAGGAAAGCGTAGGTGGAGATGCACCCAATTAATGCTTCGACATAATCAAGGAAATCATAGAATTCGGAATAGACATCCCCCAATAAAAAGGGTATAACAACATAATAACAACGAGGCGCCAAATGAGGATATTCACTTTACACAGACCGAGAGCCATAATCCACAGGGCGACGAGAATGTATTGATCGTATGCAATAAGGGGAGCCCCAACAATTGGAGGCTATGCAAGCTATGTCGAAGATAACAACTACTGGCAAATTAGTTACTTCATTTTGATTTGCCCTTCTTTCCGCTCTTGCCCAAAGCAGCCTCGCGCTTCTTCGCCTCCTTAGCCTCAATCTCAGTCTTTCGTGCCTTCTCTTGGGCTTCCTTCTCCTCTTTCTCTGCCTGTTTATAGCGTAAGTAGGTATCCTATGTATCAGTATGATTGAGTATTTACGAACCTGTTTTCTGGCAGCCTCAGCTTCACGCTTCTCTCGGATGAGCTTTAGGCGGGCCAAATCAGCCTTAGCCTCATCTGTCTTGCCAGCCTCATGAAGCTTGCGATATCTCTCTTTAGCTTGTTGAGCTTCCATGGACTCGCGCTCCTTTCGGCTCATAGTCGATAGGTTCTTGACTCCTTCGGTTGCCTCTTCGACAGCATCGGATGGCGGGGCCTTGGTCTGGTTGCGCGCGGCTTTGGAGTGGTTAGGGTTGGCAGGCATATCGTCATCTTCTTCCTCTTCGGAGTCGGTGGGCATGTCGCCAACTTGGACAGACTTGCTCTTCCTAGCAATGGCGGCTTCCTTCTGGGCCTTCTTGGCTTGCTTACGCTCTTCTCGAGTCAATTCGGCATTCTGTTGGGAGGGACCAGCGTCGTCGGAGTCCTCATCCGAGTCTTCTTCTTCGGAATCATCGTCATCGTCATCTTCGTCTTCCGGCTTAGCATCTGCACTCCACATGCTAATCTCATTACCGTCGGCATCGAGGGGTCGAAGGTCACGAGAGTAATGCTTTCCACCTGTAGAAGAATATTGTTAGCAGCGGTCGCGTTAAAAGGGTAATAGAAGAGAATGAATGGAAGGCATTTATCAATCACTTACCTCCTCGTGTAAACTTCTTAAACTTTCCTCCCCGACCGCGGGAGTTGGCGCCTGGTGCTCCTCGTCCAGACATGATGGTGTCAAGGATTGATTGTGATGAAAGGTTGATGGTGGGATAGCTTGATCGAATCCGGCTTTTTCAAGCTCAATGCGCCGTAGAAAAAAGAACCCGAAATAAAATAAGGTCAAGCTTTTGTCTAGAATTGACTAGAGAAGCACCAGTCTCCCGAAATTTAAAAGTAGAGGTTTAAAAGTAAAGTAAACGTTTGAGAAGTCGCCGAAGTGTGATGTTATGTATGTCGAGTCAAACCGCATGCATATGGAAAGAGGGGCAAAAAAATAACACACGACTCGGCGGGCTGGGATTTGATTGATTAGCACTGTAACTTTTTTTTACTGCGGGAAGGAGTCAGAGAGGTAATAGCGAAGACCTGAATGGCGGGGTAATCTACTTATTAGGCTTGATACGTTCCCCTGCTGAAATACAATGTCTTTGATTGGCCCAAACTCGACCTTTGTGGACTAGCTCTGACCCACCATGCCACTTCACATAGATTTGCAAGATTCAAAGAATCCACTCAAAGGTGATGTGGCTTACTATGACATAGATGTGGCTGGACAATATTGGATAAACCCCGGGGAATATCGTTGCGCCGGTCTCCACTCTGCCCAAACTAATTAAATGAAATTTTCAAGCTAATTCCTTTCCTTCCTTTCTTCTTTTTTTCTTCATCATAAGACAACATCCTTCATATTCACTCTGGCTTTCGTCGCTCTTCGGAGTTCTCAATGACAGGTCTTGGAGGGGAAATTGGAGGAAAGACGGAATATTCTTCGATCACTTACCCTCTGGCCCGTTGTAGTTCTTTTGGAATTGCCGTTGGGTACCAGAGAAATTTTTGCATCGATACATAAATCCGACATGGGATTATTTTGACCATTTCCAAGTCTAATCGAACCATATCAGATGTGAGTCAACTAGTAGCGGTCTAGAATACCATTGGAGTGTTATGAGTCACTCTCAATTGCTACTTTAAGCCACTCACCCCTGCAAACGTAATTCCTCATCTTTACATGCAACAATGTCGTAGTAGCATCATACAGCGTTGCCGTCGCGCCCTGTGCACTAGGACCAAGTAATATCCCGATCGAATCCATGATGTCGGATCCACGAAACCAGTCACTGATGAGAGTGGGGACCACGATTTCGCATTTACCTACTAAAGGAACCATTACCCGAGCCTAGGTCATCAACAACAATAGTTTTAGCTCAGATTCGTTAGACTTTGGAAGAAGATATGGAAGATCTATTCCCAGGGCCACTAGGTGTCCAGCCGAGATTCGTGGCCAGCTTGCTAGCCATCCGTATCCTTTCCGCGACATCATTATATTAGATATTTAGACTGTTCTTGGTGGCCAAATCGTACTATGTATCATGCAATTGGAATATACAACATTATTTTCCAAAGCTCGCATCCAAGTCAAAGTGTCACGTCGGTTCTCACAACCATAAATGGAGGCTAATCACCCTGTTGGTTCGCGAGGAGCATGTAAATAATTTTACAACTCCTTCATGACAAGACGGAGGCACTTTCATGATACATGGTTAGGCTATTGGCATCTCTCAACACTCGTCTAATACATGAAATGGGTTTCCAGGTACATCTCGATGGCCCATAGTTGATTTTCGTTGATAGTACAAATGAGTAAACCCAAAAACGCGCCATGCGAATGGAAGACGTTATTCCTACCTAGGTAGTCTACATGGTGTCTTTCAAGTTTGGGTCAGCAGGAGGAGTGGTGACTACAGGTTGGTCCGTAATTTGAACCAGACCCTCAGGCTCTTAAATCCCATCTATGGAAACTCACAAGAATCACTGCCATGTCGTTGATATGGACGTTAAGAGGGTACCGACGCCTAATATTCCCTAATCTATGTCATACCCATCACATTTCTACGCCTACTAAAGTTCCTCGTATTCACTCCCTTTATGGGGACTAGAGTAGCTTTGGTCTCGCCCCTTTTACCCCTAATTCTAGATTATTCCTTTGAATCGGCTAGATACCTAGGTAAGCATAGCTTTCATCTAACATCTACCTACGTGCCCAGCAAAAGAGAATCACGAAACATGTATCCGCTTTATAACGGCGAAGCAGTGTATCGTAACCAGGCCCAGAGGAAAATGGGAAATTTAAGAGTTCAAATTCTGAAAGTTACTTCACATATATTCCGTGAACTGTAGATGATTTTAATTCTCAGCATAACTGTACCGGCAGTTCTTATCATTGGAAAGAGTGACCTAAATCACATTGGTTTGACATAGCCAGTCCAAGAAGCCAACTGCGCCCAATAAAAACCTTAAGAAGGTACCGACGAGCAACCCCACGATACACCACACATAGTAAGTTTTAAACCATAATCCAACAACCAATCAACCACGCGGTGCAGTGGTGCGGTTGCGAGAATCGAACATGTCTGGTCCGGGGTTCAACTCCAGGTTTCACCATGATGTTTCGAACTACACTGGGAATGATGACATGCATAGCTCCAGCTAACTCCTGATTCAAAACTTCGTTCTGACCCAGACTTCCTTTTTTTCCCCTTTGAATCAGACCAATGCGAACGGGTTTTGCGTACAAAGATAGAATGTCCCTTCCACCGCGTTCCCTTATGTCCAAAGCAGGTGCCCCTGGACGGTTCCAATCATTACACTACTTCCATTCTTACAGCCTCAATAGACATGCCGAGCTGATATTAATAAAAAGGTGTAGGTTTTTGGTGAAAGTGATGGGTATCACGTGCTTCTTCCCGAAAATTGCATAATCCCACGAGTATTCACTTAGTAAGCATATCGTAGAATGTTCTCCATGATACTCGCATCTCATCCCATCATCCTTTCATCTTCCAGCCTAACTGATCCAAAACGAACATTCTCAAATCAGCTCATGACTAGACACTTTATCAATTCCCTTTCCACATTTCCTCTTCTAAAAAAGCTCATTTGACTATCATTTCAACAATAAATTCCCCCGAAAACTCCACTTCAATCTGAGCTCTTTTCATTCCACCAGCCAGCCGAATTCAACGCCCCTCTACAACACCATCACCACCACCAAAAAGCAAAATGAGCAGCGACATCCTCCACCACATCAACTCCCTCCCAGAGCTAAAATCCCTCTTCGCATCAACAACCTACGTCGCAGTAGACTTCTACGCAGATTGGTGTGGACCCTGCAAGGCCATCGCGCCGCACTACGAAGGGCTAGCGAAGCAACACTCCGTTCCTAATGTCTTGGGTTTCGCCAAGGTGAATGTTGATAATGCGCAGGATATCGCGCGTGAGTATGGTATTACGGCTATGCCTACGTTCATGTTCTTCAAGGAGGGGCGGCAGGTTGGGGTCAATGGACAGCCTGTGATTCGTGGCGCTGACCCTAGAGCGTTGAGTGCGGCGGCGGAGAAATTGGGCGGACTTGCTAAGAAGAGGGTTGCGGAGGCTAATGCGAAGTAAAGGGACCATGTTGTGGCGATTTCGTGATGAATGGGGATGTGATCGGTTATTGCGTTCGTTTGATCCGAATAGAGATGATTGTCGCACATGGGGTTAGTTGATATTCGGCGTTATGATATTATGCTAAAGGTCGTACCACATGAATAGTACTTCCTATTCCATTCATAGTGCGGTGCTATCAAAAGCAGGTGTAAGGCTTTTTCCTATCTTGTAGATGCTCCTATTCCCTAGGCTGCAGCTTCAGCTCACTTGTTCATTCAAGCTTTACCCCTTAAGGATCAGTATCATGTACTAAGGTGCGCGCGATAGGATGTGTCTCCAGCGGAGCCCTATCCAACCCGAAGTCCTGTGTAACGATACCCCGGTTGGCACTCTACCCTATCAGTTTGAGACGATTCTTTGTCAGAGTTCTAGTAGTCTCCTGTTTTTCTAATTTCATCGTAGAATTCATGGTCAGCACTATTAGAATTGAATAGGCACTTTTGATCGTTTTCGGAGTATCTTGAAGGACTTTAGTCACTGCCCCCGGCATGGTGCGCTTCCCCGCTTCAATATGCAGCGATATCACCTATACAAGTCCGATTCTTCTAGATCATGGCTAAGTGGAAATGGGTCGAAGATCCAAGGGATTGGATTGAAGTTATCGATGTTTAAAGGTTTTTGAGTGCACTTTTAAAAGATCTCTTGATAGATTAGTCTGTACCCAGGTAAATATCATTGTAACAAGCCACTCCGATATTATAAGAGAAGCAAAGGGCTTAGGTTACAGTACTGAAACCATACGAGTTACCGTGTAACAGACTTTACAGGGTTCGGAATACAAGGAGTTGTCGTTATCAGATCAACGTAGGGAAGATTGCTTTGGGGGTCAGCAGGTGGGCATTCGGCAGAGCTTGCCGATAGTTTAACAGATCTCTATGGATAGGAAATACGCCGGTAATGATCCCGGCTGGGAAAGTAACCGAACTTGAGACTCTCGGTCAGGCTTCAGTTGATATCTTATTAGACACCTAATATAACAACAGTTATAAGCGCCGTATGCCCTTGACTTGATGGTCACTAATGGTGCGTTGCATTATATCAGTAACATTGTGGGTCTTGATGTGTAGGGGTACCATGTAACATCGCCACGTGCTGAGGTGAACAGACCGATGGTTCCAAAGCGCAAAGGAATCAGGGCTTGCTAGGATAGCATACCCTTGACCATGTCCTGAGCCGCACAGAACGATCATCAGTGTGATAGATCAGCGATGTCAGATCTCAAGTAAGAAGAAGAATGGGGTGACGTGGCATTGTAAGATCCCTTCAGCTTCGAGCTAATATCGACTTCACCTCTCAAGTAGGCGTAAGACTGTCAGGCATCAACCAGTTGGGACTTTGTGTGACATAGACGATACGCTGTGGCTTGCAGCAACATGCAGAATGAGCAAATCCGAGTATTACTTTTTCTATGTTGGTGCTGTTGTTCTTAAAGCCTTTCCTGACCCTGGTTGTTTTAGCTGATAAGACCCTTGACTGTTATACCCTTGTCCATGAATTTTTAAATAGAATGCTTAATCAACTTTAACAGTACCATTTGCCTCTGCATATAATCGGTGAAACTGTTTTATCTCATTGGAGTCATGTTTTGATTATATGGGACGAACGGTTAGTCCCTAGAGCCTTGTTGGAGATTATATGTCCTAACAGATCTAAACATAGTAAGCTATTTTGAGGCATTTATGAGAATCAAGACTGAAACTAACTCATAAAAGTTTATAGCCATGAGTAAAAAAAGGCATAAATGCGAGTTATACGAAAATGTTACTCGAACCGCCACACCCCTATCCCTTGCATATAGGCGCGCCAGTTACTTGAGACAAACCCCATGTTGTTATAAAGTCTTCATGCATATGTACCAAGTTATAAAATCAACCGAAACCGGAGAATAAAAAGAAAACAGTACGATGAAGTGAACGGCGTTGAAATAAGAATGGCCCACACCGGGATATATCCACCATTAGGAGAGTTAAGGGTCAACACCATGTGCAGATATTAACACCTAAGTAAACACCGGGATTATACCACCCAAATAACATATTTTGCAATGCTTAGCTAATCCGTAATAACAGTGTCTCGGTACCTAGTATTTATATCTGGCACCCATGGTTCATGGTACCGTATCCGAAGTGACACTAAATCCCGACGCGGATGTACGTTGGAAGTCACATACATATAAGAATATGTAAGACATGCATGATAACCGTGCCATCGGCACTTAATGATCAGCATATTCATGCCCCTCTCAGAATTCAATCTCGATAGCCCATACACTGCGGCCTTGCTGCGGCCGTGCTCCATATTTGGTGTCACGCACAAGCTTGGCCTACGAGCTGTCCGACTTTATATAAAGGGCGGCGAGCCCGGATCATAGGAGCGCCACTTTCTGCAAGAAACCTGTTTTCTGACTCCGAAAGTGTCGTTTTTACGGAGGGTAACCCTGCTTTACAGGACAACCCATCGGAAGGTGGTTGGTACGTTGGCACACTCAGGATTATACTATCGTGACTTCAACTCATTGGATATCTCTCTAACCTAACTATTCGGATATTGAAGTACAACAACCACCATTATTCCCAGCTCGTACAAATAACCTTATTGGTTAAAGACAGAAAGAGAAAAATAAACCCGTGTCACCATTCGATCGTGAGGTCAAGTGTCTAGCCAGAGTGCTGGCAACAGAAGCTAAAAACCCGCCCACGCACATCATAACCCAAATATACAACAGCAATTGTGCAAAAATGTCCAGTACCTAACAATCTAATTAAAAAACGATGTAAGATTGATTACCCCTCCGAAATTTTTCCTTTTCTGTATTCCAACACCATGGCCGCCCCCCGAATATCCGGTTCATCAAGAGGAGGCAATGGCTCCGTCGCTGAGAGATGTGGGTATGTTGTAACTAATAAAAAAAATCGAAAAAGGAAAGAGTCAAAAAGGGAAAGTAATTCGAAAAGCCCTTAGGCTGTTGGAATTAGGCGACATTGTACGCCGTTATTCAGCGTTAATGATAGTGTTAATTGTTCCCTCCATTCGGTCGGATCGAGGTTCTCGATACTGGAGAATGCGTGGAGTAGACGCGCGATCGTATACGATGATTCCGTGAGGGCGAACTTTTGACCGGGGCAGATTCTCGGCCCGCCGTTAAAAGGCAAGAATTCCCAGCCGGGGCGAAGGTTTTCCCATCGTTCAGGACGGAATTCGTCAGCATCTTCGCCAAAGAATTCCTTCCTTCGGTGCATAACGAATGTGCTGTATGTGACGACGTGGTGCTTGGCGACGAAAAGTGGCGATTTACCGTCAGGGCCACCACCTACGGGAAGTACGGTATCCTTGTTGGCCATGCGACTGTTTGTGGCAATGGGCGGGAAGAGACGGAGAGCTAAAATCGATATTAGCTTTGCGGATTGGTCAAGAAACCCGGGGTAGACTTACTCTCTTGCACAATATATCGGAGATACGTCATATCCATGATAGCCTCGTACGTCAGAGGCTCACAATAATGTTCGAGTACATTGGCACGAAGTTTAGCCCACACGTCAGGCCTTCGAGCCAACATGAAGAAGACGAAAGCTAGTAAACCAGCAGTAGTATCTCGAGCCGCCAAGAGCATGTTCACGATCTGATCCCGGAGAAGAATTGGGTTGTCGGTATCCTTAGCAAGCTCGTTGAGGAAAACATACTTCTGACGCATTGCCTCGTCATCGACTTTCTTTTCGGACGGGAATTCCTTTTGCCTACGTCGGTACTCGAGAGCTTGTGCAACGAACTTGTCAGCGTATGCATGGACAATATCGCAAGAGTCACGGAACTTCTTGTCCCGATGAGTGAACATGAGGTTTCCGAGACGTAAGCGTAAGATGGTGCCTTGTTGGGCGTAATCCAAAGCGTGATGGAAGGTGGTGGCGGATTCAGAGGCGTTCTCTGACATCAAGCCTACAGACTCTCCAAACATGTACTCGCTATTAGAGTCAAGAACCTATCGAGGGATTAGCTATTAGGGATGAGATAAGAACGCAATATGAGGCTACGCACCATGCGGAAGAAGAGTTGTTGAAGATCGACCTCGTAGTTACGACGCTTGATGAGGGAGATGAGTTGGTCGACGTGGTGACCGAAGATGGAGAAATCCGTTACTTGGGCTCGAACGAAGCTGGGTCGGATGAGAGCACGTTGGTGTGCCCAAATTTCGTCGTCGGTGGTAAAGATGCCTTGGCCTAAAAGTGGAGAGGCGCTCTTCCGTCTAAGAGGACCCATACCAAAGTCTTGGAATTGGAATGACAAGACATTCTGGATAAGTGTTGGATCGCAAGTGTTGATTGTGGTTCGAAAATACGTGTTGGTGGTGAAGGTGAGGCCATTGGCGGCATGTCGAGACCTGAGGAGGTTAAGGAAGCCATACTTCTTCGCAGCTGCGAGATTCTGCATGACGATGTCAGTCCCCAGATATGGGTCCATCTGGGGCAGCTTCTTGGGAGGCAGGCAGCCATTCTGTTTCTTCATATACGAACGGCGTCGACATCGTATCAGCCACTGGACTATATAGTATATGGACAGGATGATAAGGCCGGCAGCGGCTAGGAGCAAGGAGAAAGCCATGATGAACTGGGGAGACTTCGAAAAAGAAAAAGGGAAGTTATCTGTTACACGGCAGAACCTCAAAAGAAAGATGGGGAGCGGAGAAGGTTACGAGCTTACTTATACTCTCAATATTCGTTCTGGCCAGTGCTGGACCCAGACCGTGACAAATGTGCAAATTTGCCCATCTATCTAAAGCCCGATGATGCCCAGCGGCAAGACGTTTCGACGAGCAGGTACTTTTGGAGCAGTAACAGGCAGGGGATCCATAAACGAATTTGTCGACCGAACCGTCTTGGCCATCGATACGCACATGTTCAAGCGTCCACGAGTTTTTTGTTAGCCAGATTATCAACTCGGTTGAAACTTTCCTCTTTAACCAATCAGGCAATTGTCCAAAGGATGCACCCAATCATCTGGCCCCGCAGAGACCTCGTCACTGACATGGCAGATCCAATGGAATGCTTGTCACAAGGGGATAAATGCACAGGCAGTAGAAGAGTTACTCATGGAAAGTACCGTGCCGGCCGGAGAACGGAATCGATCAAGAAAAACTCTTCCTTCCCCCCTCCCCATATGGAAACAGGCCACTAGCTCCACGGCTGATGAGCGTGCTTTCGTTGTCTATCCTTCCTCCTGGATGCTGCTGTGGCTGGATATTGTTGGGCTCGAGCTCTCCTCTCAACCACTCAGACACACGGTGCGTATGAACATTTCACTATACGAGCATTATAAATTTCATAAATACCTACACGTACGTCATATCCATGTGTTCTCTCTGTTTTGATTATGTGTCTACGTAAGACTGGCGGGACCTCCTATTTCCTGGTACTTGGATTTTCAGCTAGCTAACCGACTCCGCCCGAGTAGATTTCCCATGGGTCCTTGTAGCTATCGTCAGTTGGGCCGAGCTCTGATCCAGAGGCACTTCGGCGACGTGTACCCGACGGCCTGGCCCCGAAATCAGTTCCGGTTTTTACATCCGTTGTCTCTAGCTTGTCTCACTCATCGCGGGACAGAGCCATAGTAAGCAACAAGGTTCGATGGTAGCGGTGTCACCATTCTATTCTAGACAAGGGAAACGATCCTCCTGCTAGGCGAGGCGTGCCGTGGAACTAGGGTTAACCTTTCTCATGGGAACGCATCAAAAGTAGGGCAAGCAACCACGTCCTTACTAGCTTCATACTGGGCCTCCGGGATAGATGACTAGGTCGATGACTAGGCGATGGAGGCTGAAGTTCGAAATGTCCGAGACACGTGGTGGTCCAGTACAGAAAAAGGGGATACTGTTGAGGATGGGAAGTACAAGGAGATGGGAATGTGGAATATCGGCGATACGGTACACTTGGCACGTTGTTCTCTCGCAAGTCATAGTATAAAAAAAGAAAAAAGAAAGAAAAAGACTCCCGATAGACTGGCTAGACAGCCAAACTAGGCTTGGTATGGTTAAGAGGACCCCCCGTGGCTTGGGCAGTATACCGAGGATTCGGGGTGAGACTTAAGGTAAGAAGGCCAATGCGTACCTGGGAGAGCCACCAGAAAAGTCAGCGGTAATAGGCGGAGGTGCCGGATGCGAGTAAGCTAGGCAAGAAAGAGGAAAAGGAAAATAAAAGATTGGGAATAAAAAATTATCCATTTGGCCTGTTTCATGGGCTGGTTCCAATCGAGAGGTCAAGATCAACAAATCCCTCTCGAATCCACAGAAAAGGGCGGTATTGTTACATTGAAAGGCTCGCGGTTCCGTTACCACAGCCCATCCGCTTCGATGTTCTCCTACGATGTAAACCTCTAAACTGTTTACAGCTGTCAAGTTGAGGGGGGTCGCCGGTGGGGATGAGCAGGGGGTATAGAGAACCTAGGCAGGGGATTCAGGGTTCTGACAGGGTCTTCGGCTGAACCTGCAGCTTTCTCCATACTTAGCTTAATATCCTATAGGATCGTTCCAGGGGGCGGCATGGGACTGCCGGATTTCCTACTACGACACTATTTTGTGACTACTACGGGGAACTGCACATTCCTACACTCCAGCACGCCAGGAATGATGCTGCTTTTGCCTCGTAACGCTTTTAGGCCTCGCCCTTTTTATCCCACCACACTTTCGTTAGGCAATAATACTACTACCTAGAAACTAATAAACCCCTGGCTAGTTGCAATGATGTTGCAGGCGATAAGAGAGTTACAGGCGGCGGCAAGGATATTCTCGATGCTGGACGCTTTGCTGGACCCTCTAATATCTTTATGAGACATTCGTCGCAATAGGAAAGCTTCTAGCGTCGCCATTGGAAGAAGCGAAGAAGCAAATGAGAGTGGACCGACCAAGAACGCGGCCCAGTTCCAAGGCCATGGGAAAGCCATGGGAAATGACCGCGATTCCGTCGGTGTGGATTTGTAACCAACAATTATCGTCAGTGGCCTCCAGGGCGGCCAATCATACCTGTTGAAGATTATAGACCTATTCCGGTGTGATGGGTTGCCGCGCCTCTCACGCACTATATCCCGAAGGGCTGAAAGTACCCCCGTCCGGTAGAATAGACATCACAATGATGTGTATACACAACGTGGCAGTGACTTACATGTAGTACAAGTTTGGTTCTGGTTCAAAAGCGCCCAAATCTCCCAACCGTATTCTCTACGAAAGACTCAGGAAATTTTTGTCTGTGCAATCCTAGCCCAACCATAATATCTCATTACACTTACCAGACTTACCTAGGTGCACACGCCATAACGATTGCTTTTTCACGATGACTACAATTAAAAACGTCGCCGTTGTCGGGGTTCGTCCGCTCCACCTTCACAAAATTCGTAGCACAATGTGATGTATAATGCTGACATTTTTTCATTAGGCAACTGGAAAGATCGGCCGCCCAATCGTGGACCATCTTCTAGCGTCGAAGCTCTTCAACGTGACCGTTCTCACCAGAAATGGGAGTCAAGACCGCGGATTCCCCGCCAATGTCAGCGTTAAAGAGGTGAACTACGATTCTATTGAGTCCCTCGAGTCAGCACTCCGCGGTCAGGATGCGCTAGTCTCAGCCATGGCCTTTGAGGCCATTCACATGCAGAAAAATCTTGTAGATGCCGCGTTTCAAGCCGGCGTTAAGAGGATGATTCCTTCTGAGTACGGCAACGATCTTTTGAATCCTAAACTGGCGGCGTTTCCTATCTACCAACCGAAGATTGCCATTCGGGAACAATGTGAACAGAAAGTCAAGGAAAACCCCTCTTTTTCTTGGACCACAATTCATAATGCGTCGTTTCTTGGGCCTGATTGGACTCTGGACTTCATCGTGGATGTGAAGGAGCGCAAAGCCGACATAAAAGACGGCGGTGACGTACTCTTTTGCGCTACCACTTACGACGATATTGCCCAAGCTGTGATCGGCATCTTGACTCACCCGGAAGAGACGGCCAATCGCCCCGTGAGAATCTCCAGCGTCAACACGACCCAGAACGAATTAATTGCAATAGCCAAGGAACTAGGGGCCACCGACGGATGGAACCTGACGTATTCCCAAACCGAAAATTTGGAAAGTGAGGCCTTCAGGCGCTGGTCAGAAGGTGACCATAGCGAGGAGGTAATTGCTATGTTTATTAACCGTGCTTTCATTGGTAAAGGTTGGGGCGGGTATTTCCCCGTCCGCGATAACGATTTGTTGGGCATCAAGGGCTTAGGGAGAGATGAGCTGAAAGCCATCATCAAATTAGCCATTGATAGATGATCAGCACTCGAAGAAATTTCAAATGAAAGATGGGTGGATGACACAATAGGTACCAGAATATCAATGTCCAGTACCAATGTATTATACTACCCTAGTATCTTTCCCGGCACCGTGGCACCGGGTCTGCCTCCCCACACTCGACATAGGTATAATACTTAGATCTTGGACATTCCCATCTCCAATCCTGTAGAGTAAAACCTGTACCTCGACTGATTAAAGTCGCAAAATTCCGACGAAATGAAACCCTAGATATTGCTCGTCGGAGCGCCTATACGCTCTTATCCAGCCAGAGTCCGTTCAAATCTGAGAAGAAACTATCCCTATTAACCCCGATCGATGGGTTGGAGTCCACATATAAGTACACCTCGTACATATACAACGAAACACCGCAGAAGAAACCCGAATGATCCCGCTTTTTATCTTTTTTTTTCTAAAGCCTCTTCAACTTCTTCACTGTACCGTCTGCGCCAGTCAAGAGAGGTATTTTGACAATATGTATAATATTAGTATGTTGCCCTTTATCTACCGTTTTATGTATTTTTTTCATCTTTTTTCTTTATTACATTCGAGGTTGGCCGCTGTAACTTGTCCTTCGCGGCCCTCGAGCAAAGGAGAAGTTTCCGTGATGTTGGTTTTCTTCATCGCCAACAACGTGACGCCGGTTGTGTACTAGTTCTTTCTCATCCCGCGCTTCACTGACGACTTCGACCTCGACATGTTTTCGGATATTGTTCGCGGTGGGGATGCTACCGGTGGTACTCGAGTCGGTCCAACCCTTGAGGTCTTGCATCTTGACGTCTTCAACCATTCGTTCTTCGCTCTCGTTGAAGGTAATGTTGGTGATTGGATTCGCCGTCGGAGGACCGCCTCGTCGTCGCCAGCTCTGATGACTGCCACCACCAAACGTTCGAAGGTCGCTCCTCGATTCCTTGTCGGTTAACTTCTGCTGCGAGCGCATCGTGGTGAGCAACGAGCCGAAGACGGGAGATAACCATAGCTTTAAAAGAGGGAAGACCATGGGCAAGTTTGTCGTTATTACGGCTACGAAGGTCTCTCGTACGGCCCAAGATCCTGCTAGTTGGGCACCATTGACGGGATCCTATTGCAGGTCATGTTAGCTCCTGGGATCTTACCGATTGGACTGTGCCACGCGAGAACAGCAAACTTACAGTCACGATGAGAGCGCAACGCAGAATAGCACAAGCCACGACGAATAAACCACCACTGAAGAGGATGATCAAGCCAAACTTCTTCACTGGTTTTAAACTTGATTGCCAAAGCATGGGAACAGGGATGGAAATCAGGTATAAGTCAGTGATCACGTTCATCGAGAGATAAACCCAGATGATCTCGTTTGAAAGGGCGGGCTGGCAAGTATCTGTAGTTATAATAGGTCAGTATTCATTCGCATCCATTGAAGATTCTAAAAGGGGGAACCTACTGCCAGGGTCCGGGTTTATTTGCCAGTATTTATGGAACGGTCGGCAGCCAAGGAAGAGGTTCATAAGGATAACGACGAAACTGGTGCCGAGAAGTCCAAAGCCGATGTAAATACGAATAAGGTAACTTCGATTTAATCCCGCCTGTTTATAATTAGTGAAAATTCTTCAACATATCAAAAAAGCAAATGCTTACTGTCAGACGCATGTAGAAAATCAAAAGAGATGCCTTGAGTGACCAAAGAAGAACCGAATAGGAGGACCATCCAGCAATTTGGATCTTTGAGCCAATAACTCTAGACGAATCAGTCAGTATATCATCTTCACCCAAATTATCCATCTTTCGACACATCCACTGTATGATCCCACATACCTCGTCTTGTATTCCGCGCTATCGGGCGACAACGCGGCTCTCGCCTCATCCGTCATTCCATTGTTGGCTAATCCTTGAGCAACAGCACCAACCGAATACGCAAGACTGGTCTCAATGGCATAAAAGGTCTATGTATAAACCCAAGTTAATTTCACAAACTTCATCAAGTTGAGAACCCTGAGAGTCATTAACAAAGACTAACCGCTCCAACCCAAACTAAATAATCATCTGCTTGAAGATGTCTGATTCCTACTGCCTTTATCCGGGCATATGTTCGAAGCATAGTAACGACGATACCGATAGAAAGGAGTGTCCAAGCCTCGATGGTGAACTGAAGCATAGCGGCTTTCGCAGCCGCAGCAGCCGCAGCAGCCGCGGCCGCTGCCGCTGGGTCCGGTGGTGCGGCGGCCGAAGACATAATGGTGGATGATGAAAAACGTGGCAAGAGAACGAAGCAAGCGAGAGACGAGACTATTGGAGTGGACTTGACTTGAAGTCGACTAGTGAAGACAAGCGGATGGACGGGCTTGTTAGAGGTTTTTACTATTCAAGAGTTGTGCCACATGGAGGAGGGTTGGTATATACTATTGTACATCTGTTACATAGAATTATACATTTGTTGGCCGAGCAGGGTCCTTTGTGAATGGCGTTGTGACTGGTCAATTCAGGGCAGGTCCATAGATCGGGGTATCAACATGGGTTCTCATGAGCCTGAACCAGAAATTGGCTGTATTGACAGGGTTGGGGCTAATCTCGAGTCATTATCAGGGTGGATAGCCGATGCCACATATATGGATACCCGGTGAGAGATCGACACAAGCTCAAACTGATACTGGAGGATAGTTGCGGTTATCGTTAGTGTGACGATTTATATCACTTATACGATCAATAACCGCATGATCACACGAGGAGGCGGGGTGTGCTTACTTACCTCACTTGCCTCGTAATGCAGGAACGCACACGATGTGTTATCTTTCCCCTTATTCAAATCTTGGTAACCTAGACGCAGCTCAATATTACCACCCAAAGCTACCCCTAGCATCTGTACATACTATTTGTACGTCACATAAGCCCTAGAGCTCATACAGTTAATATTCTGTCGAGTGAAAATGTGCCGTCTTTCATGAGACGACAATCGGCCCCGATTCTATGCAGGAGAGCATGCGCGGCTAAAGATCACTGTTACATTCCCTCAGGGGCCGGCAAGTTAGCCTCTGCATGCTGGCGGGACCTCCGCCATGTACTACGTATTCAGGTACGTATGTACAATACATCATATCTGATTCTTTGGGGGCAGGTCAATGCTCTCCGTGGGATGGCGATGATTTCACGTGGGAGGCATTGTCATGCTGGGGGCGAACAAGTAAAATAAAACAATTTACAAAAAATTTCCTTGATTCGTGTGAAGACGAAGGAATGGGATGCTCAGGGGTCTTAGCTGTTGAGAGAGACCGAAGCTAGAGAGCCTCAAGAACCCCCGCGGAATTAGCTCCCCGGACTTCCTTTACCTCTTCGGTATTACTTGTTACCTACTGGTTACTTGTTGGCTGCATGAATGCCTAGGTAGCTCGGACTTTTATGCTCTCTATCTGAAGCTCCTATGCATGCTACCCTCCAATTGTGTATATGCACGTATGTAGAACAATTTCGAATCTACGATAGAAAATTTCTGATGGTGTGCTGCACATTTGTTTTGCATATGCAAGTTGGTAGAAGCGAGGAATTATGTGAGCAATAGTATCACTCCTCTTTCCCCTCCCACACCTGCACTACACCAACTAAACCAACCAACAATAACATAAGCATTTTCCTCAATGGCCCTATGTTGGCCACAGCTTGCATCTAATCAACAATCAGTCATCTGTTGTCGTAAGCCGGGCTCTGCCGAACCGAACACGCCATGATAGTTGATCATAGTTCAAGCCACCAAGTGCCCTTAAATGAGATATCCACGATTTCGTGCATGTAACAACGGGAGAGACTGGAGAACGTTAAGATTTAGTAAGTTATAAAAGGGCTATTATAGGTTGTCAATCGTTAGAAGCGGTGGGGAATCTAAGAAACAAAAAGGAGGCCCTAATGGTTCCCATGTATTGCAACAGCGGGATGGGCATAAGCTAGACCAATCAAAGCAAGTGATCAGCGTTCGCTTCTTCGGCTATTCTACTGGTTTGGCGTTGGTGGGTAAAATCAGCATTTAGCAAGTACCTGGGTATGTGCCAAGAGTGTGGAGGGTTTCCCTTTCGAGAAGCATTTCATAACAAGACAAAATAAGACAGCCTTCCCCTTGTTAGCTTACAAGGAGCCGGCCCTATGACCCCCTTGCTTCGTACCGTACGACAAGAAACGAGAGAAGATTAGGGCGGGCCGTCGGGATGGAGATCAGAGTCAAGCAAGGCCGTGCTCCTGCTACTCAGCATGGAAAAGGGTCTCGGCCTTGTGCCGCTTCGAAGCATCAGCAGGGAGAGGGGGGGTGAGCACGGGGGTGAGTTGAACTCGACTATTACCTATGTTAGATCCTTAATGGGCTTTGTATGTCCAACAAGTTTATCCTGCGACCTTTATCCCGTTTTCCGGCTCTTTTCTAGACCAAGCTGTACTATACCAAGAAAGACGCACTTTCTAGTCGCGTAGGACAAACAAGCCGTCGGATAAAGCACCGAGTGAGAACGAGTAGCGCGTGTAAGTGTATCATCACTATGGCAGATCCCAGCTCAACGGAGAAGCGCGACAGCATCACAATGGAAAAGTACGATTGCGTCGTTGTTGGCGCTGGTAAGTTTGCTCCTTTTCTTTTGCTCTACTCCCCCCCTCTCTCCTCTATTATGTGCAGACGGGGCGGATGATACACCTACTGGTGGATAAGGAGACGCATATTGACCCTCTGACTTGTAGGTTGGTACGGTTTAGCTGCGGCGAAGCAGTTCCACTGCACGCAACCAGAATGCTCTCTCGCCGTCTTCGACTCGCAGTCCAGCTTAGGCGGCACATGGGCCGACGACCGTCTATACCCTGGATTGAAGAGCAATAACTTACTGGGAACGTTCGAATATCCCGACTTCCCTATGGATACGCCAACATTTGGCGTCAAGACTGGTGAACACATGCCGGGAGAGGTTATCAATAATTACCTCAAGGCGTACGCCGCCAGGTTTGGCATCACAAACATGATTCGCTTAAACACGAAGGTACTTGTCGCGGAACACCAGGATACCGTTGAAGGCGGCTGGATGTTGACGGTTGCACCCCCGGGTCAACCCCCCATTAAAGTGTTTGCTCGTCGTGCTATCTTCGCGACGGGTCTAACCTCAGAGCCTTTCCTACCACATTTTGCAGGCCAAGAGACCTTTGGAGGCAGAATCTTTCATGGCAAACAGTTCAAACAGAACAGTGATACGTTAGAAACAGCAAAGAGAGTCACCATCTTTGGTGCCACCAAATTCGCTTGGGATGCAGTATACGCATACGCGACTGCAGGCGTCAAAGTCGACTGGGTTATTCGCTGTATGCATTCCCCTCCCCATAATCTCACCGAATTGCAGTGTTCGTGCTAACCATATTCGGTAGCATCTGGCCATGGCCCGTGTTGGATTTCGCCATCCTATGTTACGCCACTTAAGAAGTGGATTGAGAAACTTGCGAGTAAGTTGCTTTTTTTGCAGCAATAGCGTTTCTGCGAAACATGAATCCTAACACAGAAATAGATGTGCGTTTCTTAACCTGGTTTAGTCCTTGCGTGTGGGGGGATATTGATGGCTATGGGGGAATCCGCGGCTTTTACCACGGCACGGCTTTTGGTCGGAGTATCGTCAACTCCTTTTGGAAAGTCTTAGGTGGAGATGTGATTAATCTCAACGCCTATGATTCGCACCCCAAGACTGCCAAGCTCAAGCCATGGACTGACCCGATGTTTACGGGGGCCAGTTTCAGTATCATGAACTACGATACCAACTTCATGGACCTCGTCAAAGGCGACGATGTCAATATCTATGTTAGCGAGATCGACCATTTGAGCCCCGGCAAGGTTCACTTGTCCGATGGCACCGAATTCGAATCCGATGTCTTACTCGCCCACACAGGGTGGAAACACGTGCCGCCGATCAAATTCCTTCCTGAAGGAATTGAAGGTGAGCTCGGTATCCCCCACACCCCACGCGACGATGCACCATCCACCGACCTTGCGAACGATGCGGCAATAATGGAACGGGTTGATAAGGAAATTCTTGAGCGATTTCCCCGATTGAAAGATCAACCCGTGTGGAACAAGAATTATATCCCCATGACGGAGCAGAAGGGAATTGTCAGCAATGACGATGTAACACCCTACAAGCCTCTAACACCGTACATGCTGCACCACTTTATCGTACCGCCGTCCGAGCGATTCTTGCGTGCTCGCGACACGGCCTTCATTGGAATTGTTTCCAACTTCAGTAATATGATCACAGCACACCTGCAAGGTCTCTGGATCAGTGCATACTTCTCAGGCAAGTTAGAGCGGGATCCTTCAACAGCCGTAGGTGACGAGGTTGCAATGCAACAACTTCGATATGAAACAGTGCTGCATAATCGTTTCGGCAAATGGCGGTACCCAACCGACGGTACCAAGAACCCCAACTTCATTTTCGATGCTGTGCCTTACCTCGACCTGCTGCAGCGGGACCTAGGTCTTGGCATATACCGCAAGAAGGGTTTCTTCGCTGAGCTCTACGACCCATATGGTCCTGAGGACTACCGAGACGTCAACAGCGAATGGACGAGCAAGTACGGAGATATGAAGAAGCTCGAATCTTTAGGCAACAGCTTAAAAACGCTGAGCTCAACAGAACCGAAACTGAACTAAACATCTAGATCTTATGGGTTTTTTAGCAGGTGTGCGGGTGCACGCCTACGAGAGTTGTATATCTATATGGTACGGCAAGGGCGGAATTTCCCTTCGAGATGGTGTACTAAAAGCGTTCACTTTTTTGCTTTTTCTTTTTTGTCATTTACACGGTTGAGCTGGCGCGTCAGCATGGTCTTTTTTCCTCTGTCAGACGAAAAGTTCTTCGATGTACAGCACAGCACAGCATAGCATGCTTTTTCTTTTTTTGTTTTCTTTATTCGTGTGTAGAAACTAGAAAGATACCCACCCATAACCGAGCAACCAACCCGCACAGAACGAGGCTGGGTATGCACAACTCTGTCGATCTGGTGTAATGTGTAATAGTGAGCTCAGCATAAATGTTATACTTCGGCATATCCAACAACGTTTTCTGTACGTAACGTGCCCACACAGCCAAGACGTGTATTATTACAGGTCATTACATGACATTACAAGTTCATTACCTACATACGAAGAACATGCCCACATGCCATGCTTCATGTCAGGGGAAAGGATAGGGGTATGTGGAAATGAACTCACGCAACTGCATGTGCTACATATGTAAGCCACTCTATAGTCTATGTGATACAATTTCTAGTGTTATTTTACCATGTCTAGCGTTTCTCATACACTTCCCCGAGTGCCCATCACAACATAATGCAAGAGGAACCACGCTATGCCATACCATCGGGATGGACTTACCGATAGTATGGAACTCACTCTGCGCGCGCGGGGGTTTCCTATAGTAGTATTCGATTCGAATTACCCCAAGTTCGACGCTATGCTTCACATGTAATCTAGAAAGGAAGGTGAAGCAAACCGACTCGGAGCAAATTTGCGTCCTCACGGCAGTTCTAGGCTTCCGTCTTAAGCGTATACACTTAGACTCGGAAGACTTAGAGACTTCGCTTCGGAACGTTGAAGCGTAACGGACCTTGCCGTTCACTAAGAGAGGTACTAAGCTACTAGTGTAGGAAGGTGATGAAGTTCCAAATATGCTACCTAGTCACCTAACGGGGGCATATATGGAGTGTAGTATAGCATGTAGGACTATAGTAACAAAGTTCCGTCCGTGCCCAAAACCAAGCTTTTCATTATACTAAAGTAGTTCTATCGGCTGCGAAGCCGGACGTACCTAGATGAAGAGGACCCATACAAAACCGGTCCAGTCAGCCCCAGCCGTATTGGGAAGTCCTCGCGCGCCTCAAACCACTAGATCAAATAATCCTGGGCTGGAACACGGAGACTAACGAGATCGCTTTTTAAGCTAATTTGTTGGTTATGGGAAATGAGAATGAAAATTTTCTTCCATGTCGCACAATATAGCATGAAAATACGGCATTGCTAGGCTGCTAGGGCGACGAGCTTGATCATAGTAAGTACATGGCCAAGTTATGTGTGTTATTCCTGCATTTCGGCCAGTGGGGGAGTGCTGTAGAGCTAGGGTCCAATTACAAGGGTAACAGGATAACTACTCCACGCTGTATCGCTGTATCGTCGGCTGGGACGGTAGTGTTATGAACTGCGCCCCCTATAATACCGTTCACGTATAGTTACGTACACTTCACAAATCCAACCCTGTTCAACTTACGTAGGCGACCCAGACCTTCAGGCTTCTAGACGAGGAAGCAAGGGAGAACATGAAGGATTTTGCCCAGCGACGTAAGGGTAAGTTTCGCAAGGGGACCGATGTAGATTATCAGTGTTCTAGACTATCATCCCACGTCGAAGACCTTGAACGTTAAACCAACAAGGCTTTGATGCTATCGCCATGGATTGAATCTTGGTCCTGACATTGACATTTGAAGTCTGTTCTCAATAGCCCTGTCATCAATTTCATCAATGTTGGTTGTTCGACCAGGACGTCGGGTAGGCACCTGTCAGATCCCAAGACGCTGGTAATGGAATTTCTTGCGTCTCGTCTGATCTAACGGCGTGAAAAGTCTTACCGCAGTATGCGATGGATTTTGAATCTGACCACCATACCAATTTTTTATTGCATCGGTCAAGACGATAATGGTGAAGCTCTGCACCAACAGCAATACTTCATATAGTCAGCTGGCTGTTGTGAAACTCGAAGGCAAGATCTTGAACCAATTAGGTATTGTTGTAACCAACTAACAAGCGACTAAGATAGGATCGTGATCAATCGAGAACGGAGGCGAATAAGACGCCATCGCAAAAGTACAAGATGATCGAGAGATTTCCTCAACTTGGACGCGAGCCCGCCTGTGAGGCTACACAGCATAATGCATGCGCTAGATCGCGAAAGGAGAAGGGAAAATGAAGATACAAAGTTCGCCTGGCTTCCTTTCCATGCGCGATTCAATTCCTTCAACAAGGTTGAAGCATATCATAATCGCCATGAGTAGGATTTACCCCTACGGCGACGAGAGCATATGTTGTTGGCTACTCAGATACCTTACCAATTGGTAAGATGTTGGTGTTTCAAGATCAGTTACCAAGCTATCTACCCTGTCGCAACGCAACTAACAAGCCCTGTATTTTTTCTATTGGCACAGCGATGATCTATAACAACTCTTTGGTCTATTCCAACTACTAAATAGCACATATCGTAACAACTATTCGTTACCGTACTGTCTCTTCTATTCTCCAATTTACCCCTCAAGCTAATAACCATATAACTGACGAAATATAGGTAGAAGTTACTTTAGACATAAAGAGAATCAAAACTATTGACGGGCGGGAGTGCCCGACTGATCACCTTACCCACATAGGAAGACGAGGGGGCCTTTTAGTTGAAACTATTTAAGCCCTACGAACCAGAACCAGAACCAGAACCAATAATTACCAGAATAAAATACCTAGGTAATCTACCTGGGTAGGTAATGAAAAAGGTGACCCCGTTACGGGTAGTGATGTGACGAGCCCCGAGAGAGTGGGACGAAGAAGCGAAACAGTGTAACAAAACACAACAACTGTGCCGTAAAATTCAGACGAAAATAAGACGAAAATGAGATCTTCTGACGCGAGCGAAAATGCGAAATTAACAAAATAGGTAGGTCAATCAATCTCTAGGTATCTTATTTCAGCACCCACGAGGTGATCCACGAATGCCGTATGCCTGCATAAACGACACACGATACCATCCACGGTTCGGTATTGTATGGTTCAAATAATCCTTTCGATCTGATGGAGCCTCAATGAAGGAATTCATTCACACGTACGTACATATGGTAATTCATCACGTGTATTAATCGCCGGTATTGGTCAAGAAAGAGTCAACTCAGGATTCAACATCAATTGTATACAATAGACTCCATTGACTTATTTCAATCAATTCATCACATCAACAAATCTAAAGATTATCGTATTTTTCTCCCTTAATAGGAACAGTCTGACGTTATCAGGGGGTTTATCGCTCCTCTTAGTAATTTCAATTTTCAATTATGCATTCGATAAAAAAGCAAAACGAAGCGAAAACAGAAGATGATCAACACGATACGATGCGGTCTTACTTGACTAACTCCTTGTTGATATTTCCATTTTCATTTTCATTTTCCGCCATCTCGTCCCGTGTCGTGTCGTGTCGTGTTCGTAGGCATTATCCATTCCCCATCATTCCAATTCCGACCTATGGCGCCGACAATCACAGTTTGAAGTTATCGTAATTTCGCCATCACTCGACTCGCATTATCTACCTAATGTAGGATAATTTCCGATCACATTCTCGCTTCGCTTTCTAGAATTCGTCTGTCTACCTACCAAATCAACACGGGTGACCAATTAATTAGTTCAACCCCGACCCGAACCCGAACCCAACCACCCGCATCGACGCGGTAGCGGGCAAAGGCACCGCGGAAGATCACTTACATACGTGGTCGCTCACCTGCATACGAGCTGCAGCCGCAATTCCAACCTCACACCGCCCCATTCCAAGCCAGCCCAGCCCAGCCAAGCTTGCGATCTTCCTGCTTATCCAACCCAATTAAGGCACATAGATACCTAGGGGGCTAAGCAGATTAGATAGGCACCTGACCTAACCTAACCCAAGCAGAGGACGATGCGTTCCCGCCCCTACACCCCACCACCCCCTCTCCCACCTCTCCTCGCTGAGCTCTCGGGGTACCTGCCGAACCGCGAGCGTAGAGACGGTAATGATGGTACTGTCCCGCTGCTAGATCTAGATCCGGATACTAGTCGTCTCCTCCCGCCTGAAAAACGCCAGCTTGAGCATCGGGTTAGAGTGCAGGGACGGCTGGCGCCGGTGCGTAGTATCTCGGTTGCGGATCTCAGACGCGCGAGTCACGGTGTGGGGTTTGATGAGGGTGTTGGTGGGAAGGCGCCTAGGAGGAGGGGAAGACGGAGAAGTGAGGATGATGTAGGTGGGAGTAGTGGTAGGGGAAGTGGGAGTGTGGATGGTGATGGTGATGGTGGTGAGGGAGATGAGGAGGTTGGCGAGAGGGATACGCAGCTTAGGGGGTATGGGATTGGTGGGAGGGGGAATATCCGTGAGTTCACCTTTTTCATTGAGATCTATTTACCTAGGTGAGACCTGGACTTGGTTGAGTGCTAATAATGTGATTAGGAAGGCCGACGGATGTCATAGGGACATCGTCTAGAACTTCGCGATCCTTATCCTCGCTATTTCCGAGTTCCGGTTCAACGACACCACGATCGCTCTCCGCCTCAAGTTCAGACAAGAGGTGGCGCATATCAGGGTTGTTAAATCGCATTGAGGAACGGAAGGGGAAAGATAGGTGTCCAACATGAGGATTGATTTGCATCAGATATCGGTCATTCGGGGATATGGCGAATGGAGTTCGGCTGGGACAAGAAACATAGAGACCATCATGGGAGATAATGAAGTGCATGCATTACTCGGAATACATTGGTGACGTTCCTCGCAGATGCGCTATCTCGGAGGCCTCAATGCGAATGATTAGAGGAATGTCAGTTTCATCCAAAGGCGTCCGGTAGCATGAGATTTATCCGGATAAATATGAAGAGGGTGTAAGAGTACCTGGATGTGAGATAGGCGAATTCGATTTGCGTAGCATGACTACCTCCTATTAACACTGTTACAGATGCTTGAAGATTTGACATGACCCCTTTTCTTTACGTCCACACCTATTGCTTTGAAAGTGAATGTCTATATTAACCGGACGTCCGAGTAGATACTCATGTGAACAGCATGGATGCACCAGACTCTCGTGGTTATGCGTAATCAAAGTGTAACAGACTAGTGAGCAGCATTGGAGAGCTCATTCAGGAGATCTACCCTGATATTCCCAAGACCATCGGCGTAGCTATCAATTCGAATCAGATCTGGCAGAGTGTAAAGAAGCCCCTTCAAACGCGACTATCTAATAGACTATGCGGTAGAGCGGCAGGTTATGAGGACTTCCATTCGTGCGTGCTGGCTACCGACAAGTTGTCACTTCCAATCGCAACACGGGACGGGGATTCCTACTACATATCTTAGGTAGAGAGAGATATATATAACAAGGGCACTCCTCGAAATACCTTGGGGCTAGATAGGTATCTGAGTGGTTACCTAAGTCTTGGTGGAGGATATACCTCGTCTCTCTGTCTCAAGCGTGCTCCCGCTTACTTACACTATCAACTTAAAGGTCAGTATCATCACATAATATTTATGAAAATATATGATGCTTGTTAAGCCCACCAATGTTAAAGTGAAATACTTCATGATGGCATAAGAATTTAATATCTAAAGTTGTATGTCCACTAAAGACGTGAAACTTCTAAGGCCCAAGGAGCACGATATTGAGGAGTATCGGATGTATCAACTAACCTATTCTCTAAGGTATTCCTAACTTGATTAAACTCATGATCTCTAACAATACTGGGAAAAGGCATGTCTCCTTCACTCCCCTTCTGTCGTACCGCCCGTCCCACCTCTCAAAACAGGTCTTCCTTATGCTTCCAATGATTCGCCTCAATAACATCCGCCGGCATAGTCCAATCCCACAGCGCCGGAGTCTTCGGTAAGAGATCGGGGTAATCCTGATGAATACTCCACAAATGCAAGGACATCGGAACCGTAAGAAACATAGGATGCCGCTCTGCCCCAAAATGATCAACAATATCCTTGAACTCCCCCGGATCAATCGCAGCGTCCATAAGAGCAGGTACTTTGCCGTAGTATATCTTGGCGAGGTCTTTAGGTAGGCTGATGCGTAACTCGCTCGTACTACTAGCTATATCAGTATGTCTCCCATGAAGATCGATCTGTTATACCGGGGAAGATGAAGACGCACAGTGTCTTCCGAATGCTATGCACCTGGGACTTGGTAACAGGATCTTTCTTCGGTAGACGGGCGGATGCTATGACGGCGTCTAGGTATAGCTTGATATACTTCTCGCGATGCCATATGAGATCGTTCTTCACTAAGCGAAGCTGAAAAGTATGGACCATCCAATGCCGCGGTCTGTATTTGGCTAAGTTTGGCCATTCGGATTTCGTAGGCGGGAGATCATGTTCGCGGATGTATTGTTCGGCGTGCGCGAATGTGATGCGAGCTTTGTCTTTATGCCATTGATGACGGAAGACGGAGAGTACTGTCTTTAGAGGTAAACTCGCGAGTGCGGCGATAGCTGTTTGGCGTTGATGGAGGGCTGCGTGGTTATCAGTATCGGGTGCTTTTTTCTCCTCGATGGGCTTTTTGCCCTCTTTGGTGGATGGTTCGTGGCTCATGGCTAGTAGTTATAGCGAATGTTGATATCATGGTGGGTGTTGAACAAACGGGGAAGTCGATCGCGTGACTGGAGAATATTCGAACAATTTCAAGAACGATGCTTCCCTGATTTAGAGTCCGATAGGGCATAAGTAGCTTCTATCAATATTTATATTGACTTAAGAAACATAATCATAAGTAGGTAGAAGTAGTTGAGGGTGGAAGGTGAAGGTGAAGGTGAAGGTGAAGAGGTCGCATGCCTATAGGCGGTATATGACGTATGACTTAACGTGGGATAAAGCAATTTTATCACGACATCCATATCAATTCATCAATCGATTCGACCTGAAAGCTCAAAAAAGTTGCAGCGACACCGGCGCAAGCATCACTCTTCAACAACACTGCGACCGACCAAAAAATGTCGACCGACAAACCCAGCGCGCTGCGGTCTATAATAGCAGGCGCCACAGCCGGTGCCGTCGAAATCGCCATAACCTACCCCGCCGAATTCGCCAAGACACGCACACAACTCAACCGCAAGCTCGGCGACGGTCAAAAACTACCATGGCCACCCTTCGGCAAACAATGGTATGCCGGGTGCACGACCCTAATTATAGGCAATTCGGCTAAGGCTGCGATTCGGTTCGTATCTTTCGAGCAATACAAGCGCCTGCTCGCCGATGAGAACGGGAAGGTATCCGGACCTCGAAACGTGATCGCCGGCTTCGGCGCTGGGGTTACTGAATCGCTACTCGCTGTCACTCCTACCGAGTCCATAAAGACGACCTTAATCGACGACCGCAAGTCCCCTAATCCGCGCATGCGAGGTTTTTTACATGCCGTCCCGATTATTGCGCGGGAACGAGGACTTCGAGGGTTCTTCCAAGGTCTAGTGCCTACAGCCGCAAGACAGTCAGCAAACAGTGCCGTGCGCTTCGGGTCATATACAAGCCTGAAGCAACTCGCGGAGTCATACACAGCGCCTGGGGAGAAACTCGGGACGGTAGCGACGTTTGGTATAGGGAGTGTGGCGGGTGCTATTACGGTAGCTGTGACGCAACCGCTTGACACAATTAAGACGAGGATGCAGAGTATCGAGGCGAAACAAGTCTACGGCAACAGTTTTCGATGCGCGGCTTTAATATTTAAGCATGAAGGGGTTTTGACATTTTGGAGTGGTGCCTTACCGAGATTGGCGCGGTTGGTTATGAGTGGTGGTATCGTCTTTTCTATGTATGAGAAGAGTATGGAGTTGATGAAGACGCTGGATCCGGAAAATAAGTACTTATAGACAGGGACGGATGGACGGAAAAGTTCCTTCGTTAGACTGATACCCGGAACCTCACGGATACAGGACCTGGTAGTGTCCCTAGATATTCTAAAAGATGGAGGCGTATTGTATCTGGGCTTGACTGGACGGGTGTTACGAATGCTGCGATTGCCCCGCGTCCTTTCAAAACTTGAAGAAACAAAATCGTCAGAACCGCGCGGGAAAAGGAGTCACGCCAAAGTCAGGGTCGGAGGAATAGTCGATGTTGCCTCCTAAAGCTCTCGTCTAGGCTCCCGTCCATCACCAAGTTGGAAGACCGCTCTTCGGCCGCTATGGAAATCCTTTAAGGCGAACTTGGTAAACTAAATTTACGGTCGAATCATGATGCTTGATAATCATTTGTGGAGAGTAGATTCGAATATACACAAATGCGAGAGACAAAAAGATCCCATGAACACACTATTCCATTCCCCAATGCAGATCGTGAGATGCCCGTAACTCCAGGTATACAATTGGTCTTCTGGTTCTTCCATATCTTACACGCCATTAATATATACTGGTATAAATCCCTTATTATGTTTCTATTGTAATCGTATAACCCCCTTTAACCTCAACCAAAGTCTTTCCATAGAGGATCGATTCGGAGCTTCTTCGAGTTCTTGTACAAGATTGGAGAAATATGTCGGATTGCTCTTGGGATGTAAAAGGGTCCCTGTTATCGGGTACTGTAGTCCAATTTAGCCATAGTCTCCTACATGACTCTGGTCATCTCAGGTGTATTCTACCTTTCTCTTATATCGGTTGTCTAAGAGTGAATACAACGCATTGGCTTGTTGTAGCTGTTCTTGTTCAGGTGAATTGGAGGATTGTTCGAATCTTTTCCGTAGAACATCGTGGAATTGGATCTGAGGCCGTAGGGTATCCTTGGGCCACTGGGAGAGCGCCCGTAGAATGTGGTTTCGGGCGCTCTAAATTGTGTAAGTCATTATCAACATTCGTGTAGGAGGGGTATTTACATACAACTGTTTGACGAGACATGACTGCTCGGTGAAGGGAATAGAGTATCTAATTATATCTCTAGTTTCTAGACAAAAACTCTTGCGCATTCAATTGGATATGCTATATCGTTGGTGTTCGTCGGCGCATCGAGTTAAAGATGTATATCGAATTCATGAAAATTAATGACCATCGATGACGGAACCAATCAATGACTAGGCTTTACTATCTGCACAATCGATAATCTGTTATCGATAAACATAAGATCGGTCTTTTTCAAATGCATGCATAAATATCGGTGATAGGATACTTCCGATCTCAGGCCTCCAATAATATGAATCCCTGTAATTGCCGAATAAGGTTGACTGTATGGAGTTTGGTGAATTTAAAATGGCTCGTGCGTTGAGCTGATGGTGACATTGTCCCTTAAGGCTGTCAGGTGCTATTGGTCAGCTGGTCCTTCTTGCTTCTGTTCTGTTCGATCTTCCCCTAAGACTTTCTCCTGTAAGTTTTAAAAACGTCCTAACAATGTCCCTGTAATACGGGTGTCTACATACGCTATAATGCACTATAATACACCTATGATGCGCTACGGGTGAATTACAACGGTCGCATCATCACCTTACCTAACAGTGCTTGAATACACTAAGCTAGTCCCGCGCGCCGCCGCTTCTGCCCCCGTGTGTCGCATTTGTCTCCCTTTACCATCGTTTAACACAGATCTCGTTCCAATCCCATCAATCATTCAACCATCTTTTCTTATCCATCATCATCTCTCTCGTCACGCCATCCCTTTTTCCTAGTCTTCCAATAAACCCACCACTCTCCTTAAAGAAGACTAGAATCTATAACTGTCCTATTTCTTTTTACTACTTCTTTTTATTATTATTCATCGACAAATAATTCCTGCGACGATAAACCATTTTCCTTTTGCCGGCCTGCCGAAAATAACACTGCCACTTACGTACACCCCTGACTCCTGTTTCATTCTTCATTCTTCTACTTCGACAACGACAACGATGTCCGGACGGTACGAAAGGGTTAACACCCAAGACGACGAACCTGATACTCCGATTGCACCCTCTTCATTGCGACAACCACGATCAATACCCAACTCTCCCCCGCCGTCATTTCATTCCCGTACCTCCTCGTTGGAACGGAGGAGGCAAAATGTCGATCCTACGCTAGCGGATGCGTTCGATGCCGAAGATGACGATAGTGATGACGAACCCGATGATAGACAGCGATTAGTACGAGGGAATTCATTTCCGATATCAAATAATACTAGCAGTCAAAATTCGGATGGCGGCGATATAAGGCCGTCTGTTCCGGGAGGACAACCGTCGCAATGGTCTTCTAGTACTGCTATCCCTCCGCAACCTGGTTCTAGAGTGTATGGTGGTGGAATACAATCTGATGGCGTGTTTTCCAATATGATGGCACGACCGGAAAGGGGAGAGAAGATAGTGGAAGAAGCACCTCCGGTATGTTCTTCCTAGCCGTATACTATTAGTATGATGGTCTCGATTTACTGATGATGGATTAGACATACGAACAAGCCGCAGCCGATGCCGCACCGCCTTACTGGGAAACAACGATTCTAGCACCCGGTTTAGGTGGCCCCGATGATGTCTACATTGACGGCATGCCAGTTGGTTCCGTATTTAGTTTCATTTGGAATGGCATGATCAGTATGTCATTTACGCTCGTCGGTTTCCTGCTTACATATCTATTACACTCAACACACGCCGCAAAGAATGGTTCTCGCGCTGGACTCGGTATTACGCTTATCCAATACGGTTTCTACATGAAAGGATCATCCAGCGGGGGAGGTATGGATGGCGCACCCTCAGATGGATATGCACAGCCTCCAGACCCGAATAGCCATGATTTCGACCCTAACTCTGTCGGCACGAGTAATGGAGATGGTTCAAGTTTCAGCGATATTGCGAGTAGTGAATGGGCTGCGTATCTGCTTATGATCGTGGGCTGGTTCATCTTGATCCGGGCAGTTAGTGACTACATCAAGGCGAGGAAGCATGAACAATTAGTTCTTCAGAGCCCAGATAGGGGCTTGGGTGTACCGATTATTGCAGAAGGTGAGCGAGCCGAGACGGTGGTTTAGTATTGGTTATATCGAATCCAAAAAATTCCTCGTTGGAAGTCGATGTTGTATTATCGGGTCAATATGAAAATCATAGACAAACTTGTACCACGATGTGAATTGGTACCTACGGGACCGGAGCTTGTTGGGGATTAATGGCGTAAGGGGCGTTACGGGATTGTCACCATTTGTGATAGTGTAACTTAAGAAATCCGTTGGATGAGTAGGCTTGCGTGAGGCATTTCGAGCGATTTTGCTACAATATACTATTATCTCATCCCGGTGCTTTGGGAAGGGAATCGAGGGTCTAATAATGTACTAATTGCTCCATTATTTCCAATAGAACTTTGGCATGCGATTTGCTTACTAGTCTATCCATCTCCCTTGAAGCACATCCCCAAGGGTTTCCCCAGATATTCGATGCTCCACCTGTCCACCTATTACCCACTTCGATTTACAACTACAACTAACCTTGAAAATAGTATAACTTACTTATAGAAATGAGTTACATGTACTTTACTTATTATAGGAATTATCTGGGTCAATAACTCACTGGTCGATATGGAATCTATCTGCTAGGTATAGATTATCGATAACGAATGTTGTAACTGGAAGGGTTGGGAATACAAAACTGCCCCGCATTGCGTACATGTCAAGTTGAACGAAAAGTCACGTCATGATCAGGAGCAAACTTCGCGAACTTTCCAATAATTACAACAGTTGAAACTAATACAATATTAATTAAACTCAAGATTTGAATTCATGAGTACATTTTTAACTACGTGTCTATATACGAATTTCTTTGTCTGAATTTACTTCAAAGAACTCTTACTACTTATCATATCACTCGCGTGACTATATAGCTTCGGAATACCTTCCCCTTGATTGCGACCTGAACTACGTTAACCTTAGCCTACCTCAACTCCCGAGCAAGACAACCAACCCGTAATTCAAGGTGTCTTCCAAACCACCAATTAACCTCTCAACACTCCCAATCTCCCTCCAACCAACCCTTCGAATTACCTTCCCCCGCCGCTTCGCAACCCGCGCACGATCACGATTCCGTAAAACAACAATGGCCTGGCGCAGCTCCGGCACCTCCAACGCCACACTTATCGAAAACCTCTGGCGGAACAAATTAATAACGCAACCGCTCGTAAAATCCGCCTTCCTAGCCGTAGACCGGGGCCACTACGCTCCCTCCGCGCCCTACGACGACAGTCCGCAACCCATAGGCCACGACGCTACGATATCTGCTCCGCATATGCATGCCAACGCCGTGGAAACCCTTTTACCATTCCTGCTCCCGAAAACCTCTGCAGGGGAAAAGGCGGAGGGAGTCGGGGATTTGGTAGGGGAGAAGGGGAGGCCGAGAAGGGTACTGGATATTGGGAGTGGGAGTGGGTATCTTACGCATGTACTCGCGGAATTAGTTGGGGAGAATGGGGTTGTTGTGGGACTGGAACATATTCCTGCGTTGAAAGAGCTTGGGGAGAAGAATATGAGGAAATCGAAGGAGGGGAGGCATTCATTAGATACGGGACGCGTGAGGTTTCGTGTGGGTGATGGGAGAAAAGGGTGGTCCGAGCCGAAACCTACGATTTCGCAACCGGGTGTTGGAGGGCCGGCGAATGGCGATGCGGAGGGGGAGGTACGGAAGGATGAGGAGGGAGGGTGGGATGCTATACATGTTGGTGCTGCGGCGGTGGAATTGCATGAGGAGTTAATACGGCAGTTGAGGAGTCCTGGACGCATGTTTATACCTGTGGGGGATGGAGGGGGGTGGGAGCAGTATATTTGGACGGTGGATAAGGATGAGAAGGGGGAGATTAGGAAGGAGAGGTTGTATGGGGTTAGGTATGTTCCGCTTACGGATGCGCCGAAGTGAGGGTGTCTACGGAAGATATCTTGGGAAATGCACGAGTAATTGTGTTTTAATGGGGGTTCTATGACGACGAGAAAGTATTTATGATGTGGGATAATCCTAACATGGACGAATTGCCTCGAGGTATGCGTCAATATTACCTTGGTTCATAATACCAATAGCTGACCCTTAGATATGGTATTGGTGGATATGCGAATAGTTGCGCGGAATTTTATCTACTTGCGAACGACTTACTTGAAGTTGGGCGGCTAAAGAAAAAAAAAATCAATAATAATTCATTCAATTAAAGTGACGAGCAAAATGGCAAAAAGACGGTGCAGGTTCGATGCTGGAAATGAATCGTACTCATAGCTGGAATCGAACCTGGCCCGCGAAAAACCGCCACCGGTGGTAGCTGCCTGACTTGTCGACTCGGGAGTTCAGACAACTGAGCCACCGGGATACGGTTTTTACTCCCAACGCGCTCGGATTCTTTGTTGGTGCTGGTATGAACATTATTCGACATTATAAACCTACCTCGTGGTAAATTCCTAGGCAACCAAATAATCAAAGTTTGGCACAAGCCACCTGGGTAGTCACAGGGATTCCTAGGAATACCAATGCCATGACTATTGAATTAAATCATCTCCCCAACAACAGAAAGCCAATGTCACCTGCAACAGGAGCATATACTTGGACGCCACAAATGGAAAAATATTCATTGCCCTCTAGTCAATATTTACAGCGTACATTGGTTACAACGCCCCCATGATGTAGTCGTAGTTCTATTTTTGCTTAATTCCATTATCTGTAAGGCGAGTCTGCTTTAATAATAGCTGCCAATTCAGGTTCCCACTTGTCTCCATTTGCTAGGAGCTTCTCCTTGTTATATAATAATTCTTCTCTCGTCTCGGTGGCGTATTCGGCATTGGGTGATTCAACGATCGCATCTACGGGACATGATTCTTGGCAGAAACCGCAGTAAATGCATTTGGTCATGTCGATATCGTATCGGGTTGTTCGTCTGGATCCGTCGGCTCGTTCTTCGGCTTCGATGGTGATGGCTTGTGCTGGGCAGATCTGTAGATATGTTAGATCGATGTTACAGAGGATATTATGAGACATTGTGCGAAATATTGGTTCCGTAGAGGATGGAACGTACAGCTTCACACAACTTGCAGGCAATACATCGTTCTTCGCCTGATGGGTATCGTCGTAATGCGTGTTCGCCACGGAATCGGGGAGAGATAGGACCCTATTGCGCAGTCAGTCGTCATGTTCTCGTTCAATACTTTCCCTTCGAGTAATAATCTCAATGTCACAAGATAGTGTATATCCCGCAGGCTCGATTAAAATAGGATGGGGTCGTCGGAAACCACGAACCTTTTCGAAAGGATAGTAAATTGTGTAACTAAAAGCATCGCACATTAACATTGGATCACTCCCTCATCAATTGATAGGTAGACGGGAACTTACGGTGGTCGGAAGTACTGCTCCAGCGCGACATACATTCCCCTAAACATTTCCGTCATGAGGAAATATTTCCCAGCGCGATCAAAAGTTCCTTCTTCTTCCTCATCCCATCGCTTCGCCTTAGGCAATCGGAATCCCTTAGCTGGCGGTCCAGCGGGTGTGGCATATGTGCGTTGCGCGACTATTCTTGCCACGGCGAAGGCCGCGACGGGGTAGGATTGTGGCCGTCGCACAAGCTGGCGGGACAGCATGGCGGCCGTCGATGTGGTGGTAAGCCCTTGCATATCGCTATACGGCGAGCAAGCAAATCGGGGGCTGTGAGAAGGAGAGCGGGGAGGTTTATGTAGGGTGGAATTGGCAATGGCGAAATTAATGTTTCTTGAACAGCTTTGAGGTCATGCTGGAGTTTCGGGATTTTAGGTGGAGCTTGATATTACAAAAGATGTTTTATGATTGGTCGTAGCTCAAGCCCCGAGTCCGAAGAAGCCACAGGAAAGGCGGAGCCACGAGATTAGGTCATAGAATGTAATTGACAGTTTAGCCAGTTGCGAGTCATTTGGTGGTAATCATAACGGCAGTTGCTGGACACTTGGCGGACAAAACCTCCGGGGCGATACGTACCGTTCTGTACATAGGTACTTACGTACACTTACATAAAAAACATAAAAGCAAATCACGTGCAGCTTTCAATTCAAATCGCCGCTAGCTCCGCGGGTCCAAGCTTTCGGAGTGGGAAATGTGAAATGACGAGAAATTTATCATTAACTTCGATTTAATCTTCAATTACCATACCAGCTCTCTCTATCCCACTCCACCTCCAACCAAATAAATATACACCACCCGTTTCGACGGTCACTACGCCCCCTTTTCTACGTCACCGAGTTTCGCCAATTGAGTCGTTAACTCGATCGTCACAATGTATCGCGCAGCCTTAATTCGTACCGCCGTCTCGGCGTCTCGCGCCGCTACCACCGCTGCTCGACCTGCTATCCGAAGAGCCGCTGTGCCCGCTAGAGCTGTATTCGCACCCGCACCGAAAATCGCCGCTTTCCAGACCGTACGAATGTACTCCGCCGGTGGTGGATTAAAGAAGGAGGAAGTAGAGGGCCGTATTATTGGCATCCTACAAGGTTTCGACAAGGTGAGTTAGTTTGGGTGGTATTTTTATGTTTGGCTTGTGAGTATAAGAGTTGGGCAAATGAGATAATTCTGGCTACTTGTTGGCAAATTGCAAGACCGGAGCTACCTAGGTAGTTAGGTTAGGGATAGTGTGAGGATATTGGGCGCATAATCTGGACAAGATCGGCCATAGAGAATAATTCGCTAATTTTTATATAGGTCAACGACCCGACTAACGTAAGATTCGATACCGATGCGCTAGATATATCCGTTGGAATATTGACCCTTCTTAGATCAAGCCTACTTCTCACTTCTCGAACGACCTTGGTTTGGACAGCTTAGATACAGTGGAAGTTGTTATGGCGATAGAAGAGGTATGCAACAACATGTCACGAGGCTCCAGGCCGTGGAGGACTACCAAATTTTGTCGATATTGAGGTAGAATGTGATTACTGACTCCATAAATAGGAATTTAGCATTGAGATCCCCGACAAGGACGCAGACGCTATCCACAGTGGTATGAGACCCTTTACGAATTCACGATACTCTTCCAAATCTCAGAAAAGCATTGGTTTGAACAAAATGCTAACCTTACTATATCAACAGTTAACCAGGCTGTTGAGTACATCTTGAGCCAACCGGATGCGAACTAAAAGATACAATCTTGTACATTAACAGCTACACCACTCTGATGACAATAACTCATACATAGAATCTGGATCCCGCAACAATTACCATGTACGCCTATAAAACTACAACGTGATGATGGCGGGATTTGAGTCGGCCAGTTCGAAATGGTCGAATCTCAACGAGAAAGGATATCAACGAAGATAATCATGGTGCGGTTTAAATCGATATTCGATTTCCCCCCCACCGTTGTATTAGTGTATAGATCGTTTCTCCTTCAACCCGAATTTGCGCTTCTTGGTGAGATCTCTAATATGACATATCGGAAATAATCTGTGAATAATGAGAATTGTTAAAGGTTTGGTCAGATATTGCTCACAAAATAATAGGCAACGATAACTGCGATGCGGCTGACGCTCCACTAGCACTACCTAGGGTAATGAATGCGACGGGATGCGACAAAGAAACCCCCTGTATTCCCCCTAACCAAGCAATTTCAGCCCTGAAATCTTCAAGACTAATCTCAAAATATACTTCTTAAATCCACATCTATCTACAGCTTCATCTTTTTAACCCAAATTTTATCGCGCCAATTGGATATTATCTAGACGTTTTGCTTTCGTTTCGCTGCCAATCATAGTATTGGGTATTAATTATTTACTTCGTTTGTTAGGGCCTCACTTATGAATACGCTTAAATGTCGCCATTTACGCAGGACCGAGATGGATAATTCAACAGATGGCGACAAAACGATAGGCAACACGGGGATGGATAGCGCTACACTTGCGGGTGTAATATCGACGGCGATCAGTTTTGTCGCATTAATCGTGTCATCCATTCAGTTGTTATACCAGTATTACACCAACGTATCTCTTAATGCGCTTGGTGCAAGAAATTGCAACAGTTGGGTAATGGGACCCTGGGCCGGGGCTACCCGTCGTCGATGGCGTTGGTTGGAATTACGATTCGAGATCATATTCCAATCGCCCATTCTCTTCGTCGCCCCGGCTTTCAATAGACGTGGGCCTGTTCCAGGTCGGGAGATTTGGTATATAGATGGAAGCGACCAAAGCTATCAGGAAACCCGGACACCATTACCTATCGACGCGGGCTCTCTTCCGAGGACTACGGCCATCCGACGTGGTGTTAATGTCGAGGCTACTTGGGTGCTATTACTCCGAACTTTGCAAAGCATGGAGCGTGATAGTGCAAGATGGCACGAACTGATGCATTTTAATGTGGATGCGAAAAAACCGCGACCTTTCTCCGCCCGCACAATCGCCGTCGCAGTCCAAGCGCAGACGTTGTCATGGGATTTCGTACCCAACTTCAAAAAGCCATTCGCGGGTACGACTATTTGCCATATAGTAGAGATAGCAGCTATGCTCGGCATCTACTGGACCATGTGGGATTCAAAAGCGGACAGGTACCGAGCGGAGGGTAACGGGTGTATATTACTAGGATCTTTCAATGCCGAGCAAGGTATCGTGTTTACACTTGTTAGACACGACAAGACCGTATTTCTCGACAATCGACTTATTCCTAATAACTCGATTAAGAGGTTTTGCTTTGGTTTTAGTCCGACATTTTATTTTCTGGATAAGTATGAATATCTTGATGAAAAGAACATGACGAAAAGACCCACGGAGCCGATTCTCCCAATGTTGAAATTGGGCAGTCGGCAGGAGATTGCTGAGACGTTGATGGATATCGGGTGCCCTATAACGGTTGCTGAGTATTTTCTTAATGAGGATGCGAGGACTTCTCATTTATTTCCTGGTGAGTAGCCCTATCCTATCGAGAAGACTCACTCTCGTCTAGACCAACATGCATATTAACATTCCCTAGTCATATTCGATGTTCTTGGTATGCTGGGTCGATCATTATCAGTTGAAGGATATTGCTACCGCATGCTACCCAATCCAACGATATTCCGCTGGGACCGTCGATGGTTCAACACAAGACGTCTCCTTCTAGTCTTCAAGGAGTACCAAACCGAACTCTACAAAAACTACGCTGCAGCTGGAGATATCCCCGGTCCATTAATTTCCATTAGGTCTGCACTCGACCGCTTGAGTTCGTACCTAGAGAATCCCCTAATCAAAGATTTCTCCCCTATTCTCCTCGATAACCTCCGCGAGGTCATGTCAACCTTGGATACACTTTTAATAGAATCATCAGAGGACGAGGACCATCCCTCGGAAACCATCGTCCTTGAAACCGTCAACCGCCACATCGCCTGCGTCGTCGCAGATCTCAGCCAACGTCCGTCACGCCTCCTCGATTTATTCCCACTCGGCCGCGCCAACGAAGGCGCTAACGAGGTGTCTTTAATCTCATTTCTCTTCGAGCGCAGCCGATGGGCCGCAACGCATATTTACAATCCCGACCTATCCATCGCACACCGGGAGTTCAATCAACGGTTCGCGATTACAAAGATTGAGGTAAACGTCGTCGAGAAAATGCAAGTCCCGACTTGTTCTTTGGGATTACGAGACAGACCGCGTCTCCGCGATACTACGTGGTGTTTGTTGGTTTTCCGTATGCTTTGTTGGTTGCAGTTGCATGATTTTCATAAGGATGATGTTATGGTTCCGAGGAGTGCGACGTATGGGAGTCGTATGCCAGTTTATATTATTTAGGACCTGTGAATAGGGACCTTGGGATGTGGGTGAGTGGGATGCATGTGGTGTTGGATACCCCCAAGTATTTTTCTTGTTTTTGTGAGCAGGAAAGTTACGTCGTATATATGGTTGGAGAAAGAGATTGGTTATTTTTATGAGATATGAAAGGTATATCACCTATTCCAGTATACATCTGAGGCTATACCATGTCTGTAAGGCTTAATTACAGGGCATACCCAAGTCATCGTTGTACCACCAAACCCGTCAGAACTTAACTGTTTGTTGGTGACGAGGATTTACTTAGCGCGCGGCTCGATCCGTCGATAAAAAGTACGGTCGTTATACACACTATTTTTAACATATTCCACTATTAGTGACTGTTATTTTAGCATCGATCACTATCACATCACAGAATAAAGTGGAACTAAGCAAGATTACTTCAGAAGCTTACACCAACTTTTAACATTCCTACTTCTTATTTACATCTTATTAATAAATGAACCATTTCATTCGACACTTCCTTGATATCATACACCCACACAGCATTACACTTACGGATTAATAGCAACCCTCACCATCTCAACCATGTCGTCTTCCTTAGAGGAGGTTGGCAACACAAAGCCAGTCATCAATTCAAACCCAGACCTCCAATCGTACTACCACTCCCTAGAATCACGGCTAGGCTATAGATTCATACTAGGAGGTACAAGACATTTCGGGTACTGGGAGCACGACACATACTGGCCATTCCCCCTCTCCAAAAGTCTACGCAGGATGGAAGACAAACTAGGCGAAGCCCTATCCCTCCCCCCAGACTCCCAAGTCCTAGACGCTGGCTGCGGAGTCGGGCACGTAGCACTACGCATGGCGAAAAAATTCAAATTCCGAATAACTGCTATTGATGTCGTGGAACATCACGTCGCCAAGGCCGTGCGGAATATCAAGCGCTCGCGTCTACCGGAAACTGTGATATCGGCGCAGAGGATGGATTATCACCATTTAGACCCGTTTGCGGATGGTTCGTTTGATGGGGTATATACCATGGAGACGTTCGTCCATGCTAGCGATCCGAAAGCCGTGTTAGGTAATTTCCACCGCGTGTTAAGGCCCGGTGGGAGATTGGTGATGTTTGAGTACGACCATAATGCGCTTGAGGGCTCGCCAAAGGATATCGCGGAATCTATGGTTAAAGTTAATAAATACGCTGCTATGCCCACGAATGCGATCTCCCAACCTGGCGTTTTTAAGCAGATGTTGGAAGATGCTGGGTTTGAGGATGTGGTTGTGAGGGATTATTCGTATAATATTCGGCCTATGACTAGGGCGTTTTATCTCCTGGCTGTTATTCCGTATTTCTTTGTTCGCGTTTTGGGGCTGGAGCGGTGGTTTATTAATACGGTTGCTGGCGTGGAGTCGTATAGGGGGTATGGACATTGGCATTATGTGGCTCTTTCGGCTACGAAACCTGGTGGTGAGATTGAGGCATCGAAATCTAAATAGTTCTCAAGGGATAAACTAAACGTGGCGGCGATCGTAGGGACTGAAGGGTTAATCCTTAGAAATCTGCGGCATTGACGAAGTATTGAATTATTAACGACCAATTTTCCTGATATATTCGAACCTCGTTGGGGGCTAGTGTCGCTGTTTTGCTGGATACATGGGGTTTTGAATGCTGTAAAGTCAATTTTATACCATGCCTATATCGTGTTACTTTAGTTGACATGTACTGCTTCTTCCTAATGGTGTCCCGACTTTGAAGCTTTGTCATGAAATATGAAATCTTAGGTAGAGGGAAAAGGCGCAAGAGATGATTTAACTTACCTAAATATCAACCAATGCCTTCTATCAATTGCTAATTTCGTATGAGATGCCTAATGTTCGCATAGCGACGCAGAAATATCACGACACAGATGACTCTACTGTGCGTTGTCTCGTCAATTCTTGCCATCTCATCAACGGGTTGCGCATTACTTGAATCATAGATATCTTGGAAGCTTACACGAGGATCATTCGGTTCCTTGGATTATGCTAACATTGTTCCAAGCAAGCACTGCTTCCCCATTCAGAGTTTGCCATCTCCTATCCCAATCACACTAACGATCAATATGGTGAGTTTTGGGCATCTTTGCATAGATTATCGCTGCATCAAACAAGGACCATTTCAAGGAAAATAGACCACACGATTATGGCGTGTAAATGGGTTGGAAAACGCGAACTCCAAGACGAGACTAAAGTTGGGTTTATTGTATAGTGACGACGCAGACATGTAACATGAAAAGGGGCAACAAGCAGAACTTGGTTTAGTGCTACATACAACATTCCATCGTCTCCTTTAGTATCCCTATCCGACAGTAACCATTGCTTTTCTGTCTCCGTGTTTTTTAATATCATCTATGCCGTCAGCTCCTCATTCTTATATTAGGGTCCAGTTGATTGGATCCCCGTCGTCTGCCACCTGGCTTTCCCTCCTTGCATGACGCATTACGACCCTAACGTCAATAGAGGTACAAATATAGAACCCTACTAACCTTCTTGTCATCTCCACGAAGTACGAAGTAGATCATTTGCTGCAGAGCTGACGAGCCGAGCCGTGAGTGGACTATCCGGGTTATTGGGATATTACGACAGTTGGCAACGACGCTAGTCTTTTTTTCCCTTCTCAATTGAAGGAATCATCATCGGATTTGTAGAGTTCCCATCATCAGGCAGCATAGCATTTACGAATACCATACCATTTTACAACTGATAGGCTAGTCGTCCACGAATCCGAATCACATGCTTTCCCTTTTCGGATAACGTCTTTCTTGTATAGAAATTGATGCCGAAGATAATGACGACGGGATATTTACTGATCTTTCTGTTTTAGATTAGACCCTTAGTTACGTGTCATGGATACAGTGTAACCTATAGTATAACTGCTATTTTATTACCGTCTTCGAGCTCCTGACCCCGCTTAGTCATCATTTTCGAGCGGCGATGGAAGGGGTATGACAACGCCCCTGATGATCTTCTCACTTACTCGAAGAAGTAAATAGGGGCTTTGAGCAAGAATAATACCGCTAACCATACTTGGTAGTATGTCCTCCATCTGGGTTAGACGTACGTTGGATAGATAACGAGGTCTATTCCGCAAGAGGCTGGTGGTCTGGTGGCTGATAGGCAACTCGCCATCAGAATGCCTATGATCTGGTCCGGATCTAGCCGTGATCCATTAGGCGGATAGTATCTGCCTGGACCTGATGACGTGCCTGGTGCCCGGGTGGCGACTGTTCTGGCAGCATGTACCCGTTCAGCATATTGAGACAGGCATTGGCAGATTGGATATCCCGGCATGCCTATTTTGTGTCACCACAATGGACAGGTGCTTCGGATTCGACGCCTTTGTGTTCGTACCGTCGGTGGATAGTTCTTGGGATGATGGCGAAGTGTATTTCTGGGGTTGTTGACATGCGAGAAATAATCTAGTGGCCAGGTGGCTATGTTGGGGAGGGTTCCAAGGTTCGCTTTCGCTTCAACGATGCCTAGGGGCTATGAGTACGGCTGCGTCCATCCGTTGTCGCTCCCGGATTCCTAAGCGCTTAGGTATGTTCCCGCTAACCTAGATACAAGGTTAGTTTAGCGAGAAAGCGGCTGAGATTGAGGCCGTCGATGCGGCTCTGGAGGCCTAAGGAATATGTTTTTCCACTTTTGAGATGTAAATAGGGCTGGGTCTGTTTTTATTCTTAAGGGATTTGACATGTTTGTATAATTTGAAACTTTTATGGGGTCACGGTGAATAAAGAAATGTCATAAGATATGTGTTAGTACTAGCATTATGCTTGAAATATGTCCTGAGCCGAATCCTGAATCCCCTGTAGATCCCGAATCACAGGGGTCTCCTTGGATGTAACAAAGAATGAACCAAAAGTATTATTTAATTAACAGGCAAATTATGATACAGCCCTATAGTTCATGTAAGGGTCGGGTAAATTTCATACCATCCCAGTCGGTGATTTTTAGCCTCCTTTGTGAAAGGGTTAGGTATTATACCTAGGACTCTCGAAATTTGCATTTTATATCTCAATCCTAGAGGTCGACCATTACCTACAGCCTTCATAGCAATCGGGCGGTAACCCCCCTTTCAACTCAACGCCTACCTCTGTATTTCATCTGCGCATTTGCGCAAAAAAATTGTCTTGGCACGAAAAAGCCCGCGGACGCGTACCGCGTCTGCCTAATGGAGTACCACAACTTTGAATTGGTTATATTAGGCATGTCTATTGGTCATCGACTGGCGTAATGGCAAATATGAGTCGAACTAATGGCGTGGGGGAAGCGAACCATATCATTCCAAGATCTCGATAGGATTGTGAATGGTTGGGTGCCTGGTTCCTGTCCCACATCATCAACTTGATCCACCCATGAGGCGCCCATGTAGATATTCAGGGAAACGGGAAGATTCGGTGGCTTACGTAGGTCAACCTCAATATCGAAATGGTTGCCGACCTGGATAGGTCCCCGATCATTTCGGTGAGAAAGTGTATTAGGGTTCAGACCGTCTGCCTAGGTATTCTCTCCGTGGCATTCTACCTATTCTGCATCATGATGTACCGCGGATAGTTCTGAGGTATTAACCACACCATCGTATGCCTATCCAAACCCTCTATTTCCCTGTCGATGCCATCTTGCTGCCCATCTGTCAATCAATAGATGTGTACTTCCCACCGAGACCTCCAACATGGTTGCCTTTCTCTCCGGTCTACGCGTACCGAAAACTTGCTCGAAAGGCGTACGCAAGCCCTCCTTTATTTGTAGACTGACTCAATACCGGTGAGTATGCTATCGCATGACCTGATCGACAGAACTTTGACTCACTTCTACAGCATTGTTGCTCATCCCCCAAAGCTTCGCCTATGAAATTTGACTGTTAGCATTCAGGTAGTGATAGATCAACCAGGTCCTGATTCATTCCCTTTCAGCCCTCGCCCACCTTGTAGAGACCTGCTCATCAATGTTAGTCAACTTTCACACGATAAGACTATAATCTCCTGATCAGTAGGGTTCCGCCTCATTTTCTTTCAGCTTTTGCCCGTCTACCTAGGGTCTGCTTACCGAAGTTAACAATTAACCTTTCATACAGTGTGGGGAGATGAGGCTCTTCGGCAGTGATTATATTGGTTTAGAAAGAGAGTAACTGATGATACCTCTAGGACTGTCAACACGTAGACGCTAAGGTACGTACACTTATACAAGCCCTGTAGGCCTGAGAAATTTAAACGTTGTTGAATTTACACAAGTCCTATAGTGTACCGTGCTGTACCACTGTCGTGTATCTAAGTATCTATCTCAAGGAATACCTAAGGCAAGTTAACTAAACCAAACCGTAGACGTGTATCTAAGAAGCAGTATAACGGATAGATGTATAGATGCGTGTATGAGTAGTTCTTCTAGGTAGGTAATAGCAAAGGATAACAATGAAGAATATGAAGATGAAGAAGCAGCGTAGTTTCGTTCCGATCTAAGTTCCAATTGGATTTTTCTGTTCTTTTTATAATCTCGTGTATATGACCGGCCTATGTTCAAACCACCGAGTTTCCCATTTCCCTATTCCCATGGATGAAAATGACTTTGAAAACCCCGCCAAATTACATGAGTGTTGTTTGCTTGTGTGAATAGACAGATGGTGGGTAAGTAACGTAGATAAAGGTGATGATAGATGTCAAGGTAAATGCGTGCAACAGTAACAATAAAAAAGAATGCAAAGAGTCAGGATATCTCCGAAAAGTAAAAAAAGCAAATGAAAACTAAACTCCCCCCTTAAAGCTTGAAAATGAGGGCCGATTCAAACATGGTTATAAACAAATAGAAAGGAAAATGGAAATGAATTGCATGGTAGTGCTGTGATGATGATGATTTTGCCAAACCAACTCCGTCCCCCTTGTGATCCGCATCTCCTGTAAAAAATAATAATATATTCTTAAGAACCTGCCCACCTCGCCGGGCTGCCGCTGTTTTACCAACCTGGGATGCCGTGAAAAATGTGTACCAACGAGTTGTAGCAGGGTGAGTCCACCTTTCTATGCCTGCTTTGCCTGTCTGCTTGCTATGCAACAGTCTTCATTTTCCCCACTTCCAACATCTTTTCCTATATAGGTAAAATAGATAGGTAAGTTGGTACCTAGGTAGTTTGGTATGGTAGAATTTGTCGTAGCGCTCTTTGTGTTGTGAAATAAATGCTCCGTGCCTTAAACAGCCAGCTTCCCGGCACCTCGTGATTCGTAACTTCGTTATTTGGAAATTGGTAGCTTGGTAAGTTTATACCTCGGGTTGTCGGTGTTCCTTTGAAATAGGAGATTCGCATGGACTAGACATCTTCTCCTAGCATAATTATTATTCCTTCGCTTGAAGATGCACCTTTATTTGTACTGGTCGTTTCTTGGGTCTGCTATTGTTCACCGTCCTCCAACTCCTTCGACAACTCTTGCGGCGTTGTCGTCTTTCTTCCCTGGTCCGGAGGTAACGCCAGCGTAGCTTGAACCCCAAACGCTCATGGCTGTGCCTACGGACATACGTTTCCGGGCTCTTATGGTGCTTTCCCGTTCGCCGTCTTCGTCCATGCTGAATACGAATTCGCCATCCTCTTCTCCTATCGGAGTAGTGTATCGTGCGCTGGAGCTGATAGAGCCGCTGCTGACGTGGCGCTCGCCGCCTCGCCCGTTAGATGGCCTTGGGTTATGGGAAGCATGGGAATTGGGATGTAACAAAGGTGATTCGCCCCCGTTGCCTTCTATGCGTATACGTTGCAGCTGCTGGGTCAAAGTGCTGGGACCGTCGATACTACTGGACCGGCTCGCATTTTGCGGTCGCACAACGCTAGCGCTGAGGCTGGATTGGCGAAGAGGGCTTCCAACGTGTCCAAAGGCACCTGCACTAGCGGCTGCGGCGTGCTTTTGTTCCTCGTGCTGTCGTTGGAACAGCGGACCCCACCGACTTGGGCTCGACGACATGGGACTTCCAAATTTTGAGCTCACTTCACCATTGGGTGTCCCTGTACCACTCACTCCTACGACACTGGGTGATGTTCCATTTCCCCTGTGACCGTTGGACTCCTCGTCGGCCGCTCGTGACCCACGTCGGGCCTTCTCAGCTGGTGTCAGCAGATCCTTCAGGTTATCGGGCAGATAATCTTCTTCTAGAAAGGGGAATTCTGACTCCCAGTCTCGATCGATAGCTCCGGCGATAGCGCGAGGCGCACTACTGCTAAGCATCTTAGGCTTAGCATAGCGGCTCGAATGCATCTGGCGTTTACCAAAATATTCGTCGTGTGGTTGGGTTGTCGGTGAGGAACCGCCGGCGGCCGAGGCTAAGTGTTCGTTGCTGCCAAATGCAGAGTGATGGAGAAGCTTGAGAGTTTCGGAAGTTCGCGAATCTTTGGCTGCGTTCAAAGAAGGCGAAGGTGAGTCGAGTCCAAATTGAGAAGGTACAGAGGACGGCCATGGCCCTCCAGGGTATCTAGCAGCGTTGGATATTCCATTGGAGTCGAAAGAAGCTGGAAGGGGTGCGTCGAGTACAGATAGGCCCTTGGCGGCTACAGGTGAGAGCCCTAAACCTAGGCGCGACGGATCTTCTTCTCGTGGTGAGCCATATTGTGAGCTCGTGTGAGAGTATGTAGTATCGATCGTTGGAACGTTTTCTAAGCTTGGTCGTCGATCAATGGATTGATATGTATCGCTCGGTGACATCGGATATCCGTAACCATTTCCGTAGGATTGATTCGAATCAGCGCGCATAAAGGAATTCGTTAAAGCGCTACTAGAGGAGTTATATGAGGTAGGATTGACTCGATTTCCGAGATGAATAGGTTGACCGATCGTAATACCATTCTTGCCGTAGTTGATTCGTCTTCCATCGGCGAGAACGTGTACATTGGCACATTTAGGACCGAATTTGCAATTGCCCTGTTATTTGTTTCACCACATGGTTAGTTCGTGCGCGCTTTCGTTGTGTGACGGGAGCACCATTCTTCTACACTGCTTGCTTGCTTGCTTACCTTTGCGAAATACTTGCATACTGTTTCTGCAGCAGTACCTAGATCGTGACTGAAGGGGCACGCAGAACCAGCCTGGCAAGCGCCCTGTCGAAAGAACTTACATGGAACATGCGACGTATCTGTAACCGAAGAAGCATTGAAGTTAGAAACTAATTGCCAATTAATTGATATAGTAAATGGATATGAAGAACTTACTCGGCGGGCTTCTCGGCCCATCGAAGCGACCGTGTGAGGGAACTATTGGACTCATTGTGTTTGTTGATGAGGGAATGCTTAGACTACCGGACCTCATATGACGATACTCGGACATTTTATGCAGGCGTGGGCGTCGTAGGTATATCTACCCGGGTAAGGTAGGTAGCGGTGGAGGCGACAATCGGATAAGGAATTTAAATGGTGACGGATAGGTACGGAGTAGTAGATAGAAGGGGGGGTGGAGATGGGAAAAAGAGAGAGTAAGAAATAGTAGTAATAGGAATGGTACTAGCAACGGTGGTAATAGGTAATATCGGCGATGCGTGGTAGCGAGACGTGGGAGGGAGGAGGATTTAGGAGGGGCACGCCGACAACCTGGTCGTTGTGAGCATTGACGCCCCCTGATTTATTTATCGTCTTTTTTTTTTCTTGTATGTCTTGCTGGCCTTGATTTTCCACTCTTGGGTTCTTGGGTCGAGTCAAGGGTCCCAAGGGTCTCGAGTGTCAAGGTCGAGGGCTAATAAGCCAATGTAGGAAAGAGACCTAAATAACGATTTGTTATTATCGGAGCACGTAGCTTTACTTAAGTATGCATGAATATAAATATGTAGGTATGATGTATGTATGTAGATAATTGTGTAAGAGGTGTATGGGTATGGGTAAGGATACAGGATTCAATGCAGCAATGCAGCAATGTATCAATGTATATTGTAAGGAAGTATTTCCCGACTCGAAGGAAAAATAAAATAAAATAAAATAGGAATAAAATAAAAATAAAAAAGGGTCTGCGTGTAGCGTATAAAGGATTGGTTGAAAACAATTGATAAGAATTTAAAAAATAACTAAAAAATTAGATAAATTCAGATAAAAAATCAATTAAATAAAGGTATTGTTCAACCCTACATGTACCAAAGAAATAAAATAAAAAAAATACCTCCTAAACGTACACACGTATGCGCGCGCACCGCCCGCTTGTATGCAGTTACCGCTCGATGGTGTAAGGTACAGGAACAAAAAATTATAAGATTTGGATTGGAGGGGGGTTTTTTTTAACTTGGAACGATGTGATTTGAGAATTCCGACGTTCCGGGTTATAAGTGTGCGTTGCGTATGTGCGTGGTGTGTCTAAAGATAACTGGAGGAGAAAGATTGGTGAGTTGTTGGATTTCCTCAGACGAAGGAGACCCTAATCTGCATGGGAATGAGAAGAGGGGACGAGAGAGGCAGAAAAGAGAAACCCAGAGGGTTAGTGGGTTAGTGGCGGGAGAGATTCGGTCAAATCAAAGAGCTGCAGAACGACGAGGGGTGATCCGAAGGGGAAGAGAAGAATAAAATGATAAAAATGAGGAGGGGCGTATCGATAATATGTACCGTATTGAGGGACTCTTGGGACTCAGGTCTTGCGACTGGGAAAAAGACGAAAAGACCTACCTACAGTGTGTATAATTATTATTATACCTAGGTAATTAGGTATAAGGTAGCGAAAAAGAGGTAGGGGGCAGAGAAAAGAAGCTTGTAAGAGAGCTTCTATTATCATTAACCCAAAAGGTAACTTGTACTAGGGTAACTAGGGTAAGATGGGTAAGTTAAGTGGGAGTTAAAGAGGAAAATGGAACCTAAGGACCTGGGGGAAGAAGAAGGGGGGGTTACAAGGTGCTGACCAGGTTCTGATTGGAATGAGATCGTAGGTTCGCAGACGGGCAAAGACCCAGAAATACGCGATGGTTAAGTAAATTAGGTAGGAGGTAGGTACCTAGGTAGGTAAGGTAAGGTATCTACCTAAGTAGGTATGTAACTAGGTAGCTTAGAAGGGGGGTGGCCTTGTCTGGTGTGTGAGGGAGAGGGAAACGAGAGAGGAATCGCCCTGCCTAGTAGGCCGAAGAATAATACATGTAGGGACAGGAGGGGTTGGTTCGAGGGGTCCTCACTTTTTTATGAATACATATATAGATGTGGGGGGACGACCTTGTAGATGTAAGAGAGGATTCTCAATACATAAGAAGGGAATGATGAACGGGTTATGTATGTATTAATAATGCTTGGGATCGTATGTAGTGTATGTGTGGGTGTATGAAATGAAGTAAGTAACATAAATGAAATCAGTAGGTACCTACCAATAAGTACTGAATAAATGAGGTACGAATTAAATTCGGTAAACCAAATTTGTTGTTATTTGATCCTTCGAGATACTTCAATATCGTCGTGACTTTTTGTTGTTGCTTGCCTGGTACTTGGGGTCAAAAAGAACGAATGAATCAATGAATGATTGAAGAAATCAATCAACTATGTAATACGGAATTTTCGGGGAATTTGTGACGATTGTAACTCGGAAGTTTGATGATGAGATGGGCAAGGTTACGCCCGCCTTGAGAATGGATTTTATGGTTCCGTCCTCCGTATTCTGTCGTTCTCAAAAAGGCCGTTGGCGATTCGTAAGACTTTGGGGAAGAGTAACTCGTAAGCTGATGCCCCAGGTCTTAGGAATGCGCCGACCGAGAAAGCCGGATCAGGTAAGGTACCCGCAAATGCGTCAGTTTATATGGGATATCTTCCCTCCTTTTTTTTTTCTTGTAGGATATGATATGTATGTCTCATAAATATCAAGTGGTAGTGAAATGACTCTAATCAAATCACGAGGACACAAGAGAATTGAAAATATGACATCGATCGCCCTCCTTCTCGTCGCAATTGCGCGCGCCCTGTCGATATGAACAGGTTTCAAGGTACGGAAGCGTCAAAAAAGTAGGCGTGGGAATAGGCAGCTCAACGTAGCAGTTTAAGTCCCGAACATCGGGCGGCGGCTTGCCAAATGGGTAAGGCAGGTAGGTAACCGCTTGTGCTGCCGAAGATAAGAGTCATGCAAGGTTGCTGCAAGGCACTGAACTCCTCTTCAGATATACAAATTTGCGTGGTTACTAATAAATCCAGCGCCCTTTTTGATGTACTCTTCGTCAGGAACTCTCGGCTGACCCTTGATAAAAGGCACTTGTCCTTGAATCTTGTGTAAGGACGGAGGAATGGCTCCAGGGTATTGTATTGTCTGACGGTTCAGGACTTGATCGTTTGGGCTAGACCTGCAGGGGGTAGGGCAAGCCTGTGTGGGGGTCTCATTGGGGATTGGAATTAAGACTCGGGTGTATGAATGTGTGTGTGTGTGTGTGTGTGTACTTGGGTCAAGGAACTTGAAGCGCCGGTAGGTTGCAAGAGTGAGAGGGAGTTAAAAAAGAATAGAGACTGTTAGATTGTGCACCCAGCTCTCTCTTACCAGTCTCGTGACTTTTTCTCATGTAAGTGGAGGAGAGATTGCGACATGAAATGATCCACAGATAATGGAACGGTGGAGTTGGATCGTCACGGCGTCTCACGATACTGATGTGCGAAGGTATGGATGTACGTATACGTACGCAGTTAGAAGAGGAGTTACCTCCCGATCCAACCAGGGAAAGATGACCAGGTTATGGTTATGCCTTTAGGCCGTAAAATCTCACAATCGTCTGCTAGCTAGATATCATCGATGGCGATGACGCCGTCTTAGAATTTCTAGCTTGAAAACGACGATGGTTTAGAAAAATTAAAATCAAACAAATCAACGGCCGAAATAAAGATTGGCCACTCGTATGCAGAAGCTGATGGGTAAGGTGAGAAAACCCGAGGGAACTGAATGATGGATCCTTTTGCCTTGAAACCCGACGCGTGGCACCCAATCAATTAAACAGCTGGGATTAGGCTTAAGAGTACTAAAAGTACCAGCTCAAGGCCAGCAAATTATAGGCCGCGGGGTGAACGATTCTGTATTGAGTACACCTCGGTCTTGTAAATGATAGGTAGATAAATGAGGCGATGAAGGCAGTTTGGGGAACCGGTGAAGATGAACTAAAATCAAGTCGGTATGACGGGGAGCACAGACGGGTTTAGATCAAGTTTAGTTTCTGGATAGTCGGAATGCCAAGTAGATGGATCGTCTTTTTCGAGCAACTTGGGAAATCGAGGATCGGTCTAAAAGATGACGCGACAGGGTCGTCGTTAAATCTTCCTAAACCATTTCCAGTGTCAGATGCAGCAACCCGGCATAAGCTATCATGATCATAGTAAATGCTCTTTTGATCCCATTTGACCGGGGACGCCGTCATCAGGAAATATGATTGCTCACTCTTATTATATTTGGAGTTTCTCACCTCTCTTTGCCTCAATAATTTGGTCTCGTGTGTAGTAACCGATGTTAGTTGGCGATGTCGTGTTAAGTGTCTATGTGGGCGAGCGAGGCAAAGTAATACAAAAAACACTCGTGTAACCTGTAAGTGAGATTAAGAGTGGTAAGACGGCTGTGGCTCTCTATTTTTTTCTCGTCCCGAAGCGTCCGTGACCAAGCAACATACCTTATTAGAATGTCAATTGATGTGACATATCAATTACAGTAGTGACCGTTTTAATTTTCTTCGGCTGTTCTCCGCTAAAGATCTGGTCTAGGCGTCCGCTTGTGTATCGTGAGGAGGTTAGAATATCGCCGCTTTTCTTCTTCTTCACAAATACACTTATTTGCGGCGAAAGTGATATCAACTTGGCGAACCGAAGCCAAGGTAGATTTCCTACCTAGAATCTCGATACCCAGTCAATGGGGAATTTAGTGGGATCCCTAGGGATGCAAGTCGACGCTGTTGGTAAAGAGGATGGAACTCGGGTCGTCCCAAGGAGTCGGATCCGGGAGACTAGGTAACTTAGCCTTCGTCCGTAGCTGAAAGCTCACGCTTAAAAGCCGCCCTCTATGGTCTATTTATGCCCACAAGGTCATATGGACATAATACGAGTGAGCACTAGCAGACCGTATGAACCAGCATTGTTATGTTAGGTAGAGAAGTAGAGAGGCCGGCATGTGTTGAATTAGACGAAGCATGACGTACGGCATTGGTTGATTGGTACGCAAGCCCTCCCCTCCTTGTTGAGCCTCTGGTGCCTCTTGGCCTTTGGATGGTCTTCTGTAATACAAATTAGGGCACAAACCATTATGTGTGTCTATCTATCTTTGCTTGACATGTCTAGCACGAAAACCCCGACACGAAAACGGAATCTGCCTTCTCCGCTTCAATGTCTTGGATTTTTATGGCGATCCCAGTTATCTTCAACCGCTCCTTGCGTCGGGTGAGCAGCCATGGCGTAGTGGCGACTGCAGCTATAACTTTTCATACTTCTGTCACCCCTCGTGTAAGTAAGACAGACTGGAACAGATAGAATGCGCGCACATTTACGTACGCAGGCATCCACACACGTCGCATAACGCGTCTGCGCCTCGAGACTACGCCCATAATGTTCGAATGTGTGTTGGGGGGAGGGACCTTGAAAAAAAAAAAAAAATAGAGGGGGTTGGATTTTGGGGTGCTAAGCTATCAAAGCCGATAACCGAAGAGACATTGATGCATAGATGGAGCCCTCTCATCTGTATCCGTCTCTCTATCTCTCTGATGATAGGTATAGTAATGGAATAAGCAAGTACCCGGCGCATGTGGAAGAATCCGGCCATGCCACAGGAGGCTAGGCTGGGAATGAATGGTTCAAATGGTCCGGATTCAAAGCAAGTAGGTCCAGCCATCAATAGTATGGTCCAATGACCCAATGACCCAAAGGCATTGATGAAATGGGGAAGCGTTTCAGCCTTCCATCTCGTCGCTTGTACATAATCGTACGTAGCTTGGCTGCGTCGAGTGTGCTGCCACGAGGTTGACGCTATCCGCACTAGCGAAAGGAGATGATACGATTGCGTATGTGAAGAAGTGCCATCAGAATCGATCTGGAGACCGATCTACAAGACCGGGATATCCGATAGATGGTTGAATGAATGAATGTTTACCTATGTAATGTATGATTATGTATAGTTATGTGATGTACGTTGTAGATTAGGTAGGTAGTAGACAAAGCAGCAGGTAGATGGTAGATGGTTGGTGATAGAAGTCATACCCACTACCTAGAAGGGTACTGGACATAAGGTAGATGGTTGCTTGAGCGTAGCTTGAATGGTTCTATGATGTTACAAGCTGGAATATTGTTGCCTCGTGATGATCAGATAGAGACCAAGTAACCAACCATTCATCGCGTGGGGAGCTGATCAAGCTGTCAAGTTTTGAAGAGATTCCACAGCTGTGAGGATTATGGAGAAAGTACAAAAGTACGACACCAGATTTAGTAACAATCAATTGATCTAAAAGATGTCCACCGGGGTTAAATGGGGGTGTGGGTGCTCGGACCTCTTTTGTGGCGGCGGTGGCGCACCCATATACTCATAGTTCCAAGGTTAGAAGTGGATTTGAGCTGGGAATTAAGGAATTAAGCAAGCAAGAGCAGGCAAGATGGTGACACCAACCTTGCTCTAGTAGCTTTAGGTGCCGAACCACACAGCTGCCACACCAATGCTAGTCAATCAATTTGACCCACTACCCGGGAAATCTCACTCTCCGTTTTCCACTATTCCCCACTAACAATCAGCTGCCCCCTGTTCGATATACATGGGAAGGTACATTTGACCGGCAATGGTCTTGAAAAATAATCCACCATGTTTTCTTGGCTTCCCTTCTCTTCTCAATTCTCCTCCACATTATTTTGTACCTACCACCACCATTACCTTTACCTTTACCTTTACCACCACTACCATACCTCCCACACTCTCAAACAATACCTAGATCGTTACCTGGGGTTAAGGAGGGGTACCACTTACATACAACATACATACATATATACATGGTAAAACAAGTATATATGCAGATATGTACGCCTGGTTCAGTAGTGTAAGTACTCTTCGGACGACTACCGGAGATCCACCCCCATCGATAATCATGGAGAACTCCATCGCATCACCAGAACAGTGACAGTAATCGGAGACAGGGTTATTCTTTCACTATAGAGGTCAGCATGGTGGTAAATGCGACCTTATCGCCTTGCCCGTCATGGCTCATCCCGTCGCTTACCCTGCTCAAGAGTTACTGCGCGCCTATCCGGCTTTAACCCCGCGAGATGGTGATCTCAAATTGATCGCTCAACTGCCGACAAAAGGCGAGAAGTCAGCTAGGGGGCCTAGTCCATGTTAGCTAAACCGACAGGACTGGGGGCTGTTTAATGTGACCACGAAAGAGTATAGATCAAATCCAAGGTCGGTGTTTGGAGAATCCTTACGCGCTTGGACTGAGACATCACCTCCTAGGGTTCTTCTTCGCCTTGGTTTTTCAACGGCTTAGATATGCAATGCCTACATTTTTATGGGCTATGCACTGCGTCTTGATTCCATCATATTCTATGATCCAGTCTCATCAAGTGTCAGCCTGTCGTCTGTCTTTGGACTAGATCCGCCGGCGATTTGACTATAGAGGAAGTTTAGGATGAAATCCTAGGCTGACTCAAACGGAACAGGGAAAATGCAAAAACCAGAAATCAACATCTTCTCCTTGCTCTCTCCGCTAGTCGAGGTCATCTCATGAGAAGCGAGACCCCCAATTTTGTTGAGGTTTCTCACCATCACTTATCGACTTCGCCGTTCAATATAATGACAAGTCCACAAGGTCATCTGATACACCCTTAGCCTCGTATAGTCCGCCCTGGCTATGCTTGGTCTATTCCAACTCTTCTCACTCTTACTCCATAATTATCTAGGTTCCTATTCTAAGTCAAGTGGCTATTTCGTCAAGAACATGTGCGATCGAGTACCATCATCATAACAACACTCCCAAGAACTTTGAAGAGTTGACACCATTATCTGGTTAGGATACTTACCACCGGTCGTATAGCCTCTGATCTTTAGTCCAATGAATCGACATAGATCACTGGCTTCATTTATAAATGCAAAATGACTACTTATGTAAGCGCTAGAATTTGCTTACTGGCAGGATGGGGGTCATATGGCATAGTCCATTTAAGTCTTATAAAGTGTACACCATTATCCCTTTCAATCACTTCGACCATGGCATGCGTTTTCAAGACCTCGCCTGCATATTAAAACGGTATGTACATTGTCTTTCTCGGTGTCTTACGGTCCCGAGAAGCGAAAAGGCCTCCCCTTTACGATCACTTGCACCCCGATCACTCCCGAAAGCGACGTTATTTCCGAAATTGCCCAATCACCCAAGTGAGTATCAGCCTAGCCTTCTATACAGATGGGGGAGTCAGCCATGAATCCCCAAAACGTTCGCGGTGTGGCCACACCGTTTTGGATAGACGAATCACCAATCAGCTGCCCTCACCATTCCGACTTACATGAACAGTCTCCACACACCATCCTGAGACGACCAACTACTTAGCTACTTAGTCGATTATGCGTATAGTATAGCATCCCCCCACTAACCTATCCGTGAGGCTGGACTTGTAATACGTACGGCATTCGACACCTACCTCAATTTGGTCTCCATCTCGCCTATAGTTCCTCGTGTTGCCGTCTCTAGTAAGTTCAAGGATCTATCTCGTGGCGTTGAACTTCTCCAGCTATATGCTGACAGGGTATGGTTCTTAATAAACTAGACCTTACAGGTTCGACCAATAGTGAGCTACCATTGAAGATCATAACTTGACCTTCTAACCACCTATCTAGGTAGCTTAGAATTGGGACCAGATAACCATAGGTTCTAGAACGAACTCCTAGATATCACTTTGATGTGATTTCATCAAGCACATATTACGACAATCCCTCAAACTCATATACACAAGACTACGAAGGTTACTATTGCTTCGGATTCAGAGCCCCCATCTTGGACCTATCAAGTTTCACCGAGGGATCGACCACTTATTTCCCTTTCGGGCAAACCCCAACCGATATGTACCAACATCCCATGACGCCGTTTGTCTTATGCTTAAACATCCTTGACACCCTTTTCTCTCCGCTGCAGTGCAACGGATTATCCTCGTCTCCCGACCATCCGAACAAGGTTCATTCTCTACAAGGCCTGCAAGGGTGTATCTGATCGACTGTCAAGTTTGTCCAGATCCTATGATCTGCGAGATTCCCCTTCTCTCGCAGCTTAGGAGAGCTTGGGACGGCCTAGGACCCCTACACCCCTTCAAGCTTGGTCCAGCTATCCCATGATACACCCTCCCCACACCAGCCCTCCATCAGCCACGCACATGCATTAGGGATACGATGAGACATACGCAAGCGCTTGCACCCGTAGTTCGTGCAGCACGCGTTCCAGCATCCGTCATATCTAGCATAATACGCCCGCCAAGAAAGTATTCATCGACATCTAATTGCAATAGACTACTATTTTACTAGCCTGCTCCAGGTTAAGCTCATACCTTGCTGCAGATTCGAAGTGGTCACATCCGACAAGTCTCGGTTCTATCATGCAGTAAGTACCGTACGCCCGTAGGTGGTCGGTACCATTCTGATCCCAAATGAGGTTCTTAAACAGTTACAGTGCAACTAACATCGGTACATGATAGATATAGACTCACTAGCTTAGCAGATCCATGCATTCCTAAAACGACGCTCTGGCAGGATACTCTATTAAAAACGACTGACCTAGCGGAAAAAATAGGTATCGTAATCAACGATGCACGTCGACATGACGTGCAGATATCTTCAAGGATGATTCATTCGCGGCAGGGTGGACTATTCGAATCCCGTATGAGAGAAGGTGGATTTGTCAGACCCGGCAACGAAAAACCGATTTCGACCTGCCTATTCGGAGACCACATGGGAGATCCTTTTTACAAAATATAATAATTAATACAACAGGTCCGGGGAATCCATGAGAAACATATGACAACATACGGTGGCGCTATTCTCGATCGACGCCGTCATCAGGGTTATACTATACCATATGCAAAAGATGGGGTTGCTATAGATCGTCGGGAGGGTCCATATTGAACGATACTATGATAACGTGAGTAATCGGTGGGGAACGGATATTAGAAGCCGAGCGATGGTGAGGCAGAAGGAAGATGTCCATCAACAGCGTTTAGGCATCGATGATCGTTTCCCACCCTCTTGAGGCTCATCGGACTATGATCACAGGCCGTGTCAACCTAGATCCTCCAGTAAAAGAGCTCCTACAGGTTGATTCTGTCTTCTAGGCAATCCTATCGTCCACAACAGAGTGGATAAATCTGCAAACGCGGTCCCGGGCCGCAGCACCTAGCATCCGCGACGTTGAACTACATCGAATAGATGTTACATGGGAGATTGATGAAGTTGAAAAAGGTTGGAAAGATCAGTTCATACACAGGTACGTAGGTGGGTATGTGGGAACTCGATATAAGTAAGTAGGTAGTTGAATAACCCTTGTCCCACCAACCTTCATCCCATCCCATCCCATCCCATCCCTCCCTCAGTATGAACCCGTCTGTACTATGTATGTTGTGCGCGTTGAGTGCGTCTGTGTGTATGTAGGTAGATATGTATATGTGGGTGTATGGGTATAAGGTGTGGGTAGTGGATATGTCCGGGGTACACACATACTACCTAGTACTTACATACATCCACACATTTATACGTACATACATACATGCCCCAGGTAACGTATGTATATACGTATATACGTACATCTCTATCTACCTACATATAGACGTACATATAATACATAACACAACCCATCCACACCTACAAACCCCCATGGCCCTGCGCCCCGTCGTCGCGTCCGTGATGGTCCATGTGACCGATTCGGAATGGAGGGGAATATTAGTCACTTTTCTATGTTTCGCCTCGTGACGGTTGCCTATCCGTCTATTTTGTCTACCTACAGTTTTCTCTCTCTTTCTCCGTTCTCACATTCCTTTTCCCGCTCCGCGTTTAGGAGGCTTGTTATTTTACCGCATATTTACGTATGCGTGTGCGCGTGCGCATGCAGGGTGTTATGTAGGTATACTGTGCCAGGGAAAGAAAGGAAACGGACCATAAGAAGAAAAAAGATATTGGAGGGACGGATGTAGGGATGGTGGCTGTATCACATTGAAGGGGGTCGACGACGTAACTCGGTCGCCTTGTTTCGCGGGTTGTGGCGTCGAAATTTGCCACCGTGGGCACACTTGTTGCGTGTTTTTGACTGGGTTGATATTTTGGTTCATGGCGCTTTTTTTTTTTTTCTTGTGCGTGTGTTTAAGTCAGGAGGGATTGTTAGATTGGGGATTTGGTATGTTTTTTTTTTGTCTTGGGGATGATTTTCCGGATTGTAGGTGTTGATGGTTGACTTGCGACGAGGGGTGGCTGGGTTTGGACTCAGCCTCGATGGTTGCTAACTTACTACACTCAGGGGTTTCGTGGCTTTGCTTGTTCGCTTTGATGATCTTTTTAATCAAAGTTTTTTAGTAGTGTAGAATGTCTTTTCCTAGAGATTATCGTTAAGCGTAGGTGTAATCCGCCTTGGTTGTGACCTCGCACGTTACTCGGAGAAGTTATCCGTGAAGATAGGGGTAGAGTAGAAGAACTTGATGAGAATGTGAGAAGACTGTTAGATTTTAATTGTAAAGACTTAAAGAGATTATAGATGATTTATATTGTACGTTCATTTAAGCTTTCATTTACTAATCGCGTAGTGTCTACGTTCTCGTATTGCCTAAGAGGGGCTTGAACACTCACGACACTACAGAATCTATTCAACAACCCATATACCTCCTTAGGATCGATCCCAAAGCTCTTGGGAGATATTAATCTTATTTACTTGAGATTTAACAATAATCTTCATATTTATGAGTTTTAGGCTAATAATATCATGAAATATCATCTTACTCTTATGTGATTATGAAGAGGTAAGCACTTATACAACAATAAGCGACCAACGTCCTTATGATATCTTCTGATACTAACGGAACACTTAGTTTACTCATCTTAAAAATATATCTTTTTGTATTGGGTGGTTCGCATAGCATACCTCGGCAACTGTCACCAAGACCTCGCTGCCGAGGCATTCGTAAGTATTACATCCTCAGATCAAGTAAGAGATGACTTTCTTAGGAGCATCAAAGCACATTAGAATAGACAGCTAGTTTCGCGTTTGTGAACACGTAAGAACGAAGTTGTTGCTGTCAGCACTAAACCCATGTTCTCGGGACACTACGGGTGTCCTAGGCAGCAAGGACTGGCGAGGGAATCATCATATAATGGAATATTGAGCACGAGATCGAAGATTTTCAATGGAAGTCAATTGTTTCTCATTCGAAAATAACTTTAAGTGATTGTCGCACTAAATTGAAGCCTCCCTGGCAAGTAGAAGCTTGACCGAGTCCACGTCGGTCACTGATAGATAATTGCTTCGGAAATATGAGTATTAGCTCTTACACAGCTTTATGAAGATGAAGTGAGATAAACTGCACTAGTGAAGCATACTAAAGTTTATGTTACCCACGTAGCCTTCCTTGACATTGTCTTCGACCTATCGGAACTACCTACTCATGTTGTGACTCGCGATGAGCGAATCGTGACTACAGCAACAGTGAGATCTCATCTTAGAAGCTCACTTAAGATGTAGCTAGGTCTGCTGTGTAACCTATGCCCCCGTATTCTGCACATGGCTTCATTTCTCTTAATTTGACTACCTGCCATTGCCGTCAAGTCACAGGGGGAATTACCCCTGGAAATTGATGTGGCCTGGTTCTGGGATGGCTGGGGGTAGCGATGGTGACACTTAATAGCATATCGCTATTCGCATATTGTATATGCAGGACTTAGTACCCTTATGCTGGTATTCATTCCGAACCATCGTAAACTTCATGTTCTCATGGGGTGGGGATATGGTCACGAAAACAACTACGGGATGAACTATCAATGTAGCATCATTAACACGATTCATGAAGTAGTGAAGCAATACAAGAGTGGAACACATGGTTGTGCCTAATCATAATTTGAATTTATTGATCCTATATCTGTGCCTAGGTATATATGGTGAACCAACGCCTACCCCTCGCGATGCAACTGTGCAGAGTCCAGCATGCTACCCATCTAAGCTAGCTCCTCGAAGAGTTTAGCAGGTTAACTAGAAGCTGTTAGCTCTCATAACTCAAACGTAGGACCGGCATAGGTAACTTACAGGCTCAGGACCCGGAACAGTGTAATTATGGAAGTCCGAGTAAATCTAGACAACCCAAAGTCAGCATCCCCCATAACTGAAATCCAACCTCAACCCCTCCAAGAGAGAAACTTACGTTAACAGTATACCCCGGATCCGTCTCCTTAAAAGCACCCGGAATAAGCGCAGTCTTGGGGTTATAACTACCATCTCCGCCCGAGACCTTAACCTGAGCGCAAGATATATAAAACTGGGGCGTGCCAGAAGGGTAAGGGTTATGGATGGCGAGACTCTGGATACGGAGGAGGTATTCGCCGTCCTCGATGCAGGATGGGATTTCGTAGGAGTAGGAGCCTTCCATGTCCCATTTCGCTTCTCCGCCTGAGAAGTCCGGAGCTGTGGGTATGGTTAGTGGATGGGATGGATGGAATTTGGGTTAGGGGGTGGGGGTGTGGGAGGTTGATTTACCGAAGTCCTTGATTTTGAACCATTCACCGCTGGCGTCGTAGTCGGACGCGGCGCCGGGGGCTTTGGACATGTAGATTGAGATGGGGCCTTGGTGGTATACGGGCTAGTGATGAGTTAGTCGCGGTGTCAACAGACATGATATAGTTGTGGGATACGTACGGTATCGAGAGTGAATGTGAACTTTTCACCGGCCTTAACGTCTACCGTCTTGGTGTCGGCACCCTGTGCACCAACATTGCACCTCAGATCGTTCGAGGTCAGATCTGCAATGGTTAGTGAAGGTCCAGAGCAGAAATGGTATAGGCGACTTACCCGTAACAGGAGAGTTGTAGTTGGAATTCTGTCGGACTGTTCAGGTTAAGATCGTTTCAGCATTCATGACATTTCGCGCATAGTAATAGAAAGCTCCTGAATATGATCGAGACTTACTGTACTCGAATGGACCGTACTCAGTAGCGTCGACCGAAAGTTGCTGGAAGATGTAATGGGCCGAGACACCATTAGCTGCGAGAGCAGCAGCGGCAGCAATGTTGGCGAAGTTCTTCATGGCGGGCTAAAGATATCTTCCGGGGTCTGAGTCCTTGGGTATCTGAGAATGACGGTGACGGTGCTGTGGTTAGATTGTTCCACGGCGTCGCCAAGAGACGAGAGGCTCTTTATATATATTATCAAATACCGGCGCAGGGGCTCCATGATGCGAGTGATGTCACATCCTAGACGCGGACGACGTTGCGAAAGCAGGTAGTTTTCAGCTGTGACCTTGCAAAAGCATTTCGTTCAATGTTCCTCCACCACTTGAATCGCATTTCTCGCCGACTCCAAGCTACCATACCTTGACCGGACGGACCGTCGTTCCATCGTCGGCGATCCCAATTGCGACAAACCAGGCTTACTGCATGGGAAACATGGGAGATTTCTCGGCGCACGAGTATACGCGGCGTGGTTCTGTCATGGGTATTCGTGGGGTGCTTGTGGGGAAAGGAGGCCATCGAAAAGTCCCGAAACGGAAATATCGGAAGGACGCCTAAAATCAGTACGCATTCGGCAAGCCGATGCAACATATCTCGAATTTTAGATAGACCAAGAATTGCCCAACTACCGTAGCCCGCCTCGCCGGGAACGCTGAGACCGAGCGCAAGCACCGGAAACCAGGGCAGATACTGCAGGTGATTAAGGAATAGGAGAACCTTGAAGACGGATGCTTGCGTACACATCACTGCTCGAACCCTGGTTTTTAGCTCTTTCATTGGAGGGGATGATAAATATGTCAAGTTTTGAATAGATGTAAAGCTGGATATGAATCAATGCTCGGAAGCTTTTCGAAATCGTAAGGAGGTAATTCTTTTTTAGTCACCTCATGCATACATACACACTTAACACCACATTCGAGCCAATGATGAGAAAATACCCATCTCCATCAGAGCAGATTTTAATTTCGCTCCTAGCCTCGGACAGAAGGGTTGCTGGCTCTGTCACGATGCTGTCTCTATGACGACCTCGTAGATTGGTTTGAGCAAGTTTCTTATACGCATCGCCCTCCATCTACTTCAATGTTGACCCCTGTGATGAAGGCAGCCTCCTCACTGGCCAAGTAGCAACAAGCATTGGCGACATCCTCCGGCGTAGAGCCTCTACCTAGCGGCACGACGGACTCAAAAGCCTTGCGGTTCTCGGCGGTATTAGGTTTTCCAATGAATAGATGTGTCATACCCGTGCTTCCTACCACCGGAGATACCGCATTAAACCGAATCTGCTGAGGTCCGTATTCGACTGCCATTGTCTATTGTGAAGCAATAGTTAGCATTGATGTCTCCAATCTCAAATATGATGTTTGATATTTGTAAACCGGCTAAATTGTTTGTCGCAGGGGAAAAAGCGACAGTAGTAGTGTCTCCATACCTTGGTAGCATTGATCACGGCCGCTTTCGAAGCATTATACCACGTGAGTTTCGGACGTGGTCGAATACCTGCTGTGGAGGCTACTTGGATAAAGCTACCCGGCCTCTTCTTCTCCAAGAAATAGGGGAGGAGAACATTGGTAGAGATATAAATAGACTTGACGTTGACATTCATAACGAGATCGAAATCCTTTTCGGTTACTTCCTCGGTCGGCTTGTTGGCATATGTAGCTCCAGCATTGTTCACCACGATATCAAGTTGGCCGTGGTTATTCACAGCGATTTGAAGGAGTTTCTCCCAATCTTCTCGTTTTGTTACGTCTGCGACTGAGAAATCGCATTTTAATTCTTGTGCTACCGTTTGACCGGCTTCTTGGGATAAATCGGCGATGATGACTTTGGCGCCTTCTTCGACGAATTTAGCTGCGATGCCTCGTCCGAATCCCGATGCACCTCCGGTCACGATCGCAACTTTGCCTTCCAAACGAGGACGAGGAGCCATGATTGCAATTATTTATGAAATACCCTTTCTCTTTTCGTTGAAACTTGATGTTTTAATGTCAATATTCGTCGAAATTATTGACTTACATGATGAGAATAATGTTAGTATTATCCCCTGAGCTTAACCCATCATTCAGGCTCTATAAACAGTTTACCGTACATGTATCATAGGAACAAATAGTTGAAGCTTCCCCACCTTGTTTCGCATGAGCTTAAGATGTTTAACAATTGACCGGTCCGCATCTTTGCCTTATTCGGTTTGGTAGTGGGTCACAGTGATGGGGTATTTTCGCTGCATAACATAATAAGTCATCGGCTCTGTACCTCAGCATACATAGTACCTGCGATGACGGGCGAATAGCGTGCGGGGAACTTATGAGGGACGTTATGAACCTCGGATGCATCATTCGGAGTAAGTCCTTTTGTTAGTACTAGACGTATATAAGCTTGTTAATATTTTTGCTTCGGTTCTAATTGTCGCATATAGAACTAGGTGGGACTGTTTAATACTTATAAGTGTTTGAATGTTGTGACGAGGGAAGTTTATGTTGCGATGGATTATTTCTAAAGATATTTATTAATAGTTACACTTATACAAGTATACACTAATTTTATACAATGCTTCGTACGACAGAGATAAGCATAAAACATAGAAAGAAGTAGAAAAGGTAGAAAAGGTACTAGCTGAGTTATGCTAAGACCATATCAAGACTAGTAACCAAGTAATTAAACCTTCAGCTAGGTCACTGATAAGTTAGACTGGGATATTCCCCCATCGAGTTGCCGTATTTACTCAATCGGGTTACCTGACAAAGACTTCCAAGGTTGAGGGATCAGCTCAGAGATAAGAAGTCTTCATGTTATCAGTACTCGAACAGGGGGTCGCGTGAGCTTCTTCTACACGTTCCCGTCGCTCACTAACATTTCTGTTCCATGTAATTATCTTATTGTTTTTCTTCATTTTTTATTTTGTTCATTTATCGCCAATTTGATGGCGTTGAGAAGGGAATCCGTTATTAGCGCTGGCCGGCGCAAGTCAGGCGAGGCCACAGCTGCGGATGATGCACTCGCTAAGATGGGTTACAAGGCAGAATTGCCTCGGAGTTTGAGTATGCTCTCAGTACTTGGTTTATCTTTTGCTATTGGTACGTATAAAATCGACATCAAATGAGATATAGACTAACCTGTTAATAGTATGTGTTATTGCTTTTTCTTTTCACGAGCGCCTCAATATTGAATGGGACCCCGCTTGAAATATCGACAACACCAAGTGACTCATAAGAAAAAAAAGAGGATGATAATATTAACATGAATTAGATGGCTGTTCCTTATGGTTTAAGCACGACATTCTATATCTCATTATCAAATGGTCAATCCGTCACTATTATCTGGGGCTGGGTATTACTCTCACTCCTTTCGACCGCTATCGCTGCTTCGCTCGCCGAGATCTGCTCTGTGTATCCCACAGCCGGTGGCGTTTATTACTGGGCTGCATTGTTGTCGTCACCAAAATGGGCGCCTATCGCAAGTTGGATCACCGGTTGGCTCACATTAGTCGGAAACTGGACTGTCACCCTATCGATCAATTTCGGAGGCGCTCAATTGATTCTCAGCGCCATCTCGCTATGGGACGAAGACTTTGTCGCCAACGAATGGCAGACCATCCTCATGTTCTGGGCCGTCATGCTCGTATGCTACCTCATCAATATCTTCGGCTCGAAATACCTGGATCTTATTAATACTATTTGTATATACTGGACCGGCGCGTCGATCATAATTCTACTGATCGTTCTGCTGGTCATGTCGCCGAGTAAGAGGAGTGGGGAGTTCGTGTTTGCGCATTATGACGCCTCGGCTTCAGGATGGCCAGCTGGTTGGTCCTTTTTTGTCGGCTTGTTGCAGCCTGCATATGTGCTCACGGGTTACGGGATGGTGGCCGCTATGTGCGAGGAGGTACAGACGCCCGAGCGGGAAGTTCCTAAAGCTATTGTCTGTAAGTATATCCCGCATAGATCCCTCTATTTTAATGCACACTCCCCTTCTAAATTTCCTACAAACTGCCGGAATTCACAATCAAGTGAAAATTTGTATAATCTGCTGACTGGGTCCAATAGTATCTGTTGTGGCGGCCGGCATCACTGGCTTGGTCTATTTAATACCCATCCTTTTTGTGCTACCGGAAGTACAGACACTACTCGAAGTAGCCAACGGACAACCAGTCGGTCTTATTTTTAAGACAGCCACAGGTAGCGCTGGTGGGGGTTTCGGATTGCTATTCCTCATTTTGGGTATCTGGTTATTTGCCGGCGTTGGTGCACTAACAGCCTCAAGTCGTTGCACTTATGCCTTTGCCCGCGACGGAGCGATTCCCGGTTCTGGTCTCTGGAGTAAAGTCGACAAGCGTTTTGATATTCCACTCTTGGCTCTCACTTTATCTGCGATTGTCGATTGCTTGCTAGGTCTGATTTACTTCGGCTCCTCGGCGGCATTCAGTAGTTTCACAGGAGTCGCCACGATCTGCCTCTCGACGTCATATGGCTTGCCAATTCTAGTCTCTGTCGTCCGTGGGCGGAAACAATTGGAACATGCATCGTATTCACTTGGTCGATTTGGTTTCGCCATTAATGTCACCACGCTTCTATGGATTGTCCTTGCGATTTTCCTCTTCTGTATGCCCACGAATCTTACCGGTTTGGACGCTTCCACTATGAACTATGCTAGCGTGGTGTTCGCAGGTTTCGCCGCAATTAGTATTTTATGGTATTTCGCTTGGGGACGAAAGCACTTTTCAGGACCGCCTGTTTTGAAATCGGACATGGCTGATCATGGTGTCGGGGTTGTTAGGGGACAATCCCTAGATGAAGAGGTAGGGAAGAAAGAAACAAGCACGAAAGAGGGGACCGAACCAAAAGCTGTATGATATCCAATAGATCCTGCTAATTTTGAATAATAGAATTGAGAATTCTCATTTCTGTGCCGAAAGATATTCCGATTATGAAGAAACTAGTATAAGATGGATGTACTTTTTCGCTCAGGATTCTACGATTGTTAATTCGTTCAAGTCACAATCACAAAAAGCAATGCATGAGAGGAAGAAGCAAAAGGTTTTCCAACTTTGAACGTCTATATTTTCGTCATTCATACCATTTCTAAAAACAAAGGAAAAGTTTCTATATATTCATATATTGCGACCAGTGACCCCTCCTGCTGACAAGAGTATATATATCCCAGGCCGTTATTGTCCCATCAGGAAGACTTTGCAATTTACAAGGTCTTGGTGGTGACGTGGGAGACCTCGAAGCCCGTGGCATCGGTGGAGCCCTGGAACTCGGCGATGATGCTCTTGTACTTGTCGCTGTTGCGGGCGGCCTCGTGGGCGGCGACGGTCTCCCATCCGAGGATGACGACTAGGGCGCGGCTGGGCGTTCCCTTGTAGTCGATGTCCTTCTCGACGGACCAGCCGACGGCGGTCTCACCGGTGGCACCGGCGAAACCGGCACCGGCGAGCTGGGAAGCTAGCTTCTGGGCGAGAGCTAGGTTCTTGTCGGCATCGGCGGTGGGGGCGTAGTAGGTGAATAGGATCTCGGCGACGGCAGTCTTTCCCTTGCCCTCGGCGTTGTCGAGGACGGAGGGGGGGAAGGGGGAGAGCTCGGCGTGGAAGACGGTGGAGGGGTTGGCGGCGAAGGGGGAGATCTCGTTGGCGAACTTTTGGAAGGCTTCGGTCTGGCGGAAGGCCTTGTGGGCTTCGATCGACTCCCAGTCGATGAAGAGACGGTATTGGTTGGCGTCCTCGTGGAGGGTGGCGACGCGGAGGGCACCGCTGCCGGGGGCGCTCTTGATGGTGTCTTGGATGGCTTCGATGGCACCGAAGGACTCCTCGACCTTAGCACCGGCCTTGACGGTGGTGAGGATGAAAGTAGTGATAGGGGCCATTTTGAATGATTTGGTTTGTTTGGAAGAAGTTGGTTAAAAGTGGTTGTTTGGTTTGTTTGTTGGTTTGGAAGATTGTTGTTGTAGAAGATGTTGTGATGATGATGAGAAGATTCAGACACCAAGAAGAGGGATGAAGCTCATCATTATATACTTGATGGGTTCGAATAATCTTCACCTTGACGGTCTACTAAACTTACCCAGGTACCTACGCACGAGAAGGTCTTCCTCCCTCTCATCATCCCTTCCAAGGTTATCCAACGTGCATTGTCCAACGTACAAGCTCGAAACACATTCTACCACACCTCCGAGGAAAGTCGCATATGCTTCTGTGGACCCCCGGAGAGGGACATCCTACGGGAGAATTGACAATCCGCTTTCCATTGACGTATCGAAAGTATGAACCCCGCGCGTATCTAGGTAAGGTGAAGAGCTAACTTCCCAATGAGGCTGCGAGGCTATGCACGATATGCCATTTCTGGACCCCAATAAGCACAAGGTAGCAGTGTTGGGAATGGAATCAGAGGCATTGACTGGTTTACCCCGCCCGTCCTTCATTATGCTTAAGGCGTCTAGGTATTAGGTAAGAGATTAGAGGAGTACTAGAGATTAATCAACTAAGGGATTCCGCTAAGCTGACGTGAGAGTGAGTACGTGATACCAATTCCTCCGCCTGCAAGGGAAACAAGGATAGTTGCACAAGGGAGCTCGGATATTTGCCCACTCATTACACAATTACACAAATTAGCAAATGATAGCATACGTCTACGTCTTTGCCGTTTACGAAAAGGCTAAGGACGGTTTTGGCAAGAGGATCCTATTATTTCTACTATGTAACTCATGTATGCATTCTTTCATTAACCTACTATATTCCTCCGACTCGCCTTTCGGTAAGGAGAGCCGAGAACGACCTCTCTTCCTTCACACTACTACCTTACGTACCTTACGCTAAATACAGCTCCATACTCCGAGTTCTCGCCCGTCTCGAGTCTGGCCGGCAGGGTTGGTGGGCGACAAAGCTATCCACAAAAAGGAGCAAGAAAGACGACAAAAGTCGGTATCCGGCAACAAGTAAGCTCAGGGATCAAGCTCCTCCTCACCCCACGATATTGCTTGCTATTCCTGTAAGACGAACAAAATGGCGGAATCAATGCAATAGCTGACATCTTGAACCAAATTGACCCCATTACCTTCCTTCCTAACCTGGGAAAATGTCAATAGAAGCGCGTCGAAATTTCCTGGGGTTTTTTTATTGTTCCCCATGGCGCAGCAAATCATTCTACTGTATGATCGACTACGATTCCCTTAACCAGGCTTCCACTTCTAAATTCAGGTCTGAGCTTCTAGATCTTTTCCAGGTTATGTTTTAAAGATCGTAGTTAAGTCTAATAATAGTGATGATCAAGGTATGTTAAGCATAACATAGGATTTTTACCCCAAGTCAGATATCGACACTATCGAGCTGACGCCACAGCCGATGCGGTTATCGCGTTATGCGGTGGAGCATTCCTCATCAATGCCGACCAGCCTTTTTCTTTAGTGCTTTAGAGTGGGAGGGATTCTAGACGAGTGAAAAGATCGGATGAAGGTAACGTACCTAAGGTAATGTAATGTAAGTTAATGTAAGTAAGGTAGGTGGCAAGTTTGAATGTAGGTGAAGAGGAGAAGAACGGTGAAGGGATCTTTCTCGTACGGTTACAACGCGGGCGAGAAGTGCTTACATCTAACCAAACTTGACGATAATATCACATGTCATTTACCTATTTCACCTAGTTTACCACTATGTAGGTGCCGTAGTTAGCTGCTTGTGAACCATGTCGCTAAACGCGTTATCGAGCACAACATCGAACTCTTCTAAGTTAGGAGCAAGCATCGTTAGAAGCCGAGCAGCTTCAACGACCTCCGAGGTCTTCGGATCGGATGCGGGGGACGGCATGATGAGCATTCCGAGTACAAGGGACTGTAGCTTGGGTAACGCAGCATCGCACCCCGTTAGATCGCGGAGAGGGATATTGAGAGTGTAACACCCCCAGATTTCCAGCTCGGCCAGATTCTTACCAGCTCGCTCGTCTACCTGCAACAATTGGATCAACGCGGCCTCCGTGAGATCGCAGTCGAACGATAGCTGCAGCTTCTCCAAGCGCGGAAGGGTCCGGACCATGCTGACGAAGTGCGAGTCGTTAAATCCTTCCACTTTCACCTTTTCATTGGAGATGGACAATTCTTCTAGCCATTCCATCCCTTGCGTCAGCTTAACGAGCGATTCCGACGATATTGCAATTTCATTTTTGTCAGTTTGCGAATATCCCAACTTTAACGATCGTAACTTGCGACAGTGTCTGTTGATATTCAGTAATAAGTCTCGTGCTTCATTTTCTGAGGGATCCTCATCGCTGTCGCTGTTACCGCTATTGCTACCCTCGATGCTCGCCTCCAGATGAGTCAGCTCTGAGAGGTGCGGCAGCAATCCTACGATCCCGTCAGCGTCCCCGGCGCAAGTCAGCTTGCGGAGGTGCGGGAAGAGCCGTCGCTTGGCACCGCCGCGATGATCGTCGTCGACGACAACGACCTTTGATACGAGATTCGAAGTGATTAGTTTCCGCGGCTTGAAAACTTCAAGGCCGGGTCTCGTGGCGAGCGCGATGAAGACGGAATCGGTGAGAACTCGTTCCAGGCCGTACATGACTGTTAATCGCTTCAGAGACCGTGCGCCGTTGAGAAATCGCAGGAATCCCTCGGGAGAAATGAGATCGCGCGGATTATCAATGAGTAGCTCCTCGAGATGCGGGCAAGATTTCTGTTTCCTGTTAATGGTGCACATAATGCGCGAATGATAACACGAACCTGTAGCTTTTCGAGAAATGCATCTGAGATCGGACCTCCGAAGAAAAGCAAGGTCTTCAAGCTAGGTCCGAGATACGGCTCGAGCGATTCATCGTTATTATCATCCGATGCATCCAAATTGAGATCTTCCAACTTGGAAAACCTCACACCTCGGAATAGCTTGTGATGAGCGGCATCACCAGCGAAGAACTCGAGATGCACAACTTTATCAGCATGAAGCTGTAGATTCTGGGGTTCTTTCTTCGCGATGCTTGCTAGATCCGAGACACTCGGCCTATCCGCCATGGTCAGATTGCGAGATCGAAATGTCCAAAATACCTTTCAATAGTAAAACTAAGACAGGTGGGTTAACTAGTAGTAATTGACCACAAGACGATCAAGGCGTGGCGATTCGTAGTTATATATTGGCTCACGACATTAGGAAATGCAACGATATGAACAGATGAAAAGTGGGTATATTCCAAGATATCCTCTTGTTTGGTACCACGATCTCTTCATGATTAATATGCTATCTAGAATGAAGACTTTGAGGAAACAAAGCTGGGTGACGACGATGTCTTTAGTCTACTAAACCCCATGCCCGCCCCAATGCAACTCTTATATCTTCCGAAAATATACACTCATTATCATGTCGCATTTTCTTGAGAGCTAGATTCTGATTCCCACTCTGATTCTTTCAAGACGTACCTTGTGTCTAAGAACCTCTCCGTATTTCATACAGACATCTTCATGGCAATCGTCTTATGTGGCTCGTAGTTCAATACCGCAATATCCTCTACCTTCCACCCATCAATTGAGCCACCTTTTTCAGGCTTGAGTTGTATCTCCGGAAACGGTCGCGGTTCTCGCTCTAGTTGAACTTTGAGCGCATCGACGTGATCGATATATACGTGCGCGTCGCCCATAACATGTGTCAAACTCCCAGGAACCAAATCGCAAACATGCGCCATCATATGCGTCAGTAACCCATAACTCGCGATATTGAACGGAACACCCAGTCCCATATCACACGATCTCTGGTATAACTGGCAATGTAAATGTCCCTTCGGCTTCGGACTATCCTCCTTCTCATCACCTTGCCTCGGATACGAGACATAAAACTGCGCAAACATATGACAAGGCGGAAGTACCATTTTCTTTAAATCGGCCGGATTCCACGCCGACAATATCATGCGGCGGTCATACGGATTCGTGCGCAGTTTATGTATAACCTCAGCCAACTGATCATACCCCTTCCCCGTATAATCCGTCTTCGCATCAACATACTCGGCTCCAAAATGTCGCCATTGGAAACCGTACACCGGTCCCAAATCGCCGACTTCGCGCTCGGTTAACCCGAGGTTGTCGAGGAATTCACGGGATCCGTTGCCATCCCAGATCTTTACGTCTTGCGCGCTGAGAGAGGTGGAGGATGTGTTGCCCTCGATGAACCAGAGAAGCTCGGCGATGACGGCGCGGAGGAAGACGCGTTTTGTGGTTAGGAGGGGGAGGATGGGGGTGCCGTTATTGTTGAGGCTGAATTTGAGGGGGCGTGGGGCGAAGATAGAGTATGTGCCTGTGCCTGTTCTATTTTGAAGTGTTAGATTGAGTATTTTGCAATTCACGTGCATAAAAGATGCGATTGCTTTCACTTACCGATCTGGTCGACGCTCGCCGTGGTCTAGGATCTCGCGGACGAGATCGAGGTATTGGTACTCCTCATGTCGAGGTTCTGAGGCCATTTTTCCAACTGGGTACCTCCTAGTAGTATGGAGTCAGTTTATGCGATCGAAAAAGAGGAGTTGAAAGATCAATGGTTTGTGGATTGGTATAACGCTTGGTATAATGGGAAGAATTATTTAGGAGGGACGCGACGAAGAGCGCGTCTCGTTTAAGTGCTTAATTAGGTGTATTTCTTATCGATAGTACCGCGGGGTAAAATCACGGCGTGACGGTGTGTATTAGCTCCGATATAATTATGCATGCATAACAGCACAATATAGGCGCTTGTACCAGTACAACGACATAAGTCTATTATGCTTGATTACACAAATATGTCTGTCTTAGACTGTGCTTATAAGACGTTTCTTACGTTACCGTTCGTTTCTCAGAATCTTGTCTTCCCTCTTCCCGAATGCAAAGTAGTTGATGAGAATCTCCTAGATTAATATTAAGTATTATTCAAACATAATATATGGCGATTGTACTTCAAGATCATATGTATCAGCCCCTTATCCCTTATATCAAACCGAGGCTGTTGCTCTGAGATTCAACTCTTCATTGACTTAGAAATCCGGGAACTTCCCACCATCGTCCCACTAGCGAATTTAGTTAGTCTTGGGTAGGTATCCAAGCGAACTGAGACTCAATAGTAAACAACCCATATACTCACATGTTCAACGATACAACCAGCTTCCCACCGGAAGCGGTCAATAATCTCACCAGCACCACTAGCCATGTAATCCAACCATCCTTGGTCGCTCTTAAAGGCCGTACGAAGAGGAATGAGTGTCTTCTCTTCCCACATTGGGCCCAAGACTTTTAAAGCAGCATCGGGGCCATCTTCGCCGGCAAGTGGTTGGTGATTCTATGATGGCAGGTTATGGTTAGTTAAGTCGCTTCGTTGCTGTTCTTAGTAGGAGTAACATACTATATAAGTGGAAGAAACATATTCAAACGCCTCAGTAAGGTTCTTCTTTATTATAAAAGCGTACGCGAACTTGCCAAATCGCATTTGTGTCTCATCTTCACTAGGCGGCGGATCCATCGCGATACAAGGCGGAGGTATCACGACGTTAGACCCTGCATCGTGTAATTTTGGTGGAGGAGCGGCGATGACCCCAAGGGGCGCTAGAAGTACAGCAGATAATATGAAAAATCGCATCATTGAAAATTTTAGAACATTGGTGCTTGCTCTAATGAACAGAAGCCGAAAGAACCCATTCTTAAATTATCGTGAAGCTTTTATGATGATCCATATAAATCTAGATATCAACCGTCTCCGGTGGAGAAGGTCTTACATTTAAAACGCCTTTGGCATAGCTCAGGGCATGGGAAGAACGCCTCCATTGCAGTTCTATTCTATAATGAGTTGATACGAGAGATTACTGCTTCAATAGCTTCTCAGCCGTTTCGAAATAATTAAATATAGATGCGCAAAAGTTCATCTAGTAGGTGGAAAAAGAAACTTGACCAGAGAGTCAGCAATCTCGATGATGACAACCAATTTCGGCAGATTAGACGATTGAATGTTATCAATACATCTTGCCAGAAATATACCCCCCCTCCCCGAGGGAAGACTTCCTGGGTTTTCAATCTATGGCGACAACCTAATTAAAAATATGTTTACAAGAGTAGTGAGACACAGGTTCGCGATCCAATTACAGTCCGCTCTGGGCAATGTCAGGAAGTTGGCATGCTCTATGACATCAATTATTTATTCCTAAGTCCGGAGCTAATCATAGAGATCGTGACAATAGTTATCATCGACGATACTAAGCACCAGCCTCACCTTTCTTCCCCCTGAAAAACGCACTCAACTTCCCCATCATCTGTCCCAGCCCTCCATTCTCACTCCCCTCAACCAAACCCCCACGAATCCAACCAGGCAATTTACTCTTAATCCTCTCAGTCGCAAACCGTCGATCCACCAACACAATAGCAGCGTAATCATTACGATGTCGGATAGCACGTCCAATACTCTGGTTCACGGCGCGCATACACGCGTTTTCGTAGAAATCACGCGCGGCTTGCTTCGCCGTTGCGATAGCCTCGCTTTTTGACATGGACGGGTTGGCAGAATTGAGACGCTCGAGCGTCGTCGATTCGATGTACTGGATTCGAGCCTTCCAGTCAGGTGAATTGATATTCGGGTAAGGAAGTCCGACCACAACGACGCAGCGGCCGAGACGGTCGGAGAAATTAATGCCCTCGCTCATTTTCCCGCCTACGACGCTAAGTAATAGAGCGCCGGTTTGACCTGCTGGTGTGGAATTTGGCTTGGTCTTAGCCTTACTTTCGTTGCCATCTAGAATCGCTTCGGTATATTGCTCTAGTACCTCATCGCTTGATCCGCCTTTCGTCTCGCGGAATACGGCTTTCTTCGCTTGTAGTCGATCCCATAATGATTTAGGTTGACCTGCACTAGTTGCGCTCCATGAGGCGACTACTTCGTCGAGGTACCCGTAACTGGGAAAAAAGATAACGACACCATCCGGAACAGCGGTACATATGTTAAGGATTGCTAGACCTAACTGGTTAATCATAGACTTATCACTGCGCTTCTGGAAGCTAAACTCGAACTGCATGCTTTTCGTATCTGTCTTCGGTCCAGCGGAGGCTAAGGTCCATACGCAGAGGCTGGAAGATGGAATAACGTGGCCGCAACTCAGAGTTGTGATTTTGTCTGCCGCTAGGTTTGGAAATAGGTGCGCTGTGTAGTCCTCGAAGGGTGACATGGTACCGCCAGCAAGAATGACAGCCCGCGCACTAGACGCGATGGAGGAAAATGCATGTGTAGGTGAGAGAAGGAGGTACGATAATTTAATATCATTTTGGGATACCTTGTGATAGAAAATTCGTCCTTCCGAGCTTAGGTTATTTAACGAGACGAGGAAGGATAGGAGTGTATGCAGGACAGGAGTTGATCGTGATGGAGGTGAATCAACACCAGCCTCTTGGGACTCGGCTTGTGCTACGTAGCCTTCGATCTTATATGCGAGTTTGGAATCTTGTATGTACTGGATGAGTTTGTACATATTGATCTGGTCAATACCTTTAGACCTCAAAAGAACATTGGGGTCGACGATTCCCTGGTCGCTCTAGAATATGGGTTAGTGGGGGTTTTGGAGCGGGTCGTTGACTCTTGTTCTTACCTTCAGTTCCGATGCATTCTCCAACCAATCTCTGAGACCATCCACCACTCTAGCAACTTGCGCGACCATAACCCGATTCTCGCCTTTAAGCTTCTTCCCAAATTTCTTCACATATACACCAAGCATTTGCCTTGCTCGCTTCAACTCGCTAAGACCGATTTCAGAAGCATAGACATTCGCTACCGCATCCATAATATTATGGGCCTCATCAATTATGACTACGTTGCCCTCGAGTTTAATACCAAGTGCATCTCGGGCAGTTTTCTGAAGAAGTAACGGGTAGGGAAGCGTAATGATCTCCGCACCAGGAACTGCAGTTCTTGAGGCATAGTATGGACAAACTTGAAGTTTTTTCCCGAGCTCAAATAAATCTTCAATATCCGGAAGGGTTGCAAGGGTATTGTCTCGGAACTGATGCGTTAAACTTAAGTTGTCTGCATTTGGTACGAACTGACACTTGTCCTTGGATTTAGGCTGTTGAAGTTCAGCACAGCGGTCATTGATTGCTGGTAGAGATCCAAGACGGGAGACCGATGTATTAATGCAAAGACGCTGTCGGGAAGATAATGGAAGGTGCTTAATGCCTTCAGTTTCGGTTTCTGGGTCATCGCTACGAAGGGAATCTGGCAATGATGTAGGAAAAGTCGGTCGTCGTAGTTCTGATATGAATTGTGTCAATTGCGAGTGTGTTCTTGATGTGAAATAGATCTATGAATGGTTAGCCAAGTCTTCTAAAAATATGTATGGTGATAACGTACTTTGACCTCACCGTCATCTATGTCTTCTTCCTCCTCTTTCTTTCCAAGGGTCCCTAGACCTAATTTCTCCATCAAGCTTCTCGTTTCCTTGCTGAAGCCTGACGAATTATCATTACTCTGGGAACTGTCTTCATCTTCACCTCCATCTAACAACCATTCGTCATCGTCATCGGCTGGCCTGCTACTCTTTTTGACACTACCATCATCTAGTCTTCTTCGCTTGGACCCTCTCTCCTCCATTAACTTTTCTTTAGCTCGTATTTTCTTCAAACGAGCTTCTCTTTCTTCCCATTGCTTGAGTATTTCTTCCCGTTTCCTCTTGAGCATCTGATTTACGATCCAATCAGGTTCGTCTTTGAATTTGCCAGCTGCTTCGGCGACAGAACTCTCAAATCTTGATCTCTTGTGATTGCGCAACCAAGTGAGAGCGGCACATATCAGAGATAGAGATTTTCCCTATAATTATTAGCGGAGATGTCGAATAAATTGAGGCGGGAATAGACATACGGTGCCAGTTGGACTTTCAAGAATACCAATTTGACCCTCTCCTTGTTGAAGGACATTATATACAGTGTTCATGAATTGTTCCTGCACATCATATGGAGTGTATGGGTGATGGAAGTCAATCTTCCTGACAGCATCAATCATCTCATCCATATTTGTCGGACGGTACAAAAATGGCTACTGGGATTGAATGTATGATGTGCTAGGAATAATTTGGGGTAGATTCATGATGTGTCATATTGGTATGTTTGGTGAGGAAGACCAAAACTACGTTTTGAAGGTCAAGCTGGAGAGCACAGACTCATACACTTTTGCTGTGAAAGTGGGAAACCCGCAACCACTTTGGCCTCTGATATGTTTGAATTAGAAGCCATTGATATCACCGAAGAATCGGATTGCGTGCATAGATGAAGGGTTTTATGCATTAGATGAATTGTTCAGCTTTATAAAATTATTTGCGACATTTGATCTTTAATACTGCTGTCCTCGTCTCTTTTCAAATTGTTGCTGTCTGGTTTGGGAGTTGTATGAGTTTTGGTGGAGTAATCAAGCTAAATTTAATTGGTGTCGAGATGGATCCATTTCCAAGGTTGCTTGGTGTGGCTGGTAAGATTAGCGGGGTAATGGGGACACACAGTTGTGGCTAAGAAGGAGCGATTGATTGAGTGTGGCTCATTCTCCACAGCACCAAACCCTACCCAAAAAATTAAACGAAAAGAATTTCACAATTTTTCAATACAACCTTCAAAACCCGCCTAACCTTCCGCAACCCACCTTCAGAGTTGGCATCTTCAATACATCACAACAAGCCACTCCTCCGACAAAATGCCTACCAGATTATCGAAGACCAGAAAGCAGTATGTTATAATCGAATCAATTCCATTTCGCTATTGATCGCCTTAAATTATCGTCGCGCCGGACCAACTGCCATATTATGTCGTACCTTTATTTGTGGGAGAACGAAATTGAATAGCAAAGAGAAGGGACACCAGTAGCAAGGAAAATTAGGGACAACGACGAGAGACCAGAAATATTGCATAATATTGCTATGACTAGCTGGAAAAGGGACTGGTTCGAAAAACATTATTCATGGCATCCGGCGCGACGAATTGAGCGACAACTACATTTTGAATTCCCTTATGCGCTTCAATGGAATCAGGTTGCTAACCATTTTATTAGCCGTGGCCACGTCTCGGCCGGTCACGGTCGTATCGGCAAGCACCGCAAGCACCCGGGTGGTCGTGGTATGGCCGGTGGTCAACACCACCACCGAACGAACATCGACAAGTACCACCCTGGTTACTTTGGTAAGGTTGGCATGCGATACTTCCACAAGCAACAGAACCACTTCTGGAAGCCCATCATCAACCTCGACAAGGTACGATATCCGAAATCTCTTCTTTTTCTTGTAGTCTAGTAGTCTAGTGGGGGTTTGCGCAACACGAGAGCTCTCGCCTTGCTAGGAATCTGTTATATCATATCGTTGGTCAATATTTACTGACTCGGATATTTTGCAGCTATGGTCGCTTGTCCCCGCCGAGACCCGTGAGGCTTACATCTCCGGCGAGAAGAAGGACACCGTTCCCGTCATCGACCTCCTCCCTCTAGGTTACTCTAAGGTCCTCGGAAAGGGCCGAATCCCCGAAGTCCCCGTAGTTGTCCGAGCACGATGGGTCAGCAAGCTAGCGGAGAAGAAGATCACAGAGGCTGGTGGTGTTGTTGAGCTGGTCGCATAAGGGTGTACTGGCGGAAGGGCTTCTATTTAGGGAAACAAGGGAACGGATACCTGACGATTTGGGACGGTTGTAACTCAATGGACCTGCACATATTTCGCAGGTAGTCTTCGGCTTTCTCGAGCATCGCATGGCATGATCGGATTCTACGAAAGGGAGTTCAGCTGAATACAAAAAATGCATTTTACCCAAATTCCGATTTCGGGATGTGACTTATGTCTTAATTATGATTTTCAGGGGTGGATACAGATATTCATCGAGAGTACACCAATCTAACAGGACGAATTATGCAACCTCAATTTGTTTTGTTTGCTGACAAGTCTTCTCGCACCATGATGTATCCTTTAGGTGTGACGATCAAGTGCGACTCCGGTCTTTTCCGACAGATACCTTTTCCCGGGGTTATTGCGTACATGTATTGATTATACTAGTCAGTATGTACCTAAGTACCTAGGTATTTACTGATATTGTGCCAGTGTCCGCCTCGGAATTGAATCCCGTTACCATGTATGTACCTAGGTAGGTGCTCTGATCATTCGAAAGGCTTGCAACCTAATACACTGATTACTTATATACAAAAATATAATCATGTTTCTAGAATTTGATACAAATTGCTGATGAAATGCAATTATTTGCTAAGAGGCTGATTTGAGGGAGCCTCCAAGTCCCTTATATCACTTATCTATTTTTATAGATCTGGCATGTGATCGAGAGAACTCGGGACCTTTTTTGATCTTGTGTCGATTTTGTTTGTACCGAATGACTCGGACAAATTGGCGCGGAACTTGTAGATGAGAATTAATTGAATAAATCGTGCACAATTATAGATCGGAACTTAACGATTTATGAACATTAAATAATGTACATGATACATTATACATATTTTATGATGCATAGAAGTACATAAAATAATAACAACTAAAATCCCAAGGGTTCACCGACAAATTGTGCTTGCCCTTTGTTCTAAGGTTCGCAATATTCCCTTCAATGTTTAATTGAGGTGTCTGCCTATTAAAATGCTATGAAATCCATGGATGACTTATGAGGTACTTATAGTGGATAGAGTTAACGTCATTGCGGCAATAGTAAAGTTATCGATAGCACTGAAGTTAAGAAAGCTTACTCGCTGGGCTAATCATATACCCTAATGAGCTTTAATGGCCTTGTCGAATGGCACCTGATAAGCTTTGATAATGTAGGTACATGGTGCCTATGCAATGTGATCCTAGGCGTATTCTTGGATGTATTATTCCATTAATTATTATGCTAGGCTTCATCCAGGCTACATCTAGGCTACCTACCTATACCTACCTACACTTACGCTTCCACTTCTTCCCATCCAAAAAGTCCTTCCACATGCGCGCGCACCATACAACCCATACAACACACACGCACACACACTTAATTCATGTCATGTCACTGACCTTGTTGTCCAATCAACTGATCCCATTTTGAATCCTGTCCTTACCTTCTCTATCCCATCCTTTTCTTTCCCGTTCTATCTACCTATCTAAAGGGTAGTCATCTGTCCTTCCTGTACCTGTACAATAATATTGTTGGCGTTGTCCAATGAGTTACCAGCTGACTGTAATAGTCTAGACGGGAGTAGCTAATATCATTATCTGCCTCACATTCTCATTCTTGCCCTTGTTCTTCTGCCTACTACTATTACTACCTTGACCTTGGTCAATCTATTCACAATACTACTATAGTAACTGTTACATATTATCACTCTTTACCTTTTTAACGATGCATCTGCATCATTGAAACCCACCGCCTTGTAATTCCACGGGCCCACTTTGATTCGATCCAACTCTCACGCCTTTCGGGACCTTTGTCTCGAAGCTCTACGAATCTTGGCAACGCTGCCTGCGGCCTTCATAGCCGTGTTCTTCTCCCATTCGTCCCTTCGCCTGTGTAGCCTGCTCCGGTACCACGGGTTCAGCGAACGCTAATCTTAAGCCCTAAAGTATCCGAATCAGCTTGGACAAGTCAGTGGTTCATAGCTTGCCTTTAAGCTAACTTATTGCCCGCTATGGCACCCCCATCCGAAGATAGTCCCGCCCGCCGGCACGTCAGTAAAAAGCTTCAGAAGAAACGTAAAGAAGACCACCATCCGACTATGGAGCTTCCCGACCGATTAAAAGACCACGGAGACGACGCAGACGAGGATGTTCTACCACCCAATCAAGGTGCTCAGATGTTCATGAACTTGAACCAATCGATATTTGGCTTGATTGCAGCCGCTGGATCAACCGTAGATTTCAACGATCGATTCGAAGGTCAATCGAGCGACGAGGATGAAGAAATGGACCGAGGAGGAAGACCGAAGAGAGGTAAAGAGAAGGAACAAATTGCGCAGACAACAATACTGAGAAAGAGTCCCTCGGATAAGGAAAAGGGAGAGAAACAGAGAAGAAGATTATCAGGACAACTCCTACGATCGTTACCCCAGCTCCCACGACTTGCGACGAGGTCCAAATTTAGGCAAACAAAATCCTCAGGTCTCCAATCTAAATCAGGTGTAGAGGGCGAAGACGATGGTCTAAGCTCACCGACTACAGACTCGCGCTCGCCCACGCTCGATACCGCAACAAGTGATCGTGAAGAAAGGCTTGCTCCAGTGATGACCAGGATGTTAGAAGCCAGGGCAGAAATGTCGTCTAGGCCAAGTTTTGATATTGAAAGACTATCGGGTGATCATCGAAGGGGTGATGGCGATGATGGCCCTAGTTTACTCGCGCGACAACTTAAAAGGATATTTGAATTTGACGAGCCCGAAGAAGTAGTAGAGGGTATGATGAAAAACAATCATTTCCCTTACTGGTTCGTATTCAGGAACTAACGTCGTTTAGAATATCCTTGTTGGTTACTCCAGAGCGTGCTGCTACAAGGCTACATGTACATCACCGCCAAGCATATTTGCTTCTACGCCTATCTGCCAAAGAAAGCTGTACGATCTTTCCCCGAATTTTGCGAGGGATCTTACTAATGATGAAAATAGCACGAAGTTGCCAAGTCTGGATATCTATCCAAGAGCGGCAAACGGAATCCCAAGTATAGTCGTTACTGGTTCCGATTAAAAGGTGATGTGCTGGCTTATTATCGTGATCCATCGAATCTCTACTTCCCACATGGTCAAATCGACTTAAGTTATGCCATATCGGCAAATATTGACGAGAAAGAAAAAGATGGGCTATCTTTTTCTGTTGTCACAAATCACCGAACCTATCACCTCAGAGCTGATAGCGCTCCAAGTGCCAAGGAATGGGTCAAGAGTTTACAAAGGGTTATCTTCCGATCTCACAACGAAGGCGACAGCGTCAAGATATCTCTTCCGATTCAGAATGTCATAGACGTCGAGGACAGTCAAATGATTGAATTTGCCGATACTTGCAAGATTCGCGTCATCGATAACGACGAGACGTATGCCATTGACGAGTATTTCTTTTCATTCTTCAGCTTTAGCAAAGAAGCAATTGGTGTCCTCAAAATCCTAGTAGAGGGTGCGTCGAAACATCAGGAATCAAACTCCGAGCTGGAATCATCTAAACAACAGCAAAAACTTGAAGGGGTTTCTCGGCACAGCTCATTAAGCGTTAAGCAAAAAAATGCCCCTGCCGCACTTGAGCTCAAATCTCCCAAACTTCGCGATCATGTCAGAGCAACACTAGCTCCCCTCTCACCTCATAGTCCGCGGGAACCAAGTCCCCGAGCTAGTGGTGATTTAGCCCGCGGCAGTTTTGATGCCATTCGACAATTTGGGCGACGAAGCCTAGATCTCGATACATTAACACGCGATGCTTCACCTCGTCGAAGTTTTAGCGCCAGCAGGTCGTTAAGCAAGCATCGCATGCATGATAATTCGGCTCAACAAGAAAAGTTGGAGTCGTCCGAGTCATACGTTCATTCACTCGAAGACCCTAGCACATCTGCCATGGCTTCATCATCAAACGAAGACCCTTCTGGTAGTCAGATTTTAAGAGGCAGCGAAGTATTTCATAGACCTACCATTCGTCGCTCCATATCGGCTTCTCGCGCAGGCCGCCGCGATAGATCGTCTGGTACAAGTCGATTGCCCCAGAAATCGGATGAATCGCTTGCTTACGACAAACATCGAGCCGCCACTACGGGGCACGTATACGATTTTAGTGGTAGCGACAAACTTGATCAATCGACAACAACATCGGCACCGGGCCTTCAGAAAATAGCACGAATGGGCGCATATCCATTACAACGAGCGGGCTTTTTCGCTAATTATTTGAACCAAACAAGCCGCCATATGAGCAATTTGTTGGCGACTGAGTCAATGGGATATGTCGAGAAAGTATCCGGCATGTGGAAAGGCGGTCGAAAACATTACCATGAAGCTCCTGCTCTCAAGCCTGATGGAGAAATGGATGACGATGATGGTGTAGATATGGATCGGTTCCGGGCGCACTTTGCCCTCCCAGAAACGGAGAAATTACAGGCAACTTACTACGGCTATATTGTTCGTGTTTTGCCACTCTATGGTAAAGTTTACATCAGCGATCGTCATTTCTGTTTCCGTAGCTTGCTGCTTGGAACTCGGACGAAATTAATTCTTCCGCTGAAGGACATTGAAACTGCCGAGAAAGAAAAGGGCTTCCGCTTTGGATATTCTGGGTTGGTCGTTGTCATTCGTGGCCACGAAGAAATATTTTTCGAATTCAACAAGGCTGAATTACGCGATGATTGCACCGTTACACTATTACGAAACCTTGAAACTACGCGCTACCTACGAGACAAAGGCTCGTTAGATCAAGAAGACCAGGAGGATGCCGATGAAGCGATGGCAGAACGTGACGCACTCCATGAGGCGCGACTTCAAGAAAACGTCGAACATGACCTCAAGATGCCTCATGAAACATCTTGCCTAAGCGATTCATCACCCACGATTCTATTCGACGATCCTAAAGCTTCATTCCTCAACTTTAAACCTTCAGAGCCTATGAAAGTCACTTGCTTGACGATTGGTTCTCGGGGTGATGTCCAGCCTTATATCGCACTCTGCAAGGGGCTGATGGCTGAAGGACATAAACCTCGAATAGCTACCCATAAGGAGTTCAAGGATTGGATTGAAGGGCACGGTATCGAGTTCGCGCCTGTTGAGGGTGATCCCAGTGAACTAATGCGTATCTGTATTCAGAATGGTACTTTTACGTGGGCATTCTTAAGGGAAGCAAACTCGAAATTTCGCGGCTGGTTGGATGAACTACTTGCATCCGCTTTTACGGCATGCAAAGGTTCCGACTTACTCATTGAAAGTCCTAGTGCCATGGCCGGTATTCACATTGCAGAGGCATTAGGTATCCCTTATTTCCGAGCTTTCACGATGCCGTGGACCCGCACGAGGGCCTACCCCCACGCTTTCGTTATGCCCGAACACAAAATGGGTGGCGCCTATAACTATGTCACATATGTCATGTTTGACAATGTATTCTGGAAAGCAACGGCGCACCAAATCAACCGTTGGAGAAATAATATTCTCGGGTTACCCAACACGAGTTTGGAGAAATTGCAGCCAAACAAAGTTCCTTTCCTCTACAATTTCTCTCCTGCGGTCGTTGCGCCTCCACTTGATTATAGTGATTGGATTCGTGTAACGGGTTACTGGTTTTTGGACGAGGGTACTGAATGGACTCCACCCGATGATCTAATGAACTTCATTCAGCAAGCTCGCAAAGATGATAAGAAGCTAGTCTACGTTGGTTTTGGTTCTATTATTGTACCGGATCCTGCGAAGATGACACAAGAGGTTATTGATGCCGTATTGAAAGCTGATGTTCGGTGTGTGCTATCTAAGGGCTGGTCTGACCGCCTTGGTAATAAGGAAGCCGCGGTACCCGAACAAGAACTTCCACCGGAAATATTCCAGATTAAAAGCGCACCTCACGACTGGTTATTCGCACAGATGGATGCAGCCGCGCACCATGGTGGTTCTGGGACAACGGGCGCTAGTTTACGTGCTGGTATCCCAACGATCATTCGTCCATTTTTCGGCGACCAGTTCTTCTTTGGTAGCCGGGTTGAAGACTTGGGTGTTGGTATCTGCTTGAAGAAATGGGGAGCCAACAGCTTTGCGAGAGCCCTATGGGAGACCACTCACAGCGAAAGAATGATTGTAAAGGCTCGAGTATTAGGGGAGACTATTCGGAAGGTATGTCTTTTTTCTTCAATCACCTAGTAATGACAGATATCTAACTTTTGGAACAGGAAAATGGCGTGGATACAGCTATCCAATGCATATACCGAGATCTTGAATACGCCAAGAGCCTGATCAAATCTAAAGCTGGCAAGAATGCAGCTACGGCTAGTAGCCCCGACGGCACTATAGCTGATGAATCGGAAGAAGAGAGTTGGACCTTCGTCGGTGGTGATGAAGTCGACCCTGAGCTCGTTGTTAAGAAAAGCGCACTCTCTCAGATGGAAGCAAGTATTAATGGAGCCACCGGACAGGGTTCCCTAGGATCGAGATTTCTCGGTAGAGCCGGCACAAGTTCAAGCATGGCCAAGTCAACATCGACTACGACGGGGTCTTAGGGAGATACCTGTACGGTCGGTTAGTGCCGTGGCCTTTGGGTCGGAACTACGGCTCTAATCTTGGGAGTTTTCGGTAACGTCTTGAATCCAATTCGAAGGTTAAATAGGAAAGAAACCGAGCAGAAAACTGGTATCTAACTCATCCAGTCGCAAGATGGGATGAAATATTACATCCTATCTGATCATGGTATCCGGCTCAGAGGATTTCATAGTATACGACAGTTTACGTTATGGATTTGGGTGTGTATGCGCGCGCATAGACTGACTGCTCTTTCTGCATTGCAAGCGCAGGCGTCCGGTACTATTTTGCATTTACTACTTTCTGGTGCTGTTTTACATAACAGCTTACCTACCTCATGCCGTTCATGGAAGTATAAGAGGGTTCAGGGGTAATTAATGGCTACATATTTGGGTAATGGGTATGACCACAGGCAGGCAAAGCAAGCCAAAGAATAGAGAGTTCATCAACCTTGTTGTATCAATATCTACCTTTCTCAATGAGTCTTACTTGGTTTTTCATGAATGATGCTACTATCTGGCAGCCTGAATGGAGTTCGCATGGAGCAATTTTGAAAAATGACTGGAGAATAGTAGCCCCTATCTTGATGTCAGCGACTATGACGAAAAGTGTCTGAAATCATTCGCTTGAGTCATTACCACATGCGAGTACGTACCTATGTACTCTTGTATCTATGTATTTATATACAAATGTACTTGCCCTGATGTAAAATGGTGGTACATATGTATGGATTACTAGCCACATGCAGGGAGCTTCAGCCACGTCATTTATGTGTCCAATGAATCCCCCTGTTTTCTAAAGCTCCCCGCAAACGGACAGGGGGGTAAGCGAGGGGTTGCCTGTCTACGGTGCAGGCCAGCCCATGCGTCTGCCACCAGGTACAAAAAGGCCCCCTCACCCCAAGTGAATTTTTAAGGGGACACCATCTCGCCTGTGAATTTTAAGAGAAAGAGGCGTTTGTTCTAGTGGCTTGTGCTTAATTTTCTCAACCGACCAATCTAGCCTTTCAACCTTTCTAACTTCTTTTATAATTCTTCACTTAACTCTTCATCATTCTATGAATCATTTTACATAATACCTACAACTCCTCCCTATACCAGTTTACTCCCGTACGCTATAAAATTAAGGGTTAAGGTACACCAATTATTGAAAGTCGTTTCGTCAACCTTATCAACCAATTGGCGTAAGGCTTAAGAAGCAACTCTTGGTGGCTTTCAACTGTTACCTTTCTTAAGTACCTTCTTATCGAGCCTATCAATTACATACCTACATATGTAGGTAACCTCAAGTACTGTATTTGAGTGTTACTTTTTCTCGTCCACGTGCGATCAATACGGGTAAGTGGGTACAAGTTCTTAATGCTTTTTCCCTTTTCTTTCTTTTCCCAAATTGAGGCTTGAAGCACCCGATTCTTCGCGTCATATGATTGGAAGTATTTTTGTACTCGCCTACAAACAATGCCATCATCACCCTATTTCAATTGCATGCAAGTGCCGGCCTATCTTTCTCGTCTCACCCAAATACCTTGCATACATAATATATGTACGTCTATGTATGTACATGCTCTTATGTATGTACGTATGTACATTCATACTAAGGTACATGCATCCCCGTATATGTATCCCTATCATTCATTGTATCCATTTTGTGTCCATCTTGGAGGTCATATACCTAATCTTTCTCATACCTAATATAAGTATTGCACAGACTTCCTCTACCTTATCTGTCAATGGGTAAAGCATTGGAATTGTACTATTACTTTATCTGAATCTTGTCATTCTTGATTATGTATCAAATCCCATCCGTCCATTTCCTTACCAAACCTTCCGTTCACCTTGTCATCCAATCAGTTCCACTGAAATTATTTCCCCAATTGGAAGTGTTACACAGGACCGGGATAACCCGTCTACGTCCACGTTGATTTGTTCATTTTACACTTTGATCAATGTACCTAGGTACCCCTTTCCTATTAAACTGATCCATTTTATTGAAACCCACTAACCCTCTTTGGCCTTTTTCTGTAGACCAAAACCTGGAAGCTACCTATTTTCACGAACTACGCCTACCTTACATATCGCCGTGCACGCGCAAGCATAAGCACAATAAATTCTCCTTGACGCATTCACGCATCCACTTAAACCTATACATCCTATTTTCTATTCCTCAATACTATTACATACTTAAGGCAATCTTCACAACATTGCACGTCTGTTACCGCCGTGGTTGCGGCACAACATGAAGTTGTCATACGTTTAGCTGCGCCTGAAATCCTACGTCCTTACCTAGCTACCTCTTCCGCGTGAAGAATTACAGCTTCGATATAATCAAGTAGCTACCTACTCATCCATTGTTACCAATACATACCTATCTGCGACGGCGACCTACCCATTTCTTCCACGGTCAACACCTTCGTCTATCGAAAGGCATACTCTAGTCTTAAAGTGCAATGGGAAAAACTGGAGCTATTGAGCTCGACCCTACCTACTTTCACAGCTTCCGTCATCGATAGGTGTGGCGCGCAAAGGTCGGTATAACTACTTTTATTGACATACTGTATCTCTCTTTTGCCCATTTGTACATGGGATCCATGTCGCATAACAAGATAATGGCTTTTCTTTGTCTTACCATTTCATCATGTATCCAATTTGTTTGTACCACTTTCGTCTTTAAGCTTGCTTGACTGTCTTTCCCCGAGCCTCACTCGACTACCTATAACATCTCACACCTTTCCAGTACATTCCAAAGCTACCTCCCTACTTTGCACACATGGCCTGATCATGTCAATTCCAAACTAACATTTCTTTGTTGTCTAGGCCGTAATTTATTGGGTGTATGACCGTTTCTACACCCCACGAATACATACGAAATGGCCAAGACACTCCGACTAGGAGCTCGGCTCCGTTACCCTATTACAATAACAAATTTCCTAAAACAACCTGGCGACGATGTATCAAAACAAGAACCAATCCTCCGATACACATTTAAATACACGCGTACAGTAGGCGACCCAACTATGAACGAAGAACACGAAATAGAAGAAACAGGAGTCGCAGACTGGGACAGCCCTGCCGAGGGCAAACTGAAACAATGGCGCGTGAAGATAGGTGAAGTCATCAAAAAAGACCAAGACCTTGTTAGCATAGACGAGACTTGCAGCCATGAGATACAATACGCTGGATTATGCGCCATTTGTGGTAAGGACATGAAGGAGGCGAATTACGCCAGCGAGTCCCTCGACACTGCGCGCGCCACGGTCGCCATGGTGCATGATAATATCGCTCTTACTGTAAGCTCTGATCAGGCTGCACGCGCTGAGATGCAATTACAGCGTCGACTTTTAAAGGCCAGAAAGCTTAGTCTTGTCGTCGATCTTGACCAAACTATCATACACGCCTGTATCGATCCTACTGTTGGCGAATGGCAACGCGATCCGTCCAATCCAAACTATGAAGCTGTCAAAGATGTGCGCTGCTTCCAACTTGACGATGGTCCACGAGGAGCTGCCAGCGGGTGCTGGTACTACATCAAGATGCGCCCAGGTCTAGCTGAATTCCTCGAAAGAGTTTCTAAAATGTTCGAGTTACACGTTTACACGATGGGCACGCGCGCATATGCCCTTAATATCGCGAAAATTGTCGATCCTACACAAAAGCTTTTCGGCAATCGAATCATTAGTCGAGACGAGAACGACAGTATAACCGCCAAGAGTTTGCAACGGTTATTCCCTGTCAGCACTAACATGGTCGTTGTCATGGACGATCGAGCTGACGTATGGCCACGGAATAGGTCAAATTTGATCAAAGTTTCGCCGTATGATTTCTTCACAGGCATTGGAGATATCAATTCTAGTTTTTTGCCTAAGCGTGAAGATATCATACCCGCCCCTCGTCCCCCGGAGCCGAAGCCAAAACCAGTCAATGGCAACGCTGCACAACCTAGTGCAAGTGGTGTCGAGCCAAGTCCTACCTCGGAACATGAAAGGGCGGTAGCGAATGGGAATGGGAATGGCGAAGGCGACAATGCCCTACTACAATTACAAGCAGAAGAGCAGGAACGCACACTGGAGAAACAATTGAAGGATCGCCCCTTATTGCATTTACAAGAAGAATTAGATAAGGAGGACAATGAAGCTGAGAAAAAATCCACCGAGAACGGCGACAACCCAGAACCCGTGGTAAATGGAGAGTCAGATACTCCTTCACACCAACGGCATAAGCTACTTCGTGACGACGACCGAGAACTGAAATTCCTAGAGAAGCACCTCGCCAACCTACATCATTCATTCTACGAACAATACGATGCCCGATCAGCAAATCGCCAAAGTGACGAGATAAGACCCGACACTATACCAGATGTAGGATCAACTCTTAACTTCCTCAAATCCCAAGTCCTTAAAGATACGAGATTGGTACTCTCTGGTCTTGTTCCGTTAGACGTTGATGTACGTAAAACGGAAATAGGGATGCAAGCAGAAAGCTTTGGCGCTGAAATTCGGACGCGTGTGAGCAATGAGATTACTCACTTAGTTATTAACTTTGCACGTCCGCGAACTCAGAAGGTTCGCCAGGCAGCACGCATTCCGTCGATTAAGATTGTCAATCAGAACTGGCTTGCCGATTCAATAGCGCAATGGGTCAAGCTGGACGAAACTCCCTACCTAATACAAATACATCCCGCAGACCGAAATTCCGATACACCCCTAGATGAAGGATCAGCATCGCCACCTCGACCAAAGATTACCATTGTCACTTCTGGTCGTCAGTCATATGAGGAAGAAGCAAACGATGAGATTGATGATGGTGATGCGGATGGTTCAGGGGAGGATGATGATGACGATGACGACGACGATGAGGATGAGGACGATGAGTTACAAGATAGGTTCAATGTAATGCCACCTGACCTCGAAGACGGTCAACAAAGCCCCATAGACGATCTCGATGGAATGGAATGGGGTGATGTTGATAAGGAGCTTGAAGAGTTTATGGGATCTGATATAGATGACTCAGACTTTGAGAGCACTCAAGGTACGGATGCCGGCACGGACACGGAAACGGAAGAACCTAAGGGCAAGAAACGTAAGCTGGGTGAAGATGATGATGGTGAGAACAGCCTAGAAACTGGAGGAAGCGTCCTTTCTAAAAAGCAGCGTATAGCAAAGGCGAGGACTACGGGTCTGCGCAATGTGAGAAACGCTACTGATGAAGAGGACGCGGAAGATAGTGGCTTGCCGACACCGTTAGGTACGGGTGACGAGGAAGATGGTGACCGCGAGATGAACCCTATTGGTGCTGGGAGTGGCGGTGGAGACGGGGCCGACGACGGTGGCGAAGATGATGATGATGATGATGACTTTGCCGACTTGGAAGCCGAGCTCGAGGCAGAATTACAAGCCGAGGGCGAGAAAGGTTGATCTACCTATAACCAACCTACTGGCTATCTAGACGTGAGGAACCGTGTTGCTGATTAAGTTTGTCCGGATTACGAGAAGACGAATGAATGCATGACATTGGCGGCGCAAAAAAGAAAAAGCAGGCAGGCAGGCATCATATCATCTTCAAGGGTTCTTCAACATACCATCATCGTCATGGGGCGTATGTTCTTGCTCTATCTTGTTGTTTTAATCTACAATGTTTATATCCTTTTCTTATTTGCCTGATAAGGAGTTTTGTTCAAGTTGCTGTCGATAGGCGGATAGGACAATGGCAATGGAAAGGCAAAGGCAAGGCAATGGTACGTAGGTGGAGATACCGGGATAAGGGTGGCTTTTGTGTTGGGTTTTTCTACGCTTCTTCAGGTGTTTGGCTGCATAGCGAATGAATTGAGTAGGGTGCTTATAGTAAAGAAATTTATTCCCGTTAATATTTGATATTTAAATGATACGACAAGATAGTCTCATCGTCGACTTTCGATATCCTATGATGTAAGTGTACCTAAGTACATGTATGGGACTCACGTGATCCAATTACATAACTGGGAACCCCCACCTTCATCCCCAACCAATTAAATCACGCTAAGCTTCATCGACCCACTAAAGTACCGGCCATCGAATCAAGCGGCGCCAATTGAAGCTTAATCATTCATTCTCTCAACAACAATAATAATCACGACGACGAACCGATACTCGGAGACGAAACGATAAGGGAAGAAAAAGAAAGGAAGAGAAATTGATTAGGGGAAAGAGGATACAAATAGGCAGACAAGATGCCTCAGGATATGCCCCCCGTTGGGGGTTACGGCCCTGTGCAGTATAAGGTTAGTTGCGCATTTATTACTTCTATTTGCGGTCGGTGCGGAAGAGGGTGTGTGGATGTTGGGGAGGAGCTGAGAGGCCGAACTGAGGGTATAATAGGAGTCGGGATGGAGGAGGGAGGTTGAGGAATACTGGGCTATGATGTTGCGGACGATCGACGGGATGAATGAGGAGCTGGGATACACAATTCGTATCTATACGGACGACTTTCTACATGTTCCCGATACGGTTATACGATACCTATGAGAGATCGTGTCACGTTCACGGCCTCCACAACTACTCCATACTTCGCAATCGAAACGGCCGACTCTAGAGATGTAGGGGAAATTGGAACATCGCGGGCATCTGGAATCACCGCAATCAAGCAGAAATGGGTTCATCTTCTGAGAAGACCCTGTGCTAACATAATTCTCTTCTCTAGCGCAACCTCCCCGGCCCAGGCTTCCGCCCCGCAACACTACTCCTCGGCATGGGCGCCATCATGGTCTTCGGTTTCTACAAACTAACCAAGGGTGTCCGAGAACAAAAGTACCTCCCCCCCCTTCCCCTTACAATACATCTCGAGGTCGATACTAACAATCCGACCGTAGTGAACTCGCCCGCGAAAAGATGTGGTCGCGTATCCACCTAATCCCCCTCCTCCAAGCCGAAGAAGACCGCGATCTAGTGCGTAGACATTTGGCGGATCAGGCGCGTGAGAAGGAGCTTTTGGGTGAGAACGTTAAGGTTTATAATTCGGATCGGTATGTTCCCCTTTCCCTTTCAAATATCTACTCTTCTGTCTTGGTTAGATGAGAATCAATGCTGATGGTGGTGTAATTGCAGATACGTGAGACCGACATTCGCCGTTACGCCGACCAACGTTACGAAATAAGCAAAATAAGGAAAGAAAATAGTGATGGTGGCGTATGCTTCATGAAATAGACCCGAAAATGCACTCTGGCTATGAGTGGAAGAGCTCCCCGAAGTCAGAGTCGCTGGGGAATTTGTACATATACCAACAGAGAAGAGAAGCAAATAAATTCAACCAATGCTCTGGTCTTGATCTTGCGTTATGATTTGGCAGTATGCTGGTTATGCTTGGGGATGTATAGCAGTCCAAAAGTGATATGTAGGGTTACCTACCTAGGTAGCGTTGATATAGGCCATAAGATACACGAGTGCAATTATTAGCAAGGCCCATGATCATTTACTGGGAACGTACTTAAATTGTACAAATTCTTACCGGGATATGGGCGATGGACATCACTATTCGGCTAGTGACACGAGACTATTGCTTTAAAAGTTCATGTATTTCATTTAGAAAAAAATATAAGTTTTATGTTACCACGAAAAGGACCTCCATCCTATCCATCCTAATCCTCAACGCCAGACTCCTTTCATCCTCATCGTCCAACCCATACGTGACATGGACCAAACCGTTCATTAGGTATCCTCGATAAATACATCATACATCCATCACATCATTCAGTCTAAGCAGAAGCATGGATAACCTTGAACCCCTCGCTTACGACTTTCGTAATATCTTCATTCTTATGCTGTAGCAAACCCAACGCGTATGCAACATCATTCCATTGGCGTTCTGTCTCACATCGTGAGAGACGAGCTGCGAGTTTTTCTGCGAGTTGCTTGGCATGTTTGTCCTGTTATTATTATTAGCAATGGGTTATTATGAGTGATTGGCGAGGGGAAAATTACCTTCTCGACAAATCCCAACAAGAACCGAACAATCCTCCGGAAAGGTTCTTCTTCCATTCTTTGATCTGCGGACAGCAAGCTGAACATATCGACAAAGTGATTGTATACTGCGTTGTCCTTGGTGCTGAGCTCGGTGAAGAACATGCGCGCAAGATCTGCGATACGCTTGTCTTCATCCTCCAGACATTTAGCCATCTCTCCTAATTGACCCTTGACCTTGACTTGACCCGCGAGGATTAGGAATGTCAAGGTCATCAAGCAAGTACGTTTGACGGACAAATCTCTATCAGCTAATCGGCGGTACAGGAAATCGGTATTCTCATCGATAAGGTGATTAAAGCAAACTGCCATATCACCGAGAGCAATGACAACATTCGATCGCACGGTCGCATCAAGTGACCGTTCCATGATGGTAATTAGTAGCGGTAGATGAGCCTCGCAGTATTCGCTGCTAACACACATGAGCTTCGCCAAACATAAAGTCGCTGCTGCTTGTAGGCCCTTGTCTCTGTAAATATCGCTACGCGAGCATATTTCGGCTACCATCGGACCAAAATTAGACAGTAGTGATTGTGGCCCAAATAAAAGCTCTTGCTCACGAATGTGTGCCATGGCTTCTGTAAAGTCATCTTCCGTCGTGCCACCAATTAAATCAAGTTCATCTCCAGCATCCTCTGGAGCAGGAGCAGGAGCAGGAGCAGCCGTCTTGCCCTTACGACCTACGGAAGGACGTGTTTCGGCTGGTTTAGCAGCAGCTTCTTTTTCTTTCTCCTGCTTCCGTCGCTTGAAATCGAGTTCGCAAAGTTCAAGGTGAACGATTTGCTTAATGGCCACATGGCCAACGACGAAAAGTAGTTGAGAAAGCGCAATAGCGGCTTTTTGCTTGGGCTCGACTGGTGGTTCTGAAATTTGTCGAATAGTTTGAGTAGGGGCATCAAGATTCATAGTGATGCCTTGAGTCATTCCCTGGTCGACGGCAGCGGTCACAGTAGGATCGAAGCCTCGCGATCCAGGGCGAGATGCAGATGGAGATTTCTGCTGTGCGGCAAATACGACTCTTGTTCTGCGCCTAATAATCTCAGAGCATAATGTATCGGGATGTTTGGCAAGGACGTAAATGGCATTGATGGCCTGTTCGGCTACTCCAAACCATTCCTTACTATCGCTTGGAACCTCGGTGATTGCGGCTAACTTCGCTAGTACGGCGTGCTCATTTGGAAGGCGACTGAATTTGACTGGCGAATCTTTGGCTTGTCTTCCTAAGGGGTTAAGCCTTTGTAGAGCAATGCATGTATACTTGGCTAATTGGAGGTCAGATCGACCATGAGATCCAAGTCCGGTTCGTAGCATGGCCTCCATCTCACCGACAACAATCTCAGGTGAAGCCGTAGCAAGCATGCCTAGAACAATAATAGCACCGCGTCGCTGGGATCGAGAAATTTCTCTCCTCTGGAAGCCATAAACCTCCCATAGCTTTGTGACTACTCGGTCGGAGATCATTCCACCTTTCATCATTGTCGCCAAGAGTTGTTCGAGACTCGTCAATTCGGCCGGGGTCGTACCCGATGTGAGACTGATCATGTTTCTCGCGATGTAGATGGCGGCGTCATTGGGGCTGAAGCTGTCTGGTGCTTCGAAAAATAGTCGTCTGTAGCAATCAATTAAGTGCGATTGCACACCTTTGCCTTCATCACTATTTCCTTTTGTCCAGATAAGGCGCATCATTCGTCGAATTCCAACCATATTGTCTTCGATGTTGTACGCATTTCCGATTTCCAAATAATCCATTGCCTCAATGACTTCGGACTTGTTCTTGGACCCAAGAAGCTGACATACGGTAGATGTAGCCTCATGTAGTACCTCGATGAACTTGAGAGCATCGGTGTAGTATCGCTTCGTCAGCGTTAGTTTCTCGATGGCTTCCGAAGTAGCTGCATCTTCCTGGGCCTTCAGAACCGCTGCCACCTTTTCTTCATCAGTCATCTCCTTAGGCTTCTGAGGTGATTCGATTTGTGTGGGTTCGTCTACTAGTGCTGTATTGTCGGCTTTATCTTCTCCTAGACCAGGTTCGCCTGCTGGTGGCTTCAATGCGTCTAATTCGGCATCGACCTTGTCCAATCTTTCTTGCCAATCCTTGCGAGAAAGTTGAGCACCATGCAGGACGGTAAAGGGGTGTGTCTTTATCAAAGTCCCTAAAAGTTTTATAGCATTTCTCCTGACGTGACTGCTCTTGTCTTCAAGACTTCGACAAGCTAGCTCCGCAGCTTTCTGTCGACGCTTGGGGAATTTCTGTTCAAGATCACAGAGCCTCGTGTAGACTTGCATAGCCCTACATCTACAATAAGGATTTATGTCAAGGAAACGCTCTTCTAAAACGTCGAAGAAGGCATTCAATTGTGATTTGTGGTTTTCGCTTCGCTCTTCTTGTGTGGTGAGGTGAGCGATCATGTTGCCGCAAACTTCGATGAGGGAGCATCTTAGCCCATATGACTGATAAAAATGTTAGATTGGCCCGTAATTGTATGGGATAAGCCGTACCTCGCTGTCTAATTGTTTGGCTAGCATCGTCATCTGCTTGATCACTAGGCGGGGAACAAGTTCAGATAGCTTGATGATGAATGACGATACTGATTTAGGGCCCTTCGTGTCGTTGGTGTTGAATTCCTTATTGCTGATCTCCCTCAGAATTTCGTCGGCCAACTGAGGGTAATCGTATGTTTCCGCAAGAATATGCAAGAACTCTGCCATCGGTTCGGATAGATGTTCAAAATATGTCAAATTCTGGACGATGGATATTTGCGCCGCTATTATCAGGTTAGTTATACTACTAAGTCCAATTCCCTTAACTATAACTTCTCACCGTAGGCGTGGCCATGATGTTTAACAGCGATGCAAAGAACCTTGAAGGCATGCATCTTTATAGCTGTATTCTTGACTCTCTGTTCACTCTCCAAAACCATGTAAACGGGCCTCGTAAGTAGACCAATGAATGTATCGCGCTCGCTTGTCGTAAGAAATATTTTGCCCAATTTCAACTTAAGAACTTTGGACATAACGTCTAATGCTGTTTGTAACTGGGCGACACTGTCCCAACTGCCATCCTTATCCTTGCTCGCTGCGGCTTTGGATTTTGCGCCCTTACCTCTGGCGCGTGAAACAGAAGTGGTAGATGATTTCTCGGCGGCTTTCGTCTCGACACAAGCGATAGTCCACTGCAATAGAAAACCATATATTTCGAGTAGGGATTTGTGATGGGCGATCATCTCTTGTTCGTCTGGGTTTTCGAGATCGTGGTTTATAGCGTCGGCTTCGGCTGCTAGGCCACTCATGATCAAGTCGAAGATCTTACTGAGGGCATGTGTGGGTAGAAATTGCGTATATCTGGATTCGAGGAAAATCTTAGAAATTGGTTCTTGTACTCTCTTGTTGGAAGACTGAGGGTTGTCAGAGGGGGTAATGGAAGTGGGTGCACACTTGAGAAGGAACTGCAACGAGTCAAAATATGCGCTGCGCATAATAGCATCTGGATTTCCGGCAACGGCATCGACGATGGGATTTAACACCGGGTTGAGAAGAGATATGTTGGATAGAGCTTCGGGGTCTGTTTCGCAGTCGACTAATGCACCGTCGGCTTCTGGTGTAGAGATTGCAGCTGGATCGCTCATATAATGCTTGAGAGCATCATTTATATCGAAGTTAATGGGATCCATGATGATCGGTGGTGTTTGCGCTGGAGGAGCGCAGTGTGGACGAATAAGTGCGGATGGAAACTAATGGGTTATATTAAGTAGGATAAAAGACTACCTATTCAAACAGGAAATGCGCAAAATGTCCCCAGGAACATGAAAAAGAAGATATAGAATCAATCAGAGTATTGCGCTTTGGAATAAGGAGGGTATCTTTAGGTGTTTTCCTGTTGTTGTTAGTTGAAAGTGTCTTGAATAAAAATAAAGAGGGGAAAAGATTAGAAGTTTAGAGGGGAGATCAACAAAGTGCGATAAAGTATTTTGGTGATGCAAGATGTAAGTGAGTGCGACCTGACCCGCAGCTGCTTTAGCAACGGATTTGTTTTTGTTTGGTTCCCGATAAGACGCGACCTCCAATCAATTTTCTGCAGCTAACCCCGCGCTTATCCACCAAATAAAACGCGTTGAATAAATACCCGAAGAGTACCCGGCACAATTCATCGGCGTGTTACAAGGCGAAAGTACATATTTCCATGTACTTCCTTGTACTTTCTCATTCCATGAACAATATGAGAAATGCTCAACGCGATACTTCCTCTACGTCTTTAAATTCGATCCCAAGTTCTTATTTTCTTTCTCAAGAACTTGCAATAGCTTGATCTATTATCTGGAAAAGAATAATTGATCAATCAGTTCCTATTACCGGTACCTCCCTTCGCGAAACACGCCGAACAATTACAAAGCATCGAGCCGGGTTGGCTCTGATGTGTTTGGGGGCGAGGGTAGAGGTCGGCGACAACTAACATAAACCTACTCCAAAGACCATAATCATGGCCACTACTAGTCACCGTCGAGTGGCCAAAGACCCCTTCCGAATCCACGAAGATGTCCCCGTTGGCGGGATCTCAGACGTTAGGAGAACTACTCGGAGTCGAAGCCGAAGCCAAACCCGAATTCAACGTGCCAACGAAATATATGAAAATCATGTCGATCGCGATGAGTTATTGGAAGAGGATCCTGAAGATGAAGACGAACAAGAGAACCGAACTGAAGAAGAAGACGGAAATGAGACCGATTCCTCCGAAGACACAGACGATATCGATCTGAGTGTCCAGCACGACATGGAGAAGCTACAAGCTACCTTTCCTAACATTAAAGACAAATACCGACTCATAAAACGAATTGGCGAAGGAACTTTCTCTACTGTTTATAAAGCCGAAGACCTCCAATACCACGAATACGAGAACGCTTGGGATATAGATGCCGTGGAAAACCAATGGAGACCTCCACCGCTTAAAGGTGATTCTCATTCTCGAACCGAGTCTCACTCTTCCCGATCCCGCCAAAAACCAAAATTCGTCGCAATCAAGAAGATTTATGTCACCTCTTCACCCGCCCGAATCCTCAACGAACTCGAACTTCTCCACGACTTACGAGATTCCCTTTCAGTATGTCCTCTTGTTACAGCCTTCCGCCAGGCTGATCAAGTCCTTGCTATTCTTCCTTACTTCCGTCACCAAGACTTCCGAAAGTATTATCCCCAGATGAACGTGTACGACATGCGAGTATACTTCCGATCACTCTTCACCGCCTTAGCCGCCGTACACGACAAAGGAATTATTCATCGCGACATTAAACCCACTAATTTCCTCTACGATCCCGAGAAGAAGCGAGGCGTCCTAGTAGACTTTGGTTTGGCAGAACGGGAGGGATATGATACCAAACCGTGTCTTTGCCATGAAGACCGACAAGTCAGGAAACAAAGATTACAACAATCTGTCGCTTTCAACTCAATTCAAGCCGGCCCGCAACCTGGTTATCCAGTGAATGACACCCGACCATCTCGTCGGGCGAACAGGGCAGGTACTCGTGGATTTAGAGCTCCCGAGGTGCTGTTCAAGTGTACTGAGCAGACGACCAAGATTGACATCTGGTCTGCGGGTGTCATTCTCCTTACTATACTCTGCAAACGCTTCCCCTTCTTCAACAGTGCGGACGATATCGAGGCTATGATAGAGATTGCTACTATATTTGGATCCAAGCGAATGAAGCAAGCGGGCCAATTACATGGTTGTGTGTTCGATACCAATATTCCCACCATCGGTGAGAGGGGTTTCAGTTTCGAGAAGATCATGCTATGGAGCACGTGTAGGAGTGACGGCGGCAAAGATGGGAAACAGAACCAACTCACCGAAGAAGAGAAGGGCGCTATTGAGTTCTTGTCCAGATGTATGGATTTGGACCCGATGAGGAGGATTAGCGCGGAGGAGGCGCTGAAACATGAATTCTTACGGGTGGATCCAGAGGGAGAACCTGAGCCAGAATTGGAAGACGATGTGATGATGTTATGATAACGATGCATGGAGTCATCATGTCTTATGGATAGCTGGCGCTTTGGTGCTTTGGGTGTTGCGACGAGACTCGCAGATATGCTAAATCCACGATACCTCGATCTGGGCGGAACGACGCCGTACCCAACTACGCGAATGAGCACACGATGCTTTTAGACAGGTCAAATCCAGAGAACTCGGACATGGCTCATCTGAAGAGGCATCAAGGATACATGGTCTATCTAAGACTATGATTCTATGGTATAGTGCGACAACAGAATCACGCACTATGCAGACTCCCACTTGATGGGGGATAATCGATAGTAATACACCCACCCGGAAAGCCTCCTTAAGGGCCTGTATACTGTGTATATACTATAATCAATACATAAAAGTGCCAATGAAGCTATATTGCTATCAGTTATGTGCTATGGGCTGTTTCAATTCTGGTGATTAAAGATGCGAGATACCTAGGTAAGTGCGATATCCTATTTAGCAACTCTCCCGAGGTTCGCTTAAAATTCGACTTGAAGGCATCTCAATATCTATTTCTGGAGTTTCGAGTATTTCTCGCGTTGTAATTTGTCCTAATTGACGGATAATTTGTTATCCTTTGAGCATTGAAGATTATTTTGTATTAAAATTCGCACGCAGCGCCTGATGCTTCGCCTCCAAATGCTATATACCCCCCTCAGTATCCATCCCTAGCCCGGCTCATTTAAGTCTGAATGGGACTTTTTGTCTATTGCTTGGAAGGCATAATATACCTAAATCAACCAACTATATTCCTTGTCAAATGCCTTAGTCGCATCGACTTCGCGAACTTTCTAATGTGAGATGCTATGCTATAACTTATGCAAGCGCTCGTGTACTAAACGACTGTAATATCATTGACTCCTGAACTACCATATACCATGCGCCTTTATCCTGTTCATCCTTACATCCAGAGACACAGTTTTCCACTGCCGGTTCCGCCCGCCTGTTTGTTTAATCGAAGGTTAGCAACTATTTCAGTCAAATAAGGGGAATTGAAGGAGAAGAAAATAAGGGTTGGGATAAAAAAGGAAAATACATACAAGCCAATTCAACGTAGGGTGGAACTCAGCGACCGCAGGTACAGCAGTAATACCTTCACCATCCAACTGTCCAAGTTGTTTCCCTTGGCTATCGTAAATATCCACGAACCGGTTCATATTAGCGATAGCAAACTTCTCCACACCGTCCGCGGGGTTGAGTTGCCACTGTGGTTTGAGAATGGTTACCCAGCGACCGGTTTGATTGTTATGAGGGATCTTTTGTGTTGGCTTCATCTGGTCATCGGATAGATCCTGTCCGGCCTTCCACTTCATCGCATCTGACATGTCGTAGATTTTGACTGTGTCGTCGTAGGATGATGTTGCTAAGTATCCGCCGCGGCTCCAAGATGCGTGTGATACTGATAATCGTGATTGGTGTTCACCTAGTAGAGAGGGGTGGCGTAGTTCTCCTTTTCCTTTGATCATACGCAAATCCCATATCTTAACGGTTCGATCTAGTGATGCCGTCGCTACTAGATGAGGAAGCAATGGATTTAGGGAGAATCCACCGATCTTGTTCTCGGATAAGCTCCATATATCTGCTTTACCCTTCGAGCGCCTGTCAAACCTTCCTAGGTTACCTTCTAAGGTTGAAAAGAAGATGGTGTCTTTGGCTTCGGGCGATACATCGAGACATGATATACCCACGTCTACATCGTCATCTTCGGGCTGCCATAATTGACTGCTTACTTGGGACTGCAAGTCTAAACAACGTATCGAGGAGTCGTAGGAACTTGTGATGACTGAGTTGGGATCGAATGTGGGTATTTTAATGGAGGATATAGTCCTGCTATGGACTTCAAATGCGCCCACTTGCGGTAAAGGAATATCGGCATCTTCATCATCCTCCGATTGAGAGGGAGTTTCTTGCGACGCATCAAAAAATCCTAAGGTACCCTTCTTGTCACCAGCAAGGATGATTGGTTTATCCTGGATAGGATGGAAAGTGAGGGCATAAACACGTTCAGGAGTAATTTTGATATCTGCATATAATTAGAACTACGGTTCAGATTATGTCGCGTGTAACTACGCTTTGAATAAGTCCACTCACCATTCGGTACCCAACCTTCATACAGTTTCAAATCATCCATTTCCTTCCTGAGATCCTTTAATTTTTCGTCCGATGTATCCTTGATATCCTCTTCCGTGAATGTCCGAACGCCAGGTTGCGCGCCCTGAACGAATGAGGCGAGCGCACTAGTACTTGACCATCTCTGACCTTCCACCTGAAGATTTGAGAGTTGCAAATCGCCACTTGTGCGAATGCGCTTAGGTTGAGGGGGCTTTAACTCGGTGGGAATATCTTCCAATTTCACACCAGCGCCGTCAGCATCTGTACTAGCTCCGGCTAACCTTGCACTTTGACGTGTAGGCATGACGCGAGTACGAGGAGCTGGCTCGACAGTCTTCCTCTTCTTGGTAGTAGTTGGCCTCGGAGGGGGAGCTGCGGCCCTGCGCATCTTGGCCGCAACCTCGGCTGAGTCCTTTAATAGTTTGGCATTGTTCACGACGTTTGCTTTCCTTCGCGCCTCGAAGGTGCTAAGTTCGGGAGCCATCTTGGGTAAGAAGATCGAATCAAATCAACCCGATTTTGATAATATCCACCCTAAATTATCTCGAAAACCAATACTTATAAAGTGTGGATTGTATCGTGTAAAATATTTCGACAAAGAAAAAGAATGAACGAGCTTAGGTGGGGGACGTGAATCTGATTTGAATCGCGATCTTCCTTCCTTCGATTATTTGCAGCCCTGTAGGCGAGAATTTGCCTTAATTGTGGTATTAAAGGGATTCGATTATCGATCTTCAAATATAAGAATCATAAGCCGAAATTGAATGGATTATGCGCGGATGTAAATGGTGATGGCGACGATGTCGTGAATGACGAAAATCAATTAAAAGTTAAGACGCGCCAACGCGAAGTCATGCTTTCCGCGTTCCAATTAAAATTATTGATTACCTAATTAATTTTAGCGTGGTTTCTTCTAAGGGGGTATGTACTAATCAAGAACATTGGAATACCAGGTTTATGCATATAAATACCCCGGTCCTCAGCCTGCCTACGTCCTTCTGATCATACTAATGAAGCTTCACGCATACACGTAGAAGGGACACGCAATGGTGGAGGGCCTCAAAATGAAGGGGTCCTTGACTCCCCCGCGCGCTGACCAACCCTCACCCGATTATGTTTTCTCCATTACTCTCCACACAATATAAAGATGGAACAACAGAGCTTGCCAACCTCCGAAGACAGAGACATCCCATCTGGACTGCCAAGTATCCCGGTGATTTCCGTAGTACGTACAAACTTTCAGGGTCCTCGCTGTGACGTTTGTGACTGGAATGGGGATCCCCTACAAATATTTAGCGAAACAAACGACGGAATCACATTCAAGAGGCTTTTGGAGTCTAATGAAGAGAACTGCGCCCGTTGTAAAATATTGATCCTGGCCCTCAAGGTCCTCAGTATTCGTTTTGCTGGGGCACCCCCAGGTCAAGACGCTTATATAAAGATCTGGTCAAACGGCTGGGTTCGTTTTGGGAGGGTGGATGGGGACTGGGCTGCGGTAGAAATATATTTAGCCACTTTAACAGGACACAGTGAGATTAAATTTAATCCTAGTGTTCCAAACCAGCAACCATCACATTGCGGTTCCTTAACAGACGGCTCCCTCACTTGGACGAAGAACCAAATTGAGTCACATCGAGATTGCTGGGAGGCTCATAAGTCTGGATCCTTCGTTCCGACGCGACTCGTCAATCTTAGCACCCCTGGCTTCGATAAGGATGTGTTCCTCGACGAGAACGTACCTAGTGGTTCGCGGTATGTTGCACTAAGTTATTGTTGGGGACAATATGAACCTCTATGTCAAACGACACGTTCGACGGTTAACGAACGCAAGAAGCGTATACCGTGGTCCACGTTGCCTAAAACTCTCCAGGATGCGATTGAATTTACTCGTCGATTAGGAATCCAATACTTCTGGGCTGATTGTATTTGTATTCTACAAGGCGATAAAGAAGATTGGGAGCGAGAGGCTGGACGGATGTTTTACGTCTATAGGAATTCTTATGTGACTCTAGCAGCTATGTGGGGGAAAGACGGCAACACTGGACTTTTCTCAACATCAATATCAGATGACTTCGATCCGACATTCATTGCTGAACTACGACTGGAAAACCGACGTTGCCTCCTTTATACACGACGAGCTCATGAGAAGTATTTCTCGATGTACCGTCGCGCAGGTAAAGAGCAACCTCTATTAACCCGAGCGTGGGCCTACCAAGAGCGTATAATATCAACGAGGGTTGTATACTTCGCTGGTTACGAGCTAGCTTTCGAATGTTTCTGTGATGCTATTTGCGAATGCGGCCATCTCCAGCATCAACCAACTAGAAACGAAAGCCATAAGAGAGATATCTTCCAAAGTGTACTGAAACATGCTAATGAATCAATCAACATTGAGCGGCAGAGCAATGAAGTTATTCAGAATCAGCGGGGACCTTTGTCTCTCCAAGACTCGAATGACAAGGATATTGACGTTTTATGGAGAGACACGGTTGAACAATATTGTCAACTAGCATTGAGCAACCCTGATGATAAACTTCCTGCCATTGGGGCCATAGCCGAGCAATTTCATGCAGTCCGTCAAGGGGAGAGCTATTTGGCTGGCTGTGCGTAACATACGCTTTCATTTTCACGTTCCTCATGGTATAATCACTAACCTCTTTTTCATACCACAGTATGGACCGGGTCGTTTCATCGAGACCTCCTATGGAGGGTTTCGTATAACTACAACGCTAGTGCCCAACTCCCAAAACCAACAAATATGCCATCATGGTCTTGGGCCTCTGGAGATTTTGGGTGGGTTTCATATCCTTACCTTATTGATATGGAAACTACTTCTGAAGTCATAGAGGCGACTTGTCATTATGTGAATAACAATCCATATGGAGTTCTGGAGCGAAGCAATCTGGTGCTACGAGGCCGGCTGCTTTGTTGCTGGCTCTTTCAATATACACCTAAGCTCCGCGGTCCTAGATATTCATTACGTCACTGGTACACGGGAATAAAGATTCTATCGGGGGATTCAATCATATTAGACGTTCCTAATTACGCGAGGTGGGCTTGCCCAAGGATAGTATATTTACTTGAGATCGCGGAGCATGCAAGTCTCAAGGACACCCAGAATCTTAGGTGTCATGGGTGTTTAATATTACGCCGCGAAGGTTGGTGGGGACACACTTTTTCAAGACTGGGTACGGCAGACGTCGACCTGCCTAACACGATCTTTAAGATGTGTAGTGCGATAAAGACGGTTAATTTGATCTGATTCTAGCGGAATGGAGTCTTGGATGTATATACCCCTAAGTCAAATAATACAGGGTCTAATAGCAACGTAGGGCTGCAAATCTAGCGCCTTAGGTACCTGGTACGGTACCCAAGTAGCCTAGCCCCACTGCTCCAAACCGCTGGAAACGCTTATTTTAAAGCCCATAGCCGTATCGATAGGCAATCCCGCCTTCTAAAGACAAAATTTCCATCGCCATCGTCAATTGAATCCGCACATCTTCATGCATTGTTGTACATATACACCTAAATGTAGATAATCACGACTGATTTTTTTTCTTTCTTTATCATTCAGAATGTCATCAACTCTACTACCGTTTTTATACCATACGAGGACAATCCTCCGAGCGAATCCTCGAACAACCGTCGTATTCACTCGCTCTTTGCATGCTACGAATCGACGACTAAAACGAAAAGATGATATCCCCTTCGAAATTGAAGTCGGCGACGAAAATGTCCCATCGGAACCGACTCGCCGCAGTACCATCACTCCCGAAGAGAGGCAAATATTCGAACGTATTTTCGCAGATATAAAAGGCCGTGGTCTTCAACCTACTTTCCAGGATGATGCGATATCCCCTACGACGGCTCGTTCGACTATGGTCATCATGCAACAAGCCGCCCAAAACGCCGGCCAGACCGGCACTTCTACTATCGCATCCCCCGGTCTCCTCGCCGGTGTCGCTCGAGATCGAAACAAAGCCCTCCTACGATTTCCACCCGACTTGCGCCCCGCCGCTAGTAAAGCTATCGACGCAATCAAGAATTCGGCGATAAAATATTCGGGTAACGATGATATTGCGTACGATGAAGCATCTATTGCAGCTGGGCAAGAGGATCAGGTTGACGAAGGTTGGAAAACGTCACCTCATGCGCTGGACCGTATGGTCGAATTGGAAAGCAAGCGTCATCCAGAGCGTAGCCGCGTCGAAGGCTTAATAAACTCCGCGAAGTCCGATTTCGAATTGTGGGATGTCTTGGAACAGGAAGTCTTTACGATGCCAGCGAGACTTGGTCTTAGTAGTCAAAATACTAAAGATGCGACAAACGATTCCATATCCAGTATTGAGCCTACATCTTCCAAAAGGAAATCAAGAAAAGGAAAACGAAAAGATGCGACAGTAAAGACGGAAAGTGAGGAATTACTTCATGAGGAGAAACTAAGTGAAGATAAGCAACTAAACTTATACATCCATGGACCATTATACCCGGCATACCTTCTTCTTGCTCTTCGACGTCTTGATAACGGCTTTCGCATGCCATCACCCCTCGCCTTCTCAATTCTCCCTCGGATCAAAGAGCTAGGGTTGGAATCTTACGTTCTTGGTGTCTCAACCCCATTTTACAACGAACTTCTCATGATCTACTGGACTCGTCGTGGGGATTTACTTGGATTGTTAGAACATTTAGAAGAGATGCGCCGTTGTGGTCTCTACTTCGACGCACAAACCCCAGCCGTGTTAAACCGAGTGGAGGCCGATATAGATTCAATGGTTAACACAAAACCTCTTAGTTCCTTTGGACGGGCAATTATAACAATGCCGCAATACCTAAAACCTGTACGGAATCGCCTTAGATATTGGCATACGGCTGTGGATATATCGGTTAGGCAAAGGGAGGCGGATATGGGATTTTAAACCTGCATCTCGAGGTTGGGCATTGACCATTGTTCATCGACGTAACCATAAAATACTACATTCAGCTCTAACACCATGCTATGTATGAACATAACGAAATATCTACATCAAGGATTAACATTATCATTTACTTCTATATGCACATCTTATTTAGCGTAACAATTTATTTCGGCCTAATCCCGATTCATGATCGGAGTTTGACCGATATGAACGGCTTCGTATCGCTACTTCTCGGGCTAGAAGATCACGGTACCTACCTTAGTTGGGGTAAGTAAATCGGAGTGGATCGGGTTCTCGGTCTTAGTTGAGGGGATCCCAAGCTTCTCCATCTCTAACTAATTCCTACTTAGGTATCTATCTTTCTACGGAGCCGATTTATTTCATCATCGCAAAATGACATTCGATGAAAGTTACGACGTCGTAGTTGTAGGAGGTGGGAATGCCGGATTTTCGGCTGCTACTACTGCGGCTCAGTCCGGTGCTCGGGTTTGTCTAGTTGAAAAGGCTCCGTTTGAAGATGCGGGTGGGAATTCATTCTACACGGCTGCCGCGTTCCGGTGTTGTTTCGATGGTATACGGGATTTATCACCTCATCTTTTTCATTCTGATGGCACGAAGGGCTTGCCTCAAGATCTTGTTGATAAGATTGAAATGAAGCCTTACACGGAAGCTGATTTTCATGCTGTGAGCTTGCACGTGGTTCTGAACTTGAGCAAACAGAGCTAATGCTTGTTGAGGATATTAATCGGGTTACTAAAGGTAGAGCTGATCCGGTACTGGCTAAGACACTCGTGGAAAACTCGAGGGAAGCGGTACAATGGCTCATGGACAACGGCGCTCAATTTATACCCTCATTCAATCGACAGGCTTATTTTGTCGATGGGAAGTACAAGTTTTGGGGTGGCTTGGTTTTGAGTATGGTTGGTGAGAGAAGCCCTATTCTATGTTTAAACTTGTAGTGCCGTTGAACCTGATTCTTACCTATCGGGACGAAATAGGACACGGCAAAGAATTGTTCGAATTTCATCTGAATACTGCGAAGAAACATGGTGTAACCGTCCATTTCAGCACCCCAGCGATTGATTTAATCACCGATCCTACGACAAACGAGGTACTTGGTATTAAGGTCTTCAGTAACGGTAGAATCAAAACCACTGGAGCTCGAGGTGGTGTCATATTAGCGAGTGGTGGGTTTCAAGCATCTCCCGCATTGCGAACGCAGTATCTAGGTCCTGGTTGGGATCTTGCTCATGTTCGGGGGTCCAAGTACAACACGGGCGATGGCCACAAAATAGCCGCGAAGATCGGAGCGAAACTGGAGGGCAATTATTCAGGCTGCCATTCTGTAGCCTGGGATGCCAATTCGCCTCATGCATCTGGAAACCGAAAATTGACTAACCAGTACACCAAGTCCGGTTATCCTCTCGGTGTCATGGTGAATATCGACGGCAAGCGTTTTGTGGATGAAGGGTTTGATTTGCGTAACTACACCTATGCCATATTCGGGAAAGAAATCTTGAAGCAACCGCAGGGCGTCGCATTCCAGATATGGGATGCGGACGGAGTTGCTTTACTTCGTAAGGAAGAATACGCCGACGACGTTACGACAAATTTGAGAGCAGAAACGCTCGATGGACTTGCGGATATACTCATAGAAAAGGGATTAAAGGATAAGGGACGGTTTCTTGAGACCATTGCTGAGTTCAACGATGCGTGTAAGAACTTTCAGCGTGAACATCCTGAGCGGAAATTTGATCCGAGCGTCAAAGACGGTTTGTCTACGCAGGGTACGAATAAATCACTTGCATTGGGTAAAACGAATTGGGCCAGGCCTATCGAGCGCGGACCGTTCCAAGCTGTTGAAGTGACGTGTGGTATCACATTTACATTCGGCGGGCTGGCGGTTACGTCTCGTGCGGAGGTCGTGAGTGAAGCTACTAGAAATAGAATTGATGGTCTTTGGTGCGCTGGTGAGCTGCTTGGTGGCTTGTTCTGGGATAATTATCCTGGTGGTAGTGGATTGACTATGGGGACGGTGATGGGGAGGATTGCGGGGCAGGAGGCTGCGTTGAGAGCGAAAAGTCGGTGATGGGATGGGATTGTGGGTGGATATGGTAGTATTTAATTGTGCAGATCAGACATAAATTCTAGGCGGAAATGTTCTCTCTTAACCTTACCGAAAGAAGTTTTCTGTCATATCAAAGATATCTGTAAATTCACATCATCCCTGGTGTTGTCTCATCTACTATTCATTTAGTTATGTCTTCTCAAGAGCACTTGCGAATATTGAATCCAACATACGAAGCTGAGCACAATGATTTCCCACAATTCCCAAATCTCCCCGAGGAACTCCGTGTGTTAATATGGGAGCATTCATTACCACGCAACCGGATCGTCAAGGTCGAAGTACCGAGTGGCTGGATTACCAAGGACGAGATATGTCTAGCAAGAGGCCATCATATACTCAGCAAGCTTCTTCGAGTTAATAGAGAGTCGAGGCAAGCCGTGCTTCGTTTTTATCGGATACATATACCTTGTACGCTCAAAAAGGGCCAACAAAGAAAATATGGGATTCTCCCATTTAACCCCGAATTCGATATTCTACAAATCAGAGTGCCGCCGCGTAGAAGTCTCTACTTTTCGAACTTCATTTGCAAGCTGAAGAGCTTGGATCCTCATGGAGTTGGCGTTACTAAATTGGGGTTGGATGCTGTCGATATGATATGCATCAAGAATTGTACGGATGTGACCAACATGGGTGAACAGCGGCGCAACGATTTTACTGCTACTATCGCGCAACTTGATAAGGTCTTCTTTATAGACATTGACAATTTCGGTCGTGTCTGCGGTAGTGAGGTGTCAGATATCGTGGACAAGGTCGAATTCCATAGATCGATTCCTATAGCGCCCAAGACACCGGCCTTTGACATCATGGCATCCGATCCGAGACCTATCCAAGGAGACTTAAAACACGTTTATTTCAAGCGGGATGATCCTCGTCGGATGATGTTCAACTGGCGCGAGATGCTTCATTTATGGGAGATACCGCATTCCTCAATGACCACCTCTTATCACTTCCTCATGGCCTCTCGGGGGTGTTCCGAGACGATGTTTCCCAAGGAGCCGATACATAAGGTAATGGATCGTGCGGACGCCGAGCGGTGGTTGCGTGCGGAGGATAGGTTTTGGGAAAAACTTGTCAAAAACCTCAGCTTCATCGACGAGTTTAAGGCACGTGTAGAAGAGATTAGAAGTGATGAGGAGCTCGCCAAGGCATCCTCGATAAGCAATGCGGTTGGCTACTGGATGTTTCCGATGGATGCACTGGGATCGTTGAAGGAGTCTGAATTTTTATCACCAATTCGGCAGGGGCCATAAGCTTTTGATATGTCGGCTCATTGGTCTGCGTTTGCATTATCACATCTGCCGTAGTTGATAGGGAATTGAGAGTACTGTTATAAGTTCCTAATTTAAATGAATTGAAAATGCGAAAAATGTTCGAATGTAGTATAGAACGGTGAAAAAGGAACATCCTGAAGTTGTCTAGAGAGACCACACAGTATAATAGTTAATAGTTTGTATAGCTTCTAATACTATACACACTGTACGGGGAATCGAAGCTATCGCTGAAAGACGTGAGAAAACTTTTTCCCTCTTGTGGCGATTACATCACTTGACTTAAAACTCGATAGCCTGGACCCTTCATTCCCATCAGGAAAAATCATTGTTTCCTTTTTGCGTCTAGAACATTGGGACCTTGTCGTAGAGACAGGAGATCAGCCTTTATCGAATTACTTGCAGTTGTACATGATGACATACATCTAGGAATTGTCGATCCTTCTAGATAATTTCGCGCATCGGAGCATAAGCCTTTTTATAGATCCTCGACGACAGTGGGAATAATTCGGTTTCGCTTTACGGTTGCTATTATTCATCGCGAACGTGTGAAGCAATCTATGTTATACCTTGTTGGCTCTATATTTGGGTATCATTGACGTTCCGGGATCGACTTCCCCTCTCTCGAATAGTTTCCTTGGGCTACTATCAGGGCCTAAGAATCGATTGCGCATTTTTACCCGGGCGGATTTTTGAGACTTCCTTACCGGTTGCGTAGGCCTGTGTATAAACAGGAACTGTCAAGATGTTGGAGAGCTACCAACATGCTGGGACGCAGCCAGGGGTGACTAGCAAGTATGTCGGAAAGACTGTTGGGCAGAGCGATGCTACTGAGTCGAGGGGTCGTACATGGACCAAAACCATTCGCAAAATCCTATCGGATTTCATTTCGGCTGGTCCAGTAGAAGAACGAGGTGTCATGCCTGTAGCGCTAGAAGATCGGACTGCTACAAATTATAGCAGTTACTTTTCGATATGGGCATGTATGAATATAAACCTCTTACCGTGAGTTATTCATACTATACATGCTATACAAACATTGCTGACTTCTCGATTAGTATTACATTCGGCTTATTAGGTCCGGCGTATGGGTTAGGTTTGAGGGACAGCTCGCTAGTCATCTTGTTCTTCTGCCTCTTGACTGCGGCGATACCGACTTATCTTGGTACTTTGGGGCCGAAAACTGGTTTGCGACAAATGATTCAAGCTCGTTTCTCTTTCGGAAGATACCTTGTTTCCGTACCCGTCATTTTGAATCTGGCCACGCTCACGGGTTTCTGCGTCGTCAGTTGCGTCATCGGAGGTCAATGCTTGTCGGCCGTTGCTGGTGGTTCTCTCACCCCGGCGGTCGGAATAGTCATCATGGGCTTTTTGGCTCTCCTCATATCTTTTTGCGGGTATGAGGTGTTGCATCAGTATGAGCGTTTCGCGTGGATTCCAGCTGTGATGGCGATAATAATCGCTACTGGTTGCGGAGGGTCGGGCCTCCAACAGCAAGCACCAGTGGAACCTGCGACAGCCGGTGGTGTTCTCAGCTTTGGAATGATCATTGCCTCTTATATGATCCCATATGCTTGCCTCGCCTCGGATTTCACAACATATTTAAATCCCAAATTCTCATCGTGAGTTGTCCCATATTGTGATGATCTTGATCTTAAGCTAACTTGATATAAGCGTGCGATTGTTCTTATACGGATATGCCGGCCTTGTTCTCCCGTCCGTGGTATTGATGGTGCTAGGCGCTGCTATCGGAGGGGCTATAGCTAGTGTACCCGAATGGCAAGCAGGTTACGACTCGACACAAGTTGGCGGTGTATTAGCTGCCATGTTATCTCGGGCTGGCGGATTCGGAAAATTTGTCGTCGTTGTGCTATCGCTAACTTTACTCGGAAACATCTCTGCAACGATGTATTCGATTACGCTTAATTTCCAGATATTGGTCCCGCAGCTCGTCGTAGTACCGCGTTACTTGTTTTCGGTGGTAGTCACCGCTATTATTATACCGGTAAGCGTCAAAGCTGCGGCAGAATTCTTCGCCAACCTTGAGAATTTTGTTGGTCTGATCGGTTACTGGTCCGCGGCATTCGTCGCGGTATTAATTGTGGAACATAATGTCTTCAGAGGTGGTAAATATGATTCATATGATCACGATAGTTGGAACGTGGCATCTCGATTGCCATGGGGTGTCGCAGCTTTAACAGCAAGTGTGCTCAGCTTTGCGGTGGCTATTCCTAGCATGTCGCAGGTGTGGTTTGAAGGCCCAATTGCGAAGAAGGCTGGTGACATTGGATTCGAGATGGCATTCGCTGTGACTGCGGTTCTCTATCTCCCTCTTCGATATTTAGAGAAGAGGTTGAGTGGACGATAGAAATTGATAGAAGATTGGATGCCCTGACGATGTAGATAAATGTGATTGATGAGTCTCTTCGGGATGATATACCCAGGTAGAATAATTCAATCTTGTTTTCATATCTCAGTGGGAGGTGGCGTTAATTAGAGCAGGTGGTAGGTGCTGAGATATGAGATTGGCGCACAATACAGTGCAATCCATGCCTGCCCAAGCCATTCTAGTGATTTTCCCTCTAGGAATAAGCTATGGTTAAGTGACAGCAACCTAGAGTTGTCGCGAAGATATACGAGTCTTGCGGCAGGATGCAAGTTACGTATAGTTTCGTATAAAATCCAGTAATAAGCGGCGGCATAAAAACGAAGCTTTACTACGTCAGTACACGGCCTAAAAATTAGTCCGTAGGCTAGATTTCGGGTCGCTGTAAGAGCCCGTTAGGTCTTCGTATTATACGATGATTTGTCACTGAAATTACAACTAGGGGTCCCTACCTAGGGCAGTCCAGGGTGCTTCCAGGTAGAAGCGCAGGGAACAGCCAGCCTTTAAAACCCCGGGACCCTAAGAAGAATAGCTACCTACCTAAGGTACTATGCCTCTATCATCATCTTAGCATCTAACCCTTGCCGTGGAGGAATTATTCGACCGCGACAATGTCGATGACTAGAATGGGCATACATTGGGAGAAGAAGCATGTTCTACGTGAATTCATTCATAAATTTGAGTCTGAGGAAACCTATTGATCATGCCCATCTTGTTGTTCACGATGGATTATAAAGGCTTGTTTGGCGCCCTCGAGTTCTGGCGAAATGAACTAGAGTCAAGACACGGTTAATAGAGAGCCTCAGAACATCCTGAACCGACAACATATAACTATTGAAAACCAAAAGACTCGAATTAATTCGAATTTACCCATCTTTTATCATGTCTGCTTGCGCCGCGAAGGTTGACTTCGATCCCGAAGCTGATATTCCTGACCTTCAGGGAAAAGTGTTCCTCGTCACAGGCGGTACGCAACCCCTTACACCTAGCGAGGTACCTAACATATCACCTAAACCTCCCTATACTGACAATATAGCTAGGTACTGCAGGGCTAGGAAGAGAAACACTCATCCAATTAGCCAAACACAAACCTTCCCATCTCTACTTCACCGGTCGCAACCAGAAGAGTGCAGACGCAATCATCTCAGACATCAACACCATCGATGCATCAGTAAGCGTCACTTTCTTGCAATGCGACTTCGGATCTCGCATCTCCATCGCTAAGGCAGTTGAGAAGTTCCACTCGGGCAGACTCGACGTAATCATCGCCGGCGCCGGGCTTATGGCAGTGCCCGCCGACGTGACGGCTGATGACTACGAGATCCAATTTGGAACATCGCATATGGGAAATTTCACGTTGATGCGACTCCTACTTCCTATCATGTTACGCACAGCCGAGCAGCCCGGCTCCGATGTACGGTTTGTTGCGCTGACGAGTCTGGGTTACGGGTTACACCCGCGCGGTGGTATACTATTCGACTTCATCAAATCAAAGCAAGAAGACCGCAATACATGGGTCCGATACGGTCAAGCGAAACTAGCCAACATTCTAACAGTCAAAGAGATGGCGCGTAGATACCATAGTATCACGAGCGTCGTCGTGCATCCAGGTACCGCCAAGACCGGGCTTGTGGATAGTCCGTCCTGGATCAATCGCATGGTTGTGTACGCGACGAATCCTAAAGGTCTCCTGACTGTGCAAGAGGGCGCGTGCAACATGCTCTGGCCTTTGACTACGGAGAAAAGTAATCTTAAGCTTGGACAATTTTACTTGCCGGTTGGGAGGCCGGGTGATCTTACGAGGGATGGTGAGAATATGGACTTGGCGAAATGCCTGTGGGATTGGAGTGAGAAGGAGATTGCTGAGTTGAATTTCAGTTGACGTCGCATCATTTGGAACTTCTTTTTTTACTTCTTCCCTGCTTTTGGAGAGGTGATCGGCGGCGTTTTCCTATGTTGGCGAAACTTGTCTATTGAATGTTTCCATTTCATTTCCATGTTCCCGAAATACAAGCCACTCCCCAGCTGGTGTCACAATTCCACGAACGACGATTGATCATGTCTACCTAGGTGCACATACAAGTAAATTTTCGACAACTACCTAGACGAACTAAATAGGAACGGTACTATTCTGCGGTATACAAGCACCATAGAATGTTTTCGTCAAAGACTCTGTCGAGTTCTTCGCAGCTGCGCCCAAAACAGTAGTTCCACACTTAAGACCCAATACGAAGCTTCCAGCCATAACGTCGGCCATATAAGGTCCAGTGTGTGTATGATCCTTCGGGTAGTTGGCATTGACGGTTGTGGCACCTAAGTTGATCATGGCTTGAACTGCATATTGTTTATGCGGTACGTGGTACACATCCGGACTATTGAGCTCAGCAGCCGCGTGCCTTCGGAATAGTCAGTAAAACAATCGAAATTTCTCTGGATTTTACTGCTTACCATGCGTAATAGTCAAATCGCGATGTGTCAGTAACACATTTTCCACTTTCGCACACGTTATTCGGGGTGGGTGAGTTCAGAATGACCTTGGCTCCCTTGTCGAGGAAGAGTTTCGCGGCATTTTTATAGTATGCAGGGTATGTCAGGACAGTTTCCTTAACACCATTATACGTGGTTTGGCATGTTTGAGCGCCATCTCCAGGACAGTCGGTTCGTCCATTGTCACTGCTTAGACTACCACCATCATTGTGACCGAACTCAATGACAACCCAATCGCCTGGTTTCACCACATTGGCTACTTCGGTAAAGCGGCCCTCGCGAGTAAATGACCTGGCGCTTCTTCCGCCGATGGCTGCATTGTGTACGACAAAGTCGGAACCGAAGCTGTACTTGAGGTACTCCCCCCATCCCTCAGTGGCTGATCCAGCGCCTCCCCCTCCTTTAGCCATGGTTGAATCACCACATAGGTGAATTGTGGCCGGCGCTGTTGGGGCCGCTGTAGCGGTTAGAGCTAGAAGCCACCACAGTCCATAAACACCCATTGCTAAGGGATTTAGGAGTGATTGATGAGTGTATTCTGAGGGCAATAAACCGACTAAGATAAAAGATTCACGGTTCTATGGCGATCTGATCCGATCTGTTGAGATCATCTACGATGCAGAGAGATGTATTAGTATTGAGATCGGCACGCCGTGGCTTATAATGCATACGGCGCACCTCGCTATATATTACTGCGAAAGCTGCCCGTCGGAAATGATTGAGATTGCTTTGTTCCAAGTAATCTCATCCCTAGAGTCACAGAGATCTAGACCACATTACATCGCGATGTTACGGTCGCTCGGAAAACCTGGTCAAGATAGTTATAAGTATGGGGCATGTCGTATTGTTACCTTGAATTATTCCGTATCTTACAAGACTCCGTGATGGTTTTTGTCTAGATCTTCTCGAGCTGGTTGAGCTGAGGGGCGATGAGACATTTTGCCGGGTGATCTAACTCCGGAAGCTCAATAGTTCAATTGCCTAAACAATCTACCTATCCTAATTAAAATCTTCTTTAACAGGCAATTATTTAGTATATTCTTGGCTGATTTCAATAATTGGTGGCTTTTAATTAGTTAAATGCCGCCAATAGCTCGATGAAGTTAGGGATACGAGCAAAGAGGTATAATACCAGTTGCATGATATAATAGATGTTTTACTAGTTATAAAGAAACCCCAATGTAACTCCAATAACCTCACTCTTCGATATGATCCATACTCTCATTATTATTCAGATGACAGCCATGTGTATCTGTATTCCATCCTGACTCTCCCACAGGATCGGGACACCTGGCGCGACAAAAAAGATGAACCCTTCCTTAAGCTGATGGTCTACTCCCTCAGCGTGCATTACTCCTTTCCCCGAGGTCACGATTAATACGCCTGGACCTTCGCTCGCGGTAAGCTCCTCGCTCTCGCCGGCGCCTAGGTCTGCTTTGAGCATGTCAAATTCACTCATCGGTGGTCTATACACCACTGTCTTCCCATTCTTGCTCTTGTTCGACTTCTGGCTAGGTAGATAAACATCATCCCTGCTGTGAGCCTTGAAAGTCAATGTGTCCGCGAATGTATCGGCATTGTTACGGTCGCCAGGCGGGCAGAAGCCGGTGTTGAGCACGTTATTGCTCCTGGCCATGCACTCGACGATGTCGCCAGCTAAGTATGCGTGGATTCCATCTGCAGGTATCCACACTGCATCTCCGGCGTTGAAGACAAGGTAATTCATGCACAGAAGCGCCACTAAACTGCCTGCATCTTCCGGACCGTATTGATCTTGAAGGCGGGGTAGGAGGTCCAAGATGTAGGCTGCATCTCCCAAGTGATCTTTCGGGACCTTCGATAGTTCTGTTTGGACTTTTCTAACCGTATCAAGGTCAGCCTTGAGTAGGGTTCTGGTGACATTCCGTAATGTCTCGTCTGTCCATTTATCTGGTTGTTCTGGATTGAATTGTCGTAGTTGTTGAAGCTCGAATAGAGGTGCTATTTTATTCAACGGCTTAAACCCGGCGAAAACCTCGAATTTGGATAATGCTACTGCGATCTCAGGCTTGTGATTCGGGTCGGTAAAACTGTCTGGATCTTTCTCGTGAAGTTTAGTAGCAAGTTCCTTATTAGGGTGGAGTTGTAGTGGGAGTGCCTTGGCGATCGATAGGATCTACAGGGTCTTATGAGTTCTTATCCTTAAAACTGGTTTCTTTATGGTGAAAACATACCTTCGGCAAGTATGGAAGTTGGCTGTTAAATTTCTCAATGACCTTCTTTCCTAGAAGCTTCTCTTTGTTGGCTTGAAGCACGTCTGCTAATAACTCGCCGGTATCTAGTTTGCGAGCTGGGAAATCAGGGTAGTCTCCAAACCACATCTCTGAATAAAATTCATCATCTTTGATTTGAAAGTCAATACCAGGCGTCTGCGCGCAAAGCTGTGCTGCGAGGGATTGTTTTCCTTTCTTTCCCCAAGGATAATTGTTACAAGTCCCGCTTAGCTGGAACACGGTTGGAGGCGACATTCCGATACTCTTGATAGTGGGCTTGCTCCGAGACGATTGCTATCGTAGATTGTTTTTGAAGTTAATAATTTTATTAGCAATAATCAAGTGGATTGAATACACTGCCGTAAGTAATTACTATTATTTACTTTTATTTTGCTATGCTTCCTCTTCCATATGCGCCCCAAATCCGCCATCGTGATGTTTACATGTCGTCATAGAAGATGTTTGTGTTAGGTCCCGGACATGTCATTCTTATGTGGGGGTTTCAACACCCTTTGTCGGATTTCAATGCGTGGAAACCTGAGTATTTATTTGGCCAATTGTCTGCTTAAATAACCCGACTTACTTCAAGAGAGGAAAGCGATAGGAAAATTAATGTCAATTCTATTTCCTGGTACGTTAATATGAAATTTATTGTCCCAGCTATCTGGTACCGGACCGGGTAGTCAAGTAATGCTCCACATATACTCCGGGTGTCTCGGTAGTATAGGTATCTAAGCTTGTGCCCTTAGGTAAGAATGCTGTCTTTCCGAACCTCAAACGATTTATGATGGTGACTTGAACAGAAACGTGTATTCCCTGATAATCTACTCATTTATCTACTTGTTGATGAAATATTCCGAGGCTTCGTCATCAAACCTGTCCCGAGGAAGAAGTGGATCGTTTGTAGAATGGATTATGTAATCCTGTTAAAGAAGTAATAGATCGAAAATGACGTTTTTAATCCGTTCGTCAACTTTTCCCAAGACAAACAAACATCAGTTCCCACATATACAACGACAACGATCTGATAGACATGAACGGAGTTCATTCAGCATTGAGATATATCCCCTATAGAAAAATTGAATGTATTCGTCTAAATTAGCTGTTGCCTTCACATGAAATTTGTTACTCCGACCGTATGGTGACATCCGCCTATAGTTCCGATCGATCGATCTTAAGTGCAGCTAAACATCCCGTAACAGTACCCCCCCAACAGCTAAAGAATTGTGTCATCTAACAGGTTTTTCTTAGATTTACAGGGCATTAGAAACTTGTAGAAGACTAGTAACCATTTGGTCTATAGCCTGGAACTAACAACAACCGCCCGTCGTCTAACTTACAAGACTCAAGTTTTTGGGAATGGTCTTTCTAAGAATAAAATCCGAATTGACTATTCGCCATCGCCCCAGCTAAATAGTAGGAATCACGCTGTTCGTGTGGCACTAAGAGGGTTCCGCTTCTGGATCGTCTACACTAGGCTTTGTACTTCAGGGTGCCATCGACGTCATTAGTCTTCACTAACAGGGCTGGGAGAATTCAAACATCGCCATTCTAGTAAATAGAACAAGAAATCATGGAATATTCAAGACGACAGATGGGAATTGGAGTGGATTTTTGGCCGCGTAACCTTCTCCAGTCCTACGTATATATACCGAAGGGTTGAGCCAACCTCGTCGACCTGATATTTGAAGCTTACTACTGAATCCACAAAAGTCGCATTATGTCTGCAGACGAAGAAGCAAATCAAAATGGCTCCACCTCGGGCCAGAACACTATAGCTTCTAAATTAACAGATATTCTTCCCGTTCCGCCGAATACCCAACCTGTTAGCGAACCCGAGAAGCGTGAAACTGCGAATAGCCTCACCGAGGAACCGACACTTTCCCATGCTTTGGCTACGGACGATCACGAAGAGAAGGGCTTAGCCCAACAAGAGCATGATGAAGAAGTGATCGATTTGGGTTGGAATGAGAAGAAAGAAGAAATATCCGGGCCGTTGGTTGGGGGTTTGGGTAACGAAGATCTATGGCTATTGGTGCGAAGATTTAATAAGGTATGCATATTGTTGTCCTTCCTAACATCGCGAACGAGGATATTGATGAAACTGGTTCATCACAGCAAGTATACCATGTTAAAGAAGTGCCCACTACTGTACCTGGCGATCTAGATCTCAACATAGCCGATGAAGAGGAATTTTCTCCCGACAAATTGCGAGCGAATGTTGAGCGACTTTACATGACTGTCGTCGTCGGGTTGTTAGCTGCTGTCAAACATATTGCGCGATTACGTTCATGGCGTGAGACTCGTCGGACAGCAAGTTTTTGCGCGGTAAGTCTTCCTAGATAATTTCTTCTTTCTACAATGTCCTGTCGTAGCGACACCTTAAACTAATTGGTACCGATAGGTCTACTTCCTTGCGTGGGCGCTCGATCTAGTTGTTCCGACACTGACACTAACCTTGATCACACTCATTGTCTACCCACGATCGCGAGATATCCTCTTCCCACCGGCGCCTCTTGCATTGGTCGATAGCAAAACTGGTGGCATTCAAAAACCTAAAGCTGGAGTTCTTGGCAGCACCGAGAGTTCAACAGGAGCACCACAAAATTACAAGGGCGAGGCGGTCGAACAAGAAGCTAGCAATTTCTTCAATGGCATTACGTCAATCGTGGTTACAAGCGCTACGGGAAAGAATCCACAAGCTGCACCGTCAACAGAATCGGGATCTCCCGATGATGCCGTGCCAGATCCTACTAGTGTGACCGTTGCGGCTGCTGAGGCAAAAGATGTCGCTGCGGGAGGCAAGGCGAGTCCGAAACATGACAAGACTAAAGTCCCAGTCGAGACTGCGATGTGGACAAAAATGAGACCAATTATGCATGGTGTTGCTGATGTGTCCGATACTTGGGAGAGATTTGCCAATGCTCTGTCTCCCACACCACCATTCCCAAGGGACATCTACAGACTGAGGCTAGCCTCTTTGATTCTTCCGCTGTTCCTCATTTCTCTGTTCGTGACATCTTACATGTTCATGAAAGGTGTGACCTTCGGAGTAGGGTTTGGCTTTTTCGGAGATCCCATTATTTCTCGCGGATTGAAGTGGCTCAACCATACATTCCCTAACTGGCAGAAATTACTCGAGCTTCGCAACACAATACTCAAGGGTGTACCGACTAATGCGCAATTAACACTTACCCTTCTTCGCATAGGCGAAGCTAATAAGGCTCCCATCCCACCACCGCCTTCTACTAGCGAGCCACCACCTGAGAAGCCAACGGAAATTACAGACAACGAATTGAGAGCAACGGGTGCCGAACCGCCACTAAACGCTACAGACGAAGAAATCCAACAGGCCATGGAACATGACCCGCGAACTGCACACGAGACTGGTGGCTCGGATATTGATGCCGCAAAGGGGTCTAAGCACGGCAAGAAAGGTAGCAAGATCATCGGCTTCTTCAAAGGAACTACGAAAGGCGCAGTGAAGACGGCTATTGGTACCGATCACGCTCGAGCGAAAGTGGGATCTCATCATGCTAAGAACCGTCTGGGTGCTGTTCCTCGATCGGACGATAGCCGGATCTCTGGACCGGTTGACTTTCAGGGTCGATACAAGGGCCAGAAAGGACATGTCTACATCACAACGAAGTCCACAATTCCAGCGGTATCTTTTAGTACTGACTCGACAATCGAGAAGATTGGGTCGGTGGAGCGCGAAGATTTGCACCCACTTTGGACTATCGCCATTAATGATATCGCCGAACTTAAGAAGGTTGGTGGATATGGATGGAAGGCCAAGATAGTGGTTGGGTGGTCAATGGGTAGAGAAGTGGCCGACGGATTAGAAATTACGGACAGGTTAGGGAACGTACGACGCGTCACTGCGTTACCAATGAGGGACGAATTGTTTAACCGTCTTGTGGCTATAGGAGGACAGAAATGGGAGGCCTGGTGAGAGGTCCTCGACAAGAAAATTCATGGAGTTATTGTATGTCTAACATTGTAGATTAGTGCGAAGGCTTGTCCAGCCGATTGACTAGTCTGATTTCTTTCATTTCCCTGTCTTTTCCTTTTCGGAATCATCGGATACCTACCTAGGCTATTAGGTTCCCAAGCTACCTACTCATTCAAGCCAGTCAGATAGCGTGTAGGATAAATCTACTTGATCTTACGAATCTTACGATGTATTCACGGATGTAAGCAAAATTTTACCATGCTAGAACGACCCCAAGCTGAAGAACCCCTGATAGCTACCTAGCCAAGCCTTAAGTCCCTACAACATGATCCCTGTCTTCAAGTCTTCGCTGTAGTTGGGTCGCTTCTAGAGGTTCGAAATACGGTCTCCTCGGGCCCCGCTCAACTCGACATCTCGAAGCTTCCTACGAGTTTTGGGGTTACGGAACAGCATCTGTTCTAAGAAAGAAGCATCATACCTCATTACGGGTCATTTTAAGCTTATCAAAAGGCACTTTTGCATTTTGGTTTTCGGCTATGCGGGCTAAATTGACAATACGACAATTGATGCACGTAGAGTGACATCGCAACTGAAGATCACGAAGCAAAATAACATGTTATGACAACATCCAATATATTTTTTCTGAAGAAAAAAGGGGGGTTTTGGTTCCATTCGTACCTATGACATAGGTTTGATCGACGCGATGGGCAGTCGATATAAGTAGAAACGAACATCCTCGGTCATCTAAAGCTGAGCATAACACGGTCATGCGAAAATCACCCAACTAATCACCACCTGGCCATCACAATGCATCTCTCAAACTTCTTAACGTTAACGTCCCTCTTCCTCCTACCTACCGCCCTCGCACAGTCTACGGGCTGCGTAGAAGGCAGCAACTGCAGTTCCTGCGGGTGGTACTGCAACCAAGGATGCAGCGCGCCACTTGATCGCACCGAGTGTAATCGGTGTCTATACTGTCGGCGCGAGAGCTCATCGTGTGGTTTTATTGATATCAGTGATACATGGACGCATGATGCACCAAGCGACGAGCTATGTGCCGCCTGCAACGATGGATGTTGGTGTCATGGCGATTGGTATTGCATGGACACTGCTACCGCAGCCCCACCTGGGTCACCGCCTACCCCGAAACCTACGCCGACGGGATCTGCGCCGTTGGCAGCAAAGGCTACTATTTCGCCCTAGAGAGGTTGACTGAAGAGGGGAAGGACGGAAGCGGCCTGTGTGATTTTGACAAGGAGCTCGCATCATCGTGACCCAGGCATAGAAACGAAGGGATGAACGTTCACATTGAAGGTGGAAAATAACTTGGTCGCCGCAGTTTTTTATTTCGCCGGAAGATACCTTCCGTCAATTCGAATTACTTAGTGTTGGGTTATGTGGTGGATATCATGGAGTTTGGATCCTTCAAGAGCAGGGGCTTGTATATACGGCGGAACTTTAGGGAGTTTTTACGCACTTCGTTCTCGGGATATTAATTCCATGAGGATTAAGATTATGAGGAATTGTGTACCCTTTTAATTATTTGTACTTCAATAATACACAACGAAATATTATTTTGGGGGACTTTGCAGGCCCAAATTCAATCTTCACGAAGTACCATGCCTCTCGGCCGGGGCGGTATGGTATTACTTTTATACAACTTCCCATGAAAAGTGATGATCTTTTTGAAAATCTTCCCTTACCATGGCGTCTCCAATAGAAATATTTATTGGTTCTAATAATCGCTCCTATCGGAGCAAAGTCATGGCTGAACTGAGAAGCAGATCGAATGTGGTGGGGGGACGATCTTCAACCATCTCGATGAGAGCATATAGAATTGATAGAACCATTAGTGACTTGACATAATTCGATCTATCGCGATTTTTCGAAGCTGTTGGAAGTTTAATATCATTCGTTTAATGCGCTATGTATTAGTAATATGAAGAGGCTCAAGCTATTCACTTCATCCCTCCCACGCGAGCTCAATAATGGCTAGATTGGATCCCGACGGTTGCTTTACACCTTGGAAGATGAACCTAGGATCAGCTTCCTGAAACAATGTTTTCCATTCGTCAAGATCGCGTTCTTTGGCATTGCTAAGTTCAAGCATCGATATATCCATAGCTCTATGAGTCCAGTCAGTTATGTGTGCCTGTAATATTGCACACGTGTGCACAAAAAAAGATTTTTAGACTCACCTCAAATTTCGCTCCATATCATTAGGAATAACTCCAAAAGGGGGAAGGACTGCTTCCATGACGATGACTCGCGCACCATGTTTCAAAGCTGGTATGAGTGCCCTTAAGATCTTAACGCAGTACTTATCAGGCCAGTCATGAAGGACCCAGCGATATAAATAAACATCGGCATTCTTGATAGGTTGCTCTTCGAAGAAATCGTGACCCATGAATTGAACATTTAGGCCATTTTCCTTTTTCGCACTCGCGACTACTGTAGGTAGATCTTGTACCGTAATGTGAAGGTTCGGATACTTGCGGGCCAAGGCGAAAGCCATGTCACCATGAGATCCGCCCACATCAACAACAGAGTTTAGAGTAGCCCAAGGGTAGTTATCGGTTAGATGATTCGGCGAGAATTTGGGACCACTGATAAAGAAGCTCATAGCACCACCGAATCGACGTGCCTTTTCTGGGTCCTTGGAGAGCTCCTTAAGGTAAGGGTCATTCGTACCCTTAGCAAGCGAGAATCCCTGATTTTGTTAGTCGGATACTACAATCGCGAACATACGTACGTACGGCTTGATTGGGTTCTGTTGCACCGGGCCACTTGATAAGTGCTTCAACAGTTTTTTCTGCTGCTGGCCATAGCTCATGTGTATTCGCCCCCATCCAATCTGAAATACCCGAGTCCTCTGCGATACTTCTAGAGGCTGGCGAGTGCGCGATAACACCAGGATGAGGTTCTCTAAAGATACGATACGCAATGCCTAAGCGTAGGATACGACTAAGGGCAGCGCTGTCGACTCCTACTATTGCCGCTAAATCCCTGTACGTGATTTCTCCATCTAAAGGTACTTGATGGGCAATATCAAAGCGATAAATGGCTTTCATATACAACAAACGGTTGTGCTGATAAATAATTAGTCCCTATATGATGAATGCGATTATATTCACAAGGGGTTACACACGTGATGGTTATAAAGCAAATCCCTTGGTGTTTGTAGAAGATCATTGAGCTCTTGCGTTGCTTGAAGAACTAACGCTCGGGATTCCTCTAGTTCCGCCGGTAATCCGAGCTCAGTTGGACCATCTGCTTCGAAAGATGGATATGGCAATGCATTCTCAGCGAGGTAGGTATCGATTAAGTGTGTATGAGCTGCTACAACGGCCGATAGTTCGGCTATGCGACTTTGGGAAGACATTCTGCTGTATATTAGATCACGATAATTTCTTGTCGATCAAAATAGAGAGACAACAACTCAACGAAAAAAAGCCAAGTTATTCCTAAGTAAACCCTTTCTCCCTACGAGAGTATTACATGATTGAAGCAAGAGACTTCTTTGACGTTTGGGTAGGGAGGAAATACCTAGGTCTCCTCAGATATCGGTATTTAAATAGATTATAAATTGCTAATGAATTAAAACATCTTCAAAGCTTCTTAATGATAGTTCGTACTGATTTTATACTATTCACTAGGATAGCATTATTCACTTGGGTTTTGGTGCATCCGCGCCGCATTCTTGACCCCTGAGTGCTCGGACATATTCTACTTTCCATTGTCCGCGACACCCACTCTTAGGAATTATCGCCGATAAGTCGTCCTGTAAACACGTATGCCTTAATAAATAGAAATTCGATATATTTATATTTGTAAGTCATAGGTTTACTCTCAATTGATTGATATAGGGATTGATTTGCTCATACAACCCTGAGTAGGTGCTTAACTGACTGGTTTGTACGACCTCAATCGGATAGATCCGACGGCACTGGCAATGCTTTATAGCACCCCTGGCTCTAAAATAGAGAACTGATCTTTCTCAGAATCTAATTGAGCTAATGCGTCAAATGGTAAAGTGACCATCGGCGAAGTATGCCCAATATCAATATTGAACAAAATCGGGAAATTCTTGCTTGCCAAACGTCCCTCGCATAGAAGCCCCTTGATCACTCCGATATACTGTTCTCTCATCTCCGGGGTATCATATCCAAATGGTCGCCCCACTACCAATCCCGCCGCTTCTTCGAATACGCCCTCCGCGATGAGATCGGCGATACCTGCCTGCACTCGAGGAAGTGGGTTTCCGGATTCCTCATCATCGCCTATGGCCGTCTCGAAAAATACTATCCGTCCTTTCCAATCGGGAACTATACCACGGACCCCTCCGAGACGGGCTATGACGGTTAGACAACCACCGAAGAGCCGTCCTTGCGCTTTACCGGGTCGCAACCATATCCAGCCAGGAGTAGGGGAGAGCTCTGGTGGCTCTACCGAAGCTGGGTTACGGAAAATTGTGGGGACCTTTGCCGTGTATGTTGGAGATCGTGGGATATCTCCAATAGGTTCGCGATTCGTGATGACACGGAATAAATGATTGACGGAGAACGCAAGCGGACTGGATTTGTCGTCGACAGAGCTGGACTCGCCAAGCTCCGGAATGGCTCCCGGCCCGTAAAAGGTGCGAAGTCCTGTGTATGCATGCAAGAACCAGTGCAGACCCGATATATCGGAGTAACCCACGACTATCTTGGGATTGGCGCGGATGATGCTGTGGAGCTCCGCGTCAGCACTTAAAGCTGGTATTAACTCGGTGAACGTCGGTCCACCGATGGTACAGATAATGGCGGAGATAGTAGGATCCGAAAATGCGGTCCGTACCTCGGCTAGGCGATTAGAAATGGAGGATTGGATTCCCGTGTCCCTATTATAGATTTCACGGACTTTATAACCACGTCCTTCAAGCAACGAAGTCGCTCGTGACATGACACCAGGGAACTCATGATTGATCCGAGCAGAGGGTGAAATGAAGGCTATTGTCGCACCGGGCTCCAAGGCCTTTGGGACTATTGTTGAAGGCATTTTCGGTTGTGGGGTTGTGCTGCTGCCTGCGCCAACCCGTCGGTGAGATCAAGCAAATGGATACCGAGATTTTGGTGTTATATAATAATTCACTTATTAAGATTTTACATACGAATATCGACAGTGATTTAGACCGAGAATGGGCTTAAATGGTGTAATCAACTCCTTAGCTTCACATTGACAGAAGGGCGTTACCAAAACTAGGGACGGTGCGGAATATACTGTCTTGTGCTATTTTATGGGGAGTTAGGTGCTATACAGTATACCCTGTAGATATTCGTACGTTATCGGGGTTAGGATGACGCCCTTTGGGTCATGCGGGAACGCGGCGCAGCCAGGTTGAGAATGAATGTTACGTACTGAAGATTAGTTATATATCATACGTCGAAGGAAAATATTGAGTAGGTTGGGTGGTTACCCAATTCATCATGCCATGATTATAAATCAGGAGTCCATACCTACCTACCTAACTACCTACCTAGGCAGACTTCCTTCTCGGTGGTCTATGATGTCTGCTTGACATTAACAATTCGGTAGTTATCATGCCGTCCATATATATTCTGCGGTGATGCGAATTTATAGCCTAATTAGACATCACCTGACATCGTCGTCCATCTAGATCCCCCTTTCCTGGCTTGCCAAGTGGGGTTGGCTTTTTCTCATCTTCATCCAATCGACCGTTGGTTGTATATTGTAGGAGGATGTCCCTCTCTACGATGATGATAAATCGTTAGGATCTTTTGAACAACTATACATTCCAAGGTTGCCATTATAAACGTTCTTCAGCAGAATTGAATAGCAAGCAATAGAAGGTAATGATGAAATAAAGTAAAGTGAAAGCCGGCTTGGGTGCGAAAAATAGAAGCCCAAATGCACGTTGGCTCGATTATCTGCATTATTAACAGCTCGAAGTAGTATATGTTGGTGAGAATATGGTAAGTCCGCTAAGCCGTGCGGAAACTAATACTTGATAGGCATAGAGGGACACTTTAGCAATGCTGATCAGGGGTGTAAAATCCTTGGCGATACCCAAGAGTTTGGTTCGATTTGGCCCCATACATATGATCTGGCTTAGAAATACCGACACTTAATAACGATTGTGACTTCGAATCGATTGGTTACCCCTTGTTAGATTTTTCGGACTTGAAGCTAAACAGCTAAACACCTAAATGCAAGCGAGTCAATAGTGGCCACTCACCTAGATACCTGCGTAGACATCTAGATAGAATTGAAGGTTGTATATGAGTAGATAAGCGACGTGAAAGAACTTAGGGCATGAATAGAATTCCATGTCTATATTGGCAACTTCCAGGTTTCTAATACTGGTCTTGACATAGTGAGGTAACATAGTCAGGGGCTAGTTGGGAGATGGGATAACCCACCTAGGCGCGTAACAGAGATGCTGCACGGCACAGAACGCTGACACTGCATAAATATAGGCACCTACATTAGTAGAATGTGCCCGAAGTAGCGTAGACGAACCCAAATGGAGTTAAGACATACCAAATATGGTAGACGACTAATACGTTACCCGGCTTTATAGAATACTATCACCGGAGCCCCGACTTAGGAAGAGGTGGTTCGTCACTTCGGTGCCTATGCACGATGATAATCTTGGCTTGCTGTTGAGTATAAAACCGCGTTCGAGGGAATTGTTCTTGATGGTGTTTTGTTCTATATCTTCAGAACATCCAAGTCCTTCACCGAATCAACAGCCCAAGTCAATCAGTTAAGAAATCGAAGCAAGCTTGTCGCAGCTATGACGTCGAGAATCAATACTATCCTTATTATCGGTGCTACCTCTGGTCTAGGTGAAGCATTTGCCCGTCGTTTCCATGCCTTGGGTAAGACTGTTATCGCCACCGGTCGTAGGCAAGCCAAATTAGACGCGTTGGCGCAAGAGCTGAAAGGCCTCGAGACTCGCACGGTAAGTCGGACGTGTAACCCTGGGATTTGCCGCATACTTTGACTAACTGTATTTGATAGTTTGATATTTCCGATCTAGACTCCCTACCCGCCAATGTTGAGAGTCTCCTAAAAGACTTCCCCAATTTAGATTCGGTCGTTATCAATGCTGGGATTCAGAAAAATTTCAGTTTCTTCGACCCTGCCAGCATCACTTCTGAGACGATTATCAATGAGATCAACACGGACCTAACAGGGCCTACTCTTCTTGTTCGCTTATTCGTACCTCACCTAGCTGAGTTGGCAAGGGTTGGGACCAAGACGAACTTGTTCCTCACTAGCTCTGCGTTGGCATATGCACCTTTCAGCTTTTATCCAGCTTACTGCCCAAGTAAGGCTGGTGCCCACACGTTGGCTAAGGTCCTGCGACAACAATTAAGTAACGCGCCAGATGAAATAAAAAAGAATATGAATGTGGTAGAAATCGTACCGCCATATGTAGATACGGGTTTGGATGGGGAGCATCGTGACGCCGTGAATGACCTACAAGGTGGTCCTGAGCAGGCGTTCCCTCCTATGTTATTGGAAGAATATATCGAGAAATTCTTCGAAACCTTGGACCAACTTGAACCCGATGGATCTATTAAGAAAGAGGTTGCTGTTGGGTTCGGACAACTTGTTGTGGATACTTGGCGAGGTAGTTTTGGAAAATTGCTGGAACAAGTAGGCCTCCCAGCTTAAAAACTCCAAGATAGAACTTCATGATAGATCGATCCTGTTAGAATAGAATAACGTGCTCGTTACTTTCTAAAAAAGATATTGGAATCAAGGAGTAATGAATATTAATAACGTGTATTTCGTAGTGTGACGACGATTCAGAATCATCATTTCGGAAGAGATCCGATGGCCGATGGATCATAGAAATTGGTGGATCGGATACATCCGATGCAGAAATGAAATTGCGCAGTCTCATCGGAGTTGAACATTCCTCGCTCTACGTCTCCATTTCTATCCACACGCCTTTTTTTCTATCACGAAAAGTATGGCGCCAATCTTCGAGATGGTTGTCGCGAGTCCGCCGACTTTTTATCAGCATAAATGATCATCATAGGATATTAACTGCGACCACGCTGATTAGGTCGATTTCGGAGGAATACTTGATCGGAATGGTGTCCGAAAAACGATATTAGGTGTTTCGCTCTTCGTGTATACATGGTGTATAAAAAGCAATTGTTCCGAATAGTAAGAATGAGAGCCTAGAACGCACACTAATTACAGGATTTCTTCGAACAATATGCTCCCCGACATCTATCGCAACATTTATAGCTGGTAGGAATATTGTAAATGTAAATTGTAGTTCAGTTTAAAAGGTGAATTTATTCCGAGTGTTGGAGATTTGCTGAGTCAAGTTTAAACTATTTCGCAGATCATCTCCGCTGGTTTCGAATTGGAGTATCGGAGAAATCGGAGGTAACTTTAGAGCATTACACTTAGGTAATTAGCGACAAGAGGCATACTTCACTCAAATAAATACAGGCTTAATCTTCAGGATTCTGTATTTTGAAAAGAGCAATAAACTGTCTAATTTCCTCACGCCGAAAGTATTAAGGCATTGCCGCAAGCTAATGCTCGTAGAAATCTAGCTAATAGTACAGGTACACAATCGGCGATCGGATCGTTTCATACCACTTACGTCACCACCATTCTTTTGCTTTTCTCCAAATTTCCCCAACTGACGGCTTGATCTAGTCCACTCTGGCTCGCTTCTTAGACTCGCCATTTCCGTTAGCATGACCATTCTTGACCGCATCTCCTTGGGTAGAGAAGTACTCGAGGCTTCCCTTGGGGTCCGCCTTCATTCCCTTGGAACCGTTTTGCCAACCAGCAGGGCAAACCTCGCCATGCTCATCAGTGAATTGGAAGGCTTGGACAAGACGGATGGTCTCTTCGACGTTGCGACCGACGGGTAGATCGTTGACGGTGATCTGTCGGAGGACACCCTTGGGGTCGATGATGAAAAGACCACGAAGGGCAACACCCTCACCCTCAATCAAGACACCGTAGTCGCGTGAGATCTTGTGAGACTTGTCGGCAACAAGAGGAAGCTGCAAGTCAGAGCCGAGTCCACCTTGCTTGCGCGGTCGTTCAGTCCATGCTAGGTGGGAGAAGTGAGAGTCGGTCGAAACACCGAGGACGGTGGTGTTAATCTCCTTAAAGCGGGGCAGGGCATCATTGTACTGGATAATCTCGGTCGGGCAGACAAAGGTGAAGTCGAGTGGGTAGAATAGGAGGACGACCCTTTAAATGAGTTAGTTGGGAATGCCATCTCCACATCCAAATATCACCATTGTGATGATAGGACAACCAAGATATATGGGTGTTGTATGAAGAGAGAAAGGGATAATGAAATGGAATCAAACATACCACTGGCCGAGATAATCCGACAGAAATATCCTTGAACTCGCCGCCAGGGAAAACGGTAGTTGCCTTGAAGGCCGGAGCCGGGCGCTGAACGAAAGCAGAAGACATGATGGAAGATGGAAGTGATGACGTTGATTGTTTGTGTCTATCTTTCTGGGGATGATTATTTATTGATTGATGATGGAAAATGGGTGCTAAGTAAAGTTCAGGATAAGTAAACTTGGGTTAAGTGAAGAAAAAAAGGTTAGGGAAGTTCTTATCTCTCATTCAAAAGCTGGAAGCAAACGCCGGGGGGGTCGTGCGTAAAGTGAGTACCCGTCCCTACCTATTTCCCAGCTTTCATTTTCATGGATGCACCTACCCACGCAACTACCACAGCAATCTCCACTGTCCCACTGATTCCACTTGCTACTCCTTATCATTATTTCACTAATCCCAACTAAGACAACTAAGGCTCTGTCACCATCGCGTGATTATCGTTCGTCCCTTCCAGCAAACGCGTCTGCCCCACCTACATTTTCCTCTCTTGATACATGTAGATGCCCCATTGTTCTTATGCATCGAAAGTAAATTGACCAATCAAAAGTTTAATGTGCTACGGAATGCCTCTTTTTGGTTAGCATCGTCAGGGGATTAGAAGGATAATCCTATGAATTACAAGGGGAAAATCTAAAGAGGCTCTAAGTGGACCGATCGCGCCTTATGCTAAATAATGAACGGGATTAATGAGATATCCATTTTTTCTGTTCGCAAGGGTTACCTTAGCCCAATTCTTTTTTTTTCTCCCCCCTGGCATCACTGACTTTATTACCTGCCTCATCAGCATGTAATTCGTTCCCATCGTGACGGGACTTGGCGTTAATTCTCCGATTTCGGAGGTAGATCAAAGCAAGTCTCAGTTGTGTGTATCGCGCATTCTACCAAATACCTACTTTCATATGATCCCGATAGATCCGATGATAAGATTATCTAGCATACCATATCCATGTTAGTCGCTGCAGGTCGTAAAATTTGCACCATCAACGTGGCAGTGGGCGCTTCAGTTCCCGGCAACTAGGTACGTGTTACCATCCTCTACGATAACAAGACTATCTGAATACTAAGCCTGAATTGAATGTTTGGGTATGTCAAATCATTGAGGTTGTCCCAAATAGCAACTATTACATCATCTAGCTTGACTTGATATGACATGTCGCTGACCCATTCTTCCATATCACACCATGAAATAACTAGGGAGGGTGATGGTCCTAAGTAATTGGACCCCTGAGGATACCAAGTATGCCTTCTCTTTGCCCCACCTACACATACATCGTATTGACGCTTCATAAACTAAATGGCTGGATTCTGCTGTAGGAATTCCTGAAGGGTTGTAGTGCGCAGTCCCAACTTATCGTTGTCAAGCGTTTTCAAGGACCAGGTTCCCTCCACGGTATATAATTGGTAGAACCAACCGATGTATAACCAAAAGTTTCGCCGAGATCCTTCCCGCCGTGCTTGGAGTGCTCTCTCCCTCAAATCTTTCGCATTCCCCATAACCTCTGCGTCTACATCAACCCCCTTTACCTCCCCATAGGTGGCAGCGATCTCTTTTAGAGTGTTAACACCAGAACAGAGACGCCAATATCCTCCTTCAGCAGCATCATCACGTTGTATAAGCTCCGCGGCAAACTCCGCCGCATCCCGCTCAGTAGTCCAATGCCAAGGCTCATCCCCTGTGCCCCAAATTTCAAGCCTTTTACGCTCTGGATCCCATAATCCCGAATTACGAGGCGAGAAGTCTCCATGGCCGGGCGTCGCAAAGAATACTTCGGCGAAGACACCGGTGAAGATATAGATGGGCTTTATGTCGGATGTCAAATCGACATGGTTTTGAAAGGCAATGAAAGGGTCATAACCCTCATGTTGGCCGAGTTTGAGAGTAGTCCAGTCATAGTTCCAACACGCAGCGAAGAAACGCTTTACACCCGCTCGTTCCGCGGCGCGCAAGAGTAAGAGCTGACCTTCGAGTGTTAGCTCTGGTCTTCCACTATAGGCGTTGATGATGGCATCGACACCGGCGCAGCCACGATCTAGCGAGGCGATATCATCGTATCCAGTACTCTGCACGACACTTTCGAGCCTTGATAGAACTTCGGGCGACAATTTGGCAGAAGCATTACGAGCTAGCGCCCGAACTTTATGACCTCTAGCCAGAAGGCTATCAATAAGATGGCGACCAATATTGCCTGTGGCACCAGTAACAAGAACCAACATGATGCTAAACAATGGGAGTTGAAATTGGTTAGCAATAAGATGTGGCGGGTTCAGCGCGGGGAAGCATATCGATTTATAATACGAAGAGGATTGCCCGAGAGTGACGTCGGTGTTCGGCGCTGCATATCCAATAATATCCGAGGCATTACCACCACATGAGACACACCATCATTCGCGAAGATGGTTGAATTACTAATTCTATTTCATGATGGTAGTTTATTTTGGTCGCAACGAATCCTATACGGCGCCCCAAGGCATGGTAGATACCACTCACACGATGTCAGTGGCTTGAGGATATGAGTGCATTATCATGAATAATCCTGCGAGCGCATCCCTAGCCTGCCTAGATGATTCCAATTTTCAATTCTCGAGGACTATCAGATTTGAATTATTCGATAAAGCTCAGCGGGCGATTCGATGACATTCTCGGAGGTACTCCGGGTACGTACCTCTTTACTCCCACTTGTGGCTTACACAATCAATCAATAGGGGGTAAAGGAAAACATTAACAGTATCGGTATGTTCAATATGCGTTGAATTGTAAGAATAGCACCGCTAATACCTAGGCATAGCTATGGTAGACTTGGTATAAATTATTTATCGTTAATTTTTACGTTACCCATTGCCGCTCTGATAAGATGGATATCCACGATATATGCCCAATAATTACAAAAGAAAAATCATATGATGACTGTGACACCTTTTCCCTACGATATTGTTCTCCCACTCAATAGAATTTGTCGACCTTCTTCCCAACCCCGATGAGCAGCGATCTCAGTTATCGTCATTCCGGAATCATCCCTAACATTAAGATCGACGCCCGCCTTGTCGATAAGGAGCCTAAGGATTTCCGGGTCGCCGTTCTCGATGGCCTGGATGAAAGCATTGTGGCCACGGTATATCTTATTTGGATCCGCGCCATGCTTCAAAAGTAACTCAATAATTTCCGTATCAGCTCCGTGTACTCGTCGCAGCGCCTTGACGATCGGCAAGTGCTCTCCGGGCGCATTAACATCAGCACCAGCTTCCTCCTATTGGATGTGGACATTCGAATCAGCAAAATATACGACCAATCTCTCTTCAAGATGCGGGGGGTTAGCTTACCAGTAGGAAGTGTACGATATCCTTGTGATCCTCACGGATAGCTGTGGTTAATGGCGAAAAGACACCGCCATTACGGTCCTCCACACTAACACCAGCCTTGAGGAGTAGCTTTACACTCTCAAGCTGGTCGGCTACGACAGCCATCTCCATGACACCCTTAAAGGCACGTGGCTCTGCTAATGCAGGTAATAGACGCTTAAGAATTGTGGGTTGGCTCACAGCCATGCATACAGGCCAGTTCTCGCCTCTAACGTTAGGATCGGCGCCGCGGGATAAAAGGAGATCCTATTCATAAACACAATACACATTAGTACATGGTTACTAGTCCGATTGATGAAATGTTCTTACCACTAAGTCGGGACGATTTTCCCGAATCGCAGTAGTCAATGGTGTAGCACCGGTCTTGGGAGTCTTGTGGTTAGGCGACACTTTTCCGGTGTCCAGCAACCAGTATAGTGCTTCGACATTCTTAAACTGTACTGCAGTTTCGAGAACACCCTTGGGAGTGTTGAGATCGGCCCCAGCGGCTACCAATGGGGCAAGATACTGAGTTCGATAATGTGTTACGCACTTGAATGCCGGATATTCAGCACTCGGCACGTTGGGATCTAAGTAATATTGGAGTTAGAAGTTGGTTTGCTTCATGCAGGCCTTGAGAGTGTGGATGACTTACCTGCGCCATTCGCGAGGAGCAACTCAAATATGTCGGCACGATTATCGCGAATAGATGAGCAAAGTGGTGTATAGATGCCATCCTTCTTGGCGTTCGGATCGACGCCGGCTTTTAGCAATACACGCACGGAGTCTATGTTGTTGATAGAAGTCGCCAATTCCATAATACCAGGGGCTTTCTTGGGGTCCGCGCCACGAGAAAGGAGTAAATCGAGGATACGAGGTAGCCCCGCAGCCGGCCAAAGCCTACGGAAGACTGATGTTAGTGATTTTCCTTTTGTCCCCCTCCATCCCCCATTTCCCCGAAAGTCGCGATAATTCAGTTGTCACTTACTTTAAGCACGTTAGCAGATGTCCGAAAGGGAATAAACAAGTAAACGTGGAGCTTCATTTACGTACCATATGCTTTGGTCCGGGAAGATTCGGGTTGGCTCCATGATCTAGCAGGCTTGTAACAATCTCGAGACGACCCGATTGAATAGCCTCAAATAGTGGGGTGTGACCTTCTCTATTCTTGGTATTGGTATCTGAGCCATATTGAAGGAGCATATCGATAATCTTCTTCGTCCTCTTCTTTATGATAGCTGTCATCAAGGCAGTGTCACCATTGATCATAACATGATTGACATCACCACCATACATAAGAAGTATGCGAGTCAACTCGAACTTGTCTTCAATCACGGACATAATAAACGGTGTCTCGGACTCGGGTCCCGCTGCGAGGTTCGGGTCTGCACCGTATCTATAATAAACACCCAGCCATTAGTAAATATTCTTTGATCCCCCTTTTGGTGGGGGCGAGGTTACAAGACCCTGAATCCGTTCACACCAACGTGTACGGGTTCTCCTGAGGTGGAACTTACTTCAGTAGCATAATAAGAGCGTCCCTGAATGATTCTTCAACAGCCAAATGTAAAGGAGTGATATTGCGGTTATCCGGAGCGTTCGGATCAGCTCCGAAAAGTAAGAGAATGCGAACAGTCTCCGAGTCGTGACGCGCAATTGCTTGGTTTAAGATGTGCACATCAGACCCATTATTTGGAGAAGCGCCTCGATCTAATAATTGTTCGGCTAACTTGTGATTCCCTGAGTCGACGGCGGAGAATAGAGCTTCTCTTAATGAGGAAGTATCGCTTCCTGCTGTATTCCTTGGACTCCACCGAGGCATAGCAAGAGGATCAGCCTTCAAGCGAACGACTTTGAAAGGTTCATATGAATCCATTTCCTCAACTAGTGTATCGACTTCCGTAATACCACCAGATGCCGCAGTGCTGTGAGCGACAGAACGGCCCATAAGATCGGCTGTTGTCGAGACGACACGTTCTCGAGCGCCACGAGAAGAAGAAGCCGCACTACCGATTGTGTAGTTTGATATTGATGGCTCCCGCTGGATCTCGGGTAATAAATGAGCAACCGGATGATGGACCTCTTCACGCGTTCTGAAAGAAGAATGATCTGTGACCGAGCCTTTACTTGGAGGGGCAGGTGGTGGTAAAGGCCACCCGGAGGGTATCTCTTCTACTTGATGAGTAACGACAGTATTGTTGCTGAGAGACTTTAGCTTTGTTATACCGGCTACAGTCTTTCCTCTCGACATGCGCTCGAGCGCGGCAGCAAGGCCGACATAACCGATACCGACAGATTCGTCAACCTTTGCGTCTCCCAAAGACCATTGAAAGACGAGTGCGCTCATTCTTAGCGCTTCCCTGGTCTTTGCTAAGTTCTCCCTCATTTTTTCAACATCGTTATCGGCGAACATCTTGCGCCACCCTTTTTGGATTTTCCCGACAGTACCCTTCTTCTCATATTCTAGGAGGCGGCTCAACATGTGATCGAGAACCTGAAAGTCGGTGTTGGTAGTCCTAAACTTCTTCTCGAGCTCCGTGATCATCTCGGGTGGGAACCTTTGGTTGCTCCTAGAGCACTCCGTCAGACCAGCCTCAAGCGACCACATTATTCGACATGTTTCTAGGAAATCTTGTGCTAGATCATCGAACTGATGTCCATGCTTTTCGACGGTACCAACATATTCGAGCATATGTATTGATATTTTGTTGCCAAGGACCGTGGCCTTGTGGCAAAGGCCAACGACTGATTCGATAGAGGGGGCCATATCGGATTCCAAAAGAGAGTAAAACAATGGCTTGTCTGATCTGGGGTATCTCCTATGGGACAATTGATGGCAATAAATACCAACAATCCTCCACGCTGGAGTATTTCCCCGCTCGCGCTCGAAAGGAAGGGATACTTCGTGAAGAGATCAAAGCTCGAAAAAGACGTCCAAGTCACCTTTGGTGGATGATGATCGGGCGGGGGACATTTATATGGAAGATTAGAGTCTCAGTTCCTGTGGATCTCTCGATCGTGCTAAGGAACTCGATGTGCCACGATAAGTCCAATGAACCATGAGATCTTCACCTAATCTTAGTTCCTCGGCTGTATACAGATTTGTAAACTTCTCCCTTGCACCAGTCAATGCGGCTGACTAGTTCGCATTTGATAACAGGTTTACGCCCTAGGACCCAAGGATCAGCCCTGCATGGCCTCTATTCGATTTAGACCAGGCCGATGCACCTGCATCGCAGTTGATTTGCTCTCTTTGCATGTTACCATGTATGTGTCTATACTGTACCTTACCCAGACTCCAGCTAACTTAGCTTACATCAGGTACCAAAGTATACCAGGGAACCCGCTGTCACTGCCGAAACTTGATCTACCACTAATTGGTCTGTAATACGAACGGAGGTGTGAAGAATAGCTTACTAATTAAATAGTATAGGCTTGAAGTATCCCACTAGAGGGAGTACCACGTGGTAATAGTTCCGTCTCGGCTCTCTTTCAGTATAGTCTTAGTATAGTCTGAATAAAACTTATTCAGGTACCGTGACAGGAAAAATAAAAGATAGACGCCCGTCGATTTACTCTCGGTATCATCCCACTACCATAATTGATAGTATCCTGGCTCTTGGAATTTGTCGAAACAACCCTTGCTCACCGAGGATATATCTAAGGAAACGTCCTATAACGACAACGTCATACGCGCACTGATTCAGTATTTGGAAAGTACCTACTTGGATTATTCCATCGAGGACACCTCAAACGACAGACTAGGTCTTCTTACCATCCCCATGGACAACCCCTGGTTCTTGGAGGGGTGGTTTCCCGCTACGGATATAGCCCCTCGCTAGTCAAGGTCCAATCGAAGCTAGGAAATGTGTAGAAGTATCCGGAATCCATTCGCCTATTAGTTCCTTTTGTGTAAGGATATCATTATCGTAGGGCTGTACAGCTGTTGTTGAATACATGTTTGCTACTGCCCTTCGGTGTCTGAGCTAAATAATGTTACACGTTTGTCATCCAAGGGGGTTGATATCATTCTTTTATGCGCCGTTTTCTACGTACGAAGGGGGTTATTATCATGAAAGAGTCAGGGAGACGAAGAGATAGGATTTACGAGCATTACTTAAACCCCTAAGGCAACTTCGGGGATAGTAGGGGAAAACTAACAAGACAGAAAGATCCCACCCACACCACGCTAAACATGCATCGGGTTCAAATCCGAACGCGAATCTCATCGCACCGGTGCCTTGGCATTTGTTAGAAGCTTAACTACTTCGGTAATTATTTACTAATTGTGGAAGTCCTTTCCAGCGTATAGCTCCGTAGTTAGCCTATCCTCATTCTATAAACTCCGACAGCAAAGACGTAGTCAAATGTCAAAGCGCTATACTACATGCTGTTATATGAGAAAGGTCTTGGTACCTTTCGACTAACCATTCTTGGTTAAGATAGTGCTATACTAGAGACGTGGACGTCTAGATTTTTCGCACACCTCACACCGATTCGCCGATCTCTAAATATGAGTGCGCAATGGATCCCGGTAGACCGGACCTAGACACCTATTTATTGATTTGCGGCCGCTTATGCAGAGAGAGTAGGGTCGGCAACTCCGAAGGTTCCTAACCCTCAATGAATTAGAAGCAAACTGATTTGAGAGCAACGTAGTTGGATGATGGAGATGATAACGTAATTGGCATTTTTCCTATTCCAGTCACGAGCCTAGTCAAAAGGGCAGCTTGCTCTCTTTGGTGCTGGAAAAGCTTTCTCGAATAAAGCCATGAAATTGAGTAATAAATCGTCACTCCCTTCACGAGCAATCGCGAAAAGTCCAAATGGCTGGCCATTGCTATCGAGTCTACCGAGTGGCACAGTAGCAATAGGCCACCCAGCACAAGCTGCGTAAGACACCATCGTTGAGTCAGATGGAGCCAAAACTATATCTAGTCCGTCGGCCATGGATTTCTCCAGTTCGTTTATGGCAATACGCCGGAGTTCAGAGAGGACTTTGTTGTGACGTTGCTCTGTCATTTTATTGTCTCTTGACTTAATCAGTTCTGTTTGAGTTTTATATGCTATTTGTCTTGTCAGTGGTATGTTACTCCCCTATCAATAAATGAACTGTGGAACACTGACGATCAGGTAAGGATATATCTGCGTTCTGTTCGTTCCACTTAATGATGTCGTCTAGCGAGTTAATGCTCGTAGTGCGATCGAAATTGGTTAGAAATTCTTCTATCTCCCTAGGGAACTCGTGATCTAGCACACTTATTAGGAACTTTCATATTATTTCAAAAGGACTGCTTATATGCTCATCTTTCGTACATGCAACAGTGCCCAGGTTGTCTTCATCGACCTTTAGAATATCTCCGCCGGGAATATTTAGAGGAAATATTACTTTAGCACCCTTGGATTCAAGAACGTGGGGGACGCTCTCATATATGATCTTCTATTCTGGAGTTAGTCAAACATCCTGGACAACTTGACAAGGATAGGTGGGAAATATCTTACCACTTCTGGTCGACACCATTTCTCGATAGCATGTGCTACACCCCAAGTATTCGTAACTACACCAACACCAAGATCCGACCAGGATCGTGCCGTGAGGGATGAGAGTCTCTCTGATACTGGCTTTGGCTTGGCCTCTCTCACGATGGCATCCGTGAGTAGCGCAAGATCATATGGGGTTGTCCCTAAAACCCCAATACTGTCGAATGACTCGCTCAATTTGAAAACACCTTTGGTAGAGACGGACCCAGGAGTCAGCTTCATACCATAAAGACCGCAGCAACTTGCCGGATAAACGGTCGAGCCTGCCGTCTCCGTGCCGATCCCGATAGAACAGAATCCCGCGGCGATACTGGTTGCCGGGCCGGATGTGGAACCACCACATGTCTATATACACTCGATTAGATGCAGGTTCATACTGCCCTGTATAACTTACCGGCTGATCTTTTTCGCTTAAGTGAGGCATTTTGTGAGCCGATAATGTCTGGCCCATGTATGCACTCCAGCCGATCGGTGTATCATTTGACCTAAATAGTATCTAGTTAGAATGAACTTGGGAACCACGCCGGTTTCGTATCAGGGTAGAAGATGTAGACGTACTTCAGTCCGCAGGATTCCTATAGAGTATTAGACATAAGTATTTGTAACAATTCGATGTGTCGAGGCCATACCGTCAAATTACCCTTGCCTAAAATTATCACACCATTTTCGATGAGCTGTATTCGGGTTTAGTTACCTTCTAGACGAGAGAAATATTGCTCATGATACCTGGTTTACTAGTGGTGCATTTTGTTTCCCCTGCATCGCGCCAAAGACGTGACTACCAACGGTTGTTGACATCCCTAGGTCGGGGCCGGTGACAATACAGTCCTAGAACGTGAATACGTTATTGATATACATTTAATGTTCAGATTTTGGAAAGTATACCTTAATTATAATGGGTATTCCGTGTAGCCCGCTTCGTACTCTACTATACTTCCGCTCCTCATCCAAGCGCTTTGCTGTCTCTAAGGCCAAGTCACGATCTAGTATAGATATAACCGCATTGAGGCGCATTCCATTGGTGTTGTGTTTCTCAATCTGATTAAGAAACTCTTTAACAAGATGAACACTGGTGATTTCCCCGGCCGTAAGCCTCTGTTGCAACGTAAAGGCGGATGCCTGCAGAATTGATGTGGACATGGTCGTACTTCTAGTTGGAGCTTAGCATCAAATTGAGAACGTTCTTTTGGCAATCTATGAGGGGTGCGATGAAGGTCTTGAGTTATAATGCCCTATTTGGTTGCCTGCTTCAATGTTGTTAGTAACAGCCTCCGAAATAGGGGTAAGTTGCGTACCATAGTAGGCAGCTCTATGTATAAATATGCATAACTATAAGCGAGAACTGTTCATAAAAATGTGCTGGTGCCAATCATGTGATATCTTATCTTTTGCCAGAGATATCCGAGATTGTGGCTTGCTTACATGAGGTACTCAGGTACATACCTAATGAGGAGATGTGCATGTCCAGCCCGAAGTGATGATTCTCAAATCATAACAACTTCATGTATCCTTCTCTCAGTATATTAGCTATTTAGATCTTGCAAGGGTTCGACTTTCATAATGGCTCAAACGTATCTTATGTGGGTTGCTGGTAAAGAGAAGCCAGGCCAAGAAGAGCTGTAAGTTGCGCAGTCTCCGCGTCGCATGCCTTGGGTAATTGACGAGACTCAGAATACCGATTGAAGATCCTGCAACTGGTGAAATATTCGCATAGTAAGTACCTATATCAGAATACTGGTTTTTAAAGCGTGTATTTTTCATAAATTGTTGAATACTTACGTCCTAATGTGATATCTGCTCTCTTCCATTAGCTCTCATGCTGCCTCTACCTCCGATGTCGAGAATACCATCGATCTCGCCCATGCAGCCTTTAAATCCGGCATATGGTCTAAATCTTCGCGCCATCATCGGGCTGATATTTTGGATAAATGCGCAATCCTCCTTACTGAATGGTTACCAGATTTCATTGCGCTTGAGGTGCGACAGACCGGCCGCGCGATCCGGGAGATGAAAGCACAAGTGCCGTCTTTAGTACGTTGGTTTAAATACTATGCATCGCTTTTACGAGTTGAGGAACAACCCGTCCTTCCAACCGCAGGGAAGCTGCACAATTTCATCAATCGCGTGCCACTTGGAGTCGTGGTTCAAATTACACCATTTAACCATCCGCTACTCATCGCTGTTAAGAAATTGGCACCTGCGCTGGCTGCGGGGAATAGTGTCATTGTGAAGCCGAGCGAGTTAACCCCACTATCGACGCTTCTACTTGGTCGGATCCTAAAGGAAGCTGACATCCCTGATGGCGTGTTTAGCGTTTTGCCGGGGTTTGGTGCTACAACTGGCAGGGCACTTGTGAAGAATTCGCTAGTAAGAAAAGTTGACGTGACTGGAGGTACGCCAGCAGGCCAAGCGATCGGAGCAATCGTCGGCGGGAATCTGGCAAGGTACACTGCTGAACTAGGGGGAAAGGCACCGCTAATTGTCTTTGAGAAGGCGGATTTGCAACTTGCCGTGAACGGGATTGCATTTGGTAGTTTTATCGCGAGTGGTCAGACCTGTATAGCCAGCACCAGGATTATCGTTGACAACAAGGTCTTGCCAGAATTACTAGAAAAATTAAAGGTGAAGACGGATTCGATAACACAGCGCATGGGTTCTCCGGACAACCCAGAATCGATGATGGGGCCTTTAATATCAGCAAAACAGCTCAATCACGTCGAGACCTTAGTTTCCGAGGCTTTGGCAAGCGGCAACGGAAAGGCCATTATTGGGGGTAGCAGGATGCACGGCACCAGCCCTCTCGATAGATTCATTTTTTCGAAGGGCTATTTCTACCAGCCTACAGTTCTCGTGTCAAGTGAGGGCGATAGCCTTCTCAGGACGCGTATCTGGAAGGAGGAGGCGTTCGGACCCGTCATCGTAGTTGTGGGTTTCGATACTGAAGAGGAGGCTATCAAACTAGCTAATGACAGTGACTTTGGCCTTGGGGCAGGGATTTGGACTCAAGATTTGGCGCAGGCTTTCCGCGTTTCTGAACAAATCGACGCAGGAATCACTTGGATAAATACACATCATAGGAATGACCCTAGCAGTTCATGGGGTGGGGCTAAGTCATCGAGTGGTGTTGGAAGTGAAAATGGTATTGATGCGTACCATGCGTACACCACGACCAAGAGCACTATCATCAATTATGCTTCAACTGAAGAATCGCTCGTTGCGGATGATTGGTTTAGCGATAATGCTGCAAAAGTCAGGTATGGTTGAGGAGTATTTAGAAGCACCCTAGGTACCCGAGGCTTACGAGCGTCGGTCTCGTTCTGAAATATACCCATTCTACATAAAGAACGTATCCCATTCCGTGCCAGAGAATCCTATAGACCAAAAATCGTTGGAAGCACCAGGTCTTTGATCTTCTAAGTCTGAAAAGTTATTATCAATGACGGTTCTGCTGGTACCCGTTATTTCGGCAAGGATCATTATAGCTTCAGCTAATGCTTCCTTCCCTTTAGAGTCCATGGCCGGCTCAGCCGGAGCGCCCTCCATTATGGCCTCAATTCCGGCTCGTGTTACAGTGATCCAAAGAAGGTCTTTAACGTTGAGCTGACCGGCTTTGACACGTCTTCTTGTCCAATCTATAGCCTCACGAAGTAATGCCAATAGCTCGATGCTACGAATTCTGTTGCCATTTTGTGTCTGGTTAAATGGTACGACTCCCATCCAAGGGGATGTATCATGGATCTGGTATACTGTTGCTGCCAATTCCGCCGCGATGACCATGACAGCTTGCCAAGGTAGTGACCTAAATGAGGCAGAGCCACAGGTAAAAAGCCGAACTGTCTCAATGCAGAAATTCTGCTCGATCCGAAATGAGTCGGATGGGGTTGAGAATGATGGAGGCTCCTGTGGTATGGGTAACTGTGGCAAGAAAAATGATGTAAGTCTTAAAGCTGTGTCGGCACATATAGTTCGGGAGGAGTAAAACTGGGCCGGATCGCTAGACGCTCGAGGCATATATGCTATGTGCAAGGCAAAGATATAGCGACTAAACATGAGTTCGCAGTACTGCTGCTGAAACTTTCCGGGCTGTGGTCGAAGAGAATGTAGCGACTTGATCAATGAACGATATTCTGTCATTAATTCTGAACTGAGTCTCAAAGTCTCCTCGTAAGGATTGTCTGGTTTTATCCCATTAACGTATTTCGCAATAGAAAGTCGTGATGCGAATGTCCGACCTAGCGCGATTTGAATAGATGTATCAGTAAATTCAGACGCTTCATGTTGTATGAATTCACCACATTTATCAATCTCAAGCTCGACATCGTTTAGGTTCAATGGTAAGGTACAATCGAAATCGTCGGATGGGAGCATAGATGACCCACCAGCATCAACGCCAGAGTCCAACGCGAGCTCGAGTATCGTTGCCCATAATCGTCGTCGTATTTCGATCTCGAATCGGGGCATATTCGGAAGCCTTGTTGGATCGCGATGTAGACCAACGGTCATCGCAACTCTGACCAATGCGCTCGAGTTGATACAGATTTGGTGTTCTTGCATATGCTGAGCTGTTTGTTGGGCTAAGTGCAATAGGCACATTGTTTGAATACCGAAAACTGTTAGGCGAAGCTTTCCTGATGATTGAAGCCAGTGTTCCGCTTCCCCAATCCATTGAAGAGCTTGGGGACGAAGCGAGAATATTTCATCGTAGAAACAAGCGCCGATACAGAGACAGAGTTGCAATTGAACCATATAAGCCGAGTTTGCCATGCTAAGATTCTCCCAAAGGGCATCGTACGCGCGCTTGAATGTGGGAACATGAATGATCCGATATATAGTCTCGAAAGTACGGAGGTACGCATCAAGTAAATCGTCTGCTATTACCTTGGTCGGTAAATGTTTCCCGTACTGCCCGGGTGTCCATGAGAGAATACGAGCAGCTTTGATGGATCTAGCGAGTAACCTGCAAGTTACCAAGTCTTGCCAGATAGCTCCTTGACGTCTTAACTGTTCGTCATACCAATCTAAGGAATACGGCAACTGTCCAATCTGTCAGTGAAGGTTCTTAGAACTAGATGCATCTATTGACTTACCAATGTCATCGAAAACATCCAATGCGATTGAGAGAGATATCGCGTTTTCATTATTATCCCGCTGATAGGGTACTTGTCCATATAAGGGGATAATTGGGAACTCATGCGAAGATGCCTAACGCCCGACTGGTTCCTCTTTGTCTGTTCATCCTGGTTGCTGCTATTCGAATCCGTTATAGTAGTACCGTTATCTATAGAAAAGGTTTCGTTCGGGCCAGGTTCGCCCTTGGAAGCGACTGTTACCGCCAATGAAGCCCCTATTGAAGATGACTTCCATACTTCGCGACGGGCGAATATCTCGTGCCCTGGGCTTTCTTTCACAACCCCACCGCTCGCCAAGCTGCTTGAACCTTTGGGTGTGGCTTCATCACTTTTCGACGCGTTTTGTGGGGCGACACTGGCAGTGGGCTCGTCTTGTTGTGGGGGGTAAGAACATGCCTTGCTCCTCGAACGCATGCAATTACCACAAGGATGCTGATGGTCACACCGAAGCTTTTTCTTCCGGCATGATAGGCAAGCGAGCGCTCTCCGGGGACGTAGATTTGGTCGGGATCGGGGGGAGCGGTTATCCATAGTTGTCCGAGTACTCGGGTGCTCACTTGAGAATGATGCAAGTCGGGATGGATTGCTTTGGGCGGGCTACATACCTGAGTAACTAAAATAGGCTGAAATTGATCGAAAAAGATAATGTTAAGATGACAAATCTAAGATTGCGTCTGTCATGGACCAGTGTTAAGGTAATTTGACACTTTCAGCTCTTTCATTATCCCTTATTCGTGACTTTACTAGATCCACATCTATTCCCGACCCCGATTCCGAGCCCGACTCCGGCGTAATCCCCTGCTTCATGAGGTTCTAGTTGGTCCGTTAAAATGTTAAAGAGGTACGCTGACTGCACGTTAAATTTGCGGGCTCCATAAGAACCGTATAACCCTGTCATGTACGTAGTGCTTATTTGTGGGTACCGACCTACCGCTTCTATCATGGTGATGCGTAATGTTCCGGGACGTAAGGGTAAGTATACCTACTACCTAGGTGTTTCGGAGCATATTCATTGGCGTAATGATGGGGATTTGAATCCTTTAGGCGTGTTTGTATCGCTATTATGACATAGTAGATCGTAAAACAATATTGCGGATGAATCGCAACCCCGAAAGCGCGACTAGAAGATAGTCCACCCCGGTGCATATACGTGGCTGTTACTTATTCCGCATGTTATAAAGGAGAATTCGGTCATATAGGAGAGTCTAAACAGACTATAATCAGAACGAAGACCTGACCTTGACATTTATCGCCTCATTGTTAATACCCACTTCCTACTGTGGTGATACTAACCGACATCAAAACATGACCACTCAATCCCCTAGCCCTATCCCTGGACCTCCACAGCTTCCATTAATCGGCAATATATATGAACTCGATTTTGAAAGACCTGTGTTCTCAATCGCGGGTCTGGCGGATAAGTATGGCGAGATTTATCGATTGCGATTCCCGGGAGCCCGCTTAGTGGTCCTAAGTACGCGCGCTTTAGTCGACGAGGTCTGTGACGAGAAGCGATTTAAAAAGATTCCCAACGAAGTCTTAACGGAGCTTCGACGAGGCCTTCATGATGGACTATTTACGGCACATTATGATGAGCCGAACTGGGGAATTGCTCATCGCGTACTGATGTCGGCATTCGGACCGATGAATATTCGTAATATGTTTGACGAGATGCGAGATATCAGCTCGCAGTTAGTCTTGAAGTGGGCGAGACATGGACCGCAAAACCGAATCAACGCCCCCGAAGACTTCACACGCCTTACTTTGGACATAATTGCTCTTTGTTCTATGGGCTTTCGATTCAATAGCTTCTACTCCGAGAAGTTGCACCCCTTCATCAGCTCTATGGCGGAGTTCCTCACTGAGTCCGGACGGAGGGTGCAGAGGCCACCATTGCCATCGATTTTCTACCGAGCCCAAGATAAAGCGTACCAGTCTCATATTGATGTACTTCGCGAAACAGCTGAGGCGGTTTTGAAAGAGCGAATGTCGGACCCTGGAAATGACCGGAAAGATCTTCTAACGGCTATGCTTAAGGGGCGAGATTCCGTAACTGGGGAGAAAATGAGCGATTCGTCGATTATTGATAATTTGATAACTTTTCTAGTCGCTGGGCATGAGACCACGTCCGGTACCTTATCATATGCTATGGTAAGTTTTCTCCTGTGCACTTCTTATTACCCTTCGGTATCGATGAAACATGCCGCTTCAACGATGCCCTATCATCGGAATAGATACTCGAGCCTCCCTAAATTCCATCTTGAGCCCCATGCTAAGATTGGATTATCGTAGTATCGACTCTTGAAGAACCCCGATGACTATCGCAAAGTACAACAAGAGGTGGACGAAGTCGTGGGTAAAGGGCCTGTAACTGTGCAACATGTGCAAAAGCTTCCATTCATTACAGCGGTTCGTCGAAGTCAGCCTTGATTAAGGGATGCGACATTAATGGATATAGGTCCTCCGTGAAACCCTTCGATTGGATTCGCCTATACCAATTTTTTCTGTTTCCCCGCTAGAGGATACCTTGCTGGCTGGAAAATACTTAGTGCATAAAGGAGAATTCATTAACTGTCTTCTGCTAAGATCACATCTCGACCCAGAAGTTTTCGATGATCCCCTAGAATTTAAACCAGAGAGGATGCTTGATGAAAATTTTAATAAGCTACCGAAGAACTCATGGAAGCCCTTTGGTAGTGGCTCGAGAGCGGTAAGTAGTGCTCCTTGAATTATTCCTCCCTGTGCATCGCGCGTGCTTGTTTTGGTTCCATGCCTGGCCCGTCCGTTTCCTTGTTAATCAGGGCCATGAAATTCGTGTAACTGACTGAATGTTACAGTGCATAGGTAGACCCTTTGCATGGCAGGAAGCTGTCCTTGTTATGGCCATGCTATTCCAGAACTTCAACTTCGTTCTAGCCGACGCGGATTATGAGTTGAGCCATAAACAGACCTTAACCATTAAACCGGATAATTTCTTCATAAGAGCCATACTCCGTGATGGCATGGATCCTACTAAGCTCGAGTCTAGGCTTGCCGGAACTGAGATGCCTTCAGAGAAGGTGAAAACCAATGGAAATGCGACCGCTCGACGCAACGATTCGGGCAAGCAGATTACTATTCTATATGGTTCGAATAGCGGTACATGCGAGTCTTTGGCGCAGCGACTAGCTTTTGATGCCGCCCAGTACGGATATAGTGTGTCGACTCTGGATTGCATGGACGGTGCTGTGGAAAAGCTTCCTAAAAACCAGCCCGTCGTTATTATCACAGCAAGCTATGAAGGCGAGCCCCCAGACAATGCCGGTCACTTCGTTTCGTGGATCAATAGCATCAAAGATGAAACCGTCTTCCAGGGATCCTCTTTCGCGGTATTTGGATGTGGTCACCATGACTGGGCACAGACATTCCATCGAATTCCGAAGTTGGTGGATATGAGACTTGGAGAACTCGGTGCAATGAGGGTTGCTGAGATAGGCCTTGCAGATGCTGCAGGAGAGGATGTATTTGTTGCCTTTGAAACATGGGAAGATAACGTAAGTCCCAGATCAGCTACTCTCACTGAGGAGGAAATCAACATGTCCCTAGGAAGGCGGCGTTATTTTTGATCATCCTTAGCCAATGCTTGTTCGCTAACCACCTACATAGGTTCTTTGGCCGGCCTTGAACACCCTGCAGGGAAATGACGGAGTAGAGGCATCGTCTAAGACACGAGTTGCCCCTTTGAAAGTACAGGTCTCAAATACTCGATCATCAATCCTGAAGCAGAATGTAAGCGAGGCTAAAGTCCTCGCGACTCGATTACTCACTGCCAATGGGGAACCTGTGAAAAAGCAGGTTGATGTTCGGCTTCCACTCGGCTTGGCTTATAGACCTGGTGATTATTTGACCGTCCTTCCCATCAATCCCAAAGAAACGGTCCAGCGAATTATGCGTCGGTTCGAATTGCCTGTAGTGTCCCCCTTCTTCCCCTTCTTCCCCGCATTCCTTGATGTCGCTAATATCGTTTGCTGTAGGGGGATGCAAGTATTAAAATAGAAGGGACCGGTGTAAGGCTCCCAACTAATGAACTGGTTCCTGCCCATAGTATCCTAAGCGACTTCGTCGAATTGACCCAGCCAGCGACGAAAAGAAACATCCACGTACTGGCTGATGCGGCAGACACCGAGGAAGATCGTGAGAAGCTAAAAAGTTTAGCCACCAATGATTACGAGGCCGAGATACTTGCCAAGCGAACATCGGTGCTTGACTTGCTAGAAGCCTATTCATCTATTAAAATAGACTTAGGATCGTTCCTAGCGATGCTACCACCAATGCGATGTCGTCAATAGTAAGTGCCCGCTAACTTACGTCCAAAAGAGACCATGAAGTAACGGTTTTAGTTCCATTTCTTCATCTCCACTTGAAGACTCATCAATTGCTTCTATCACTTATTCCGTGGTGTCGGGTCGCGCGAAATCAGGCCGTGGCAATCATATCGGCGTTGCAAGTTCCTACCTAGGAGGTCTCGAAGCTAACGATAGGCTTCGTATTTCCGTGCGACCATCCCACGCGGCATTTCATTTACCACCCGCTCCAGAAAAAACACCATTGATCCTGGTCTCCGCCGGAAGTGGGATTGCTCCATTTCGCGGTTTCATACAAGAGCGCGCGGTCATGATTAAGTCTAGTCGTAAACTTGCACCGGCTGTGTTATACCACGGTTGTCGGGAGCCAGGGAAAGATGATTTATATGCATCGGAATTTAGCGACTGGGGAAAGATTGGTGCTGTTACGATCAAACGAGCCTTTAGTAGGAGCCCAGATAAGTCGGGTGGTTCTAAATATGTTCAAGACATTGTGTGGGCCGATCGCGTTCAATTTCTCGAATTATGGCGTAATGGTGCGCAGCTTTATATCTGTGGATCGCAAAAGGTTAGCCAGGGAGTCGAACAAGTTGCAAAGCGCATACAGCAAGAGAATGCGAAGTCGAAGGGTGAGCAGCTTAGTGATGAGGATGCGCAGAAATGGTGGGACGAATTGAGAAACGTTAGATACGCTACTGACGTATTTGACTAGGTTGGTGTAACGATATAAATGGAAGTTGTACGACGTTAAGTAGTAGACAATATAGGAGGATATTGTGGGTATGTATTTGCTCAACTCAATATTTAATACATAAACTATTGGGTGACGATTATCGGGAGAATGCATTGAAAGAACGATAGGGTGAAAACTCCAAGGATTCAACGAAGCGACTGTAATTAAGACCTGGAAAAGGGGGCGGGGTAGCGGGGCATACCTATCTCAAGCGACATCCATGGACTGAAGTGGGCAACACAAATTATAAAGTCCTCTCCCATGCCATTCATTCTGATGTTAGGCTTTGCCTCTCTTGATTTCCCTGACCATGCTATGCTGTGGTGGGAAGAATCCTCGCAGCAACGACAGCAGAGTTCTCCGTAAGCGCATCCCAATTGTGTGCATCCGAAGCCGCCTCACGACTCTTCATAACCGCCAGAAGAGTTCGTGGTCTCATTTCCTCTTCATATGAATCAATGGCCGCCTTTTGATCAATTTCACCTGTGGAAACCTTCTTGAGCAAATCCACCAATAATGCCGCGTCTAGTATTCCATGGTTTGCTCCCTCACCGCGGTACATGGTCATGGCGTGAGCACTATCTCCGGCAAGTGTTAGTCGTCCGTCTTTGTTATTCCATCGTCGAGGGGGGTAATCGGCAAGTTTAAGAGGTGTCGTGGAGTCTAGATCGTCTGGTATGTCCATTACGATACTTCGCAGAGGCTCGGCATAGGTACTCGCGCGCTTCTTCATGATTTCGATACGGGCTTTGTTGGATTCTGGGATGTCGTCCGCGATTGGATCTTTCACCATCCAAGATATGATGACTTGTGCGTCGAAGGAAGGTCGCCCGTCGGGTTCGTGAGTCGAATCCTGATTAATCATTAGTGACGAGTTACATTTACCGTTACTATGGTTACACGACTCACATAAATACTATACCAAAGGAAATTACCGGTCTTAGGATGCAGGCCTTGGAAGAGTAACGGATCGAGCGCACGAACCGGAGCAGCTTGTTCGGGAGAGAAGTGACGTACGACCCCTATAAGGTTGATGGACAAAGGAGTTAAGGCGTAATCATCGGGGATCAAATATTTGCGAACGTTGCTATTATTCCCGTCGGCCCCAATTAGCAATGTTCCATCTGCGAAGGTGCCATCCTCGAAGTGCGCCCTTACACCTCCGTCAATTTCTTCTATAGATACAAGCTTCTTGCCTTCTCGAATATTGATTTCTTCTGAAAGGATTTTCCTAAGCCTCTGTCGGTGTAATCGAAGTCGTTTCCTTGAAGGAGGAATCCTATATCGAACCTCGCTGTAGGATCGGGTCAGTCCAAGTCAAACACCTAAGATGTAAAGGTTGACCGACGCTGTTTCACAATTTAGGAATAGGAAATTACCCGCGTCGCTCGTCACTGATTTATCCACCACAGCCTATCTCTTATTAATGATTGTGGAATATACGATACCAATACACCTACGTCGGGTATCCTTGTTGCTTTCTCTGTTCCAATTGTTCTATTGAGCGCATCTAGACACCAATGTAACGTTAGAGCCCAGCCTTGAGTACGAGTTCCTATCAGATTGTTAGGCTTGGTAGATATTTTCGCTGTGCCAAATTTGGCTCACAACCTTCTACATCTTTTTCGAAGACTGTGTAGGGTATGTTGTTTTCGCGACAGCCTTGAGCAATCGTAAGACCGACGATGCCGGCGCCGATAATTAAAACGTGCATTTGCCTTTGCTCAGGCCTTTTATTGACCTTATGAGTCGAGCTAGCATCCATGTCGGATGTTATCACAATTTTCCAAGGTGCCTCTACATATAGGTGAGGTATTTTCCTACAAATTTTAAACAGCGTAATCACAATCACAATACCTTTACCAATCTGACTCAATTTCTCCAGCTGTTCTTATCCCGTCGTAACACAAATTACGGGAAGAGAACCCCGTGTATCTGAGCTCCGGTCTTTTTAAACTCCGATGGCTGAAACAAGATGTTCCCTTTTCAGTATTGAGCGACATAAAATCAGTTCGATACGGTCGTAAGGTCAATGAAATTTATCCCCAACATGTTACTAATTAAAAATTAAATCAGAGGGTATAAATCACAAGCATCAGTATAACATATTGAATGGTTACTTGGTGTTTAAACAGTTACATAATTTAAATACCCAGATACCTGGGTGAATGACGCGCGAGCACGTGCAATTAAACCCGAGTTCAATTGAAGAGGCACAAGGGTACAAGGATACATGTTACACAGCGTCCAATACGTGAAAAAGGAAAAAACAACAAGGATATCAATCGGAGAAGGCGATGCGCCGTTTTATGCTTGTCGGCTTGTCCATAAATTCAATCCATAAATAAACAAATACAAGTTTCCTTTCCATTCAGGAAGGTGTTTGGTATAGAGTGGCTCGGTATCCGGTTCTATCGTACAAGCAAATACCAAACATGAATGGCATGGTAAATGGATGCAGGCATTTGAGTCCCTGGATTTACTCGTTTAACGAAGTTGCTGTGCCGTCATTGGACAAAATGCGAATTCCCAAGGAATTGGTAACAGTTAAATGGACTTCCAACATATGATAATATTCCTATATATGTCAGAGAGTCCTACCTTCAAAAGCATCGGAATATCTTCATCTACTCTCTCCCAAGTTACCTAGGTATATACCTGTTTAATCGGAAACTTGGAAGATAAGTCTTGGTTTAATTGGAAGTTCTCACATACCCGAAATGGCCCCTACCAATGGTGCATACGCGATGAATAGACTCGCAATTTTATCTAGTTTCACCAGCTTATTATTCACTTCTTTAACAACACCCGCTTCAGCAGCAGCGATAATAAATCGTCGCGATACAGCTGTCTCCGCAAATGATTGGGACTCCGTATTAAAAGGAGACCAAGGCGCAGGATGTGCTGATCTTGCTGTAATTTTCGCTCGAGGAACCTTTGACCAAGGGTAAGACCCCCCGATAATAGAACGATCAGTGTTTCGCTGTACTAATAAACTTCAAATAGAAACCTAGGTCCTTGGGTTGGCGGTCCATTTCATGATGCCTTAATTAGCGGCGCTTCAGGTATCAATGTGGCCTTCCAGGGTGTTAGCACTGATGACTATCCGGCCGATCTAGCTGGTTATATTGAGGAAGGTGGATCAAATAACTGCGCAAAGAGCCTAGGGTCAGCAGTGCAAACGTATTCTTCTCATTGTCCAAATGCTAAGATTGCTGTTTGGGGATGGAGGTAAGTCATATCCTTATTTCCAACACCTATTATCCATTTAAAGACGATCGTTAATATGTTCGATTATAGCCAAGGCGCACTGTGCGCACACAAATCTATGGGTGAATTGGGTGATGCAGCATCTAAGGTCATCGCGCTAGGAGTCTTTGGTGACCCGATAAGTGTCTGGCAGGATACCGTAAGCTTTCCGTCGCTACCGTCGAGTACGACACTATTATCGTACTGTGAGAAGACGACACCGGATCCGTTATGTACCGACCCCACCGATGATTTCCCTCAAAGCGCTTCCGCATTCATTGATAGGCTTGTGGATATCTGGAAGAACGTAGATCAGACTCATATGAACGATGCCCAAAAAGAAGCTGTTGGAGACTTGCTTGTCCAGCTCCCGAAACAAGCTGCGGGTGAGCTTGGTCAACTTGCCAAAGACATCATCGGTGGCCATTTGAGACGTTGGATGCTAACACCAGAGCATTTCTGGTATGGCATTGATGGAACAATCAAGACTGCTGTAGATGATCTCGTTCGCGTTTATAAGGGTTAGAATTGATATCGTGGTTAAATGGGTACGAGAGGTTCGGAGTATGAGTACGGGAATGTACTCTGGTAAATAGACAGGCAATAGAATTCATTACACGGTTATTAATACTTCGCGCATATACTCAGATAGCCATTATCGCTAAATGCCACCACCTCTTGCTGATTGTCCACCCGTAAATAAGATGGGATACCCCAAATGTCATACATTAAAGTACACCCTGGCATCGTCATTCGCCGCCAGTCGCGAATTGTCGTCTTTCTCAAGCCCGCAGAATGCTGTCCAATGGTACATTCCAATACCAACCCGCACCAACAATTGCGCCGACACTCATTGTGAATGCCATTAGGAAGTTGACGTCATTATTATCTAGCAAGTCAAACCCACTTACAGCCACTCGCGTAGGCTTCTGATCTCCAAAGTGGGAAGCACGATGTTTATCCTTGGGGTCGTACGGATCCTTGGTGGGGTCATTCGCTTCGGTCTTGGCGGGCTCGGGTTGCCTCTCAATAGCCTTGCCTCCCTCTCCGTGAAGTATTTTAGCCTTGGCATCGGTAGCGGATTTCTCGTAATGATCGTGTGCATGAGAGTCAGTGTCTTGGGAAGATGCTAAAACACGAACGCCACCTTCACCTTCGACGATCTTACCGGAGCGTACATCTCGTACGCTTCGTTGAAGCCAACCTCCTAAGAAACTGTCTAAAAGGCTGCCGAGGGTGCCCCAGAGAGTCAACCCCAAGGCCAATGTAGCTTTTTGTGTGATGGTCCAGCTCCCGCCACCACCGATTTTCCCACTCGTGTCTTCGCCACAAAACGGAAGAAATAAGAAGGATACAGCCACAATAATAGATGAACCAAGAAAGCCGGCGATAAGACCCCATAACGTGACACCTCCATTAGTGCCTCGAGGTACTTTTCGTAGGGAGAATGACGTAATCAACCTTGGAGTACTACGCGATAAGATACCAAGTTCGGAGGAGAAAGTATCAGCGCAAACGGCAGCGTAATTGGCGATAATCCCAACAACCAGTAAGTCACCACCCCATTTATAGCAAAATGAACCTTCGGGTACCTCCCTATGGGTAAAGATGGTATCACGTCGTGTATGTAATTGATAGGCGTGGAGTAGGGTTAAGATAGAGGCCATTAATGAGTTGGCCAAGACTTGGACATGAGTCCTTGGGCCTTCACCGCCACCACTCCCTTGAGAATTTAATGTAAGGCCCGCCTTAATATCCGCCTTGATTTTAGTGACACGGGTACCAGCCAAGAAGAAAGCGCAGAGAAGTACGAAAGGTAAATTCCAAGGGTGTATAGCGTGGGCGGTTGCGGTTAACGCAGCGGCGAAGATGCCGAGAGGCGTAAGCGATTTGTGCGAATAGGCTCGATATACGAGCCCGAGAGTCGCAGGCACAGCGATGATTGGTTTCATCGTGAAATTGCTAAATAATAGCTTTGAGATATCACAGAACGATAAGCCACAGTCAGTAAGATGAAGGATTAAGATGGGCGCATCATAATATGTCGGTATGAAGATTACCTTAAGCCTTTTGGTATTTGAGATGCTGACAGGTAAATGTGGAGATACCCGGGTAAGACAGACGCTTACTAACGTCATATTCTTATCTGTATCGATAAGATAGGAACTTCTTTTGATTATGTAAGTGCATGGTACTTTACCCCTTTTACATAATCCCTTGTTTAAGGGGGTGAATTGAAGAAAATCATTTCGGCTAATTCTTCTCGTAGAATAAAAACAGCTGATTTAGGGATATCGTACTTATAATTAGGGGAATAACATAATGGTAACAATGCTACCTTAACAGCTGAGTATCCATTCAAGTTACAAAAATATGTGGAGACTGGGGACTAGATACCCAGCCTGGAGGTTGGTTGGTGGGTTACGAGCTCAGCGGAATAGATCCGATGCGATTGATGAGATCTAATCAGATCAAGATTAGATCAAAACTTCACAGTATATGTCGTAAAATATCTAAAGAACTCTGAAACAATAAGCACATATGTGTGGTTGGTAGTATCCCCTCATGTCCCCTCATATCGGTACCATACCGAAGGCATTGCGGGGAGTGTCTAGATCGATGACTATCTCATATTAGCTATTAGCTATTGGATAGAAATTGGAATTAGAAAAGTCAGTTGCAAATCAGATATTAATCAACTTCTTATTCCATCGTCCATTATCAAATATAAACTAGATCATACAGAGATTCACAGTCTATCCCATAGGACCCTTGTAACCCCCACTGAGTACTACCTTTAACGTCCCATTATTTCTTCTCATATCCAAATAGAGTAAGTCAAATCTCAAAACGACGCGCGGCCTATTATAATGTGTTGTTTTTAAGACGTTCAAAGTACGTATTTTGATCTTATTTTTGCATCCGATCGAATAGAAAATCACTGAAACATTTACACTGCGGTAGATCCATCCCCGAGGGAGCCATATCGAGGAGGCTCCTGTTCGGGGAAAATTGTAAAGTGGTAGTTTAAGGTAGTATTGGAGATGTACATAGTAGCGACAATTCTTATATTAGGCGGTGACGTATCCTAAAGTCTTGAGATCTTCTTCCTTCTCCTATCACGACTTCCTAAATTTCGTAGTCTGATTTACGATGGCGATGGACTTTATCGGCAAAATTCTATCCTTCAGCGTCATTGTTGTAGCTGTTCAAGCTGCCTCTCTAGCCGATTACTGCACAGTCGACTATGCCTCAGGCGTACTCCCTGTCCAAGACCTTGGACTCGGTATCACAATTGATCCATCATCGATCTCAGCCGCTTTGACAACTAATAAGTCAGTCAGTTCTCAATGGTTCGGGGCAGCCGTGATTGATTACTGCAATATCACATTCGCCTACTCCCATGACGGGATTGCTAACGATATTGTTCACGTGTCATACCTTGTACCTTCTCCAGACAAGTTTGCCAACCGCTACGTCTCTACTGGAGGAGGAGGACTTGCTATTAACTCTGGGGGCTCGTCTAGCCCTGTCGGAATCATAGTTGGCGCCGTTTCGGGGATTACTGATGGCGGATTTGGTAACTTCAACACTCAGTATGATGACGTATTCCTTCTAGCAAAAGGTACTATCAATTGGCAAGCTACATACATGTTTGGATACCAGGCTCATCATGAACTTGCTACACTCGGAAAACAATTCACTAGAAACTTCTTCAACACGTCCAACGACAATAAAATCTACTCGTATTATCAAGGCTGCTCCGAAGGTGGGAGAGAGGGTTGGAGTCAGATTCAACGTTTCGCTGACCAATTCGATGGTCTTGTTACCGGCGCGCCTGCTTTTCGCTTCAGTCATTTGCAGACGAATCATTTATCTGGTGGAGTTATCGGAGCGTCTATTGGATACTATCCCCCCCCTTGTGAGCTGGAAAAGATTGTAAACCTGACAATCGCCACTTGTGATAGCCTGGATGGACGGGTTGATGGTGTAATCGCGAGATCCGATCTTTGCAAGCTAAATTTCGATTATAACTCCACGATAGGCGAGCCTTATTATTGCCCCGCTTCAACTGGTGGGTTTCCTGGTGGCCCACCATCTTTACATCGTCGCCAATTTCCAGGAGCTGGACCTACTCCCGAGCAGAATGGTACAATTACTGCCAAGGGTGTGGCTGTTGCTTCCGCATTCACAAACGGTCTCATCGACTCCAATGGGAAGCGTATCTATATAAATCCCCAACCCGGTTCGTCATTTGCCGATGCCACTCCACAGTACAACCAGGATACGAAGACGTGGGAACCAAGTCTCGCGGGTTTAGGTGGTCAATATATCACCAGATATCTCAATCTGGAGGATAAAGATGTCCTCGACAGTTTAGAGAACGTGACTGCAGACACATTAAGAGATTGGATGGCGCTGGGTATGCAAAGGTACTATGATTCGCTTCAAACGACCTGGCCAGATATTACCTCTTTTAAGTCTGCTGGGAGCAAGGTTATACATGTTCATGGAGAAGCCGATTCCTCTATCCCAGCAGCATCTTCGGTTCATTATTACGACTCTGTTCGTAACACGATGTATGGTGGCCTCGGGTATGATGAAAGCATTGCCGCCATGGACGAATTTTATCGGCTGTATCTCGTTCCTGGAGGTGCACATTGTGGAAGTAACAGAGATCAACCTAATGGAGGTTGGCCTGCGACTACACTACAGTCGGTAATCGAATGGGCTGAAAAGGGGGTAGCCCCTGATACCCTCCAGAACACAGGTGGCATTGATTCATTGTGTAAATGGCCACTTCGACCATTATGGTCTAACAACGGGACTTTGGACTGTGTGATTGATTCTGAATCTATACAGTCATGGACTTATACGTTTGATGCCTTCAAATTCCAGGTTTATTAGATTATTAACCTGATACTACCTAGAACTTTAACTAAATAAATTAATGATACATCTCTGAGAAAGAAATATTTCCACCCGATCCCCTGGGGTGTCTTGCTCCTATCCAACTTCCGCCTCACAATGAGTAAACTTCGGTAACGCCCTATTCTAGTTTTATATCATGAAACATAAAGACTAATAATAAAATTTATGATCATGTGAACTAGGTATTCAATAAAGTCAAAGGCTTCAACCCAAAACTTCCAAACTCGTAACGGACGATCGTTGAAGGAATTCTCGACTCACAACCCGGCTTGGATGGAACCAGTTATATGAAACCGCCACGATCAGCATTGGAAGGGCATCCAAGCAGTATAGGTATACTTCTTTAGATAGTAGTTCGCCGTCTGAACCTAGAACGTACTCAGCTATTCGATATACTGAACGGATCATGATGAGAGCGCTGGTGATATATAAGACGACGAGAAGTTTCTTCCAGGGGGTAGTTAACGTCCGAGCATTTCTAGTAGGATCTCTCGAGATACGCCTATGAAATACGAAGGCAACTATTATGAAAAATCCGAAGAAAAGTATTTGAATTCCGAGGCCCCCGACGATGATATTTTCGCCACGGCGTACATCGTCTTCTGACTTTGCTTGTGTAAGTAGGCCTCCCCCTATGCCAATGTGTTAGTATATAACGTCCTGACGAGGAGTTTTAGTATACGTTAGGTACCTCCACCCTGAGCAAAAAACGATAGCACGTCGCCCAGTACGAAAAATTTTGTTAGCCATCGCGGACTAATCATAGAATAGGAGTCGGCTTCGAGTAGAACGACGAGTCGGCCGAGGATCATATATATAGACGCCGCAAATAGAGTGGGACCAAGAAGGAGGAGGATAGACTGGATGATATATGGGTTTTTCGTAAAGTTGGGATATTCGGGTGATGACATTGCTCGTCCTATATAACCAACAGCTTCAACTATACAATTAGGTTAGATATCGGCTATGATATTTCGAGTGATACTTTCACAATGAGCAGTATACTTACAAAGGCAACCGATAACAAATGGAATAAAGTACCATGTCCTTTTTTGGATAAGTACCTTAACGTGGAGAAGGGCGGATATGGAGAATAGGATGATAAATATAATTGCAGCAGCCATAGAAGGCTTATAAAGATAAAAAACGAAGGTTGGTGCATCGTCAGCCATGATTGCAGATTCCCTATCAAAAAAATTCCATTCGACAATGATGACGGATGCGACATGCGGTTTATTGACAACAATGGGTGACCACGAGCGTAATATATACATTTCATATTTTATACCTACCTATTTACCTAGGTACCTAGGCACTTACATTGGTTAAGAAAGCATGATGATTGGTTCTTGGCCTTGAGGCTCTGCAACTTGATTTTGCTAGATACCTGAATGTATGGCAATACGCGTACTCGTACTTCTTGTTGTAATTAGCTACAATATAAGTACTTCGCGATCCGGCTCGTATAAACTATTGATGTAAAGATTAGCCCAATTAAGCAAATAATTCCATGACGTTTTAGTATCTGAAACAATCTACAATACCATGCATAACTTAACATATTACTAGGATATATGTACCAAAGATCTAGGCGCTAAGGGGTTACTATCGACTTTATTTTGTGGGTCGTATCTAGGGGGTATGGTTCGTACTTCGTACTTCGTATATTCTCGTATGCCTGGCCGTACAGTGATAAGTCTAGAGCTCTTCGTATAATCTTCGTATTCGTATACTTCGTTTTATCCTAATCATGTCAACCACTAGGCTCTTACGATCCACCTTACGAGTCAACCAAGTATATCGCTTAGTAAAAGGAAAAAAATCTCTAGAAGATATCGAATTTCTACCTACCTAGGTAAATTAGGTGGAAATTTATTGTATTATCTGACATTGGTTAAAGCGACATGTTCTGAAGCCTCACTTGGATATACATGGGTCCATCCGTGCTGGAACCTAGCCTCTACTCCCTTGTTTATAATTGGATACTCACTGACTCGACGGTATATGTACCTAACTAAGCACTCATGTTGGTTGACGTAGTTATTTCACTGAATTTTACATATCTAAAAACTCTAGCATTCTCTTTGCTCTATACCTATCTCAAACGAAATCATATATTCGAACGGACCTCATCGTAGAAACCGAATAATATGGTAGATCCTAATCATACCGACCTGGGCTTGTTGCCTCCAGAATACTCGCCAATAGACGTGACCGAGAATCTAGACCGCGGAACGGAAGCAAACGTGTCTTTAGTAGGAGGTATTATCCCCTCTCAGAAAGTCCCCGATATAATAGCTAACCTACCATACCATACAAGACGATGGCAGGATTGATCTTAACACAAAGTCAAGATTATTCAAAACTCTTTCTAGGGTGGTAGATCAGCTTCCAAAGAGGAAGTCCCACGATGAACCACCGCCCTACGATGAAGTAGCCCGCCAGCAATTTAATCTCAAGTTAAATATAGTTATCCAAGTAGTTGGAAGCCGCGGTGATGTCCAACCTTTCATTGCCCTAGGCACTGAACTACTCCGTCATGGTCATCGAGTCCGACTAGCTACTCACGACACATTCGCCGAATTTGTTCGAGACTCTGGGCTAGAGTTTTATCCGATCGGTGGAGACCCAGCAGAACTAATGGCCTACATGGTCAAGAACCCAGGATTATTTCCGAGTATGAAAAGTTTAAAGGATGGTGATATTCAGAAAAAGAGAAAAATGATTTCTGAGATCCTGAAGGGATGCTGGAACTCATGTATCGACAAAGACCCTGTGACAATGTGTCCCTTTGTCGCCGAAGTCATCATAGCGAACCCTCCAAGCTTTGCTCATATTCATTGCGCACAGGCTCTTGGGATTCCGTTACATCTTATGTTTACGAGTAAGTAACCCCATTTTCAACTATCTTAACGTGTATTAAGGACCACGGGCATCTGAAATACTCGGCCAAAATTCAGACTTCCGTATCCGTGGATATGAATCGCTAATTTCTGAGACTTTAGTGCCATGGACTATTACAAAGGCCTTCCCCCATCCCCTCATAAATATGGATCTTACCAATTCTTCGATACCAGTTGGTCATGCCAATCGTGTATCGTACCTATTCGTGGAATGGATGACCTGGCAGGGGTTGGTACCTGTAAACTTCTCAAGCAAGAAAACATTGAGCTAACCCACTTTTAGACTGGGGGATGTGGTTAATTCTTGGAGGGAAACGCTGGACTTGGAACCCATACCAACCTCGGAAGGACCTACGTTAGCAGAAACTCTTCAAATACCTTTCACATACTGCTGGTCTCCTAACCTTATACCAAAGCCCTCTGACTGGCCTTCTCATATAGGTAGGTGTGTGAATCACTATCGTAATCACGCATAGGTTACTAATATACACAGACGTATGCGGTTTCTTCTTCCGTGAACCCCCATTATATAAGCCACCTGATACAATCGAAAAATTCTTACGAGATGGACCACCACCGATATATATCGGGTTTGGAAGTATTGTTATCGAGGATCCCGCAAGTTTGACCGCCACCATATTACGTGCGATAAAGATTAGTGGAGTTCGTGCCATTATCTCACGTGGATGGAGTAAGCTCGGGGATGTTGGGGATGAAGACAACGAGAACGTGATATTCATTGGAGATTGTCCTCACGAATGGCTTTTCCAACATGTTACAGCCGTGGTACATCACGGAGGTGCTGGAACAACGGCCTGTGGGCTTCTTAATGGTCGACCTACGATAGTTATTCCGTTTTTTGGGGAGTATGCATACTTTTTAGACTATAATCCATATTTCTGCTGACCTAACTGTCTAGTCAACCCTTCTGGGGCGCCATGGTTTCCAATGCGGGTGCTGGACCTCAACCTATCCCCCCAAGCCTCTTAACCAGCGAGAATTTGGCCGAATCCATCAAGTTCTGTCTTACAAAGGGGGCATTAGCAGCTGCTAAGAATCTCAGTGAAAAAATGAGAAATGAATCCGGCGTTAGGGTTGCCGTTGATCAATTCCACGCGAACATTCCCGCCGACGAGTTAAGGTGTGATATTCTGAGGGATAGAGCTGCTGTCTGGACGTATAGAAAAGGAACCACCCGACTGAAGCTGTCAAAACTCGCAGCAGAGATTCTAGTAGAAAACTTAAGGATTGAAAAGAACCGTCTGGAGCGGTATGGCTTATAGCTAATCCCCGACCAGCTATTGCCCTTAACATTGTCAGGCTAATTGATTTTCTTCATAGGTATGTCCCGAGGCCAACAATTATTGACCCAGTACGATGGGATCCCGTCACTGCTACAGCTTCATCACTCGTTAGTACATTTAAGGGTATGGTGGTATCGACATCCGACATTATAGTCAAACCAATACAAGTATATCAGCGACAACAAAGGGGTATTAGCCCCTCACTGCCCCCTGATACCCTTACGAAGGGCAATGATTCTGGGCCGTCAGCTTTTTCAGTAGCTGCTAGCGCAAAAAACGAACATCAATACCGAAGTCGACAGTCTTGCGCCAATATTGGAGAAGCTCTGGCTGGATCAGCTTCCGGGGTCGGAGGGTTCTTCAAGCATTTCTTCAAAGGTATGTATATTGACATGCCTCTAGCAGCCACTGAAGGACTACGGGTTTTGCCGAAATTATACGGCGAGGAAGTTCGTGAAATAAATAAAATTACGGATTGGAAATCTGGCGCGGCTGTCGCTGGTAAAAACTTTGTTGATGGTATCACGGATGGCTTCACGGATCTAATCCAGGAGCCCATAAAAGGAGGCAGAAAATTGGGTACACTTGGTGCCATCAAAGGAGTTGGTAAAGGGTCGGCGAATATGGTTGCCAAGGTATCATCGGGTAAGTCAAACCTTATACGACAAGTTTCTACTTGTTCTAGTTAGTCTAACGAGGGTTTTAAGGGGTATTGGGGCTAGTTACTTACTCGAACTACGGTCTATGTAAAAGTATAACGGCGGCAATTCATACGACAACGATACAGTCAATTAATCAAGCTAGGAGAACAGAAGGACGGTATTTAATGGATATGGCGAGTACAGAGGTTGATGTTTCTATGGCATTGCACCTTTTTGATAAATATTTCATAGAATAGGATAAGATAGAGCGGACCGTAACCGTTGGACTTTCGACGGGGATGTTATTAACGATTAGTAAGAAGGAATAACTATCTAGCTGAGTTGGCTACTCTATTTTGAATCAATAAATTTCTCCGGGAATGCTGGCTGAGGTTTGGTCCCGTAAGGAATCATCCGCAACATATGCCGCCTTTCACCATCCGCAAAATCAGGAACTGCACTATGTGCCGCAGCTCGTTGGTCCCAAACCACCACAGTACCTTTCTCCCACTTAACCCTACAGCTGAAGTCAAGACTCCTAAAGTGATCGTGAAGGAATTTCAACAAGTTGTCTGATTCCTCAGGAAGAAATCCTTCAATCTTTCGAGCAATTGTCGGATTCACGAACAGCGAAGGCTTTCTAGTGACGGGATGCCTAATCACCAAAGGATGCGTCGTATTAACCGCTTCTTTCAACGCACGTTCCATCCCAACACGAGCAACTTCTCCTACTGAAGCTGAAGTATGATAGAGGCTGAGTCCTCCTAGTAGTTCTCTAAAGGCGGGGGATAAAGCTTCGTAAGCTGCTGTGAGAGAGGTAAAGGCTGTATCGCCGCCACCAGATGCAGGGATTTCAAGTACCCAGAAGAAAGTGGTCGAAGGTACATTAGGAGTGAAAGTTTGGTCAACATGCCATAAGTCATACGTGGTGTGAGGACCTAAAAGTGTTCTGAGATTTCCTCTACAATCATAGTTAGCCTAGAGGTCTCCTCCATATCTGGGCTTCCCTTGCTCACGCTTTTTCGTCTGCGTAGACAACATGAAATTCTGGACCAGTTCCAGCGGGATAACCCATGGTCGGATGTTTATGAAGCGGGCCATAATACTTCACGACTTCTTTCTGTTTCTCAAATCCAATGTCCGCGAAATCTTGTTCTCTCTGCGGATTACCATCAGATGCAGTTCAACAACTATTTCTACTACTTACAAAGACCAAAACTCCTCTTTGAGCTGCTAAAAATGCTACTTCATCGAGACCTGTATGGGTAAGTTTGCTCAGCTGAATACCTCTAATCTCTGTCCCAATTATTGGCGTTATATTTGTTATCGTAGCACCGGCTTTCAAAATAGATGGTGTAGTAGGATCTGCTCGGGTCCCAGGCTCATCAGCTTCAAACAGAGGGACATCTAATGTCGGTGAATATCCATCTGGCCTGGTTGGTAGATAATCCGGATACAGGGGGTTTGCCATTTCGTTTGATATGCCCTAGTTGACTTAATTGTCTGTGGTGCGATTTATTAGTCTCATGAGTTGAGACTTATATAATGAAACCAACATTATATGCCTTGTTAATATGGGTCATTTCTATCTATCATCGGCTAATATCTCCCGAAACGGACGAACTTAATTCCTATCATTCGTCGACGGAAAACGGTTGTTAGTACTGTGGTGGATCTCTAATATGCCCTTCAGGTTACCATTTTGGCTAGTACTAATCACGACATCAGCACGGATGGTGACGGCATCATAACTTTACACATTTAGATAACCAATAGCCCCTTGGCAACAAGTTCAAGGTAAGGGGTTGCTTTCACAAAGGGGTACGTGGGGTAATAATATGTTACGCGTATGGCCGACATTGTGGTTATCAGCACCGACTTCGCATGTAGCACGTGGGCACGACGCCAATGCTGGTATCTAACAAAACCTAGTCGATACTATTGACCAGCATAAAGGTTGAGAAGCGTTGACATAATTATAGCTCGAATGTCACCATGGATCAGGAAAGATCTTTATAGTAAATGTTTTCATTCTCATTGGTCTTCTTAACCTAACAATTGGGTATGTTTATAATGACTGAACCTCCCTGTGTTGTTACTTAGTACACATTTTCTAGAAGAAAATGATTTACTTGCCAACCCTTTGCATCCGTTCAATTTTATCGCGGTGAAACCACTTCATAGCGAAGATGCCGAATACTCTAGGCGATACTAGCAAGCCAAATCCCAAAGTCGAAGAAAATGTCCTAGATACTAGTTCACAGACATGGCTGGGAAGGATTCATCCATATTTCAAAGATCCGGGACATGTCATAACCCTTAAACTCGATGCTTTTCTCCTGACTTGGGCGTTTGTTGCTGGATTGTTGAAAGATATGGACCAATCAGCAACGACACAAGCCTATGTTTCGGGCATGAAGGAATCGCTTTCACTTTATGGCAACGAACTAGTCGAATTTACCACATATTTCTCTGTTGGATATGCGTTGTTCATAGTCCCGGCTCAATTGATACAGACACGAATCCGCCCTTCTATATTCTTACCGATTTGCGAGATAATATGGGGAGCACTTACTCTCGCTACGTACAAGGCACCAAATGCGAAAACCGTTTATGGACTGCGATTCTTCCTTGGGGTCTTTGAGTCAACCTCATGGCCTGGCCTTGTTAGCCTTATTTTCAATTGGTATACACCAAGAGAATTAGGGAAACGATTAGCCATATTTGGCGTTAGTGGTGTAGCTGGGAATATGTTCTTGGGTATTTTACAGGCTGCCTTCTATAAAAATCTCAATGGAGTGAACGGCCTCGAGGGATGGCAGTGGTTATTTATCGTTTCGGGAATTATTACCATGGTGTGGGGATCTATAGGATTCTTAGTGATCCCTGATTCTCCTCAAATCACCCGAGCCATCTACTTGAGCCCTTCGGAACGTGAACTAGCACGTTCAAGGTTGCTAGAACACGGGGTGAATACTTCAGAATTAATTCCCTTCAGCACTCTTGTAGAGAAACTTCGCCTACTACTTAAGAGTCCCCTTACATATTTATTTCTCACAGCCTACCTCCAATTCGCCTGGTCTCAACGCGCCAACTCATATTTCCTCTTGTATCTCAAAGGCGTTACAAATTCCACAGGAGAACCACTTTACTCGACCTACACGGTAAATCTTATCCCCCTTGGCGGCTACGCAATCTCGATAGTGTGCAATATCGCCCTAAATGCTCTAAGTGATTGGAAGGGCTGGCGATGGCAGATCTCTTGCGGCGCAGCCACTCTACAGTTACTAGCTACGTCCGTATTAGCTGGGTGGCCTAATTCGCACCCCACTATCATGACCTTCTATTTCTTAACCTTTGCTACAGCTGCTTGGGGTTACGCATTAATCGCCTGGCTTGCAGAAATTTTGCGCAAAGAACCGGAAGGGCGATCCATCATCGTAGCAATTGCAATCACTCTGGTTTATGTGGGACATGCTACTATCCCTCTACGCGTATGGCAAGTTTCGGACTCTCCGAAGTACCCGATTGGATTCCCAATGTCAGCGGCGTTTTGCGTGGGAAGTATAATAGCCATGTTGAGTATTCGATTTTACGTTCAAAAAAATCCAAGTATATTGGACTCGGGGTTAGCTTGGAAGGCACAAGATAACATTACAGAAGGGCCATCCGATTCTGATAATTCAGCAAGGAAAGGTGGTTAAGAGAAATCTAGATGAAATATAACAGATCACCTACTTATGTTAGGTATTATAAGATGCAATCAATTAGTATAGACTGTGGTGTAAAGTCACAAGCTTTATTTCAATTGCCAAGACTAATGCTAATGTACATACTTCTCCAGGGTGGATGGTTAAGAGTAAGGATATCTAAATAGAGGCGGAAAACGGCCATCCGTAACCATATTCGGCGAGCGTTAGAACCCAACCAATGGTCAATATAGCGACAAGTAATAGCAGTAAACCGATTTGAAAGCTTTCGAAGAGGTGATTCGGCCTGTAGTTTCTGGCGCGTATTTCTTCAAGGAATGGCTCACGTTCTAGAATACGTGTTTGATCTATATGTACTCCCCCGTCGCAATCCGCTTGATTTCCGATCCAGGTGAAATCATCATCATCACGCACCTGCTCGGAGTTTGGTACCGCTCTCAAAACTTCTACTTCGCAAACCCCTAGTCCTTCCTCTTCATGTCTGTTTGCTATTGTCCATAGTATATCAGGGGATAAGTATCGGCCACCGGGTGGACGCTCGAGACGTCCATAGTCGGTACGCCAAGTGACCACACTCTCATGTTCACCATCATCTTTCCGTTCAAGATTGTTAAAAATATGGAAAACGATAGGACTGTGAATATCTTGGTCTTCCTTTTCATTCGTGAGACCTTCACGTCCCAGTGGTCCGGAAACAAGGAAATCGAAATCGTGATCGACGTTGAGGATGATAATCTGCTCTCGTCCGTCGTTGTCAGAGTTTTCTGGTTGTACACAAATCGCTAATGAGAACCAAGTTTCGTTAGGGACTCCAGTTGTCCCGTTGCTGTAATTTGGTTGGAAGGTATAGGCAGGAGTAGGAGCGGGGGCAGGGGCAGGAGCGGAACCGGGGGTTATGGTTATAGCTGAAATAGAACCTGAAGCAGGAGCAGAGGTTGTAGTTGGGTCGGATTTTTGACCTGAGGTTGGGCTATTTGTTGTGGTTGGAGCAGAAGAAGGCTGAGTTGAAGTAGAACCTGATGGGGATGAACCAGTATTTGAAAGTGGAGATGAACCAAGACTTGAAGGAACAGGGTTGGGAACTTTTGGAGCAGGAGTAAGAGGAACAGGATTCGAACCAGAACCAGAATCAGAACCGGAACCTGGACTTGGACCTGAAGTCATTGCTGTAGGTAATGCGGCAAGAACTTATAGCTATTAGATAATTGGTTATAATTTATCTCTTAAAAGAGTAGGCAAGATGTAGATATGCTTAAGTCAATGAATAAGTCAATATTGGTTGGCATCGTAGTTGGTACGAATGACAGATTATAAACTAGAAGTCAGGCGAAAAACAAGAAACAACATCTCATACCATTCACATAACAGCGTACACAGTTATTTTCATAGCCTCAACTCTCTCTTTTATGAAAAATGCCTTTTTTTTATGTCTCTTTGTTTTGATTTTAAGATAAGACCGGCGAGCAAGCCGCGATGTTGAAATTCTTTCCGGGATCTTCCCATCTACCATTAATCTTACCTACGCCTCCGACTAATTAGCTTGAGATTCATATAGAAGATAACCTAATAGCCTAGCATTGACTACATAGGTAAAGCCTTGTTAACAATGTCATTCCAGGATGAGCCAATGCAGCCGGCGCACAATCGCCCTGCTCATAACGTTATACGCATGGTTAATGGGGTAACCAACGAACAGCAAGATGTTATATTTGTATATCATGGCGATATGGAGGGTAAAACAGAATTTGTAGAAACCCCTCGACCCCTAAGCCTTCACCTCGGAGGGAAATATCGATCATGGCGAAGTGGCGAGCTCCCAGAGTCGCAAGTAAAGCGGACTTGCTCAGAGGCCATTGAGGTCCGACGAGATGAAAGCTACGACAAACAGTTAGGTATCCCCGACTTGCAGGAAATCACTCCTAAGCCACGTTCAACTTGGCGCCATACTCTCCTCAAGCGACTTATTCCCCTAGCCATTGCTTACGCCGCCATTAGCCTTGTAGGATGGCTAATCTTATGGTTCTTTTCATCCACGACGCCGGATATTCCGATAAAGTGGGCTACACCAACTGATAACGACTCGTCTCCGTCTGCTACGCCTTATACCTTAGTCTGGACAATCCCTCCACCTAAAAGTCTGCATACTCTAATTTCGGATCACCATGCACCCCTTCGCAGTAGCTGGACAAGTCTCCATAAAGATTTTTATCGTGAGATCGAGTCCAATTTTAGCCATATATACTCAGTTATCACCCCATATAACTCATTAAGATCGGATCAATCGGCATCAACGAACGAGCCGAGCCAAACTAGCGATGACACAGGTCATACTATGATATTGTTAGGACTGTTAGACACTACTCTTTCAACTTTCAGCCAACAAAATAAATTACAGTCTTCGTGGGAAAGTATGGTCCTTCAGCAATGGGTTAGCTTAACCACTTGGTGGGACTGGGTATCACCGGAATTCGAATTGCGACAATTCCTACAGGCATTCGTTTTGGAGAGTGATTCGAAGTCTGCACTCATCACTTTCAATACATTCGTTGTCCCACACAATCGTCGGATCTACGATCTTTTCAACGAGGTCGTATGTTCTGGTATCTATTCTCGTTACGATCCTTGGCATGGTATGCGAGCACATTACGCAGAAGCTAGGGACCTCCTTGGGTCTCTACATATGCAGATTTCCGGTCTTCTAACGGAAATAGAGCATAGACAGATGGGTAATGAGCCTCGTATAGATTCAATTCTCAATAAACTCAACCAAACGCTCATACTCGCTCGAGAATCTGCTAGGATCGGCCAACATGCCGCCGGTAGCATTGTAGCAGAATTAGAATCAACGTGCGAAATGGTTTCGCAGGCCTCGCGCCTGAAGTGGAGGATTCCAGCCAACAGCAACCATACTCTGTTTGAAGGATTGTTGTACAGCAGTGTAAAACGGGCCAAGAATAGCGGACCTCTAAGTTATTTTAAGAAGTCATGGAGCGACTACCCTCCTAACGATTGGGACGAAACAGGTACCTTTGACGACTTGGATATCCCAGCAATCGAAGTCGGAGAAACATGGCTATCATGGCCATCAAATAAGGTGGCTCTTGGCGATCTACTAAACGTCACGACAATCTTGATGGACCTTCCACCTCTATGAGGTTGTTCTATAAGCTATTTCCTATTGTAACATCCTAGCACTTAGTATGTAGTATAGAAAATGAATATTGGTTGCACACCTAGGTAGACTTGTGAATGATTTAGTATTTTGCTTAAAACGTATTCATAAATTTAAAGTAATAATAATTTCATTACCTAGGTAGCTATATCAATATTAGCCTTAATAAACTCCCTTTCTCAGTAACTAAGTATCTAGGACGAAGGGGTATGATTATCCATATTTATTAGGCATCGATTCCTTGAAAACACAGTATACTCCTACTAGCCGTGGTATATAACGATCTTGAAGTTCAAGAACACAAGCGCGAACAAATCTAAACAAGCAAATTTTTAAGGACGGTTTGGTATGTCCATTCTGATATTATGCTTTTCTCCTTGCTCAATTTGTTTACATGCCGGGGAGAGAATTGAGCCCTGAAATAAATGATTAGCTTGTCACACTTATTCGATGAAATCTGTAACCACTTACATCCATCAATATCTTCATCTACCGTGCTCTTGACCTGGCATTGGTTCATTTGGGCTACACCTTGAGACTTCAGAGGGTTGCCATTCTCGCAGGCGTTGAACATGCAGGACGAGTCCATAGCACGCTGAAGAGCATCACCCTTCCAACCGAAGACGTAATCGGCGTGAGTGCCGTAACCCTTGTTGTCGCCGTAGCTTAGAGTAAAAGGTTGAGAGCCATCGGTGGGCCACATGTTGTTAAATTGAGTTGTGTCCCAAAGGGTTTCGTAAGCGACCTGAGGAACACGAATGCTGTTATATCGTTAGATGATAAACTTATACTAAGTTGATCCTTTAGATTTAACATACGGGTGAGATTCAGGGCAAGGGCCAGAGTTCTGGAACGCATCCTTTACGGTGTTGTACATGTGAGATTGGTGGTCGGGGCTGTCGAGGTTTTTGCCATCCCAGCATCTAAATATTGTTAGTAGAAAGTCACATAAAAGTACGATTGGTGATTGGTTATAGGGATACTAACGCGGGGAAGTGATGGACAGTCATGATACCACCAGCACACTTGTTAGGAGGGAAGTCATCTAGTTCGGGGAATCTAGTTCCCTTGTTCTGTAGGCAGACAAACTTCAACCCAGGTCCATACTTGGACGTAGCTGTGGGTGTACCGACAGTCATACGGAAGCCCTTATAATATTAGCTTTTTCCATTCGCATATGGGGTTACCTTTATGTGCTTACGGGCTTGAAAGCTGTGATCTTTTGGTTTCCGTTGGACGAGAAGTCTTGCTGCGTGTAGTAAACGGTCATTCCACCATTGATACCGTTAGGCAAAGCCGTGTTCTGCATGATTGGTACTCGCTTGTAGGTTCCGTTCGGGTGTTTGAAGAACATCACGGCGGTCCAGTAGTTGGAGAAATCTTCAGAGAAAGTACATGTTGTGCATGTAGCCTTTTCCGCGATATCTCCATCGGTGGGGTCCATGGACGCGTTAAAGGCATTACCACCAACAATCTGGTGAAGATGCGCAGAAGGGACCTTGCCAGGTTCGACGAGGGGGTCAAGACGCTGAATGGAAACAGTCGAACATCCGAATCGAAGGGCGGCCTGCGAAGGCACGGCGAGTGCCAAAGTTAGAGAAAGCCACTTCATATTAGCGATTACCTAGGTAGAGGTCGAATTCAATGATGTGTTCCAAGGTTGAGGTGACGATGGAGATGCCCACAAAGGGGTAGTGTGGTTCTACCCGAGCCTACATATGTATTGCTATCGCGTTCACGCCAACATTAGGTCGAGGATCTGCCGATAGCCGGCCGTACAGGACAAAATCCCAATTAATTGCCCGATCGTCATTTTTTTCTTGGAGCTTTGCTATTTTCCCGACTCGTTTAATTTAGGCGAATGCTAAAACGTATAATTCGGAACATCTTCCCCCGCATCTCACATTGATGAGCACCTACATCGTCTTGGTATCCAATATCCAAGCCGCAAGAACATCTCGATCATCTTCTCGGGTTTAGTACTACGACCTAAGCCTGAAAATACATATCGGGCTGACTCGATATTGTAGTTGATGTGAGATGCTTGTTGATTGGACCTTCTACGTCATAGTATCAATCCACATCAAGGGTCGCAGAGAGGTCTTCGCCAACCAAGCATGCCGTATTGGGAGTGTGCTGTAGGAGGAAAATTCGTCGTGGGGAGTAGGGCCGAAGTCATCATATAAGTCGCTCCACAAGACAAGCCCGCGGCAGCCTTACAATACATCGGCAATCATAACGTGGGTATGATTCCGAATCATACTAATTTTTCTTTAGGTTTCGATCATGGCCAGATTAATAACCAAGTGTGAATAATTCCAAATATTCAGCCTCTCATGCACGGTTGTCATCTTGAAATGAAGCCGTACGATATGAATCAGTATATGAATGATTGTTTTCTTGGGGAATACCCCTGAATACTAGGTAGCTACACGGATGTCGGTAGTAATAGCCACTATGATCACTAGCATTGGGGAACCTTATCTAAATATAGAATTGAAAACGTGTCTAATCTAATGGATGGCTCACCATATTAAATGAATGATTGAATTCGTCGTTGTCACGAAGAAAAAAAAAAAGAGATCTAGAATCTACGTACGTGGTAAAGGAGACAAGGTTACCAACGGCTAGAAGCGGATAGAAGTAAAAAAGCCACATAAGCAACCACATGCCAAGATTCTCACCAAGTTCAATTTCAATTCAGTTCTAGTTCAATTCTAATACCAATTCCATGAACCCGAACCCGAACATCACGTCGGTAGTATTCGGACAATATGTTCAATGGCATCTTATAGCTATCGACGATAACCCGAACCTATTCTATACCCTGCCCATCATTCGTTGATACCAACTAATTACCTTGATACCTATCTAGGTAAACACTTTCGTCATAGAAGAACGAGACACGTATCGAACATCCGTCAACCCGAAGCCCGAACGTGAATATGTCGAAGAGATACCGTTCCTGATACAACCGAAATAATATCTAGGTAGGTTTCGAGGGAGATATATTGCGCAATGGTGGTGTAGTAAGTGTTGTGATGGAATTCGCGCGGATAGGCTGATAGGGTAGTTCAACAAGGAACTGGTGTCGACGTGCCATAGACAACAAGGTCACACCAAAGGCCTGCTACCTTTACATTAACCGATATGCCAACTTTCTAAAACCATCAAATGGTATACGACGTAATTCCCAATTCCCATCTTACGGGTCTCTCGAGTCCACCGAGTCAGTCACCGAATAAAAAGACGTAGCCGCCGACACCCCCAGAACCAATACCCCACGGCGAGACCCCACCCCGCGCGAGTTCTACAGCGTTCTTACGCATCCGTCATCTACGGAGAGAACAACTAATCGATTCCCAAAGTTCTATTCATACTACAATATTATCGAATCGCATGCACACTACCAGCAACAATCCATCAAATTCACAATATGTATTTGTAATATTTGCTCGCTGAAGACTGCAGTAGTCGATATCTGATATATCCATCCACGAATACCCTATCTTCGAGTTCTCGGACTGCATCCTAACCGCCAAACTTCTTATACACCATCACCTCCAGTATATTCGATCGATCCGCACCCTGTTTGTACCCAGAGGCTCTGTCCCGGAAACACATTCGATTGGGACTGGTACGAAAACGTGAAATCACAAACCGGGCTCTCGTCTGGTGTTCCAACATAATACAAGCCACAATACCCCGAAAATCCAGACATAATAGCCGCGCACCCATCATTGTCCTGGCATAATTGGCAGCAAAGACTTGGGTCATTATAGGTATCGTCGCGAATATAGATAACCGTTGCGTTGTCGGCATATTTACCAGAGACAAGACCGAAATTATCAATCCCCGAAATAATATTCGTGGGCGCACATTTAGCGGCTAACGTGGTTGTGGTTGTAGCTTCGCAAGCTATACTTGTCGTCACAATACTTGTCGTAGCATGGTAACTGGTGGTGGGACTCGTGACGGTCGATGCCCAAGTTGTAGCTGTCAACGAGATGGTGCTCGTGGTAGTGGTCGTAGGGGCAAACACCGTGCTTGTAGGTGTAACCGTTATAGTTGTAACACCAGAAGTTGCTGTTGGAAGTAAATAGGTGAACCACGTCACACCAGTTGCGCATACAACCTGCGACGGATACGAAGTAGGAATCGTAGTGACTTGACCAGAGACAGGTGTATAACTACCGCTGTATTTCGTCACGGTAGTCGGAGTAACATCGTTGGTACAAACAGTAACTGGCCATGTCGCGGTTGCGACAGTCAATTGAGCTACTTGCCAAGCAGTGCTAACGGGAAGAGTCTTAGTGGTTGTAGTCCAGTTAAATGCTGACTGGGTGAGCACCGTTGTCGTTACTGGATCCGCGGTGATCTTGTATGTTGATGGTACTGTTACCTCTTTCTCCGTAACGACTGATGAGACGGTGCTAGTAGTTGTAGATGTTGGAAGAGACATCGGTACCGTACCACCAGTTCCTGATGCCGTCGAACATGCACCTTCAGTCTTGAACGAGTAGCTCGTCCCCGTAGAAGCGTGAGCTAGCCCGCCGAACACGGCTAAACCGGAAATAATTTGACGCAGCATTCCGAGATACGACGAGGTTATTTACCCAGGTAGGGTTGGGATGAAGTGAAAACCGACGAGAAGTCATCGAATCATGCAAAAATTAGGCGTACATCCTACATTTATAACGCTAGCGGTATGATTCCTTCATGACATATCTCCGTCACAATCTTGGTCAAGCGCTAGTTCAGGGTCACAGCAACGAACCTAGGTACCTAGGTAAGTAAGCAAGGGTAGGATGATAGCTAGGGAGGTAGAAACCCAGAAAAATCAGATCACTCAGCAGGATCATGATAATGAGTAAGATGATTGGTTTAGCTTTGTCAGCTACGGACAGAAAATTGAATATACTATTTCGAGGAGCTGGACAAGTCTAGAACTTACATCTGACGATAATTACCTACATACCCCAGGTAGTTTATATTCCCGGGATCAATCCCATGCTCCACTAAGTTCCGTTTGGTATGAAAATGGCAGGACGAAATTCCAGAACCAACTAATTGGGGTAAGACTCTAGAGTAAAGCCGACACAGAGTTACAGGTAAGCTACTACCTTCTACCCTAGTTCAAGTGCCCAAATAGGAAGATGTGTACCTGATTTATCATTCCAATTATATATCTTGTTTGACTGGGTGCTTCGTAAATGTGCTCGTTTACTTATAGTCTGGCATCATTATTCTAGAATGAGGGTGGGCAATTCATCCAACCTGGAGAGTGAATCACCTAGGTATACAGAGACATTTGGTACGTCAAATAAGCACATGCCTGATTCAATTGACTACCTAGGTACCCAGATATAATCTGTCTTGTGAGTGATCAGGTGTAAAGATTCAGTTCCTACAAGAATGAACGTTGAAATCAGTACATCACATCCAGCATGTAAGAAATCTGGCAAGCCAAGAAATATATCTCCGATCGTGCACCTATGCAAATAACTTATACCTGACGGCCTTCAGCAACCTAAACCCTATTCTGGTCACATATTGATGACGAGAAGTTCAAATAAGCTCATGTGAGAAGAATACTACCCTGGGTTTGTACTAGAGGGTTGGGTATTAAGGGGTTCCATCCGTCCCACGTATGTACCCAGGTAACTACCTAGGTAGGTATATGAATTCGGTCCCGAGGTCTTCTGTATTCCGTCGATCGGCGTAGACCGTCAAATCTCCATTTAGTCGAATGCGACTCAAGAAATCCTAGTGAATTTTGTAGATACCTAATAAGTGTAATTGGTTGAAAATATAGTCGCAGGATGGTATTTCAGACATTTGCGTTTAACTTCCAATCAGCTCGTTTTAATGATATTAAGGATGCTTAACTTATGTTCGATAGGGACATTATACTATAATCATATCGCATATCTGATCTATGTATTTTATTGGATGAGTTTCGAATTGTGCCTAGGTACGTAGGTAGGTATACCTAACTCATAAATGTGCTCGAGGTTACCTAGGTAAGCACCGAATCGCCATCATTACTAGTGGTAATCGCCGCATACGAACCCACCACGAACATCCATAACATCCGCAATTGTTATATTCTCCAAGATATTAGCAGACCATAGAGTATGATTCAATGTAGTAATGTTCCCGTTGTCGTTGAAATAGTCAGTAAATGCCCTGTCAATTGTTGTGTTCAGAACTGGAAAGGGGAAGGGGTTTGAACCATTGGTTGGCGGGAATCCAGGTGGTAGAGGAAAACTACCATTGCCAAAAGGGTTTCTAGTAAAGTTGGATCCTGGCCCGGGACCGAAACCTGGACCAGACGACGTATTATTACCACCAATTTCATTTAATCTCATAGACAAGTTTAAGGACTGCCAGTCCCACCATAACTTGTCCAAGAAACCATGATGGAGATAGAATATCGGGTCACCAGGTGATAGGAAGAGATTCACCATCTATTATTGTTAGTCAATGCGTTTCACTCTGACGGATAGTTAAAACGAGTACGTACGGTTCCCGACACACCACCATGTCCAGCCCCATGAGGCCGACCTTCCAGGCAACTCCATACATCCGTAAACTTTTCTGCCGCAAGACATGCGTCGATATTATCTTTATTAGCACCCTCAAGAGCCCTATCGTTAAGGTGTCGGGAGATGCAGTATTCCTTTGTAGTCTTGTCTTCTCTAAAGCGTAAAGTGATGTTGGCAAAAGGTCCGTCGGCGATACAACCACTTAGTCCCGTACCGTTTCCGCCGAATCCCGTCTCTACGTCGAAAATAGTAGATTCTTTGATATTTCCAACGTCGGAAGTTTCATCCCAATATCTATCATTGTTAGTTATCCCTACCCAAGGTACCTAGGTAATCAGGGGACTTTATGAGCACGTACGGAATTGGACCAGTGTAATTGCATTCAGTTTTCAGAAGATGTTCGTGCACAGTTAGAAAGTATCGGTGAAATGGAAGAAATGCGCCCTATGCCCAAGGTATCAATACCTATCTGAATGGTAAAACGTGATGGTTTCATTTGGACTTACCACGAAGTGAACATAGCTCACTTGGACAATATGAGCGTACTGCAACTCATCCCATCTAGTTTTGGCCCCGTGTATACCGGCTTTTGCAGGAGTCGACATTAAACATAGGTCACCTTTAATATATTCCAATTTCTCAGTGGAAGTTAGATCGGTCCTGAGGATTGTTAGATTGTCAACAGAGTTCACGAGCAATACGAGACGAACCATGACACATGACGAGTTTTTACGTCGCACTCTTCTTGTTTCCGCTCATATGGAATCGATGCCGTTGACAAGCCCAATGTCAGGTGCAGGACACTAAACAAAAATAGGGGTGAAACAAACATTTTGAGAATAAGGACAACAACATGAATTAGCGACTCCAAGATACCAATATGGCGTTAGCGCTTCTGTGTTTTATGAGTTTTCAAAGTCCCCATCCCATAATGTTCGACTTCTTCCACGGCTTCAAGTCACGTTGCATTCAAATTATCCGCGAATACCAGTCCACGTAATTCTCAATATAATTAAATCGTTTAAATAAGCTTAATTGTACCTACTTTGACAATCATCGAAAAGGATATGGGTCGGAAATCAAAGCTTACGTACCTCTTTCATATAGTCTGTCAGTATGTTATAAAAAATGGTAGACATGCATCGCCTAATCACCTTGCACCGGGAAATATTGCGGCTAAGTCGCTAAGATTTCCATGAAATGGTACCGTAACTACGGGATAAAATAGTAGTAAATGAACGAGGTTTAAAAGATAGTTGAATTGAAATAATGCTTGGGATAGTATCTGAGCTGTGAAGTCTCGTGCGTGAATGTGTGGTACAGGTCGGTCGGAAGAGGTTGTAGTGCGCAGGTAAGTTGTGTTAATTACTGAGGTGCCTAGAGACGGCGCAAGCAACATAAATATGAGCTATACTAGGTACCTAACTTAACCCAACCCAAGTAATTAGATACCCAATGTAATTGAATCGACTGAGTAATCATTTATAGGTTGGAAAAGATGAATTCGTGTTGATACACGAAGTATAATGTGATACATACGATTGTGGCGATCGCTGGGATTGAATCATCGCGTTGTAAAAACCGAAAATGGTTAGGCGTATCAATCGGGAATGGTATGTCATCGCAAAAACCTGATTGGACAATCGACGGGACGCTAGAGAGATGCATCAGTTTCGCAATCATATTAAAAAGGACTGAGAGTGGAAAAGAAATCATGGGAGCTGCTGGGGGGAAGACTGGGCATTTACTTGTGTGGCTGAGAATGGGTGAAATCGGATTAGGAGCTGAGATAAGTACGTAATATGTGATTGGTAGGAATAGGTATTGGTTTGGTTACGCAACAGGATAGTTCTTGGCTTGATATATGTTGCAGTGCGTGTTCCGAGACATTGATGTCCGTGGCTGCTGTGGTAGTCACAACTGAGCGATCGAGCGGTCCATGTAATATATGGCGACATATACTGGTAAATTGGAATCGACCTCGTACGCGTGCTCAATCACTCGTTGGTACATATCAGAGGGGTGTTCGCGCGGAAGGTACTTAAGCAGGCATGTTCTCGTTCAAAACTAAAGGAAAAGAGAGGTAGTCCACAATTGGGGCTTGCGGTAGATCATGATCGGGTGTAGGAGATCGTCATCTATCTGGACGAGGGTTAAATCGTGAGTCTTATTGGCAGCTACCTACCTTAATCAGGAGTGAAAGCCAAGGAACGCCACTCATTAGCTTTGTGATTCCATAAGCGGCCCACCGCGGCCTTACTGAAGAACTATAGGCGATGGTGGATCGATCACTCGCACATAGAGCACTACCTAGATATGAGACATGTGGAGATCCATATGTATCTTCGACGCTCAAAACTCCAAGCCACCCGTCATTTCTAGACCAAACGCCGAAACGCGAAAAGTAACTTACCCTTCTTCCCCTTACTCATGGATTCTTCGACAGCCCTCGATCGCCCGTGGCTGATGAAGTAAGGACTTTTAATGTCGACTAAAAGGCCCGCATTCGTAGGCTTTTAAGCGTCGGGAAACACTACCAAAGCAGCAGGCTGTTTGCTCCCGCCTCCAGTAACAGCAAGAGAGGTAGAATTGGGCTAGGCCTTCCTTCTACCGACCGATATGCTTGTTCCTCTATTTGGCCCGCAATCCTACAGTTTATAAGAAACTAGTCAAAGAGATTCGTACGACGTTTCAGACCAGCGAAGACATACGAGCAGGACCTACATTGGCTTCCTGTCAATACCTTCGGGCTTGTATCGACGAAACTCTACGCATGTCTCCGCCTGTATTGGGTACTCCGTGGCGAGAACTTTCGCCATCGGACAAATCGGTGGAACCACTCATCATAGATGGGCAGGTCATACCTCCTGGCATCCAAATTGGTGTTAATATTTACGCTCATCATCATAACGAAGAGTATTTTCCAGAGCCTTTCTCTTACAAACCCGAACGACGGCTCGAGTCGAGCACACCTATAGATCAAAGAAAGAGAATGCAGGAAGAATTCGTGCCATTTTCTATCGGTACACGTAATTGTCCTGGTAGGACTCTAGCATACCACGAGGCCAGCATCGTATTGGCAAAGATATTGTGGTATTTTGATTTTGAGGTGGCCCCGGGGGAGTTGGGTAAACTTGGGGCTGGAAATAGCACTCTGGGCAACGGAAGGGAGAGGGAGGATGAGTATCAACTATATGATGTCCTCACTTCGACGCATGATGGGCCAAATTTGATATTCGTACCCCGCGAATATTTCCACGAGGGTGTTATCGGCAACATTGAAGGAATAAGACAAATACATTAGGTACCTAGGTACCGAAACGGTACTTACGGCATCCTAGACCATCAATGAAATGCTGGGGATGTGCGTCGCCTGTTAAACCTACGCCACCTACAGTATCACTCAATCCCTCCGGATAACGCACCTATCTACCTAGGTACGTACTTAGGTACCCATGCGACATTTCAGTATTGCTTTGATGTAGAAGCCACTCAAAATATTGATCAAGAACTTCCTATTTTCTAGCGTCTATGATTTTCAACGTCCAATCATGAACGCCTCGAGACACACCACTGAACCGAATGAATAAAGCGAAAAGCTGCCTAGGTACCTCGGTAGCCACGCGAAGCAACTGGAAGAAACTGCCATTTTCACCAACGCCCCTCATTTACGCCCACTTCCGCCCCATTGAATCCGACCGCCGTGAAGAAGTACCAGTGGTATTATGTTCTTTGAACCACTCGTTAACCCAATTGAGCTCATTAAAATCCGGAAACTCCCTGACTGTCGTAAACTTGCCGTCGTCGTTAAGCACGAAGGACATGGTAATGTTATTGACATAAACCAAGTCTTGAGGGCCAAGTCCCGTGCATATAGTCTCAGCTATCACTTTGTCGTCCTGCTCCACGATATTGAGTACGTCGAAGGAGAGATTGTCGAAACGACCTAGAAGACCGGGTAGCGTTGGTAATCGTGTAGCCACCGTGCCGTCGCCTGCGTCTGGGTTGCATGCTGGGTTCCCATTAACCCACCAATTGGCGTTCGGTGCGAAGTAGAGCGCTATTTGGTCATATTTTCGCTCGCCTAAGGTAGTGACATAGGAGGTTACGATAGCTGAGAGAGTAGTGTTGGCGAACCTCATTTTATCCGGTCCTGAGATGCCGTGTCTTCCTAATGCCCGTCGAATTAATGTCTAGACCCGTGTAAAATTGATTATAATCAACATCACACAATCTTGAACGGTCTCTGCGGCGATATGTATGGCTATAAGTACCTACTCAGCCAAGTTATTCATTTACCAACTCGGAAATCATTATGATCGGAGGAACAGAAACCCCTAGCGAGGGATCCTTCAGCTGAGATTACTCCCTTCAGCGGCGGTCTTCGGGTATATGTTACTCAATTGAATCGCCGTAGGGTTATCACAAAATTACCTAGGTGCTTTCAATTCCCAAAGCAATTCAATCAGGTAGGTGAGTGTAGCTGCAAGGGTTACCTATTGATGAACTTGCCTAACTAAATTATCAGGGATTTCACAAATAGATTGCACTCTTCCTGGGCTGCATAGGCTGCATATTAAGCTGAAATTGGAGAATCCTGCGATGCTTGGGAAACTCCGATTCCGAGACCATGTTGCGCCTCAAATTAACGAGTCGAATAATCGAGAATGATAACTCATATCTGTCTAGATAGGTATGAAGTATATCTCCAGCCCAGACCTAGGTGTATGTACATACTTTTTCAGTGTCTTCGTTTGGGGCTTGTTTACAGGCCATCGCGGCTCCGCTACCAGGCTAGCCAAGCCGAGTCTTACACAGCCGCTCTATTGTACAGCTCCGTTAGGGAGTTCAATCAGCTCAAAGTTCGATCGACTCCCGGCACCCGGTCCTCAGAAAATAACTCCGAATCCCTCACATATCCCAGCCCGCGGGATATTAGAATGATCAAGTCATTACGGCATACCCGTGTTGGCATAAGACAAGTTCGTAATGAAAGTCTGGCTACACATTTCCGGAATGACCATAAATGATTAGGGAACATCTATCAGAGATTTCTACAGCGCTTACGTATACGTAGTACGCATCGAATGGCCCCAGCCAATAAAAGCCGTCCACCAAGTTGTCCCCCAAATATTCGTCCGGGCTTAGGTAGGCGACAATGACCCCGCCAGCCCAGCTGAGCCAGCTGAATACATCAATCAGAAAACTTCAGTCTGATCATATTTTCCAGATTCTTCGCTATTTTTACTCAGAACCAAAGGTACTCTATGTCCTAGATTCGTACTATATTCCAAAGTTAACACCTTTGGAGCAACGTCTATCTCACAACCATGAGTCACCGCGAGCGACTCAAACGTCGGTGGCGCAGCAACTCTCCGCTACCAGCTAGCACGCATAGCATGCGTACTCGTTCAAAAACCCAACATCTATGTCGGAGATGCCAAAATGTCAATCTCAACACCGCCTTCAGCAGAAAGAAATACACTAAAAAGGGCACTATAGTCTTTGACATGGGAAACATAAGCACATGGAAACCTAACTCATGTGCCTTATGTGAGCTTCTAATGAGTACTTTCCAGCCGATTGATCATGAGTCGCATATTCTTAGATGCTTTTCCAGCAGTACCATCACATTTGACCCTCGTTGGCAGTCCGTTGACATAAATGTGCTGTCACTGGATCCGGACCCAGCCGATCCTCCTAGATTACTTGTTTCAAAGCTCAAAGATGGTTCTGATGTTGTTCGCATCCTAGATTCGACTATTCATTTTGAAGTAGTTCGGGAATGGGTTAATTATTGTGACAAACACCACATACACGACTGTGGCTTACCGGGAGGATCACGCGCCGTATGTTCTTTGGCATCCTTTAGACTTATCAACTGCAAGACGCGAAAAGTCATTCGTGCCCCGAAGCAACCATATACCGCGCTAAGCTATGTCTGGGGGATTGGAGAGGGCCCTACGTTTTCGGAAGAACTCCCTGAAGATGTATCCAATATCATTGATGATGCGATAAAAGCCACGTTAGAGCTTGGCTTTCAGTATATGTGGGTTGATAGATACTGTATCAACCAAGGGGCCCCTGAAGAGATTGCTGAGCAAGTCCCTAAAATGGATTTGATATATAATTGCGCCGAAGTGATTATTATTGCAGCTGCCGGTCAAGATCCTAGTTATGGTCTTCCTGGTATCCGATCTAGAAGTTTAACACAACCTCACGCGAAAGTCGGCGATCAATTTCTAGTGTCCACACTGCACGAGCCTGATGACGATATCTTGTGGTCGAAGTGGTGGAGACGTGGCTGGACACTTCAGGAAGGTGTACTATCACGTAGGCGATTGGTGTTTACTGATCACCAAGTGTATTATGAATGCAGTGGTATGTACTGTTTTGAGAGTTTGAGCTTTCCTCTCTCAAAACTCCATACTAAGGATCAACAACGATTCAAATCAGCATTACTCAACGGCACGAATAGTCGAATATTCCCACACAAGCTCGGAAATACGGGTTGGGAAGTGATAGAACAGATTCATGATTATACTGGAAGACTTTTAACCAAAGGTTCTGACATCCTGAATGGAATCTTGGGTATATTAAGAGCCTTGGAACAAAGTCCACGGAGACTCAGACATTGCTTAGGCGTCCCAGTAATATCGCGCCCTACTCGTCCTAATAATCGTCAACTCCAATCCAAGTACGATTCAATGGTATGGACACCTACAATAGGACTTTGTCTTGGCCTTTGCTGGGACGTCCATAAGCCAAGTACTCGACGGGAAGGTTTCCCCTCCTCGTCTTGGACTGGATGGTACGGACAGATCGAATATGTTTTTAGTCAGAAGGAATGGATATATTATCAAGGGAATCAGGATATGAAAGTAGACGTTCAGTTGCAAGATGGGCGAATGATTTCTTGGGATCAATTCGAAACGGTGTATGGCGAGGAAAGTCTACACATAAGGCCTACGCTTCACATCGCAACATGGGTGATTCCACTTGAGATCTTAGGTGTAAAGGAGTTCTACGGCGATCCTGAAGACGGAAGAGAGGTCGAAATACCCATAGAAGCACTCGTGAAAACAGTAGATGGGCGCTCTTTACAGTGGTATTTCCCGCCAATGTCGGATTTCTCCGATTCCATATCTCCCTCTGGAAAATGGATAGCAGTGAATTTGGCGCAAGAGATTTATTCCAAAGCTTACTTTAGAGGAATCTGGGTAGTGATTCTGTATGAGATGGAATCGGGGGTATACCAACGTGTCGGTATCAATAAGATGGAAGCAGATAACATGAATGATCTTGATCCTGAAGACGAATCACGACAGCAGTATCGAAAATATCAGACACCTTTGGACCTTAAAAGGACTGGTTGGAGTTTGAACTTGTTTGAGTTACGAGCGCATTTCCGACCTAGGTCCCGCTTTACGGATGACCATTAAAGACAACTTAACAATCGTTACATCAGACAAATCTCAAACCCGGAGCTTCAAATGGCTGGAACAACTTTCAATTGACTTCTATTTTAGAGATAACTACGAAATTCTTGTACGTCTACCTAACTCGCGAGACACGTACAAGGATAGGATGCAACGATGTGTGTTGGCAACGAAGGCTGACCTCATTACGATTAAACCGTACAATATTGATCGAATGCAGGTGTCTGCAAAATTCCCTCCGACCGTACCAGAAAGTACGGGTAGGTGCTTTCCATGAGCGTCATAGTCTACCTAGGTAGCCGTGTGATTCGCTTGTTATAAGAGGTGTCGGATGACATCCCTCTTGCCGTAAGTAACCTCTATTAATAAAGAGAACAACCCAGGCTTAAGGCGTGATGATGGAAGTGTTATCCGTGGATGTACGCATATGGGAACTCTCTAAGCTGCTACTCGCCGGCTCTTCGTGTAACAAAACATCTACTACCCTGCCTTCATGGTCACTTTGTGACAAGACCACCCAACATTATATGCGCCCGACGAAAATGATACGTTAAGTCTACACCGGTCATTAATATTATGGTCGCAATTATGAACTAGCGCTACAAACAAACAAGAGATCAACATTCAGCTGGCCATTCGACGTGTTAGCCCATGAATATAATTCGTTCGATTTCCCATTGCCCCTATAATTTTGATTGTTCATACATATGCGCGAATATCTTAATGCGTATTGAGAAGCACATGCCTCTTCAGTCGACAATTTTGAATGACAAGAGCGAGGGGGTGGCCGAAGGCCGACAGGGGTCTCAAGATTTAGGTTCGACTGTCGCGCCTCGGGTTCTTTGGGGGTTATCAGATCCGTCTATAAGTCGCCGCGAACTTCCTCACGTTTCCTACCTCTTTGGATCTTGAATATCATTCTTTTCCCAATACAATTATCTACTCCATTAGCTTAAGCCGGTGCTCAAACATGGCTCGCTTGCCGACCGCTCCCCTTTTTGGCTCAACCCCTGGTTCTGTTCCATATGTTGGCGAACTGAATAGCCAATTTAACCCTATCATTATCATGCTCGTCGGATATCTTGAGAAATCCCACGGCCCGCATGCCCTTGAAAATGCTGTCCAGAAAGCATACGAGAAGTCGCCCACATTCATGAACACGTTTGACATTACTGGAGCCAATTCATTCCTGAAGTTCGCGGACGACCTCCTCAGATGGATCCCCCACGAGAACAGCGAAGGAAAGGATGTTTATAACATCCTCTGCATGTTCTACTTCGTCTTCAATCAGTCCCCGCTTAAGGATATGCAGACTCCTATCACGCCCGACGTGGTTGGGCAGCCGTTGACTTGGCTCTCATCCTGGCTAGTTGTCTATGCTCAGCTCGTTGGCCAATGGATGGACACTCAAGACTCCTTGACAGCGAAGTCCTTGGAAACCTTCCGAGAATCGCCTGCATACAATATAGCTGAAGCACTTGAGCCTGTTGGTGGTTGGAAGACCTTCAACGAATTATTCGCTCGGTTCCTCCAGAAAGGGAAAAGACCCATCAAAAGCCCGGATGATGATAGTGTCATCGTCTATCCTGCCGACTGTAGATACGATACGACCCTTGATGATCATTCAGTCAATATCTCTTCTGGGGGAACTGTCCTCATAAAGGGCCTTCCTTGGACCATTAGCTCCCTACTCCAGGGAAGTGAATATGGAGATCAGTTCGATGGTGGTGTGTGGATGCACGCCTTCCTAAATTCGTATAACTATCACCGTCAACATGCTCCAGTTAGAGGTACAGTGCTTGAGGCAAAAGTTGTGCAGGGTACCTGCTACCTTGAGGTCAACGATGACGGAAAAGCCAAGCGTACCATACTGAATCGCGGTCTTAAGGATCCTAAGGCCCCAGACACACCCGGCTATCGTTAGTTATCCATTCTAATCTTACCCCAAAGAGTATCTGACGCAGTTCCATTTTGCTAATAGACGTTATTTATTGTTACAGAATTCCTGCAGACTCGGGGCATAATAATTATCGATAACCCTGTGTTGGGTAAAGTCGCAGTGCGTAAGTGATGTCAACGGTTGTTTCTTCTCCTTTACATGAATTAGATGGTATTGATTGAGGTTTGTCGGCACTAATTCCTTCTATTTTAGTACCCATTGGTATGGCCCTCGTGTCAGGGGTGAAGTTATCGGTTCGAAAGGGCGACGAATTGAAAAAAGGCGATGAGATCTCGAACTTCTTATTTGGGGGGTCCGATATCATTTGTGTCTTCCAGAGTAAAGCAGGTCTAAGCCCTAACAGCTTTGTGCCTTCTCCTGACCCTCCTGATGATAAACCCTGGGAGAATTACTCCAAGTACGGAACCAAGTTGGCTACTGCAACACCTGTTAGTTAGACAAGTTGCTGTGTTTATTTGGAAGGGGACTCGCAAGTTTATATGGTACCCAGGTAGCCGCGGTATATTTGTAGTCTGACGATTGGTCACTCGTTTAAGTTGAATTGCTCGTTATGGAATAATATTACTGTTTTTTAGAATAGTACCTAGGTAATTGATTTCATCTAATAAGTCCTTGAGATCTCTTTTTGTCAGTACTCTCGGTACCTAGCTGTAAGGAAGCGATACCTGGTATCGGGAGGACCCCTTATCACTGATGAAGACAAAGGAGCCGTTCAGACAAATGGGATACCCGTGCATACACATTATAGTCCCCGTAGCAGTTACTTGCGCTCTATTTGCGCAACAACTGAGTTATTATCCTCTCCATATGGTTTGCCCTATGACACCTTGATGTGTACGTATACTTCAACCTGACTTTCCGGCGTTCTTGTGTTGGTGACCCTGTATACCTATATTCTGACCTGTTGGTTCGCCAACGGACATTGTAGTAGCTATTTTAACCGCCAGCCTGTTTCACACGGTAACCAACAAGGCCTCGGCACCCGTCCCTGTGTGACAGATATAGTAATTGAATATTTAATTTTCGGTATGTTACATCATGTCCGCAGTCCTGTTTTAACAAAAGCTTGAACTCGAACATCTCGAAAGTACATTAAATGAAGTCCCCCTTAATAACGTCGATATTTCATATCCATAAGCGGGAGGTAAGGGAGGGATTGGTTGAGGGGTATCACATGATTTCTAGACGAAGTCAAGTACCGTGATTTATAACTCTAATACAACAATATAAATATAAGAATATAGAATATATATAATTAATGATATTTCAGATATTTTATTTTCTTAAGATTAGGGTTATGATTAAAGTTAAGGTTAAGGTTAAGGTTAAGATTAAAATTAAGTGTAATAAACTTATTGTGACGAACCTCCTCGGAGAGGTAGAGTCGTTACTGGATTGGCTAATCCAGGGTATCTTAATTTAAAGATAACAGTATTAATAATAAATCAAATAATTAAGTATATTCTATTCATCAAAGAGGCCTAAAGTCTTCTCATTATACTTTAAAAGAATAATCTTAAATTAATAATTAAAGAACTATTGAAAAAATGATTAGATACATGGGAAAATATAATGATTATATAAATGTTTTCTACTATTGCTTCTTTTATGGATGAGATTAAATACCTTCATCCATATTCATCCTTATTACACTCCTTAGATAAGACCAGATATCCTCATCCATATTCATCTATATTATATGTCATATATTCTTATTGTCATTACCCCACCTCGGCGAGGAAAAAGGTTTCCTTTAAGGTCTTACATCCTTATAAGCACATGTGGTTTGTGACACTATTTCTCCCCTCTTTAATTTCTTTATCCTTAAAGATTTTCTTTCTTAATAGATCCTTCTAATATAATCTCTACCATATCTACCAATCCATCCATAAAATGTAAATACATTAATCAAAAATAAGAATATATAAAGTTTTCAGAATAAATTAATAGAATTGGTTTTAATATGGATATTATGCCTTATTTATACTATTTTAATCATAATTTTAAATATATAATAAATATATTTTATATTATCATTAATATAATAAGATAAACATCTCTATTAATTCCTTCTCTTAACTTAAAAATAAAGAAGAACAATTATCTTTTTAAAAATATCAAGCCGAAGAGGCCCTTAAATACCTTTATATAAAAATAATTAAAACCTTAATTCATATTAAATAACTGTTGGTAGGTACGTACGTAAATGAAAGAACAATATAACAAGTAAAGCAAAGTAATGGGGGTGAGACGATGTGTATTAAGTTGTCTAAGGAAGAAAGGTCTATCTACCTGAGTAGGCAAGAAGGTAACCTACTTAAAGGGAAACGTGATGACTAAGTAGATCACGTGTCCTTCACCTATGCAACCATCAATAACTTAAATAACAAAAAAAATTATTAAAAGAAAAAGGCTTAAAGATGTTTCAACATGATTTCTAAAATTTGAAAAAACTAAAGGAATAAAAACAATTATCATAAACTAATATGTTACAACCTAACAGGAGGAAGGCCAGGGAATAAGGACCTGGTAGGGCCAAGGTGACTAATCAGAAGAAGTCTCTGTGGAGGCAATAAAGACTATATGTTAAAGCTTATATAATGACCTCTGGAAGTCTCTGAGAGTGTCATAGAGATAAATAAAAAGGAGGTCTCTAGGGATATTATAAAGATAAATAGAAAGGAGATTTTTAAAGGTTTTTGTTTAGGGAATAAAGATTACTTAAATGAAGGATATATAAAAAAGAAGTCTTTTATATATCTAATCATTTTTTTATAATTTTTTAATTATTAATTTAAGATTATTCTTTTAAGTATAATGAAAAAATTCCAAGCCTCTTTAATAAACAGAACATATTTATGTAACAAACCTATGCCTTGGAGAGGTATAGTCATTGCTGGATTAGCTAATCCAGGGTTTCTTAATTTGAAGGTAACAGTATCAATAATAGGTCAAGTGATTAAATACATTCTTGTTTGTCAGAGAGGCTTGGAATCCTTTTATTATACTTAAAAGAATAATCTTAGATTAATAATTAAAGAATTATAAAAGAATAATTAGATATATAAGGGATTTTTTTCTTATATATCTTTTATTTAAATGGTTTTTATTCTTCAGATAGAGACCTTTAAAAACCTCTTTTTTATTTATTTTTATAATATTCTTAAAAATCATTAGAGGTTATTATATAAATCTTGACATATAATCTTTATTATCTCTATAAAAACTTCTTTTTGATTAGTTACCCTGGCCCTATTAGGTCTTTATTCTTTGGCCTTCCTTTTATTAATGATGGTTACATAGGTGAAGAACATGTGATCTACTTAATTATCAAGATTTCCTTTAAATAGGTTATCTTCTTTGTCTATTTATATAGATAGAACTTCCTTCCTTAGACATCATAATATATATTGTCTTACCCCCAACTATTTTACTTTATTTATTATATTATTTTTCATTTACATACATACTTATCAACATTAATCAATATTGTTAAACAGTTAACAATATAGATTAACAAGGTTAGAAAAGTCATTACTATAATAATTCAGAAGATCTTATCATAATAATATAAATAACATCAATATATTTACTTCTATCCAAATCATTTTATTATTATCCTGTTTATAATAAAATATCATTTTACCTTATTATATAACCTTTTTAAACCCCTATCCATACATTATAATTTAAATTTTTCATCCTTTATATCTTTAATTTTACCATTCTTAATTTCTATATATATTATAATATTATAAAAGAAAAGCTTAATATAAGCATAAACATATATTATAGAAACCAACCTAATTAAATTAAAAAATATAGATAAATTATAAAAATTAATAAGTTATCTCCTTAGTTAAATAATAATTCTTATATAATACTTTAATTATATAACAATAAAATGGGAAATTATTAACCCCTAAAGAATAATCTTAAAATAAAAAATAATTTAGGTATTATTTATATTAATAGATTTTAAGATTATTAACAAGAATATATCATATATTTATATAATTAAAGAAATAATAGATAAATATCAGGAATAATTTTAAGACTTTATAATAACAGATTTTATTAATATACCAAAATAATTATAATTGATGCTAAGAATTACATTAATATAATAAGATATTTATATAAGATAATATAATACCAACCATATAGAAATGTTTACCAATCTTATATCATTATATAAGCTATTAATATTGAATTCCAATAAATTAAAAGTAATAAAATGGAAATAGCTTAATACATTAATATAGAAAATATTAATATATAATACTAAAAAGAGATTAATTTATCTTAAGGCTTATATATCCATATATACATATATTATATCATAATAACAACTAATAATCTTCAATTTATAAATATTAATATATATAATAAGATATACAGATCAAGATCCAGTTCTATTAACAACCCTTACTAAACTATTACCTATTCATCTACTTTACATAATACATAATCCATAGGAAGTCCCACTTCCTACCCACAATAATCTACCACCACAGGGACCCATCATTTAATCCCCTTTTTAACAAATATCTAATTCTCATCTAACCTCTCTTCCTCCACTTCTACAAAATAATTAAGGTAATCCTTAATTATTAATAACTTTTCTTCCCCCTCTCTTATTTCAACAGGGAATAACTACATTCCTATAGGCCATTATAGGTAATAATTATCTTAACATTCCGGTATTTATAACCTAATAAAGATATAATTTTTAATATCCCTATAATAATAATCTTATATAAAGAGAATAACCTAATCTGTCAATTCCAGGAAATATGTCTAGATCCCTTGGATTACCACTGGATAATTGTCACAACCCAACAACTTACAGTCGCATCCTTCTAGTCGGGTAGGGCATCAGATACCCAATCATGGAGAAACTATGGCAAACCAGTCTGCTCTATCAGCTGACAGAGCATAATGCTCTATCCTACTCCAGAGCAGAATAGAATAAAGGAAGTGCTACTTTATCTTACTCTAAAATAAAACAGAACAAAAGAAATGTTACTTTATTTTATTCCAAAATAAAAGAAAATAAAACAAGATGAAAAAAAGAATATTAAATTATATAAATATAAGTATTTCCTCTATATCTAATTATTTTTTCTATAACTCTTTAATTATTAATCTAAAATTATTCTTTTAAATATAATAAAAGGATTTTAAACTTCTTTAATAAATAAAATATATTTAATTATTTAATCTATTATTAATATTATTATTTTTAAATTAAGAAAACCCTGGATTAATTAATTTAATAACAATTATATCTCTTTAAAACATAGGTTTATTACATTTTAATAATTTTTTAATCAATATTAATATTAGGTTAAGAAATGATATAAACCATTTATAAAATATCTTTTTATCATTATTAATCAAATCTTCTTTTATTTTACTAACCTTTAAAAATAAAATAAAAAATTTCTATATTTTTTAAAAATTATTTTTTAAGGGATATTATAATTAGATATGGGATAAATTAATAAATCCTAACCTAGAAAGTAAAGAAGAATTAAA